AGCCAAAATCGGAACCTCTTCGGCAACGTCGTCACCGTCACAACCTCCAGTGACCTCGCGGTTACTGCTTCCGGCGACGCTCGTACTTCCAGTGCCGGCGGCAGCGTTCCTCGGTCTTCGAAGTCAGGAGGAGGATCTGGCGGAGCGCCTTCTGGCAACCGGCAAGTGACTCCAGGTAACTTTAGACTCTACCCTTGCACGGTTTATTCATAGATTTAGGATTTAGAATTGACATCACTCGCACGGCGTGAGGTGTACTTAGACGGTCTTCGTTATGACCTTTTAGGGGTAGAACTGGACACGGCTTTTGACGTGGGAACGTCGGGCGGACGACGTGGAGCGTCTTCCTTGGTTGGGGACAACCTCGGCGACTTTGAATATTCGGAGGCGGAGAGTGAACCGCCTGCTAACGTTTCCTCCCTTCATCCTCATGGTGATGACCCTACGGGCCGCCCCGGGGATGTCGAAAAGGAGTTGTCCCCATCGCTAACTATATCTGACGCTCTGCCGGTGGGCGCTTTCCAGGCCATCCGCGACACCACCTACCGCGTACGGTTACACGCGGACATGTGGGAGGGGGAGCCCGTGCCTTCAAGCGCATACGAGGCTGCATACAACCCCCGGCAAGTTCTGCGGCAGCTGAAAACGCATCGCCTTCCCACCAACTGGGATTATGTGGCCCCTTCTCCGGTTGGGCGGTCAGGTTCTTGCCCGGGTGGGTGGATTCCCATACACGTGGAGCACCTTCGGATGGGCCTGACTTTTCCCATTGACCCTATCCTTACCCGGACGCTCCTTTTTCTGAACTGCACGCTGGGCCGCTTGTCTCCTGGTATAATTTTTCATTCGATTGCCTTTAGAGCGGCCTGTGCCAAGGCAGGCGAGACGCCCTCTTTTGACGCGTTTCGCCAGCTGTACAAGATGAGGGGCTCCGAGAATTGCTGGTCCTGCTACCGTCGCGAGTCGCAGGTTGGGATCGTTAGCGGGGCGCCTAAGTTGGATTCCCCTTGGTTTAAGGAATACTTCTTTGCTCGTCCTGTGGATAAGTGGTACTCTGGAGAGGTTGAACCGCCCACAGGCTTTGCGTCTGGAGACAAGAAGGATTGGAACACTGATACTGATGGTCTTGGTCTTGTCAAACCCTTGTTGAAGCGGCTCACGAATGCTTTTCAAATTCGTCTCCCCCCAAAGGGGGACGATAATGCCTTGGACATTATTCGCCGTTTTCATGGTTAGTTGCTTTACTTTCTGTACTAAGTGGTCCTCTCACGCCTTTTGTCTTTAACTTGGTTCGTTCTTCAGGTACGCGACGGTATGCGTCCTCCGCACGACCGCCGAAGCCTGGAACCAATGCTCCTGCCTCCCCTGCTGATGCGGTTGCTCGCCCTGTCCCGGCGGTTTCTCAACTTCCCCTGACTCAGAAGCAGCTTGTGGCTAGTCAAACGGGGGTGCTGAAGCTGTCTGAGCCTGTTCTGCCGAGGACGTCAGCCAAACGGGCCCTTGACATCACGACCTCAAAGGATTTGAGGGCGACCGCTGGAGAGCCTCGGTTGAAGGGAGTGCTCGCCGAGAGCTCTACTCCGTTAGACGCCTACGTTGCGCCTAAGAGACCAAAGAGAACATCTGTTGATACCTCCGTCTCTTTTTCGTCGCAAGCGTCTCTGTACCCAGCGGCTGCCAAACGTGCAATGCACGTTATCTCGGAAGGTCTGGCGGTCCCTAGTGACTTCACCCCAACTGCTGGAACTCCTGTGCTGACTTCCGATACAAAGCGCCTGGCGACCACTACGTCACGTCTGTTCTTTGCGGTACGACGATCTCTCTTCCTCTTTTCCCCCGCTATTCTTGTGTTTAACTCTTTTTCTTTGTACAGACCCAATTTGGTTTGAACCAGCTTATGCTGGAAAATGACCGACTGGAGAGCAGATTGCTGGACGCTCAGACACAGGTGCTGAAGCTGGAAGACCAACTCAAGGAGGGCCGCGAGGGGGTACGGGCAGAAGTGCGGGAGGACGTCTTGAAGGAGCGGGAGCAGGCTATGAAGGAGAAGGATGCCCAGATCGAGGCGGGCAAGGAGTTGACTAAGAAGATTGAAGCGGACGCGGAACGCCTCCGGTCCGAGCTGAATGAGTCTCTGGCTCGAGAAAGCGCCCTGCAGGTTGAGCTGTCTAACCTCCGATCAGAAAAGTCCGATCTGCAAGATGCTCACGAGGCCGCCTTACTGAGGGCCGCTCAGGAAGCTAGGGACACCTTCTGGACCTCCGATGACTTCCGCATTGCTGATGATGCGAAGTACAAGAAGTTGCTCCGCGACACAGTGGCTGCCATTCGTCATTGGTTCCGCCGTGAGTATCCGGAGGTGGTGTGGGACACCAACTCGATATGGGACGCGGTCGAGTTTTGGAGCGACGAGGACGTGAACTCCGAGTACGTTGCGACGCCCCCTCTGGAGAATGCAGCAACTACTGTGGTCGAATCTGCGGAGACCGCGAGGGATGGCGAGACCGCGGGGAATGTAGAAGCCGCCGAGGGTGCCAGGGAGGAAGTCCATGATGACGAAGTTTGAAGAAGAAACCGCCTGATTACCTTGTCTTTTTTACTTGCTTTGTAGTCGTTTTAATTTCCTGGTGTAGTAAACTGAATCTGCCTTGGGCAGTGAATATTTTGGGCGTTTTCTGGAATGCCTGTTATGGATGCTTTTATTTACTTGTGTTCTTTGAGGTCCGGGCCTTTTTGCTTTAGGGCGGTTGTGTTTGTGCTTTGAAGCGATTAGGTTTGAACCTCTTGCTTTGAAGCGGTTGGCTGTGCTATTGCTCGAGGGCGGATGAGCACGATATAGCCTTGGCGCTCCGTGGCGGCCTTAAAATGACGTTTTAAGCTGTCGCTCTGAGGCGGTTAGACGTTTATCATTAATACATTTCACAATTTGGGCAAATTGGGTGCTCAGTGGCACTTTCATAACTTGTGCTTTACACGGGAAGCTTTTTCCCCAAAAGTGGACGCTCTATAACTGAGTGCCCAGATTAAAGACTCTGCGGTCAGTGGGATCGTTCATTACTCGAAGTATTTCTTCAGGTGGATGGCATTCCAGGTCTTTTTAAGCGGCTTCCCCTCCATTGTTGCTAGCACATATGTTGCTGCTCCCAACTTCTCCCCTACTAGGTAGGGGCCTTCCCATGCGGCTGCTAACTTGCCGTGTCCTTCTTTCTGCTCGAAATTCCTCTTCAGAACCAAGTCGCCCTCCTCCAACGGTCTTGGCTTTACTTTGGCGTTGTATGCCGTGGCCACCTTCATCTTTTCCTCTAAGGTTCTGACCAGAGCCGCGTCCCTCCTTGTCTCGATCATGTCCAATTGGTGAAGCAGCTTCTTGTGGTTGTCCTCAGAGTCGTAAGACTAGACGCGGAGTGATGGCAGTACTAACTCTGTTGGTGCGACCGCCTCCGCACCATATGTCAGAGCAAATGGTGTCTCGCCAGTAGCTTGTTTGTAGTTTGTCCTGTGGGCCCACAAGACATGAGGTAACTCTGCGGTCCACCCCCCTTTTGCTTCTTTCAATCTTCGTTTCAGTCCTCGCAGGATTAGCTTATTGGATGATTCGACTTGCCCATTCGCCTGAGGGAACGCCACGGATGCCATCTTGCACACAATGCGGTTCTTTGCACAGAAGCTTTCAAACGGTCTGCAGTCAAACTGCGTGCCATGGTCAGTTATAATCGTATGAGGCGTGCCAAACCTGATCATGATGTTGTTGAACAAAAACTTCTGGATCTTGGCGCTGGTGATTGTATCGAGCGGTTCAGCTTCAATCCATTTTGTGAAGTAATCGACCGCAACGACCAAATACTTCTTGCCCAGCGGAGCTGTAGGAAATGGTCCGAGAAGATCTAGGCCCCATTGTGCGAATGGCCAAGATCCTGTGATGCTTCTGAGCTGTTCGCTAGGCAAGTGCTGTTTGTTAGCGTGGATCTGACATTCGTGACATTTCTTGACCGCCTCCATCGCATCCTTCTTGACTGTCGGCCAGTAGTATCCCTGCAGCAGTATTGTTCGTTCGAGGCTCCGCGGCCCGGAATGCGTCGCACAAGTCCCCTGGTGGATTTCTTTGACCATCCATTTGGCTTCATCAGGACCTAGGCATTTCAGATATGCCCCCGAGAATGATCTCTTGCATAGCTGTCCCTCTATCATGGTATAATGGGCTGCCTTTCGTCGTAGCGCTTTGGCTAGGAGTGCCTCTTCGGGGACAATATCACTTTGCAGGTAGCCGATCAAAGGAGACCGCCAGTCGCGGCTTTCCTCATCGAGGGCCATTACCTCATAGGTTGGAGCCGCTTCTTTGGTCACTATAATCTGACGCTCCCCTTCGAAGTCCATGGCGGTTGCCAGTTTGGACAGGGCATCAGCGTGATGGTTATCTTCCCTCTTCACATGCTCCAACTTCCAGGAGTCTAGCTGTGATAGAATCCCTCTGACCGCTCCAACCAACTTGGTGAGCGCCTCCTCTTTAACTTCGTAACTTTCCAGCACTTGATTTACTACCAACAATGAATCGGAGTGAATATGTAAGTTCGACGCCCCCATGTTGACCGCTATCTTCAACCCACTGAGGAGCGCCTCGTACTCCGCCACGTTGTTGGTTTTTAATTCCAGGAAGCGGTGAGATATCTCATGTATTACACCTGTGGGCGTCTCGATTACTATCCCTGCTCCAGCTCCTCCTTTTCCTGCCGCCCCATCCACGAACAGGCGCCAAGCTTCGTTCTCTTCTTTTTCGTCACTAAGACTAAAGCCCTCCGCAATGAAGTCTGCCAGCACTTGCCCCTTGATGGAGGGCCGCGGAGCGTATGTAACATCATACTCACTGAGCTCAACGGCCCACTTGGTCATTCGCCCCGACACGTCCATGCCCTTCAGTATTCTTCTTAACGGGAGGTTCGAGAGAATGACAATGGGGTGCTCCTGGAAGTAGGGACGGAGCTTCCTAGCAGTCGTTACCACGGCTAAGACTGCTCTTTCTATTGGCATGTAGCGCCGCTCAGCTGGAAGTTTCTCTCGGGTTGGGGTGCTTGGCAGTTTCTTCAATTGCCATGGCTTCTTCTAACAGGATCGCCTTCCTCACAAGGCGGTCCAGATCGGTCCATTCTTTCAGCGAGTGCTCTTTTTTAATGAGCGCTCTTCGTAGCTCGCGGCTATGCGTTGACATGCGTAGGTTTCCCGCCGCTACACTTGGCGAGATCCCCTGTACCTCGCAGGCTATCGTGTTCCACCTATCGTAGAAGTCTGTAAGCAACTCCTCCCTTCCTTGCTTGCAATTGATGAGTGACGAGACCGTTAGCTTCCTCCTTCTCTGCGACGCGAACTTCGAAGCGAACAGAGTCGTGAACTGCTCAAAATCCTCTATTATCCCTTCTGGGAGGGAGGTGTACCAGGTTCGGCAGTGACCGCTGAACGTGACGGGGAACGCCTTACACAGATCAGCGTCTGTGGCGTTGATGAGTTGCATTTTGAGCATGAACGCACTCAAATGATCGGCGGGATCTGAGCTCCCATCGTACGTTGGGAGCCCCAGTGACGAGAAGTTAGGGGGGACCTGGGTCCTGAACAAACTCCTGGCTAGTGGATTCTGCAGGATGTTGGGGCCCTTCACCTTCCCGTATGAGGGCTTAAGATGCTCTTCGAGGAATCCCAAGTTAAGGTCGTCCTCTTCTTTCTCCGACTCCCCGCCTTCTGTTGAGACTGGGCTGCTAGGACCGCCTTCCTTTCTCTTCCCTTTGACCGCCTTCCTTCCTGAGCTTTCGGGGGCGTCACTTTCCTTCTCCTTGAGCATCGCCAAAATTTGGATCAAGCTCTCTTGCATGCTCGATATTTGCTGTCCTTGGCTCTTTACGCGGTCCTCCATTTCCATTTCTTCTTCCACGGTTGGCATCTCCATTCCTCGCATTCCGCTCGCTGGTGCGTCTGGTGCGCGAAGGGGACTTCTTTCCACTACGCCTTTGACGGGAGTATTAGAGCTCCCATCCATCTTTTCTTCAGTGCAATGCTAGCCCCACGGTGGGCGCCAAATTGTTTGAGCCTAGAATGTTCTAGGCGGGTTTGCGGAACTAGCAAGGCGTCTGATCCGGATGATGGGGGACTCCAAGCTCCTACAAAACAAGGGTCCTTGGGTGATCACCCAGGACACCCTCCGAAGCTCAAGTTAGAGAGAGAGAGAGAGAGAATCTTGTAGTAATATCTTAGAGAGAGAGAGAGTAGTTGGTTTACCATCAATGCAGATATGAATGTATTTATAGTGGTTTGGGCTGGGCTTCGAGCATTAATGACCATGTCAGGCGCCCTATATCTTGTCTTACTTTATCTAGACCGCCTACGGCGGCAATTAATGCTTAGTCCTGCAGTATTCGAGGTGAGTATCCTAGGAAGATCTCCCATTCTCCCCCTAACGGCTCTTTGTGTCAGGCGTCCTAGTACCTGTCATGTCCTAGTATGGCCGCCTTCCTTTCTCTGTTTCTTATGTGTTACGTTCCCCCAGACGTCTTCTTGGGCCCTTTGGACGGGCCTTACCCTTCTGGGCTTCCAAGCCCTATACTGCTCAGCTATGGCCCAACACTTGGGGAAGGCACTTAGGTGGCTAAACAACCGCCCACCTCAGCTATCACCTCATGGGACGACCTCCTCAACAAGTTTATGGCTCGTTATTGGCCTCCTTCAAAGACGGCAGAGTGGAGAAAGAAGATTTTACATTTCGAGCAAGAAGAGGACGAAACCTTGAGGGATGTTTGGGAGAGTTACTCCTATTACTTTCTTCAGTGCCCTCACCACGGGTTTGAAGAATAGTTTCGGATTGAAACCTTCTACGGAGGCCTAATGCAAGAAGAAAAGATCATCATTGACTCCTTGTGTCAGGGGAAGTTGATGAATATGGCTCTGCCCCAAATAAGCGAGATCCTAAAAGAAATGGCCTTTAGGGGGTATGACTGTGGGTTGACTAGAAGTGGAATAAGAAGCAATGAAAGGGGAGTGAGAAGCGTGGGAGCGAGTGCTCCGCTTGAGGCAAAGTTGGATAAGTTGCTTGAGGTTATGCTTGAAGATAAAAGACAAGGAAAACAGGCGGTAATGTCGTGCGACTGGTGCTCGAGTACTAGCCACGAGATGGCGGAGTGCCAAGCAATGAAGGAGGCAACCACTCCGGAGGATCAAGTCAACTTTGTGGCAAATGCTAGGGTCAACAACCCGTATAGCAATACTTATAACCCCGTATGGAGGAACCACCCCAACTTTGCTTGGGCATAAGCGGCTAATCCAAGGCCCCTGGGTTTCCAAGGCCCCACCCATTAGTCACCAGATGCCTCTTGTGCGTTCTCCTATAGATGCAACGAGGCTCATCTTTGTAAAGACGTCATCGGTTTCTGGGTTGGCCACGAACCTCACACAGGCGACCCAACATAGGATGGAGGCTGGGATTTTGGAGGCGGTCGAGAAGGGGTTGGGGAAGAACACCAACTTGATAACAGGGGAAGTATCTTGAGGTTCTGGAGAAAGCACTGGATTCTTCTAGACCAGCTGCATCATGTGTTGGGCGAGGAAGAAATCGGCGGTCGGTTGATTAAGAAGAATGATGTGATTAAGATTATTCTTGGTGCGAAAGTAGCTTCAGATGGGTATGTTATGTGGGGGTAGAGTCTGTGAATGAGAAGGGGTTGGGGAAGAAGAGAAGGGACGGAGAGGGGTAACTAGTCAATAACAGGGGTTGGGTCAGTGGGTGATTGGGTTTAGGTTGAGTTTTATGACATAGAGGGTTAATAATGTGGCATGTCTATTTTGTTTTTTTTTAATTAGGTGACTTAACACCTCTGTTAGCCACATCAGCAGTTAACTTACGGCACTAACAGAGTCTGATAGAGGTTAACGGAGCATGACCAAAGTTGGACTGTGTACCTAATTTAAGTGACTACGGATGAAATAAAGTAATTTTAGTGGCAAACGTAAAAATTTTATGTAATTCTAGTGACCAAACTTGCAATTTAGCCAAAAAATTTTAATCAAATGGATGCAACATGCACCCTACCTTTCATTCAAAAACCACTCAGGATTCAGAGTTCTCCTGAACATTATACATAATCCAGTTGCACAACATAGGATCCAAAATTGGAAACAAATGTAAACCTAAAGGTACTAGGTGACCTCAACTAGCAAGAAAGTCTGCACACATATTACCTTCCATACGAACAATAGAAACATCTCATTGTCTCTTAAGCACCTCAAAAACTCTATCCAAGATGGCTGCATGGCGATGCTTAGTAGAATCGGTGCTCCGAAGCAAATTCAAAGCACAGATTCAAAGGAATGATCTAATAACTGAACAATTTCAGTTTCCGTCAACAAAGCAAACAACCAAACATTGGAATGAACTATAGGGAACTGACTGCCAATATAATAGACCCATCTGCATCAGATGCGAAATCAACAATAGACCCAGATGGATAACCCCCGTATTTCTGCAACATCAGAGGAACAATGATCAGTCAGACCCTGGAGAAGATAGCCATAAATATCCTACAACTCAGCAACATTTTATTATGAGTTTCGATTTCTTCGAAAGGAAATAGAATCGAATGAAAAATAAATACAGTAAGCAGCAAAACAAACATGAGAGAACGTTGAGAGCATCCCTCGCAGACCATGATAAAGGACCGTCCGGATTTCCTCCACGGCGGGAAGCCGAGCAGCATTTTTCTGTGCTTCCACAATAAGACAAACCCCCATGATTTCATTAACCTCAGTCTTTTTCCCCCTTGCATTCATTCATTTATTCATTCACACAAATTGGAACTTAAAAAAAAAACCCTACCTGGTGAGCATTGATCAATTGCATAACATCTTCCCCACCCCCGATTTCGGTACCATATACAGCCTAATCACCATGAAAAGTTCATACCTTTTCTGCTCCTCGAACACCCCAACAGAACGGAGTTGTTGAGAGAAAGAATCAAACTCTCATTGTGTGTGCTCGAACCATGCTCCTTGAATACAATCTCCCAAAGTTCTTTTGGGCTGAGGCAGTTAGTACAGCCTGTCATGTGGTCAATCGTGTCTTGATTAGAAAAGGATTAAACAAACTCCTTATGAAATTTTTTAAAACAAGACACCTAATCTGTCATATTTTCACCCCTTTGGGTGTCCTTGTCATACCTTAAACACCAAAGAAAAACTTGGTAAATTTGATGCTAAGTCAGATAAAGCCATTTTTCTAGGATATTCAATAAAGGGTCAAGCATTTCGTGTGTATAATAAACGGACCCAAAAAGTTGAAGAATCTGTTCATGTGATATTCAATTCAATGAGACTCACACTATTTGCAAGGACTCTGAACAAGGTATACTAGAGTATGATATGCTAGAAATGGTTCGAACACATCCAAAGGAAACTACAGAAACCAGTGAGGACATTCCTTCAATGTCAAGGAAGGAAGATGACAATTGTGGTGTAAGCCCTGAGGACGAACCTCTTGTCACCAATATAGCAGCACCACCACACATTCAAAAACGCCATCCAGCGGATCTCATCATTGGTAATGTAAATGATGGTCTACGAACCCGAGTTAAGTACACCCCTGGTCAATATGCTTATGTTTCTCAATTTGAACCTAAGAACTATAAAGAAGCTCTTGAAATTGATGAATGGACATTAGCTATGATTGAAGAGTTAGTTCAGTTCGAATTATTGCATGTTTGGGGCTTGTTCCTCGCCCTATAAACCAATCTGTTATAGGAACTAAGTGGATATTTAGAAATAAATCTGATGAACTTGGCTTTATCATTCGAAACAAAGCCAGATTAGTGGCACAAGGATATTCTCAGGAGGAGGGGGTTGATTATGATGAAACCTTTTCCCCTGTAGCTACGTTAGAATCCATCAGGTTATTGTGTGCTTATGCTTGTTTCATGGGCTTTCCTCTTTACCAAATGGACGTGAAAAGCGTGTTTTTAAATGAAGTTATACAGGAGGAAGTGTATGTTTCACAACCTCCTGGGTTTGTTGATCCTCAGTTCCCTAACAATGTGTACACTGGTCGAGAGTGAGTGATTCATTTTCTCATATTCTCTACATTCTTGTACCCCGGTGAGGACCTAGATTGCTCGGTTTCTATTATGATATCTTGAGTTTTGTGCATGAGGTGACTGTCTTGAGTAAGTGGTTGAGTCAAGTCTATGTTGGTTGATGAACAGAAGGGAGACTCCTCCTTTACTCGATTTTGCCGCACTCAAATGTCCTCTGTGGTGGTTGTCCAGGTTGCTATTGAAGTTGTTCATGTGTTGATGTTTGAAAGCCAGTATGATTCACGTGTTCTGTGCCTATATGATTTGTCCCCAATGTTGGTATGATTGAAATATGTGAGCTTACCTTGTGTCTGACTTGGTTTGCTTGGGGCCAAGCAAACAGTTAAGTGTGGGGGAGTTTGATAGACCGTAATTGCACATGTTTTTACCCCTATTCTTGAGCCATTTGAGATGTTGATTCTCGTGTTTTAGACCGATTTCACGCTAGGTTGTTCTTGTTTGTGATATTTCAGGTCCTAGTAACATATTGTATAATCGACACAGGCATCAACACGTAATAAAACATGAAGATATTAAGCACCACTCTTGTTAGTCCACGGCCGGAGTACTCCCACTACAATGATGGCAACGATGATGAGAAGGACTATGATGGCAATGCACATCCATTTCCAAGAGCTCTTTTGATACGACTTTGCCCTTTGGAGAGCAGTATTCCCTGACTGTACATGATCTACTGCAGTCGATACCTGAAACACATAAAATTAGATAAAGAAAGAGTTTCAGGGAATTTTCTGGAATCCCCCTTTTCACTTGGCAGAAAATATAACAGAAAAGGCAGTTCTCACTTACATGTGATTTGATGTTGTCGAGCAAATCGCCTTGTGCATCCACCAGCACTGCCATATCCAAGAAGATCTGCAAATGAAGATGACACGTGGATTCAGATCAAACAGTCTGCACCTAGCCACTTAATCACAGTCTAATCATAGCACTAGCCAGCCAACAAAGAGTTTCCAACTCACTCCAACAAGACCTTCATCCCAAGTGAAGCCTAGCCCTGTACATCAACAACATTTCGCCTATGACGACATGGACGCCCCTACACCACGGTCTACAAGGTCCACTGCCAGACAGGTTCAAACGCCGGTCCACAAGATGACCCCAAACAACAATGCAGCAAACAGCTCACCAGGCATGTCGAAGTACTCGAGAGCACGAGGAGGAGGAGGAGGAGGAAGGGGCGATCACTCCTCCCCATCGCCATTCAACTTCCCATCGAAGGATGACGACAGCCTGACGAGCGGCCCGCCATTCTCGAGGCCTAACTACATGACTCCAACGATCTCCGCCAAGGCAAAGACCCGTGCCAACAGTAACCCTAGGGAGAGGTTCCCTCTCCCTGGGACGCCGAGCAGCGAGAAGAGGAGGGTCTCTTTCCCCATCGGAGGTGGGCAATCATTCAAGTGGAATGCAGGCAGTTTGTTCTCTTCCAACAACAACAAGGGGTCAGGATCACCAAGGGTGATTGACAAGCACCAGCCAATTCACTCCATTGGGAATTTGACTGTGAATTCCACAGTTTCCATGCCTGCTGCTGTTGGCAGAAGGCCATTTAACAGGTTTGTGTGAGTTTGTTTTGAGTTGACCCCCTTATTTGTATACTTGTGTTGTTGAACATATGTGTATGCTCTCTCTTCCTGTTTGGGTTAATTTTTGGGTTGATGTGGTGTAACTTGTACAATTTGTCTTCTTGCACCTAATTCAATTCAAAATCAGTGTTGTGAAAGCCGAGCCGCCAAAACCGCCAACCGGGCACAAAACCGGCTCGGATAAGCTATTTAGCCAGACTGGTTCTCTGGGGCGGCCGGCGAGCGGCCGAAGCGGTTAACCGCTCGAGCCGATCGTCCGGTTTTTTACATTCGGCCGGTTGGTTTAATTAAAAAAAAAGACCGAAAAAAAAAGGGGAAGGTGGGTCGGGGTCGGGCTGTTCTGCAGAACCCTAATTTTCATTCTTCTTCGTGGAGACAAGGAAGCGTCGCTTCCGACTCCAAATCCTTCCTCCTCGTCGCCGTTCCCCGTCTCCATCGTTGTCTTACCCGTCGCCTGTGACCTGTCGCCGTCGCCAATGCAGTCAAAATCGAGTTTTAAAACTTAAAAACTTACGATTTTACGCTTTTAGGTCACCAAAACGCTTTCGTTTCTATATAAAATCGTTAGTGCATAAAATCGGACACAATTACGTTTTAAAGCTTAAAATCTTACGCTTTTACGCTTCTAGTTCACTATAACGCTTTACGATTTTACGCTTTTAGTTCACTAAATAGGTATTCTTTTCAAGAAATTAATTACAATAAGTATATTTTAAAGGTAAATCGCCAACAATATGATACATTTGAGATTAAAAGATACATACCAGGTACTTGGATGCATTCTCATCTTCAATACAATAATCTAATTCACCAGCTGGGTCATTCTCAAATTCTAGTATAGAGGGGAATGTGGCTTATTATTAATATTATTTACGTTTACGAACTTATTGTTAAGATGCTATAAGTTGGTCTACTTTAGACATAAGTTGCAGGTATTTATTAACTTATCTAAATTCCTAGCACTCATATTTTTTACATAGTCTATGTCATACTTAACAACTTTTTAGTTATTTTACAGCACGCGTCAAAAACTTACGCTTTTACGCTTTGATTCTACGCTTTACGATTTTACCCATTTTCCGCTTCTAGGTAGAATCGTGCTTTTGAATGCATTGGCCGTCGCCATCGCCATCTTCCCCAGCGCCGTTCCTCCTCGTCGTCGTTCCCCGTCTCCATCGTCGTCTTCCCCGTAGCCTGTGACCCATCGCCGTCGCCATCGCCATCTTCCCCAGCGCCTTCGGTCGTCCATCGGTGTTCTTGGTGCTGATTGCATTTCCGGATCGTCACCGCAAATCCATCGGTAGCCGCGTGCCCGCCGATTCCCCATCCGGCTTCCCGCTCTTCTCGTCTCTCCAGTCTACTGGCCCCTGCCGAGGTAAAAGATTCAAACTTTTGGGCTTGAATTAATGGCTGATTAGTATGGTGCGTGGCGTGACTGTATTTTTTGATTAGTGGACAGTAATTTGTGGTTTTCCTTCAATCAGTTGTTGAGTGCTAGCAAACTGTGGATCCCTTAAGTGCATTTTTCTTAATCTAGCTTATGTTTATCACTGTTTATTAGGTACCGGTTCTCAAACGGTTTTTAAACAGTCTAATGCCGGCTGGACCACTAATGACCGAGCCGTTCACGTTACCGGATCATACTCAGACTCGGCTTTGACAGCATTGATTCAAATAGATATGTGGCTATACGTTCAAACGTTGCCCGGAGTAGAGTATTTGACGATAGGAAAAGTAAAGAACCATTGTTTTGTCTCTTTCTCGAATTGAACCGCAACCATCTTTCTCTCTCTCTCTCTCCTTCCCGCACCAACTGCACTCCTATTTCCTATCTCCCTGACACCTATTCCCCTTCCCGCAGCAACGGCGACTTCAACTATTCTCCGCCCGCAACCAAACACTTTTTCGGTTTTTCCTTCCCATCGCCCCACGAGTGGCAGTAACCAATCTTCTGATCAGATCTGATTGCATTTGTAGGCAGGGGGGAGAGTCGACTAACCTTGCATATTATCGTATTAATTCATTTCACGACAGATTGCTTATGCCAACCTCGGTTTCATTTCACGGACTGCCGACTGCTTACCGTCGATGGAGCTATGCTGCAGTGCAACGCTTCTCCCCTGCCGGATAGGAACAGCCACTCCTGCATTGGTCAAAGCCAAAGAGAGGGTTAGAGAGAGAAGCCATACCAGAGGTGTGACCTTCCATCCCAAATTGGATGCTCTGTCAAACGCCCACCTCCCTCGAATCCCTTCTAATTGAAGATTTCTACGACCCATTAAATTCCTCTGTGAGTGCCCGTGTTCGATTCCTACGCAATCCTTCCTTCGCTTTCAGAATAGTCCCCTCCCGTCAATTCGATTATTCGTTCCCGACCCGCCGCTATGTTCACGGTGCTGATTCAGTTCATCAACTCCGCATAAGCATCGTCCTGGTATGCAAATCTTTCGCTTCCAATTGCGGGACAACCGACGAGTTAGGACGTCCGTCGGAATGTAAATTGACTGCGCTCTGGTCGGGTTTTCTTCAGGCAAATACACAGGCACCATCCACTGTACTTGATTGGACAATCTGCGCACTAACCCAAGGTACATATGGTCTCTATTATATCTTGTACTTGTGTGAATTCAATTCCAGTGAACCTGAACGAACTGTAATTGATCCATTAAATAGAACCCAATTCATCTTTTCTTCTCTTTGCAAGCTTGCTCAATGATTCATTGCTGTATTTATGTGAATCCTCTTGCTTGACCACTTGCTTTCTTGAGACATGCAGTGCCAACAATATCTTCAAGCTCTATATGCAAGGCCCGAAACACACTTTAAGGGTTGCAGCTCAATTCCAATAAGTTCAACTGACAAATAGGCTAACACACTTTCTGAGAAAATATTAAAGCACTTGAAAAAAGAGTAACAAAATTAACTTTGCTTATCTACCAGCTATAATCCGAGATATCAACATCAGGGAAGGGATGTAATGGGGAAATAGAAGGCTGAGCTTACTTTGTCACTAGGATTGAGCTTCTTAAGCCTGATGTACTCGATTTCTAACTGAAAAATGCAGCCAAATATGGAACCTGATATGTCTCTTCATCATTATTAGGAGTTCCTCAAGGGACTGGATCCCTGAGAGGTCGAGTTCTGCCCACTAGATTGCAAGGCTCTGGACTGCATTGCTGTGCGATTAAAACTTGAGTTCTGGCTGCCATTTTTGTGTTTTAACTTTCGAGCCCAAGTTGGATATATAAATTAATAGATAGAACTCTATAATTTCCAAAACTCAGTGTGGACGTTAGAAATTAATGCAATTTTGTTTATAAAAACACTCTTCTTTTTTGTACAATCAAACACATCACTCTTTGTTTTTAATGGTTTGTATGTTCTTTAGATCCATGAGATACTATAGAGTATAGACCAAATCTTCATCGTTTGCTATACCTCTTTCTGTTTCGTCTTTCGATGTTCGTTGATTAAATTTGACTCAAGCTTCATGTAGTGATCCTCATTAGTTTAGGTAGAAAAATTCCAGCAGACAGATAGCTGAATGGTAAAACTCAATTAGCATCTGCGTTTTAGTTTACATTCTCATTGTTGGTGCTCTGTAACCCGTTGCAGATTGCCTATTCTGTTCAGTTTTGTAATGTCTTTACTATTTAGGCACAAATTCACATTACTTCTACAATCAATATAAGTTGTGAACTTAAGTCAGGTTTGGTAAGTTTCTTGTAGATGCAGATAAATAACTAGAGTTTTGGTCACCTATAATCATCCTGGCAAATTTCATCTGCCTAGCAATAATTCCCACCACACGTGGTTCAGCTCATGCCAGATGTAAAAAATATTTTCCCTTTCTTCATTTCCCTGCCTTTAACAAATATTTCCAGCATACTAATGTGGGTTAATTTGCAGGGAAGTTCTCGAAGGCCATCAAGTCAAGGCTCTCAACTCTCACAGATTGCAAGCCAAGTGACTCAGTAGAGCAGCTGTGAATAGTAGATTTAGGTGATGTAGTGGGCAGTTGGATAGTTGTGAATGGGTATTTTGAACTTTTAAGCCTCCAAGGCCTTTTGCAAATCAATATGGATTTGCTATTTTGTCATACAAGTCCATGGAAAAGGAACTTGTTAATTATGCATGGCTCTTTTGGACAATATAGCCGTTAGTGCACTAATTATGAATGAATTCTAGTTGTGATCTGTTTGTTTCCAACTTAAATGTCAAATACTGTGTAGCAGAACAGTTAGGTATTGAAGTGTGGTTCCAAATCTGGCTTTCTCTAATGAGCAAATCTGCCCTTGTCTGGTGACCAAAAATGGACCTCACATGCTTTTAGAGTGACCAACTGTAGATTCTGACATCTATTTTAGTGACCAGATTTGGACCTTTATATGTTTTACAGTGACCAGATGTGGTTCTTCACATTAAATTGAGTGACCCGATGTGGATCTTCAAATGTTTTTGAGTGACCAACTGTGGACCTTTACATGTTTTTGAGTGACCAAATGTGGACTGAACATATCTTTAAGTGACCACATGTGGACCATTACATGTTTTTGAGTGCCCAATCGTGCAACATAAACTTTCAGATACAATATGTGAAATTTGATTTTTCTAGGGTTACAATCTACAATACAGAAACGATTACATCAGCAAGGTTGAGCAAATAGCTTCTTACATTCCCAATCCCATCCAGATGAAAGAAAAGACAAAGAGCAATCACAATGAAGATGAACACTGGGCAGCCATTAGCTTTGGACCCTTGCCCATTTTGCCTCTTCTCTAGTTCTCGAATCCGACGATGAAAGTTCAGCACCACAAACTTCATATGCTCGTCAACTACTGGGTCATGCCATCTGAAGAAATTACATGCCCCATCTGTCTACAGATCCAAGCACAAAAACAGAGAGGGATGAAGGAGAGGCGGTCGAATGGTATACAAATCAAAGCAGAAAAGTCAGAAATCTTACCCCATACTTGCTGCACCCGTAGAACCTCCTCCCTGGATTCGCCTCTGTCCAGCTCGTCTTGAGATCTGATGCCAATCCACAACGACAGAAAGGTGTCGCCATTAGCAGAGGAGAAGGGGATGAGAAGAAAACAGAGAGAGATGTGAAGGTTTGTAGGTTTTTGGAAGCTGATAGGATTCTTGCGGTCACAAAGCCACATAAATGAGATAGATGGGTTGGTGGGTTGGGTCGGGTCGGGTGTGGTCTGATTTGGTTAGAGGTTTGGTTAGGTTTTGCTGAGATGGAGGGTTTAAATGACGTGGCGGGTCGGGTCAGTCAAATTTGGGGTCAAAAGGTGCTGATTAGGCGAATCCGTCAGCCACGTCATCACTTAACGGACTCCGTTAACGGCGTTGGATGGCAGCTAACGGAGAGTGACCATAAATGAACCGTTTTTGTAAAGTTAGTGACCAAAGTTAGATTTAAATTTTTTTAGTGACCAAACATGAACGCTTTTTATAATGTCAGTGACCAACCATGCAATTAACCCGTATATGTATAAGTTCTGTGGATATAAAGTGTTGAAATGGATGATCAGGCGCTTCATTTTTGTGTTCATTTGTAAGATGCCATTCTAATTGGAGTCATCTTTGCTACTCCAGGTTGATTCTCACTTATCTTAAATGTAACATCCATGATTATCATTTTTTTTTCTCTTCTTCTTTTTTGTCATTCATGGTTAGGCAACTGCCCCTAAGACCATCCACATTCATGAAATACAATTCCTATATCATAAGTGGCCCCTACTGCCACATCACCAATTTTTACAATTTCACCACATACCACTACCATTTTCTCTACATCAATGACATCCATTTTTTATTTCATATGGTGGGTCCGAAGTGACTTTTTAATACAACTATAATAAAAATATAATCTGTTACAACCAACAAAAGACAACAAAATGAGAATGGAAAAAAGAAATAAGGGAAATAGCATATAAAACGTGGCGCGGGCCACTTGCCATTTCATTTGGTATTTCATAAAATGGAAGCTCCCACTATATGAAATAGGTTCTGCAACCATGAAATAGGAAGATGCAAGTGCCACATCAAGATGGAACAATTATATGACAGCCATTGCGGAAGCTCTAATAAACATTAGTCTTTTCAATCCCTCCATTTTGAGATCTCTCGAACTAACAAAGTGAACTTTTTTATATCATGACTTAAGTTTATCATATACAACTATTACGGGGTTTTGACCGCTCATTCCCCAAATCACATACATAATACTCAATTTGTTCATTTTTGTTTTTGATTTATTTTAGGTGATGAAGCAAGACACAAGATAGAGTTTGAATTGAACATTTTAGAAAAAGTTAGATGGTCAGAGAACTTGGAAGTTGCAAATAGTAACTCAAAACTTGCTTCCATGAACTAGAAATTTAGCATGTTCCATGGGTTATCAGCATTTGCTGTTATTGAGTTTTTTGTTTGCTTGTCATCAATTTTTTGTGCTTGTCACGTAAGTTGAATATGTTAATAACATCGAATCTTGTGAACAAATAGTTCTTAAATCATTTATACTAACAATAAGAAGTACGGAAATTACTTCTAAAATATGGGGGGAAAATTCAGACAACAGTAAGTTATGTTGACCTGATTAACAATAATGTCTATAAACTAATTACCAGTAATATGACAAACAATAATCATCACAAATTAATTTTAAATCATGTAACAACTATTTAAGGGATCCCAAATCATTTAAAAATATGAATACCTTAATTAACATAAATTATAAATAATGAAATGAAATTAATCCGAGCAACAAATCAGGTAAAAGCTAGTACCACTATATTATCAAACAAGGTTGGGCTCTTTAGGTGACAAAAAGACCAGAAGTTCTCGTCAATACGGCCCAGCTAACAATTTCTTGGGTACGGAGGTGGCCCAGCCCAATAAGCTTTACTCGATTTTATTAGTAGTGTGAAGGAAATACGGAATGAACAACTCTGAAATTTGTAAGGAAAAAAAGAAGAAAAAAACGTAGGAAATGCTCTCCAGCAAGGGATCGGGGAAGAAACTCACGATCATCGATTGTGCCTCGCCCGAGGGGAAAAGCAATCAGCGGGGATCTCAAATGATATATATATCAGTCCTCCTCCGTTCGCCTGATCCAGTCACTGAACCAGTCAAATCTATCACTCGCCATGAATCCTGGTGGTCAACCCCCCGCAGCAGCTGCCGCAGCTCCTCTCGCCCATGACGGCGTTCCTCTGGCCGCCGATCCTCTGGCCGCTCCTCACGTCGCCGCAGCCGCCGATCCTCTGGCCGCTCCTCACGTCGCCGCAGCCGCCGATCCTCTGGCCGCTCCTCACGTCGCCGCAGCCGCCGCTCCTCTGGCCGCCGCAGACGCCGCTCCTCACGTCGCCGCAGACGCCGCTCCTCACGTCGCCGCAGACGCCGCTCCTCACGTCGCCGCAGACGCCGCTCCTCACGTCGCCGCAGACGCCGCTCCTCACGTCGCCGCAGCCGCCGCTCCTCACGTCGCCGCAGCCGCCGCTCCTCACGTCGCCGCAGCCGCCGCTCCTCACGTCGCCGCAGCCGCCGCTCCTCACGTCGCCGCAGCCGCCGCTCCTCACGTCGCCGCAGCCGCCGATCCTTACGTCGCCGCAGCCGCCGATCCTCTCGCGGATCCTCACGCCGCCGATCCTCTCGCGGATCCTCTCGCCGCCGATCCTCCTCTCGCGGATCCTCTCCTCGCCGATCCTCCTCTCGCGGATCCTCTCCTCGCCGATCCTCCTCTCGCGGATCCTCCTCTCGCGGATCCTCTCCTCGCCGATCCTCCTCTCGCCGATCCTCCTCTCGCGGATCCTCTCCTCGCTGATCCTCTCGCGGATCCTCTCGCCGTTCCTCACGGCGCAGATCCTCTCCCCGCGGCTGACGCCGATCATCTCCCGGAAGCTCACGCCGTTATACTTGCTGCCGCCGATCCCGACGCTCCAATCGTTCCCGATCCCGAAGCCGCTCCCAGGACAGTTGCCGTCATTCAAGCTGAGATCGAGGAACTCAAGCGAGCACAGAGGAGGACTCAATTTGAAATGCACAGGCAGTTTCTGATCGGTATGATTCAAGAACTCCGACGAGAGAAACGGTTAGTAGCAGCAGCAGCAGGAGCACCAGAAGAAGAAGAAGAAGAAGAAGAAGAAGAAGAAGAAGAAGACGACGACGATTGAAGGTACATATAGTCAAATCTTCGAGCTATGATAGATCTGAACTTCTTCTCTGATATTGTAGACGATGTTTCTGCATTTCCTATTCCTATCTTGTAAATGACCTCGTTCAGCATTTTCTGCATTTCCTATTGCTTCCTCATAATCTTGATCTAGGAGATGGCCAAGCTGCATCTGTTTGTTCTGAGTATCGATTCCAGGTTGTGTGTGTATATCGGAGGCTTGTTATTCAACCAGGCTAGACGTGTTTTGTTCCGAGTTAGGAGAATGTAGTTTCCTGCAATGGAGAGTTGTTTTGGGTGTATATTCAGCTTCATCTTCCTAGGATTGCGGTGTTTAATCCTTTCTGCCCCGATATACCTCCGGCTTGTATCGATGATCCTCAACTCCTACTGAAACCATGGTGGGATATTCCGGTACCACAGGGTGCTCTGCACGTATCTGTTTGGCCTATCAATTCCAAGGTATGAGAAATTACGAGTTATCTATGTTGGAAGTTATAGCTGTTGGGTTCTCTTGAGCAGATCTATTGTCATAAATTCCACTCTTTACTATTTGGTCTATTGTAATGGGTTGTGTTTTCTGTCTACTGGTTTTTAGCTTTGATATAGTTAGTTTATGTCAAATTGGAATAGAAGATCTCGTAACAGTATACCTTTTAAGGAAGAAAAAAGGCACAGCCCAGGTTTCCAGGATGCTGAATAAGAGAGTATGGTTTTCGAAATGCAGCCTCATTATTGAGTCTTTTGTGCCATATGCCATAGATCATGGGGATTGTCCACTTTCACCTGATTTTTAACCTCAACTTTATCTGTTTGCAAAATCGATCCTCTCACTTGGTAGGTTGTCAAGTATTTACTGACTGATACTTAATTATGTTGTGCTATTACATATGTGCCCAGTGCCGTAATAAAAAGAGCAGGTGAGGGAATCTGTTCATTAGCATTCAAGTTTACCAAGTCCTGTTTGTGTTCATGATGAGTCTATTTTGTTATCAGAAGTAATTGACCAGTTTCAGTGTTCATCAAGCGTTATAACAGTGGATCTTTCATGAAGAGTTATAGTTGCTGGTTATTTTTATGGTTGTCATGGAATGTTAATCCCTGTTTGTGTTGATGATGAGTCTATTTTGTTATCAGAAGTAATTGTCCAGTTTCAGTGTTCATCAAGAGTTATGGCAGTGGATCTTTCATGAAGGGTTATAATTGCTGGTTATTTGTATGGTTCTCATGGAATGTTAATCTGTTTCTTCAGCACTGTACCAGGGATAAAGTTGTTGTTGTGTTGGCTTTATGTCAATGGATATTTCATCAGCTTTTCTCAGTTGCTCTTTCTTTATATTGTTGTCATGGAATGGTTTAGCATGCGGCTTATTTGTGGCATATTTTATGGCGCCCAATTTAGGGCTTTGATGGTGACAGCTGAGCGATTTAAATTTGGCTATAGATACCGCCAATTTCCTTCGCATGCATGTTATATTGTCCTGTGAATCCCTTTCTATGTCTCCTCTCCTGGATTTGGCCGGAAACAGACTGACTCAATCTTCTAATTCATCTTGGAACCCACTTGTGCTTTTCTCATCATGGTTCCCCGTACCAAAACCTATTTGCAGCAACATCATTCTACAGTCAGTAGAATAGTGAGGGGGTGGTCACCAATGTTAAGACATTGTAGGTGAGAAATATACTGATTATGAGTGGATGGGATCAGAGTTCCTGTGTTATTTCACCATTACGGTGTGATATGAATGTATTGATCTTTTATGATGGGTCTCTTCTATCTGTAAGTTTTATGTAGGTAGAACTTACAAATGTTTTAATTTTGAGTTTGACCAAACTTATGCACTGCATGGTTAGAACTTAGAAGAGCTGGATTAGTATTCCTAAGTTGAAGATTCATTGATGGAAAGTTTTACTCTGCAATGTTAGGCTGTGGCTTTGGTATTGTCTGAAAAGCTAAGTAGAGCATGACCTGGTGTGTATATAGCTGTTCCTCTTGGTTTACCTAGAAAAGATACAGTCCTGGCAGGAACTTTTATCACGCAGCAGCATGACAGTGCATAGATGCGTAAGTATGTGAGTCATTTCATCACTGCTTATCTCATTTCTGTTGCCAGATTTATGGAACGAAAACGGGAAACGAAAAAGAAAGTGAACAAGGGCTTACTTTTGCTCCGTTCATCGTTTCTTGTTGCTCCTGCCAATGGCCATGGCCATCTGTTGCATGCTGAAAGATGTGAGATTATCTGTGGATGCATGATTTGAAACTATTCATGTTTTTTTTCCTTCATAATATAAATAAATATATAAATATTAGTATTGTTAAAATGATAAAATCAAATCAAGTCGGTTGATCCGACGGTAAATGGTTCGAATCAAATCATATAGCCGTCTTCTTTAAGACCATTCTGGACTTATATTTTGAGACCAATTGACTGCAATACAAACCATTATGCTTAGAGTGAACCAAGCAAGAAATATATGACGTGAAGCAGATAACCCAAGCATTGGAGTGAACCAAATATACTACACTATCAAATTATGATATGAACGTTGGACTTAACTTGCGTGTTCAGCAAGACTGACGGCAAGTAACAACCATTTATAACTACAGGTCAACCTTGTTTCCATGATATAATGTTCTGAGTTCTGACAGTGTTGGGAAAGTACTTAAATGCCTATGTTGCATTGTTGCTTACAACAAAACTAATTGGGCAGGGTTGGGACATAGAACCTGTTATAACAGAATCATTTGGTTACAAGCTCTACTGGCCGTCTCCATCCAGAGGCAGACCCAGAATTTTTTTTAAGGGTGTTCAAGAATATAACAAAAATTTAATCCATGTTGTGCACAATGTCATAATTTTCAACTACAAATCAAACGTGTTGTCATTTTATTTTTTAACTTTCAAAAATATATGAATATTTCTGTTATGACTTGCCGATAAATGCAACCAAGAAACCGTTTTTAAATTGATATTTCATCCGATAAAAATTGAGACGGAGTAGGGTTGTTAAAAGGTTTTTTTCTCCAAAGAGGAACATAAATATTAATGAATTGAATATGGAAAATTTAATAGATTTGGAAATTGAATACTGCGAACAAATACATTAGGGCTCTAAATGTTTATTATAACAATCATTTGTAGTATAAAAGAATTATTCAATTCAAGTTTCAAGGATTGTCAAATGATGTTGAGTTCAATATTGTTATCACTACAATAAAATTTTCCACTATTTTGTGTCCCAATTATAGAAGTAAGGGTTGTCAGCGGAATACCCTTGGAACAACATAGGTCCGCCCCTGTCTCCACCTTCATCTCCTCTTTTCTGGTGTGATAATTTGGGGCTACTTATCTCGCAAACAATTAGGTCTTTCAGACGCGATCCAAGCACCTCGAGAAAGTTTCACTTTGTTCGTGATCGAGTTAACAAGCCGCAACTTCATGTTCGCTACCTACCTGCAACAACATGAACATTAGAGAAATTTTATAAGCAGCTAGGTTTACAATGCAAGAAAGTTGGATGCAAAGTTACCATTCATGGACAAATCAACGTAAAGCTCTCAGTAAACTATTTTTTGTTTGTACAATCCGCAGCCAAACACTGTCATCGTTGTGTATCAGGAACTGAAGGCCCTCCTCAATTGAGACTGAGAGTTTTGATGACGGAAATTGAGTATAGTATTAAATATAGATGACAACAATATTTCACTTTAGTTAATAATAACTAGCAATTAAATGAGATTATTAAATATTGTCTCAAACAAACTCTAAATTGGACCAAAGGGCCTTTGGTGGTAATCGGTCGGTAACCGGTTAAACTGGTTACCGTTTGACCGGTTACCGGTATACCGGAACCCCATATGCGCCTCCCGTTTGCCGATACCGAGTTCTACACAATACACCGGTTACCGAATTAGTTTTTCACGGTATTTTATTCGATACACCGTTTACCGAATGCCTGCTGCCTGCTGCCTGATCCAGTGTTGCTTGCAACGTGTGCGTGGTGTGTGTCACCTCGTCCTCACTCACCTGTTGACAAAAAACCCACCGGCCACCACAAAACAAATGCATAATGATGATTGATGATGCGTTGCAATGCGCCTTCAATGCCACTGCTGCCTACAAGGCTATAAGCCAAAAACCCACTAATAATCCCATTTCCCACAAACAATAAAAATTGAAAATTGAGAACTACAATAGTTGTTGCGGCGGGGGAAGGCGGGAAGCTGGATGCCTGGACAGATCTGAAGGCTGAAAACGGATGATCTTACGGCGACTACTAGGAAAGCAATCAGGAAGCTGCACCGACGATTAGGTCTAGCGCGCAGGGATCGACAGAGACTCTGAGAGGTCGAGCTGCTGAGTTGCGACGTCGTTATCGTCGGTCTGAGTGCGCCAGCGTCGGAGAGGGATTGGTGGTTGGGGTTCCAATTGTGCGGCCGGCAGCGAGACTCGTGACTTGAGGGCTGGGTTAGCTTAGGTTAAGCAGGCAGATAGCGAGAGGGGAGAGAGCAGGATTAAATCATAATTAATTAGTCTATAAACTATAATTTCTTTTCCTAATAGAAATAGAGAGCCACTATTTAATAGAATTATACAGCGTCGTCTCCCTACAAATTCGGTATCGGACAACTAGGTGTCCGTCGGTTACCTGGCAGCCGGGTTCCGGTATTACCGCCATCCTAATTTCACATCCGACAACCGTTTACATCCGGTTAACGGTTTAACCGGTAATCGCAGTTACCAGTACGGTTATCGGTTTAACCGTCAACCGGAAAACCGAATCTCAGCCCTAAATTGTAAAGGAAGCTTAAAAAACATGAAGTGGAGTGATTAAGATAAACGGTAACAGAACTTGATTCAATAATATAACTTTGAACGTGTACTAAATGATCATTTATGCCCATATACAAAACAAAACAAAACAAAAAAAACAAAAACTTAACGATGCTTGATGTAAATTTCCAACTAAGCAGCTTAGTCATCAAAGCTGCTTAGTGAGTCGAGCAACGTCTCCTAGCAATTTGGGCGAGGACTGAGAGCTTTGGGCTAACGGTGGTTGGACGCATATGGAGGCCACCGTAGATTCTGTCACATGTGGCAGATGACATGGCGCCAACAAGGTGACAACATGGCGGCTGCACATGTGTCGTGTATGGAAGACTAGTAGCATAGAGATGCTCCTAGGATTCTCCACCTTAATAGAGAGCTTAATGGTGCACTTATGAGTCACATAATGGGTGACATTTATAGAGTGCATAATGGGGGGACTTAATGGGGTGTATTGATGTAGAGGGACATTATGAGGGGCATTGATGCCTTGTATGAAAAGAGGCCTATATAAGGAGACATCTCACTCACTTGTAACTCATTCCATCATTTTTTAGAGTAATACACACTAGAGAGTTCTCCCAATTCCTTTGTCTTTGTTCTTGTTTCTTTGCTTGCAAGTGAGTTGGGAGAAAGGCTGCCTAGCCCTCTAACGAAATTTAGAGCTAGTGTCGCACGATTGAGAGTAAGGTCGTGACAATTCCTTCTGAGGATTGGGCTGGGTACCTTGCAATTGGCTTCTCTTGTGCTTTAATTAAGACTTCGGAAGATATCCTCTCTTTTAGGCTTTGTCTAATTCTAATAGGTGAAAATCCTCTTTGATCTTCTCATACATGTTCCATTAATTCTCCATAATTGTCCAAATGTGAATCCAAAGTATCCTAGATTTTATTTTACATTAAAAAGCACAGAAACATAGCAAAAGGGCTTAAAAAATACAAGAACATAGCTAAGGACTAATAATAGCTCATATTATTTTTCATGTCACTTTTACTATTTTTATTTTATTTTTAACCTCAACACTTATTTTAAAAATAAGCAAACATGTAATATAATCATTATTAATAGAATTTGAACACACAACCTATCCAAGTCTCATATTATTATGAGTTAATAGTATTTTTTACCACTCTACTATTGCAAAGTAATAAACGTACTCTCTACTAATTTTTTGAACGGACATACCTTTTTAATATTAAAATATAAAAAGATGCCTTTTCGTCTAGTTTTCTATTAAATAGCTGTTAAATGGATGGAAAATGACAAAATTGCTCAATTTTTATTTTAACCATTTTGTATCACAAAATCTAGGGCTGGGAAACGGTGTGGTCTGGTCCAGACCAGACCATATATACGGCTATGGTCCAGACCGAGAGGCTGGAGTAAATACCAGACAGAGAGGTTGTTCTTTGCATGCAGAATGTCTCTCTCGGCCTCGAGTTCTTACACTTGCTCACGAAGAGATCATGGAACCTAAAGATTCTGCAGCCTCCTCCTTCCATACTCTTGAAAAGCGGTAAAACTTTCTTCCTGGATTCTATTGTGTTCATGAATGCAGTTGCATCGCTCTCACGCCACACCAACCTAACACATTCAAAGTGTGGTTTCCAGCTCCATTAAAGGATGATTCCTGAGAAGAGGATGTCATCATCTGTAAGCACAAACCATTCCCATATAACATAATTCAGTGAAAACATAAGAATTTAGCTAGAGTCAGTTTTAGGATGTTGGAGTGTATTTGAAAGCTTTGTACATAAAACTGAAGGAAGGAATCAGGGGGTCGTACTTCCCCTTATTTTCGATCATTACTTGGCATTTAGTAAAATAGGTTGATTGGGCGATTATATTAGCCACGTTAGTAAAAAACTGACATCGTTAATGGAGGTTAACGGAGAGTGACCAAATATGATATGTTTTAGTAAACATAATGATCATGAATGGAATTAAATATTTGTAGTGACCAAACATAAATATTTTTAGTAATCTTAATGACCAACCTTGCAATTAACCTCATAATCCGTGCTCCCAAATCCAAATATACCAAAGCTTCGAGTCAAAACCCACAAATTGAATACTGAATTTCTATTCGTCGCCCTGAATTTTAAAAAATTTCGCCCTAAACCATACTGAATTGACGTTTTTATCCCGAACTCCAATTTCCCTAATTCGTAGTAATTGCCCCCCCCCCAACCAGCCGATTGTCGGCCGTCACTGTGGTTCCCCAAATCCGTCGCTGGTGCCGTTCTGATAGTTATGTGTTTGTGTGTGTGAATGTGACTTGGTTACTGGAATCACACCTTTGGCTAGCTTTGGTTCCTCTTTTCTTCCTTTCCTTTTTGTTTGGTTCTGCCTCTCGCTTCTTCTCTGCTCTCTCTCTCTCTCTCTCTCGCTCTCTAAAAACGAGGCAATGACGATAATATTTGATCGATTTTCTTTTTTCCGCGAGCTCCCGGCTTAGTAGCGGTAGAGCTGCCGATTCCACGGCGGGGAGACTCAGGATGGTCGGATTTACGAAAAATCTAATTCCTCCCGGCAACCGATTGTTTCGCAGCACGGACGTGGAGGATCTTCCTCTCCTTCTCTGGACTACAATGGTGGATTCGAGCCTCCACTGATTTGTTACTCGCATTTGATTTCATTCAAGAACTACTTCCAAAAAACAAAAATTCAACTTAAAAGTTTCAATTTAACTTTTCAGTATGCTTGTGAATGCTAAGTTGTGATTCCAGTAACCAAGTCACCATCGTTCTATCTCCCAACCATCGAACCTGCACCGGAGGCAATTATGTGGTGATTGTTTTATTTTTTTTAATTACATGATTATTGTTTTAGAGTTTAAAATTGAAAGAAAAAAAAAACTAAGGACATTAAAGTAAATTTAATATTTTTAGGGCGACGAATAAGAATTTTTAGGGCGACGAATAGCAATCCCCATTGAATAACGCAAACAAATAATTTGACATTTACCAAATCCTCCTATCCAACTCACCTAATAACATAACAGGTCCACAACTATCGGGCTCAACTCCTCTTGGGCTTCTGTTGTACTCAAGGCCTTATTATGGTGTCTTGCAAATTGCAATACAGGTCCATATAAAAACAAATCCAATTTCGACCAGTACGAGGAGGCACCACTTATCACAACAGGTCCACAGCTATCGGGCTCAACTCCTCTTGGGCCTCTGTTATACTTTAAGGCCTTATTATGGTCCATATAAAAACAAATCCAATTCCGACCAGTACGAGGAGGCAGCCACTCCCCGCAACAGCCAACAGATATTAAGGATTAGAGATTTCTTCGACCTCCGGTGTTTCTTCCATAACTCCTTTCTCCTCCGGTGGCGTTATCTTCGGTCTGCCATGGCGACCGGGAACTGTGCTTCGGCTTCGAATCCGCGGCTTTGCATCTCCAATGAACGACCATGGATCCGTTCAACAGGAGTAAACTCCATCAGCAAACTTGCGGAGGATCTCCTCCAAGAAATTCTGATTCGCAGCTTTCTGAACCCTAGATTCGCCTGCCGTAGCAAACTTGTCTGCAAGCGATGGAACTCCCTGATCTCCAGTCCCTCTTTTAATTGCCGTTTCGTTTCTCACCGCCAGAGCATCAACGAACTGCAACCACCTCTGGTACTTTCCTCAGAAGACCAGCAATCGATCATCCCGGGCTTTGTCCCTATGCCTACTGTAGATCATGAGCTGCGTTTCTCAGTTCTGGATTCCTTCCAGGACTTGCTTCTATGTGGGTTTCAGATGCCAGAAGACCTTGATGACGAATTCCGCAGGTCGTACTTCCTCTGCAATCCGTTTACGAAGCAATGGATCGCCCTTCCTCTGGCGCCTTGTCGGCCGACGAGGTGTTCGGGATTGGTCGCAAGGTTAGTTTGTGAACCCCGAAATTCTTATAATCTTGATCTAGGAGATGGCCGAGCAGGATCTGTTGTTTATTCTGAGTATCGATTCCGGGTTGTGTGTTTATATCAACATATGAGAAAGTCAAATTGTTGGACAAGACTAGACATGTTTTGTTCCGAGTCAGGAGAATGGAACAAGGATCCTCTTGTTGTTGATACCCATTTTTACTGCGACAGAATGAATGTAGTTTCCTGCAATGGAGAGTTATTTTGGGTGTCTATTCGGCGTCATTATATGATTGCTGTGTTTAATCCTTTCTGCCCAGAGATACCTCCTTCTTATATCAATGCTCCTCAACTCCTGAAACCGTGGTGGGATATTTCGGTATCACAGGGTGCTTTGCACGTATCTGCGTTCAACAGCAAACCTGAAGGTGGTGATTCAAGAATTGCCTCAAGTATTTGGAGATTAGACGATGACCATAAATCTTTTAGCCTAGTATGTGAAGGTGTGTTAAAGACAGCCCGTCCAAGATCTAACCCTAGTGTTCAGCTCGATGATTTCTTCCTAGAGCTAGAAAGGAGTATGAGTGCCTCACTGCACAGTATTGTCCTTCCTTATCTGCATCCAGAGAAGCCGGAAATTGTCTTCTTCCATTATCTTGATGTGAAGGGAGCTATCTTGTCCTGTGATCTGAGAAGGGGAGACCTAGAGTTCCACTCTGAACTTAGAGTACTACTTTCTCCCCGTTGGGCATTATTCCATCCTACCATTTCTTGTTGGCCTATTCCAATTCCAAGGTACGAAGAATTGCGAGTTATCTATGATGGAAGCTATAGCTGTTGGGTTCAGAGCAGCAAACCAACAACTCCCGCAATAACTGGACCAACAACTCCTGCAATAGCTGGTACTTACTTGATCTTGTCACATTGTTCCCTCTTTTCTTTTCCCGCACCAATGAAAATGATACATATCTTGTCTTCGTAATAATTTTGTTCTGTGATCTTCACCTGAATGAAGTTAGCTAGACAGCCCGTTGGATTCTGCCCATTTCTTTCTGTGTCCTGGCTGGTTTCTAATAGTATCTTGTTTTGTGTTTTGACTGTTGAACCTACAGAAGAACGTCTCCTAAGTTATCATGCATATAGGTGCAACAGATGAATTTGGTTCGTGGATTCTCGGATTGGAAGTGCAGCTCCCACTCCCAGCCTCCATGTGTCCCTTCCCTTCCGAAGCAGACGCTTTTCAGATGAGATCTCTAGTTATTTAATAGTAATGATCGGTTGTTGAGTATTGATTTTCATGTACTAGTATAGATTGTTCATACTGGTATTGGTTGTCGTTTATTGGTATAAATTTCTTGTACTTATATTGGTTGTCACGTTATGGTAATGCTGATTTTCCTGCTTTTCTTTTTCTAATGGTATTGGTTGTTGAGTATTGATTTTCATATACTAGTATAGATGGTTCGTAGTGGTATTGGTTGTCGTTTGTTGGTATAAATTTTTTGTACTAATACTTGTTGTCGTGTACTGTGTACTGTATATAGTATTGATTTTCTTGTATTGGTATTGGTTTTAGTTAGACATCCAGAAGAACTACATATGGCGGCGGGCGATGAAGCACAAGATTGGAAGTGACTAGTGTTTGAACCCTAGACAAAAAGAAGAGGAAACAATTGGTTCACCAAAGTGGTTCGTTCGGTATAGAAATTGATTACTTAAGGACATGCACTGACTTTACCATAGAATAGTTGAGGCGACCACGTGTGAATATGTTTGTGCACTTTAGCATATAATGGTTGATGCGCTGACTTCATTTATATATGAAGAATGGAGGTCACTAGAGTTTGAACCCTAGACAAAAAGAAGAGGAAACAATTGGTTCACCAAAGCAGTTCGTTCGGTATAAAAATTGATTACTTAAGGACATGCATCGACTTTACCATAGAATGGTCAAGGCGATCACGTGTGAATATGTTTGTGCACTTTATCATATCATGGCCGACGCAATGATTTCATTTATTTATGAAGTGTGTCTTTATATATGCTCTTGGAAAAAAGTTAAATATGGACAATCTTTTCTCAAATAGCATATAAGATTGAATCGGCCCTTCCACTACCTACAAAAATATTATTCGCTCTGATTTGTGTTTAGTACGTGACATGTATGAATAATTGAACGTTAAGATACTCGTCCGGTCCGTCCATCCATCCCAACTTGCTTATAGTAGTATAAAGAGTATGCATAATGGTATCGGATCACGGATCATGGATCACAGCACGGGTGACCAATATCCGGCTCATCTTCTCTTGGGCTTTACTGTACGCATAAATTCTTGTAAAATCAAATCCAAGTCCGACCAGTACGAGGATACCGCAACAAATTTCAAAGGCCCTTAAGAATTGGAGATTTCTTCGCCCCCGGCTTTTCCTTCCCTCCGCCCCTTTCTCCTCCGGCGGCGTCATCTTCGGTCTGCCATGGCGACGGGGAACTGTGATTCGGCTTCAGATCCACGGCTCTGCTTTTCCAAGAAACGACCGGGAATCCGTTCAACAGTAGTAAACTCCATCAGCAAACTCGGGGAGGATCTCCTCGAAGAAATTCTGATTCGCCTCCCGACTCCCAGATCCGCCTGCCGCTGCAAAGCCGTCTGCAAGCTGTGGCGCTCCCTGATCTCCAGTCCTCGATTCAATCGCCGTTTCGTTTCTCTCCGCCAGGGCATCAACGAACTGCAACCACCTCTGGTACTTTCCTCAGAAGACCAGCAGTCGATCATCGCGAGCTTTGTCCCTACGCCTAGTGTAGGTCATGAACTGCGTTTCGCAGTCCTGGATTCCTTCCAGGACTTGCTTCTATGTGGGTTTCAGATGCCAGAGGACCTTGATGACGAATTCCGCAGGTCGTACTTCGTCTGCAATCCGTTTACGAAGCAATGGACCGCCCTTCCTCTGGCGCCTGGTAGGCCGGTGGAGCATTCGGGATTGGTCGCGAGGTTAGTTTGTGAGCCCCGAAATTCTTACAATCTTGATATGGGAGATGGCCCTGCTGCAGATGTTGTTTATTCTGAGTATCGATTCCGGGTTGTGTGTGTATATAGTCTTACGACGGAGTCTGGTTTTTCTACAAGACTAGACATATTTTGTTCCGAGTCTGGAGAATGGAACAAGGATACACTTGTTCTTGATAGGCATTACTTAGGGGAACACAAAAATGTAGTTTCCTGCAATGGAGAGTTGTTCTGGGTGTATCGTGCTGGAAGAGGTGCCATTCGGCGTCATCCTATGATTGCCGTGTTCAATCCTTTCTGCCCAGATATACCGCCGGCTTGTATCGACGATCCTCAACTCCTTCTGAAACCGTGGTGCGACATTTCGGTATCGCAGGGTGCTCTGCACGTAGTTGTATTCGATGGCGAACCTGAACTTGGTTGGTCAATTATCCCCTCAAGTGTTTGGAGATTGGAAGATGACCATAAATCTTTTAGCTTAGTATGTGAAGGGGTGTTCAAGGCAGCTCGTCCCAAGTCTAGCCCCGGAGCTCAACTTGATGATTTCTACCTGGAGTTAGAAAGGAGAATGAGTGCATCACTTAAGCAGGTTGTGTTACCTTATCTGCACCCAGAAAAGCCAGAAATTGTCCTCTTCCATTATCTTGATATACAGGGTGCTATCTTGTCCTGTGATTTGAGGAAGGGAGACCTAGAGTTCCACTCTAAACTAGGAGTACTGCTTTCACCACGCTGGGCACTATTCCATCCTAGGGTTTCTTGTTGGCCTATTCCAATTCCAAGGTTTGAAGAATTGCGAGTTATCTATGATGGAAGCTACAACTGTTGGGTTCAGAGCAGCAAACAGAGAACTCCTGCAGTAACTTGACAAACAACTCCCTCAATTGCTGGTACTTCATCTTGTCGCAAAGTTCGTTTTTTCTCTTTAGCTGCACCAATGAAAATGAGAAAGCCAAAGAGAAGGAAACTACTTGCCCACCTAAACTTATTAACTAGGTCATTGATACTTGTCTTGTCTTTGTTTCTGATAACTTTGTTTATTTGTGCAAACTCTTTTAAGCTGCGGTTAACATAAATGAAGCTAGCCAGATAGATGTTGGATTCTGTCCGTTGCTTCCCATGTCCTGCCTGCTTTTCTAATTGCATCTTGTTTGTGGTTAGATTGCTGAATCAATAGAAGAACGACGACCAGGGGTTGAATCTGGTCATGGGAGTAAGCGGCGAGGACAACTGATTATCATCGTACTGTCAGGAAGTGGTGAAAGGCTTGCGTCCTAAGCAGGGTGGTGGCATTTCAAGCACCTTAACTGCCACACAGCCCGCATATATACACTATACTGCTTCAATAACGAAGCATTGTGTTGCTGCATGGTGAGAGGTGAACTCGTCATTCATGAAACATACGGCAAAGCGTTGTTTCTGTGGAAACGAAATGGAATGGTGAATCGTTCCGTGCCAGAAGTTAACATGTCAACCTTCCAGTTCCATCCAGAAACGAAATGGAACTTGTCTCCATGCTTATAGGGAGTAGATTATGCTAGTTGCAGGACATGTATTATCGGGTAAGGCGAGGACTGACTATTCGTATAATCTAGCTGGCTGGTCGATTCCTTGCTTGTTTATATCTCTACTTTGGTTCTTGGTTACTTTCTGGATGAGCTTTTCGATTTGATGCAGACATGGAGACACCCATACATGCTTTCGCTTTTGTCCACACTGATCAGATACTCCTTTCCCTTCAACAGCTTCGTCACCTTATGACTTATAACCATTGCCAAGTTAATACAGATTCATAAGGTAGCAGAAGATTGCAGATTCTTTAGGTGAAGGCGTAACCAAAGTTACTTGCACCGAAGTATGAGATGTACAAGACACAAACATTGGGTGTGTAAACCATCTATACTGGTACTGAAAATAAAATGTTCATTAGCTTAAACAATAAATACTTCCTACAAAGTTAAAAGCAGGAAACAACTGATCACTGAATTAACTACAGAACTCAAAAACATCCCATATGAACTGAAAACCAAACCATGAACCCAATCCATTAGCCGCCTCTCTACAGACGACGATAACTGAGAATTCAACTGACTTTAAATTAAATAGCCTGGAGTTGCTTGAACACCACCACACCAGTGGAGCTTCTCCCTTTTCCCCTTCAATTCATACATATAATTTACATTGTAACACCATCACCCTGCTCAGGACACGATCGAGCCATTTGATGCTAATCAGTTGTCAATTGGTCGGCGTTTTTCCTCCCTCGACCCGATCTGTCGATTGGTCGGCGTTCTTCTGTTGGTTCCATAACAAAGGCAATGTTAGAAACAAAGACAAGACATGTATCAATGTGCAAGAAAAGAGAATAGGGAACAGATTGTGACAAGATGAAGCAAGTACCAGCTACTACAGGAGTTGTCGGTCCAGTCATTACGCGATTTGTTGGCTTGCTGCTGCTGCTCTGAACCCAACAGCCGTAGCTTCCATCATAGATAACTCGCAATTCCTCGTACCTTGGAATCGAAATCGGCCAACAAGAAACCCTGGGATGGAATAGCGCCCAACGAGGTGAAAGCAGCACTCTAAGTTCGGAATGGAACTCGAGGTCCCCTCTTTTCAAATCACAGGACAAGATAGCACTCTTGGTATCAAGATAATGGACCAAGAGGATTTCCGGATTCTCTGGATGCAGATAAGGAAACACAACCTTCTCAAGTGATGGACTCATTCTCCTTTCTAACTCTAGGTAGAAATCATGGAGTTGCACCCCAGGGTTAGACCTTGGACGAGCCGTCTTGAACACCCCTTCACATACTAGGCTAAAAGATCTATGGTCATCTTCCAATCTCCAAACACTTGACGCCATCCTTGAACAGCCACGTTCAGGTACGCCGTCGAATACAGATACGTGCAGAGCACCCTGTGATACCGAAATATCCCACCACGGCTTCAGAAAGAGTCGAGGATCATCAATACAAGCCGGAGGTATATCGGGGCGGAAAGGATTGAACACCGCAATCCTTGGATGATGCTGAATATACACCCAAAACAACTTCCCCTTGCAGGAAACTACATTCTTTTCGTTCCATAAGAAATGCTCGTCGAGAACAAGCGGGTGGTCCTTGTTCCATTCTCCCGACTCGGAACAAAACACGTCCAGCCTGGTAGCACAACCAGACTCCGTCTTATATCTATATACACACACTACCCGGAATCGATACTCAGAGTAAACAACAACAGACCCTGCTCGGCCATCTCCTAGATCAAGATTGTAAGAATTTAGGGGTTCACAAACTAACCTCGCGACCAATCGCGGACACCTCGCCGGCCGGCCAGGCGCCAGGGGAAGGGCAATCCATTGCTTCGTAAACGGATTGCAGACGAAGTAGGACCTGCGGAATTCGTCATCGAGGTCCTGTGGCATCTGAAACCCACACAGAAGCAAGTCCTGGAAGGAGTCCAAAACTGCGAAACGCAGGTCATGGTCCACACTCGGCATGGGGACAAACCCCGGGATGATCGATTGCTGGTCTTCGGAGGAAAGTACCAGAGGCGGTTGCAGTTCGTTGATGCTCCGGCGACGAGAAACGAAACGGCGATTGAATCGAGGACTGGAGATCAGGGAGCCCCACAGCTTGCAGACGGCTTTGCAACGGCAGGCGGATCTAGGAGTCGGGAGGCGAATCAGAATTTCTTCGAGGAGATCCTCCCCGAGTTTGCTGATGGAGTTTACTACACCCGTTGAACGGATCCCAGGTCGTTTTTTGGAAACGTAACGCTGCGGATCCGAATCCGAATCGCAGTTCCCGGTCGCCATGGCAGACCGAAGATAACGCCGCCGGAGGAGAAAGTAGCGGTGCTGCGGTGGAATGGTCGAAGAAATCTCTAATCGTCATGGACCTTAACATCTGTTGCGGAGGAGTGGCTGCCGCCTCGTTCTGGTCGGACTTGGATTTGTTTTTATAAGGCCTTTATGTACAGTAAAAGCCCAAGAGGAGACTAGCTGGATATTGCAAGCAAGTTCATGGTCTGGATTTTCGTGACTATCGATTTCTTCGCGAAAGATTAGACTTCTCTGTGATACGAATACAATTAATCGTGTTGAATTGAATGTTGATGTCATTGAATCATTTCCCCGTCAAAAGTCATCTTTGTTTGTTTTGATGGATCGAACAAGCGAGACCATGTTGGAAGTACGGGTTTTGTTGGGTTAGATCAATACAGTGTCGTTTGCATTAGGTAAGTTCTATGATGGCATTCAAGACTTTTTTTATGAATCTTTTATTTTTATGTGATGCAATGAATTGGCGTCTAATCCAGGTTTCATGCATGTGAAATTTATTTTATGGTGGCTCTCAATTGGTGATACATTGGGTATTGATGGGGGAGCTGGCGCATGATTTGGGTGGAGCACTCCTCGAAGATGTTCGCCGACTAGCTCAAAACTTTGAGTTTTGCTCCGCGTAGCTTTACTAGAGCCGCCCATCTCCGCGAAGCTTTAATAAACCCGAAATTGGATTTGGATGCCACCGTTTTGCTTTCTCTTTTCGACAAGGAATGCTTTTCTTCCATGCATGTGTGCGTAACGAAAAAGTTAACCCATAAGAGGAGAGAGTTTCAAAGATGGGAATAACATGCATATTGACCTAAATATTACAGTTGAGGTCGATACTCAAACCCATAAGACATATGGCACTGATCTTGCTGATCCTCGATGTGGATGGTGAAGATATATGTTATGTTTTGTGGGGCTCGCAAGAGTGGGAGTTGTTGTTGATGAAATAGAAGAGAGTATGTGAGGACAACAATGAAATTTGCTTGTGTATATATATATATGTTTTGGTGTGTTGGTTCTGGTTGAGCATTCCATGTCTTCATATGATTGGGTATAAAGTTCGCCTTTATTGTGTTTGTCGGCAAAAAAAATTATGGGTTTTAAGTATTTGAATACTTATTCCTGGGTTTTCAAATACAAGTTGCGAGAAGTTTCTAATTAACTGGAATATGAGTGTAGGTTGTTCAATGCCTTCAGAATTGTATGTGGACGCACCCTTAAAGTGGTGGTCGTGCTTAGAGATTTCGGAAAGGCCGGAATTAAAATTTTTGCCAGACCATTACAATACTAAAACTATGGACTTTAGAAGTAAATAAGAAAAAAATTGCCGAATCCTCCACAATGGTCGTCGAGGATGAGGTAGCACTCACGAGTCACGGATAACATTAAAGCATTGAGATATATACAAATCACTGTCATGTTGAATAAGTTTGTGGCAAAATTTTCTATTGTCAATAATGGAGTTTATGCTAAAAGCCGCAAATGAATTTTTTTCGTATGTTGAATAAGCGATGGACTCACATCAAGAAACAAGGATGGTGTTAAATTAATTATTAAATCATCGTATAATATAATAAATGTAGTTAAATTATTATTACATCCTATTATAGGATGATGTAATAAAATTTCACAATAATTTAACATCTATCCTTTCCGAACAAGATTAGGTTTAAGTTTCACATTCAAGAAATTTGATTACATCATCCTATAATTTTCTTTCACACTAGCAATAATTTAACTACATTATGATTATTCAATACGTTAAATTATGGACAATAAAAAAAAGTTCACAGGTAACATCATATGCTAATCAAGAACAACATATGAGAACATATAAATTCTATTTAGGACGGTAGCTCCAATTTTTGATTTAGGTTCAACCTTTGAGTTGGGTCGATGGATGCATACAAAATGTTGAATCAAACCGAGCCGAGTCCAAGGACCAAGGCCAAATTAATTCTCTGGGCCGAAGGAAAAAAGAAACAAAGTGATGGGTTAAGGCCCAACGTTAAAAGGAAGAAGGCCTTTTGCCCAAACTGGAGCTAGAATAAAAATGAAAAATGAACAAATAGCCGTTTTGCAGCCCAAAGCTCAATCCAGAACGGCCATAACAACAGATAAGCTTATCCCTTCGAATTTTCGAAAGCATTTTCTTCTTTCCCCGCACCAGAGCGCGAAAAAAAGAAAAAAAATGGCGGTGAAGATACGATTCGCAAGGCTCGGGTGCAAGCACAGGCCGTTCTACAGGATTGTAGTTGCGGACAGCGAATCCCGCAGAGACGGCAAGTTCATTCAAGTCGTCGGCTTCTACGACCCGTTGGCAGGTCCGCAAAATTTTCACCTACTTTCTGTTTGGTTTCCGGGAAAAGCTTTGAGGGAAAATTTGTGGCGCTGGGGATAATTAAATTTCCTTTTCATTTTGGGTTTTCTGTGTTTGTGGGTTTTGCAGCAAAAGAGGACACGAAGAAGATGAGCCTCAATTACGACAGGGCGAAGTAAGTCTACTCTTTCTCTTGTTGGGTGTTGAAACTGTGAAGAATGTTTGGTTTAGCTTGAGAATGTGAAATGTGGGGGGTAATTGCACGTTCACGGTTTGGATTTTCGTGTTGAACTAACTGTCTATTTCTTCATCAAAGATTAGAATTCACTGTGATGGAACTTATTGTGCTGTAAAAAGTTAAGAGGGCAATGGTTGATTATTTCCTTGCTGGTCTGGTTTAGCATTTGAATTAGTCCTTCATTCTCTAATCCGATTGTAGATGGCTTATAATAGCACCACAACCATTCAAATGAGACTTTGGTTTTGGCTTGCAGTCATTTTGTATTTTTTGTATTGGTAGCTTTGGAGACTGAATTGAAGAAATGTTTTCTCCCAGGTTTAGTCTTTTAGAAATAGCTTTTCACTTTATAGACAATCAGAGAATCAAAGAACACTGGAATGAATGAACCTTAATCCTTAAAGCCAAGGAAAGCTGAGACCACCCTGTTGTTGAAGTCTTAGCCTTTTTGTTTGAGCCGTCGTGGATCTTCGTGGGAGTAGAATATGCTAGTTATTGCGTGGCTTGGACTATCAGGGGAAGGCCACGACTAACTATCCGTGTAATCTAGCTGGCTACTCGATTCCCTCCTTTGTTTATATCTCTTGTTTTGGTTGCTGATTACTTGTTGCATAAGCTTTTTGATGTAACGGAGATGTGCAGACAGGCGTTTGCTTCTGTCCACTCTGACCAGATGCCCTTTTCCCCTCTAAATAGCTTCCTCCCCTTCTGACTACTAACTTATAGCCAAGTTAATATTGATCGTAAGAATATTGGATGAAATAGCAACTATTGGCTGGTTTTTGTTTGACAGCTTCCCAATGCCATTTTCTGCAGGTACTGGTTATCGGTCGGTGCACAGCCTTCAGACCCGGTTCGTCGCATCCTTATGCAAGCTGGTTTGATCGAGCCACCATCGATGGTGGTAATGGCACGCAAGGGCGGCGAGGGTGGCAGCAATGATGATCAAGCATGAATGATGGACCCGCGAGGCAAAAGAAGAGCACGAGGGATGGATGTAGAGAAAGCCTGCAGCTTTGATTGAGTATTTTGAGAGCTGTTTTTATTCATCCTGATGCTGTGTATTTTGTTTCCCTTTTCTTTAAGCTGAAGAAGATACATATAACTTCTTTCTTCTTCTTCTTCTTCTCTCCCCTCACTTCTCAGCTTGCATTCCCCCTAATTGTACCGTTTCGATTTCATCAAGTTTGGCTTCTGTTGGTTCAGTTACCTTGCTCCCGAGGGTGGCTAACCGGTTTCGGTTTGTTTTTCGAGTAACCGACCTTGTCAAACCAAGAGGGGAATGAACATAACCTGGAAATAAGGGTATGTGGATCTTTCAGAAGAAAACAGAATTAAAATTAGTATTGCATGACGTAAAATAATAATTATGTGTACCAATCTGTTACGAGCCTCAAAATTCATTGGCCATTTTGTAATTGACCATAGTTCTTGCTGTCCTTTCAGCCTAGCGAATGGTTGGGCTTTTCTTTCACCGTGGCAACTAAAGCTGAAATAGCCCGCCAGCAAAACTACACTCACGCTACTGTGACTATTCAGCCTTACAGGAAGAAGGGAGAAGCTTCGAACGTTTCAGAGAGATGGCATCTTCGTCATCGTCACTAGCAATGAATCCGTTGACTTCTTCCCACTGCAAATCCGGCGGATTCCCGCCGTCGGATTCCATGCTTATCCACCGCCGCCAGGCATTCCCTATCGCCACTCCCCCTCACCGCACGCTGAAGCAGAGAAGCGTCACTGCTCGGCCCCATTTCCCGCCTCCGGTGGTGTGCAAGGCCGTCTCCGTCCAGCCTCAGGTCACCGGAATCGAAGGACTCAACATCGCCGATGACGTCACTCAGGTTTGGTTCCTCAGTTTCCGGAAACTGAATTCGCGCCTTTTGGTTTCTTCTAGTTTGCTAGGAATGAATGGTGCAATTGGAATTCGGATTCAAGTTGTGATGATTTTGTGCAATTTTGCTCGGTTTCTGTTTGTGCAGCTGATTGGGAAGACACCTATGGTATTCCTCAATAAAATTGCCAAGGACTCTGTTGCCAGCATTGCTGCCAAGCTGGAGATCATGGAGCCATGTTGCAGTGTCAAGGACAGGTGAGGATGTTACAGAATGCGTCTGTACCACTTTTCGTAGTTGAAATGTTGGTGAACTCTAGTCGGATTAGCTCGTCTTGTAGCATCGTTTTGACATTGTGATATCAGTCTTATGGTGTTCTGAGTAGATTTAGCTTGGTTTGTACTTTGCAGTATCATTTGGATTTTGGACATGGTGATACCAATCTTATGGAGTAAATTGACATTTGTGATGCCAATATTATGGTGTTCTGAGTTCATAAGTAGTTTTTTCTGTTCTTTGCACCGACGTTATCTTCTGTTTGCTCCAGCTACGTTTATGTGGACCTTTAAATTTCTCTTATTCTAGCTCAATATAGTTTGTTTTGATTCCAGGATAGGGTACAGTATGATTAATGATGCCGAGAAGCGAGGACTTATAACGCCTGGAAAGGTAACAAGCACCCACGAAATTATGTTTTGAGGCCCATGTTTTCCTAAGGCCTGGCCTTTCTTTCTCTGTTTTGGTTCATCCTGATTCCAGTTATCTTCAAATGTAGAGTGTTCTAATTGAAGCTACAAGTGGTAACACGGGTATTGGGCTTGCATTTATAGCTGCATCAAGAGGATATAAACTCATCCTAACAATGCCTGCGTCAATGAGTATGGAGAGAAGGGTTCTGCTAAAGGCCTTCGGAGCGGAGCTTGTTCTGACTGAACCAGCAAAAGGTATGAAGGGTGCAGTTCAGAAGGCCGAAGAGATATTGAAAAGCACTCCCAATTCTTACATTCTTCAGCAATTTGATAATCCTGCAAATCCTAAGGTCAATTCCCTCTATCTGTTTCTTGTTTTATAACGGATGGACACATCCAGATTGGTCATTTAATTGCTTGTTATCATTTACATGGATGTTTTGCAGATCCACTACGAGACTACTGGTCCAGAAATCTGGGAAGACACAAGGGGTAAAGTTGATATCCTTGTTGCAGGTATTGGCACTGGTGGAACCATTTCTGGTGTTGGGCGGTTCCTTAAGGAGAAAAACCCAAAAATTCAGGTAATTGTTCTGGCTTCTGACCTTATGAAGCATTTTTGTTACCCCTAGAACTCTTTGTAATGGCTGTACCTTTTCCCATGGGATATTGAGGCTTCATGTTAGCTTCCACAGTCGTATTAGTGTTGGAAGCTACTTAAATAATGTACTTCCCGTAGTCCCACATAGAACTGAGGAAGAACCGAGTTCACTTAAAAAAGAAGAATAAGCAACACAAGTTGCTTGGATATCTGTAATGCTATTTTTTGATTGTTCTCAATTTGAATTCATCAGATAATTGGTGTGGAGCCTGTTGAAAGCAACATATTGTCTGGGGGAAAGCCTGGTAAGGAAACCATCTATTGTACTCACCCCATGTGAGACTCAGTTCCGTTCTTTTTCTGCTGTTTCATTAATTTGTTTCTGTGAATGCAAATTGAAGGTCTTCACAAGATTCAAGGGATTGGAGCAGGTTTTGTACCCAAAAATCTGGACAGAGATTTGGTTGATGAAGTTATTGAGGTCTGGTTCTTCCTTGTTATCTATCCTGGGTGTCATTTGTGTTTCTCATTTGAATCTGAGGTGGATTAGGATAATAACTTCCATTGAGTGCAGAATTGTTTAATTAGGTTAATATCATCCATTGAGTCACTTTGGTGGTTTATAACTTAAATATCCTTGGCTATTGTTTTCCTCTCCCATTTGACACAGAAATAACTCGCGTTTGCGATGCCATGGTAGACGTACTAACTGTTCCTTGTGCGGGTTTTTACCTTTTTGGTTTGTATTATTTGATTCTTCGGGAGCATGTCGTGATTGCAGCATGTAAATGATTAGTATGAAGCTCTAAACTGTTAATCCATATCTGTCAGGTGTCAGGCAGTGATGCTATCGAGACTGCAAAGCAAGTAGCACTACAAGAAGGCCTACTGGTTAGTTGTTGATAGCCTCTTTTTGCCAGTTATCTAACTAATAATAAACTTCAAATCGGAATTTCAAAGACATCTTTCTGCAACTAGGCCTGCTCGATTCTCTATCTATGATAGGCTTCTGGGTTTCTAGTATTCCTACAACGACCATGATCTTCTATTGCTCTTGCAACATTTTCTCCTTGTGTGCATATTCTTGGTTTGGTCTTTAACAGTTTTATGCCATATAATGGACACCAGGTCGGCATATCTTCTGGAGCAGCAGCAAATGCAGCAATCAAGGTTGGAAAAAGGCCAGAGAATGCAGGAAAGCTGATTGCAGTAAGTCCTTCCCGTCCCCCCATCGAATCGAACATGACACCAAGAGATTCTCGTATTGCTCAATTATACGCCTTAAATATAGTGATGTGAGAATGCATTCTGGAGTTTTCCATTCTGCAGCGCTCTGTTTACTGAGGTTATTGGGTTTCATTTTCTCAGGTTGTTTTCCCGAGCTTTGGCGAAAGATATCTGTCAACCGACCTCTTCTTGTCCATCCGACAAGAATGCGAGAAACTCCAACCCGAGCCATGAAACGGGACGCTGAGCTCCACCATTTCGACGAATCCAGAAGAACGGAAGCCACCATAAAGAAATAAAAGCAAAATTTGCAGCCGAACACTGAGAATCTGTGTTGTACTGCTTGGAGTTCATTTTTCATATTTAAAAGGATATATAGTTGCAGTTCTTGTTGTAGCGCCTTGTTGTCTTCCACTTCTCAGTTCAGCAGCAGCAGCAATACTCTCCAGGATTCGTCGTCGAAAAAACGATGAACTGGAAAGACAGAATCATGGTCATAATCATTTCTCCTGTGCAGTGACAATCGTATGAAATAGAAATAGTTAGTACTCCCCAGCAAGTCAGCAACAGCAATTCATATGAACAATACATAAACGCTCCGTGGCTGTTGATGGGCCTGATTTGGGCTCACGTTATTTAAAGCCCAAGATAGAATAGAGGCCTAAAACTATCGCCCCGATAATGGTCGACGTGGACCAAAAAGCCCATCACCCAAAATTCTCTTAACCAACTAACTAACCAACTAAATACTGTTTTGATAAATTAATTAACTAAATATTTATTTTAGCTGGAAATATTTTTTCATGCTCGGTAGTATATAACGCGGCCAGGTGGGACGTAGCCCTTGAAAACTTCGACGGTTTCCATTTTCCGAGTTTGTAGCGCTGAAACCCTACAGAGCTGAAAACCCGCGAGAGACCGCCATAGCCAAGAGAGGATGGATCACGTCAAAGCAGCTCCGCAGGCGACTCTCCAGCAGCAGACTTATCAGAAACTGAAGCGGAAGATCGAAGACCTCGACATAAAAATTGCAGAGCAGCTGAAGCCCGTCGACGATCACATCAATTTCACACTCCATGTTCGCGCGCTTCCTCCCTCCAATCTCTCGTTCGCTGTTTGGTTTCCGGGAAAATGCAAACAAGAATCCCGATCTTTCTCGCTTGCAATGCGCTATTCGTTTTCTTTTTCCCGAATCCTTTCTTGCTTGCTTTGGCGATGTTTGATTGATTGATGATGGCGATTCTTGTTTGGTTCTGCAGAAAGCGTACTTCAAGTGCGCGTGCGAATGCTATGAGACGAAGAAGAAGGGCGAGATAAACAGCTGTATTGAGAATTGCGTCGTGCCGGTTCTTACTGCCAATTACCACTACAGGAGCGAGACTGCTAAGTTTCAGGCAAGTTCTCGCTCTTCCTTTGTTCTTCCGGTTTTCTTTTACTCGTATTGTCTGGGAGATGAACGTAAGAAGAACCAGAATTACTAGCTAGATTTAGTGATCTATTTCATAGAAGGTAAGGAATGAGGAACTAGTACTGCCTTCTCGTTGTTGTGATTAGAATCATTCAGCCGATTGCCTTGGAATGATAGGCTGGGAGTTTGAGCCGTAGGAAATGAGTTTCTGAGTTGATGCAAAACTAGCACAGAGTATATGAAATTATAGCAGGATCTTTCTTATCGTTGTGAAGCTATCTGTGATTGCTTGCAAATTGCATTTTTAGTTGTTCCCAGTAGCAGGGGAATTGCTTCGACTTTGATAAACTGGCGCTTTTGCTGTTGGAATTCAGTCTGCATGCTATATGTAATGGATTCATCTGGGACAAGTGGTGTGTGGTTTTCACATCCTAGGGAGCTGGGGCTAAGTTAATGTGGCTGGCATAGACTAAGCAAGGATTCATTTGCATGATTCTCACTGTCTGTTTAAGAACATTACCTCTTGCATTTTGATGGAGTGATGAAATCATGAAGCATTAGATTGAGGGAGGCCATATTGGCAGGGCCCTGGCACCAATATTCCTTATTGCGAATAGAACGGTGTGAAACATGCTTGGTTAAGCTGTTATCCAGCTACAATAATAGGAAAATCAGTAGTTGGGGGATTAGTGGTCCAGGGAAACAGGAAGCCAAGCTGTTCTTTGTTCTTCGATACCTATTCTTCGTCGTGAGAACAGTCTTGATCCGTGTGTAGTATGAATGATACTTTTATAGGCTCTCTTTGTTCTAACATACCTGTTCTTCATCATGAGAACCGTCTTAATCAATGTGCAGTACGAATGACCTCCTCGTATATGCTGCAAAATCTCGAATCACCAGTTGTGTCTCTTGAATTCTACAGGTCGTCTAAAGTGTGGCACTGAATTGTTCTTTGTAACACAATGCAGTTTTAAGTTTTTTCCCCCTGTTTTAGCTGTCAAATTCATGGAAGCTTACAACTGTCCTGATGTCCATGTTAGATTCTTTTTCTACGATTTAGTGAACAAGCTGTTGAGAAGAACTTTTTCTTTTGTTTTGATTGATGCAGGACAAGATAAACCGGTATCTTAAGGTTTGCCAGGACAAGTACTTTGCAGCTATGCTTCCAACAGCTGGACCAGACGACATGGCCACCGTGGAGTCCTGTTTCGATGGAGCAATCGCGAAAACCACAAAATGGCTTCCAAACGTGGTCAAAAACCTCAAAGCAACGACTTAGATCAGAGACGAGATGTAGCAAGTGACCACATGATCATAACAACCACCACTGCTCATTTCCAGCAACAGGAAATTTCTGAATATGGTTTTTAGGAAGCGAAAAGACGAGATGCGCTTGAATCGTCCTTTGACAAGCATTCATTTTGTAGTTAAATGAACATGATGTTACAGTAATTGCAGATATTTCTGTGTAGTTCTGTTTCACGACACTTCGAGCACAATGCCATGACCGCAATCGATTTGTCGATTGCAGTGAAGGGAATATAAAAGGCTGGCTACTGAAAGAGTTCTATTCATGTTCCATAGCTTACTGTAGATTCTTGAACAGGTTTTGGTACTGGTGTTAAGCCTGTCAAAGGATTCAAGTAGTTGGTTTTATTTTCATGTGGAAATGGTTTGTGGGTTAAATCGAAATTGAAAAAATTCGCATTTGGTTAGATTTGGTCCGATCCAATTTGGTTTCGTTATACGATTAATCGATTTGGTTGGATTTAATTCCGGGTCAGATACCATGAACATGGCCGGTTTGGAAGATGTCACTAAGATTGGGGGTTGGTCCTAGAAAAAATAAAAGATCACGAACTCGTTTGATAAGAGTATGGAAATCCAGGGACCAAAGGCGTGAAGAAAATAATATCAGGTGAAACGCTGTCGTTTTAGAGCTTATGGGCCGCTTTAGGCCCAATAGTATCTCCCCGCCGAGAGACTTCCAGCGCCCAAAAAATGATTCCGCCGCGCGGATTTTTGGTCCATCACAGAGCGTTTGCAGTTCTTCTACTACAGTTCATCGATTCCCTCCTAATTCCCCAATCGAAAGCTTTCCCCCGAACTCACTGATTTCTCTGAAACGCGGGTAGGGTGTCTCTTTCGTATTGCTTAATCACACTTCAACCCAAGTTTGTGCCGCTTCGCCATACATGCTCTCGTTCCTCCATTGATTACGGCATCTGGGTTTCAAAGTTTATTGCATGAATTTGCTTTGTTGTGAAGTTATTGCATGAATTGACTCTTGTTTCAGTTCATGTTGGTATTAATTTACTAGCTCGAATTTGTTTCCGAGTAAGCAATGGAAGTTAGGATGTGGGTGGATAGGGACTTTGTCTTGTTGAGCTGGAAAGTCGTGCTTGTTCGAATTAGTTGAAGGGCTCTCATTTTCTTCCCAGTTTCACTTCCAGTTGTTTGTAAGCAACTCTGCTGAGTCTTCCGAATCTTTAAGCCAATAGCCTGGGTGAACATCTGAAAAGTTGCAGATTTTGGGACGTTTGTGATTCCAAATATGCAATGTGATCGGATTTGAATGAATGCAGACAACCTGTGTTGTGGTCTTTCTTGTGATTTTAAATGAAGAATGGGAAGTAATTGCACTTGATGTTGTTGTAGGTCCTTTTGCTGTTGAGGGAAAGGTCATGTCAGGGAACCCGCTGTGAGGGAAACGGGAAGAAATGCTTTCTGTTCGAAGATTGAGGCGTATCCAACTTTCTCCTGGAGTCTTATTTTCGCTCTTCACAGATGGTTGTCCTGATGTCACTTGGACTTCCAGTCACCTACGTTCTTCGATCAGAACTTCATGTTTGAACAGCTCAAATGGGTTGATTCCCGTGTCTAGATTCAGTTATCCTTCCATTCATTCCCCTAGATGTTTCTCAAGTATGGGCGATACAGTCTTGGTTCAGGCTCGAGACCCAGGTAAACTAAGCATGGAGATAGAAACTGCACTAGATGAACATAGGTTCAGTGATTCATGGAAACTGTTTGAACGGCATATGCAGATGGAAGGGTTCCCTAGGAAGTCCCTCTTGAGCAAGCTCTTAACAAGCTTTGCAGAAACCCTCGATGCCCCGTGGCTCGAGAAGGCATATTCCCTTGTGGAACAAGCTATCGTGGAGAGTAAGCAGACATTGATGGATAAGGAGCCATTGATTTATCTCTCTCTCAGCCTTGCCAAGTGTGGGTTACCGGTTCCAGCATCAACCATCTTACGAAAGTTGATCGAGATGGAACAATATCCTCCTGCCAATGCTTGGTCAGCCATATTAGCTCACATGTCATTACGAACACCTTCTGGAGCTTACCTTGCTGCTGAGCTGATCCTCGAGATAGGTTACTTGTTTCAAGATGGAAGAGTGGATCCCAGAAAAAAGAGCAATGCACCTCTGATTGCTATGAAGCCTGATACTACTTCTTTGAACATTGCTCTTGCTGGATGTTTATTGGCTGGAACGACAAGGAAAGCCGAGCAACTCCTCGAAATGATGCCTCGACTTGGTGTTAGAGTCAATGCGTGTTTGTTGATCACGATGGCTCAGATATACTCAAGGAATGGAAGGAGAGAAGAGTTGAAGAAGCTTCAGAGGCATGTAGATGAAGCACCCGGTTTGACTAGTACCCAGTTTCGCCAATTCTATGATTGCTTATTGAGCTGTCACTTGAAATTCGGGGATCTCGAGGCTGCATCTGATATGGTGTTGAAGATGCTGCAGAAGGCAAAGAAAGCAAGAAACTTTATTTCAATGGCTGAACTTCCTTCGGCAGGGGATGGTAATAAGCTGCTGTCCAAAGGGAAGGTTTCTCAGGAAAGCTTACATCAAAAGGAATCCGATCGAGAGGTTTCTCAGGAAAGGTTGAATGACAGAGAATACACAAACCGAGTTGTATCTTACCAAGATTTTTGTAGAGACAGGAACTTTTTGCAACTTCATGCCGAGGCGAAGCAAGTGCTCGAAGCTTTGTTGGCGAAATTGCAGGTGCAAGTGGAATTGATTTCAACTGAGCATGGCATTCTTCAGCCGACAGAGAAGATTTATGTAAAACTGGTCAAGGCCTTTCTGGAAGCTGGAAAGATCAAGGAATTGGCTGCATTTCTTATCAACTCCGAGAAAGAGGACTCCCCGGCATCCAACGATGATTCGGCATTAGTCCACGTCATCAACTCATGCATCACTCTTGGCTGGCTAGACCAGGCACATGATCTCGTCGACGAGATGCGTATGGCTGGAGTTAGAGCTCCCTCTTCTATATACTCCTCCCTCCTGAAGGCATACTGTACAGCAGATCGAGCTCGTGATGCTGGGGCTCTCCTTCGAGAAGCTCGTCGAGCTGGGATCCAGCTTGATTCAACTAGCTATGAAGCACTGATGGAGTCCCGAGTTCTCGAGAAGGACACCCAAGGAGCCCTCCACCTATTCAAAGAGATGAAAGATGAGAAGCTAGCTAGAGGTGGTCATCCGAAATTTGAGATGCTGGTCAAGGGTTGCGAAGAGAATCGTGAGGCAGGGCTTATGACCAAGCTCCTGAGAGAGATCAGGGAAGGGCAAAGTATGGACTCAGGAGTGCATGACTGGAACAACGTGATCCATTTCTTCTCCAAGAAGAGGTTGATGGGTGACGCCGAGAAGGCTCTGAAGAAGATGAGGAGCCTGGGGCTCACACCAAATGCAGCAACGTTTCATTCGATGGTGACTGGCTATGCAGCTGTCGGAGGAAAGTATATTGAAGTGACTGAACTCTGGGGAGAGATGAAGTCTATTGCTTCGGCTACTACGTCGTTGAAATTTGACCAGGAACTCCTCGACTCTGTGCTCTATACATTTGTGAGAGGCGGGTTCTTTGCCCGAGCTAATGAGGTTGTGGATGCGATGGAGAAGGAGAAGATGTTCATAGACAAGTACAAGTACAGAGCACTCTTCTTGAAGTACCACAAGACACTGTACAAGGGAAAGGCTCCCAAGTTTCAGACAGAATCCCAGGAGAAGAAGAGGGAGGCGGCATTGGCTTTCAAGAAGTGGTTGGGTTTGGGTTGAAGCTTAGGTGACAAGGCAATTCGAAAATTTTGTACCATAGAAATGTTCACTCTTGGCGAACCAATATACGAGCATTTTTTGGATGCAGATAGGAGTTCAGCAGTTTAGACATCGTTCTCATAATTTTAGATTCTCGTATTTTATTCGTGTTGGCGCATATTCGAAATGATAATCGCGGCAGCACAAACGTAGTTTTTCCAGTCATTTCGCTTAGTCCAATTCCGGCATCCAAGAGGTTAGATTGTCACCAGAAGTTTCATAATCGTGATGCAATACAGAGGACTTTAAGCCAACCTAACATATTTCAGTAGCCATTACTGCAGCAAACACCAAGAGGCAAAGCTCATCTATGCTTCAGAAAGATCAACATTCTCATTCACATCAGATGACGGCGATGGATTCTGGGTTCCGTCAACGACCTCGGAAGATGGTTGAGATTCGTGCTTTGCGGCAGCTTGTAGCACTCTGTTTTGAACGGCGGATGATGAAGGCGATGTTGGTAGGCCAATGCCGTTGGTTTCCAACTTCTCAGCAGCCCATGAAAATGCCCTTGTGCCCAGGCTTACAGGAACCAACAACAAGCTACAAGGGGAAAGAAAAGAGATCCCCAAATTCATCAAAGGAATTGAATTGGCCGAAAAACAACATGCTGATAAATTGCTCAACATAAATGACAATTACAACTGTAAGAACTAAGCAACCTCTGACCTCAGGAACATAAACGAAAAACTACACAGGGAAGCGTTGGTAAATCTCTCCCAATCCTACCAGTCACTAACGTTACCGGCATAAGTTTAAGCGAGATGAGAGATGTTTTATAGCAGGGTTTACCTGGCATCTTTTCTCAGGTCCTCTGATGTCTCGTAGGTAGCTAGGCGGCGATAGATTGTCTAGTCGAGTACAACAGAAACAAAAATTAGGCCACGCAGTGGCTTGATTGGAAACTTTTGCATATTGAATAAAAATTATTGGAGAACCTGTAGAAGTCCAACAATGGCGATAAGTTGCAAAGTCTTCTCCCATTCTGAAAGAAAAGATGAGATAGTGACACTGATTTGAGGATCCATACCAGCAAAGATGAGATGTTATAGCATACAGTTTATGCAAGAATATCATGAATTTCCAGTCCTTGATAGAGCAATCTCAAAGGGGAAAATACATACCTAGTAGTGCATATGAGGCACCAAGCAAGCCCTGTATATTGAACAAAACAGAGTATTAGTGAAAGACTTGCTGAAGTGTCGGGTAGTTGAACAAGAAATTCCAAGTCCGGTATGGCTACGATGTGAAACGCTAAGCAAAAAGCTTAACTAGTGAGCTCCACAAGAAAATAACAGAGAAGTAAACACTGACAGTGTTTCTCATCATGATCAAGTTCCACAAAACACAAAATAAATATCCGGACAGAAAGAAATTCGTCTTTCAAAAACATAGAGCCTGCACTTACCACGCCATAACCAATTATTTGTACAGGGCTGACGCCTTCCAAGATTGCTTCAGCTTCCTGAAATAAAGACAAATATCAGGATATGAAGAAAACCGAATATTAGTAGATCGCAATTGTCTACCAAAGATAAGTTTCCAGAACCAAATGAATGGGATGCAACCAAAATGTAAAGCAGACCAGAGAGAAGTTAGCAAAGAAATGGAATGAGGTGTAGGGTATATGTGGGCTGGTATGAAGAGGACATAGCGATAGAAGAGTTGCGGCCATGAATTTCAAGGAAAATCGAATATTATGCAAGATAACAGACACAAAACATCAGTGAAACTTCCAGTAATTCAAAGACTGTTCAGGATTACGTCACCAAGTTGTGCATACCTCATTGAGCACAGTTAACGCTGTCTCAGGTTTGAGTTCCTTGATTCTGAGGTCATGCTTCAGCCAAGACTTGAACCCACCTTTGACCAAGTATGCTCTCTGTCGCAATAAGCAATAATTATGTCATGTGAGTTGAATTCACTAAGAAGATAAATTCAGGCGGTAGCCTCCAACCATTCTCTCTTGAATGTTTGAACAATTGAAAAGAACATCAAGACATGGTGATAAAAGGTCACGAGATTACTATTCACAAAGAGTGAAATTCTTTCTTTTTGGTTCCATGGAAGCCCAATATTTGAACAGCAAAGAGCAAGGAGGGAGAAAGAGATACAAGGAAAAACTTGCCTTAACCCCAAGTTTGCTCAAGGATCTTGCAAGTCCTTTGGAGACAGATCCATCAGCATCCATAATTATGACCTCAGACCTGTCCTACAAAGATTATAAGAAGGAAATTCAGTGATCCCATAATGAGGAGAAACAAGAAAGCTCCCAGGAATCCTGTTATAAGAAGGAAAATCATTTAACTTGCACAGATACTTGAATTCCAAATCCTTCTTAGACAGTAAATCGTAGTTTCTTTCCACCTACTACACCTAGAGTTGTTACAGAATCCAAATCTTCCACCTTGTTCACTGATTGTTATAGCACATATCTAGCAACACATTTGCAATACAAACATTCATACTGACAAATCAAAAAGTTTTCATGTAGCCGTGTAAGTTTGATGTACAAGAATTTGAACCCATCAAGCACCTTCATTCTGGATCTACACACCTGAACAGCTTTTAAGTTTCTTATAACTGCAGCTAGTAAGAAGTCCTCAACTTCTCTTCCGCCTCTTAACAACTTGCGAACTGAGCTGTCAACCTGCACAGAATTCAAGAATTTGCATGAAGCCGGCATTGAGGAACACATTTAGGCATTTGTGTAAACAAAAGTCCTGACATGAATAAGGAAAGTAATTGCTCTATTGATACTCCTACACTTAACTAAAAGTACTCCACTGTAAATTTTAAAATAGCATGGCAAATACACACCAACCTCAGGTAATGTGACGCTGGCATAGCGAGAGCGAGCTGCTCGCCTGAGATCAGGAACGCCATCTCTCTCTCTAAGAATCTTGCCAAATGCAATAACCAAGGCCAAATGTCAGAGGTGACCAACAAAAGGGGGAAAGGTCAGTTGTGTAGTCAACCTTGCATTCTTGTCAATCTTAGCTGTGAGACTTGCCACAAGAAATACCAGAAACAGTTCCTTCTTCTCAATTTCTTTAGCAGTTACATTGAATAAAGAAAAGGAGATGACATTTCAACTAAACTAAACAAGAAATGGAGGGAGGGTTTAGATTGTATGCAGACTGATTCTGAAAATAGCACAGAAAATGTACTTGTCCTAACCTCAGGGCGGATATCAATGAGCATAGCTTTCTTCTCCGATTTCAAGAGTTCAAAAGTTTCTTCAGCAGATAAATCTCCGGCATATCCAGCATATGTCCATGTCCAGTAAAAAGCCCTGCATAAAATCTGATAAACAATTGAAATCTCTGTTGTACACATATTTAAGGAAAAAGACATCTTTATACACATAGAAGAGCATCTCTACCATAAAGCTGCCAAAGATCCAAGAGAAAGAATAAATGGGATAATTGGATCTTCAGGATCTATGCCAAAACTTCTTTCCAGCCCACCAATAGCAGTAAATACCTGTTCATGAAATATAGAAGAAAAATACAGTTCAGAGAACTTCCAAAACTATAGTGGCATCAAATACTTCAGAAAACAGCCAGTGATTTCTGATAGTCACTTACAGACCCGACGAGACTGCCATTACAAGGATATGATTTCTTTCAGTTGAGTGGAATATGCCAGAGATGAAAGAAGCCATCTCTGACGAATACTATTCAAGCACATACCATACTTAAAGATGTTTGTGTGAGCCTAAGGGAATACCTGCTGAAAAGCTGTTCCAATGGGCCTCAGAATCTTAATAGCTTTGTCTTCTGATACATTTACTGTATCTTTTATCTCTGGAGGAAGCAATTCTTTTGCAGAGCCATAAGAATAAACAACGACATAAGCTCCCTTCACAATAGAATCTTCCACTGAAATAATCGTCTTTCTCAACACATCAGCTGAAACTCCAGTTAGTCTGGTTGTGGCTTCTTTTGAATCATTTAACAAACCAGACAATCTATTGCCGGCCAGTTCTCCTGATTGATCAATATTAGATAAAACTCTGTTCCAGATACTGTCTACTGCTTGTGAAGCGCTTTTAGAGATCGAGGTCAGAGATGAATTGATTGAGTCTAGTGAGCCTGTCACAGTACTGTCCCCCTTATTCAATGACGTACCAACTGAGTCTAGTATCCTTGAGAAAAGATCATCAAAACTAGCTGTTGCACTGAAAGATGAACTATCACTGACAGCACTTGAAGCAGATTCCAAGTTTGCATTTACACTTCCTGTGTAACTCAAGGTTGTAGTTTCAGATTCAACGGGTCTTATCAACCTCCCAATGTTTTCACTTGAAAAGTCCAACTCTCCGTCTGCAGCAGATAGATTGTACTGCTCCAAATGGACCGTTCTACTTCCTATTGCCTGTATTTCATTTGTTGCAGGACCCAAAGAACTCCAATCACTATAAAAGTTGCACTTAGAATCCTCCAAGCAGGAATTATTTTCAGCGAAAGCCACTAATGATGCTTGAGTGTTGTTTTTTATGACGGAGTAGACAGACTTTGCAACTTGCGTCCTCGAGGAAATTCTTTGAAGATGATTTTCATTCCAAGATGGTAATAGAACTCTGTCTTCTAGTATGCTTTTAAAAGCAGAATCCCTTTGGTATGGGCAAATGAACACTGGGCCTCCCAGGAACGAAATCTGCAGCACTCACGGCATTAAGCAAACCAACTCTATGTTTCTAAAATCAAGTTGTCCACTGGCGTGGTGGGGTAAACCAATTCATAAAATGTATGGAAATACAAAAATTAAGGGAACATGGTACTAGCTAATTGAATCAAATTCACACGTTATAGTGTCTCCAATACCCTTTATGCATGGGTCTAGATTTCGGTTAGGCAGAGCAACAAAATATTAGATGAACATATCATAAACCACAAACATGATAATGATCACGTAAATACACGGGCTACATCCAAAATACAGGTCCTTGTTAAAGAAATGTTCTTTCTTCTGAGAATCGCAACTTCATACTCCCAGTCTGAGGTTCTCTTACGCCATCATTCAAACGGGGTATATCTACATTTCAGACGGTTCAACATCGGAAGTAGCACTACTGGACAGACTTTTGTAATATTCTCCTTTCAATCAAAGTGAAGGTTACCGATGTGAAGTGCAGGGTGCTGTAACGATCACAAGTTATGTTCAACTAGCCCCTAAGAAGTTCTACATGACAATGACTAGAGTCCAGGTTTCTGTATAAGCTAGCTATAACACAGCTCAACATCAACGAGGAAAGAAGTAGAAGAAACAGAACTACAGGAATTCGCATTAAATTGACAGTCGTAACAGAGACATTAGTCCTCACCTGAGAAGAACAACAATGGGCCGCAGAGCAAACTGGTAGCATGTTGTGGCCGATCGAAAGGAAAAGAGTAGAACTGTTTTTATCAAGCTTCCATCTGCATAAAGAAAGGAAACAATATCTTCACATCAACTTAAACCCAGCCAAGATGCGCCAAAATGTCATTGCACGTAACCCTAGCAATTGCAATCAAGCGGCATTCGAAATTCAGCCATGAAAGGAGGCGAAGGTCAGCTAACGCACTGCATATCTCAGCACCCGCAAACCAAATACAAGTTCTCCACTGAAAGATGTAAAGATTCCGGGATGGTAACGACTAACGACGAATAATTTGTTCTCACCTGGAGTCGGGAATCAGAAGTTCTTGAATCCTTCGGCGAGCTGGAGATCAGTTTGACTGCGTAGGATGATGAAGCTTTTTATCTATCCAACAGTGGAAGAATCCAAGATAGGATGAGATGGAGAAAATCGTGTGGCCTTTTGTCAGCGCCGTTCCTCCGCCATTAAATCCTTTCTTATTCCTTTGCATTCTGCGAAGCTGTGAGCCTTACATTTGGAAAATGTGGGGCCGGAGAACATCTGTTTACTTTGATAGTTGCTACCCGCCAATTTGGTAGAAAGTTGCTCATTTACGATCATCCAATTTTTAAACGAGGTTTACAGAAGTCCATTAATTTTAAAAAATTACTATTTAGTCCATTCTGCAGATAGTTATGCTATTCACTTGATGTTCGTGAAACCAAATCGTACTTGCAAGACGATGTACCAGCGATCAAGTATGAACTTGGTAACGGTTCTCTAATACAATTATTTTACCATTAAAATAAGTCTCGCGAGTTCGATCTGGTAGTCTCGGGATATAAGGAATGAAAGCACTAAACCGACACTACAATGGAGTCCAGAGTAAATACAGATAACTGAAACACACAGTTGTACAGTGTCGCACTCTGCCGAAGTCGTCCACATTTCAATGTTAGAGATAAGCGAGGTAGAAAACTGGGTTAATCCGAAAGGAAGTGAGGGCTTATCTTCTTTGGATCCTTCACAGTTCGGTATGGGACACAAGAAAGCTAGTTGAAGAAAGTAAGCTGAAGAACTGTTTACTCTTCTTCACTTTCCATCCATCTCATCTTATCTCAATTGCCAGATTCCATATCCAACTCAACCAGCGCGAAAACTCGTGAACATCACCGTTCGCGATTTATGAACTGGTTTCCGAACCACCAGCAGCAGCCTTCTTCTCCTTCTGTTTCTCCCTTTTCTTCTTGTTTTTCAGCGCGTTTTTGCTCATTTGTCTGTGTACAGTACAAGAGCGAAAACAGATTACGACAATTACTCTACAAGATTCTGGTTAATGCAAACAGAAATTGGGCCACAGTTCTACTTACTCTGCACTGCTGTCACGTCCAAGTAGCTTTTGTTTCCCGGAAAAAAGAGAGGAAGACAATGAAACATATCAGAATAAGATTAATACAACCTTCACAAGCCACAAACAACAGCTACCCGACCACTTATCTAGTTTTGCCATTTGATTTATGATTTAGTGTGTGAATGTGTGTGAATTTAGCACTAGGAACATGGCATGAACTTAGAACAACAAGTTTAACATCAACTGGAATATGGAATCTGCGAAAAAGACAAAGAACCACGACTAGATCGAGCTGAACGAGCATTCAATCGGATTCTGGTTCTCATTTTTCTTTTAGTTTTGATTCATCCGTCATTGAGAGACCAGTTAATTTACCTCTGCCTGAATGGCTGCAGCCTGTTTTGCATGTGGTGGCCGGTACGCAGCAGGTTTTACAGGAGCCTTCATAGGAGTAGGTTGAGTTTTCCGAGGGGCTGATGACCCTTGTCCTGTTAAATGAGTAAAGTTGATAAGATAAACTGACCACCTTCATGCCCAAACAAGATACATAGAGTAGATGAGTAGGAGCAAAACCTTGAGGTTTGGCATCTTTGATTGCTAATGAATCAACAGTCTTGACAAGGTCAACAATTTCAGGAAATTTATCTGGTGATTCTGGTCTCCAGTCAGCCTGCAGCATACAGCAAACAAGAAAATTTAATTCCAAGAGAAGTTGAAGTGAATATAATTATAAACTGGAGTAGGATCAGCCGAAGAAGCTAATAACTTTGTTATAAAACTAACCTGGTACAACTTGTCATACATCCTTTTGAAGAATCGTGACCCGTTATAGTGGAAAATCTTAATCCTAAAATAACAAGAGTTGAGTTTCTAAGGACAAATTAGAGAAGCAGACATACATATATGAATACACTGAGGATAAGTACTTGGAACAAAACATTCACTAAACCACATAAGTCCAGCTTGGCATAATCACAGAACCAGTCATCATCATACCCATTGTCAACTTGTAGTCTTGGTGCAGTAGTAGCAGTCATGAAAAATTGGCCATCTGGGGACCATTCACTAGTAACAGAACATTCAGCCCTGGTTGCTCCAAGTTGTTTATTTTCTTCATAGTCCCAAAATGCCTGAAATTTTCAGTTAAAACATCAATCAGACTGCCTTAAGTACAGGACCACAGATGTTGAATAGAATCAAGAGATTATGAGAAGGATTTGCAACATCAAACAAAGTGGTGCCAGGAACAAGCGAACAACAGACTGCACCACATAACACTAGCAAAGGAAAAGAGGGGAAGGGGTCTACAACCTCAACAGCAATTTTCAAGAATAAGGCTAATCTCTTCGATTTTGAAGCATATGAGAAGCAAATAAACCTCACAAAATATCAGCATCCTTGCTTACCATGTCACCAGGCAGGTTTCCGAAACCAGCTATGCATATGACTATGGATCGGTCAAGTTCGCAAATGAAGAGTTAAAGCTCCAATAGAAAGCTGCTTGAAGTTGGAGATAATCCTATCACAGGATTTTTAGGATTAAATTTAGAAAATATTTAGTAGAAAGGATACATTTTCCCTTGGGATTCCACCGGATAGTATTGTAAGGGCCTGATCCTAGCTCAAGTAGAGGTCTGCACTTCCTGTCGAAAATTGTTGCAGTTGCAGGCATGACTGGTTGGCATCAAGGAGGAAACAATGGCAGAAAACAGACTGGCATATAAATTACTGGCAACTATTGGGAGTAATGAAGTGAAAACATTGGGAGGTTGATAAGACCCGTTGAATCTGAAACAATTTATAAATTACTGGCAGAAAACAGACTGGCATATAAATTACTGGCAAAGAAGAAAATGTTCTTTTACTGACCAAGGCGTGTATGAAAAATGAATGCACGGATACATCATTCGAATAATAAGCTCAGTTGCACCACCTTGAAAACATAAGAAGCCACAAGTGTGGGAGGTATCATGTTATGTGCTGCAAATTACGGCACATGCTTCACTAAAACAAATTTGTCAACCACCACCCCCAAAGTGTCCGGCCATTGGTTGTACGCTAATAGTTCAAATAAATTTCATACAAACAGATATGCTCAGTTTTGCCCATCAACTTATAATGAATAGATACATGCTTCGCACTTTAAAAGAAAAGATATAGATAACACAGGCATTTGGTAACTTCAGATTTAGATAAGGATACACCCATAAACAACAGCAAACTTTGTGCCACAGTATGACCATTGAACATCATGAATGGGCCCTTCTTTGCCTGCCATTATATCAGACTATCAGTACATGAAGTTAATTAAGTAATGAAAAGAAGTTTGAGCTAGAACATACGCAAAGACACTAGCCCCTCATGGCTCCCATCGGTGGTAAGATAGTTGAGCTTTGTTTCCCCATAATAACTTTGATTGGTCTTATCAACATCAGCCTGCGCCACTACCAGAAGTCCCGTAGAACCTCGATTCCAGTGCAGCTGGACTGTAGAACAACGGAAAAAGCTCCGACGAGCAACAGCCTGATCTTGCAATTCCTTCTTGCAATTATATATCTGAACACTGGCTGGACTCCCCTAAACGGGAAAAAGAAGGAAATGAATAAATTACACCACAGATAAGTAGAAAACTACTGATCAATTCTAGCATTCTGATTTCGGAGATAGCATCAACATCTTCTAGCTCAAAACTGGTACATTGCAGAAAATTGGTCCCTGAAGATACAGACTCAAGGAACTTCCTTACAATCAACATATATATACATTGCCACATGTTCAAATCAATATTCAACAAGGAAGAAACCAACTTTAACCAACTATCATCCTACAAATTTACTATTTTCATAATACCAGTAAAGAATGAAGATAAGCTCTGAAACCACTTGGCCCATTTCCAGCAAGAAACCATACAAACATTTACACAGACGCTGCCTTGTAGAGAGCATAACATACCTTAGACTCGGGAACAAACGCAGCAACATGGGATCCCGGTAGAGCTGAGAGCTCAAATGCAGCAATGCTTGGAACTCTCAAGCGATTCACAAACCCCTTCGAGAAATCTTTGGGGTCAAAGAATTGTATCTCATTGGTCGCCAGACGACATGCAACTGTCTCGTCAGAGCTAAAACGGATAGAAGGCCTGAAAGGCAAAGCACATTGAGACAATCAATTAGCTAAGAACACACATAGAGCTCAAAAAACCCTTATCCCGAACTCAGAATTCCACAATTCAATCCACTACCTAATATGCAACTTAACCAATCAAAAATGCGCTACTGAATTTACCATGTGGCTTTGCTCGTATTCTTTTGGAAGTGACGGTGCACATCATCACCATTCTTCGTCTCCCACAGGGCGACATTCTTATCCTGGGGAGTCGTGGACTTCTGAAACGTCTGAACAAAGGTTCCACAAGGAGACAGGGCAGCGGACACGAGATTGGGAACTTGGAAAGAGCGGATCTCCGTGAACTTGCTCTTGCAATCGTACAGGCTGATAACCGAATCTTCCTTCATAATCATGAGCACGGAGCCATCGTCACTGAACTTGGAACTGTTGCAGCGAATGTTCTCGACCTCGACGCTCGGCCCGCCGCCGTCCTTGAACGGCGGCCCCTTCCATATACACGCGCCTTCCGATCCCCGAACTTCGAAATAGAGGGGAAAACAAAATTACAATAGAGAACATACGAACATGGCTGGGGAAAAAAGCGCAGTAATGGCGAGGATGAAGTGTACCTAGTATCTCCAGAGGAGGCGACGAAGGTTCCATCGCTGGAGTTTCTGAGACCAGTAAAAGCTCCTTTCACTGTCCAATACAGCGAATCGATTCGGCGGCGACGGCGGGTAGGGGAATTGGAATCCGGAAAATCTTCTGATGGTGAAAATGGTTGCGGCGGCAGGAGTGGTGAGTCGCGCCGGAAGAAGGTAAATAACGAATAGGGTATCAAAATAGCCGGTTCGGTGACTCAACTTTTTCTGGAAATGCATGATGGTCACTGATGTTTCTTTCTAACTACAAATTAGTATATAATAATTAATAATATGGGCTAGCCCGCTTAACTTTAATTGTACCGCAGTGTACAGGCCGCGGTGAAACGCAGCCCACGAGTCCAAGAAAATTACACATCTGGCCCATATAAAAGGTCCATCCTTTTTCGGCCCTTCCACAATGAGGGGTGATTATGAAAAAAAAGACAATCCCAATGGCATCACCAAGAGAACTTTGGTTATGTTCATTCTACAATACCAACCGTGCGATTGTATAACACCAACTTGCTAGCTAGTTGTCCTTGGCTTGAATAATTTTTTGAAAGGAGACAATAAGCATATTGGTTTAGGGTCCTAATCAGTGTTCATTAAACAATCTCCATCCAGATAGGGGACATTTGTGTTGAAAAATACATTATCTTTCGTGTTCAAATAATCAAATCAGTCCATATGAGCAAAACTAAAGCATTAATGAATCATATGATGCTCTCTATCATATGATGCTCTCTTGTCTGTGCTAGCTAGCCACTAATGTGGTGTAGAAGGTAGTGGGCAGGACGGATTTCGTGCACAAGTGTTAGATCCTTTGCTATTCATGAAAGCTCGAATCAAGTTCTGACTCGTATCAGTTAATCACTTTTGTACCAAAATTTAGCTCTTATCCTACTCCGCAATCACTAATAGATTATTTCAATTGGGATACATAAGAAAAACAAATTAGGTTTGAAGAGATAAGATAGTCGTTTATCCTAATTCTATGGGCATGTCGGCCTTTGATTAAGGAGTAAAGAAAGATTAAACTAGAGCTAGACACATAACTCCAACGCGCAACCCCTTTGTATAGTGCCAACTTGCTAACAACTTAAGGAGCAGAGAACGGTTTGATTAAAGGGGGAATTACAAATTTAGACCAGAAAAGAGGGGTCAATTAGAAATAATTAATTAACTGAAAAACTGTTGGAACAATTAAAGTGGAGTGAAATAAATTATCATTTATAATTAAGTTACTAGTAATTAGTACTAATTAATAATGTCTCACACACTTGCTAGCTACAATGAAATCACTGTTATCCTGAGACGGTATCATCGAGCGAGTGAACACGTTTTCAATTACTCCGACAAAATTTTATTGATTAATCTAAGAAAATGTTTCGATCTTGAATTTATTGGACTTTGAGATATGATATTACATCCTAATCCTTAAAAATTAACACATCTAGCTTTTAATTTGTAAAAGTTGTATATATACACTGATATCAATAGAATTAGAAGCAAGAATTGACGGCTATGATTCATCAAAATATATACGTGCACCAAACTACTATATGCACCAACTTAAAGTTCATGGTGTATAATTTAGATAACTAGGACACATAGGGTTCACTCATAAATGATAATTAGAGTATAATATCACAACTCAAACTCAAAATCCAATTAATGCACTCTAGATTTACCGAGTTACGATAGAAACCATCATACGTGCGTGTTGTAAATAATATTCTCAGCCATCAAAACAAAGAAAGAAAATATAAAAACTCGAACCCATGCATGCATGCACGTCGAACGTCAATGGGGATTAATTTGCAGATTGAAGTAGGAGCTGTTTTGCGAGTGAAGTAAAATTGACCGTCCAACTAATGCCGATTCAGAGACAACACTTATCTCACATGCTGCATGCTGGTCAAGTCGATTCCTTGCTATTTTACGTTAATAGCTAGCTTTCGAATTTGAACACGAGCTAGTTAGCTTTGGGTTACAGTATCTGATCTGTAATCGTGATGTTGATGATTTGCCTTAATCAAATACGTCCTGTCATGCATGTGGCCAGTGCCAAATGAGAGACAGGCGACCGATGAAATGTTGAAGTTCATTATGCGCATGCATGAGGTGTTATGACGGAAACGGGAAATCGAAAATATAAGAAAGTGAAAAAAAAAAAAACATAACGGATTTACGTGATGAATTAATATGATATATGTTGGCTAATTCATAGGCAGTCAGATAGGAGAGAGTAGTTTTACGTACCATACTTTAGAAGATACATACTACAAGATGAGAAGATATAATCGGACCTGGAAAGTGGGGAAAACGGAACAAGAGATGTGTATAAGCTCATAGAGCCAGACCTCCGTAACTTTCAATCGACAGCTGATAATCTCCGACGCCAAGTCATAACAAACGTCTCACGGAACAACCACCCAAATTATACACTATACTGAGATTAAAATTTAGAACTAATTAACTAGCGGTTTTTAGGTTCAAAGTCTCACGTAACAACCACCCAAATTAATTACCGTTGATCTTTTTCAAACCAGCCAGCCAGGATGAAATTAGCTTGGAAACGGTGTTACGCGGCTTCCTCGTTCCCAATTAACCAAACAGTGAGAACGTCGGTGAAACGTTGAGCAAGCAAGCAAGCAATGAATTAACTTGGGGCGGGTGACGATCGAGCAGAAATTTCAAAAAACGACGATATCGCCATGTGCATGCAGGGAGAGAGAGAGCGCGCGCATTTCCCCAGAGCCAGGCGATGGATCCGGATAACACGTCTCCGCCACCGCCATTTCGTCAAACTTACTCTTCCTCTGTCCGCTCTCTCTCTCTCTCTCTCTCTATCTATCTATTTAACCCACCACCGCAATCGAAATTAATTCAGAATCCGCCGTCCGCAATTTGCAATCAAACACACGCACACCGATCGCCGGCCGGAGACATTCTTTTTTTTCTTCCTTCCCTGGTGGTGAGGAAATGAGGACGATGTTGTTTCCCGCGGCGTTGGCTGCCGCGGTGGTGATACTGATGTTGGCGGTGGAGGACGGCGGAGGAGTGGAGGCGGCGATCGGGCTGCAGCAGCCTTTGAAGCTCAAGTATCAGTACTACAGGCGGCACACGACTTGCAAGTACGCGGAGGCGTTCGTGAGGCACCAGGTGACTCTGTACTGGAACAGAGACAAGACCATCACCGCCAAGCTCCTCCGCCTGCTCTACTCCGACTGCTTCGTCACCGTAAGCTTTTAAGTACTAAAGCGTGTTTTTTTTAACTACGTACATAATTAGTTATAAAAAAAATACTGGCTGCGCAGGTAGAAGCGTTTTGATGAGCCGAAAGTGTAAAGTCGTGCATAAGTTTTTTTTTTTTAGTTTGAAAATACGATTTTGACTAATATTGGTGTGATGGTAATGGCTGGCAGGGGTGCGACGCGTCGATACTGCTGGACGGGCCGGAGTCGGAGAAGACGGCGCCACAGAACGCGAGGCTGGGCGGGTTCGACCTCATCGACAGGATCAAGAAGGTTATGGAGATTCGATGCCCGGGGGTCGTCTCCTGCGCCGATATCCTTAACCTCGCCACCAGAGATGCTGTTCACTTGGTACGTAAAAATTTAAAAAGTCAATACTAAAAAAATTATGTACTAAAATATAATTTTCCATCGATATTTTGAGGAATTATATGCAAAAAAATATATTTTAGGTACTAAATCTAAAGATCTAATAAGTTTAGGTGCCAAATTGTAATTTTTATATGGGTATGGGTAAAATCCAAATTCATGAATAAAAACTCAACACAACCCGAACAAATAGGTATAGGTACAAACCCATCAACTTCTACCCATATACAATCTATTTGAATTTCATACCCAACCCAATTAGGTTGAATAGTAAAATACCTATGGGTATGGATAAATTTGTCTATCTTCTAGTTGTAAGTGTGTTTTATAACTCTCCCTGCTGCAAAAATCTGAAGTTGATCATGGTTTGTTTAATGTGTTTTACAGGCAGGGGGGCCGTCATATCCGCTGTTCACGGGGAGAAGGGATGGAATGACGTCGAAGGCATCGACGGTGGATCTCCCGTCGGCTTCCATCTCGAGCAAAGCTGCGTTGGCTTACTTCGAATCCAAGACCTTGGATGTTCTCGACATGGCCACCCTATTAGGTAATCTCTAAACTGAATAGAAGAACCAATTAAGCCAATTCTAGACACATTCAAATGCAGTTACTTGGTTCTTACCCAAAAGTTCAAGAAGGTGTTAGGCGCTAAGTCGCTAACCAGGTGTTGAAGCACTGCCTAGCGTCTGGCACGCTTAAGCAGTGCCTATGCGTTTTTTTACAAAATAGTCGTTTTTATTAGAAATAACAATTTTATTTTTGCATTAGTTCAATTTCAAATGTTTAATAACTTAGCTAATCCGCAAACATAATAAATATGTGTCAAGACCGAGCTAGAATTGCAATTCCAAATAAATGAATGGGTAAAGGATATTTTGAATATAGGACAGCTAGAGTTAGCGTCATTTTGGAAAGGTTATGTACATTTTTTTTATAATTGGTCTGCTAATTAGAGTGCAATTAAGCGCGTCTTACTTCGACTAGTCATGCCCCACTCTGCTTAAGCGTGCCTAGTTTTGCTTAAGCGCGTCGCTTAGACATTATGATTGCCTAAATTGTCTGTCCAGTGCCTAGACAATGCTTTTTTTTCCTCTCACTGTCTGGCTAGCGCTTAGAACGCGTCTAGGCGTACACAGAATTACGCCTTCTTGCGAATCACGCAGTCTTAACATGCCATATGGTCCTTCTCTAGGTGCACACGCGATCGGAACGACAGACTGCAGCAACGTGGTCGACCGACTCTACAACTTCAACAACACGGGAAAGCCGGACCCAACCATGAGCCAGCATTTCGCCGACCAACTGAGGAAGACCTGCCCACGTCCAACCAACATGAAGGGAACACAATCTAAGAACCCTTGGGTCTATCTGAACCCGGATTCAGGGCCTAGCTACCAGCTAGGGAACTCATACTACAAGAGGGCACTGGCTCACCAGTCAGTCCTTGGAGTCGACCAGCAGCTCCTCTACAACAACGATACTCGAGAGCTCACCGACGAGTACGCTGATGAGTACCCGTGGAAGAATGGCTTTGAAGGATGGCGGAGGTCCCTCGCCCTCTCGATGAACAGGATGGGGAACATCGACGTGTTGACCGACAATTCGACAGGGGAGATACGAAGGAACTGTCGGTACACGAACTGAAGAGGCTAAAAATTTCATAATGATGGATGGATAAACATTGTAGTATTGCTATGTATATGTGTGTGTTTCGAATTCTTCTGTCAACTGCTCGGGAATGTAGGCGGAATGATATCACAGTTTATGAATAAGACGACAAGAAAAAGTATCTTGTATTCATTAATGGAAGAAGAAAAACGGATTTGAGTATGTTGGAGAAAAGATATCCGTATCGATTAGTTACTCTTTTTAAATTAGTTGATCACTCTTTTATAGTTAACCATTATTTTAGAGTAACACATATTTCTTGCATTATAAGATTCATTTTATTATTATTTTCTTATCGATTGCTCTTGTACTTTCAACCAATCTACCATGGCGTTGGAGATCACATCTCACCACTCTTATAAATTAATTATGAGGAAATGTAACAATTTTTTAAGAAAATTTAGAAAATAATATGTGGGAGCCAAAAATCAAAATAGTAAATACAAATATTGAAATGAAAAAATAGCTTATTGTTATTTTACGTACTTAATGTAGAAGTGAAAGAAAGAACACCTTAACGTAATAAATGGAAAATCCACAAAATTCGGGAGAGGTGACAGAAAAAGAGAGGTTGCCAAGATCATCAACCATTTCAACAATTAGAAATTTTTATGATTTTGCAATCCTTCACCCTTCTTCCTTAATTTCTATGATTTTGCAATCTTTATGAGTTGAATTTTCTATGAATTCGAAATCTTTATGAGTTGAAATTTTTTTATTGATATTATTCTCTTTTTTACATATAATAACAAAAGAATTAGAGCTTGATAATTCTTATCTCTTGTCATTCTCCTCTAAACTCTCCATTGTTCACCAACCCATGATCTTTTTTTAATCCAACAAAAAGAAACCCCTTTATTTGATGTTGAGGGAATGAGCAAATGTACATTACAAGGGTAAAATATTGATTGAAATCTCATAATAGAAATTTCCATCTAAAAGGGCACAGAAGTTAATTAATCATGGGTTCTACAACTCCCAACCCAGCTAGGGTTATGAGATTCACCAAGGAGTTGTCAAAGGCAACTATAATAATAGGTATGTTCAATAAAGAGAAAAACAACATTATCATTGTTTATTCATTTATTTGTGAAGTAGTAATGGTTGGAGACTTGGAATTTTGTGAGCTAAATTGATTTTTGGTTGCTTCTCAAAGAGAGGCTTCGTGAGTTGGCTTGGAATGGTGCACCAACTTATATGCGGCCTGATGTGTGGAGGCTCCTCTTGGTAAGATTACTTATCATGATAATTCGAGATATTGAGATGGATTGGTAAAATGTTTTATTTGATGTTAGAGTCTTTAAATCTAGAGTGTTCATTTAGCTAGGTGTGTATAAATTCTACTAATATCTCAAGTTATTGGAATGAGATAATTTAATTATGTTTCCAAATGAATTTGCATGTTAACAAATAATTTTTGTTAGGGATATGCACCATCTAATTCGGATAGGAGGGAGGGAGTTTTGAAAAGGAAGCGACTCGAGTACCTTGAATGTGTAGCCCAGTTTTATGACATCTCCGATCTCGAACGTTCAGAAGATGAAGCCAACATGCTTCGTCAGGTAAATTTTAATTTTTTTTGCTGAGAAATCTTAACCTTCATACTATCTTGTCAGTGATCGATAGAAGTGGTAATTTTATAGCCCTATCATTTTAAACGAATAGTTATCACTCTCCATCAAATTACTTGTGTAGATATCTGTCGATTGCCCAAGAACCGTACCAGATGTCACATTCTTCCAACAACCGGAAGTTCAAAAATCCTTGGAGCGTCTTCTCTATATATGGTTAGCTACTATATATGATTTCAGTGCCTATAGTAAGAGTTTCACTAGTCTTCTTCGTTATGTGTTTTCCTCAACATTTTTTTTTTTGCATCATTATTAGGGCAATAAAACACCCGGCAAGTGGTTATGTGCAAGGGATAAATGATCTTGTGACGCCATTTTTGGTCGTTTTCTTGTCTGAGCACTTGGAAGGCGACATAGATAGCTGGTCTATCTTTGATCTTCCTCCAAACAAAATTTTGGATATAGAAGCAGATTGTTATTGGTGCTTGTCCAAGTTGCTCGATGGAATGCAAGACCATTACACGTTTGCTCAGCCAGGAATCCAAAGGCTTGTTTATAAACTCAAGGAATTGGTTAGACGAATTGATGGTAATTCAGGATTTGTTTATATTAATTAATGTTAGTGCGTTTACGATACGCTTTTTATTATGAGTGCATGCTTGCTATATATGCACCAGATTCATGATTGTCATCTTCATGATCGTCCGGTTCTCGTCTAAAAAACAATCTCATATCTTTTATTGGGTAACAATAAGCAGAACATTGCATGAACCTTATACGAAAATCAATTACAATTTGGTTGCATTATAAGAGTTTACGAAACTTGGTCCCACTATGCAACTTTCAAAAAACTTATTTGATGATCATAATAACCATAATGAGGCATAATTGTTTATTTTGTCCCTTCAGAGTCCGTCTCAAAACACATGGAAGAACAAGGACTCGAGTTTATTCAATTTGCTTTCCGCTGGTTCAATTGTCTCTTGATACGCGAGGTTCAAGTTCTTAAAATTCTCACTAATAATTTTTTTGAAAATAAATGTTTATCTTGCACTATTTCTTAGTTTTCTATTAATTAACCAAGTCATTTCAATTATTTGATGGGAATATATATATAACCTTGTTGTATGCTTCCTCATTTTATGTCATTAAAAGAGCTAACATATTTCACACAAAAAGAGCTAACTTATATTTTATTCATTATACAGATCCCATTTCATCTGGTCACACGATTGTGGGATACTTATCTTGCAGAAGGAGATACACTGCCTGATTTCCTTGTTTACATATTTGCTAGCTTTCTTTTAACCGTGAGTTGATAAGTGTCATTCTATTTGCAATTTTACTCTTGGATTTATGTTGTGAAATATAGACATTATTATAGTTTTCTTTAGCATATAATATTATTCATCTGGCATTCTCAAGTAAATCAATAGATTACATAGTGAGTACTCGGAACATTATATTATTAGATGAATCATTAACTACCAATCTAATCCATCCATTTTATAAATGCAAAACAAGGCGTAGTAATCGTACTTATAGTCTACAATCATCCTATATGTAGTGTTAAAACATACGTTAAATTTAAGATTTTGAAACTCTCTATTTACCTCTGATTTTTTCTCCTAGATACACACAAATTTTAACACTTGCCAAATCAACCAAATTACAACTTTCAGTTAATATAATCATTATAGTTCATTTCTCATACACAAAATGATGTTTTACTTGTTTGACACCTAAATATTTTTTTCTTTTTCCAGTGGTCTGAAACTCTTAAAAAACTAGATTTTCAAGAGATGGTAATGTTTCTACAACACCTTCCAACCCACAATTGGACGCACCAAGAGCTAGAGGTGGTACTTTCCCAGGCATATATGTGGCATAGCATGTTCATCAACTCTCCAAGCCACTTGATGACTAACTAATTATTAATCATATGCAATCTCCCAAATGTATGTATAAATATTTCTATCAATATTATGGATAATCAGTTTTGTAATTTCTGTATATAAGTATCTAATTTAGAACCGACATAAAATGTTTTCGATGTAACATGTACAATTTTTTCTTTTTATTGAAATGTAACATGTACAATTGAGTGAAGGTTAACACTACCTGTATCATCCTAGGTTAGGGATGACAATTTCGACCTGACCCGTTTTACCCGAGCTGTTTGACCTGATTTGGGGCGGGTATGGGTACCTCTCATCGACCTGACCTGCCCCGACCCGCCTCATTCTTGACCTGTTCTTGTCTAAATGACATGTAATCTTAGTAAAATTATTTAGAACTTTCCTCTTATTATCTCATATTTTAGCTATAATAAACTTGTAAATAAGTGAAAACCTTAATTTCTCCAATAATATAACTACATTTCATCATATTATGGTTTCTTTCTTGGCCTTTTTAATGAAAATAACGAATATTTCTAATATTTTTCACATAAATTAGATACCCATTGGGTCGACCTGCCCCGACCTGCGCCCCGTAATAAATTACCCGACCTGAACCCGACCTGCCACAGAACGAGTATGGGTATCGAGATACCCGCCCCGGACTTGCCCATTGCCATTCCTATCCTAGGTCTCTCTTATCTTATGTATAATAATTGTTTGTAAAAGCCGCCGGGAAGAGTAACTAATCTTAGTATCTGACTCCATAGTTGGCCGGCAGAGAAGCAGAGATGCCGCCGGGAAATTCTCCGGGGCCATTTTCGAATCACTAGTCAGTATATCGTGATAATATAGTCAATTTGTCGCGTTTCGAATTGGAGTTCCGAAACGTGTCGGGTTTCCCGTTTCTCCCCCACTGAAACTGGTTTTTCGGTTGGTTCTCCTTCCCCAGCTGGCAGCAGGTAGAGGAAGCGAGGAGGTGAGTAAACAAAGATGACGCTTATGTACAGATATTTTATATGGCTTGCAAAGCAGGAAGCAGAAAATCTCGAGAGCAACGCACCAGAAAGAATTTTTTCCTTCGAGGACGATAGAATCAAAGGCGCGCGAGCGCGAGAGAGTCGCAGCCGGCAATTGAAAGACGAAGTGAACAAACGAGGGTAAACCGGAGATCCAACTGGGCGACGGCGAGCTCGGTCTAGGTATAGTCCTTTTGCTCTGTTCGAAATGAATATGATTTTCATTTCTTAGCTGAGTTTCGGCCCTTTAGCGAAGGAAAGTTTCGGCGCTTCAGTTAATCGTTGGGGATTGATTGGGATTTGATTGAGTTTCAGAAGACGTGAGTAAGGCTAGGTGAAGTTGAGCTGAAGCAGTGACGAATTTCGGTGGATTCAGGGGAGGAAGTAGCTGGTGTAAGTGAGTAATGATTTCTCTAATAAGTCGGTAGTTTAGTTTGGTAGCGTGTGTATTATATGAACATGGAGTATCCCTTTTCTTCGAAAGTAAAGGCTCGGCCAAGAGCACAGCTGGATGAGATAAGTTCAGCTCTGGAAGACCCAAATATCAAATTTGCGGAGCTGATGAACTTGGATGCCTATCCTGGATGGTGTAATGGCTCTCCAGCGATGGACCACTGGCTTGTTTCAAATGGGTTGTCGCCGTTGCAGCCCTTTCCATTAGGATCTTTCGATTCACTGAATCTTACTGCAGAACAACCTGGTTATCTCAGCCCTAGTGTCCATGCAGCATCGAATGGCCATGGTATCTCCCACAATTGTGCAGACAATGTAACCTGTCAGCAGACTGATGCAGAATTGGTATATCCATCGGGATCGAATCCGGGGAATCAACAAGAGAATTTCATGGTGGAGGCTAGCTGTATGGTTTCTCGCCCTCTTGGCTTCTCGCTTGACGAGAAGATGCTAAAGGCTTTGTCCTTTCTCAGGGAGTTCTCTGGGGATGGCATTTTGGCACAAGTATGGGTTCCGATAAGGCAGGGGGGTCAATATGTGTTGTCAACTTCCGAGCAGCCTTACTTGCTTGATAAAACCTTAGCAGGGTTTCGTGAGGTCTCTAGAACGTTTACCTTCTCTGCGGAGTTGAAGCCTGGCCTTCCATTAGGGCTTCCGGGACGTGTATTCGTCTCTAAAGTTCCAGAATGGACCTCAAACGTAGTTTATTACAATAAGGAAGAGTATGTGAGGGTGAAGCACGCGGTTGACCATGAAGTCCGGGGTTCTATTGCATTGCCTATTCTAAATCCTTCTGGCACGTCCTGTTGTGCTGTTCTGGAACTTGTCACTGTCAAGGAGAAGTCTGATTTTGATTCTGAGATGGAGAACATTTGCCATGCACTTCAGGTTAGTTTGGTTTTCATCTGTTTCACATGTTAATACTTTGGAGTTAGTAACTTCCTTGAAATTTTCTTTCCCTAATCGTCTTCTTAGAATCAGCTCCTTTCTACTGAAAATTGATGACGTATAGAGCAGTGTCATGTATGACCTTCTGGTTGATGCTTGAAACTTATACAGTAGCTGTGCTTTGTAAAGTTGTAATGGTAGGCCCTGGGTAGATGAGTTATCAGAACCAGCTTCTGTAGTATCAGATTTTGTTATCAAAGATTGGTTATGCGAGCTCATGGCTGCTACTAGATATTGTCATTGCACTATGCAACAGTAATCAAAAGCATGCAAGAACGTACTTGCTGGTTCTATGTAAAAATAATTTCTACAAGCTTCATGATGTTTTGTTTCAAATGCTTTTAGCTTAAGTTGTCCTGGTCATTTGGGAGTTAAGCAACACCTGTTAACCACAATAGTTGTTTCTCTGCCATTTGTTCAGTAAGCGAAAATTTTATGTTCTTTCTGGTACTGAAACTGAGTTTTGATGCTTATTTTTCAGGCTGTAGACTTAAGAAGTACTCTACCTCCTCGGCTTCTACCCCAGGTAATTACGTCCACCTATTTTGCAAAATAAGTAAATAGAAAAAGTAACAAACACCGAAGGCAAGTGAATTTAGTATAAGAGATGCTCATTTCCAATACCCAAGTATCTCCCTTGACATATGGCTATAAGGTCATTGTTATTTTACAGTGCCTGTCAGATAACCGAAGAGCCGCTCTTGCTGAAATAATGGATGTCCTACGAGCAGTTTGCCACGCACATACATTGCCTCTTGGTCTAACTTGGATTCCTTGCCATTATACTGAGGACGCTGTTGATGAAATCATAAGAGTTCGTGTAAGAGAAGGTAGTAAATCACGGCCTACTGGGAAATGTGTTTTGTGCATAGAGGATACAGCTTGTTATGTGAACGACAGGTCGATGCAAGGGTTTGTGCATGCTTGTGTGGAGCATTATATTGAGGAAGGCCAAGGCATAGCTGGGAAAGCACTTCAATCAAATCATCCTTTCTTCATCCCAGATGTGAAGGCATATGACATAACCGAGTATCCGCATGTCCATCACAGTCGTAAGTATGGACTAAATGCTGCAGTTGCAATCAGGCTGAGAAGCACATATACTGGTGACCACGACTATATATTGGAACTGTTTCTTCCGGTCAACACAACAGGGAGTCAGGAGCAACAACTCTTGTTGAACAGCCTCTCAAACACAATGCAAAAAGTTTGCAAGAGCTTGAGAACAGTTTCTGATGCAGAATTAGCTGCTGGTGAAGGTGATAGAGTTGGATATCACAAGGAAACATCGGCAGTCTTCCCTCAGATCTCTATATCAGAGAAAAACTCTCAAACCGCATTATCAAGTGCATTTTTGGACACTGCAGGTATAGTGGATTGTAATGCATCCAGCTCCAGAATCGATAGAACAGTATCAGGCAGTCAGAATTGTCGGGTAAGTCCATTTATTCCTAGTCTTTCTTTGTGAATTGGTTACAGTACTTTAGAACCTAGAGCGATCATTTTTTCCTGAATCATGTACATTTCATTTCTTCTTTGACAAGTATATGCTTCATCCTTTGTTAGTTTTAAGTCTGAGCAGGGCAATTGGTCTGAAGTACTTTACATCTATAACTAATAATGGCACTCCATTCACTTACAGATTATAAATGTACTGAATTCTGTCAATGAATTCACTTACAATACATGACAGACTGTCATATATTTGTGCTCTGCATGGTTTATTTGAGGGCTTGTTCATTTGACTAGGGTGACTTGTAGTCTGCAACCACGTCTGACAGGTTCCTGACTGTTTTTTTAGGCTACCACTGGGCCCAGAAAACAGCTGGAGAAGAAAAAGAGCAATGTAGAGAAGAATGTGAGTTTAAGTGTTCTTCAGCAATACTTCTCTGGAAGTCTCAAGGATGCTGCGAAAAGCATTGGCGGTGAGATTCTTATCTCCATCCTGTGTTGATGTTCTCCATGAGACCAGTTAAATAATACTAATATTTTTGCGACAACTATCTTTAATAGAAATTAGAATAACAATATACTGCTATTGACCCTCGGAAATTTAGTAAGACGATGAAAGATTAAGTTAATCATCCTACTGGATGGTTTAATTTGGATTTTGGTTGATTTTGAAAGCTAGATTTTGGTTGACTTGTAGCTCTCTTGCTTCTGCAGTTTGCCCTACAACACTGAAAAGGATATGCAGACACCATGGAATATCAAGATGGCCATCCCGCAAGATCAACAAAGTGAACCGCTCATTAAAGAAAATCCAAACTGTGCTTGATTCAGTTCAAGGAGTAGAAGGTGGATTCAAATTCGACCCTTCTATTGGTGGATTCACAGCAGGGGGGCCCACACTGGATGAACTCGACACGGAAACTCCATTTCACATTCATCATCCAGAACAACTCGCCGAACCTGCTTCTATTGCCGCAGTCAAAGTCGAGGACGACTTAATAACCACCACCATGACACCCTCGATCGACTGCAGAGAGGAAGATTCAAAGCCTCGACGATGCGGTCCCCACGAAATCACACAACTCGACAAGTCAAGCTCCCAGCAAAGGTCCTGGAGCGACAACAGCTCGTCACATGGGTCTGAGTCAATGCATGGTGGAGGCGGGGGATGCAGCTCAAGCTCTCAGACCTTCGAGGAAGGGACGAGAAATGCTGGTGGGAAGATCTTTACTGTGAAGGCTAGTTACAAAGACGACACGATCAGGTTCAAGTTCGATCCTTCTGCAGGGTGTTTCCATCTGTACGAGGAGGTCGGCAAGAGGTTCAAGCTGCAGAGCGGGACGTTCCAGCTCAAGTATATGGACGACGAGGAAGAGTGGGTGCTGCTGACGAGTGATTCGGACCTGCACGAGTGCTGCGAGATACTCGATTACGTAGGGAAAGAGAGCGTGAAGCTCGTCGTTCGAGATGTGCCCTTTGCAGCTGGGAGTTCCGGTAGCAGTAATTGCTTTCTGGCGGGAAGCTCGTAGCCGTGGTGTGTGTACAAACATAGTCATCTATGGATAAAGTAAAAGGCAGGCAAGATAGAAAATACCTTGTATGGTTTTGTTGTTGTACTTTACATATTAGCACGCTCGTGTTCAGTTGAATAGAGGGTAGTTCTGAATTTGGCAATAAATGTCTGTCAGGAGTCAGGACCATGATGTTGGAAATGGATATATGCCATCATTTCCTTCTTCACTTTTGGTATATCTACTTTGTAGATGTGTAAGGTTAAATACTAATTTCAATCACCTTACTCGGTCTCGAAATTGAACTTGATATCGAGACAATTAAAGCATCAAACCCGGTATTGCACTAAAATCTTCAAGTTACGGAGTTTTGACATAAAAATTAAAGAGGTTGAAAGAATCAAAGTTAAATGGTTTGATTGAGTAGAAAATGTTTAGTCGGTTACATGACTTAGGTACCTATAACTAAAGGGATTATGATCTACGTGTTAAGTATTTGACATTGATGAACAAATATTCGTTTTTTTAATCCAAGATAAGCCCCCAAGGTATGGCCGGTCAACACAATTACAAGAAAGACACTAAAAAAGAACGATAGTCCGTATGCAATCGGACTCCCGATAAAAGAGTCTGATTTGCCACGAGGTGGGCAGCTCTGTTGAAGCTCCAAGGAGCAAAAAGACACGAGACAGATAGGAAGGAGGAAAGGAGAGAGTGGACTTTCTCTAATATAGCTCCCGCTCTTGAATGCGAAGCCTTCTTTTAGACAAATATTCGTTGATTATAACAAAGTTTTAACTTTTAGACAACCAGTGTACCAAATTGCAAGTTTTCCGGAATCTTATGTAGCTCAGAGAAACTTCTCCGTCTTTACTTTTCTTTCCTTCTTTACTCGGCGAACAGTACATGCCAGTCCTTTTTTCGCAAGGGAAACACAACTGAGCAAGCAGTTAGAGCGGGGAAACAAAAACTGGGAAATGGAAATGGAGGCTGTCTTACAGACGAATCGGAGATAGTCCGTCACCTTGTTCCTTCTGAAGAAGACTGATCTGAGGTCGTTTGATTTCCAGAGAGGATCCGTGGAGAGAGGGGAAGATCGGAGGGAGAGATCGGCGACTGAGGTGAATTTTGACAGTCGCAGCGAGGAATCTTCCGAGCTACGCAGTTAGCTAGCGGCGATCGAAAGTGGAATCTCAAAGAGCGGCGTCATTGCATCGTCGCTCGGTCACTGAATCTCACTGTTTTGCTCCCGCTCGCCGGTGCTTCGAAACCTCAGGGGTAACGATTTCGATGCTAATTCTCGTTCTCCGATTGCTTGGCAATACGATGATTCGTGAATGTGGAGCGGGAGATGCTTGTTTTGTTCGGTTTGATTAATGGAATTACTGAGGTCTTTGCCTGCATGTGTAAGATCGAGTGAAGGGCTACTGTTGTACGTCTGCAATGCTTCTGGTACAGAAGTGACGTGGATTTGAGGAGAGACTTAGGAGCTAATTGGGATGCCATAGGGATTTTGTAATCGTTGGATTGTTGATTTAAACTTGTTTTTGAAGTGCTCTTTGGTCGATTCGTTGCTCAACTATGTGATGAACGTGGATCTGCTATGACAGTTGATGAGAAGGGTGGTAAACTTTCTTTAGTTTTTTGAATGCTGTCTTTGATTTGATGGGAAGTTGTTTGTAGCAGTATGAACAACAGGTCCCTTCTGCATTTTGTTTATCTGATTCTGCTGAGTTGCCTGCTTGACGGAACTGCCATGTAGGGAATCTAGATGGCAATGTTAGCAGGAGTTTGGGGTGATTGATGTCTCTTCAGTGATATTTTATCAATCTTTTGTGCATATGTGAGGTATTCATAGGTTGGTGTGTCTATTACCAGTTTTTTCTGAGGACAAACAGAAAAGGAAAGAGGACAGTGGTGTGAGGCTGCCATGAGGAGCAGCAATGACGGTAATTCAAACTTGGATTCGAGATTCAGCCAAACCCTCAAGAACGTTCAAGGGTAATCTTCCTGCATTTTTAACCTGGGCTTTACGTATATTATTTTGATTACCTGAACGTTCAGCCTCAGTTCCTTCTCCAGAATTAGAATATATGTGTTCCTTTTACTCTTCTAGTCTTCTCCTTTTTGTTTGTGCGTTTTGATTGACCATCATATGTTCTGTTACTTAACCGAGGGGAGAAAGATAAGACAATTTTTGAGTCATTGGAAATGAGTTTTTCCATAAAAAAGTTGGCTGGATCACTTTTTCTAATGCTTTCTCCCTCTCATGGCTCTCTCATGTATTCAAGGATGCTCAAAGGGCGTAGTATTCCTGGTAAAGTATTGCTAACCAGGAGGTCGCCAGCAGAGGAGGCAAGTTTACAAGAACATTCTCCTACTTTTCAAAGAAGCTTTTCTGAAAATGATGCTGGTACAAGTAATCGGAGTGACACATCAAAGGAGGTAAGAGTGCGCAATTGACTTGCAATTTTCAGTTATCACCCCTGATAAATTATTAGTATGCATGTCTTATGAAATTACTATTGCTACCTAAATGAGGAAACTCTTCTTTGTTGTGCAGGATGATGTGTGGACTGCAAAGAAGCCAAATAGTAGTTCCATTGCGAATAAACTAAAACCTAGTACCCCCAGTATCGAAGTTTCATCTGGAGAAGTTCAGAAGTCCAGTGTGGGTGCTAGAGCTACGGATTCTGCAAGAGTTATGAAGTTCACTAAAGAATTATCAGGAGCAACTGTAATGTTAGGTATGTTAATTTTCTTGAGGTGATTCTTGCCTAATTTTTATCACTACCCTAAAATTTAACTTTCTGCTCGGAATTGGATTCACAATCAAGATTCTTCTTCCAATATTTTAATCATAGAATTACAGCATGACTGCTATAACTTGAGAGGCATATACTGCTTGAGCAAGTGGTTAAGCATTGTGATTGAATGAACATGATGTGGGAGAGCTTGTACTGGTTGTAGTTAGTTGATGGAGTATTGTCTTTCTCTTAGATCTTTACTTGCATTTCACCATGGAGAAATGAGAATGATGCAATAGCTTCAGATATAACTTCTGTTGTGGGGATGAGAGGATTCTCTGAAAGCAGTGTCTGAAGTGGTATCTGGGCATATTCTTAAAGGTGAAAATGGATAACTTACTTTTCTTGAAGAGCTGTCTACAAACAGCAAAACACACTTCATGCATTTTTATTGTTTGTTTCTCTATATTGCTTGTTCTAATCAAAGAGATGACTTAATTTTATGTTCCTGTTATAATTTATTGTTTTGCTGATGCTAGTTTTGTTATGAATCTAAATTCATGATCCTCCTATACTCCACATTTATCTTCATAATAAGACTTTCTCAGTTCTTTGAGTTTCAGCTTATTTTTGAACATCTTATCTGAGCATACTGTTCGAATTTCATGACATAATTCTCCTTATGCATCTAATCTCTGTATAGATAAACTTTGTGAGTTGGCTTGGAGTGGTGTACCTCCATATAAGCGCCCAGAGGTTTGGAGGCTTCTCTTGGTAAGCTTTATACCAGTTACTAGCTGTCCTTTTTAGAAGACAATGATTCTATTATCTTCTTTTTGAGATAGTTTCTGTAAGGTATTGGTTTAGCTAGTGGATATTGCATCTGCAAATTTGTATCTGTGAATATATTCAAGCTTCTATTATTTTCACCATCAATTAACACAATGTGTAGTGGTGGTCAATTAGTGGCCCAATACCTATCATGCTGTTCCTTGGCTTGTGATAGTTTCCTTCCTGAATATAGTTGCTTTGCTTGTTTTAATCAAATATGAATTAACCACAGGGATATGCACCATCTAATTCAGATAGGAGGGAGGTAGTCCTGAGAAGGAAACGGCTGGAGTATTTTGAATGTGTAGCTCAATTTTATGACATCCCTGATTCTGAACGTTCAGATGATGAAGTCAACATGCTTCGCCAGGTTCTGCTGTTATTCAGTGATTTCAGTTTTGATTTTACATTATCCTTCTGGTATACCGTTTAACTATAATATATTGGGTTCTTTTTGTAGATTTCTGTTGACTGCCCAAGAACTGTGCCTGATGTTACATTCTTTCAGCAGCCACAAGTTCAGAAGTCCTTGGAGCGCATTCTTTATACATGGTTAGATATTTGTGCTCTTCAAAGTTGCTTGTTTTGCGAACTCATCCCGTATCTTCTTCTCCAAGAACTCAATGCATGCCCCAAAACTGTAATATAACTGCTTGATTGCTGCAGTTGTGCCCCAAAAAAAAAAAGCTATTTGTTGGAGTTGTGGTATCTAGGGGTTGTTAATTTTCTTTTCCACTTACTTATGTGCTCAATTTTGTGGGCTAACTTTCTAGAATCAGGTTGGGGTTGTGGAACTGGAAAGCCAAAAAAGGGAGGGACTTTGAAATTGGGTTAGTGCGTGTATCAGCTTCATTTTCACTGTCCATCTTAGTGTGTGAAGTGAGAAAAAGAAAAACAAAAGAGAAATGATGAAAATGGTTCTGTTACAGTGCCTCACCTTGCGGGTCAAAGCTAATCTTATGTTCCTCCATTGTCCTTAAGGCTTTACCATTATAATGTGGTTAAAGTTCTGTTTTTGTATTTTGTCTAGTTTTTGTTGCAATTTATTCTTTGTTGGCGTGATTTGAGGTGCCTGTGGTGGTAAGAAGTCTCCAATGAGGTTTTTAATGTCTTTGCTCATTTGTAGGGCCATTCGCCATCCAGCAAGTGGATATGTTCAGGGTATAAATGATCTTGCCACACCATTTCTGATTGTTTTCTTGTCCGAACACTTAGAGGGAGATATAGATAGTTGGTCCATTAGCGATCTCCCTCTAGAGAAGATCTTCGATGTGGAAGCTGATTGTTACTGGTGTCTGTCAAAGTTACTGGATGGCATGCAAGATCATTACACATTTGCTCAACCGGGGATACAGAGGCTCGTGTTTAGGCTAAAAGAGCTGGTTAGGCGCATTGATGGTAAGTTCTTAAACTCAAGCAGCATCCGTAAATTATCATTGAAGATTAGAGCTTCCATTAGTTGTTTATATGGTGAAGGTTTCTTTTACCATAATCCCGTAGGTGTTGGTACTTTAGTTCGTCACCCATTCCTTGAGCATATGTTTGTATTTCCATTTTTACTTGTTATATGTTGCCAATTAGCCCTCATTGAGGAGTCTGTTTTTGGACTTTCTCAGAACCCATTTCAGTACACATGGAGGAGCAAGGGCTTGAATTTCTTCAATTTGCATTTCGGTGGTTCAATTGTCTATTAATTCGGGAGGTTCGATCCCTCGTTTCTCTTGCCTTAACCTTTAATTATTGTACTATCAGGAATTTCAATTGCATCTTTTGATGTAAGCAATGATCTTTAGAAGCAATTTAGAAATAATGTCCTCGCTGCAGTGTTTTTGTTTTTGTTTCAAAGTGCAGCCTCTGGCTAAATAATGTTCGTAATTCCACAGATCCCTTTCAATCTGGTTACCCGACTGTGGGACACGTACCTTGCTGAAGGAGATGCATTGCCCGATTTCCTTATCTACATATTCGCTAGCTTTCTTCTGACGGTGAGTAAATAACCAGACTCTGTGCTTCTGCACTTCACTTGATTCATGGTTTTGAATGGCTCTTTTTTTCAAGCATTTATGAAACAATGATTGCTATGACATTAGAAAATTGAGGCACTGCACATAGATTTAGCACACTCCGTCGATCATTGTTGTTAAGTTCTTGCTTCTGAATTGGCTTAATAACGTTTTGCAACTTACGAGTGAGGCCAGCCTGTGACTACTATTACTATCTGTGTTCGAGAGATTGAAATCCGAAGTAGGCAGCTTGCTACAATAGTTGCATCCTAAATTGCAGCATGTAGGTTTAAATTCCTTTCGTGCGTTCAAGAATCCAAATAATGAAACCTACTTCTGCATCTGCACCCCTAGGCTCTTCTTCATAGCTGCTATGCTCTATTGAGAGAATCATTTCCGAGTGTTTACGCTTGTTTGCAGTGGTCGGACAAGCTTCAGAAGCTCGATTTCCAGGAGCTGGTAATGTTCCTCCAGCACCTGCCGACTAATAACTGGACGGACCAGGAGCTCGAGATGGTCCTCTCCCGAGCGTACATGTGGCATAGCATGTTCAACAACTCTCCCAGCCACTTGGCCAGCTAGGACGGTAACATTGTCGCAAGCTCTCTTTTATTTCCGTGCTCGTTGGTTTTGCTTCCTTCTCTCAACAACAACAAAAAGAGAGAGATCCATAGTAATTTATGAGAGGCTGTTTTCCGGCTTGTGTGTTCTTGAAAGACGAGAGATATGATCGCAAATCGTGTATGTCAATGTTGCTTAGCTCTTTTAGTCCCCCCCTTAAGGTGGCTTGCTTGTAATGTTTTTGTATCCTCCTTGTACGCTAAAAACTTGTTCTCGCCTTTGTATCTCGTACCGACGACACAATTTGAACTTATTGTACCATAATATGATTATCATTAGTCGGACGTACCATAATATAATTATAATCGATCTGGCGCAAACGGTGTAGTAGAAAAGTTACTTTTGCATTATTTATAATTAGAAGAAGTTGGGCTTTTCATCCAGAATAAATTATTGGAATATTTTTATTATGTTAAAAATGATATACAATTATCATTAATAATAGATATAATTTAGATGTTAATGGATATGTTCATTAATTACCTAACACTAAATATCACATAAATCAGTTCAAGCTAGTTATGCGTAGGCTGGAAAAACTACTGACTATCGAAATGCACATTAAAAGCTAACTACCGAGTATCATTTGGGCCCCAAGCCTGTAATGCATTGACTGAACTCCATTTGGCCCAATTCCTCTATCCGCTCCACCCGCCAGCCCAAGTAAACGACAGTGTTTTGAAAGATCCTACTTCTCCTTCCAATCCTCAGAAACAGCCTTCTCTTCCTCCCTCCCCTGCCTATCCCGCCGGCGGAGAGAGGAAGGATTCCGATTCAACACCTCCTGATCTCCATTCCCAAAAACCCAATTCCGTACTCTCCTCCTAAGTCCTACCCTCTCTTCCCCTTTCTCTAACCAACAAGAAAGATCAAGAAAAAGATGTCGGAGTCCAGACCTCAGCAGCCTGGATCACAGCCGGCGAACAATACCAGTCTTTCGCCGCCGAATTTCGCCACCGCCGCCGAATCTTCCACGTCTTCCGCCGCCGTTCCGGCAAGGAAAATTGAGAGGTACACTCTACCCAGGTGGCAACCGCCTGCCCTGTACCCAAGAATCGTCGGCAGATGTCCTGCCCTCCACCAGCAGAGTCCCCCGCCAACGCGCCGGCATCAGAACCCTCCTTCCACATCGTCGAGCAAATCCAATCGTCCGAGCGCCGCCGCTGTGGACGGACCGATTTCTGGATCGGGGAATAGTCCACTGCAGAATTCCAGTAAAGTTCAACGATATATCTTACCCCCGTTGCACCAGCGGCAGCCACCACTCCCACCGGCGAACCTCCGCCGGCCCATCGCAACCGCCCCAAACACCAGTTGCAACTTATCGTTCATGGGTAAGCTTTCTGCCCAATTTCCCCCTCTCTGCCCAATCTTTCTGCACGATTTGATGCTCGTGAGGACTGCCACTGCCAAAACCCTAGTGCATTGAATATTGATTTCTCATTAGGTCAGAAACTAGGGGCATTTGTATCTTATCGAAGTTTTGTTTGCAGTTGAAGGATGGCAACTTGCCCAAACGTGCTAAATATTCTCCCGCCCTTGCAAATGAGGATAGACTGGTCATCGGTTGTGATGGCATTCCACAGCTTAGAGGTGAGAGAACACAAAGCAGTAGAATCTAGTGAATATGTACCACAGATTGGGGGTTAAGTAGAGGATTTTATTTAAACATTGGTCACGACAATAATTACAAATTGTACATTCACTCTGCTGCATACAGGTACTCTCAAAGATCATGCTAGAACTGATGATGTTGCTGGAACTGGATCGAGCATGACGGGCAGCACAGAAGGATCCTCACTGGCAGTGGAAGGGCAGCACAATGCTGGGGCTGAGACAACGAAGACGACCAAGGATTTACCGAGTATTCTGGATTCTGTTGGAGAGGAAGAACACCCACGGGAGGGGGAGCAGCATGCTGGCGCAGGGTTGGTAGACATGGATATCTCCCTGGAAGTGGAAGTGCAGCAACATGCTGGGGCCGAGACAACGAATACAACCAAGGATTTACCGAGTCTTCTGGATTCTATTAGAGAGGAAGAACCCCCACTGGAGGGGCAGCAGCATGCTGGCACGGAGTTGGTAGACATGGATCTCTCACCGGAAGAGGAAGGGCAGCAACATGCTGGGGCCGAGACAACGAAGACAACCAAGGATTTACTGAGTCTTCTGGATTGTGTTAGAGAGGAAGAACCCCCACTGGAGGGGCAGCAGCATGCTGGCGCGGAGTTGGTAGACACAGATCTCCATCTTTAACCTTTGAAGAGGAAACAGCAAGGGAGAAATAGTAGAAGCATGTTTGTTACTGAGTGTGAATGTTCTCAATTTTTTAGGCACCTGTTGCTGACTGGGTATATAGTAGTGTTTCTGCACAGTTAGGCATCTCAGCATCCAAAGGCTGATTTCCCAACCCAACCTATACCAAAAGGAGTTTGTAAACAGAACAAAATACTCTAGCAATATTAGAAACAAAGACGAGACATGTATCAATCAGTGTGTTTTTCAATATGTTCAAGTGGGTTCTTCTGACTCTCATCTTCGTTACTGGTGCATTCCTACCCATCTTCATTAGTGCAGACAAGAAAGAGTAAGTTGCACAAGCAGAGGTAAAAACCAGTCATTGACGGAGTCATTGGTCCAATTACTGCGGGAGTTGATGGTTCCCAGCTCTCAGTTCGCAGCTCCGGGCTCAGCAGCTGTATCTTTCATCGCACATAACTAGGAAAATTCCTCGTACCTTGGCATTGGAGTAGGCCAACAAGAGACTCTAGAGTGGAAGCAAGCCCAACGAGGTGCATATACTCTTAGTTTTGAATACAACTCCAGGTCTCCCCTCCTCAAATTGCAGGACAAGATAGCACCGTCACTAGAAACACAAGGGAAATGATGAAAGAAAACAATTTCCGGATTCTCAGGATGAAGATAACAATAATAGATGCTGCCAAGTTCATACTTGCACCTTGATGTCCTGAACAACCCTGTGTTTTCCAAGGCAGCTAGGAAGGGAGCATCCTTAACATCAAGGTTGTGGTTAGCCCCTGATGTCTTCAGCATCCCTTCACATTGTTTCATCCAATCTTCATCGTCTTCTCCCCGTGTCCAAACAAGTGGATGATTGCAGTTTGATGACTTCAAAACTCCTTCACATACTTTCCTCCAAGACTGCCCGCCTCGTTCCATTCTCCAAACCTTGGAGGCAATCCTCGAACAACCAGGTGTAGGTTTCTCTTCGAATACAAATGCGTGCAAAGCACCTTGCGAGACGGAAATATCCCACCATGGATTCGCGTCATCGTGGAGAGGGGAAGCATCATACGCGGGAGGCATATCCAGTCGGAAAGGATTCAACACAGCGAGCCTCGGATTAAACCGGCCAGCTTCTACCTCTTGTGTCTCGAGATAACTCCAGAACAACTCCCCGTTGCAAGAAACTACATTCCTGCAATGCAATTTGAGATGGCCTTCAAGAACAAGAGCCTCCTTGGTCCATTCTCCAGACTCGGAACAGAAAACGTCTAGCTTTAAGGCCTTCCTATGGTTATAAAGACACACCACCCGGAATCGATACTCGGAGTAAACATGTACCTGGCCATCCCCTAGATCGAGATTGCTAGAAATACTGGGTTCACAGACTAACCTTGCAGCCAATTCCGAAGTCCCATCTGGCCACAGAGGCTCCAAAGGAAGGGGCATCCATTGCTTCGTGAAAGGATTGCAGATGATGTACATTCTGCAAATTGTGGTGATGTGCTCCTCCCTCAGAGGGAAGCCGCACAGAATCAAGTCACCGCAGGAATCCAAAGCTACTAAACGCAAGCCAGGAGGCGTGGGCACAAAGCTCCCGATGATGGATTGTGGGTCGTCGGAGGGAAGGAGCAAGGGTGGTTGCTGTTCGCTGATGCTCTGGTGGTGGGAAACAAACCGGCGATTGAAGCCGGGATCGGAGATCAGAGACCTCCACCACTTGCAGACGGATTTGCTCCGGCAGGCGTACCTTGGGTTTGGGAGGCGAATCAGAACTTCTAAGAGGAGATCGTCCCCGAGCTTGCTGATTAAGGAAGAACGGATCCGCCGCTGCTTGTTGAGTGGCTCGTAATCCGAATTGCAGTTCTCGGTCGCCATGGCTGAACGAAGAATATAACACCGCCGGAGGAGAAAAGATACAATGGTTGTAGCCGCCGCCGCCGACGAGCTTGGGAGGTAAAAATCGAAGAAGCCAACGAAGACATTTAAAACCACTGAACCCTTCTCCTGGTCGGATTAATCTTCCACCATTTCTATAAAAATAAAATAAACACCACCAAATATTACTTCCATTTATTTTTTTTAGTTCATCCGAAAACTCCAGATGGGCTTTGTGGTTCTTGGATTGGGCCAGTATTTGATCAAAGATAGCACGAATAGGCCCAGTGTTTAGAGAAGAATGGGCATATTACAAGTTTGGTCACAGAGTTAACTATTTTATTGTATTAATGCTCATTAATTTTATTGCTTTCACCAACAATCACTTTCTGTTTGAGCCGAAGTACTAGGAAGTTTGCGGATCACGAGTGAGGCGTATGTTCCTGATGATTAGAGGCACTTCTGAACTCTGCAAAACGATAGTCTGTGGGCGGTTACTCAGGATACTCTCTGAAGCTTTAGTTAGAAAGAGAAGCGATAATTGTGTTTATGTATATAGAGAGAGAAAGTAGTTGAGTTACCGTAATAGACTGCCCACGGCGGGTAATTAATGCTTAGTCCTCCTTATACCGAGGTAAATATCTCACCGGATCTTTCCCTCCTGTCACCATTAATGCTTTATGTCAAGCAGTCTATCTCCTGTCTTGTCATAGGGCGATCGCCTAACTAAGTAGAATCACGAGTTCTCTTGGCTTTCTTTGCTGGGTCGGGCCTGTTTTTCCTCTCCTGTGCCTTAACCCCAATACCGCTCAACCATGTGGCCCAACACTTTCTATTTAGTTTCGTTAAAAAATTCTTTGCTCGCTAGCACTGCTCTCTCCTATTGTCCAAGATTGATTAAGGTTAGTTAGCGCATAACTACGCTTTAATAAACTTTCGAATATGCATGTCAATAGCTCATGATATCGTTGTAGTGTTACGTCTGGATAAGATAACGACGTCGTATATGTCCAACATTTGGTTTCCTTGCTTAATGGTTGTTGTAAGTTAGCCAATATGTACATCATCCGGTTTCAAAAAAGTTCCAAGCTTTTTCTACATGGATGTGTACAGCGACGAGGCTAAAAATTTATACTCGGTTTATCTGATTTTATGTTGACCGTGAAAAACCGTTTGGTCCATCAATAACCGTTCAAACAATGAACCGGACTGCTATTGTAACTGGTTTGACGATTCTACTGACCCGGCCGTTGATCCGGTTCGGTTCTTATAACTAGGGTTTTAAGAATGGCTAATTGGTTGGTGACATTGTTACTTATTTAGTTAGTAAGAATGTATCATTAAGAGAAGGAAGATTGTTTACTTCTTCTTCTTCGTCTTCTGTGGAATGGGAAGGCGAATTCCAATTCGAGTTGCAGTTCTGCGCCGCCATTGATGGAGGAAAGTAGAGACTGCAGCGAATGAAGCCATTGATTCGAACTCTGTAAATATATAGAAGGCGGCTGCTCTGTTTCTCTGAGTCCTGGTCCTAGTCGGATTACTCTTGAGTCGAATAATGTGATATTTTTTGGCATTTAAGACCGGAAGACGTGATGGGCCCAAGTGAGGGCGGCCCAAGGTAACTAAATCCAAGTCCATCATATGGGGGCCCTTTCATAAAAAACCAAACGGTGATTTTGAGAGCCAACAATCTTCCCAATGAGCCTGGCCCACGTAAGCGGCGCTTTCAAGAGCCCAACGATCATTGTTAAGTGTTAACTGTTACCCATCACTTCACATGGTAGGACAACTTTGAATATGTACACAGAAACTCGTTATTGATCCAACTCGACTTCATTGGTCGAAAAACATAACATAATCGAATGATCTACTACTTTTTGACGACTATTTTATGTATAAACCGCAATTGTTATAAGAGAACGACAAAAATTTCAATCGCGACATAAAATTCATACGAGAAACCACATCGATTAGGCTGATCGTTCGAATTTCAAATTAAAAGCAAGAAATATAACATTGTAATATGAATCTATCAAGATAGTAATAGAGTTATCACATAAAATCTCTTTCCCTCAAAAGTTCCATTCCATGTATATAAAAATAAATAGAAAGAGTGTTTTATTGCGTGGATTCTAAAAAGAAAGTACAAAACCTTGGCCCAAATAAAGGTTGACGGGGGATGTATTCTGGAAAAACAAAGTAATACACGAACAGGAGCGTCAACTTGGGTGTCAAAACGTACTTTTCCCCGGATGACGAAACAAGAAGGGGCCAACAAAATATGAAAGTTTATGATTACATCCTAAATTTTTACATTTATAACAATCAAGTCACCTAGGTCATCCATTGAATTCTAGACTTGCAAGTTTATGGCCCGTTCACTTGCCAATCAAGTGGATTAGCACACGAGATTCGTGTAAATCACAGTATGATAGGACTCGCGCAAGTTTGCTTGAATCGGTCATTCATGACGAATTGTGTTTCCTGAAAGAAGTATTACTGTTGTTGTTGTTCAATTTAGTGTAATGGAGTGTAGATGAATCGTGCAGTCCTATCGTACAGGGAAGATACATATGTGTTGTATGGTGGAGTTTGGCAAAGTAAAGGAAAAAAATAGATTGTTTCGAGTATTTAAGAATGGTTACGCACAATCCATTTGTGGCTGATTCGGTCTCGAGTATTTTCTTTCGATGTGGCTAGTTAAAAACAAAAAACTTCCAATTTTTGTAGTTGCATGAGGTAAATGCGATATGAGTTCCAGGTAAGATATTTTCCATAATTTTATCTCGTTAATTTATAAGGATTCGTTATTAGGAGTTGCTTCTAACTTAGAAGGAAGAGACCTGTTTGAAAAAGGATTAGGGCCGCATTTTTTTTTCAAATGTACATGACCTAATATATTTGAGCTAATTCCCGCGCTTATAGGGAACGTAATTGAGCGGCCGACTATCTTGCTAACTCTTATCATTCTTTTCATCTTGGTTATGATTAGTTGATTTACTAACAATGATCAACCCTTCAAGATTGAATACACTATGTTTTAATAGGATTTATTACAAGGGATAATAATAGATGGATCTGAGAGGACATAATATTAATTTGTAGGGACTAAGTACAATCCGTTGAGAAAAGAAGGAGGAAATGTGAATTTTGTCAAGATAAAACGAACAATATATATATTCTCGCTTTCACCTTCAGAAGTTCCAACGCCGACGAAACAAAATTTCCGGCTCTTCCCAAATTCTTCCGTCTCTTTCCCCCCGGTCTCGGGCTTCCTTTCTCAAACTAGTTTCTCGCCTGAAATCCGTACATATTTTCCGGCTCTGAACTCAATTCAACTGAATTCCGGCCTCCAAATTTCCTTGCAACTTGCTTTGCTCGTCCTCCCATCGGCGGTGGCGGCGGCGGGGTTCTGAATTGGCGGGAATTCGAACCGCAGACTGATTCGGCGTCAACTAGATTTCGAGCCGAGCTTCAGGGCGGCGTTCCTTCCTGGGTTTCTCAGGAGAAGCGAAGGTGGTGGCTTTCGGGGAGGTTTTGTCGTTTTTCTTCGCGGTCTGTCAATGGCGAATCCTTCCGGTACGCATCTGCAACATCAAGACGCTACGAATGCAAATAGCAACGCTCCTTCTTCTGCGCTCGACGAAGCCAATCCGGCCAACGGAAATCCGGTGAACCCGACTCCGGCTTCCAAGTTGAAGCACAACCCCGGGATCTCCAACGACTGGGCGCCGGACGAGCAGTCAATACTCGAGGATGGCCTAGCTAAGTGAGTTTCCGCTCTCAGAATCAACGGAATTCATGTGTTGAATGAGTAGAAATGTGTCGATTCATTATTGAATTTGGTCATAGCCTGCTTGAACTAACCGAATTTGGTATGTTTGTCCTGTTTCCGAACCATAGGAGATAAAGGAGTTTTGATTCTAAGATTTTGGTTCTGTGAAATTCTCTGGAAGTAGAGCAAGGTTTATGAGAAACGGTGGACGGAATTGAGCAATTCTTGCATGTCAGATTGAATTTTCATAGATGTGTACGGTGTTGTTGATATTTTTGCTCAGTGGGTCGTCCAAATTTTGGATCTTTATTGGAGTAGAAAGCCTTTATGTTTAGTTAATTACTTGATTTGGTGGACTATTTATAGTTATGATTCTCGATCTGCATTCATGCTGCTTCTTCAATAACCATTTGTGGTTTGGGTGTTGGTACAGACATTCATCAGAGTCGAACATAATCCGATATGCAAAGATAGCTGTGGAGCTGAAAACTAAGACAGTCCGAGATGTTGCCTTGCGTTGCAGATGGATGACTGTACGATTCTTATTTTTCAATTTTGTTGCACAATTATGTGGACTCTGACTCTGTTTCATTGGACTTTTATAACTTGCTATTTTGAGTGGATTAAACTCAAATTCTTGGTTATATTAGGAAAGTTCTGTATTGAGTTCCAGTAATGAGTCCCGTTTCATGCATCATCTAATGCTGTGTGCTCTGTTTCCTGGCTACAGAGGAAGGAATCTGGCAAGAGAAGGAAAGATGACAATTTAGCACGAAAAAGCAAGGATAAGAAGGTACGGTTTCCTTTCAACTTTTTCCCTCTGTTTAAGGTGTACACATCATTTGGAGTTCAATGAAAAGAGAAAAAGGGTGTCTGTCCCCAGCTTGTGGTTTTCTTTTTTTGTTTCGGGGTGGGAAGGAGAATGAACACTGTGATGCTTGAGAATGTGAATTGTCATATGTACCAGACAACTATTTGGAAAACAGTTTCATTCTAGCAATGTTAAGATTGTTTGATATTTTCTATTGGAAACTAATATTTCCTGCTCTTTAGAGAGATGTTAGGCTCAATTATTTTTCAATTGCATTCACAAAGCTATGATGTCTATCTGGTAGCACTGGTGGATTCTGAGGTCTTAAGGTGATTACTGTTTCTTCCATCAATTGATGCTCATGAATTGTTCAAATCTTTTGTTTTTACAGGAAAAACTTACTGATGCTCCAACAAAGCCATCTTCTTTTGCTACTCGCGCTAATGCTCCTGCGTATACAAATACTGTGGTTCCTATCGACAATGATGATGGCATTTCTTTTAAAAGTGAGGTCCCAGCTCACCAAATCCTTGTTTTTTGCTTCCTTTTAAATTAAAATGGTGTTTCGTGTGTTGTTCTCTTCTAGTTTACACATAGCAATTGCCTCTTTAAGCTTGTATTGATTTTACACATAGCAATTGCTTTTTTAAGCTCGTATGGCTTTTTACTATGGAATGATAAAGCTTCATTTTGCTTCTTCCAGCTATCGGTGGAGTCACGGGGGAGCTCCTTGAGCAAAATGCTTTGGCGTTGAGTCAGATTACTTCTAATCTTTCAACAATGCAGGTGACTACTTTTGATGGATGTTTAATTGCTGTCACATCATTACTGTTCTGAATTTAGTTTCATTGGGCTATGTTCAAATGGGCATAAGGAAATTGTCTGTCATGTGCAATTATGTGCAACTGAATATTTCCTCCGGTCCCAGAGGTTTTCTGGATATGTTTCATAAATGGGCTAGCTACTGAGACGCATCATTTACATGGATTTGCATCCATGTTAAGCATGAGATGTTTCACCTAGATCCATGTCCCCATTTTTAGCAGCATATTGTCTGGGTAGCTATTACTCAGGAGATTCTAATGCTAGTCAACTAGTGCTGAACTACTTGTGCAACCAACCCAAGGAAGGTTTTTTATCTTGTTTAGGCAATATGACTTTCTTGGGCATAGAATAACGTCCAGATTCATTACTTCCATCTCAATGCTGGTTCATGACTGTTAGTTTGACGCCAATTTCCTTTTTCTTCTCCAGATACAAGAAAACGTCAACCTACTTTGCCGGACTCGTGACAACATCCTCCAAATTATGAACAAGTACACTTCAGGACTTTTCACTTCTTTTATGATGCTGCAATATATCTTGTTACTCGGTGCAAGTTGTTCCCTCATCTTTTTAATTGTCTGGCTGCTTCGTGTGACTCAGATGTGTTGGTCTTTGCGAACACTTTGTGCCTATTTAATACCTCTTTATGCACTTTCACATGGACTTTTGCTTTGTGACGTGCTGCAAATCATTTTCTTCTTGTGCAAGCCTGAGCCTTGGCTAAAATGAGAATAAATTTGAAACATACTAGTACCCACCTTCACTAGCTAGGGTCTTCTCGTTTGTTCTTTGTGTTATCTTGGTGTGCGAGTGGCTAAACGGATGGGAACCTGTCGAATTGACTTCACCTATCTGTTCCCCTGCTTACATTTCCATAGTTAATGGTATAAGCATCTACTGCATAGTGGAAACACTTCGTTCGAAGATCCTGACTCTCTCTCTCTCGCGTTCTATTGCAGCTTGAATGATGTCCCGGAGGTGATGAAGCAGATGCCACCACTTCCAGTAAAGATGAACGAAGAGCTGGCCAACACTATCCTTCCCCGCCCAAACATCCCATGAAATAGATACCCAAGGCGAGATTCAGCAGCGGCGAAATCTTCTCAGCACCCCAAATCCATACTTGAGCCTCTTTAGTAGTCACAGTGTAAAATCGTTTTGTTAATGGTGGTCAACACCTAGTCCTAGTTTGGTTGGTTGGTTGGTTTTCTTTTAAAAGCAGTCCTTGGTAGGAAGAAGAAGAAGAAGAAGATTACTCAGAATTTTACCCTTTCTTTTCTTGGGTTTGTAGGCAATTAGGCTTACACACAATAAGCAAAATATGTGATCTTGTTGTTAATCTTGTCTCTTTACCCTCTCTTTACCTCCCATTATGGGGCCTTCTGTGACTATGTTGTAGCTTTACTTCTTGTCATTGAAGGGCTAGTGCTTAGTAACTAAGCATTTCTTCTTTGCTTATTTTCAAGTAGCCCTTGGAAAGAAGAGAAGAAAGGGTTGTTTCATTCAATTGTTTTTATCTGGATAATGAATTTATTATGAACCTTATGCAGCTATAGTAACCATCTATTTTGGTCCAATTAGGAATCTATTGGATTCAGTTCATACATTACTGGCACCAAATTTGCTGTTGAATTTCAAAAGTCCACTTAAAGATTGGAAAAAGCTGGGCTGCTTACCACCAAGGCAAAATCCACAATTTCTTATATTAGCAAAAGGACCTTTCAAACCCACAACCTTCCTGAAGTACAAATACTTATACATAATCAAAATTAGTAGTTTATTTTGTATAAAAAAACACCACACATGTTGCTAAATGTCCAGAACCGAGTCGAATCGCGAGTTGAGCAAAATTATACGTAAACGTAAAAGCGAGACCTGACGATCAGAAATTTTTGTAGCCCTGTTCGAATTCAAATTTGATTTGTTTTTTCCATTAAAAAATCCACGACAACGAAAATCGATCAGATCTAAATATCGCGACTCGGTTAAATATATCGACCGAAATGCTGCCCTAACCCCCTGTTCTCATGTTGAAAACAAAAGGGTCCTGAATTGGACTGGAACTTTTAAACGTATGTTTTGTATTCTTCTACTTAGGAGGGCTTTTGAATAATTCATCATGACCACCAAAAAAAGTACTCATAAAATCTAGAGAGACACACGTTGTCGTGAATTGACCGGTAAAAAAAACGAATTTTGGTTGCAAAAAGTCGGCACATTACATTACCAATACTTTACAAAGCCGACCCATAAGCCATAATAGCCCATGATGAGACTGTGTCCACATCGGAAAAAGGTTTTCCATATCCGTATCTGTATAGGAAAAGTCTCTCTTTTGTGCTTTGCTTGCATGTATCTCTCTATATATTAATGTAACGCAGAAGCCCAAATGAGAGAATCTTAATCTTCTTCGAAAACAAGCAAAAAAAAAAAACAGAGCATATCCAGAACCCTGTGTTCCCCTGCCTGCAGAGAGATTGCATCGTTTCATCATTTACATCTACTGCTACAATCCTTCAACGAGCTAGCTACCTCTGTCTTTTGATCGCGCTTTAATTATGTAAGTGTCGTGTGCCAGCGACTGAGATTTCTCAACTCCTCGGATGGGCGATTTTCGTGTTCTTGACGTTGTTTCGTGTTCTTCCGGTTGAGGTTTTGCAGGTTCAAGAAGAAGGCAGCATCATCAGTTGGCAAAAACTTGGCTGTGTTGGGTATATTAGTCATCTTAGCAGCCTCCTCCTTGAACTGTGCTGCAGCGCAGCCAGCAGCCGTTTCCAACAATGAAGGTTTGACTGATTATTCTTTAGCGACGAAATTCGGTGGCTAAAAGCTCTGCAAAATCACATATAGCGTATTTTAAGCTGTTACAACTTACAAGTATTGCGTATTAACGTGCTAGTATTGTGTATATACATCTAATGTACCAAATCATGTTCACAGGAAATGCTAACTGGAGCAATGACGATGATGGCACGGTGAGGATAGACCCTCTGGACAAGTTCAAGAAATACAGGGGAGGGTTCGACATCACTAGCAAGAACTACTGGAGTGTGAGTAAATCCAAACAATGTATTCCGACGCGGGCGATTCGATTTATCGCATTTCGTATAATCCGCGATTAATAATTTGCAATCTTTTTCTCTATGTGCAGTCGACTGCATTTACAGGAATATATGGCTACGCCATTGCCGCACTCTGCCTCCTAGCTGGAATCTTCTATGGAGTTTTCAAGCTTGTTGCTCTTTGTTGCGAAAATCGGAGTAGGAATTCGAACGAAGGCAGTAAATCGTCACCGTCTAACAACGACAATTATGTGATCTACAGACGCCTAGTTATCATCGTCCTCCTCACTCTTGTGGCCATGTAAGTAAATGATAAAATGTCGCGATTTGTTCGATTGTCTAAATACTTCATTTGAAATTTATTCTTACCGTAGCCGAAATTTCGCAGAGTGGTTGCAAGTGGAGTGGCACTAGAAGGTAGCGCGAACTTCCACAACAGGGCCAAGAAGGCAGTGGACATCATCATCCACACTGTGAACAATGCCTCGGGGACCATCTACGATGTCACGTCCGCGATGACCGGCATTGCTCGTACTCTGAAATCCTCCGCCGAGGTCTCGAACCGATTCCCGGCGGCCAGGGCTGCGTCGAAATTCCTGAGCTATATGTCCCGGAGGATGGATCGCGAGGCGGCCAACATTGAGAAGGAAGCTAGGGACAATAGGCGACTGATCGATATAGCCGTCACTATTGTGTACGTTGTGAGTGTCGTCGCTATTTCTCTCAATTTGGCCGTCGCAATTGCTATTTCAGGTATGTTTTTAAATTGAATTTAACTCGTTGCTATTTCGTTTTAATCTCTATAAAATTGTTACTGAAGGTCTTTTCTTTTTATGATATTGATGCAGCTTTTGGGGTACTGAGGATTCGGAAAGCAATTAGCTGGTAATTAACTTTAATGCATCTTACTTTCTGCTAAATTAGTGTTCATTATTAGTCATAATTAACTATATAATTATCATAACTCATTACTAAAGATTCTGTATTTTCCATTGTCGCAGGCTTCTTCCATTATTTTGGTCGCTAATAGTCCTCTGCTGGTTGCTATTTGGCATCTATTTCTTCTTACACAAGTAAGCCACATTTTACTTGATCGATTTTCCATCTCAGTTTCAAGCACATCAACTGAACCGTTAAAACATAAATTATGTTTTTTAGCCATGATATTAACATATTTGTCTCTCATTTTCCACTAGTTTCGCAAATGACACGTGTCGAGCCCTCAAGACGTTCGATCAGAACCCTCAGAACAGCAGCCTCAGCTCGCTCGTGCCCTGTGATGACCTAGCGGCAGCAAGACCGACTCTGAGACGGGTAAGAGAGGGGATTTACGATCTCGTCTCCCAACTGAACGTCGTCGCCGCCAACGTGACGGCGGCGTACGGAGTGCCGGCTAACTACATTCAAGTATGCAACCCTTTCTCGCCGCCGCCGAACTACCATTACCAGCCTCTCGATGAGTTCACTTGCCCTCCTCCAGCGTTCCCAATTGGCGACATCCCAAAGGTACAAACACATACGTTCGTTTTCCCTCATTATATTACTCTAATCCGTGTTTGTAAAATTATACCGGTAGTCCTACCAGAAAAATTATCTATCAAAGTCTAACTTGATAGATGATTTTTAGCGATATAAAACAGTTGAAACACAACTAAACTGCAATTTAGTATAATATACTCTATCACAGACTTTTTCGGTATAACCTCTTGTAAGATTTTACGATGTTTGAACCTATGGTATACTAACAAGTAATGCTTGACCGTGTTTCTACAGGTAGTGAAATTGGTGACATGCTCAGACGACGGAACATGTGGGCACCAGCAGTTCGTATCCGCCGCCGATTACAGACTGGTGGAGGGCTACGCCAGTTCGATCCAGAGCCTCGTCGACGCCTTCCCGGAGATGCAGAGCCTGGTGGAATGCGACTCCGTCGAAGCTTCGCTGTCTCAAATTGTTCACCGCCACTGCCAGCCGTTGAAGAAGAATGCGAAGATGGCTTGGGCGTCATTGGTCCCCCTCTCTGTTCTCAACATGGCTCTTCTCGTTTTGGTACTGGTGATACAGAGGATGGGACCTTTGAGGACGAGCGGTTCCGTTGGTATCGTCGCTAAAGATGATCCGCCGCCGGCGCCTCTGTCTCGCCGTTCTTCGTCGTTGGAGCTAGCCGGCTCCGGCGGCCACCGTGATCAGTTGGTTTGAGGTTTTTAGTGAAGATACTTCATTCTTTATTTGTTTGTAATTGTAAATATTCCCACATCCTTCATTTTATTTTGGTTAAGTATTATATTTTACATAGTGGTATAGAGTGATAGGTAATATATATATATTTTTTTAAAGAAGGATTCATTTTATTCATTGAATCTGTACAAAATTAGACATATAGTTATTGAAAAGTAGAAATAATATTTATGTTTTATGATATGAACCCAATCAAGGGGAAGAGAAACATTTATGGTTAAGTATGTAATTATATCGTCTTTTTGTTTGATGTATGTCGATGAATGAAATTTCGATTTTGATCGATTGTTTAGAGATAACAGAATGTGAAAGATACGAAGTTTTGGATTATTATACTAGATTTTTTTGAAATTGGTATATTACGTTACTTGTGACATAATTCGCTTATGAAAAGTCAAATCTTATCCACCACATACTCAATAATTAGAGTTAATTGGACATTTTGATGGTGAAATGCATTTTAAATACGACGAAAAGACAAAATGAGTTTTGTGTGTTTGCTTTTGATTTTAAATTTACTAGCGAGTGTGGGATGGTACCAAATGGTCGAACTTGAGACCAAACTCCAAAGTGTAGACAAGTAGCATGAGGAATCTATCATCAAAACGACAGTAAATATTGTGAAATTCAATTTTAATGTAAATACTTAATATTGAAATTGTATACTGCTGATTATATTTTTTTAAGAAGGATATTAATATAGAAAAATAATTTAATATTTTTTAATTGGATTCAAACTTATCTTTATCATTTTAAATTTTCTGTAAACATGTTCTTAAATGAAAAATAAACTAAATTAATTTTAATGAAGGCAAATACAAAATTTAGTTGAATATGGCCAAAGTCAACAAATTGTCTAACAAAAATAAAATAAAAAAAATTTGGGGCGCAGCCCGTCAGGAGAGACAGATGGCGCCAAAGCTGTTAAAACCCGAACTGCCGGACTCTCGTCGCCATTGACGCTTTCTTCACTCACTCCACAGTCCACACAGCAAACTGTTCTGTATCTATGCCTCCGATGAACACACGCACCTCTGAGACAAAGACGGACGAACAGAGACGGCTTCTGGCTTCGGCAGTTCGGCCGTCGTTCCCGCTTCATCTCGTCGTCATCAATTCACCATGAATCGCCTCGTCTCATTTCGCTCGAAATCGAGAATCGGTACTACCTCTTCCAGCTCCTCCCTCTACGTTCGTCTACTTGCAAGCTCAATCGACGAATCTCGCATTCGTTCGCCCGCCAATGCGTCCGATTCCTTGGCTGCGCTCTCTCGTTGTTCTTCCTTGGTTCCAGCGCGAACCCTAGCGGGATCTTCTCTGTCCGGGCTCTGCAATGGGAGCTCAGCCAGTTTGACTAATTTGACAGGATGCGGAGGGAACCAGGGCGTTGCTAGGAGATTCTGCAGTGGTGCGTCGGTGGAGAGGGAGTCGATGGAGTATGATGTGGTCATCGTTGGAGCTGGGCCTGCTGGATTGTCGGCGGCGATAAGGTTGAAGCAGCTGTGCGGCGAGAAGGGGGTGGATTTGTCTGTTTGTGTTGTGGAGAAGGGTGCCGAAGTAGGTACGTTGCTGTGTCACAAGTTCGCGTGCTGTGTACTTGTTTGCTTGGTGAATTGAAGTTTGAATATCACTTTCCGCCATTTGTGTTTTTCCTTGGATTGGTGGATTAGGTGCTCACATTATATCCGGGAATGTGTTTGAGCCTCGGGCACTGGATGAACTTCTTCCAGAATGGAAGAAAGAAGAGGTGATTTGCTTTACTCACTTCCCTGTTGATTTCGTGAATTCGCTTCCCATTGATGTCTTTCGATTTTGATGCTATGAATCAGTGATTGGGGGTAACAAGTTCGTTCTATGATAGAAACTGAAGTTCATGAACTGTTATAATTTTTGTTGTGTTGTTGTGTAATGTCAAGTTGATTGGAGCAGATTCTAGCAGTTTTCTTTTTCGTTAATTTGTTGTGAATTAACAAGTTCAAGTTAAATGGGTTTCAGATTCTAGTAGTTTCATGTTGATCAGTTCATGGACTGTATTATGACCTTTGAAGTTCAATTAGACGGGCAAAAAGAACAAGCTGTTAGTACTGAGCAACCAATCAAGATTCAAGTGAGATGTAAAATCTGTCGTGTGGATGTCCTGCTTACACTGAGGATCAGTTTCCTAAAACTTTACAGGTGTCTTTTCTTTTGTTTAACTGCAGGCACCAATCTCTGTCTCAGTTTCTTCTGACAAGTTTTGGTTTCTCACAAAGGATCGTGCATTTTCACTCCCAAGTCCATTTGATAACAAAAATAATTATGTGATAAGGTAATATGAATTCTCTTGCTGTTCTTGTACTGAGACATTCAATATCTTACTTTTGAACAATCCTGCTTTCCTCCTCTCTATATCGGGAATAATTTTAGATGTTAGTCTGATAAATATGTGATATAAGTTGGCCCTGTTCACAATCATACTTGCTTTATTGAAATTTGACTATGGGTGCTACAGTATTATTAGTAGCCAGCAACATGGTAGTACTCGGTATCACCTTGTCTTGCTTTTTTTTTTTTTTTTTTTTTTTTTGTTTCTGCATCCCGTGAATATCAAAATCTGAGTCTAATGTTCTTCTAGCCCGATGGAGCAGGGGATGTAACACTATTTATCCTAAATAAGTGAGGGAATTGTGGTAATTCTTGAAGCCAACTCATTACTGTAAGTCTTTGCACAGCTTGAGCCAATTAGTGCGTTGGTTGGGCTCGAAAGCTGAAGAATATGGTGTGGAGATATATCCAGGATTTGCTGCTAGTGAGGTAGCTCAGTTGCCTTTTATATTTCAATCCGTGCTTATTACCCAAAAAAATAAGTAAATCTTTTTGGTGTTTGTAGATACTCTGTGATGAGAATAGTAGTGTAATTGGAATTGGAACCAATGATATGGGAATTGCAAAAAATGGATCTAAGAAGGAAAATTTCCAGCGTGGTGTTGCATTGAAAGGTGAGTCTTCTGGTTTCTCTGGAAACACGATGATTCAAGTATTTGCTTTGATTATAAGTTATAACTGTTGCCCAAGTAACAAAAGATTCCTCTTTCTGTAGTGGATTGATTTACTATCAATGTTGCTTTATGAGGCGATAAAACTTGCAGGTCGAGTAACGCTTTTTGCTGAAGGTTGCCGAGGATCATTGTCAGAGGTTTGCAAAAGTAACTTTGTGGCTTGGTTACTTTTTCTCATTAGGGTTAACCAATTTTTCAATTACACTAACTAATTGCATATTTTTTTTCCTATTATCAGAAGATAATCAAGAAGTACAATTTGAGGGAAAAGCAGAATGCTCAACATCAGACATACGCGTTAGGAATCAAAGAGGTAATATACTTTCTAACGAGCCCGGTTTTCACTGTGTTTAATGTTTTAGAACTTTGTTTCTTTGCTTATCAATTTTGTTAGAAAGTACTTATAGGTTTGACATACTTCCAGATTGAACTGAATTATGTTGGTATTATTATGAAATAATCAAGACTGCAAAGTTCCCTATATTTACTCTTACCGATTAACTAGATTTCATCCATACAATCAGCCCTTACCCACCAAGTGCATTTTCTATGTTTTGACTCGTTGATGGATGTTTTCAGGTTTGGGAAATTGATGAGAGTAAGCATCAACCTGGTGCAGTTATTCACACTTTGGGTTGGCCGTTAGATCAGAAAACATATGGGGGTTCATTTCTGTACCACATGAGTGAAAGACAGGTAACTACAGTTCTTGCTGCTTTCTGTATCTTAACTTTCTCCTTGAGTATATCGTTAGCTTTGATGTTTGAGATCATCATTATCCCACAAGGATACTCTTGTTGTGAAGGGAAACAAGAGTATCCCTAATGCAAATACTAGAGAGGGTAACTACCAGAACCATCGGTGAAGATTTTCTTCAGTTTAATAAGGATTCGGAGTAAAGTTTTTTGTTTTGATTAAGCAAATAGTAGGTCAGTTCATTTCATTTTCGAGATGATGATTTGCAGCACTGCTTGCCTGTTATACTCTGTAGCTATAGTTTGTACAATAGACTTGTAAACTTGTAAGTTCATGTCTGGGGTAAATTCCATGCAGTGTTCCTACTCAGATTTTCTTCTATGTTGTATCATTTAGTTTGATGCCCTGCTTGCCTTTGCAAGTTGGAATGACATTTACCAGTGCCCTTTGTTTCATGGAGTTCTATACTCATGTCATTGCTTTCCCTGTTGAGCATGCAGGTTGCTATAGGTCTTGTGGTGGCTTTGAACTATAAGAATCCATATTTGAGTCCTTATGATGAATTTCAGGTAAAATGGGTGTGTTGGTCTTTCATACACTTTGGTTCATAGTTCTGATTCTTGTGGTGGCTTTCAACTATCAGTTCACATTCCTGGTCCATAGCTGAAAGAAAACATGATAGTACATGTATGCAGACTAGTGCATATTTGAACGTATAAGCTGGAAGAGCTTCTTAGTTGGTTTAAAACCTTTTCTAGCCATTAAGTTTCTCCTTTGATTCCACAGAACATGTATATATTTCCATCATATGTGGATCATAAGTATTTCAGGACTTAGTGAACTTTCCTTCTCTGTCTTTGTCTTAGAAACTGAAGCATCATCCTGCCTTCAAGCCAATTCTTGAAGATGGAACTGTTGTTCAATATGGAGCGCGAACTTTAAATGAAGGTGGTATTCAGGTGTGTATGCTTTCTTGTGTAGAAATGCTATTCGTCTCCAAAAAGCTAGGTTGCATTTAAGAATAACATATTTGGAGAAATGTTTTATGTTATAAATGTAAGGAGCATGTTCCACATAAATGAGAGTAGTTTTAGAATTTCACACATGCCATATCACCTGCTTATGTGATACTTAGATAAATTTCAGTCCATTCCCTATCCACTTTTTCCGGGAGGAGCTATTATCGGGTGTTCGGCTGGCTTCTTAAATGTACCAAAAATAAAGGGAACACATACGGCAATGAAATCAGGTACTTGCTCCATTTCTTGGTGATATGGCTTTGTTTTGCTCTCATGGCTTTCTGCTGCATCCTCTTTTTCTATAAATGAGTATAAGGTTTCATAGTTGTACTTGGTTTTCCCTTTTGGTGAAGAACTTCCTGATTGTGCTTCTTTGAGTAGAATAAGAATAATTTCTCCACATAGAAACTCAAGTTCTTTACATAGTGCAAACTACAAACTATCAAATTGTGGTACTGTTTTTAACACATATCTTTTGTCTGTTTGTCTATCCTTGAACGGTGAAGGCCTTGTTTTTTCTACAATGCATGCATAAGAGTTCAAGAATTGGAAGAAAAAGAATCCTAGAACGTTCCAACCCCAGAGAGCTGTCCATGAAATCATTTTGTGTTTCTGTAATTGCCCAGGAATGCTTGCTGCAGAAGCTGCGTTTGGTACGCTTCTTGAAGGTTCGAACTTAGATTCCTATTGGACAACTTTGCAGAATTCTTGGGTATGGGAAGAGCTGCATAAAGCACGGAACTACCGACCTGTAAGTGAAAATTTCACCGCCGTCCTTTTCTTTTTGTTTTCATTACCTTATTACAGTTTCTTAGCAAATTCATATTTATTCAGTCGAATCATGTCTTCAGTCTTCTTGTTTTCATGAGCCAACTTATATGACTGTAGGCATTTGATCATGGGTTTATTCCTGGAATGGCCATCAGTGCAGTAGAACAGTAAGAGTTTAGCCTCCATCAAATTTTCTTTCACTTGGATTCACAGTCACATTTTGATTAGTTTTCTGCCAAACAGTTACTTGTTTAGAGGGAAGTCACCATTTACACTTAAGCATGGGAAGCCTGATCGTGAAGCTACAAATGTAAGTCAACATGTCTAAACAAGCTATTTATGTTTTAATCGTTGAATTTCAATTATACACTTATGTTAGTCCAATGAGGCCACAAGTAAAGTTAGGCCCAAATTCAAGTGTCTACACGTTGACTCCCAGGCTGCTGGGAGTGTGGTATTTAGCTATTAATAGTTCTGTAATTTAAAACTATGAACAACCAGATTCTGGTTTTGCTATATCTCAATTTTCGTTTGCTGCCTTTACACCTTGTGAGACTTAGGTGAATAGACAACCAGTGACCAGTTCGCATTACATTTACAAGTGGATGATGATTAGCTCACCCTTCTGACTGCAGGTGGCAAGGTCTCATTCTCCAATCGAATATCCAAAGCCTGATGGAGTTCTGTCATTTGACGTACCCACCTCTCTCCACAGGTTTCTGAGCCTATCTCATAGAATGCTCAGATATTGATAGAAGTATCTGAACTTTCAATACGTTTGCACCAAAACAGAGTTGTTAAGGATGGCACATGATATCCACTGCAACCCTAGTCAGCATTTCATTAAATAGCAGCTCATTCTTCAGCGTCTGATGGTGGCTTACCACATTCTTCCTTTCACTCTTTTGGATCTCTCTTTTTATGCTATTTTATTCCCCTTGTGCAGGAGCAACACAAATCATGATCATGATCAGCCGGCACATCTGAAACTCAGGGACCCTGAAATCCCTACCAAAGTGAACTTGCCAGAGTATGATGGACCAGAGTCACGATACTGTCCTGCTCGTGTGTACGAGTATGTGCACCTTTCATGACACGGTTTATGCATTTAGCTTTTCATTTCTATCTCTTAAGGGTAGAATGTATCTGACATAAGAGTTTTCCCCAAATCCCGGTGAGCGGGGTTGCAGGTACGTCCCAGAAGAGAGCGGCCAGTTGAAGTTACAGATCAATGCTCAGAATTGCCTACACTGCAAGGTACTTGTAAAAACCAAAACTTCGTCTAAGAATCGTCGTGATTTATCCTTTGAACATTCCATGTATACATAGAGAAAGAAAGCTCATTCTCGACGATAGAGAACTTCGTCTAAGAATCGTAATGATGAATGACAGTACTGCTTCTGATGAGTGTTCAGGAGATATATGGTGCTGGAAATGGAATAGAGCAATTGCATTGGACAGCCCTCTTCTGACGAGTCGCGAAACATCTGACATTTGGTCTGATCTATTTTGCAGGCATGTGACATCAAGGACCCAAAGCAAAACATTGAGTGGACAGTCCACGAAGGAGGCGGCCGCCCAGGCTACTCAGTTATGTAATAGTACTCGAAGTAGTGGTACTAAATTTACTGAAAACTCAAATAAAGAAGAGCCTCGTATCGTCGAACTTTGATTATTGTAACGAACTTGAAACTGAACTATGCAATATAGATGTAATATAAGAGTGATTTCGCGAGGTCCTTTGTCGGGATTGATCATGTTTGCTTGTGATTCATCAAGATGTTGGTTTTCGGTATTGTCAGTTTGAACTGGATAAAGTGACGGATACGAGTTTAAATGTTCCGTACATTGTTAGCTAATTACTCGTATCCGTACATTTTGTTAAAAATAAAAGTTTGGTGGATTGTTTTGTCTGCGATCCTAAAGTTTGTTGACCATTTATGTAATTGTTCCAAATAAGTGGGCGAGCCCAAAGAGAGAGAGAAGTTTGGGCGTTTGGCGCTGGCGGAGAATAATCGCGGCACAAAGCCCACGAGCTTCGTCACCCAATTGAGCGCCTTCCCTCGCTGTTCGCTTCGTGGAGTCGCCGCCGGCCTCTTCAAATGGAGCGGAGACTGTAGCTGTAGAAGGAGGACCCCGGTGGAGAGAGAGTAGTAGACGGCTGCGGCGGAGGTCGGGCGGCTTTGTAGAGAAGGTCCACTGAAGTGGTTTTCACCAGATAGGAACGGTTTGAACGCCGATTCCTCGGTAAGGACTTTGCGAGTTTGTTGCAGTTCCGACGGCTCAGTTTTTGGAGGGCTCTCATTCTTCTCAGACCTTTGTAATGGAACGCTCAAGTGTTTCTTGATAGAAGAATACCAATGGGCTACTCTGTGGTGGTCACTCCGTCAACCGTAGCGGTAATGGCGATTTGATTTCTTCGGACAGGGGGTCTCAGTGAATAAGGTCTTCATTCACGAACGGTGAATCAACTCTCCTTGAGCTTTGCAGAGCTGCAGAGGCATTAGGAACTATGCAGCAGGTCTCCCGCAAGGTACTACCACTACTATTACTGTTGCTTCTCACAACCATCAACTGTATTCACAACGTGACCCGTTTCTAGGATTAATTTGCTTTGTAGAAAGAAATGGGATCAAATTCTTTGAGCTTTTGTTGCTTAGTGTTTTCCGTGGTTCTGTGATGGTCTTTTAGGCTACTCGACTTGACTTGTTTTGCCTCCCATTGCGATCCTGTTTCTTGAACTGAGATGGTGTCATGAGATAATAATTATTCCTATGCTGAAGTAGAGATGTGTGTGTTATAACTGTGGGCATTGTTTGCTAGATGCTAAAGCTGGGATTTGGGGTTCGGTTTCGTATTAGGAAGTTATGCTCTGTCTCAGGCATTGCCCGAGTTGATTATGAAGACTGTTCAATACGAGATGATGCTGCATCTTCGAAACCCGGCATCCAGATTACTCCAAACATGGTGGAAATCAACTCTCAGTTGAAGCTGCTGATCAAGACTAACCGTTTGACGGATGCTCGGGATATGTTCGACAAAATGCCTTGTAGAGATGAAATTTCATGGACCACAATTATATCTGGCTATGTGAGTGCCATGGACAGTGCCGAAGCATTGACATTGTTTTCGAGGATGTGGGTTGAGCCTTTGCTCCAAATGGACCCCTTTGTAATAAGCCTTGCGCTGAAAGCTTGCGGGCGGCACTCGAGTATTCGTTTTGGTGAATTATTACACGGATACTCGATCAAATCTGATTTCGTTAGCTCAGTTTTCGTGGGGAGTGCTCTCTTGGATATGTACGCTAAAGTCGGTAAAATTGACAGATGTCTCATGGTGTTTGCTGATATGCCTCTGAGAAATGTGGTTTCTTGGACTGCTATTATAACTGGACTTGTCCGCACTGGCTATTATAAGGAAGGATTGATTTACTTCTCGGAAATGTGGAGGTCAAAAGTTGTTTGTGATTCGTACACGTTTGCAATAGCGTTGAAAGCCTGTGCTGATTTGGGTGCTTTGGATCGTGGGAGGGAGATTCATTGTCAGACTATAAAAAAAGGATTCCATATCTGCTCATTTGTGGCCAATACTCTCACTGTCATGTACAATAAGTGCGGGAAATTGGACTATGGTTCACGTTTATTCGAGCAGATGGAGTTGAAAGATGTTGTTTCATGGACAACAACTATAGCAACATGTTGTCAAAATGGGGATCATGAAAATGCTGTCATAGCCTTTAGAAGAATGCGGGAAACTGGTGTGAGTCCAAATGAATACACTTTTGCAGCAGTGATGACTTCTTGTGCTAATCTTAGGAGACTTCGATGGGGTGAACAATTACATGCTTATGTTTTCCGCTTGGGATTAGTTGATCATTTATCAGTGACCAATTCCGTCATAACCATGTATTCAAAATGTGGTCAGCTTGACTTAGCTTCCAGCATTTTTGAGAGGATGACTGAAAGAGACATCATATCATGGAGCACTTTAATTGGAGAGTACTCTCAAGGAGGCTTCGGAGACAAGGCTTTTGGTTACCTATCCCAGATGAGAAGGGAAGGCCCACAACCAAATGAGTTTGCTCTTGCTAGCGTTCTAAGTGTTTGCGGGAACATGGCGATTCTCGAGCAAGGAAAACAGCTTCATGCTCACACATTACGCATTGGTTTGGAACAGGATGCCATGATACGAAGTGCTTTAATCAATATGTATTCCAAGTGTGGCAGTATACCAGAAGCTTCGAAAGTGTTTTCTGAGGCTGAAAATGATTGCATTGTGTCCTGGACTTCCATGATCAATGGTTATTCTGAGCATGGGTTGAGTGAGCAAGCAATTACTTTGTTTGAGAAATTTCGAACATTAGGTTTAAGACCAGATTCAGTTACCTTTATCGGTGTTCTCACAGCTTGCTGCCACGTTGGATTAGTTGACCTTGGTTTTCACTACTTCAATATGATGAGCAAGGAATATGAGATTTTTCCTTCAAAGGAGCATTATGGCTGCATGATTGATCTTCTTTGCCGAGCTGGACGACTAAATGATGCTGAGGGCATGATTGAGAGCATGCCATTTCAACAGGATGATGTCGTTTGGTCAACTCTTCTCAGAGCATGTAAGATCTATGGAGATGTTGATCGTGGAAAACGTATTGCTCAGAAGATTCTGGAACTAGATCCTAATTGTGCTGGCACGCATATTACCCTTGCTAACCTGTATGCTGCCAAAGGGAAGTGGAAGGAAGTAGCTGAAGTGAGGAAAATGCTAAAATGGAAGGGTATAACTAAGGAGACTGGATCTTCATGGATAAAGATGAGGGATGAGGTTTCTACATTTGTATCTGGCGATGACACTCATCCACAGGCAAAAGATATTTACAATGTACTAGGTTTGCTATCCTTAAGAGAAGATGAAGATGTCATGGGGATAGGTTATGGTCCCGTTAATGTTGAAGATCAGCAAATAAATGCGTTCTTGTATTGATCTGCACAGGAGGATTAATCATTAAATTGTCGTTATGACTTGAGCAGGAGGTCTTATTGGCTAAAGATGTCTTGTGATATCTCAAAAGCTGAATCTTCCACGTTTACTCTATCATTTGATGGTTGTGATTAAGTGCACAATTAGCATTGACCCATTGGATAATGGGTAAGGCCTGGCTCAGGAACTTCCCACCATCAATCAATATTGGTTAATCCACATTTAGCATCAGAGAGGGGCTGTCTGCAGTTTGCACATACTGAATTCTCGATCCATCATCTTTCTAGCATATGATCGAGAAGGTTCTTCTTTGATGCAGAGAGCAAAGAAAGAAATAGGTAAAGCTCGCTATCAAAAATACTGTTGCTAGATACAGTTGCTTATCCACAACTGTTAGTTCACCCTTAATAGGATCTTGTGCATGCTCGTTATTCCCCGATTTTCTCTCTTGCCTCTCCAAGCCCAGTTCCAATCATACAGTCCTAATGTTTCTGCTTTTGGGTGTTTTTAGAAACTTCAGATAGATTTATTTGTAGTCGTGGCATTAATGGGTTCTCTCTTTTCCGGCAGGTTTTGCACAGAGCCAATGGCTACTGTTCACAGCTTAGGCGATTTCTTTCTGCCGGGCACGAGCAGAACCTCTGTGGATGGGTCAGTTACTAATGCGATATCTCGCTCTTTTATGCCTTCGTCACATGATCCATCCTTGCTCAACATGGTCTCTTCAGGCTTCCTTGCAGGTAATTCAATTCTCTTCATCCCCTGCTCTTTTAGTTTGTTGTCTTGAACTTGTCTGCTTTCCAGATATGGGTTGAATCATTTGGAGTTGCTCTTGAACCTTATGTTGCAGTTAGAGGACCTAAGAACGAAATAACTGAAGTTGGAGTGATCCTCTCTCATGGTTAGTGAATATATACCTCCATATGTAAATGTGAGCAATCGCCAAATTGAGATTTGGGAACTTCATCGTATTGATTAACCACTCTCCTTTGCCATAAGATTTCCAAATTGATAACTACTGATTTCTCCTGCCTTCATACGGTTCAGTAAGTGGGTTTTTCAGGGATCTAGCATATTTGGCATCTAATTCCAGAAACTCTTTGTGCAGTTTTTTCTACCATGGTCGGCATCTTCTTCGATCATGTTCTGGGCATCATTGTCATTGATCTGGTGGGGAGAAAATATTATGATCCATCCCAGCCAGATTGAAGCAGAGATCAACTTGTCCAGCATGACATAGCAAGTGGCAAGAATACCATCAAAGGTTACTGAATATTGTCTTAGCCCAGTTTCTATACATAATGATTGGATTTATAGTTTGATGTAAACATAAAAGAGAAACAGTAACAATGTGTGCAACATTTTCTGTTACCTCATAAATTTGCAAGAGGCAAAATTTTGTTGTACTAGGAACACTCCTTTTACCATAAGTTTCAAGAAGTTTAATCATATTACCATAGCTGATACTTAATAACTGTCACGTAACGAACACATAAACGAAAATTCGGTCCATATCTCTTAAAATGTCAAAAGAATATTAACGATTGTATAACAAACATAACGATCATAAAACGTGCAAACTCGTTAATACAAGAAACCAACTTCAACTACCATAACTAACTCATCAACCATTCAACCTATGCCCATGCCCAATAAAAAAACATCAACCAAACCACAAGAACAATGAAGACACCCCATCCATGGAAACCTCTAGTAGTAGTAATGAGAGAGAGAGAGAGAGAGAGAGAGAGAGAGAGAGAGAGAGAGAGAGAGAGATCAAAAGAAACAAGAAAAGGCCAACTTTCATATGATGGTTGAGATCACAAACTCCAAAAGCAAAGGAGTATGGGAGACATGTGACATTGTTGTTCAATGTTGGGCGCAAGACCAAAGTTATAGCTACTCCTCAGTCCTCCCATTCTTTAATGATAAATAAATATTTATTTTCATAATTTCTTCCCACTTTTCCAAAATTTTCCAATTTCTCATTTTGATCAATGGCTTGCAAATTTCTTCGGTGGTCGCTGAAGAAGCTCTGGGCTGGGCTGTATAACAACAACAATACCTCTTTTCTGGGCTGCTCGCCATTTCTTCACAGAGTCCGCTTCTTCTGAAAGCTTCGCGGGTTTCCCTTCTAAAAAGGCGTGGACTTTTCCTCCCCAAATTCCTTCGCCAGGTGAAATGGTGGTGCTTGCTGCTCCAATCAATCCATCCTTCTTCTCGTCCTCTGGCTAACGCGTTCAGATCTCTGCCTGCTTCACTGGGTTAAAGGTTTCTTCTTCCGCTCTGTTCTCCTCGATCGTTTTCAGCTTCTGGGTTCGAAAGACTCGTCGTCGGGGGTTTTTTCTGGTTTGTTCGGCGGGTGGACTTTGAATTAGGGTTGTTGTTACTCTGCTCTCGCTCAGATAGTGTGTCGTTAAGCGGTGAAGAATCTGCTCGAGTCGGTTGACTTTTCGTTAGGGATTTTGATGCGGGAAGCGCTCTGATTGGTCTTTTGAAAGTACTAGTTAGGGTTGTTTTGTTCTGGGTTCGTTTCGGTGATGGATAAGGATAAATCCGGGGCTCATGGCGGGTTGCCGCCGACTCCGACGGGCGGTCGTTTCCCGAGCTTTTCGCCGCCGGGAAGCTCTTACGGTGTGAAACCTGAACCGCCTTCTTCTTCTGCGTTCCCGCCGCTGGCTTCTCCGGATTCCGGCCGGTTCAGCCACGATATTAGCCGAATGCCGGATAATCCGCCGAAGAACTTGGGCCACCGGCGGGCTCATTCCGAGATTCTCACCCTTCCCGACGATATTAGCTTCGACAGCGATCTGGGAGTTGTGGGTGCTGGCGCTGATGGGCCTTCTTTCTCCGATGAGACTGAAGAGGATATACTTTCAGTGTACCTCGACATGGAGAAGCTGAATTACTCCTCTGCGACGTCTGGTTTTCAAGCTGGGGAGTCGTCGAACCCTGGAGCAGCTGGCTCTGTATTGGCAAACTTTCATAGTGGCTCGGCTGCCATGTCAGTGGATGGTGGTGCACCGAGTGAGAGACCGAAAATTAGGCACCAGCACAGCCAGTCGATGGATGGTTCGACCAGTATCAAGGCTGAGATGCTCATGTCTGGTTCCGAGGATGCTTCTGCTGCCGACGCCAAAAAGGCTATGTCTCAAGCAAAGCTTGCTGAGCTTGCTCTTATTGACCCCAAGCGAGCAAAAAGGTCCGATTACTTGCCCCTTTGCATTTGCTGTTGCGAATAGACTTGTGCATCTCTTAAGCTTGCTTGATTTGATTTATTTGGTAGAGTGACTTATAATTGACACAAATGTATCGTTTGGCACTCCTGATCACTAGGAAATGGACATGCAATCTCAAAACACTCGGGGTAGGAAGTATTTGAAATATACTCTGAAGAATAGCATGCAAAATGAAAATTTTAACGTGGATGATAAATTCAATTTACAAATACGTTGAATCAAACAGACTATTTAAGAGTGTTGGAAAGCAGTTTGGGTTTTTTTTTCTTTTTCTTTTTTGTTGGCTTGCTGTCGAGGCGTTACGATAGGGTTTGCTGGCTTTTTCCTGTAAAAGCTAAATCTTTTAACTTTCCCCTTTGGTTCCTTATGTGGTACTTATGTTTTACTGTCTTGTTTATTTTCCATTTTCTACATGGTGTAATAGAATATGGGCAAATAGGCAATCAGCAGCAAGATCAAAGGAAAGGAAGATGCGATACATTGCTGAGCTCGAGCGAAAAGTGCAGACATTACAAACGGAGGCAACATCCTTGTCTGCTCAATTGACTCTTCTGCAGGCAAGCTGGATTGACTTGATAGTTCACTTATAAATATGTGAAGTAGGAAGGCTGTTACTTGCTTATCACACAAAGGTTAAAGCCTAACACTTCAATGATGTATGTACTTTCCTCTCTTTTTCTCTGAACAGAGGGATACAAATGGCCTAACCTCTGAAAATAGCGAACTGAAACTTCGGCTGCAGACGATGGAGCAGCAGGTTAATCTGCAAGATGGTTAGTACCTTTCTACTTATTTGAAGCAGCTGCAATATGTTTAGTTTTAATAGGTGTTTTCTGTTTCGTTTGTGTTTTGCTCTTATTCCGTTAATGGCTAAATTCGTACATAATTGTTACTGGTTTGTTGTGTTTTAGTTGGACGTTGTTGAAGCTTGCTATTTGCACGAGTCTCATGTTTCTTTAGATGGTTTCCAATAATTGTGATGGTTTAATTCGTTAGAAAATCGAGGTTCATAGTCTATCTATCAAAACTATGACTTTCTTTTCTATTTTTAAGATAAAAATAGGTTTGCATTGTGAATTCATAATCGTATAAGCAATAGAGGTATGATTGACATGTTTGAGCTAGACTGACTTCAGCCTCGCTGGTCTCTTGAGTAAGCCTGGAAATGGGTAGAATTTTTCTTTGCTGGACCATTGCCAAAATGACTAGGACTAGTTTTCTAGATTAGTATATGAAACATGACTGCTACATCTTTGTACTGTGTGTGATTACCATTATTGAGAAAGAATATCGGTCAACATGGTTGCTCCGTGTCAGGGATTTTTACTTTTACTTTTGAATGGTGTACAAGTAATTTCAAATTACTAAAAGGCGATAATATGATTTTTTTTAAGTTGATTCCTGCTTGCATGGAGTATTAATAAATTTTTTCTAAGTTCAGTATGCTACATCGCGTTACTTTTTCTAATATGTTGTGAGTGCCCAATATAGTTTGTTCTTAACCTTATTACTGATGAGTGTATATAATAGAAGACTGGTAGACCTCTGTTTGTGGGTTTCCTTGAATTATTTTGTAATCTGTTGGTGTAAAATTTAACGAGGGGCTTCAATTCTGCCTTCTGAGGAAGCTTCTCTGACGGAGAACAGGAAGATAGGGTTTGAGAATGATGTTAGATCAAATCTTACCATCTATTTCGGAAGAGTTCACCACCTTTTAATGTAGTTTTGGTCACGGCATACTCGTAATAGGAAAATTGGTTGTCGCCCTATTACAAATGCTTACCCTAGAAGGAGGGATAGGATCCCTGTGAGAATTGATTGCCCCCACTAAGATAAGAGATCATCAGACTGGCATTGCTCCCTTATAGATATACCATTATATGGCCCTTGTTGAGTAGACTACCCTTGAATTAGACATCTTCTTCTCTAAACCTTATCAAAAGGGCTAAATGCCTAATCGGGTTGAGGAATGCAATATACTCGACCGAAGGTTGAGGAATGCAATATACTCGACCGAAGGTTGAGGAATGCAATATACTCGACCGAAGGTTGAGGAATGCAATATGGAGATTTAGCTGGGTGATGCTATTCAGGGTACATCTAGTTTGTAGCCCATGCTACATACACAGAACTCCTTTTTGTCTGGAGAACAAACATTCACCAAGTTTAGGTACTTCCCCTCAGATGTGAGCTCATCAATAAAACCTATCAAAATCAGCCCATAACATCAATAAAGCCTATCAAAATCAGCCCATAAATCTAACTTGTAATGTCTCTTCGTCTCTGTCGAGCCCTGAATTCCTTGTGGATCAATTTGCTCTTCATTTTCAGCCTCATAGCTTGGTAGCAAGACTTGATATCTTGGGTAGCTGTTCATACGCTGGATTCGGTTGATATATGTACATTGGGTAATTGAAATGGTATTCTTTTAGATCGAACTTTATAGATATGCAGTTCTGGTAGGGACTGTTGTTAGTTAGCCAACCGTGTGAAAAGATTGTTTCATTTTCTAAGCATGTTATACGTGCTTGCCTTTCTATCTCTTAAATCCAAGTCCATAGTCATTAATTACGCTTATGTTAAGGTCTGGTTAGCATTATATTGCTTATGCCTGCAAATATTTGCTCCTTGTGCCCTTATTGGGTTACTAGTCAGATCTTTGCCAATTGGTGGATATCGCCAGTCTTTCCTCTGAATATTGAGTTAATAATCTGAGGTTAGAGAGTTTCTGGGTAAACAATTTTCAACAAACAAGCTACGGCCTTATTATGTTGGTTTCTTTTGGTCATTATAACTGTCATGTCTTTCTGATGAAAATATGATGATCTCTGTTCTTCTTCTTTTCTTTTAGCATTGAATGATGCACTGAAAGAGGAAATCCAGCATTTGAAGTTACTAACGGGACAAGGCATGGCCAACGGAGGACAAATGATGAACTTCCCTCCTTACGGAGCAAGCCAGCAGCAATACTACGCCAACAACCAGTCCTCCATGCATACCCTTCTAGCTGCCCAGCAATTCCAGCAGCTCCAAATTCATTCTCAGAAGCCGCAGCAGCAGCCACAGCCACAGCACCACCAGTTCCAACAGCACCACCACCTCCATCAGCAGCTTCAGCATCATCAACAGCTACAGCAGGAACAGCACCTGCAGCAAGCCGGGGATTTGAAGATGCGAGGTGGAGCAGCGTCTACTATGGGCTCGTCGATGCAGAAAGATAATAATGGAGCGGATCTCCTTAACCCAGATGGGAAAAAGGATTGATGAGACGCGAGAGGCTGATGAAGATGAAGAAGATAACTAACAATTTGATTGATTGCCATTTGTTTGCTAGAGAGAATTCAGATTTAGGGGTTTTGCTTTCCCTTGTGATGCAGGCGTGTAATGGTTCCCAGTATGTTTAGTAGTCTCCCCCCCATTCCATTTGTTGTTAGCAGCAGTTTGGTTCTATCTTGCTGTAAGATCATGATTTGTTGTTTTAGCCCTGGAGAACCAAATGTTATATCATGTTTTCATATACATGGAAAGAGACAAGGATGTAGACTGTAGATGGTAAGTTTAACTTATAGCACCTTAATGTTTCTTGGGGGTACTTTCCTTGATGACATAGAATATGGCTCATCTCTATCAGTTGGTTTTATTTTAATCCAACTTGTTTAAGTTAGAATTCAACTTAGGAAGGAAGAAATCTGACAGCATTCATTCAAATTAGTACCTTAAGGGTCATATACATCATATGGACCGTAACGCGCATAACTCGACCTAATTTCACTCAACATCAGTCTCTTCTAAATTGAACTAGAGTTCTTCATTGTTAGAAAACTTCACCTTGAGTTGGTTGTACTATTTTGCATTAATATGTAGAATTTTAGAGACAGACTAGATAGTTTGTTCGTGCTTTTACCAACAACAGTCCATGTATCAGTATCACACAACATAATGAGAAAACAAGAGCACAAATGAAATTCATTAGTACACATTGATAAAAATTGTCCTGAAATCATCTATTTCCAAAGTTCTTATTTTTCATCCAAACGGATTTGTAATGCAAGTTTCCTCCTGATTAGTTACTTACTGGTGGATTATACGACAGCGTAGCAATATGGTTATGAGCCACGGTGCCAATCCAGAGCTTCCCATTCACTTCCCTAACTTCACTCACAAGCTTCATCACCATTCCCTTGGGATCTTCCATCACCTCCAGGATCCGGCCATTCTCGTCGAACAATGCGATGACGGTGTACATCTTCATCCCCATGATCCTCGCCAACAAGCTCATCCTCAGAGGCAGCCGGAAGTAGACGCTCCTCATCCATGGGTTCCGAGTTAGCACCTCTTGCGGTGCAGTTCTGCAGCAGTCGATGGCTACCCAGTACTGCCCTTTGTCGTTGGCACGAACGTTATCTGGGAAGCCTGGTAGGTCGGCCACATGGTCCACCGAGCCAGCCTTTGGTCCCTCCAACCAGTACTTCATTAGCCTATGTGATAGTTTGAGTACAAGAACGAAAAAGAAAATTGTTCAGTTGCCAACCTAGTACGAGTTGACACTGTCAGATCGTCCCTAACACGATCTCAGCCACTGAGAGCGTCGAGAGACGATCCAACCTAGGACGAAATCGATCGATTGAGATGTTGCATTTGACTAGTGATATGGGGGCATTATGACGCAGTACCAACCTGCAATTAGTGGTCTCTGTGAAGAGGAGGAAAGTTTGGTCATGAGACAATTGGACACCATTAGGGAAAGCTAGCCCATCAACCACAACATGAGTTTGATTTGTGGGAGGATCATATCGTAGAAGCCTGCCCGTTGCTTCTCCTTCCAATAAGATGAAGAAATGGCTCCTATATATGGTAGATCCATGGTGAGAAGAAGAAGAACAAATTGAAATAAGAAATTAATGTGTAGTAAGTAGTAACACAATATAAAAAAGGCGAGAATCTAATTCATTATGTTCAATCTTTCTGCATACGTAATCGATTAAGTCTATGTGAGCAATTCAAATGCGATGAATTCGACTCCCTATTCGAAATCGGTATGAATTCAAAAATCATAGTCACAACCACATTCGCATTTCGCTGGCAACCTCTTCCAGAGTTCAAAACCTAAATGGACACTAAACTTGGTGTTGGTAACAAAGTGTTCATTCATAATCATATGTAACAAATGAGCCATTAAATTCTAATAAGACTGGGTGACGTTTTCGTAGAATAAAACGAAAAGCTATAATACAAATGTGTTATGTTTTAGAATTTAGTGATTCTTTTGTTCGAAAGAAGACAATTTAGGGATCAATAGGCAAAAGAAAAATCGGAAGAAATTTCCACTTACACACGGTCGTATCGTTTGCTAGTGTCTGTGAAGAAAACGGAGCCGTTTGAGTGGATGTCGAGATCATTAGCAAACAGAATGGGCTGCCCGCCCACATCGTGCGTAGCCAAGGGCCTAGCTATTCCACCTTTGGGCCCAACCATCAAAAGCCCATAATAGGCGTCTGCAATGTACAGCTCGCCCGTTGCCTTGTTGAACCTCAGGCCCAAAGGCCGGCCGCATTGCTTCTCGTACTTCCATTGCTTCGCCGTCGTCGACTCCACTCCTCTCCCGCACTCCTCCTCGGTCCTTCAAGATTCAAGGTTATTTACAGTGTGGTCCTCCATTTTACAAAATATTTGGGTGATGATAAAATGAAACCGATGAGTGTGGTTATACGTAATTTACCATGTATTAGTGACGACGGCAAATGTCTCCCAACCAATTTGATCGCCCATCCATCTCACGATCCGACCGTCGGCTAGACCGGTGTAAGGACCGTTTCCATTGGCATCGAACTCCAATGATTCTGGCCCGAATACCTGATCCACAAACTCCAGCTTGCCTTCCTTTCCAAGTCGGCTCTCGTTGTCTTTTGGCCAATGCTGCATCACTTCATCATAACTCGCAATCTCGTGCCTCACGGGTCGAAACTCGTGCTCCCCAATGGGCCCCATCTTGAAAGGATCGATTGCCAGGAAGCCCATCACAAAGCTCAACACCCCAACTCCAATTGGATGTTGCACAAGAAGAATTACCATCCTCCATATCAACAACAACCATGAATAGTTGTTCTTCTTCTCCTCCATCTTCTTTTCTTCCTATATCGTGGCGGAGATACAGACTTTTACTTATCTATCTGTCGTTATGCTTGGTGCGGAGAGTTTTATCGGAGGTTTCATCTCAAAATTCGTCTAGTGAGAGAGAGGTGTATGAGGCAAATGGTGAAGATTAACCCACAATTTGCTTATTATCACCCACCAACAAGAAAGATCAATGGTCATGCATTGTTTGTGACCAAGAGTTCAATATGTTTTCCGGTTGAGGATTAGGTTGACTCTTGTTAGCCATGCGCATGTTACTTCACCATTTCTTCCAATTCCTTTGTGTTCACAACACTTGCCTTTCTACTTATTTTTCATTTATAGTTGGAAAAATGAAAAGTTTGCACCTTGGAATTTAGTGGCAAGAGTTCCTTGCAAACTTCAAATGAACTTACTTCATCGTAATGATATATTTTTTAATAAAATGGATGTAAGTCTCAAGAGTGTTTGAAGCGGGTGATATGAAGTGAAGTTGAAGGCTTTGATGAAAGCAGAGTGCGTGCAAAAGAGTTTACACCTTATCATGTCCAATATAGAGCATTCGGATATATGCATAACTCGACTAATATGAAGCTCAATAAAATATTGAAAATTTTATGACTTTAACTTAGTAATGAACGAGACTAAATCACTAGGCGAGGAACTTAACCAAAGTGATGAGAGTAGCTTCATGAGAACTCTTGATGATGAGAATATCAATAACGTAAGACAACAATAAGCTTATCATCAAATGATAGTAAAATAATGAATGGTCTCTCTAAAACATAAATAGTCATAGAATGAGAATTGAAGTGTCAAACTACGATCGACGAGGTTGTTTAAACCCTCTTATTCACTTATAACACAAGCAAACCTGAATTTCGATCCATCTCCCATATGTATACTCGACTACTATGAGTATGATTTTAAGAGCACAACAATCGAGCACCGACGTGTTATAGAGGCCGTTTGGATATAATGCATTGTGCTACAAGATAAAAGACAGATGAAACGTGTGAGCTTCTTCACCTCATCTTCTTGTTCAATTTACACTTGAAATATGATAAAAACAAACAAAACTTAATAGAAGAAGAAAGAAAGAAGGCAAGAATTGAGAAATCCTAAGACACGAAGCGTGGACAAAGCGTGTATGGACTAGAGAGGGACGTTACTTTACAGATTTTTGTCCATGATCAGCTCTCTGCTTTTCTCTCCATTCCCCCTAAGCCACTGAGAAATAAGTTAGAATCCGGTTCCGCCATTAATAACCTCCCTCGAGCCCTTAAAGTTTTGATCTTTTCATTCACTCCCTCAAGACCCTAACCCGCCCAAAATCGGATTGATTGATTGCCAGCAGCCATTTCTTGGCATCTTTGGTTCCCAGGTAAACCCTTCAACTTTACTCTGTTTTTTGTCGTCTCTGCAAACTCAACCCCGATAATTCTCGTCCACCGCTAGAACTTCTCCCAAACCAGAGCTTAGATTTCAGAATTCCTCTATTGTTCTCAATAATTTCATCAAGTTAGCTCATTTATGCTGTAAACCAATTGCAGTGGGAGAATCGAGGTCGAACAACTTTGCCGCCAAAAATCCGCCATGGCTTCTCTCTGATTTTCAGTCGATTGAATCCGTATCCGAAAGGGGGTTATAGGTTTTTTATGGCGGGAGGCAGCTGGGAGAGAGAAGAGGACGAGGAGAAGAGAAAGAAGGAATCGTGGATAGAGAGAGTGAAATCAGGAGGAGCTGTTCCACTGCTCGATCCGGCGAATTGCGCCAATGGATGGGCGTCACCGCCAGGAAGCAAATTCATGGTTCGAGGCCCTGATTACTTTAAGACCAAGGTCAAGATTCCAGCTGGAGAGTACCTCCTGAAGCCGATCGGGTTCGACTGGATCAAGGGTTCGACCAAAATCTCTGAAATTCTCAAACATCCAACCACTAGAGTTAGGAGGGCTCTCGATGAGGCATTCACCCAAATTGAGGGAGGAGGAAACCCTAACCCTAACCCGAAACCATTCGTTTGGGCATTCAACTTGCAGGTACCCAGCAAGGACAACTACAGCGCGGTGGCCTATTTCGCCTCGTTCGATCCTGTTCCGGAGGGATCCCTAATGGATAAGTTCTTGAAAGGGGACGACGCATTCAGGAACTCGAGGCTGAAGCTGATTGCCAACATTGTGAAGGGACCTTGGATCGTGAGGAAAGCAGTAGGGGATCAGGCGGTTTGCTTGATTGGCAAGGCATTGCACTGCAAGTACACTGTTGGGGAGAGGTTTATGGAGGTGGATGTGGATATCGGTTCATCGGTTGTGGCGAATGCGATAGTTCATCTCGCATATGGGTACATTACTAAGCTGACTGTTGATATCGGTTTCGTGATTGAAGGGTTAACAGAATCTGAGCTTCCGGAGCAGCTCTTGTGTGCGTTTAGGTTCTCTGAGCTCGACCCGGGTTCTGCCTCGATGCTGAAACCCTTGTCGAATGGCCTGCAGCAGCAGTCATCGCTGTCGACTAGGTTGTGGAAGTCGATTGGGTTATGAGTTTGTCTGATGATCCAAATCAAGAACAGCAGCAGCAGAAGAAAAGGTTTTTGAAGGATAGGGTGGTTAACCTTTTTTAGGTGACCCTAATTTTAAGGTACTTTTGTTAAGTTGCCATTTGCAGATGGTATGATGGGTTATTTTGTGTCATATCATTGAAATGGATTCACTAATTTGAGCACAGGCTAGCCTACCTGACGAAGTTAGTGCCGAGTTCGTTGCAACCTTTTCGTTCTTTGGGTTGTCACTCATTTCTGGGATTTGTTTCTTGCATCTTATTCAAACGCTAATTAAGAAGCCAACTACGTGTAACACAATCTTCTGTATGTGTTTCTGTGAACCAAGTTGTTCGATTGACACATCATGGTTGGTCATATTAACTGCATTTCCTTCCTGTAAGACTCAAAAATTGGTAATCCAAACTGCATAAGGAAAACCCCTGAATGATCATTTGCTTGTTGGTTCATGTTGGGATTACGGTTCGTCGCGTTGGGATCGCCTTATTGACTCACTAATACAAAAGGGAGCTAGTTTCTGTATAAATCAAACATGTACCGGTCAGTTCGTATCAAATTCAATCCCTGGTGACACTGAACTGCTAAACCATACCAAACCATGCCAAACAGTTTCCACTTTCTACCGAATTCGATAAAGTGCCAAACACCAAACTAGTACAGTTTTATCCGACTTGAATTGTCCCAAGATACATTACATTCGATCTTGTACTAGATCAATGGCATGCCGACGCTGAACTAGTGTACTTCGTTCACGATTTGCCATTTCCTGATTCCTTCAGGATTTATCATAAAACCTTTATCTTCAAAAGAAATCAATCCCATGACAGATCCAAGCATCAAAATGCCAAACTGAAAGTGAACCATACAAAATCCATTCCCAGCTACATGCAACAAATGGTTGACTGGTTAAGTATTTACCATCTCTGTTTCTCTGCTCGGTATTGACAAAACAGTAGTCTGGTCAAGTATGAAAATCGTGTACTTACTTTCTGCAAAAGGATCATACAAGAATTTCTCAAGAGAAACCTATCCATACAACAAGGTTACCTGTATCAAAAGAATAGGCGACTCGGTTTTCCTTTGGACAATTACAGTAAGTACATTAATAGTCCTGTGGAAGAAGAGACTATCAACTATCAAGCTACGCCACAAAAGGATTGATACAGAGGAACTTGATCGATCATCAAAGAGCAATATAACATATTCAGGATCACACAAGTTCTACACCGGCAACTGGAATTGTACCCATCTGCAAAACTCTACCATTTCCAAGAAACCTCACAGAAGGCAACGAAGGATCTGTTACAGACTCGATCTCGAGAAACTCGAAATCACAAGCTCCAGACTTCTTCAGACTGATCACGAAAACGACCCCAATCCAGCCCAGCATCGATATAGCCCAGAAGTTGTTCATCCCACCGATCAAGCCCCAAGCAATACCATACCCCACGATGATTCCAGACAAGTGGCCAAGAAAACTCGCTTGAGGAACAATTATCGAAGTGAAGATCAATGACTCGAATGGCGCAAAACTGATAGGAAGAGAGAGAAGTCCAAAGAGATTCAACTTTGTGGAGGGCTGCTTCACAGAGAGAATTGTCATCCACCCGAAGACAACACAAGAGTACCCGACGGCTGTCACTCTTTTGAAATACTCCAGTTTGAATCTATTTATCAGTACGTGGTACATTGCGATCACTAGCCCGCCAGATAAGACAACCAACACGAGTGAGTACTGAAGATAGTACAGTGAGCCAAGCCCCATGTGGTCCAACTGTTCGACTATTCCGAGACTCCAGAGTGCACTCATGTTGAATACCAGATGAATAATGCTGATGTGTGAAAATGCTGAAGTGATTATCCTCCAATGGTGGCCTTCCAATGCTGTTTCGTAACTCGAGCCGACATGTGAATAGCCGAGGTTTTTCTTCTGTATGTAAAACCACACTGCAGTGCAGAATGCTATAATGCAGCTCGTGGCTGGTTTTTCCAGTATCTCGTAGAAAAGTGGCCTCCCCATCAGCAATAACTCTGTTGAGTTCCCTTTCTATTAGTTGGAAGTATGTCTCAAAGACCAGGCTTGGGCTTACCTTCTCGAGCGACCATGGCAGATCTTACAAACGAACCTGAAAATAAGTAAGAGACCCTTTAGTTCCAGACCATTGTTTGTGTAACAGGAAATAACAAGTCTCCTACATAAAGAGAAAGGGCAAAGACATATGCTTGTCATCGTACTTCTTTTCTATCAAGACCGTGGATTTATGCGGATATATGACAACCGGTAACGATAGGACACAGCAGGATACAGCAAAAGAAAGTAATCAACACAGAACGCAAGCAAGTTACAACATCATAGGATTGTCCATAACTCCCCGAATTCAGTATAGGGATCCAAGGGGAGAGAAAATAAGCAGATTGTTTCCCTTCTGACTGAATTCTAAACTAACTACAGTTTGTAGAATCCACATTGAAATGCAACTATAAGATCAACATGTCATCGAGTACAGAATCGATACTAGTACGCCAATTCCTGAAGCCACTGTCACTTCTAAGACTGGTGTTGGCATTGAATCCAGCAATTTAGCAAACACTGAATCACTAACCTACTACCCACAACAGCCATAATCCACGAGGCCTCATTGAATCGAGCAAAACGAGCCTTCAACTTCGAATTCTAATTCGTGCTGGTTCACAGATTACGATCTCATTCGCTAACCAGTGAAACAGTTCTTGTTCTCGTGAATTAAACAAATAAAATTCGTTAAAACGACCAAACGAACCTCTCAGGGATGCAGACGCTCGATCAGCGGCGGCAATCGACACTCCCCCGGCCACCTGCGCGGATTATGGCGGGAAGCGATAAAAGGCCAAGCAGCGGCGGATTGCCGGAGCTGCCCTGCCTTTTCTACTGCTTCTTCTTCCTCCTCCTCGGCTGCCTTGTTTCCGATCGAACCGTCACCAAGCTCGTCTTCAAACAGACACAACCAGCGACAGGGCACGGAGATACCGTGACCGTGAGAGTAATCGCCGGGTGAAAAGATGAACTTGAAGTTCTAGCGCAATCTTGTTTCCCGGGGAAGGCCGGTCGCTCGTTTTTCTCCTGATCCGCCGGGTCTCGATCTTTCTTCCTTCTTCCTTTTCTACTTCCTTCGACGTTCGATTTTTCGGTGTTTAGTTTTCTTTTTCTTCGTTCTTATTCGGGTAATAGTTGAACAAAAGACCAAATGGTCACTGAACTTTATTTTATGGTCATACTGGTCACTGAACTTGGCCACTAATATGTTGAGTGGAATGAAAGTATGAAACAGCTCTTCTCCGGACCGGATCAAGTCGATAAGAGGACCAATTTATAAGGACTTGTTTACTATAGGCAATATTTGTAAAGAAAATGGAGAAGATGTCTATAAACATCTAATTGATTTTTCATTTACTTTCACATATCTTATTTTTTATCAGATATTTGATTAAATCAATGATAAAAATATTTTTTGGTTGAATTATAATTTAATGTTTCATACCGATAAAATCTTATATTGATTTGGAATTTGATAATCAGTGCCATGACTTCCTTGCCTTGTGAGTTAAGGCACCAACCAATTCAAATGAACACCTCAAGCCCAAATATATCCAAACTAGAAACAAAAGAAACGCCATTGACAAATACCAAGATGATCAAGAAGACACTCCTAAGCTAGAAAAGCATTCTATCAAAACAAAGAAGTTGATACAGAAAGAAGACAGAACAAGTCAAATTTCAATCCTGCTCGCCGTCCCAGGCATATACGACTCGCGCTTCAGAAGAAACACGCTTACATCGCATCACCTCCTTCATAAACTTGGTAACATCATCGTAGCACAACAGACGAGAAGGCCTGATCTGAATCTTCAACAATTGTGGTGCTGTGGCCAGTACGAACCTCGCGAGTTCCAGCTCGAGCGGCGCCCCAATGCCGCCTTCAATGGCAAACTCTCTGAGTTGCTGCAAACATGGTGGTGGTCCACCACCACTGTGATCTTCTTCTTCTTCTAACAATCTCCCCATGCCAGTCGCCAAATTGTCCGCAGGCTGGTCCTCGAGCAGCGGGCTAACCTCGCGCTGCAAGAATCATTTTACCAATGGAACTTAACCGGGTTAATTAGGGGGAGCACAAAGAACCCTTTGTTCTGCAGAATTCTGCAACAATGTCTGACAGAAATTAAACCAAACCCGTATGATGAGGGTGTGTAGGTTGGGAGAGCTCATGATCAGACAAACAAGAAGGCGCTCCATCTCCAAGCTGTCGAAGAGCGCACGAGTCCGAGAGATGAGGAGGAACTGCAGCCGGTGAAGCGGCGTGGGGAGCCTGCTAGGGAACATCATCACATCATGACCTCCTTTAGCAGCTACCTGAGGGGAGGAAGTGCGGCAAACATTAAACGACAATGTAAAAAAGTAAAAGAACACACACGGGTTTACGTGGCTCGCTAACACGCATAATGTGTATTAGCTAATCCGCTAACTGTCTAACCCTAATCCGACATGAAAAGGAAAAAAAAGGTTACAGACTCATACCCCGTGACGTTCCAGGCAGATAAATTTGTTTTGGGAACTTACATTGATGGGATCAGATAAAAGACACAAGTTCTTGAGTGCAGGCAGAGAAGCAAGAGAAGCTACCAACTGGTTCACTTTTTGGACCACATCCAAATCGAGGATGAGTACTACCAGAAGTGGAGCAGACTTGAAGCAGAATTCCTGCAATTGATATCCCCTGCAAAGGAGAACATCTTGAGCCTTGGAGCATCCAGTTCAAGCTTTTCAATGCCACTGCAATTGTCCATGACCAGATACTGGAGCAGAGGACACTTGGGAAGGAAATTCTCAAAGAAATCCGACTGCAGGCTCACTCTACACAACTCGAGATCTGTAAGCTTACTGAACCCAACAAACCATGGCGGCACAGCAAACAAGCAACATCCCAGTTTCAGGCGATTGAGGTGAAGAGCAGCAGTACTGCTGAACAAGGAAGAAGGCAGCTTGTAATAAAGGTTAGTAATGGCTTCCCTGGAAAACACTAGGGTGAGTTCCTGTACGCCTCTGCTACAGAGATGAAGAACGATGTGATCAATCTCGTTGCAGGGTGTCAAGACAGGAACTGCAAGCACAAACTTGGCAATTGGCCCATCATGAACCAGGAGAGACTTGTAAATGTTCAGAATTAGCTTGTTCGGTGCAATCAGCGATCCGTCGATTCGTCGCGCTGCGAAACCATCCTCGTCGAACACGAGCTGAGGGATGCTTCTCCAATGGCGCCTCCATGTGCTTGACAGGATAGCTGTTCTTGCTGCATCTTTGATGGGTAACAGCGTGAGGATGGTATGCATCACATTCTCGGGAAGCTGGCTGATTAATCCGTCATCGGCGCGACTCGATTCGCGATCCTTCTTCTCCATCCCTCTCCACCTGCCTAGCTATGATATAGCTTACACAACAAGTAACTCAAAAGGTTCTTAGTTATCGCAGAGCTGCAGCTAGGCATAGGTGCCTTATACATAAAACCGGGGGGAAGAGTTACCTTGTTGGACACGGAAAGGCTGTGACCTAAGACCTAGGCCCGCATAGACGACAAGTGATTAGCATAGATGGGCTAGGCCCTCATGCTGCTGGATGATTGGGCCTAGTGTCATATATGATCTTGGCGTTTTAAAAAGCACGTCTATATTGCATCACCTATTGGGCTTTTGATAATTTTTTTTTGAGTGATCAATTAATGGTTTGGCTTAATTTCATTTTTTTTTTATGAATTTGATAACTTTTTGAGTGCTCAATAAATGGTTAGGCTTAATTTCATCTTATATCATTCTGATATTGGTTTGACTTGGTCGTTTCTGATCACTTTTATTAACCGATGGAATGAACCTCCTTACATGAAATAAAAACAGAAATCGATAACTAAAAGAAACACTTGTATAAAGCTAAACCTTGCACTTGTATTCTTTTAAAGTTTTAGTTATTGTTTTTCTGGTTCTCGGTATTAAACCATTCGATGTAAACGAGTCTTGAATAGTAATAACAATACATTGATTTGAAATGAAGGGATTGGGCATGCATTTTCATGCCAAAAAAGTTCTTTAATTACTGAGCATTCCACTAATTAGTTTAATTTCTTGTAATTTGGAGGGAGTCTAGCTCTTGTCTCTTGATAGTTGGACACATTGTTTACAGCCATTTTCCCTTTTCCTTGAAAGTGGAACATGAACCAAACATGATGAAGATTGAATTGAAGATGGGAAAAGGACCTTTCTTTCTTGCCCTATCAAAAATGAAAAAGCAAAAACAACACATTGAATTGACTTATAATATGAAGATTTATGACAGTTGGTGGGGAGTCGGCCAGAGAAGAAGAAGCAAGGAGAACCACACAGTGGGATTTTCTTTCTGTGGTCGTGGGACCCCAACAATGGTGTGCTGTGCTGTGCTGTATCGCCCACATCTCTTCGTTTTGATTCTTTTTCTTCTTATTAAATTTGCTTGGGTGTGATCAATCCATTGGGAAAGAAGCAAAATCCTTATCTTGTCTCTAATCGCTGTGCTGTTAGCTCCCATTCCCATTCGTTCCATGGCTTCTCTTCTCCTTTCCTAAACTCTCCCACCAAACTTTCTCTTGGTTTCTGCTCATTCCTCATAAACCTTGCAGCTTTGTTAGGTAACTTCGCCAAACAGATAAGATAAAGCTCGCTTCTTTCCTCTTTACCTGCGTTTCTGGCTTCTGGGTTCCTCTCAGATCTTTGATTGAGCAAGTGGGTGGCTAATAGATTGGAGTTTGTCGGAGTCGGAAGAGATGAAGATTCAGTGTGATGTGTGTGAGAAAGCTCCGGCGACGGTGATATGCTGCGCCGACGAAGCAGCGCTCTGTAGCAGGTGCGACGTTGAAGTTCATGCGGCCAACAAGCTAGCTAGCAAGCACCAGCGGTTGCTCCTTGAATCGTTGTCCAACAAGCTTCCTCCCTGCGATATCTGCCAAGTAAAGCTCCTTCCTTTTTCCCATTTTCCCCTTCTTAACTTAGATTCTTGTCTGATTTTGGGTTCTGAAATTCTCGAGTTGTTCATGTTGATTATTTGGTCGTCTGTTTCCTTCTTTGGATAAGGTCTAGGACCTCAGTAAGTAGTCTTGACCTGCGATTTGGGTTCCATTAAGTACCTAGTCAGTTGGAAGAAGCATCTTGGATTTGGTTCAAGGGTTTCACAATGCTGGGATTGACTAATTGATGATAAAGCAATCTTGTCTGGTTTTGGGTTCAGAAACTCCAGAGATCTCCATGCATTCGTGGTGATGATTTTGTCGTCTGTTTCCTTCTTTGAATAAGGGTTTAAGGCCTCAGTAAGTAAGTTGTCTTAGGCTGCGATTTTGATTCCCTTAGTACCTAGAAGAAGCATCTTGAATTTGGTTCAAGGGTTTCACTTTCATGAAGTTGAGACTGACTTATTGACGATGAAACAAATGGTTGGCAGTCCTATTGATCACGAATCGATTCTTGGAGCTTGTCTCTCTGTATTGATTAATCATTTCGAGCTAACTGTATTATTGGTATATTCATCTTTCTTTCCATAGTACCTCCTTCTAACTGCTGACCTCTATTACATGGTGCAGGAGAAGGCGGCATTCATCTTCTGTGTTGAAGACAGAGCTCTATTCTGCAAGGATTGCGACGAGCCGATCCATTCTGTTGGTAGTCTTGCGGCGAACCATCAGAGGTTTCTAGCTACAGGAATAAGAGTGGCATTGAGCTCTAGTTGCTCTAAGGAGGCAGAGCAGAACTGTTTAGAGCCACCGAATCACAGCAGTGCTCAACAAGTGTCTGCAAAATTGCCTGTACAGCAGCAGCAGCAGCAGCAACAGCAACAACCACAACATCAGTCGAGTTTCTCGTCCCCATGGGGTGTTGATGATTTGCTTCACTTCTCTGATTTTGGATCACCTGCTGACAAAGTAAGCTTGAAGTTCTTTGCAGGCATCATTGCTACCTTTGCCATATTACTTAAAACATCTTGCTTAGACCAGCCCAGCTGCAGATGGTCATTTGAGCTTCTGTAAAAGTCCATATTAGAAGATTTCAAGTGTGACCAAACATTATTTTCATGTAGCAGACTTCTGGTTCTGAAGCTGATCTCTTAATGTGAAGTCATTTAACATTCACTCCCTTTTTTCTCTATTACAGAAAGAGCAATTGCAGCTTGGAGAATTCGAATGGCTGACCGACATGGGTCTCTTTGGCGACCAACTTACTGATGAGGCGCTCGCAGCTGCTGAAGTTCCTCAGCTACCCGTTTCACCAACAGTCAGTGTCACCTCATACAGACCCCCCAAATCCAGCATGCCATACAAGAAGCCAAGGCTCGAGATCCCTGACGAAGATGACGAGCTTAACTTCATGGTGCCTGATATCGGCTGATCTCCATCACGACTCTCTCTCTCTCTCTATTCGATCTCGTGTTAAGTAGTTCGGTATCTACGTAGTACATATATCGGACCGAGGGGGCTCTCCAGAGGAAGAACACAATTACTTTTAGGTTGAGATTCAGATCGTGTACTTTGAGGAAGAACTCATTGATGATACTGAAAAGAGCATGGCTTTGTTCGTTTGCTCGTAGCTTATGAAACAATGCATCTTTGCGATGCTTTGTGTATGTGGAAAAGAAACATAGCAATTTAGCTGAACTGCTATAATGGTAGTAAATTAATGCATGTTCTTTGTTCTAATGCCTCGATTATCTTCTGAATTTGACAATGATAGGTGAGGAACTCATCTGAAATGCTCTCAACCGCGGTCGCTCAGGAACCTTCTTCGGCGAAGGAACTGACTTCGTCAGACAGGCCGCCAGATCCTCCTGATCAACCCAAGAATCAACAGCAACTTCAGATCTCCAGCCCTCCAATACTGAATTTCAAAGCAGCGCTGGCGGGGACACCCTCAACAAATCCATCCAGAACGGCTCAATGGACCTTCATTGGAGACCACGACCTAGAGACATCCACGTTCCAAGGAGCGCCAGCCTTGAAAATCTCCCCGGCGCTAAAGGAACGGCTGTGTCAACCTTGGAAAAAGACACTGATAGTTCGACTCCTAGGCAGGTCAGTCTCATACTCGCACCTTGTTTCACAATTGCGGTGGAACTGGAGACCGGTGGGATCTCTAGATGTCATGGATCTTAACAACGAAACTTTCTTAGCAACTTTTGGAAACGACCAAGACTATCTAAGGGCACTCACAGGTGGACCGTGGGTCATCCTGGATCACTATTTGATTGTTCATCAATGGTCTCCAACCTTCCGCACCTCCGACAAACCTCACAGATCAGTGGTAGCGTGGGTACAATTGCCAGAGCTTCCAGTGCACTTTTATCACAGAGAAATTCTCTTTGCTTTGGGAAACCTCATCGGACGCACAATCAAACTCGACTATCACACTGAGAAACTAGAAAGAGGTAAATTTGCTCGTATTGCTATCGAGTTAGATATGACGAAGCCATTGCCCACAAAAATCTGGCTAGATAACTTTTGGCAGCAGGTCATGTACGAGAATCTCCCCACTATCTGCTATGAGTGTGGGCAGATTGGGCACCAAGAAGATTCCTGCCCTAAAATCAACCAGCACGCGACTATGGTGACCTCGCCGGATTCTAGAAAACTAGCTTCACCGGCGACGAGCTCACAAGATCTGCCGGAGGGATTTGGGCCCTGGATGCAAGTCACGCGAAAATCAAGGAAACAGATTAGGAAAGCGAATGAGGTGAACAACCAAAATCGAGGACAGCCAAGTCAAAATCGAGCAGATTCTGGCAAGGGATACGGGTCTGCAAAAGGAAAGGGAGAAGAACCAACAGGAAAAGGAATCAGAGAGAAAAAAGGAAAAGCAGAACAAACCTTGCACAACAAAAAAGGAAGCTCTACAAATCAGAAACAAGACATACCAAAAGATGATGACATACTTAACGGTACAAAAAAGGCCCAACCTCTAAAAGAATGGAGGCCCATTGGTACGAGAGAGGCGACACAGAACAGACCAGCACAACAGATTGAGGCTAGCCCAATGACACTAGGATCAGAACCTTCAACATCGGGCTCCAAACAGATTTCCGTCACCGAAAGAACACAGGGTCAACAAGGGACTACTATTCGAGTTATCTCAGTTCCAGAACTGGTTCTCCCAGGCAAAGAAAACACCAACCCCAATACTACAATATCTTCTATCCGCCAACACTACCAAAGGAAGAAAAACGAAACTGGAAAGCAAGAGAAACCAAGAGGAATCAATGTCAAGGCGGCCAAGAAGCCACTCCAAATCAGAAGTGCTAAACAGCAAGAGACACCGCAGAAAGCCAAACATGTGAGCGGTCCGATTACGATGCAGTCTATCGAAGAGTTTTGCTCGCAAGCTCAGCGTAAGATGAAGAACAATCATCAAATGACCCAAACGAATCAAGAGGATGTCCCCATGGCGGAGACTTCTTCACCCTCGACGGCAAACGAAAATCAAATGGAGGACCAAGGACTCGCGGCGACAGAACTCGCCAGCCCCACCACCTCTTGATCCCTTTCCCTGCTTTTTGAGTTTTGTCTTTTGTTCCTTTTTTTTTTATCCAGTTTTCTATGTCTACTCATATTAATTTCAAAATACTTTCTTGGAATGTGTGTGGAGCAGGTAGCAGGAAGTTCATCCGGGCTATCAGACTTCTCAGTGAAACACACAAACCAGATTTGTTGATTCTGTTGGAGCCACAAATTAGTGGCGATAAGGCAGACTCGGTTTGTAACAAGCTGGGCTTTGACGAAGTCTTGAGAATAGACGCAGAAGGGAGAACAGGTGGTATTTGGATTGCATGGAAAAGCTCCAAATTCATGGTTGACTTGGTTGATGCGAGCAAACAACATATCACAGTCAAAATTGATTCTCTGAGTAAGCAACAATGGCTTCTTACCGGTGTATATGGCAGCCCCCAATACCGGTTTCAATCTTTAATGTGGGATCACCTCATTCAGACTAGCAAAGATACAAATATTCCGTGGCTAGTAACGGGAGACTTCAATGCCTACTGTCTACCGGAAGAAAAGCTGGGTGCCAACTCTCCAGCTTCCCTACGAAGATGTCAGCGGTTCTGTTCGTGGATAAATCAAGCTGAATTAATTGATCTAGGATACTCCGGACCTAGATTTACCTGGTACAGGGGAGAAACGCAGGCTACCAGGAAAGCTAGTCGAATAGATAGATCACTATGCAATGTGGCCTGGAATTCGACTTTTCCCAACTCTTCGGTTCAACATCTCCCCAAATTCCACTCGGATCACTTGCCCTTGCTAACGTCAGTGGGCAACCAACACAACACAGATTATGGAAACCGGGATAATTTCAAGTTTGAGGCTGTGTGGTTGACGGACAACAAATTCAAGGATTTTTTAGCTGCTAATTGGAATAAAGAAATACCTCTACAGCAAGCCTTGAAGGAAGTTACCCCTAAATTACAGCAGTGGAGTAAAGAAGTGTTCGGTTCTGTTAACAGGAAGAAAAGGAGATTGTTGGCTAGATTGAAGGGTATCACAGACCGGTTAGCAGTTTCCTTCAATCCTGGACTGTTGAAGCTTCAACTTAAGCTGGAAGGAGAGCTTGACTGGGTACTAGCACAAGAAGAAATTGTCTGGTTTCAGCGTGCCAAAGAGAAATGGGCGACTCTGGGGGAACAAAATACATCCTACTTCCACCATCAAGCCACTAGACGTAAAAGAAGAAACAAAATTTTAGCTCTCAGGAATGCAAATGGAGACTGGATAGATGATCAAGAATCTCTCCTCAACATGGTTCTGAATTTCTACACCACTCTCTATACGGAAGATGGGGATCAGTATGAGGACCTCATGCCCAAAAACGTTTTTCCCAGGCTGCAGCAAGAAGATAGCATGGCTTTACATCGTCCCTACCATATTTCTGACATCCACAAAGCAATCCATGATATGAAACCTTATTCAGCTCCAGGTCCGGATGGTTACCAAGCCATCTTCTATCAAAAATTCTGGCCAATAGTGGGGAAAAACCTGGCGGATATGGCTTCAAGCTACTTTGAAATAGGCGAGATTCCAACAGAGACTTTGGATTCGACAATCGTTCTTATCCCTAAAATGGAACAGCCTGAGTCTCCTGCTCAATTCAGACCTATATGCCTGAATAATGTCGCCCTCAAGGCAATTACTAAGGCAATTACCAATAGATTAAAGCCTTTGATGCCAAAAATCGTTGCTCCCACTCAGAGCGGTTTCATTCAGGGTAGGCAGGCAAATGACAACATACTTCTTCTTCAAGAAACCCTTCACACTCTCCGAAGGAGGAAAGGGAAGAAGGGAGGCTTGGTTATAAAAATCGACCTTGAAAAGGCCTACGATAGACTCCGGTGGGACTTTATCAGAGATACGCTTAAGGAGGTCGGGCTGGCCAGCTCTCTCATCAGCAGAATCATGACTTGTGTGGAAAGAAACAAGATGCGAATCAGCTGGAACGGGCAACTCTCGAATCCAATTATCCCCTCCAGAGGAGTTAGACAGGGAGATCCCCTATCACCCTTCCTTTTTATTCTTTGCATGGAAAGATTGGCCCATAAAATTGAACAAGCAGTCGAGGCAAAACTTTGGAAACCATTACAACTCTCAAAAAATGGTCCAAAGTTGTCCCATTTATTTTTCGCTGATGACCTTGTTTTATTTGCAGAAGCTGAAGGGAGTCAAATCGACATCATCAAGAGGTGCCTTGACGACTTCTGCAGCAGCTCCGGACAACGGGTTAATCATAGCAAGTCGGCAATGTTCGTCTCACCAAATGTTCGACGAGATAAAGCTGCCAGACTTAGCTCCCGAGCAGGAATCAACCTTACGGCGGACCTGGGAAGATATCTAGGAATCACTGCAATAAACGGCAGGATAACCAAGGCCCGCTACAAGGAACTCCTGCTCAAAATTCAGAACAAACTAGCGGCGTGGAAAACAAGACATCTCTCAATGGCAGCTAGAGTTACTATGGTGAAAGCAGTAACTTCTAACATTGCTATATACCCCATGTTTTCTGAACTTCTTCCTGTTGGTGTATGCAAATCGATAGACAGGTGTAATAGAAGTTTCATTTGGGGAGAAGAAGAAGACAGACAAAGCTTCACTCGGTGGCGTGGGAGCATTTAACCCAACCTCGGCATCAAGGAGGTCTTGGAATCCGCCCTACAAGAAGAACCAATCAAGCCATGTTGGCAAAGGGAGCATGGAAACTCATAACAGACGATCAATCTTTATGGGTCGAGGTCTTGAGAAAGAAATACGGGCGCGGCAAGAGAGATTTGCAGATGCTAGCAAAATCAAAGGGAAGTTCTCATGCTTGGAAAAGTTTTGCCCAAACGGCAAACCTCCTACGAAAAGGAGCTGCTCAAAATGTTAAGAATGGGAGAAAAACTAATTTTTGGTTGGATACGTGGGTTTTGCAGGAACCTTTACTCGCCCAAGCTACGACAGAGATCCCGATGGAGACACGACAGAAGAAGGTTGCAGACTACTGGACAGAATCCTCAGGCTGGAAGATGGAGGATTTGAACCAACTCCTCCCTATAGAGGTGTTGAACAAAATCAGAGCAGTAAAACTGGATCCATTATCGACAACTGAAGACAAGCTCTTTTGGAAAGCTTCAGCTAATGGAGTTTTCAACACCTCATCGGCATACAAGCTGGAAGAACAACAGCAAAACAACCACAGCTCATTCCAATGGCGCAAGATCTGGCACCTCCAAGTACCAGAACGAGTTCGCCTTTTCATGTGGACAGCAGCGAAGGGAAGGTTGACTACGAACAGCATTAGAAAGTTCAGGCATCTCACCTCGGAAGACAAGTGCGCCTTGTGCGGTACAGAAATAGAAACTAACTTACACTGCTTGAGAGACTGCAGCAAGATCAGAAGAGTTTGGGAAAAAATTGTACCAATAACACAGCAGCAACAGTTCTTTTCAGCTAACCAGGAAGACTGGTTGAAGACAAATCTGGAGAGCAACGAGAACAGTGGAGAGACAGGGGAGTGGGCCAGCTTCTTTGCTTTGGTTAGTTGGTACATCTGGAAACATCGGAATGATTATATCTTTAAAGCAATCAGATTATCCAACTATACTCTCATTAACTACATTGTATCGAAGGCGAAAGACTGGATAAGTACTTGGAAGAAGGCTATGGAAACAAGAGATTCACTGACTAAGCCAGCAAGGGAAGAGCAGTTAATAGGTTGGTCTCCACCACAACCAGGTTGGAGCAAGCTAAATACGGATGGCGCCGCTCAGGGGAATTCAGGAATTATTACTGCAGGAGGAGTCCTCAGAGATAGTGAAGGAGATTGGATAGCGGGTTTTGTTTGCAAGATAGGAACCGGATCTGCCATTCTGTCAGAGCTATGGGGCATCCACCAAGGACTCGAACTAGCTTGGAGGAAGGGAATACAATTTCTGATACTTGAAACAGATTCGAAACTGGCAATAGAGCTCATCAATAAAAGATCAGACCCGGTACATCCTCATGCCACCCTTTTAGACTCTATTCGGAGAATGCTTGCTCAGAGTTGGATTGTTCGTTTGGTTCATACATATCGCGAAGGGAATAGAGTCGCGGACTGGCTCTCGAAGCACAGTCTCGTCTATCCCTTCGGTACGTATGAATTAGATGAACTACCAACAGATTTAGAGAGACTTCTACGTGAAGACATGATTGGGATCAGCTTCCCTCGGCAAGTGATTATAGATGGTTCAAATGAGTGACTGTTTTACTGGTTTTGGTTTTTGGCTTGTGATAGGATTTGCTTGGGAGCATTTGAGTATGTTTTCTTCCTGTTGGAAGGTGATCTGCTCCTCCCCTTTGAGCTCTCTGTAACTGGTTCTCTGGCTTCTGCCTCCTCTCAATCAAAAAAAAAAAAAAAAAATCTTCTGAATTACACTTGCATGCTTCAAAACTCCAAGCTTCTTCCATCGAAATAACTAGCTATCCATATTGGCTCCCCAGAGCAGACAAGTAAATCAAATGTGTTCATGTAACGTTTTCGTAATAACTTCACGTTTTAATATAGGAGTCATTGTTACTTACGTCTTTCGACAACCTTACAACGCACTCAATGACTAAACTAATCTCAAATAATAAATGCAATGTACAAACTAAGATGTGAAATTCAAGGTAAAAATACGAACACCAAACCTACTCCAAACCTACATGCTACATTACGTGAAACTGTTCAAAGCGTACTTATTTGAAATATCTCGATCCGATTACGAAATGAACTGGATGAAAAACTTAGGGTAAAAGAACATATTCCTCCCCTAACAGACCCTCTTTGAGGATCCTATTATTCCCATTCTACGAGCATGTCCTATGCCTCACACTAGGATATTGTGACAGACAAAGAAGCGCCGTTGAAGGCAGAGCAAAAGGTAAAAATTTTAAACACCTTTTTATTTAGTTAACAATGGCGGAAGCTCTCTTTGCCCTCTGGCCACGAAGGTTTCATGACGCCATCTTTTTATGGGGGAAACAAACAAAACCCTTAAATATAAAACAAACCCAAAACACAAACAGAGAGAAACGCCAATTGTTACTCTGTAGCTCCAAAAAAATTGCTCCTTCCACCACAAATGGCCAGAACAGGGCACTCTGTTTTTCTCCTCTTCCTTGTAGCATCAATCCTGGCCCTGGCTTCCCTCCCGAACCCGGTCGAACCGCTAACCGGAGTCACCGACGTCCAAGCCCTCCGGGCAATCAAGGAGTCAATCGACCCGGTGACCATCACCCCGACGTCATTCCTCTACAGCTGGGACTTCAACGTCGACCCCTGCGACAGCTCCGGCTCGTTCCTCGGCGTACTCTGTTCCTTCCCGCTCGACAATTCGAGCAGCAGGGTGATCGCGATCGGGCTCGACGACGCGGGTTACGACGGGTTCCTGAGCCCGCTGATCGGAAACCTGACCGAGCTCGTCACCCTCGACCTGACGAGGAACAAATTCCGCGGACCGCTCCCTGAGAGCATCATCAACCTCCGGCAGCTCACCAAGCTCTTAATTTCCGAGAATCTCTTCACGGGCCAGATCCCCGACGCGATCACCAAGCTGAAACTCCTTCAGGAAGCCGACCTTTCCTACAACCATTTCTCCGGCAGCGTTCCGGCGAAGATCGCCGTGCTGCGGAGCTTGAACCGGTTGATCCTCTCCAACAACGCGCTCTCCGGCAGGCTCCCTGATCTCTCCGGTCTGTGGCAGCTCAGCGCGCTGGACGTCAGCTCGAACAATCTGTACGGAAACATCCCCAGGCTGCCGTTGAACCTGAAGACACTGCTGATGAGCCACAATGTGTTTTCAGGACACGTGTCGCCGGTTAAGCACCTGCAGAAGCTTCTGGTGCTTGACGTCAGCGACAACCGGTTGTCGGGTCGGGTCCTGCAGCAGGTCCTGACCCTTTCGTCGGTTGTCCGATTGAATGTGTCTAGGAACCATTTTACGGCGATGGATCCGATCGATTTCCCCGGGATTGAGACGCATTTGCAGTCGTTGGATGCGAATGATAACCAGCTCCGGGGACATTTGCCGGTGACGTTGGCCGGGCTCGAGAACCTGACGGCGCTGGATCTGTCGCATAATTACTTGTCCGGTTCGATCCCGAAGGAGTACGGGGCCAAAGTGGGGAAGCCGTGGAAGTATTTGTACTTGAATGATAATTTTCTGCAGGGGAACCTGCCGCCGCAATTGGCGGCGGCCGGAGGAGGGGAGATTAGAGGGAGCCTGGCGAATAACTGCTTGAGATGCTCGAGCAACATTCGGCTCTGCCACGGCGGTCAGCGGCCGCACGCCGTTTGCACCGCGCAGAGGCGGCGGTGGTGAAGCTTTCCCTCCGGCGGCGGCAGTTTTTTTTTATAGAATTTGTAGTACTTTTCCGATGAAGAATTCTTAATAACATGTATAAGCTCCCTAGAAAATCAATAAGATACATTTTAGTACTGTTTGGATGCAGTGAATTTGACACGGTGGCTAATTCGAGCGATGTGATTGGTTAGATGTTGCAATTAGGACTGCGGCCGATGACACGATCCGATCGGAACGAACCCCAAATGGAATTGACATGTTGTCCGATTCATTTTGTTTTACACTATCTAATCGGTTTTATATCGAATGAAGTCTCAAGGCAAAGGATTTAACTCTCAACAATAGATAGCGTAAATTCGGTTTTATGGGTCTGATGTGGCGGATTTTTTTAATGTAGCGATTTTGAGTTTTATTTTTTTGGTTTTGGGTTGAAATTAGATTCAACATTTATGTCAACCACGTTGCCAAAACATAGATGGTGTTAAACTGTTAATGGAGTATGACGAGAGTGATTAAAATTAAAATAATAATTTGGTTATAGTGACCACTAATACTAATGCAACTAAATTTTTTTAACTGGTAAATGTGAAAGAAATAAGTTCTAGTAACCAAATCTGCTATTCACCTAATAATTCTGTATAATTAGTTAATAACCCATTAATTATTATTGCAGACGCTCATTTTTTCATCTAGTTTTCGGCTAATAATTGTTATTTTTTAATAAACAGCAATTTAATAATTAATTGTTTGAAAGAGAGAGAGAGAGAAGAGAAGAAAAAGCCAAAAAGGGCGTCAGGGCTGGGAGGCGAGTGACATCAAAGCACCCACTCCGTCCTCCCTCCCGTCCCCCTTAACAGCTGCTTCTCGTCATCCTTCCTCTCCGCGGTAAATTCAATTCCCTTCAAGCTAATTTCAATTTCTAGGGTTTGATTGCTGGGGCTCGGACAATTTCAATTTCTTATGATCAATGATTGGGGAATTCCGTTTCTTTCCCCTTCGGGTGGTTCCCGGCGACTGATTCATTGAATTAAAATGCTCGGAGTCTAGTGTTGTTGAACTTTCCTGGATTCCATTAATTCGTCTTCTGAGCAGGTTGCTCTTGCTTCACTGTGGCCTTTCTGCATGATTTTCTCCAGATCCTGATCGGAGCAGCTTGTTCTTTCTCCGGTGAGCATAGTTTCTTTCCGCCTCTTCTTTGGGTTAACTCTGTTGCTTCCTCGATCTTGACTCTTGCTGCTTTTGGTCTTGTATTTTGGCCGAATTTCCGTTTGATCTGTGTCATTGGGTCTGTTGTTCCCGATTGGGTGTTAATAAGTTCATTTCATGGGGAATTGTTGGGCAACTGAGCTGTAGTGGAGGGTTTTTGGGTAGATGCATTTCTGAATTTGGGGTTGTATGGTCTTTACAGGGTGAGGTGGGGGTTTCTGAATTCTCAATTGGGGAAGGATGGGGGTTATGTCGAGGCGGGTTATACCCGCCTGCGGTAACCTCTGCTTCTTCTGTCCTTCACTGAGAGCAAGGTCAAGACAGCCAGTTAAGCGGTACAAGAAGCTCCTTTCTGATATATTCCCACGGAATCAGGTGATTGTGATATTTCAAGTATGATTTCTGAATTTACCCGAAAAATTGTGCTTAGCAAGTGTTGTTAGTGCTTCCAGAGTGGTGACAGATTATTGGTCGAGAACTTGAGATTCTAGCTATTGTTAAGTACTTCCTGTTCCACTGTATGTTTCCATTTTTCTTGTTTGGTGCGAAGTTCACTTACATCACTAATGGATAGTCAATGCATGTCCCAAAGAATGATCTGTTCCAGTTGGGATGGAACATCTTTTGTATGATAAAAAATCTTAAATGTTTATGCTAGTGTAGTCAGGTCCTATGGTTCTTTATCTACCAAAATCATCCCAATCACTCACCACTGTTTATTTTATGTTTCTTAGTTGGAGGATGAAGCTGCGTATTGCATCTTGATTTGCTTCTAATGCACTTTCTTTTCTTATGTAGGAAGCTGAACCAAACGATAGGAAGATTGGGAAGCTGTGCGAATATGCTTCAAAAAACCCACTGCGGATTCCTAAGGTTTGCCTTTGTGATTGGAAGGATATATTTTGGTGAATGATGGAGATGGTGGAATATATCATCTGTATTTGTAAGCATTGCTTAAAAAGTTATGTTAAAAACTGTCATATATCTTCCATTGTCTTCTGTTGTCATCTTCTACTTTGTTATGACCAAGTGTCATAATCATGGCCTTTATTCATAATGCCATTCTAATATCATCTTGATTGAGCTATGGTGGGGGTTGCATACTGAAAGGTTGCATAATGAGGGGTTTAGCTCAATGCCACCTAGTTAGTTACTGGTTTCGTTTTCATTTGCTTATTCCGTGTGTGGCCTGCATGTTTTTGTGCACAGATCACTGAGACTCTGGAACAAAGGTTTTACAAAGAGTTGCGCCATGGACGCTTTGGGTCTGTAAAAGTCGTTGCATGTATTTACCGGAAAATGTTATTTTCCTGCAAGGACCAAATGTAAGTGTGCATATCTTTTTTCTTATATTTGTCTCAACTTTTTTAAACCGGGAGAAGAATGAGGATGGAGGACAAAAGTGGATACATGGATATTTCACACAGTATTTTACAGAGATAACTCAAAAGAAGAAGTTCAAACTCTAGATGGACATATACTTTGATTTATTTATGTAAAGTTGAGCTCATTGATAAACTGCGATATCATTTGAGCTATCTGATTAAATACAAAGATTTCACCTGAATCTTTTTTCTACAACTGAGACCAATGTTCTTTTTTTCTTCGTTAACATTTGCTTGAGCTATGCCTTGCAGGTCATTATTTGCCAGTAGTTTGTTAGGAATCATGCAGACATTACTGGAGCAGACTCAGCGTGTTGAATTGCAGACCTTGGCTTGCAACAGTTTCGGTGATTTCATAAGTAGCCAGGTTTGTAGTTTGTGGAGCTCTAAGTCTGATGAGAACTGTCAACTAGATTTATATAACCCTTAGTTTCTGATATTGACTGGCAATCAGTTTACTGTCTTTTATTTCCACCCATATTGTTCGAACTGCTCTAGCTTGTCTAAGTGAACTAAACGAAATAGGAATACCCTGCTAATGATATACGATTCAACAGATTTGTATTGGACCATCTGAAGAACGACAACAAGTCGTTAGAATAATAGTAAAAAATTATCAATGAAAAAGCAAATAGTTAGGCATGAGACAGTTTCCGTGTTTGACCCCTAGTGTGCGCAACCTGCGATGTTCCCCCTTCCAAGGTACTTGAACCGGGCCCAACCGGGCTCGGCTTACCTGGTCTGATGGTTTTTCTGGGCCCTGGGGTTTGCCGCTGGAGGTGGTTTCCTCAGCATAAAGAAAAAATTGATTCCATAGATTTTGTCTTCGGTAATCATGTACGGTTGATGCAGATATTATGTTTTAATATTCATGCTTTGCTTATTAAAGAGATACTGACTTGTTGATAGGTAGATGGCTCATATATGTTCAACTTAGAGGGCATCATTCCTAAGCTCTGTAGACTGTCTGAAGGCGAGGGAGACGATGAAAATGCTCTGCGTTTGCGTTCTGCAGGACTCCAAGCTCTTGCTTCCATGGTATGGCAGCTTTTCCTCCCCATTTTCAGTGTCCGGTTTTCTTCCACTTTTGAGGTTTCTGCATGGAAGTGGGTAGCATGTTCATAAAAAGTACTCTTATATAATATACGGGCCTTAACTTCTTCGAACAAGAATTTATGTATTGATATAAATTGCTTTGTTGATTTTAGTCATTAGACCGTGTGATTTTTCATATGTTCTTTTCCTCTCTATTTTCTCTTTCTAATTAGTATGTTTATACTTGTCCGTAGGTGTCTTTCATGGGAGAGCACTCTCACATATCGATGGATTTCGACAATGTGAGTTGATTATCTGTTTTTAGGATGAAATAATGTGGATGGATCTTAAATTATGCTAATGAGAACTTTTTCTTTCTTGAACTAGATTATATCAGTCACTTTGGAGAACTACATCGATTTCGAAATGAATGCAGAAAATAGTGAAGAAGATCATTGGACTCAAGAAGTGCGAAAAGCAGAAGATAATGCTTCATCTTTCCCCAATACCAGTAAGAAAGTCACCTTTGCAAACGTGGATACCAAATCTCAACTGGTCCCCACTGGGTAAGCCTCACCTTACTTTGTAGCATCTCTTTGGGAAGGAACATTTTGGTGAAATTAACAGGTTTTTACTGTTCTTAATTGCTGAGCAGTGACACGTCAAAAAATCCATCTTACTGGTCTCGAGCTTGCTTGTGCAACATGGCCAAATTGGCCAAAGAAGCATCAACAGTCCGACGCATTCTTGAACCTCTATTTCACAACTTTGATGTCAATGATCGTTGGTCCCTTCAAAGTGGAGTTGCATGCTCTGTCTTGATGCAGTTGCAATCCCTTTTGGAGGAAACAGGTTAGAGTGTGCATGTTTTACACGCTTCTAATTCTAGCTGGGTACCAAGCGGGTGTGCTTAATCTTCTTTCATGCTATCCATAGGTGAGAACTCTCATCTCTTGTTATCGGGCCTGATCAAGCACTTGGATCACAAGAACGTTGCTAAGCAACCTCTTGTGCAGATAGATATTGTTAACATTGCTGAAAGACTTGGACAGAACTCAAAGCAGCAGTGCACTGTAGCTCTTATTGGTGCAATATCTGAGTTATTAAAACATCTGAGAAAATGCTTCCAAATTTCAAGTGGATCGTCCAGCCAAAAGGATGACCCTGATAAATTAAATCTGGATCTTCAGTCTGCACTAGAAAAATGCATCTTGCAGTTCTCCAACAAGGTTTGTTGATGCTTCTTCTGTTATTTCTTTATTACTTCTAGGAGCTGTATTGGTTCCATCTGCTTTATAATAAGTTATGGTGTCCAAGCTTTATGCTTTATAATATGTGGTATATGTCGACCTAAAGTCGTTTCTTTGTTCAAGGGTTTATATCTAAGTTGCCGTTGTCTTTTGAACTTTGCAGCCTGTGCCAGTTAACTTTATTTTATTCTGTTTGTTTGTTTATGTGGAACTTAATCGGATGAGGAATCAGAACAATAAATAGTTCTGTAGCATAATATCAATCCTACTCAATCGTCCAAAGCAACCCACGCTTCCCCGCATTCCTCTGTCCATAGACTTCTTATACAAGTCTTTCAATTGGTGTCTTCTCTGACAGTAATACTATATACCATTTTGTGATTAAATAATAGGTCGGCGATGTGGGGCCCATACTTGACATGATGGCTGGGTTCTTAGAGAATGTTGCACATACTGCTGCTGTAGCTAGAACAACAATCTCAGCTGTTCTGCGAACGGCTCATATTATAGCTTCTGTCCCTAACATGGTATACAATAAGAAGGTAAGCCACTCTTATCATCGAAATATACTTCTGAATTCAAATTGTTGATATAAAATGATCTAGCACTTAGAAGTTTTGTTTGTTATGTTCCAGGCCTTTCCCGATGCTCTCTTCCACCAGTTGCTTATTGCAATGGCCCATCCAGACCATGAAGTACGAGTTGGGGCACACACTATATTTTCCATTGTGCTTATACCGTCTCTAGTTTCTCCTTGCTCATATCAGAAGAATACATCTGAGGCTATCACTAGAAGCTTTGGTTCATCGACAAGGAAAAAGACTGAAAGTTTCTCTATCCGGCATGCCAGTGATAATAAAGCGGAATCCGCAAATGGGGAATCATCAGGAGATATTCAATTGTCCATTGTTGCTGATAAAACATCTAAAGAAATTCAGGTGCTTGGTCATCCAAAGATCTTAAAGCAGGCTATCTCTGACGGGAAAATGGTACCAACTTTTGACTCTCTGAGTTAAACGGTTTAGTTGTGGGGTGTTGGCTTATATTCTGAAAGTTGTATGCAGGTCACGTCTCTCCGATTGAGCAGTCATCAAGTTAGTCTTCTGCTTTCATCTATATGGATGCAAGCAATAAATGCAGAGAATACACCACTAAACTTTGAAGCCATGGCTAATACTTATCACATTTGTTTGGTCTTTAGCAGATCTAAGGTAAGTTGGCTTATAACCGTTCTCTACCTCTATCCTTCTGGCCTTCCATTGTTTCTCATGTCTTGAGTAGATTTTATATCTGGTTGTTGCTTTTGGATTCCAAAGGAATTGTTGGTACTTAAAGCTAGCATTGTCAAGTGCCTGATCCTATTTTTTCAACATCTATCTATACTGATACAATAATCTAGTTTGGGAGACAGTGGATAAAATGTGCTGGAATTGTGAACCCACTCATTTAGGTTTCTATAGGACTCGTATTTAACTGAGTGAAAAGTAAAAAGTGTCTCTTTCTTATTTAATAAATAATAAGGGTGTTGTGTTGTCATGCATGATGAGTTTGTGTTTAACAAGCTTTTGAAGGTTTCTGAGGTGCAGGTGGCCTTAAATTTTTGTTCCCTGAATAAAAAGAAAACATTAGTTATTCATTCGCAAATAGATCTGTGTTTTGAATTTCACACCCAGTCTAACTGTTGCTTGTTGATGACAGACAGCCAGTCACATTGCCCTAGTTCGATGTTTTCAGCTTGCCTTTTCTCTTAGAAGCATCTCTTTGGACCAAGAAGGTAAATATATCTGCTAGCTACAAAGTGTATGTGCACTTACTGCATTTGTGAGATTTGTGGATTTGACACATTATCCTTGATGCTGCATTGCTGTACTATATCCTTCAGACTCCATCTAAGCAATATGCTTACTCAATAGTTTTTTTAGCAAATCTTTCCAGATCGCCCCTATTTGAGGCAATGGCTCCAATTTGTTGGATGAGGTTGTAGAATGAAAATTTTGTATCTTTCTGGTTCCTTGTACTACATTCACTGCTGCGGATGTAGTTTACCAATTTTTCTTCTGTTGTCCATCTTGATGTTGTAGCCGGATCTGCTTCTTGTTCTTCAATTTACTTCGCTCCTCAAGTTTTCTTAGCATACTAACTAGAACCACTTCCTGATATTTACTTCTTGTCTCTTGCATTTTCAGCAGGTCTGCTACCTTCTCGGAGAAGGTCTCTCTTCACCTTGTCATCATGCATGCTTTTGTTGTCAGCAAAGGCAGGAAATGTTCAGGAGCTAATTCCTTTTGTTCAGGCGTCTCTTAAAGCAGAAACAGTTGGTTCTCCTTTCTAAATATTTTAGTATAAAGCACATTCTATATTATCGAAATTTTTGGGTCCAGCATTTGTTACTGTCTTTCTGCATATTGTAACTAGATTGATTGTAATCCTTGTAACAGGTTGATCCTCATCTTGAGTTAGCTGAAGAAGTCGGGTCGCCGAATGTTCACTTGGCATTGGATGGACCAAAGATAGCATATGGTTCAGAGGAGGATGATGTTGCTGCTTTGAAATCACTCTCTTGTGTAGAGGCAAATGATAATTTCTTGAAGGAAACTGTGACATCCCATTTTATGACCAAGTTGTCAACATTGTCAGAGGTGCTAATCTAGCAACTGCCCTTCCATTATCTTCAGAGTAGAAATGATGCACTGGTTTGATCCATTCAAAGTAGAAATCATACCTTTTGACTTAAAGTTATTATTCTTCCAGTTTGGTTCATCATATTGAAACAATGGAGGTTCTCATTCTTACTTTCTTAGTGCACTTTGTCTTCCGGTTTTTTGTATCAATCTTAAGATTCAATTTACCGGCATGATTTCATAAAAAAGTAAAATAAAATACCAGCATGATGTCTGCAATGGCAGCCTTGTTTCTTTTGATAACTTTCCCGGTATGGCCATGAGGCTCATTTCATATATATAATCCAATCTTTCAGGAGGAATTACTAGACATCAAGCAACAACTTCTACAGGGATTTTCACCTGATGATGCATATCCGTTAGGTGGTCCATTATTTATGGAGACACCTCGGCCATGTTCTCCTCTTTCTCAACTGGACACCAATTCTATTGAAGAGGTAAATATAAATAGAAGCCTTCTGTGATTTTCAACTAGTTTTAGTGATTTTTAGTAATGTGGTAAGTGCTCCACATTCAGGACATAGCTGAAGCTGCTTTGACAGATGATGAAACTCTAACTGAGGCTAATGGGAGCCAGTCAGATCGGAAAACGTCTCTGTCCAACAATACTGTAGACATCATAGGTGTTAATCAACTTCTTGACTCGGTAAGAACAGAACACTGTATCCTTTTTACTAGAATCTGGTAGCCAAATCGTTTACGCTGGACCTCTTTTGATTGCTGTCCAATATAGATATATGCTTTATTTCAATATGAGATGCAAGTAAATTTGGTAGTCCACTTAAGTTTCTGGTAACAGAGCGTTCATGAAATGAGGGAACTAGGTCTTGAAAGTCGCCTCTGAAGGATTTAATGCTAGTGGATATGTTGTATAAAATTGCCAGAATGTTTTATTACGCCTTGTTTGGAGATATTTACTTGTTGCATGGGAACGTAAATTGAAGAAAATGGCACAGTGAGCTAAAATATCATGTCTTTTTATAAGTCCTGCCATTTTGGTCTCCTTTTTAGCTACTCTCTAGTAAAATAACTCAGAATTGTTGGTATGGATAGATTATTACTTAGGAATCAGGATAACTGCTCTGTAATAGTGTAGCATGTGTGAGAGGATGCCTTGCTAGTTGCCAAACTTAGTCAACCCACTCGAAGTAATTGTAATTTTTTTCGAAGGTAGGTAACTTTTTGTTTATAGGTGATGATTCCAAGGTTTGAACCCAGGTTGAATGTTGTTTTAGACTGGTGAAAACTTGATGTATGAGTAGGTGTTAAAGGTGCTTGTGATGATTCTACCCACCATTTCTTCTAAGCGCGTTAGGTGAAAACTGTGCTGTAAAATCTGTAAATAATAGGAAGCACTGTGCTACATTCATCTAATCTGTTATTGCATTGTGCGGATCACTGTTTTGAGTAATGTTTTCAACCTGTTGTTTGTGTACTATATCTGCTGTTGCAGCCATGCTGATGGGGTTTTCCTTTTTCTTTGGACTAAACTTAAGGTCTTGAAAACTGCACAGCAAGTGGCAAGCTCCCAGGTTTCCTACACTCCATTACCTTATGATGAAATGATGAGTCAATGTGAAGCCCTCGTATCTGAAAAACAGCAAAAGATGTCAATGCTTCATAGTTTCAAGCATCAGCATGACACCAGGATTTTCCCCAGCGAGGACGAACCCACAAGCAATGCGGACCTTGACAGAGTGAGTTAATTTACCCTGTCAAATGCTAATTTTTCTTGGGTGTAACTGTAATCATATTTTTCTAGTCCTAATGTTGTTTGAACAGCATAGTAGAACTAATCATATTAAGCTTGCTTTATGGATTTTGAGAGATTGACGCTACGACGCTACTTTGAAACATTGTAATTGACCCTCCTGTTTGCAGTTATCTCAAAGCAGTCACCACTCCGATGATAGCGATCAGAGTCATGCATCCAATCAGCTCGTAGTCTCTTCCTCCATTTCTTCTCTTGGGTGTGGTCAAAATTCGTTCAGGTTACCACCTTCGAGCCCGTATGACAAGTTCCTGAAAGCAGCCGGATGCTGAAGAAAATAGGCGAGAGACCGCCCGCTTCTTCGTCAATACTGTACACAAATGTAACCGAGGCACTGTATGTCTTCTTCTCTCTTTTCTTCTCAAGCGGGAGGAATCTGTCCATATAGACCTGTATACAAACGCACACACAAACACCAGGTTCTTGCTCTTACAGCTTCTGTCCATTCTTTTGCGATCGGGTAAATCCATATATGATTCTTTTATAAGTAATCGCATCGATGATATCAATGATCCAGTTTGTTTAAGTTATTCAAATTGCCAGCATTCTTGTGCAAATGCTGTGCTTGGAAGTCCTGGGGGGATAATGGGAGAGAATAATGTAATATTCTGTGTTGTATTTCTGGAATTGTTTGGCAGTGTGCTATCTCTTACTCTATTGATTTGTAAAAGAAGAAAATATAGTTAAATTATAAGGTGCTCTTTTGATCGACATATTGTTCGACGTGGCAAGCAGGTTGCCTGCCATGTGGCAAGGCTCGATATGTCCCTCGACGTCATAGGTTCTCAGGGAATCCCTGAGCCCCACGTGTCCCATAATAAAATTGAACTTGTTGGCGCCTCATTTGGTTAAAGTACCAATGAAGTCATATAAATTGCACATATTGTCAAATTGAACATTAAGCTTTCTTTTGAAAGATGTTTAAATAGGGTTATCATTCACTTTGTGTCCATAACCATTCGAGGCTTTGTTAATTGTTGGATGTTATTACCATATCGGCATTGATAGGTATGGTATTTGTCACGGAGGAGAAAGCGATTCAATCAACATGTTCAGATTATCGTATGTGTATGTAAGCAATGCAATTGTCCGTCTTTTGATAACATATATTTTTGTGGTTTAAAGCATCATGGTTGTAGTGTCCACAAATAAGTGAAACTTGGTAAAGATAATATAACAACTTTGGTGTTTAGTTTTACAAGCATCAACCGCAACGACCAATTGCTATATAACTAGCAAATTAATCGCAAAGTGTTTCTCATGATCTAAACAGTGAAAAATAGGCCATCTCAAGGTCCTCACTTGGGCTCGACATGAATTTCTAACTTTATTACGACTAGTCGAAATTGTTCTATGCTTCTTTTCATCTAAATAAATTCGTTAAGCGTCTGGACTCATTTAGTATTGTAAAATTTTCTTCCATCAAATTGGCATTGTGAATTTTCATACGGGCTACATTATTATTCATCATTAAATATTTCATAATTTAATGCTTAAATACGAATTTCGACTACACAAAAGGTTGAAGAAATTTTGTTGGGGAAAGTTGGGAAAACAACTTTTATCAACCAAATGAAATTTGGTGGGACTTATGTGGTACAAAAAAAAAGTTTGAGGACCTACTTGACACTAAATCACTCATCCCTTCCCGTGTTGTTAAAAACTCACCGAGTCGCGACTCGGTGGCGAGTCGTAGTTTAAAACAAAAGGAGGAAATAGGAAGGGGGAAGAGAAAGAAAAAGAAACTCGTTCTCTGTTTCTGGCATTTTAGGTTTCTCTCTCTATATAGTCCGAGTGTGAAGCATTTTCCCTCTGGATTTCCAAAACCTCCGCAATCCCTCCCTTGGGTTCCTTGCAGCTCTCCCTTCTTCGAATTGCTCTGGCAAGGCTCTCCTCAGCGCCGTCGCTCGCCGGTTGGATCTCTTGTCGATCAGGTAGGCGAACAACCTCCGGCTGTTCCCTCTGCTTCCTCTCATTCTTTGTCCCCGGTGTCTCATTTTTCCGTTTAGCCCGTCGTCCGGCTGTGAATCCGTTGACTTGCGTGCATGAATGAGGAATGCGGCTGACGTCGAGATTCCAGTTCTCTTCGGGATGGAAGAAATTCGCAGTTGACTAGATTTTCCGTCTGTATCTGCTTTGCCTGCTGTAATTTCTTTTTCCTGCTCTGTTTTTTGTCGCATGCAATGTCGCCTTGTGTGAATTGCTTTGGTTTTGAGCTGATGATATGGAGATTAGGTGTGGTGTTTGGAATTTTTTGCAGTCGTTCTAGGGCAACAGGTTCTGGAATTGGTTAAGAACTGTAGAGTGTGAATTGATAGCTTCAGAGAATTAGGTACTGTGTAAGTGCATGAGAATAGGAGAGCTTACGTTGTTGCCTGTTTGTGAGTTGTGACTGAATGAATTAGAACTACAAGCTGGAATTGATTCATCTGCGAACTGTGTCGATAAAGGGGAATGAGTGGAAGGATAGAAGATGCATGATGCCCTCTGTTTGGTTTCTCTGTTGTCCTTAACTGGGCTATCCAGTGCATTTTGAAGCTTGAGTCGATCTTCTTTTGATGTATCTAATAATATTCTAATTCCTGGTTTCCCCCTTCCACAAATTTCTGTTTGAGGATAGGCACAGTTCAATTTTTGTATGGGAGAGGGGAATCGGCAGAGCTAGCATATGTACCCAACACGTCCTGTTCCAGGAGATGGGCCTGTTTCGAGGCCAGTACGGACTAGTGACAGACCTAGGAGAAGACCAAAACCATTTGGTCGGACATACTTTTATTACCCGGCAACTGGTGTTCGAAGCAAGAAATCCAAGAGCAAGGGGAGGGCAGCAGCTTCTCGGATTGCAAAAATGCTGCGTCCTGGTAACCGCCCATTAAGAACCACAAGTGCTAATGTAAGTGCAAATATTTCCCTCCTTTCTTGGGATTGTGGTGTTCTCTTTAGTGAATTATCTAGTTTTTTTTTTTTTTGTGACTTTGCCATTATGGTGTTATTACTTTATTATAAATTTGAGTTTCATGGCAGAAGAATGCATTTGAATAAGACTTGTGGTAGTGTACTCTGGAATCTTTGTACTCCCAATAGCCTTGAATTTTCAAAGCTGCTAAGATGGGATGTGAATGTAGAAGGATGGAGTGGTGATTATAAGGGATATGAATCGTAGATGTTTAGTCTTAAATGTCAAATAAGCAATCTGTTATATCTTTCCTACTGAAGAGTGCACATGATAAGTAGCAAGGTGTTGTCTTGTTAGGCAAAGGAACATGGAAGACACTTCTAATTTATGCAAGCTGTTTAGATTACTCAAGATTGTCGCTTTCTCTCTATGCAGTTAGCCAGCACTAATCTTCGACGTTCTACTAGAAAGAGGAGGGTTCCTTCAAACCTTGATGGTTATGAAAACACTTCTGGATCAGAAGATGAAGATATAATGGTGAGGTTCCCTCCTTGTAAGGCATACATACTGTTACATAGGTGTCTAACTTCATTATCTTTTCTAGTGCGTGGATCAAGATCGAAAACTCCAGTAGGAAGTCTAATGTTTTGACGTTTAGGATGAAGATTGTGATTCCTTAAAATGTTCCAGTTGCAGAAACCACGTCCTCATAGACGATTGAGGAAGAAAGGTTTCTCTGCAGTCAACCACAATGACTTGTCATCTCCAAAGTCCAACAAGATTGATGAGACCAAATCAACTCCCAGGCGTGAAGGACTGCGCCCTCGTCATTCTAAAGCACTTGGAAGAAAACTCCTGAACTTAGATTCGGGTGATGATAATGATACTTCTGATGACAAGGTGCTACAGGATGAGGCAGAAAATGGAGAGGAAAATGATGCAGATGATGGTCGGGATGAAGAGGATGAGGGTGATGGAGATGGAGAGGATGAAGGAGAAGAAGATGGTGATGACGAGGAGGGTGAAGAAGAACAGGAGGATGGAAGAAGGAGGTATGATCTCCGAAATCGTACAGATCGTGCAGATGTTCGAAGGCTTCCCATGATGGATAAGCAAAGGCAGAGATCCCCTCGAAGGATATTGCATCAAGGACTAGGGACCAAGATCAATAGGGACATGAGAAAGGGTGGATCGCGGGTACACAAGCGCCATCGTCTAACAAGGGTTGATGATTCTGATGATTCTCTTCTTGTGGATGAGATGGACCAGGGGCCTGCAATTCCTTGGGCTCGAGGTGGGGCTAGATCTGGACCACCTTGGCTCTTTGGTGGCCTAGACATGCATGGAACTACATCGTGGGGACTGAACGTTGCCGCTTCTGGGTGGGGTCATCAGGGTGAGAGTTTGGGTGGTTTAAGTTCTGGTGTACAAACTGCTGGGCCAAGTTCTAAGGGAGGGGCAGATATTCAGCCCTTACAACTTGACGAGAGTGTAAGTTTTGAAGATATAGGTGGGCTTTCTGAGTATATAGATGCTTTGAAGGAAATGGTTTTCTTCCCATTGCTATATCCGGATTTCTTTGCCACTTACCAAATCACCCCGCCAAGAGGTGTTTTGCTCTGCGGTCCTCCTGGCACTGGGAAAACCTTGATTGCCAGGGCATTAGCATGTGCTGCTTCAAAGGCTGGGCAGAAGGTTAGTTTTTATATGCGTAAAGGTGCTGATGTACTGAGTAAGTGGGTTGGGGAGGCTGAGAGGCAGTTGAAACTTCTTTTCGAAGAGGCTCAGAGGAACCAACCTTCCATAATCTTCTTCGATGAAATAGATGGTCTTGCGCCTGTTAGGTCTAGCAAACAAGAGCAGATACACAATTCCATTGTTTCCACTTTGCTGGCTTTGATGGATGGCCTGGATTCTCGTGGACAAGTTGTTTTGATTGGAGCAACTAACCGGGTTGATGCTATTGATGGCGCTTTGCGCCGTCCTGGTCGTTTTGATCGTGAATTTAACTTCCCGTTGCCAGGTTGTGAGGCACGTGCTGAGATTTTAAGCATTCATACTCGGAAATGGAAGCAGCCTCCTACAAAGGAGCTAAAGTTGGAGCTTGCAGCTAGCTGTGTTGGATATTGTGGAGCTGATTTGAAGGCACTATGCACTGAAGCTGCCATCCGTGCTTTTCGTGAAAAATATCCTCAAGTTTATACAAGTGACGATAAGTTTCTGATTGATGTTGATTCAATCAAGGTGGAAAAGTATCACTTTGTAGAAGCCATGTCCACCATAACTCCTGCTGCTCACAGAGGTGCTCTAGTGCACTCTCGGCCATTGTCCCTTGTAGTTGCTCCATGTCTGCAAAGACACCTTCAAAAAGCTATGAACTGTGTATCCGATATATTCCCACCACTTGGTGTGTCGGCAGAGTTCACAAAACTTTCTATGCTTTCCTATGGTTCTGCAATTTCTCTGGTGTATAGACCTCGGATTCTGCTCTGTGGTAGTGAAGCTTCTGGTCTGGTAATTATCTTTAAGCTCAGTCCTTTGGTACATTGATAACAATGGAACCTCAAACTAAATATACTTACTGATTTAGTTCAACAGGATCATCTTGGCCCAGCAATTTTACACAAACTGGAGAAGTTCCCTGTTCATTCTCTTGGGCTTCCTTCTCTTCTTTCGGATCCAAGTGCTAAGACTCCAGAGGAAGCATTGGTCCATATATTTGGAGAAGCCAGAAGAACAACACCTTCAGTCCTTTACATACCTCATTTCCACCTTTGGTGGGAAAATGTAAGTACACTATGGTGTTATGATATTAGTAGAATAGTTGAGATATGTTAGTTATACTGCATATTTAGGTCTTATTCTTGCATTCGATAGATTATTTTGATGCCTTTGATGATGCAGGCACATGAACAACTCAGGGCTGTTCTGCAAACGCTATTAGAAGAATTGCCATCTGATTTACCTGTACTGTTACTTGGGACTTCTTCTGTATTACCTCCTGAGATTGATGGGAATCCATATTCAGTTTTTCCTCTCCGTTCGATGTAAGTCCTGAATTCATTCTAGCTGCTCCTATGGTCTTCTAGCTCTACTGCTCATGAATCATTTATCTTCATTTTTGCTGGATTTTCGATGATTTTTTATTTATTGATATAGACTTGCATGGCTTTGCTCTTCAAGTAAATAGTTTTCCGTACTTCACACAAAAGCTAGACTTCCTTTTCTGTTATGAATGATGATGGACCAAGGGTAAATATTTATAAGACACGGGCATCAACTCTTAAGTTGATTGTTTTTCCAACTTGCTGTAACCTGGTGATGCTGAGAAAGAACCTATGGACTGTGGATAATAAGATTTGCTGCCACAATGACTTGGCAAGAATGTTAATGGCTGCTTTATTACGAAGACCTTGTTATTCCTCCTTTCATGTTATTCTTTTGTGTGCTTATGCAAGATTTATATCAGACATCCCTGGAGCTCATTTATCTTTATTATCTGGCGAAGAATCTCAAGAAAGTTGATACAACGCAGATTTCTTGGATGCTAGAACATTTATACACATTTCTTCTCTTATTTTCGAAATTTGGTTTTATATGCTTCCCTGTGGTTTCCTTTCTCAGACATCAAGTTGATTGTCCATCAACCGAGGATAGATCAGCGTTTTTCAGGCAGTTAATTGAAGCTGCTTTATCAGTCGTGCTAGAAGGTGAAACCAAGAAATCTGGACAATTAGAGTCTTTGGATGAACTTCCTAAGGCTCCAAAAGTGGCAAGTGGTCCGAAGGTATCTGAGTTGAAAGCTAAGCTTGAAGCTGAGCAGCATGCACTTCGCAGAATGCGAATGTGCCTAAGAGATGTCTGTAATCGGTAAGATCACCTGCATCCTAAGATATTATCGGGCTTGTGAGAGGCTACTGCACCTGTACTTGCCATATTATGTGCTTTGCATTGGTCTGTAGTTCACCTGACTTCGCTCATGGTTACTGTGATCTTTGTGGATTATCAACCTTCTCTGTAAGGGCTGGGTTTGTTGTAGCTTTTGGTTTAAGTTGCGATAAACGTGATAGAAAAGTATTCTTGATTGGGTTCCAAATAAATTTGAGTTGATGAGATAGACAGATAGTTTGTCTAGTAATAAATGAATGAGTGAGTTTTGAGAAATGACTATTGTGGTGTGGTGGATCTTAGATTTAAACAAATTGTGGGATATGTGGTGAGTAATTGTTTCTAAAAAAATTAAGATTTAAGAAATGTGTTTGTTGTAGCTTTTCACTCGAAGTTTCTTGAGAAGTTCATTGTTTTTAGCCACAACAATGCACCCTTAAAGCTCTATCCGCAGTACTTAATGTGACATTGGTTATCTTATTGTTTCTCCTACGAACAGGATTTTGTATGATAAAAGGTTTACTGCCTTCCATTATCCAGTCTCGGACGAGGATGCTCCAAATTACCGGACGGTAATCCAGAACCCTATGGACGTGGCCACTCTTCTGCAGAAAGTGGATTCTGGTCAGTATATTACGTGTTCAGCATTCCTGCAAGACATTGACCTCATTGTTATGAATGCAAAGGTACTTATCCCTTCTCGTTAGCTGTTTTTTAAAGTTAATTTGTTAATGCTTTACCTAAGTTCATTGTTTACCTAGTTTTCAGATCTTGTGAACAAGATGTTGGAAACATGGAATCTTGGTCATAACTCCTGACATATTATTATCCATCCTGACATATTATTGATCTTGTAAATAATACAGGTTTTCAATGGAGATGACTACAACGGCTCCAGGATAGTTAGCAGAGCGTACGAGCTTAGAGACTCTGTAAGATGTTCATCTGAATTCTGATACTCTTTTGCCCATTCCACGCTTCGTCCAATTTTTCATCAACGCCACTCATCATGATGTTCTATTTTTCAGGTGCATGGGATGTTGTCTCAAATGGATCCTGCGCTGGTTGCTTACTGCGACAAAATCGCAGCCCAAGGAGGGCCAATGCAGCTGCCTGAGGACATAGGGGGGACCATCTTTCCGTCCACACCAGTTGTGCAGCTGGGGACTGCGGTCACGAGAGCAAGTGCCCGCCTTCGAAATGTGCAGCCGGAAGTCAATCTTGATCAAAGCTACGAGGCTCTGAAGCGGCCACGAAAAACTGCGGATTCTGCTGCTGCACATCCAGGTAAATATAAATAAATTGGATACATAGTCGATTAAGTTCTGATAAGTTTGGAATAACTAACATATCAATGAGTGTCAACTCAAATGAATAAGGAAAAAATGCCAGGGAAAGTGGTAGGGATAGTTTGCCTAATATGGGGTTAAAATTGCGTCGACTAATGAATTTGAGCTGAATTAAGGTGTAAAATGAGTTGTTCATGTCAGCTAACTAGAGTCATTTTGGCTCTTCTATAATAAAATTTTGGCTAGTTGACTCGTTAATGTGGTAAATTGGACTGAAAATTCTGACAGAGATAGACAAAGTGACTTATGTTAGTTATGCCAAACTTATAGTGAATCAAACTTGCGTGACTCAGTTGTCAGTAAAACCTGAAGTTCAGTTTTCACCTTTTCGAAGAGTAATTATTGGGGGATTTTCATTTGCTCTGTAACCTCAGCTGAAGACGAAGAACAGCATGATCAATCACCTGAAGAAGCTGCTTCTGCCGATGCTGCCATGGTAGTCGACCCAAACCCTGGGAAGCAGCAGGCGCCAGAATCGCCTCCTACTGCCCCCTCCACAGCTGGGGTAAGTCATCAGCAGCAGCATGAATACTGCAACGGCTCAACTTCTGGGGTCGGTTCATCAGAAGATGTGACAATGTCTGATGGAGATATTTCAGCTGAGGTGGAGCACGTGAAGGAACTCTTCTTGGAGCGCTCAGTAGACTACGGGATCCCGCAGCTGGAGAGGCTCTACATGAGAGTGATCAAGAGCGTTTTCTCGAGCAAGGATGCTGAAAAAGGCAAAGTAGGTCCCAAGAGGTCAATTTTGATGTGTTTGCTCAAGTATGTCCAGGATGATCATAATTTCTCGTGATAACTATTCAAAACGCACAATGAAAACCAGCAAGAGTGAAATCTTGCAGTTACGGTAGCCCTCTCTCCTCTCACCTAAAGAAACGATTAGGAAACAACGATCATTGAGGCTTGATTTCATTCGTATCTTGACGACCATTGAGGTTTGATCCATTTGTATCTTCCTTCGACGAATGATAAATCGTCACATACTAGTAAACCACAAATCCACAATCATAGTACTGCCAGAATTTGAACATATTACGCTATATCCGATCCCTTTACTCCCAGGCAAAATGTGCCACGAAACTGTAAAGAGACTACATGTAACAGCTGCTGCCTAAGCGTGCAAAAGAGGTGTGCCTTGTGTTAGCAGAAAGAAGCTATATATAAGCCACCCAGAAACAATGTTGAAAAGCTGTTTTTCTCAATGTTTGATTGCTGTGGTGATGGTGGTAGTGCTGCTGTTGCATATCTTCTCCAAGATCTGTGCTGCGACTGACTCCCTAGCCTCCCTGGGATCGACACATACTTCGCCACCAGTTGAAGACCACTCTGTTTGATCCCCTTTCACGATCACGCTAGCCATGAACCCACCTTTCATTGAAAAGCCACAACAAAGTTACTACTATACAGATATATACTGGTATGACTACAAAAGCTGCTGATCTAGGGGGCTCGCTCACCGTTAACTGACAGGAGACGGTAAGTTGGCAAAATCCAGTTGTTCTTGTAGCATATATTGTCCAATGCCTGCAAACAACCCACCAATGAAATCAAGATTAAAGCATGGAATTGGAAATGAGTTACTTGGTGTGGGAACTCTGTTTCGGTATGCTTTGATTGGGAACTTACTACACATGGTGTATGGCTATCGTCTTCCTCGTGTCCCAGCATCGTCACCATTTCGTTACTTTGGGCTGAAGGTTGGTTCTTTCTGTTCACAGTTCTCAGGAACGATGTGTTGTTGACAAGTTCGAGGAAGCATTCTATCTTCAGTGCCATATCATCACCACCTAGGAAACAGTTTCTACTCTCTTTAGCACCACTCTATTTGGAAATTAATCCTAGAGCAGCATAACATACAATACTACACTCAAACTGTCGTCAACTTCGTCATTTTACATTCAAATCAACGAGAGGAAATGAATGCCAAGAGATAAAGAACTATACCATCCAAAATTCTCTGGATCTTCTTATCATACTGTACGATCTGATCTTCTATATCTCGTTGCTGAAATGACTACAGAATCACATTCAAGACAGGCCAGAATCTAATGGTCAAAATCCAGACTAACTTGATTACTGTTGTCTTTAGAATAAACAGTACATACATAAAACGCTGGAGGGGTTTGGACTCATGCAGCATCAAAGAAAGAAGTAGAGAAAGAACTAGTACCAGTTGATCTCTTTTTCTCAGGAGCACTTTGAGTGCTGCTTCAGAGAGTTCCTTGTCTTTTGAAGCTATAATAGAGAACATTTTCTCAATATCTTGAACACTACAACTGTACTCAACCAAAGGAAGATGATGAACTGCAGGCTTTGCATCTGGATCCACAGCAATGTTATTGCAGTTCTGATCAATTATCACAACATTTCTACATATATCTTCAGTGATTTCCTGAGTACTTGGCTTCTCCACCTGCACAATTCAGTAGTCCTAACAATGGCTGGCATCAACGAAGTACACACGTCTATTAACGTATCACAATTCAGAACAAGTGGAAAATTCATCAAGTACTTTCTAGAAAATATTAGATTGATAGTTATGGAAACCAATAGTTCAGTAGCAGATGTTTAGCAGTGTAGCCAGAATATAAAGACAAGACATCATATTAGCTAAATTGTGACTGGACATTAAGAAATCTTAACCTTAATAGTTCAGTAGCAGATGTTTAGCAGTGTAGCCAGAATATAAAGACATCATATTAGCTAAATTGTGACTGGACATTAAGAAATCTTAACCTTATTAGAAACTGTCAAGCTTTTTGAGCTCTTAAGCACAGAGTCCTCAATCTCTGGGTTGGCAGGTTTGATGGCATTGGCAACATTTGCACAAATATCTTTTTTCCCCGACTTAATGTCTGAGGATGCATTCACTTCCATATGGTTGCAGTTCGCTGCACTCACGATCACATTTCTACCTCTTCCTTTATCAATCTCCTGGGTCATCAGAGCATTTGGCTTCTCCACCTGCACAATTCGACAGTCCTGCCGATTGGCATCAACAAAGTGAGCAAAAGAATCTAAGACTCCACTCCAAGGAAATGCATTCCATTCTCAGCAGGTGCATAAGATGACACTTATAGATAGTTTGACATAGGTTCCTAAGAATTATGAGTTAAGAGTCGATTTGGCAGGACAACAAAATTTGGGGATATGGATTCAGGACGACCTTAAGAGTTCATCAAATGCTTACCATCTAGACTAGGCTACCAGTTATCACAACCAATAATTCAGTAGCCAGAATATAGCAAGTTCCACAAACTTGAGAGTAACTGGATTACATCAAGAAATCATAACCTTATCAGAAATTATCAAGTCATTTGAGCTCTTATGGACAGCGCCAACGACCTTGTGGTTGACAGGTTTGGCATTGGCAATATTCGCACCCACATCTTTGTTCTGCGAATAGATGACTGGTAATGGATCTACTTCCATGTTCTGGGGGGCATTTAAATTAGCCGGACTAATCCTTGAACTTTCATCATTCTCGTTCTGCTTTTCTGTCTCGGGATGATGCGCCGAGGTCTCAGAATTCACATTTTCATCCTTCTGCATCAGTACACTAGAGTTCGTGCTACTATGATCATTCTTCTCCGATGATTTTGAGATCATGCCGCTGCTGTCAAGATAAACAACTTGAGGTCATCTCGAGAAACATTCATCCATGAATCATATTTTCACCATGCAACTTAAGTTAATTATAGTATTATGTTTATTCCCCATCATGCAACAGTGACAATACTAGTAATCATATAACTGCTGTCAGTCACATCACATGAGCTTCAATACATTAAATGATCACACATTCAACATTCTCAGGAATGTCTCATTCCCTAATCAGACCTGTGGTCGCATGCAGAGTTCATCCAGTCTGCAAGAATCTGAGCAAAAGGAAGCAAATGAAAGTACTCAACAACAGGTGTGATTATCCATCCAGAGGACGTTTTTGAGAATAGTGGACCCTGCAAGCTGCTCCAAAGACAAGGCAAAGGTGGCATTAGAAGATTGAACAGTAACAGTTGATCATTTGCGGAACCGTTAATGGGACAATAGAATAAGTTGGTAGGAAAAGTAGTACAGCATCGATAACAACCTTTTAATCAAATCTTGGATGGGAACTTGACACAGACTATTGTTGTTCTCTGCTTGAGTGTACTGTGAGATGTAAAAGCGCATGCCAGTATTTTCTTTACTTGCAGAATACACAATGTGGCTTTCCAAAAAACAAAGATCATCCTGGCCAATTCCTGTACCAAAAACAAGAATTAGATTAAGGTGGCAATCCTTCTCAGCCATGGTTTTGCACAGCAAACATCACATTAATCAAGAAAATCATTCTTCTAATGCTCCACACTAATAAAGCAGAAGCTAGATCAAAGTAGTTTCATTTTAAGTTTCATGAAGAAGGCATACCAGTGGCTTCATTGACAGCTAACATAGCTGCTTTCTTGAGGTCAACTTCAGCAGTACTTTCCTCTCGTTTTGGAGGAGGTCCTTTAATAACCCTTCTCTTTTTGTTAGCTTGATTTGAGTCACCAGAAGTTCCCTTACTTTGATCAACAACCTCCACATCCTTCTCAACAGCAGACCACACACCATCAGTGATTGAGCCAAACTGCAGCAACGCTTTCTTCTTTGTAGAGTCCACAAGAAGGACCGCAACTCTGGAAACTGCAGATCCATTTACAGCTGGAGCCTCTTTGGATGCATCCAAAGACGTAGCAATGCTACATGCATCCATAACTTTCTTCTCAGTCAAAGAAAGCTGATTTTCACGATCAACCAACACGGTATCATTAGAGCATCGTGTCAGCTTCATGTATGGTAGAAGATTAGGTCGCAGCATCACAGCCAACTTGCAGAAACTCTCGAAATTCATGAAGTTCAGTTCGGGATGCTGTCTCCTGTGGTAGTAGTTGTACAGCAACACAACCGCATGAACCTGAAGAAAATCATCAAAAGTAAAGGAAACTATTAGATGACTACATTACAACTCAATAAAATCTCCCATGTAGTGATTCTTACTTACTTCTAAGTCTTTAGTATTATGATTTCCACAAGTAACTTTCCTCAAACTGGAACTATGGAGCAAGCTTAACTTAGACATAGTGACACATTCCCTTTTATCCTTCTAGGTATGACTCACTGATCCACAAACATAACCTTAGGACAGAAAGACATAAAAACACCTGTTTAGCTATGACTTCTTCATGAGCTAGAGATGGTGTGAACCCGGATCCAGATTTTGCCGGCAGCTTGAGATCGACCAGATTTTCAAACAGTGCAAGAATGGCATCCTCGGTCTGGCAAACTTCAGTTCCCTCCATGATCCAGACACAGGGACACTCACCCTACAAGAAAGTGAAATTTCTGATCAGGAAAAAGTAGAAAAGACTAGTTCACTTAGCACATAACACCAGCAGGAGACAGTTTAGCACGATGGAATTTCATCTTCAAAATCAAAACAACTTATCAGAATGGGAAAAGGTAAACCAAACCCTATAAAATTTCACTACCCACAACATCAAAGCAACTGGAAACAGAGCAGTAAAAACGGGTTCCAACGAATTCTCTCAAAAGAAACAAAAAACCAGGTGGCGATGGTGAGATAAAAAAAATCTACGAACCAGCTTAGCTCCTAAAACCCAGAGAAATCAGCAAACAGCAGAAAGATCGAAACTTGCGTTCTGGGTGCTTGAGAAAATCAACGTAAGAACAAGAGGGAAAAAATATACCCAAATGAGCAGCAGAAAGGAAACAACAATAACGTACACGAACAGGGTTTTTCCCGCCTTCCGGGATGGACGTCGATCAAGTATCCAAAACAAACGAGAATCCGAAAATGCAGCCGACTGAGTGATCTATTTCTCTATTCCAACCTTTTGCAAGAAAAGGCCAGTTCCTTCCTTCCCTCCTTCCTTCCGTTGGTGTTTGATCACCTTTCTCCTTAGTATGAGGCTTCAGGAGGGAGACGAATCGACGATGAGTAAATAGAAAACAGAGGGAGAGAGAGAGAGAGAGAGAGAGAGAGAGAGAGGAAGTAAATTAGTGCTTGTTGCAGGGCAGGGGAGGGTGGCAGTGTGGCAGGGAGGACTGACAAAGCTGACTAGAAAGGTTCAGCTGCTGGGTGTTAGCTTGTTGCCATAAGGACAAGCGGAAAGCCTTCTCCTCCAAGTTTGGCCTTAAGTGGTAAAAAAAACTCTCTACAAACAAAATATTTGTTGAGAAGATGATCAAAATTGATACATTTTCCATTAATTGGAGCTGTTTGGTTGAGCTGTTTTCAGTCTTGTCTGGAAGCAACCCATCTCATCAAGGAGCAGAGACATTATTGTTTCACTGATGTGGAGCTGAAAGCAATAAATAGGTTGGAAAGCAAGAAAAAAAATTTGTCCTTTGGAACAAAGCTGTGGGAAGATTTTCTCTGATTTCTCTTTGGGCGGCAGAGCAGAGCGGCCTTGTCTGCATATTGTCAGGTTTCCAAATAAGAGCAAACTTTCTTTCCTACTTTAGTAAAGGAGATGATCCTTTTTCCCTATCCAAGCTTTACCTGGATTTTTTACTTCTGAGGCAATATACCAGAATCAATGGGACTATGTGACAGAGAGCATGATACCATTTTTGTTTGGAATCCACAAGAGGAGTATATCTTGTGGTTAACGGGTTTAGGAATGATGGAAATTTGAAATTCTCAATACATGGAATTTTGATGTAATTTTCAATGTAAATAACTAAATATATGAAATGAGAGTACATAAAACTTTTTTTTTCTTTTGCCAACAAAGAATTACACTACAAATGGCTTCTATCGTACATTGGGTAAAATCTAGGAGAATAGCCTCACACCGAATCTGCGATATGTAGCACTCAAAATCAAAGGAAATTGGCCTTCGAAAATGTCATCCCCTAATAAATTGGCACAATTATGTGCTTAATGTACGAAATCATCGGTGGAGAATATGATCAATATACTTCAATATCGGTGGAGAACCTAATAAATTGGCACATTCTGTGCTTAATGTACGAAATCATCGGTGGAGAATATGATCAATATACTTCAATATCGGTGGAGAATAGCCTTGTGCTAAAATCGTGATATGTAGTCTCCAAAATCGAAAGAAAATAGCATTTTGGAAAAATCGCCAGAAATCAGTGATGGTACCCCTTTCGAATATGATCAATATACTTCAATATCGATGGTCCTAGTGTTTTGTGTTTGAGTGAAGGATAGAAGGCGAGCATTCTTAGGAGTTAATGTTGAATTGAGTTGGTAAGGATGATTATTTAAGAGCAGAAAGCGAGAACGGCTTTCATGCTAGGAAGGCATTCCCCTAATAACGTGTTTAGTAAGGAGTTTTCCTAGGGCAAAGACCTTAGGGAGTAACGACGAGACTGACCCCTTCTCACTCACCAGGTGCATAGAGGGGAAGAGGACACATCCATCAAGACGAGATTACCCGAGGAGAGCAGCCGCGGCTAACCTGAAGATTTCAACTGGATCTGGGTAACGAGATGGGACCTCCCATTTTAGTTGTCTTTAGTTCATGTCTTAATGAGTATACTGGGAAACTCAAGGATTGTGTTTTATGTTTTGTTGCTCGGGATTGACGTCTCCCAAGTGTCTAGGGCATTTCACTTGAAAATCTTAAGCATTGTAGTTTTTGGTTTTTGGTTTTGACTTGTAAACCGTTTTGGGTTGCTCCGGAGTAACCGGTTTTTGGTTTGAGTTATCGTTTGGTTTTCAAAAAGGATCGGGACGTGTCAATAAATCCGCCCAAATCGATGCTTAATGAACTTAGTCATCGTTGAAGAATAGTCTCAGGCCGAATCCGTAATCTATAGCCTTCAAAATCCAAAGAAAATGGCATTTCGACGCCCACAAAATTACGAAAATGCCATCCGAAAATAAATTGGCCCAAAACGGTGCTTAATGGACTTATCATCCGTGGAGAATATGATCAATAGACTTCAATGTCGGTGGAGAATAATCTCAGTATGATTCCGCGATATGTAGCCTCCAGAATCGAAAGAAAATGGCATTTCGGAAAAAAAGCTTTAAATCTGTGATGGTACCCCTTTGGAATCTGCAAAAAATTGACTAGGAATAAATCTACCCAAATCGATGCTTAATGGACTTAATCATCGTTTAAGAATAGTCACGGTCCGAACCCGTGACGCGTAGCATTCAAAAATCCAAAGAAAATGGCATTTCGTCGCTCCACAAATTACAAAAATGTCATCCGAAAATAAATTGTCCCAAATTGGTGCTTAATGGACTTATCATCCGTGGAGAATAGGATCAATAGACTTCATTATCGGTGGATAATAGCCTTGGCTTGATTCCGTGATCTGTAGCCTCCGAAATCGAAAGAAAATGGCATTTCGGAAAAATCGACCGAAATCTGTAATGGTACCCCTTTAGAATCTGCCAAAAATTGACTGGGAATAAATCCGCCCAAATCGGTGCTTAATAGACTTAATCATCGTTGCAGAATAGCCCGGGGTAGAATCTGTAACCCGTAGCCTTCAAAATCCAAAGAAAATGTCCTTTTGCCGCACCATAGATTACGAAAATGCCATCCGAAAATAAATTGGCCCAAATCGGTGCTTAATGGACTTTTCATCCGTGGAGAATATGATCAATAGACTTCAATAACGGTGGAGAATAGCCTCAGTATGATTCCGTGATCTGTAGCCAACATAATCGAAAGAAAATGGCATTTCGGAAAAATCGCCCGAAATCTGTGATGGTACCCCTTTGCAATCTGCCAAAAATTGACCCAGAATAAATCCTTCCAAATCAATGCTTAATGTACTTAATCATCGTTGAACAATAGCCTCAGGCCGAATTCGTGACCCGTAGCCTTCAAAATCCAAAGAAAATGGCCTTTCGTCGCCCATAAATTATGAAAATGCCATCCGGAAATAAATTGGCCCCAATCGGTGCTTAATTTTCTTATCATCCATGGAGAACAGGATCAATAGAATTCATTATCGGTGGAGAAAAGCCTCGGCCCGATTCCGTGATTTGTAGCCTCCAGAATCGAAAGAAAATGGAATTTCTGAAAAATCGCACGAATCTGTTATGGTACCACTTTGGAGTCTGCCAAAAATTGACCTGGAATTAATCCGACCAAATTGGTGTTTAATGAACTTAATCATCGTTGAAGAATGGCCTCAGGCCGAATCTGTGACTAGTAGTCTTCAAAACCAAAGAAAATGACCTTTCGTCGTCCCATAAATTACGAAAATTCCAACCGAAAATAAATTGGCCCAAATCGGTGCTTAATGGACTTATCATCAGCGGATAATAGGATCAATAGACTTCATTATCGGTGGAGAATATCCTCGGCCTGATTTCGTGATCTGTAGCCTCCAGAATCGAATGAAAATGGCATTTATGAAAAATCGCTCGAATTTATGGTGGTACCCCTTTGGAATCTGTCAAAAATTGACCCAAAATAAATTCGCCTAAATCGGTGCTTAATGGACTTAATCATCATTGAAAAATAGCCTCAGGCCAAATCCGTGACACATAGCACTCAAAATCCAATGAAAATTGCCTTTCGTCGCCCCATAAATTACGAAATTGCCATCAGAAAAATAAATTGGCCCAAATCGGTGCTTAATAGACTTATCATCCGTGGAGAATAAGATCAATAGACTTCATTATCGGCGGATAATAGCCTCGGCCTGATTCCGTGATTTGTAGCCTACGGAATCGAAAGAAAATGGCATTTGGAAAAATAGCCCAAATCATTGATGGTATCCCTTTGGAATCTGCCAAAAATTGACTGGGAATAAATCCGCCCAAATCGGTGTTTAATAGACTTAATCATCGTTGAAGAATAGCCCCAGGTAGAATCTGTAACCCATACCCTTCAAAATCCAAAGAAAATGTCCTTTTGTCGCACCATAAATTACGAAAATGTCATCCGAAAATAAATTGGCCCAAATCAGTTATTAATGGACTTATTATCCGTGGAGAATATGATCAATAGACTTCAATATCGTTGGAGAATAGCCTCAGTATGATTCCGTGATCTGTAGCCTCCACAATCGAAAGAAAATGGCATCTCGGAAAAAGCTCGAAATCCGTGATGGTACCCCTTTGGAATCTGCCAAAAATTGACCAGGAATAAATCCGCCCAAATCGATGCTTAATGGACTTAATCATCGTTTAAGAATAGCCACGGTCCGAACCCGTGACGCGTAGCATTCAAAAATCCAAAGAAAGTGGCCTTTCGTCGCCCCACAAATTACGAAAATGCCATCCGAAAATAAGTTGGCCCAAATTGGTGCTTAATGGACTTATCATTCGTGGAGAATAAGATCAATAGACTTCGTTATCAGTGGAGAATAGCCTCGGCCTGATTCCGAGATCTGTAGCCTCCAGAATCGAAAGAAAATGGCATTTCGGAAAAATCGCACAAAATCTGTTATGGTACCCCTTTGGAGTCTGCCAAAAATTAACCCGGAATTAATCCGACCAAATCGGTGTTTAATGAACTTAATCATCATTGAAGAATAGCCTCAGGCCGTATCCGTGACCGGTAGTCTTCAAAATCCAAAGAAAATGACCTTTCGTCGTCCCATAAATTACGAAAAATTTCATCCGAAAATAAATTTGCCCAAATCGGTGCTTAATGGACTTATCATCCGTGGAGAATAGGATTCCGTGATATGTAGCTTCCGGAATCGAAAGAAAATGACATTTCGGAAAAATCGCTCGAAATCTGCAATGGTACCCCTTTGGAATCTGCACAAAATTGACCTGGCATAAATCCGCAAAAATCGTTGCTTAATGGACATAATTATCGTTGAAAAATAGCCTCCGGGTGAAGCAGTGACCCGTAGCCTTCAAAATTCAAAGAACATGGCATTTCGTCGCCCCATAAATTACGAAAATGTCATACGAAAATAAATTGGCCCAAATCGGTGCTTAATGGACTTATCATCCATGGAGAATAGGATCCATAGTCTTCATTTTTTTGTGGAGAAAAGCCTCGGCCTGATTTCGTGATCTGTAGCCTCCAAAATCGAAAAAATGGCATTTCGGAAAAATCGCTCGAAATCTATGATGGTACCTCTTTGAAATCTTCCAAAAATTGACCCGGAATATATCCGCCCAATTCGGAGCTTAATGAACTTAATCATTGTTGAAGAATAACTTCAGGCCTAACTAGTGACCCGTAGCCTTCAAAATCCAAAGAAAATGGCATTTCGTCGGCCCATAAATTACGAAAATGCCATTCAAAAATAAATTGACCCAAATCGGTGCTTAATGGACTTATCATCCGTGGAGAATAGGATCAATAGACTTCATTTTCAGTGGAGAATAGCTTCGGCCTGATTTCGTGATATGTAGCGTCCAGAATAGAAAAAATGCTATTTCGGAAAAATCGCCCGATATTTGTGATGCTACCCATTTGGAATCTGCCAAAAATTGACTTGCAATAATTCCGCCCAAATCGGTGCTTAATGGACTTAATCATCGTTGAAGAATAGCTTCAGGTAGAATCCGTGATCCGTAGCCTTCAAAATCAAAAGAAAATGGCCTTTCGCCGCACCATAAATTACGAAAATGCCATCCGAAATTAAATTGGCCCAAATCTTTGCTTAGTGGACTTATCATCCATGGAGAATAGGATCAATAGACTTCATTTTTGGTGGAGAATAGCCTCGGTCTGATCTCGTGATCTGTAGCCTCCAGAATCGAAATAAAATGGCATTTCGGAAAAATCGCTCGAAATTTGTGATGGAACCCCTTTGGAATCTGCCAAAGAATGACCCGGAATAAATCCGCCCAAATCGGTGCTTAATGGACTTAATCATCATTGAAAAATAGCCTCACGCCGAATCTGTGACCCGTAGCCTTCAAAATCCAAAGAAAATGGCCTTTTGTCGCACCATAAATTACGAAAATGCCATCAGAAAATAAATTGGCCCAAATCGGCGCTTAATGGACTTATCATCCGTGGAGAACAGGATCAATAGACTTCATTTTTGGTGGAGAATAGTCTCTTCTTGATTTCTTGATCTGTAGCCTCCAGAATCGAAAGAAAATGGCATTTTGTCGCCCCATAAATTACGAAAATGCTATCCGAAAATAAATTGGCCCAAATCGGTGCTTAATAGACTTATCATCCGTGGAGAATAGGATCAATAGACTTCATTATCGGTGGAGAATAGCCTCGGCCTGATTCCGTGATCTGTAGCCTCCAAAATCGAAAGAAAATGGCATTTCGGAAAAATCACCCGAAATCTGTGATGGTACCTCTTTGAAATCTGCCAAAAATTTACCCGGAATAAATCCACCCAAATCAGTGCTTAATGGACTTAATCATCGTTGAAAAATAGCCTCAGGCCGAATCCATGACCCGTAGCCTTCAAAATCCAAGGAAAATGGCCTTTCTTCGCCCCATAAATTACAAAAATGTCATCCGAAAATAAATTGGCCCAAATCGGTGGTTAATGGACTTATCATCCGTGGAAAATAGCCTCGGGCTGAATTCGTGTTCTGTAGCCTCCAAAATGGAAAGAAAATGGCATTTCGAAAAATCGCTCGAAATCTATGACGATACCCCTTTGGAATCTGGTCAAAATGAACCTGGAAGAAATCCGCCCAAATAGGTGCTTAATTGAATTTATCATTGTTGAAGAATAACCTCAGGCCGAATCCGTGATCTGTAGCCTTCAAAATCCTAGGAAAATGACCTTACAAAAAAATATCTCTTAAAATATCGAGAAAATGGCATCCCAAAATTAATTGGCCAAATTTGTTGCTTAATGGACTTCATCATCGGTAAGAATAGGATCAATAGACTTCATTATTAGTGGAGAATAGTCTCGGGCTGAATCTGTGTTCTGTAGCCTCCTAAATCGAAAAAATGCAATTTCGGAAAATCTCCCGAAATTTGTGATTGTACCCCTTTGGAATCAGCCGAAAATGGACCCAGAAGAAATCCGCCCAAACTCAGTTCTTAATGGACTTAATCATCGTTGAAGAATAGCCTCAGGCCGATTCCGTGACTTGTAGCCTTCAAAATCCCAGGAAAATGACATTTCGAAAAAAAAGTCGTCCAAAAAGTTACGAAAGTGTCATCCCAAAATTTAATGGCAAAATTCGGTGCTTACTGAACTTAATTATCGGTAGAGAAGAGGATCAATAGACTTCATTACTAGTGGAGAATAGCTTCGGACTGGATCCGTGATCTGTAGCCTTAAAAATTGAAAGAAAATTGTATTCCGGAAAAATCTCATGAAATCTGTGATGGCACCCATTTGAAATCTTCCAAAAATGGACTCGGAAGAAATCCTCCCAAATTTTTGCTTACTTGACTGAATCATTGATGAAGAATAGCCTCAAGTCGAATCTGTGATCTATAGACTGCTAAATCCATGGAAAATGGCCTGTCGAGAAAAATGGCCCAAAAATTATGAAAATGTCATTCGAAATAAATTCGTCCAAATTGGTGCTTAATGGTCTTAATCATCGGTGGAGAATAGGATCAATAGACTTTATCATTGGCGGAGAATAGTCTTGAGGAGAATCCTTGATCTGTAGCCTTTTAAATGAAAAAAATGACATTTCGAAAAAATCACCCTAAATCGGTGATGGTACCCCTTTGGAATCTGTCAAAAGTGGACCCAGAAGAAATCCTCCTAAATCGGTGCTTAATCATCAGTGAAGGATAGGCTCAAGCCGAATATTTGATTTGTAGCCTTCAAAATCCAAGGAAAATGGCCCAAAAAAATTATGAAAATGTCATCCGAAAATAAATCCACCCAAATTGGTGCTCATCGGTACTTCATCGGTCGAAAATGAGATCAAAAGACTTCAACATTAGTGGAGAATCGCCTAAGGCAGAGTCCTTGATCTATGGCCTTCAAAATCGAAAGAAAATGACATTTCAGAAAAATCGCCCGAAATCTGTGATGGATTGATGGTACCCCTTTGAAATTTGCCAAAAATGGACCCGGAAGAAATCTGGCAAAATCTTTGCTTAATGGACTTAATCATCAGTGAAGAATAGGCTCAAGTCAAATCCGTGATCTGTAGCCTTCAAAATCCAAGGAAAATACACTTTCATAGCCCAACGAAAATGCCATCCGAAATAAATTCTCCCAAATTGGTACTTAATGGACTTAATCCTCGATGGAGAATATGATCGAGAGACTTTCATCATCGATGGAGAATAGCCTCCGACCGAATCCATGATCTGTAGCTTTCAAAATCGAAAGAAAATGACATTTTTTGAAAAATTGCCTGAAAATGGACCCCTTTGGTATCTTTGCAAAAATGGACCCGGAAGAAATCCGCCCAAATTGCTGCTTAACGAACTTAATGATCAGGGAAGAATAGCCCCAGGCCGAATTCGTGATCTGTAGCTTTCAAAATTCAAGGAAAATTACATTTTGAAAAAAATCGCCTAAAATTTAAGAAAATGTCATCCGAAAGTAAATCTTCCCAAATACGTGCTTAATGGACTTAATCAACGATGGAGAATAGGATCAACATACTTCATCATCGGTAAAGAATATCCTCGTGTCGAATCCATGATCTGTAGCCTTCAAAATCGAAAGAAAATGACATTTCGGAAAAATCACCCGATTGGCAAAAATGTCGTCCAAATCGATGCTTAGTAAACTTAATCACCAGTGTAGCTTTCAAAATTCAAGAAAAACGAGCATTCGAAAAATCACCCAAAATATTATGAAAATGTCCTCCGAAAAAATTTGTATCATTCGACGATTAAATGAGTTTTTAAAAAAAATCCACTAAAATCTATAATGATACCCTTTAAAATCTGTAATGGTATCCCTCGAAAAACCTAGAAAGTTGAAAATACATTTCAATAGTTTTTTTAGAAAAGAAAAATTGGAACTCGCACTAGTCCAAAATTTTCCCGTCTAAAAATCGAACAAAATATATTTTATTTTATTTCAAATTTACATAAAATGCTGATAATTCATAATTTTCCCTTTTTCCTAATCGGATATGGAAAAGGAAAAAGGAAACTCGCCTTAAACATCTCTTTACGTCTATAAAAAGCAGGGGAGGAAGGGAACGAACGAGGCGAATCATTAATTCCAAGAGTCGATCGAGTTTCTCAAATCTCCCCATCGGTCGATCAGTTCGTTTCCGGCGAGCAGTTAGTCAGTTAGTTTCCGGCAAGCAGGCCATCATGGAAGCCGGCGGCGGCGAGGAAGAGGAGCACTACACGGTGCTGGGGCTGCCTTCAGGGGAGGCAGCGTTCACGCTGTCGGAGAAGGAGATCCGCCGCGCCTACAAGCGCAAGGCGATCGAGCTCCACCCGGACAAGAACCCCGACGACGAGGAAGCGAATCGAAAGTTCCAGAAGCTGCAATCCTCGTACGAGGTTCTCAAGGACGAGGAGTCCCGCAGGCAGTACGACGATCTCCTTCGCGTCAGGATCACGGTCTCCAAGCAAGAAGAAGAAGAAGAAGAAGAAGAAGGGAGCAGATTCACGGAGACGGAGACACCGTTCATGTACGACTTCTTCTTCAGCGGCCGATATGATGATCCAGATAAGAGCTGTTTCGAGGAGGCGTCCAAGGAAAAAGAAGGAGGAGGGCGAAAAGTAGAAGAAGATTGGTCCATATTAACGGAGATACTGGACTACAACTACTTTTTCGGCGGAGGAGCTGATGATGATGATCCGGAGGCGTCCAAGGAAGGAGGAAGAAAAGAAGAAGATTGGTCCGAGATACTGTTCATGGACAAAGAACTGGGAGATGGCGAACTCCACAACTGGGCTGCAGAGAGTATTTTGTGAGTTTTTGGGGGTTGGACTCGGTTCAAGTTAGCAGGAAGCTAAGGTGTGTGTGTTTTTTTTTTCTCTCTCTCTCTTTTGTAGTTAGGGTTTGTTATAGCAAACCGTACCGCCTATGTAGTCCGCGAAAAACCAACTTGCAAGCTTAAAACTTGAGCGAGGGCGAGATACTCGATCCGTGAACTAGTGTCAAATTGACGATACCACATAAAAAAAACTTTGTGTCTTTGTTCGTTATCTTTTATTCTCTTCATTATCAAGTTCCTATACCACATACGATGAATTCTTACTAATTCACATGATGTTACACATAGTGAGAGTGTTTTTTTATGCTATTATTACATCATATAAAACACAAGGGAGGAAGAGAGAGTGGCTTTCATAAACAACGTGATTGTGATTGTGGCTTTCATGAACAACCACAACATATTTTCATGATCTAATAGACGTGTAAAATACATCTGTTGCTAGAAAACTACGAGTAAATGGGAAAAAAAAGAAGAGTGGACAATTAAGAATTTGACGAGAACAAAAAAAGCACACTCGACTAACCAGAGTCCAGAATCGCCATGGATGTCTATTTGGCAAGAGATTGAGATCTATGGCTTCCCACAAACTGAAAATCTTGAATGATTTTTGTACAAATTCATGTGTTTCTTATTCATCAAATCACAAGTGATGATTGATATCGTTTTCACATGAATCGCCTTTTAGGAATGACGATTATGAGGCGAGTGCATTGAATGCACCCAAAAAAATGGGTGCACCGAATACACCACCATATATATAAATATATTAATTTCATATTAGAATGTTTCGAAAGTAGATGAAGTTTACATGTGATTAGAAGACCGCTCTACAAAGCTTCTACCTTCGGCACCATTCATTCACCTTCTCTCCAAGTTTGGTGTAAGATACCATCACAAAGGGGTTGTGAGATTCGCTACCCACTTCCCAGCCATTAAATTTATTATCTCTCCTTTTTTGAATGGATTGGGAATTAATCAAGCGGTATTTTGGACGAAAAAAAATAATCACACTAGATCTCTCTCCTCTAATAACTCTGCATATTCCTCTAATCCTAACAGACTCATCAACTTCCTACCTCCCTCTAACTTTAACAGAGCAGCCATTCCCCTCCTCCTTTCATCGTTCTACCGCCACCACTATCCCCCTCCTCCTATCGGCAAGGTCATTCCGTCGCCGCTGCACCCTGCCCTTTCCTCGTCTCCTCCGCCGCTGCCCCCTCACGCCACCGCCCCCTCATCAGCCCTCTCGCCCCTTGTCGGTCCCTCTGTCTCCCCCTTCCTCCGCTTCCCACCACCATCGTCACGTGGTTGCCGACGCGAGGACCCCGTCGCAAGGTCATCACCTCCCCTTTCCTCATCCTTTGTTCTTTTTTCATATCTGTGATTTTTTCGGATTTCAGATTTTGATTTTTTTCTAGTGGTAGTGATTTTCATTTGGTAGCGTATCAGATGGAGTGGTACGCTACCACTACCACTGATAGCGTACCACTACTCACTAGTAGGGCTACTAGTTACTAACCAATTTAATTGAAGTGAGAAAGTGTTGTAGATTATTATTTCATTCATCATGTAGTGCGAATAGCTATTTTTCTTCCAACGCCTAGGCAGGCTTAGTCTACGCCTATGCGAGCTAGGCGCTAGGCAAAGTCTCAACGCCCGCCTTACGCCTAGCGCCTTTTTGAACCTTGAGTTCAACAATATGTTGCAAGATGGGTGTATACACATGGTAAGCAATATGCACTTTTTTGTATCTATTTTTCTATGATGTTTTGTTTGCAACCTAAAAAAATTAATTTAAATTTCTTTTTTGTGCTTTTATTTTACAGCTATATCGTTCAATGCAATTGAAAATGATGAGTTCAAGCAAATGTGTGAGGCTATTGGTCAGTTTGGCCCGGGGTTTGTGCCTCCTACTCAATATGATCTTCGGGAGCCTTTGCTGAAATCAGAATATACCAGAACACAAAGCTTGCTTAGTGATCGTGATGATGAGAAGATGAGGAACGGTTGCTCCATTATGACTGATGCATGGACAGACACGAAGAGAAGAAGCATAATGAACATGGTCACACATTGTGCTGAGGGAACAAGCTTCATCAAGTCAAAGGACACATCGGATGTGTCACACACAAGTGAAGTCATCTTCAACCTAGTTGACAAAACAATTGAGGAGTTAGGTGCTGAACATGTGGTGCAAGTTGTGACGGACAATGCTTCCAATAACATGGGAGCAAAGAAGCTCTTGTTGGAGAAAAGACCAAATATTTTTTGGAGTTCCTGTGCAACTCACACCATCAACTTGATGCTTCAAGGAATTGGCAACTTGCCAAAGTTCAAGAAGGTAATTGACCAAGCTAAAAGTTTCACTATCTTCATTTATGGGCATCATCGTACATTGGAATGCATGAGGTTCTTCACTAAGAAGAGAGAAATCATAAGACCAGGAGTAACCCGATTTGCTTCTCAATATCTCACATTACAAAGTTTGATGGATAAAAAGGATGCACTTAGGAAGATGGTGGTGGATAGGAAGTGGGAGAGCTTGAAAGATGCACAAACAAAGAAGGGAAAGGAAGCAACAGCAACGGTGTTGAATGCATCATTTTGGAAAGGTGTACACCTTTGCTTGAGGGTTTTTGAACCATTGGTAAAAGTTCTTCGTTTGGTTGATGGTGATGTGAGACCATCTATGGGGTTTGTTTATGGTGAAATTATGAAGGCAAAGAGGGAGATTAAAGAGGCATTTAGTAACGTGGAGATTCGCTACAAAGAAGTTATGGCTATTGTTGACAAGAAGATGAAGGGGAGACTTGATGCTCCATTGCATTGCACTGCGTATATGTTGAATCCACACTACAGTTATGTTGATGAGTCCATATTTGATGATGGAAACATCACCACAGCATTCATGGATTGTGTTGAGACATTTTACAGTGGTGATGATGACAAGCAAGATCAGGTTGTGAATTATGAATTTCAGAAGTTTCAAAAGAGAGAAGGCGCCTTTGGGAAGAAACTTACAAGGACTTGTCTAAACTTCGATTACAATCCTGGTTAGTACTACACTGCTACTTCATATATTTGACTTCTTTTCTTGTTATTTCATGGTTCTAAATTAGTACGAAATTAACAATATATTTCCTAGTTGCTTGGTGGAGAATGTATGGAGTTGACACACCAAATTTACAAAAAATGGCTATGAGGATTCTTTCATTGACCTCAAGTTCTTCTGGTTGTGAGAGAAACTGGAGTACTTTTGAGTCGGTAAGATTTGAATCTTAATCTATACTATATTCAATTACTCATATTTCATATTCTCAATTTGTCTTGCAATGCAATTTTGTACTTGTAGATACATACCAAGAGAAGGAATAGACTTACAACAGATCGTCTCAATCAATTGGTGTACATACAATTCAACTCGAGGTTGATGTCCAAGAAGAAGAAGATAAAGGAAAAGAAAAACATTGATATTCTCTTAAGTACTGATGCAACTGAAGCACAAGGCTTCCTATTTGAGGGAGGGGATGACCATGCTATGTATGTATTCGTGGATGAGGATGAGGAATCATATTGTGCACCCTCAAGTACTGTTACAGATGTAATGGCGGGTGAACACAGTGAGCTTCGCAGGAGTGCACGAGTGAGAGAGCTCCATGATGAAGAATTCGAGTCTGAAGAGGAGGAAGAGGAGGAGGATGGTGAGGAGATTGCTTTTGAGGATGATGAAGATGAAGTGGCGGCTGGACGGGCCTACTTGGATGATGAAGAATGAACATTTTCCTATGAACTTATTGACTATTGTTTAGTATTTCGACATTTTAAGAACTTGTGATTCTAGGAAGTGATCACTATTTGCTTGTTATTTGTTATGTTAAGTGTTTACTGTTAAGATTTAAGAACTAGGCATTGCTAAGTTTATATGCACTTGGATCATATGAAGTATTCCAGGAAACATGAAATATTTGATAATTTTTTCCATTTCTAATCTGAACGCCTAGGCGCGCCTAGGCTACGCCTAATCAGGCAAGGCACAAGTCAGGAGCCGAGCGCCTGCCTTACGCCTAGCGCTTTTTTGAACCTTGAGTAAAATCCAACCACTTCAAGTGGAGGCACTCTAACTGTTTTCTGATTCTCGAACAGCTCCATGTCGACTGCTTCCCACTTCTTCAGCACCTCTATGTAATTCCTGACAATCTCATCATTAGGATCTAAAGCAAGGAGGTGAAGCGCAGCAAAATAGTCTAGTATGATATAGAGAGGCCTGTTCCAAATTTTCTCCAATAGTTCCATAGAACACATTGTCCATTGTTGTCTCCTATCCCCTTTTATTCTCCATTTCTTTCATAAACTCCAACCTTTTCAGGCGGAGGCACTCCAATTTTTTCTGATTCTTCGACAGCTCCATCTCCACTATCTCTCCACTTCTGAATTCGGGAAAGAGTTATGGTTTTATTTAAAGGTTATGTTAAGAGGCTTAGGACTTGCTATACCTATTTTCTATGATCTGGAATTGATATTCCAACTAATTAAGAGAAGGCACATAACCTAATGATATGAAATCAGGGTAGGGCATGTGTTTCCCCAATTATTGATAACCACAATATATGTGTGTTTGTTTCTGCCAATTTAAGTCGCAATTAAATTTAACAAAGAAGTTACTAAAATAGAAATCATTTTAACTTAAAAAGAAAGTTTTGGATTAAACTTACTCCAAATGTTTGATATTTCATATTTTGTTTTGATAAATACGATCATTTTTCTTTTCTAATTTTTTTAATACTCACGTAAGTTGATTTTTATAGTTAGGTATTACTAAACCAAAGGTTACATAGCCGAACTGGTAAAACTCTTGAGAAACCCTCGCCCCGGAAATGTGAGGTCCCTTGTTCGACCCACCTTGAGACCAGTTGCATGTGGTGCTCCCGGAGGCAACAAAAGGGGATTTTAATGGAGGGGCCAAAGGGCTCAAGCAGGTGAACACCCAGGTTTGGTCTCGCTTGTTCATCGTTCAAATTGTGTGTTGGGGGGGGGGGGGATGTTTCCGGATTATAAAAAATTAGTTAGGCGTTACTAAAAAAATTTGAATATAAAACTTTTAGATTAAAGACTAGTGGTATTACCAAGTTCAATTTTCTTCTCAAGTTCTTAGAGAGATATAGCCGTAGGAGTAAATGCTCAGTGATTGGATGCATCTTGTTACCTAAAAGTGGATCGAATGCACATGCGAAAATCATGATGCATTTCTTTGTGGCTGACAATTTTTAGCAAGATAAAAAAATAAAAATAAAGGTTGATTGTGAATTAGAAATTTCAAACTTTGGAATCTGGACGGTTACGAAACGTCCCATCTGCATGGGATTTCCGTGAGTAACTCATAAGTCATAACCAAATCATGAGTTAAATCTAAACACACCTAAAGCCTTCTTTTTTTTATTATATATATGGTAACATCATTTCCGCCTTCTTTGTGTTGGAATCCACTATTTCTCCTTCCGTATATTTAACTCATGATTTTGTGTTACGTTTTATGCTTTGTTTTTCAACAGCAAAATGCGAAAATGATCGTATTTATCAAAACAAAATATGAAATATCAAACATTTGGAGTAAGTTTAATCCAAAACTTTCTTTTTAAGTTCAAATGATTTCTATTTTAGTAACTTCTTTGTTAAGTTTAATTGCGACTTAAATAGGCAGAAACAAACACACATATATTATGGTTATCAATAATTGGGGAAACACATGTCCTACCCTGATTTCATATCATTATGCTATATGTCTGCTCTTAATGTTTGAATATCAATTCGAGATCATAGAAAATAGGTATAGCAAGTCCTAAGCCTCTTAACATAACCTTTAAATAAAACCATAACTCTTTCCTGAATTCAGAAGTGGAGAGACAGTGGAGATGGAGTTGTTGGAGAATAAGAAAAAATTAGAGTGCTTCCGCCTGAAAAGGTTGGAGTTTATGAAAGAAATGGAGAATAAAAGGTTGGAGGTTATTTCCTTTTCTTTTATGGGTATGGCAGAACTCCCAACAGATTTTTAGGACCTATCAGATACCAAACTTGGTGTTCTGTTTGGATACTCAAAACCGAATTGCTGTGGGAACTAGGCTATTTTCATATCAAGTTGAGTTTAATCGAAGTTTGGAATGTGGGTAGAATAGGATCTTACATAGTGTTTTTGTGCTTTCCCTACTTCACATGTACTTTAAACTCACGATTCTGCATTTTATATGCTTTGGCTTTCAACAACTAAGTGCGAAAAGATTAAGGTACTGTAGTATTGTTAAGCCATTGGCGATGGAGTACGTTACACTGTCCGGTAAACTTGAAGAGGTTGACAGCGCGAAGACCCTACTGAGAGGTAGGATTGCATCCGCAGCGGAGGATGAGCTTCGTAGCCGCCTCGGCGCAGCTGGCAACACGATCAAAGCTACCATCGCAATTAAGGGGGCCGAATGGCAGATGATGGAGCTTGCATACTTAACCTTTTTTTGAGTTAAGTATGCAAGCTCCATCTTCTGAGTTAAGTATGCAAGCTCCATCTTCTGCCATTCGGCTCCCTTAATTGCTATGGTAGCTTTGATCGTGTTGCCAGCTGCGTCGAGGCGGCTACGAAGCTCATCCTCCGCTGCGGATGCAATCCTACCTCTCAGTAGGGTCTTCGCGCTGTCAACCTCTTCAAGTTTACCGGACAGTGTAACGTACTCCATCGCCAATGGCTTAACAGTACTACAGTACCTTAATCTTTTCGCACTTAGTTGTTGAAAGCCAAAGCATATAAAATGCAGAATCGTGAGTTTAAAGTACATGTGAAGTAGGGAAAGCACAAAAACATTATGTAAGATCCTATTCTACCCACATTCCAAACTTCGATTCAACTCAACTTGATATGAAAATAGCCTAGTTCCCACAGCAATTCGGTTTTGAGTATCCAAACAGAACACCAAGTTTGGTATCTGATAGGTCCTAAAAATCTGTTGGGAGTTCTGACATACCCATAAAAGAAAAGGAAATAACCTCCAACCTTTTATTCTCCATTTCTTTCATAAACTCCAACCTTTTCAGGCGGAAGCACTCTAATTTTTTCTGATTCTCCAAGAGCTCCATCTCCACTGTCTCTCCACTTCTGAATTCAGGAAAGAGTTATGGTTTTATTTAAAGGTTATGCTAAGAGGCTTATGACTTGCTATACCTATTTTCTATGATCTCGAATTGATATTCAAACATTAAGAGCAGGCATATAACATAATGATATGAAATCAGGGTAGGGCATGTGTTTTCCCAATTATTGATAACCATAATATATGTGTGTTTGTTTCTGCCTATTTAAGTCGCAATTAAACTTAACAAAGAAGTTACTAAAATAGAAACCATTTGAACTTAAAAAGAAAGTTTTGGATTAAACTTACTCCAAATGTTAGATATTTCATATTATGTTTTGATAAATAAGATCATTTTCGCATTTTGTTGTTGAAAAACAAAGCATAAAACGTAACACAGAATCATGAGTTAAATATACGGAAGGAGGAATAGTGGATACCAACACAAAGAAGGCGGAAATGATGTTATCATATATATATAATTAAAAAAAGAAGGCTTTAGGTGTGTTTAGATTTAACTCATGATTTGGTTATGAGTTACTCACAGAAATCCCATGCAGATGGGACGTTTCGTAACCGTCCAGATTCCAAAGTTTGAAATTTCTAATTCCCAATCAACCTTTTTTTTTATCTTGCTAAAAATTGTCAGCCCCAAAGAAATGCATCATGATTTTCGCATGTGCCTTCGATACACTTTAGGTAACAAGATGCATCCAATCACTGAGCATTTACTCCTACGTCTATATCTCTCTAAGAACTTGAGAAGAAAATTTAACTTGGTAATACCATTAATCTTTAATCTAAAAATTTTATATTCAAATTTTTTTAGTAACGCCTAACTATTTTTTTTATAATCCAGAAACATCCCCACGCACACACAATTTGAACGATGAACAAGCAAGACCAAACCTGGGTGTTCAACTGTTTGAGCCCTTTGGCCCCTCCGCTAAAATTCCCTTTTGTTGCCTCCGGGAACACCACATGCAACTGGTCTCAAGGTGGGTCGAACCAGTGGCGGAGCCAGAAAATTGGTCAAGGGGGTGTCTTTATCATATTATAAAAAATTACCTATACAGTAGAAAAGTCAAGTTTAAATGAAAAAAAGTCAACAACGCAATACTCTAAATTCATACAATTACATTAAAATAGTTTCACGTACATAGGTTACAACGTCAAACAAATAAGTTCAGTACACACAAGTCAAGACTTCCATTCATCAAGTATTACAAATTAGAACTCAGAAGTACCTTGGAATTGATTTTGTGAAACAAACAAGTGAACTTCAATTAGTACTTCATCACTTTCGATTTTGTTTAAACAAAAGACAAGAAATTTCTCTATTGTAGAGCTACAAAAGAAATGAGCGAGTTTAAACAAAGGACAACAATTTATTACTATAAATAAAGACGAAAGTGCATTGCATAACAAAACTTACTCGGCCCAGATGAAGGGTGCTTCTGTTGGTCGCGGCGGGGCTAAAGGTCGACGGTGGCGGCACTGGGAAGAGGCATGGAAAGAACCTTCAGAGAACGTTTCATGGTGGCTCGGCCCGGAAGAAGGGTGCATGTGTTGGCCGAGGCGTGGCCGGAGGAGGAGTCAACAATGGCAGCGTATGAGACGCTGGAAGAATCATCGGAGAATGTTCCATGATGGCACGAGAAGAAGCGAGCCTGGTATTGTTTGCTTTGTGGATTTGAAAATGAAGGTTATGGTAAAAACTTGAGTTTTGAAAAATCATGGATATAAGATTTTGGGTTCGTTATGGAGTTGAAAAATACCATTGTTTTTTGGTAGATTTCATGATGGATTTTGTTAACTAGATTTGTAAGTATAAAGTAAATTTTACTTTTATTACCCTCATTGGTATGAGAAGAGAAACAATATAGGAATAGTAGATTGGGCGCAAATGATGAATTTCAAAGTCTATAATCAATTCCTACATAAACGGGTGAGATTTTCAATTATGTGGAGCTAGAGGTGGCAATTAGGATCCAAATCCATGAATCCAATCTAATTCATCCACCAAATTATCCACCTAATCCAATCCATTTAAATCCAATCCATTTGATCCAAATCCAATTGGATTGGTGGATTCATGGATCAATCCATGGATCCAAATGGCAAATTACGATTTGGTACCTATATTTTTTATATTTTACATTTTGGTACCTAAAATTTTTCATCATGACATTTTAGTACCAAAACTTTTCAAATTTTACATTTTGGTCCAAGCCTTTGATGTCATTTGAATTCATGGATCAATCCACCAATCCATTTGATCCAATCCATGAATCCACCAATCCATTGGATCCAATCCATTTGATCTATGGATCCACCAATCCAATCCACGAATCTGATCCAATTGCCACCTCTATGTGGAGCTCACAAATTTGAACCCTTAAAATCTTTGAGATCCACTGATTTGTTACCCCTAAATAAATGAAACAAATAGTAGAGTTTGGACAAAGTTCATGATGGATCCAAGCAAACAACCATTATATATTTAACAAACTTATCATGATATGGTTTACAGCAAGGATTGGAATATCGTACCGTACCGGCGGTTCAATCAGAAAAAACTCCTACTGGAGGCTAAACCGGTAAGCGGTATTTAGTGGTATGAAGCGGTTGAACCATGGTTAAATCACGATTTTAGCATAAAATACCTACCGCTGACTTTTTCGGTACAATCTCTAGTACGGTATTTCAATCCTTGATTTACAACAAGTCATTCATAAACCGCGGCATATTGCAACAGCCTGTAAACAATAAATATATGAACAACGAGTTGAACTGCAAGAAATTCGAGGGGCCATCAACAGTCAGTCGCAATTCAATTATTTTTGTTGTTACTATACTTGTATTGTTTAGAATACATCAATTTTTTCTGTTTTTGCATACACAAATAACACAATGCATGAGTTGTTTCTATGATATGATATAAACTATCACTCAAAACGACTGTGTTATATCTCAAATTCTAGTTGAGATTGTTGAAATTAAGATTGTTTTAGGGTTAAATATATTTGTATGGCCTGAACTTTTCACATAATAAACATCTTGGCCAATCTTTTCGATCTATAACATTAGAGCCTGAACTATACACCAAAGTAACGAAATTGCCCAAACCCGAAAATTGACCGTTATCTTGGACGGTCAAACGTGTTGACTAACGGTCAATGCGTCACGTCACCTACAAGTCAGCACCTTTCACTTTAAAAATTTATATTTTCCACCTATTACTATTTATTTTTCTCATTTTGAATAAAAAAATTGAAAATGAATTTATGATCCCCTTTATTTTCAAATTTTTTATTTAAAATGAAAAAAATAGTAATAGGTGGAAAATAAATAAAAAATCTAAGTGAAAGGTGTTGACTTGACGGTGACATGGCGCGTTGATCGTCAAAGATAACGATCAATTTTCGGGTTTAGCCAATTTCGTTTCTTTGGTGTATAGTTCAAGTCATGATGTTATAGATCGAAAATATTGGCCAGGATGTTTATTATGTGAAAAGTTCAGGTCATACAAATATATTAACCCTTTTTATCTCAATATTTAGCTGATCGTGGCATATACAATCAAATATACTAAAAGTTATATTTGACAATGCATCAAATTCATCAATACATATATTCACAACAATACATCTATTTAACCATCGCAACTTCCAAACGATGCCTGAGCTTGGCCCATACTCTTATCCTCCTCCAGTACCCTTATTTTTCAGCTTTTCATATTAATCCTCAACAAATTCATCGCTTAACATGAACCGTGAAATGTAATTTGTCTCTTGAAGTCGTCCTTGTTAGTGTAGTGTGTAGTTCATAAGCATTGCTGAACGGAACTCAATTAGGAGATAGGATTAAATCTTTAGATCAAAGGCGTGTTCTATTCAATTCTGTTCCTCCTTTTCCCTTACTTTTTAACATGGAAATGCATATTAATCAAGCATGGAACATCAGTAGAAAAGACTGAGTTTGCAGAAGCAAGAAAGAACAAGTAGTTTACAAACAGTTCCATCAGATTCATATCAGTTCTACATAGTCAGCTGACTTTTCCGCCATCTCCAATAATTGACCCTCATGGCATCAGCATGTTCCAACACAGAACAAACTACATTCCCCAAGCCGATGCTCTCCTGTGAATCTGGACGTGAACCAGTGAAATTCAAGGCTTCCACTGCTTCTCTCAACTCTTGGCTTGGCTGGAAACCGTGACTTAGAAGATCGAGAACAGTGCTCAAAGCGAATACATGGTTGGTGGTACCTCCACTACTCAATAACTTCAGGCAAACGGTCGAGACTTGAGGATCATGAATCCATGACTTTGGGTCGTCTTTGTAGAGGCCTCTGAGATACCTCCATGGACTCTCGTTCTCAGGGTTAGCTAGAATGGCTGCAACCGTGTACTTCACTTCCGACTCTCTCATGGCTTGCAAGCCTCCCAGGAGAGGTGATTTCATTATGACGAAGTATCTCTGTAGCAACACACATAATACATAAAGTTTGACATATCCTACGGAGATGCGTTTCATGTTGAACTAAAGGGGGATCAGCCACTTCAAAAAGGCTTCATTCGATTCTTTTTTTCCCATTAAACCCATGTGAGCTTTACCTTTGAAATCAAGATTCCACAACCAAGTGTTTTTGCCTTATAGAGTTGCATTGTTTACCTGATTCCAGGCTGAGTTATTGAAAATATCCTCTTCAAGTAGCTGGCGGCAGTACTCTAGCTCATCATCCCATCCCCCCAGAGATTGCAGAACCCACTACAAACGCAAACCATGAAGTTCAGGAAACTCAAGTGCAATGAAGCAAACCAAACCAGGAAGACGGCCACTTTCATGCAAATAAAGGCAAACTGCGGAACATTGTTTATGAATATGCTTAGCACAGGAACAATACCTGCCTATGTGACCACGCATGATAATTTTTAGCATCACCAGAGAGTATCTTCTCAGTGAACTTAAGTTCTCTATCAGCAGCATCAAGACCGAGTTTCTCTGCAACCCAGAGTCTATGATGCCTGCAAAAGATCTAAATTAGTGCCAGGGGGTAGAAATCAGGAAGAAACACTGTTCAAGAACAACTGCAGTGGAAGGGAAACTAAAACGAAGGCAAACTGATCAGCTTGGGACAAGAAAAAAGAGGGCAAGAACGAAATCAGTATAGGATCCATCAGCTCACCATATCTGATAATTTTTAGAATTCTTCTCAGCAATCCTGGAAACATAATCAAGTTCCTGATGCAGGTCTTTATTTAATGTCTCCAGTATCAAACGCCTGAAATGCCATACCTTTCAAGAGGATGACAAGAAACAAGTCAGGTATGCACTCGGGAACCATGGAATTCTGTAACAGCAGCAATTCGAGAGGCTGTATGCATTCTGCAGCACTAATTTCAAGCACGAAACAGAGAGAGATTGATTGCTAACAGAAAGTAAATGAAAGATCAGATACCCCATATCATCAATTCCAATTTTTAACACATTCCTGCACCTTTTTCCACATCATTGAGATTCCAAAGAACCCTAGTCCTATTCAGTGTGAAACTTCTGAACCCTCAAGCAAAAGTCTTGGACTTGAACCGTCATTCAGTTCAACAAGAACAGCTATCGTATCAAGCTACAAACTTTAGCAACAAGGTGAACTTAAATCAGAATCCTGGAAGTTCCCATTAGTGAGAAAGAGCTTGGGGGACCGTTACAGTGTAGTTGCCGGGATTCAGGAGGATGGCTTGGTGAGTGAGCTGAAGGGCGCGAGGGGATCGCTCATCGGCGCGATAGATGGCGCGAAAGTAGTCCATTGTCTCAGCGAACTCCGGCTTGTAAGCGATCGGAACCACAGGGTTTGGACCGTCGTCTTGAGGGAGAGGACTGACGTCCGACCACTCCGGCCTCTGCGACGGCGGCAGCTTCTCCTCATCGTCTTCCCAATTCATTCCTCTGCCGCGGGAAGCGCAGTAAATTCCTCTGGTATGCTTTCTGGTGACTAAATTTCTGCTTAATCACAGTTCTCTCAGGAACTTGCCTTTGCTTTTCCCCTTTCAGTTTTGAACAAAGGAAGGTTGGTTTGCTTGAGAATGAAAGGATGGAATAACGAAATAACGATAATTTATAGCAAACATCAAAATTTGTTAAACAATAGAGTTTAATGACTATTTTGTTAGTAGTTCTAAAGGTAAGTGACCATATTCGTAATTAACCCTCGCAAAAGCTCCCTGGAATACTGATAACTGAGACATTAGCTTCAACGACTATCATTTCATCAGCGAGAAGCAGAGCAGAAATGGTGGATTTGCAGATTTCAAGTCAGTACGACAAACGACAGTAGAAGTCATTCTTCTTCCCCTTCGCCGGAGTCGGAAATCATGACGGTGGCAGCGGGGATCGGGTATGCCTTGCTGGCATTAGGACCTTCCCTCGCTCTCTTCGTCACCGTCATCTCCAAAAAGCCATTTCTGATCCTCACCGTCCTCTCCAGGTCCTCCTCCCAATTCAATTTCTAGGGTTCCATTCCCTTTCAAATCTGTTTCCTGGATTCTGATTCTGGGTTTCTTGGTGTATTGTGTGCAGTACACTGCTATGGCTGGTAAGCCTAATCGTGCTGTCTGGATTCTGGCGCCCATTTCTCCCTCTCAACTCCGCTGCCTCCTGGCCGTTCGCCGTGCTGATTATCACCTCCGTGGCGTTTCAAGAAGGCCTTCGGCTACTTTTCTGGAAAGTTTACAAGTAAGCTTCTCCTACAGTACTCCCCTTTGAACTTCTGGCCGAATGGGCTTATACTTCTGAAGCACAAATTTCAATCCATATGAAAAAAGGGAGCTCATTTTTGGGTTTCTTGGTATGTAAATTGGTTTTCAGGCGATTGGAAGATATGTTGGATGCATTTGCTGACAGGGTATCGAAGCCACGGTTATACCCTACTGACAAGATGCTAATTGCTTTGGGTATGCTTCAAGCTGCTTTGCAACTTTTTGGGTTACTTCTTCTGTTCATCAGTAGTAGTCATATCTGCATTCCAGAATGCAGATGTTTCCCTTCTGTTAGCTAACTTTGGGTAGTTGAAATGACTCGTGCAGCTGGCGGTTTAGGTCACGGTGCAGCTCATGCTGTTTTCTTCTGCCTGAGTGTTTTAACACCAGCATTTGGCCCAGCGACATTCTTCACTGATCAATGTTCACAGCTACCATTTTTCCTTGTTTCGTGTAAGTGACACTGTGTTCTCCTTGGTGCAACCTATCGTGTTTGTGTCTTTACTATATTGATTCATACAGTATTGCCTAACATCTACTTGGAGTCTGCAACTGGTTACATTTAATATCAACAAACTCTTGCTTTGCAATCTGCAGCTATTATAGCTCTTGCGTTTGCTACAATTCACACATTCTCGATGGTGATTGCCTTCAATGGCTATTCCGAGGGGAATAAAGTGGACCAGCTTTTCGTCCCTGTGGTTCATCTTGTCGCAGGAATGGTGGTAAGAACATGTTGCTGGAGTTTCTATTGTAATTTCTGGAAAACTGTTCTTCCTGTGCCTCCTCATAACTATTGTGCATGTTCTTATATTTATATCAAAACTATTTTTCCTATAGATGGGGCATGAGGTTGTCGGATTTGGATCATTTTTAGTATACATGTAATGTGTCATTATAGTTCCTTAATGTTAGAATTGGAAACTAATGGCAAATGGAGAGCCTTTTGGGGTCTTTTCATACTTACCTGGAACTGTCATCTTCACCATGCTATTAGTGTTGGATGAACTTACATTCCATTGTTAGTTTCTGATATATTCACGTATTAAAGAAAACTTATTCCGCTCCTATCTGTATCCCATTGCCCAAACTGCAAGTTAATGCTCTCCTTGTCTAGTTGTCTTGCTTTGTTTACTCGGTGCATTTCTACATTATCGTCCTTCTTTCTCTCTGTCTATTACCCTCCTGGATGTTAATTGGTTCAGTTGGCTATGGAGTTATTCTTTATTTGCCGAAAACCAGTCACATAAAAGACCACTTACCTAATGCATGGGGTTATCTATATCAAATATGAAAAAGAACTCAACTTTTATCTTCCAGGCTCCAGCTTCTGCATCCTTGTAACCAATGCTGTTGTTTCTTACCATCACTTTTGTTCTGGCTTTGTTTGCTTCTTTTCTGGCAGACGCTGATCAATTTCACGACTGGAGGGTGCAGTATTGGGATCCCGATCCTCTACATAATCGCCATCTTGACCCTTTTGCATTGTGGGAAGATGGTGTGGGGAAAACTAACAGAGAACCAAATCCGTCTATAAGTCAAATTCTTAGTGTAAGAACAAAGATTCACCATCTCTTGTTTTTTTGCTGGTGCAACCATTTCTGTTTATGCTTCCTACTGCTGCTGGCACTAGCTTAGCTAGAACAGAGAAGTCTGATGTTGGATGGTTAGGTAGTAGAACTTCTTTTGGAAACAAAACTATGTTGTACTGGGTGGACCAAACCCAGGACTTGTGGAAAAAGAAGAAGAAATTAGCGCATTCCCAGCTCCATTTGGGTAATTCAGCTGTACTTTACCATTTACACCCATAACTGTGGAACTCTATGCATTTAACCTCCAAATATTTAGTGAATGTATACAGGTTGTACACAGTAATCCATATTTGTGTAATTGTGTTTAATGGGGGTAATCACTAATAAATCATTCAATATAAGGAAAGTGAATGATATGTGTGAATGTACATTCATTCTTTTGGGGAAGTATCATTAGTGAATGTATTTAAGTCCTTGATTTTGGGTTTATGGAAACTTGATTTCTGCAATCTCTGATATCTGCTACTCCCCCTTATTCCCCCCTCTCTCATTCAGTGAGAAGGGAGATTACGGTTCCTGCAAAAATCTAAGAAAAAACTGTGCTTCTTTGGGGGGCAGAAATCAGAGAAGGCAGCCTCTCCAATCCAAGATAATAGGTAATCAAAATCTAATTTGTCCTTCTTTTCCCCTTCATTCCATGCCTGTGCGTTTATATTACGAGTTCGGTGATGATTCTGATGATTATATTAGAGGTCTTTTTCATATCATAAAATGATTGATTTCTGGCTGTGAAGTCCCAGCACTGCATTTTTATCTTATCCTTTGGCTATTGCCATGAACATTGTTTTGTCTGGAGCATAGGGGTACAAACTTTTAAAAAAAAACTACCAAGGGTGACTCAAATCGTAAGGTATGAGGTTGGTAATGGTATGTTCTCGACGACTTTGAGCTGTTCTTCCTACAAAAAGTTGTTCATGATAATAATAATAATGTGTGAAAGCATTGGCAATTTCCAAGCAAGTATAGTAGGGAATGTTGGCCATTTCTTCATGGCACTGCACTGTTTCAACACTCCCTTAGTTATATCCCCCAACATTTCTTGGACTTACTGTAGGTCTTGGTGCAGGATTTGGGTTGCTGTTCAATCCGATGTTGATGCATTATTTTCTCTATATTCACATTCGGGTCGTTCGGTAGATGCGTATCTATTTGTTATCTCGTGAATCCTGATCATATATCTTCACACTGTGTTTTTTTTTTTTTTTTTTTTTTTTGAATAAGTCTGAATACAAGTCCTGCTGGCTTGCCTATGTTGGTGTTGGCATATACTGTCTGAAAGCTCAGTTTTTGGAGCCTAGCTAGATCATTAGATAGACATTGGAATGAGTCATCTTCTGTTGTGTGATATAATATGCTGCTCATAAACTGAATGAAAATCACAGGGTAGTGATTGAAAATATGAGGAAGAAGAATGTGTCCTTGTTGAAGTCTGGAATCCAAATGATTGGCTCATTCTGCAGCAGAACCAGAAGTGACATGCTGAAGAAGGATCAAGAGGAGACGGACATGTATTTGTTTGATGATGATCATGACGATGACGGAGATTCGTGTTTATGGTTGTCTTCATCAGCATCTCCTTCATCGTTCTTCGACGAGGGATCATCCTGCTGCTCATCGTTCGTGCTCGAAGAATCCGCCATCTCTTCTGAGATCAGCAGTTCATCATCGAGGGAGGTTGTGGTCGATCTTGCTTCTTGGGTATCGGAGTTAGAGGAGGAGGATGCGACTTTCTTGGCTGATTTGGATTTGGAGTACTGCTGCATCCCATCTAATTTCCCAAGCCCATCTTTCAGTACTTGTTGTTCAAGTCATAGAGAGGCAGGGGTGATGGAGGAAGCTTCGGAACTAGAGCAACTCGATGATGATGATGATGATGATGATGAAGATGAGCAGGCTTTATTCTGGCCATTCGACGAGGGGAAGCTCAGATGGAATCGTGATGAAACATGGATTAGCTTCACCATGTCCCCTCGAAAGGACATCCACTATTCAAGTGAACAAGCTACCGCACCTTCCAAATGTCTAGAATCAAAACAGAAGACACATGATCATCACCGTACGATGAGGATTCTTCCGAAATTGAAACGAATCAGCAGCCTGCTACCGCGGATGCGAATGTCCAGTACTTCAGATTCAAAGCCAGCTGCTGCAACAAGAAGGGCAGCAGCAGCTGCTGCTAATAAGGTAATGTTACCATCAAAGTTGGTAAAGGCTTCAGAATCAAGTAGTTTTAGTACAAAGGCTTTGGTGAAAGTTGTGCCATTGGAGGTCAAGATTGCCAAGAACAGAATGGATCATGGTGCAACTGATGAGGCATGTTTGTTTGGTTCGATAATCGGTAGAGATGAAGTCCCCATTGAGAAGGTAATGGGGCTCGAAGAGTTTGATGGGCATGAAGGCATGGATTCATCACAACTTGATGATGATCTCATTAATGGAGATGATAGTCTTTTCTCATTGGCGGATTGAAGAACAACTCTTTTTGGGAGGCCAAATGTCATATGTTTGTCCATATAGAAATTTGTTTTGTAGATTAGTGCTGCCAGTTGAGTGGAATACGAGGGAAGACATAGTTGGATACGGTTTAGTCCGATATGGTACAAAATTTAAATTTGGTTTCTTACTCTCGAGTATATAATGAAAATTTTACAATACATTTTTCGGTTACATTACACGGTTTGATGTTGGACTTGGAGTTTACTAACATTGCTTTTAGTTAGTTCATCTAAAACATGAAGACACATTGATTAACTCGGCTGTACATCATGGGTCTATAAAAAGCAATGGAGCATCGAATTCAGATCTCGTCCTTACCCTACACAATCTAATCAAAATTGAGCTTAGTTTGCTAGAGTGAGATTAGAGAGGAGAATGAATGAGACGGAATTTTGTTTTTAATTGGTTATAGACATGATGATAATTAATCAACATTGTGATTAAAAACATTAAAGCTCTTCATGGTTGGATTTCCTGCCCTTAACCTTGTTAGTCGTCATTTGCACGGTGGTCTCAACAACCTTAGCAGCGGCTTCGGCAGTTTCTTTGGCAGCTTGCTCGCCGACTTCTACGCTTTTCTCTGCTTCTCTCCCAACTTTTGGGTCATCACTTCTGAAACTAATCAATCAACCCAAAAAAAGAACCAACAATGGAACTACGAACATGATGAACAGCGGAGTGATAGACACTCATATTTGGATTCGAATCTCAAATTTGAGAAATTTTTTGTCCCAAATTCGTCGAAGTTATTAGTAAAACGAATCAGAATTAGGTCGAATTCGCATTAATTTCATTTTTCAATATGATCTTTAACAACATATGACCAGATTCTTCGAATAGCTTTCACAATTGCAACCACAAGAAACCTCAATGCCTTAGCTTGTTGATCATCAAATAAATTACAAGAATGTCCAATCTCCTTCAAAAGTCAAATTCGGTTTTCGCTATAACCAATGCAGTCAAAAGCGCGATTCTACCTAGAAGCGGAAAATTGGTAAAATCGTAAAGCGTAGAATCAAATCGTAAAAACGTAAGTTTTTTACGCATACTTTAATATAACGAAAAATGTGTTAAGTACGATAAAATATGAGTGGACATAGTTTAGATAAGTTAATAAATACTTGTAATTCATGTCTAAAGTTGAGAAACTCATAACATTTTAACAATAAGTTCATAAACATATATCTTAACAATAAGCTACATTCCCCTTTATGCTAGTGAATTTGGGAAGGGCCTAGCTGGTGAATTAGATTACTCTATTGAAACTAAGAATGCACCCCAAGTACTTGATATGTATCTTTTAATCTCAAATATATCATATTTTTTGTGATTTGCCTTTAAAATATAAGTATTTTCATGAATAGAATACTCCTTTAGTGAACTAGAAGCGTAAAAGCGTAAAGCGATTTAGTGAACCAGAAGCGTAAAAGCGTAAGCTTTTAAGCTTTAAAGCGCATTTTAGTCCCGATTTTATACCCTTAAGATTTTATATGGAAACGAAAGCGTTTTGGTGTCCTAGAAGCGTAAAACCGTAAGTTTTTAAGTTTTAAAACGCGATTTTGACTACATTGGCTATAACATTCACTTCACAATGCCATCTTTGTCAACGAAGCCTTTAGTTGTTGTTGTTGGCTACTAACATCTCCATTGCAAGGAATGGTGATGAGATTAATCATGAAAATAACAATTATGGAATAGGTCATTAATAGAGAAGAAGAAGATTGAGATAATGATGTGGCTCTTCTGTCTTCTCCTAGTGTCATTAGATGGTGAGGATATTGATCTCATTGTGACACTAATTTCACAATTTTCATTATCTAAACCCATTCTTTTACCCAAATTATGAATTGAGTAATTAGTAATGGAGTTCTTATCTTACAATGACTTTTGTGTAGTGGGGTTCAATAAAATTTTAAGCTTTTGATTTGGAGAGGGATTTAGGTAAAATATTTGGGGATCATAGTGATTAAAGAAAAGAGTTGAAAGGAAGTACGTGGGTATGGTAATTTTGTAAAATACTAGGTTTTGAATCTTCCACTTTTGTGTGCATATATATGGTTCTATTTTTTTCAGATTTGAATGTTTCAAAGGTAGTTGAGAAGATTATATGTGACAAGAAGACCCCTTAACAAAGCCTCACCTTCTATCAAAGCTTGGTGTCCAAAACCTGTATCAATCCGATCAGACAGGATTTTGTTTAAGGTGGATCCTATGTAAAAAATATATACTATAATTTTTATTACTTTCTATAATATGACTTGGTTCATATTCTAAAACATTTTGCATTACTCATTTGACATTGAAATATATTCGTGCACTTCTTGATAATAAGAAAATCATTTGAGTTTGAATTATACCGCATCATCCCAATATCGTTTTTTTTTTTTTTACTGCCACCGAATTGTTTAAATATGTAAAAGCATATTGTTTAGGTAGAATATATATATTGCACCAGTCGGTCATATATGCAACTCAACTAAAACAAATTTGAAATTCGATACTCGTTGCTTAATTTAATCAAAGACACATCTTTCTTTCATACCATCCTAAGTCACTAAGTCGACTTCTGATCATAACCCAAAGTCCACTCAAACAAACAAATTAAAGTAAGTCAACAACTCATACAGTAGCTTAAACCACCACCCCTCTCCTACCTTCCCCACAACAAAAGTCATAACCTAAAACTAAATGGTTGTAAAATAGTCAACTGGCGGGTTTGGTTCGGATTTTCCTAATTCATCGTCATCCTCATTTTCGAATAAGGAAATTCATGTCCGTCTCATGTCTATACGGGAAGCTTTTGCAACTACATTTCCATACCCTTGGTTTTCTAGTACCCCCTGGTTATTATACTCGTTCCGTATATCCGATATGACTATATGTATTTATTTCAACATGTTGATCTTCAATTATAACACAACACCGAGCTGATAAATCATGAAATCAACAAAAGATACAACTATTTTCAATACAAATTCAAAGGATCCAATCCTAAAATATCCATTAATTCGTATGACAAAGTACAAATACTATCTATCTCAGACTTCGACATGTCTACTAAGTAATACCGTTGCAGGTCAGATCACAAAATAAAAGGGGAAAACGTTGATCCACAAGTGTACAAACCAACAAACTGAGAGGTTTTTTTTTTTTCCTTCTTTTCTTTTTGCAAACAACACATTTGGGTAAATTATTTAATTAATAATCATGCTTAAAACAATTGGAAAAGCAGACACTTCACTTGTACACGCGTCATAAAACTATCGGTTTTATCCATGTATGTACCAAACTTAATTTAGACCAAAATATAAACAAACTTATTGATTAATTAAAGGGCACTACTACTAATCTTAAATCATTGAACACGAAAACGCGCAACCACTTAGACAAGCAAACGCGAAATCCAGCAAACAAACAGCCATGGATACCACTTCATCCAATCAAAAAGATTATACTATTATTTATCTTTATTCCTCCGCAAAACAAAACAAAATTAAATTATTTTTAATGATTCTTCTGAGAGATTTGGGTTGGAAAATGGTGTTCAAACAAATACAGTCATTCACTAGTTGTTCACATGTGATTAGGAGATTCTGAGCCTCTCTCGTGCATTTTGAAAAGGACAATTTTGTATAGTTTTTGTTGTAATTGATTCGTTGTACGAAAATTTACATTTTATTGGTGATTTAAAACTAATTTCTCGAGAATGTGTTATTTTTTATACCTCGTTATTGATTGGTAATGAAGGTTCAGGTCGCCATCTATGTCCCTCGATTATGTTGATTAGTTAAGAAAATAAGTAAAAAGTAAATTACAATAGCAATCATTTGCTCAAGTCGAACTTAGATCTTTTGATGGATCTTAACCTATTCTAAGTCGAACTTACAAATTTGAGTTTTACCTGGTCTCGAATACTTGAAAGTAGGGCTGGGAAACGGTGCGGTCTGGTCCAGACCAGACCATATATACGGTCTATGGTCCAGACCGAGAGGCTAAAGTATAGACTACAGACCAGACCACAGACTATACGGTCTGGTCCAGACCACGCCTGTACGGCCTGGTTCGGTCTGGTCTGGTCCAAATAGACTACACTCAACGAAAAATGAATAATTTGTTTAGTCAACCACATAAAACATTGAACCAATAACCAAGAAAAATAATTGTTATTTGCCTTAAAACATTAATCTTAACATGCATGAATAATTTTGGTACCCTAAATCTTAGTACACAACAAAGATACAAAGTAAAAACATCTCAGCTTGCACCATAACGTCATAAACATTAACATAATGTCATATGAAGACACTATTATCTCTACTCTCTGGTTAAATGTGGTTGTGAATGAAGAAGGGAAGAGATTCACAAAATTAAGGTTGAGACTTGGGTGTCGTTGTGGGAGTTTGGAGAATGGTCGAATGGGCTGTTAACACGTATTGACAAGTCAGTTGAGTCCACGGTTTGGTCCGGTAAACCGCGGTCTAGACCAGACCAGGCCAAGAGATCAAATCATAAAATAATACAGATCATGGACCAGACCAGACCATACTTCACGGTCTACGGTCCGGACCAAACAGTGCGGTACGGTTTGGACCACGGTTTTACTAACGGTCAGGTCTATTTTCCAAGCCTACTTGCAAGAAATGAATTAGCACAGTAAAATTGGGCCCAAAATATTATTTACTCGAGCCCGTGTCTTTCTTACCGCCATGGCCCAGTTGTAGGCCCAACACGGTAGTTGAAAAGTCAAGCAGGCAGGCACGTTAGTTAAAATAACAACTCTCACTGTATACTCTCAAGAAAATTTCACACCCCACCCGACGCGCCTCCACCACCCGCCATTCCCCTTTTCCTCCCACCTATTTATTATTATATTATTTATTTTTCAGTTGGCGCCAGATTACATTATTCTTTTTCCGCCTAATCTGCCAGCTGGTTTGACTCCGAAGAATTATATATACTCGCAATTTCCCCCTATCTCTCCCAATTTCTCAAACCAAATCCCTAACAGACAATTGAAATTCTCTCATCCAATCGACGGCGACGGAACCACCGATCCACCACCGGAAAGCAGAGGAATCAACAATGGGGAACTACGTCTCCTGCACGCTGGCGACTCCGCTGACCAAGAGCGGGAAGGCGGCGGCGGCGGCGAGGGTGGTGTTCCCCGGCGGCGAGGTGAGGCAGTTCCGGGACCCGATCAACGCGGCGGAGATCATGTTCGACTGCCCGAGCTTCTTCCTCGCCAACTCCCAGTCCCTCCAGATCGGCCGCAGATTCTCGCCGCTCCCCGCCGACGAGGAGCTGGAGCTCGGGAATGTGTACCTCACGTTTCCGATGAGGAGGGCGGGCTCCCTCGTCACCGCCGCCGACATGGCGGTGTATTTCGTGGCGGCGAACTCCGCCGCGAAAAGGATCGGCGGCAGGTCGGGTGATCCGGCCAGGATCCGGCCGGAGGAGGTGGAGCTGGATCGGAAGAGCTTGGAGGAGATGTCGGAGGAATTGGAGCTTCCGGCGGAGTTTAAGCACCGGCTGTCCATTTGCCGGTCGAGGAAGCCGATGCTGGAGACTATTAGGGAAGAGCCGGCGACTCCTGTGCTTTCCAGATGATTAAAGAAGGGGGGGAAATGGAAAAATCGGTACGGCGGCGGCGGCGGAGACTTCCAATTTGATGTTATTACCTTTTTTAACCTATAACAGTGGAAGAGCAGAGCTTGAGGAAGGTTCAGAGACGGTGACGGTGGAGGAGTGGAAATGATATTTGGTTTGTTTTGGGTAGTAAAGTGGAATTTTTTTTAGACTTGGGGGATTAGATGTACAAAGGAAAGGAAGATTGTAGAGGGGGATGGAAATGGGATGTATAATTAATTGTATACATTGCATATCGAGATTGTTGTTTGTTGATTGAGAAGATTCAATTAATTCAATTATTGTTCAGATTTTATGATCATAATATTTGTGTACATTATACTAGATATAGATTGATGTCAACAACATTCTCTTTCTACAATTTGCATCAAACTATAAAATTCAATTTGCATCACTACATAGCTCTAGGTCGAAAACACAATGGTCATATTGTTGTGTCAAAGTATTGCTCGCTGTCTATTGTGCGTCGAGTTCTTCCTTTTTCTTGAGTTTATAAGACATGCTTGTGTTGCTCAAAATTCTGTTAACATATTATTTTGTGTGATTGTTAAACGATCGACTGCTTTTTTTTAAGTAAATGAAATAATCAAACAAGTGAGTCCGGTGATATTTCTGAAAACTTGTACAAGAGAGAGAGTTAGAATTGTTGTCCAATATTGTATCGTATTATAAGTATTTCGTTCGATCACAATTGTCTCGCTTATTTATCATTTGTAATCTGTTTTATCTCGATTTTGGCTTAGATTATGGAACAAACCACAACCCAAGACCAAGAGGCTAGAGCACTAAACTGAAACAAGCCCATAACCCAACCCAAAAAACCAGAACCTGGAAACCAGTCCAGCCCAACCCCTTGCATTGGTCGCGCGTGTGCAGTTTTCAGGTCAGAGTCGAGAGCAGTCGTGGAATCATCGTGAATCATTCACAAACAGACTAAGAAGAAGAAGACGCTTCTCTCTGTGTTTCCCAATCCCAATTACTCTCTAATTATAATTTCTTCACAACAATCAACTAATTTTCTCCTCTTTCTTTATTGACATTTTAATGGGAATGATCTCCCTTCTTCCTCACAAATCAGCCGCAAGTCTTCTCCTTCTCCTCCTCTACTTTCTCCCCCTATACATGTGACAAAGCTGAAAGGTCCCCTACTTGTTGTAGACTCCAATCAAGGGCTTTCTGTTTTTTTTTTTTTTTTTTTTTGGGTGAAGTTTCTTCTGGTAAGCGCTCGATTTTCATCTGGGTAGTTGTTTTTCCTTCGAAAGTTCGTGTCTTTACTTCTGGGTTTTTTGGTTTTTGATTGCTAGTTTGATCTGGAATGATGGTTTTGGGAATTCGGATCATTTGAAGTTGTCCGAGGTTCCATTTTGGGAACTGGGGTTTCAAGGGGTCGATGATTGAATGATGATGGCTTTTTTATTTGCAGATTTTTGTGTCGTTTGGTTAGGGGACGAATAATGCGGGCGCCATCGTTGCTTGCGCAGTGCTGGCCTGGTTTGGTTCCTCATGATCGAGGAAGTCAGAGCATTTCATGGGTTTCTGAAAGAGATGTTCACCTCTCATCGCCAGCAGTTGAGATTGTCCCTGCAAAGGTATTGTATTTATCGTGATTCCACATTCTGAAGTTGAATTTTCCTGCATTGCTTATGAAACAAGTGAAGGACTTGTTGTTTGCTTGAACTGTGGTTTGATGGACTCGCTATACGATCTTCTGTGTCGGTAATTAGAAGCATTGTTCTGTTTCCTTTTGCTCTGCAGGCACATCACACGGACAAGTTTGCCGTGGGGAATGATGAACATGGGGAGAGTATCTTCAAGGGTAGGATTAGTGTTGCTGATATAATCGGGTTCACTGGCTCTGACACGATCTCGTCGAAACCAGATGGTAACTTTTGTGCTGTGCTTTGAAGAATTTGATTATAGTCGTGGTCTATATTGGGAGGGATGTAGAGAAGAGTTGATGCACTGATACTGCTTTTTTTCTGGGGTTTCTGCAGGGTATATGAAATTTTGCGACAGCTCTATCGATCTGGTTAATCTCCTCAAGAATGAAATCCGTGATGGGCAACTGAGCTTTAGAGGCAAGAAAGTTCTTGAGGTAATTTATCGTTCTTGTCCTCTGCTTAAGTTGAACGGATGATTGTCTGTATGTATTGTTTAAAAATTGCTCAATGATCTATTCAACGCAAGTGAAAATGCAAATAAGTCTGTCAAGATGTGATTGTGCATAGAGAAGTTGTATTGCATTTTGTGAACTGCAACTAGCTTTCTGCTCGAGCTCTAAAAAGGCAATGTATCATTGCTATTACTGAAGAAAAGGGAAAGCTTTGTGTACAAACTTCCTTTTTCTGTTTCCTGTAAATCACTAACAGTTATTATTACTTCCTACTTATTCTTGCAGCTCAATTGCAACTATGGGCTTCCTGGAATTTTTGCTTGCCTGAAGGTAAATCATCTTGATGTTTCCCCTAGTTCCTTCTTATTGTTCAACATTCAATAGCTTGATGGTTCCTCTTATATTGGATGAAGAATTTGGTTAAAAAATGGCGCACTCTTCTTACTTACTAACTACTGGTATAGCTGAGACAATTAAAAACCTATTAGTGCTTAACCAAACATTGGCCTTTCTTTACAGGGTGCCGCCGCAGTCCATTTTCAAGACTCGAGTGCTGAAACCGTAAGGTGTTCCACCATTCCCAATGTCCTGGCCAACCTCGAGCAAGCTCGTGATAGACAAGCCCGGCAACCAGATTCTCCGCTGACACCATCGAGACACGCTCTTTCCCCAGCAGTCCACTTCTACGCTGGTGACTGGGAAGAGCTCCCAAGTGTGCTCTCTGTATTAAGGAGTGAGACATCTGAAGCAGCGACAACCACGGGAATGATGAACTTGAGCTTCTCTGAGGAAGATTTCAACGACGGCTGCAGCAGCCAAGATGGCAGCGTCGTGGCCCCCGAACATGCCAGAAGATCAAGGAAGCTCTCAGGGAGCCGAGCTTGGGAGAGGGCTAATGAGAGCGATAGTGGAGAGGGAGGTTATGATGTGATCTTGATGACCGATGTACAGTACTCAGTCACCCCATTGAAGAAGCTGTATGTTCTGATTAAGAAGGTTGGTCTTTTGGCGAACCAGCATTATGAATTTGTTTTGCATATATCATTGTAATCCTGTTCTGACTTCTCTATATGAACAGTGTCTGAGGCCACCATACGGAGTGATGTACTTGGCGACGAAGAGGAATTACCATGGTGGATACAGCAATGGAGCTAGGCAGCTGAGAGGTTTGTTGGATGAAGAAGGCTTGTTTGGAGCTCATCTGGTGAAGGAAGCTGCTGATAGAGATATTTGGAAGTTCTTCCTCAAGTGAAGAAAATTATATCACAATACCAAGTAGAAATAACAACTATACAAAACTTCATTGTTTGCAGGCTGGCTAACTGGTTATCTCCAAATTTCAGACTTCATTCTTTTTGTTATGTTCTTCAGCTAGAACAATGTTATCAAATATTATACTGAATGTATATTAGGAATCACTAAGTATATAGTGAAAATCCCCCACCCCCTTTTTTCACTCCCAAATCAATGGATTTGGAATCCAGAAAAAAAGGTTATTGTGATTCCCTCCCATTGTGATAATTCCCTTTTGCTAGTTTTTTTCATTTGTGAAGTTTGTTTCATGTTTGTAGATAAAAATTCATTCATTTTAAAACATTGATTGCTAAATCCATTGGCTGGGCTACTGATACTGATAATCTTGTAGTAATCTTTCCATATCTGCATATTATTATCCTGATTGATTGTGAGAATTCTATGTGAGAGCAAATCGTGTCAACCTCCCCTTGAAATACATGGTGTTGAGAGAATCAACTCAGGTTTCTTTTTTTTTTTTTTTTCTCTTCATGAACAAAGAGGAAAGCATGTTTGTGATTACACGATTGGTTAAAAATTGTACAAATTTCTCTTAATTAGGTTAATATTGGCACACACAAAAAAGGGCTCTTCAAATTCAATAGTAACAATGAATAATCTGCAAACTACTACTTAATCTGAGCCAAGGATTTGTCCTTTAGTAACTTGATGCTAAGGGCATTTAGCATGGCCCTTGAATATTGTCGAGATGCCATTTTCCAATCCATCCCACACTTCATCATTGCCTTGAATTCTTCATAACTTATTCTTCCATCCTGTGTAAACATTATTTATTTGGACTAATTAGCTTCATAATTAGCAATATCTTCATTAGTTCATTTATACAAATAATAAAAATCGCATCGAAAAGAAACTCGATTAGCCATAACATAGATCTTCTGACGTTTACTTTTTCTACCATACTTTATAATGAAGATCATTTTGATTCGGACGTTAAATTTTTATGATTACTTATAATAATTACTAACGAATCAAGTACGATGATAAATAAACTAGTTTGTAATAAGTTTTTAGTATAATTGCAAAAGTTATTAGTGAAAAATGAAGTTACCTTATCAAGGTCAACATCCCCCATGATGTCTTTGATAACTTGCTCGATGTTGTGGGGGCCCGAATGGTCTTCGATCATGGCGTCTCTTAGCTCATCAATCTCAATGTACCCGCTCTTGTTCTTGTCGAAGAAGCTGAAAGCTCGAGCAAGATTGTCGTCGTTTGCAATCTTCCTCAGATGGATCGACATCACTATGAACTCGTCCCAGCTCAATGTGCCATTCCCGTCAAAATCCGCCTTGAACAAATTCAAACAAATAAAAAACAAATTAGAGTAGCTCAGAGAAAACACGATAGTGGAGACCACGTGTCGCACTACATTCAAGGCTACTTCGGCCTACATGAATACCCAATAAACCCATGGAGCGGGAAATATATATGTGCTTACAGCATCCATTAACATCTTGACTTCGAGATCGGGAAGAGCATGGCCAGTGTTAAGAAGACCGTCCTTGAGTTCTTCGAACGACACATCTCCATTTTTGTCGGTGTCCATGGTGTGGAACAATTGTCTTATGTGGTTTACTTGCTCGTCGGGCAAATTATCAGCTACCACCTATTAAATAAAACAAGAAAATAGTTATTATCGTCAATGTAATCTATATAAATCCTATCGTGGTTTCATGCATGATATGTAATAAGGACATCAGAATTGAGAAAGGGATGTTTACCCTGAGAACTCTCTTTTTGAACTTATTCATGAGGGAGAACTGCCTAATCCTTGCTCCTACATTCTCCCCTAAGGACACAGTTGGTGCCTGGCTCGCATTTTGTATCCATGGATGCTCTGCGTGATAAGAAATCATATCATCATGATAACTCAAATTCACGATTCGTTTAAAGTTCCAAATTTTTTAATATTTTCAATGTGATATCTTGTGAATGTCATCGTGAGAATTAAAACTCGTCCGACCCATTCATAACTACCCAGTTAATCATTTTTCGGGCACTCCTAGGACATACGTGACATCTTTGTTTACACAACCTCAATATAAGAGTATTAGTTCGATTGTATTACCGAGCACTTCTTGGATGGTTAGTCGAGAGTAAGGATTTTGATCAAGCATGCTCTTAACTAGGCTTTTGGCTTCCTTGGAAACCTTAGGCCATGGATCCCTTGAAAAATCCAAATGCCCCCTCACAATTGCTTGTGCAATTCCTTCTTCAGTCTCTGCATTCAGAAATTCACATACATGGAAATAAAATGTTATGATTCAATTAACAAAATAAAATTATAATATAGATTAAGGGCCCTTTAAGTAAAAAAAAAAATATATACATATATATAATAAGATGTTACCTGCCCAAAATGGAGGAACCCCACAAAGCAAGATGTAAAGAATGACACCAGAGCTCCACACATCAATTTCTGGGCCATAGTTCCTTCTAAGCACCTCAGGAGCCATGTAATATGGGCTTCCAACTATCTCATTGAATCGTTCATCTGCATTACGAGCGTAGTTAGTAAATATTCTGCTTAATTAATTTGCATATATATATTAACCTATGTATTAATGCACATACATACATACATACATACCACGTTCGAAGAAAATGGAAAGACCAAAATCAATGGCTTTGAGATCGGAGTTTTCAGACGCATCCGCAAATAAGAAGTTCTCCGGCTTCAAGTCCCTGTGGATCACTCCATGTTCATTGCATACCTGATCATGATCATCACCCACCCAAGGAAAAAATCGTCAAACTCGTCATATGTAGGCATCGAGACACTTTACTTCGTATTAAGATAACTCAAATATATATGTTTCGCGCCTAAAACCAACAACATTTTTTCCCCCTTCGTCTTATCAAACATTGGTTTTTCGTAGTTATATCATCGAGTATTAAGATTTAAGACCAATGTGATACACTACGCGAATCAATAAAGCAGAACGAATCAGATCAAAATCGTCATCCAATCACCTCTAAGTAAAACTTATACCTTAACGACCTCCAAAATGGTCTTGGTGACCATGACGGCAGCTCGCTCAGTATAATGCCCTTTCGCCACAATCCGATCAAACAACTCCCCACCTTCACAGAGCTCCATCACCAGATAAATCTGCTCTTTATCCTCGTACGCTTCCTTAAACGCCACGATGTTCGGGTGCTTGGGCAAATGCCGCATGATCTCCACCTCTCGCCGGACATCCTCGACGTCGATCTCCGTCCGCAGCTTCGCCTTGGAGATGGTCTTGCAGGCGAACTTCTCGCCGGTCTCCTTCTCGACGCACTCGTACGTGATCCCGAATTCTCCCCTGCCTAGTTCCTTCTGCAGGGTGTACTTCTCGTGGATGTTGTTCCCCGAGGGATCCTTCACCACCGCGGCGGCGCGGAAGGTGGCGAGCTTCCGGGGGGCCTTGTTGTAGTCGGGGTACGGCCGGCGGCTGCTGAACCGGGAGGAGAGGACGCGGCCGGCTTTTGCGGCGGAGGAAATGCAGCCTCCCATTCTGAAGGAAAAACAGAGGACGTAGATAATTAATGAAGAATGGTGACTTTAAATGATAATCAAGATTGTTTGTAACTTTGTATATTAGATAGGGTGTTGTTGGCATCCATGTATTTAAAAAAAAAAAAAAAATTGTTGATTTTTATGATGTTATGTATGGGTTAGAGATGTTCATAAATCACAGAGGTATCATCCATGATGTTCTACATTCGATTTCGAGGTTAAGAATCGCGTTGTTAAGAAAATTAACACAAAATATGCATAAGGCTATCATAGTCGATAATAGAATAGGGGTTGAATGACAAGCAAGATGGGGAAGTACTACATTTTTCTTCATACAACCCGAAATTCAATGGATAAGCACAAAGAAAGAATACGATTTCCATTCGATCATAACAGGTACCAGAGAAGAATCATGCCTCGAACTTGAAGAATAAGAACGAGAAATTGGTTTAAGTGATAAGAAAGAAATATGGAGAAGAATTACATCTCATATAGTTCAAATTCGATAAGTCGAGACGAGAAATGGGAGCAGTTGCGCGATGGTTGGGATGATCGCTTTTTTTCTTTTTCTTTTTCTTCCTTCTCTTCTTTTCTTCTTGATTACCTCTTTTCTCTTTCTTCTTCTTGTTTTATCTGAAATTTGCTGGTGGTGGATTCATGGTCATGGGGAATCCACCCATGAAGCAACAAGAGAGGAAAGGAAGAAGGAAATGGTTGTTTGGATTTCAGAAAATGTAGATCAATCCCAACAAAAGAGAAAGGGAAAAGGATACATGTCTATATATGGTGACCTATAATTAATGTGGGCTTGCAAAATTGGGAATGTTCAAGTAAATTACAAGCTTTGAGGGTCTCCTCTTTTCATCCTATTTTTGCATTCTCCTTATGTCTCTCTTATTTTGGATTTTATTGGTTTCCACTCTCGAGTCTGAATTGAGTGAACCACGAAAATTATGCATCTGTTTCATGTTCATCACTTGATAGTTGTTGAGTGTATAAAAATATCGCTTTCTATATTCAAGTTCGTTGAACTCATTCTTGTTGGTAGTCAATGGACAGATCCATAAAAGATTATACATTCGTCCCCTCGGTAATCCGATTCCGACTAGACTTAAAGAGATGGTGTTGATATTTGAATCCATTAGTAATTGTTTTTAAATCGACTTAACAGTAGATAATGTTGGAAAAAAAATTAGCGTATTTGGTCAATACCTCAATTGGTCGGGGGGAAACCTAGGAACATTCCCCCACGAACAAGAGGAACGACAATCGGTTACCCTCTCAAGAGTGATGATGTTGAAATCTTCTATGTGATTCATCTTTCAGAATATCCTTCCCAACCTTGGGTTTAAAGACGAGATCGATATGATCCAAACAAGATCGAGGACACTGTCTTGGTTGCAAATGCTCGATCGAGCCTCCACACCAGGAGAATTGGATTGCTACATTTTGCAAGTGTTGGCTTGAGAAAGAGAAGCATGCAGGAAAATGAAACAAAGATGGCACATTTTCTTGCATAGCTTAAAGATGACGTTAGTACAAGAGTAGTCACAACAGTACAAGAGCTTCAGAGGCATACATGGATCGTTAGGACCCGTTGCCCTCCAAGACAGATGTAACAAACACACCCTAGTTAACATTCCAAGGTTCGACTCGTAACGAAATGTCGTGAGGTACAACATAAGAGTCTCTGCGAGCACAACACGGTGTACATATAAATATACATGCGATAAACAACAGCAACACAACCAAGCCCACCTCCAGCTTGCTAATATTTATTTACAGAACCTACATAAAGATGGGCAACACTCCATTAGTCCGAAACGAGCGCCCCAAACCAAACATAGTTTGCTCTCACCTCATCGTCCTTGACTAGGAGGAACAGCAGGGAATACAATTGGGAGAACCAAGGTGATGACAATTGACAACCGTCGGATCAATCGTCTGCATTTCTCCCCGTCCTGGCATTTGCTTTTCCCCTCCCGGCTCTTCCCTTGCTGCCACCTACATCCTTTGAGCCGACTGCTCGGCTACTGGAGCCATTAGAGTCCACATCTACTAGCCCGTTCTCCAATGCTCGTACCAAGTTCTCAAAGTAATTTTTCGTCACACTGCATCAGCACAAGAAAAAGGGTTCAGGGTCTGATGAAGCACTGCTTGTGAGGGATGCATTAAATTGCTACTCGTTATACCTGGTCAGTCCTGCTAGCTTAGTACGAAACTCCTCGAATTCCTTTGATGGTCTATCGGCTTCGGGAGTGAGGAACTGCTGCAGTTCTTTCTCTGCGCATTGATGAAGTCTTTCAAGGCCAGACTCTGCCTCACCTGTAGGCATCAAACAGCAAACTAAATCAGAAAGTGACCATAAATCTTATCCATAGCAATGATCTTCTGACAAGTACACTTGACAAGGTTCACGGTCCATATGTTTGTCCACTAAACACTGCCATTCAGCTGCCAAAGCAATTTTCTTGCTAATATACTCACATACCTTGAAGATATTCAAAAAATTGCCTCTTCCCTTGCTCATGATCAGGTAGATAGAACCCATATGCGTAAGTCCATTTCAAGACTCGCCTGCATTCAACAATCTACCAACAAAGTAGCAGGCATTTAACATGAGAACCACAGTCATCTATGACATACAGCCATGGCAATACAGACAGCAAATGAATTATAGGTTTACCTGAAGCCAGGCATCAGTTATGAACTTGAGCTGAGACTCAGGTGTGCAGTGTATGTCGCTAAGCTTCGCAAGCTGGTAAAGACCAAACATTGGCAAAGACAGAATACAGGTCAGGAAGATATACTTTGAAGCAAATGCTCATATAAAATCTGCAGCTAACTATCAGTTATCTCCACAAACAATGGATGGTTGATAATGTAAGATCCCAGACAGAAAGACCAACTATCATAAGATAACTCCTTCCACACATTTGTGTTTCGCAATCACGCGACACAAGACAAGTAATCCACGATAGGGCTATACATGAAGGAATGATTAGGCATCATTCACATAGGTCCACACCAGTTGGTTCTGAAAGCATGTAATGTCTAGGAAATGGAAGCGCTAAATTCTCAAGAGTAACCATCTAGCAATATGCAGATGCTCAAAAACTTGACAGGTGGTAGGACACGGGGGAAAACTGCTGATAATCAGCTGATCTTAAAACAATGCCTCCAGCCCAATGATCATAATACAGAAAATTCAAACAGTTGTTTATTTCCAGATCCACCAAGTTGAATCAACTATATTCACATGCAAATAGAAACAGTCATGCATATCTAACACAGCAGGCACAGCACATGCTATAGACAGAGTTCAAGAAAAAAAGGATTTGACATAGTTGAAATTCTCAATATGTATATATATAAAAGAGACTTACATGCACATTCTGCATTTGCTGCAAATCTGCAAGAGCTTTTTGTCTCGACTGCCACAAACAGAATGACACAGCTATTAGATTCAAGGTCACGGAGCAGACATATACTAACAAAGGAGAAGCAATAACAGAAATCTCAAATGATGCCATAGATCAGCAAAACAGTACGAGCTTGTACTCGTAAGACATAAAGGCTAAAGAAAGATCACAACAAGCAGAAAATACAGGGAGAAGACATGTTTTACTCTTGACAATGTGGAGAAGGAAATTTTCGCTTCACAAGCTCACAGAACACAGCTTACGACAATCCATAGATAGAAACTATTGTCCCACCACTTTGAATCATACCACTGAGGTAAAACTCGTAAGCCTCAAACCCATGCTATTGTCCAGTTGCTTCGAAGTGTATAAGATGGTCACACTCAGAAATTAAACATACTGCCAACCGAAATTGTCTTATGGTGCAAATACATGTGACTGCTGAGTTTAGGATTAATTGATTTATTATCATATGAAGAGCGGGCAACTAATTGTCCCATCCAAAAAAGACAAGTTGGCATGCAATAAAACACCTAATGAAGAATTGACAAAGCAGAACACATAAACATGCGTATTAAGCAGTACGGTACCGATGATACATACCGTTTGATTGCTTGCCCATCTTTCATAATAATGTGTATATCGCTCCAAAGAATTCTTAGCCATTTCTCGCCTCTTCTCAGCCTCGTCATACTGAACATGTTACCAAAAGGAGCTACATTAATAATCTACTTCTCTACAACTAACTTGCAAACTACAGGGAAATGAGCCAAACAGTGCAAATGCAAGAAACCATGTAACAGCGAGGTCGAAACTCAAGAAATCGAATTGTAAAAATCATCTATCTCTTACAGCTCCCTCTTGCTTAGCTGCCTCATAGCGGTTACATGCATAAAAACCACCAGTCCTCTCCCCATGCTCTGACCAAGACCCAAGGCATAGCCTGCCATTCGAAATTAACAACAATCTGTCAATAACTGCCAAATAGAAGTAATGGGGAAATTTTGACAAAGCTCATTCAACTTTCCAACTAAAACTCACCAGCAAAACTCAAATTTGCAAGGAGGAGTACATGTTATGTGCATGCACCCTTGATTCTTTTCAATGGGTCGCTTGCACTTGGGACAAGGCTTGGAATTTGCTAATATCCTGCAGTTATCATGTCTGTGTCAGGAAACGAGACCGTGTGCTGTGGCAGGGCATTAATAATTAAAATATCATTCAACCCAAGGCAATTAAAATGTCTTGGCACCATATAATCCTAAGGAAAACACATGTATAGCAAAAAGAATTTCCAGGTAATGGACATAATTGTCTACATCATTGTCTAAACATACAGGACCCTTCTCAGGATGAATGAATATCATGGTTAGTGTATACTGCAGCAAAAATGGTTGGCAACAAGCTAATAGGTGATCTGAGTCAAGAGCAAGGAAAAGGGTGGGAACATTTTAATTCGCACATCACAGGCTGGACAAAGGATGACCTTTGGGAGGGTTTCTAGATTTTGTTCTTTTTGAAAATCAAGGCCTAGAGGCTGCAATTCCTTCAAACACATGCCACACTTTATTTGCATAGAAGAATAATAATTACACGCAAACTGATACGAACTGTTAGATTTCCACCTAAAAACTACAAAAGCATTCCGTTTCTACACACACCTTCAACTGTTAAATCAGAATGCAAAGCAAATCCAGACCAATCTAATCATACGAATGTAAGCCTTACCAAGCAAATTGAAATAAGAACCCACATATGAAGGGAATCAACTTAAACTTCTCATTATAAAGAATCAAAGAGTAAAGCCATCCTGAACTTGTACCAGTTCATGTTTTCAGATTCCGCACTGTTCTTTAAAATCCACTTTGAAACAGTTCCACAATCCACTGGACGGTGAGCTTCTTCCGTGCACTGCAAGTGTACAATCCCATAACGAATATTATATCACAAGTCGAGGCAAACTACTTGAAAATCTAATGATTCAATAGAAATGAAACACCAAAGTGAAGACTTACACTCCAGCAAAAGCTATATGAGCAAAGGCAGGACACATCAAAGTTTCCAGCACCCGCAGCGAAATCAACAGCACATTCGCACCCAGGTGCAGGGCACCATTTGGTCTATATGCAAGAGTAAGGGAAAGAACAATCAGTCTCTGAATCATTCTTATCAAGCAAAAAAGTATGGAAACAAACCTTTCTGTTGTCTTCAACATATGATCTAAGAAGGTAACGAGCATATTTCTCTTTCTCTTCATCAGAAGCCAACATATTGACCATGTCTAAACCAACCGCAGCACGACAAGACGGATCAGGGCATCTCAGCGCCAAGCATCCAGGACCATCATTAACACTGGCATTTATGTAGCCTGGTAGAATAGCCGAAATGGAATAAAAAGGAGCTACTTAAGCAACTAAAAGTAGATAGAGGAAAGTGGATGGACAAGCAACAGTTCAAACTTTCAGCTAAAAGCCTCGGTAAGCTGCACATTAGATGTACCTGACCAGCACGAATTGCAGAAAGGGTGACCACAAGCTGCCGAAACTATTCTACTTAGAGGAAAGAACTCGAAACAGATGCCACAAGTGAGCTACGACAAGAGAACAAGTGTAAGTAGATCATCGGGACAAATAAAACACACACTGAAAAACAAATTGCATGTTCAGAAACCAAGTCTGAACATAATAGGTGGTGTGCTCACTTCTCTAACATCAGAAATGGGAACCACTGGCCTATCCAGCAACCCAACAGTATTACGGACTCCATCCTCGTCTGCAAACCACTCATCATGCACCTTACTAATGCTCCTGCAAAGACAGTAACATCATGGTATCAAAACTACGGAAGGAAGGCATTATCAAAAACTCACGAGACAGACTAACAAAATAAAAACCAAGTGCAGTACCAGTTGTAGTGACGAAGAAGGGTCGTTGCATCAACTTTTGATATGGAAAGGACGGTAGACACTCTCGCGACGGCCTCATCCTGCCGTTGCTTTATGTCATCCTCCTTCAAGACCGAGTAACTTTGCTGCACACGGAAAAGAAGCATACAAGGCTTAGATTCCTTTCCCCGCACCGAGTCACCCATTCACGAAGTGAGTAGAATTTAAAGTTTCCTCAAGCTAAACATCACAACCCCAGAAAAATCCCAAGCTACAAGGAAAAATCCCAATCATTCATCAGCCGAGCACTGTTCCAAGACCTAACTCGTCGAGCTACCAGGCAACCACCCGCACCCCGAGTCCAGAAAACACTTCAATTTGCCATCACATGTTCAGAAAATTCCTAATTCAATCCCCCACATTTCACGACACTTTCCCCAAAGCTGGGTAAAAAAGGGAATCCCCACCTGCTGGCGCCAGTAGAGCGAATCCTCAACGAGATCATCAGCAGCCTCCGCCATGAAATCGTACCCTGGACCATCCTCATCATCGCCGCCGCCACCTCCACCGCCACCATCGTCGTCATCACCCTCGCTGTAGTAGTAATCATCCTCCAACTCCCCGCTGTAGAAATCGTCATCCACCGACTCCACGTCGTTGGCGTCCACCATCTTGTCCTCATCCGACTCCATATCCCCTCAAATCAAAAACCCTAACCCCGCGGAGAGAAACGAAACCCCTCCCCGATGAAGCGCTGGATGGAAGTGGAATTCGAGAAGCAGCGAGGGATCTGGAAATGGACGGCGGGAAGGATTGGGGAAGCTGAGGGATGGGGGAATCGAAGGAGTGGGGGGAAAGGAGAAAGGAACAGAAGAAGGCTTCTTCGGCTTTTTGGGTAGGTGCGGAAAAAGTCGTTTTCTCCTTCGTCGGTTCTGCAATGAAGACGAAGGAGGAGAAATGGTAAAGAAAGAGTGTTGTGTTCTTCACCCTTTCTTCTTTTCTTTTTTTCTTTTTTTCCCTCGGTTATTTCTCTCTCTAGCCCTTTCTCTCTCTCCCCTCCAATAAATATCGGAAGTGTGCGAGTGGAAGGACAGCGGCAAATGGCGGTGCTGGTGAAACGGTGTCGTGTCGACTGTCCGAGTTTTTAAGTTCATTGGGCTGGTTAAAGCATTTGGGGCGGGGAATTGCAAACGGCCCAAACTGAAAATGGGCCTGAGAGAAGCCTAAACTTATTCGCAGGCTAGAATATGTGTGAGCCCGATGAGAATTGTTGGTGAGGAGGGTGTGTAGCTCCAACGACCGGTGAGAGTTAGGACTTAGGGATGGCAATTTCGACCTAATTCGTTTTACTCGATCTGTTTGACCTGTTTTGAGGCGGGTCCGACCCGCGTCGTAGGCGGGGTGGGACGGGTATGGGTACCTCTCGTCGACCCGACCTGCCCTGACCCACTCCATTCTCGACCTATTCATGCCTAAGTTACATGTAATCTTAGTAAAATTACTTAGAATTTTCTTCATATTACCTCATTATTTAGCTATAATAAAGTTGTAAATAAGTGAAAACCTCAATTTCTTCAACACTTTAACTACAATTTATCATATAAAAGTTTATTTCTTGGTCTTTTAATGAAAATAATGAATATTTTTAAAGTTTTTCACATAAATTACATATCGATTGGGTCGACCTGCCCCGACCCGCACCCCATGATAAATTACTCGACCTACCACGGGGTGGGTATGGGTATCGAGATACCCGGCCCGGACCTGCCCATTGCCATTCCTACCGATGAGAGTAGATTCTGGGTTGTTTCTTGATTTTTCTTGTCGTTTTCGTTTTGGTTCGACGCAACTGCTTACGTCACCATCAGTTTATAGTGACGACGATAATCGGTGGTCATGAAATTGATCACCGCTTCCCGGTTCTCCTCCTTCCTTATCCGGCGCCGCACGCTAGCTAAACGTCTCTTTCGTATTGAACCGGCGCCGGAAGGCGGTGCGGCGGCGGTAATGCCCTTATCATCACGTTCGTTTGTCTGTTAGCTATTTGCTTTGTTCTCTCATATATGCATGTTATAGTTAAAGGCTATTTTTAGGCCCCGGTTTTTTATGCTGGTTTCTCGTGTTGGAGGGAGCTCTCTTTCGTTTTTGTTCTCATTCTTATCCTCTCCTGTTTATGGAGCATAAGATGTTTGTATATGTATGGATTTTTTTTTTTTTAATGTTATACGTTTCTTCGATCGGAATTCAATTCGTAGAGGTGGAAGTTTGTACCGATTTAAATAATCGGTTGTTAATATATATATATATATATTGGGGTCATGAGTCTCTAAATATGAAACATCATGGTTAAACCAAGTTAGATATGTCACAAACCAACCGATTCTAATAATATTAATCCTTCACCAATCATTCACCAATATTTAAGTACGTACTTCCAAGGATTTGATTTCGGTAATTCTATGATTCCTTACGAGCTCAGTTAAAGATGTTATCTCGTGAACCCATACACGATAATGTGTGTTTCAATCAACTTTGTTCATAGACATACGCTAATATACAACAGTTCCTTATAAAGTACACATCTCTACTGAGAATTTGTGGTCTTAATGACCTTCCTAACCATATAAGAGAGGAAAAATTAATTTGTGTATGCATTATGGTAGGTCATTTGAAGGTCCTTGACCTAATGATCACCTAGCCATAAACTATATATGTGTGTTCTAAATAAAAATATCATTGATCTTCTCTTTTATCTCTTGAAAATATTTCATGACCATATGATCATGTTTTAAGTCATTGGAGTTCTTCTTTGTGCACATATAAATTATATATATATAGTCTATAGACATTCTCAATAAGTCAATGCAGACTTGGTGACAACCTAGCTACCTTTCAGAGAATCATTTGCCTAATATGTATGTGAACTTCCAAAACTACGCATTAACTATATTACTAAAGTCATGAAAACGAACCATTCGAGGGCATCGGTGCATGTAGCATAACTGGCATCCATGAGGGTGTCGTTTTGCAGATAGCATCACACGCTCTTCCTAAACGCATTACACGTGTTTTTTTTTAATTCATTTTCTGACTTATAACCGAAACCACTCAACGTCTATTTATACTCACGCTTTCACTTTCTCTCTATATCTCATCCTCTGCTTTGTGTCACGTTTGCCTAAAGATCTCTTCATTCAATTCGTTGATGTTCTTCGTTTGTCTTTCTGTATATTGTTTGGAGGTGAGCAATAGAATGATCACTCATGTTAATTCTCGGGACACTGGTTTGTTGAAGTCGAGATTGATGTTGATTAATCAACTCACCCCTGTATTATGCTTGAGGTAAATTTTTTATGTTTTTCTGCAATAATATACACAAATATCATAATTCAAGCCATTAGGATGCCTATAAGAAGAGTAATTTTGCATCCTTGCAAGGAAATATCTATTATTGTTGAAATTTAATGGTTTGAGTAGCAATTTCACCTTGCAAATGGAAATATTCTCTTAATTGGAAACTTTCATCATGTTCCTCCCTCATATTTATGTAGGGCAAAATTGGTTGGATGCAAATTTTTAGTAGGAATTAAAGCATTAGAAATTAATATAAGTGATTTAATCAGCTCATATCTGAGATAGGGACTAAAGTGAGCCCGACACACACAATGTCCGGCTTTATCAACAACCATAGGCTCGAACCTTCACCTAGACCTCGATACTAGGTTAAAACAAACACCTCATGGCTTCCATAAACCTCAAACAAAACAGGGGGTAGTTCGTTGGCGTGCTTGGTGTGTAGCAATCATGAATTTGAGCGTATGCAACCCACTCATTCAACTCATCACATGATTTTTAATACTAGAATACCATATTGGGGGACAACTGCAGAGTCGTTATAATAGAGATATCAGTATCAGATTGTACGAGAAGTGGTCAATTTGTTGGATTTGAGATGGATTCTTCGGACGTAATGAGTCGAGTAGTATAGAATTCATGAACTCTAAAGTAAGTAGAAGTATCATTCATAATTGCAACTTGTTGTTTCAACAGTCCATTGATGCATGCATACCAAATCGTAGAATCATTCATAATGCATATCAAGAACACAAACCACATCATATTCAGCTCGAACGGTATAGTTTAATCCAAACGTCAATTTGGTCTGATACCATCCATTACAAATCAAACCCCGTTGCACACCCTACTCGCAACAATAACATTTAAGTGCCCTTGTCTCAGAGTATAAATGCGTAACGTCCCTCTGATTTTCAGCCATATGCCCAATTCGACCTGATACCATCCACTACAAATCAACCGTTGCACACCCTACTCGCAACAATAGCGTTAAAGTGCCCTTATCTCAAAGTATAAATGCTTAACATCCCTCTGATTTTCAGCCATATGCCCAATTTGACCTGATACGCCATCCACTATGGATCAAACCGTTGCATACCATACAGTCACAACTCACAAGTCACAACAATACCCTTAAATTGCCCGTATAAATGCTTAACCTCCTTCTCATTTTCAGCCATATGCCCAATTGCCCATTTCTTAGTTCAACGCAAACTCTCTCTCTCTCTCTCTCTCTACCTAGCTCTCTTGCAAAACTACATAAACCACCCTCAGCTTCTTCTTCATCCCCCGATTAGTAACCAAAGTTCCTATCCAGCAAAGATGAGGTACTGGCCAACGACGGCAGCAGAAGCAGCAATCTCCCAGCTTTCCGCACCACCACCACCACCGCCGGCAGCTCCCGTCGCCGCCACCGACAACATACCGGCCACGGACGCGAACGACGGCACCGATGACGCGTCAACCACGATCCTGATCATCTGCCTCTCCATGGTCGTCACCGGCGTCGCCCTCCACACCGCCATCCGCTTGTTCCTCGAGAAGTACCGGGCGAACCGCCAGAGGAGCTGGGAGCGGGAGAAGGCCGCGGAGCTGAGCGCCGCCGTCGCGTCGGTGACCTCCACGGTGGCGCACGGGGGCGGCGATGCGGCGGCAGAATGTGCGATTTGCTTGGCGGAGTTCGAGGAAGGGGAGGAGATCAAGGTCCCGGGGAACTGCCGGCACGGGTTCCACGGCCGGTGTATCGAGCGGTGGTTCGCCGCTTCTTGGAGCTCGTCGTGCCCGACTTGCCGCCGGTCGAGCCTGCCCCCGACGACGACGCTCCCGCCGGCAGTGGTCTCCTCGCCTATCACCGCCGGCGGCGGTGGGTGAATTAGTGGTTATTTATTTATAGATGATGACATTAAGGTTCGAACTCAGGAGGCAATAGGTAGGTAATTATATTTGTTCTTTTTCCATCTTTTATGTGACATATTTTGTAGTCTATTACTTACCCAAGTGGGAAGATCAATAAAGGTGGGGTTTTTTTTGTTAGGAAATGCTAGATGAGATTTGAAATATGTTCTAGTTATAAGAAAATAACTTTAAAATAATGTATTACATGTGTGTTCATTGTTGCAAGTTCATCTATTCTATGGAATCAAGTTTCAATCCTAAGGTTCATTTGGATTGGAACATCCATATACCATATCAAATATGAATTGTTTTTTTTTTCTTCATCCAATTCCTTCCCTTTGTACATTAACATTCCTAGTTTCATGTTGTGGAAGCCCTTTGACTTGAATCTCATCCATTTGGGATCATATCAGGCTCTGATACCACTTAATACGACCCTGGATGGTGTATTTGTTTTTATCAAAGTCACGCAGCAAACAATCAATCCGAAGATTGATTGAACTCGAATTAAGAACAATGCGTTCTTAATACGAAAATTGGATAAAACGGAACCAACGGACAATTCCACACCCGGGGAAAGCTCTTATGGTATAAAAGGGTAGCTGCTCGACCACGATTGAAGAGAATATTCAATCGATACAAAGCTCACAAGCTTGGAATCCACCAAACTCAAACAAGTCGCAACTTGCACAAAACCAAAGGATTTGTTTTTCGATTAATCAAAGTCTTCTTCGTCAAGTAAATTAAATCTGTATAATGGACCATTTGGAATCATATCACGAAGATCTAATGATCCGCTAATAATGTACGCGTGAACGTTCTCGGCCCATATCCGGATCATAGCTAGATTGATAGTCAGCTAGTAAAATGGTACAAAGATAAGTTGGCTTGGATTGATAGTCACCTAGTAAAATGGTACAAACATAAGTTGGGTTGTTTGCCCCATTTCCAGAGCATACAACCTGGAAATCGTTCATGAAGATTTCAGAAACCAAGCAAAAAGACACAACATGCTCACATCGATTGCCTTCTTGAATTCCTACTCATACTCGGAAAACATACATTAATTTAGCAACTAGCTAATCTTCGATGATATCGGTTATATTCTCCTAAAATGGCTCAGGGGAATTATTAAATCTGCTACATGGCTCAAGGCTATCAAAAATCATTGGAGCTCGAAAGAGGCAAACTTGTCATATCTTATAGGTTTATCTCATTTGAGCCTCCTGCTTGGTGGGAGACTCTGTTTCCTGGCTGTGGGTTTCTGAGGCGCTGATTTGATCTACTTTTGATGGTTTATGTGTTTGGGCCTCCTCGATCATAGCTTTCGTTTCCAGAACCTTCATCATCTCTGTCATTGTCTGCTCCTCCCCCTCGAGTTGCTGTTTCATTAGGATCTCGGCTTGCGTGTTGATTGGCTTGAAGTAATCGTCGATGGCAGCCTCCTGCACAACCAGGCACACCATTAGCAAGTGATAGTTTCTTTTCGCCAGCTTATTCAATTATTAAGCGGAAGAGGAATCTCCATCAGCTAATGAGCTTGTAAACACGTTCGTTCAGTCGAGGAGGGATTCAATATGTGCTCTGCAATGGGCAGGCATGGACAAGCTAATCGAGCAGTCATTATACATATGCGAATGACAATTCAAGACAAGAATTCAACAATTCCGAAACTTGCAGCAGTTTCTTGCTCAATATGTAGACACTAAGAATCTAAGGATGGCTTACAATACTCACAGTTTCTTCGAGCTTCTTATTCAATGCTTGCATATCCTCAACCATAGCACGAACTTCTGTAAGTATAGTCTGCTCAGGAAGCTTTCTCAAGGCCAATTTTTTTTCTTCGGCCTGCACAATAAAAAGTCCTTTGAGCTTGATGGAAATTGGCACTGAAGCACGCACACAATGGAGGTGACACGGGCATATTGATATTGATAACAAAGATAGAGAATAGCAAACTGGATACGGTGATGAAGGAAAAAGGGATTGGGATTTGGGACTATGGAAAAAGATAGAATGTGAAAATAAACAGGGTGCATTGAATTCTGTTCAACACCCTCAAAACAATGCCACAGCATGAAATTGGAAGCAAGAACTTCTATTTGCTTCACGCCTTTCTACACAGTCTTGTTCCCTACAACCATTGAAGCAGTCTTACTTTGATAGCGAAAGAATGGGCGAAACATCCACTAAGTTAATCAAGTCTCCCAATCATCACTAAGCAAGCAGTCTAATACTCGGAGAAAGATTGCACCCTGAGCTTCACATACACATTTCAATTCATATGCTTAGTTTACTCCTTAACAGTTGACATTACCAAATGACCAAGATCATATTGCACTGAAGCAAAGAACCGAAGCCAAATGGCCAGCCCACATCTCTATGTACATCAAACGAATCATAACGAGATTTCATCATCTCCATCTATGTAAAGGTCATTTCTCTACTAGTTGTCACTTGTCAGCCAAAACTAGATACACTAGTGGATCATCTCATCCACAAGAACAACATCCTCTACTCAGAGGCTACCAAAACCACAGGAAGGAGAACAAAGCACCCCATTCACACAGCAAACAAGATCAAGATCATTCCTTTTTGGCATTTGGATCATGAAAACCCAACTTTACCACAGTTAGAACTCACAAGCTCATCCAAATCCAACAATATAGGACATCGAAAACCCGAACCGGGCCAAATTGGCTACAGATGTAAACACTAATTAACTCCAACCTATGAAGTAGCGTACCTGTTGGAGACGCTTCTCCAGCATCAATCTATAATTCCGGATTCTACGTTCTTCATATCCTGAAAGCACCTTCGCATAGAAAAGCGCCTTCCTTCCGAACTCCAAAAACTTATTCATCGATGTTAGTCCTCAAATCTAACCAACAATTCAACAAATCGTATCTGCAAACAGATAACACTCGGACACTAAGGACTTCCGCAGCTCAATCTCGCGCTCCCCTTCTACCCGCTCGAAAAAAGACAGAGAAAGAGAACAATACCAGAACTTGGATGGCGATGGCGATGGCGAAACAGGAAGCAGAGCCTGAACTCCGCTGTGTCTACGCCTTCCGTCTATTTCACCTCCCCCTCCCGCCTTTCTTCAATTGGCAGCGGCGGGAAATCGAGATTCGTTCCAGAGCCTTCCCCGGATTTTCTATCTCGGATACGCCGCTTCCGCAGAGATTCCAATCGCTCTATCGACGGCCAGCTTTTCAGACGACTTTCGGAGACCCAATCGCCATTGTTTCACCTTTCGAGCAAAGCGCAATGGAGATCCTCTTCACTACTCCGAAGTCCGATCCCCGGGAGTTCTGCGTGAGGAAAACGACATCTTCTTCTAACGTAAAACGACTCGATGTGCCTGCTTTCGGAGATTCTCAGTCCTCGTAAATTTCCTTCTTCCAAGTTTGGTACTTAAACTAAGTGAAACTTGCCCTCCCGTGACCGTGCTGGATCTGGTGGGCTTTTGGTGAGTGGGCCTTGATAGCCCCATTTCGTCCTTATTCAACGATCCTATTTTTCTGAATGGGCTTATATTTTCTTAATGAACCAATGGGCTCATTATCCTGAAATTAATCCACAAAGTTAATTAAGTGGCGGATGCGCTGATAAAATAGTTAACAATTGAAAGGGTACAACTACAAGTAACCTAACGAAACATTACCGAATGGGATCGATGTACTATTAGTAGTAACTGTTGTATGTGAACTCCTCTTGCAATTGTTGTTATGATTCTCTTTATCCATTTCTATTGTACCAAAAAAAAGACAACAATAAACCATATTATTCATTGTACCAAGAAATAGAAGACAATACAAAGAGAGAGAAGTTGGTGATGGATTTGTGTTAGTTTTGTGTTCCCATTGAGGCAGACTACCTAACTAGAAGGGCATATCCTCCTCCCACTAAGGCAAATCACCAACAAACTGAAAAAATCCCCACATTGGGCCATTTGTTTGGTTAATAAACTATGTCTTTTTGGTGGCATAGTCATTTCCCATATAGCTTCAATTGGTGACTCCAAAATATGAACCTATAATATGAATGAGTTTCTTTGTATATCATTATCTATCTAGATCAATTCTTTGGAGTTTAACCATGTTATGGGTAGAAGTAGGTAAGTTATAGTACCTCATATTGATAGAGATTACGCTATTTACCTGTTGTCGTACCAAGTTTAGAGCACGAGGTTTTTTTTTTGGCCCTCATTGAATACAATTCTTAATTTGAAGTATTGTGTAAGATTGCTTACAACAAATTTCCAGTTAGCGTGCCAAGTTTAGAGCACGAGATTTCTTTGGTATTCACTGTATATTCTTACCGTTGAATCCTACATTACAACACTATGTACGATGTCCTAGTACACTCCGAAGTTCACTTGGTTATGAATGAAGGGCGAGAATGCGGGACAACGAGTATTGATCATCCAAGGGTGGACAGCAAGACCGATCAGATCAGGAGCTCCTGGTTCTCCGTGACCCAACCCGTAGCAACATACAACTGGGTTGGACCAAACTATTCCAACCGGGGTTTCCTCGAGCCGGCCCGAGATCTGGTCTGCTACGTGGCAAGGCAATAATGGTGGCAAAGAAGACAAAGGTCTAGCCAATAAACGAGGAGTGGGAGTTGAGTGGGCCAGTGGAGTGGGTGCAAGCAACTAATTCTGAGCTGCCCAGTTTAGGGAAGTAATAAATATACTGGCTGAAGCATGTAAAAGCCCACCAAGAAAAAAAATTGCTTGACCCAATAGCTCAATTATTTGCCACGTGGGTTTGTTGGCACATACCATTCCCTCCAATGGCCCACTCCCACGTGGCACTGAACATGACCAATCATGCAAGTTTTTTTTACAGATACAAACAATGTCACTATCTCATGCATGGCCATTGTCCCAACATATACATATTGCTAATGGGAGTGGAGGGGAGTGATTAGGGCATGGATTTCTTGAGGATGGGGCTCTTTGATGGATGCCTTGGTTTGAAGACTTTTTGTTCAAGTTGGTGTGTGATTTATTAGTGATATCTTGTATTGCATTAAGTGATGTGATCGTGAATTCTGAATTCATCATGTGGCAACAGGTATCGAAACAATCAATTCGATCAGGGGTCTTGAAGTAGTACTCCTTCTCCTACACCACACAAAACAAGTTGAAGTCGACGAGATGTTAAATTATGGTTGTAATTAGTGTTGAATGATATTGCTATCTTTTGTTGCATACTTGCATCTAAGTGATGTGATCGTGGAATTCATTGGTGAGTGGCATATGAACAAGCAATTTGACTGAGCATTTAGAGGTGCCTTTTTTTTCTGCGCCATAGAAACACACGTTGAAGTACTCGACAATTCTTTGGATTGGGATGAGTGGGTTTCGTATAATACAGGGAAAAAGACATTTTTCTTCGATTGAGTTTTGAAAATGGTTAGTCACTTGGGCTTGTATATATTACTCCGAAGAGGATTAATGTGATGATAATGTGAGAATGATAACATTCATCGTAACAAAAAGTTCAAACCGTTACATGTAGTTTTCCTCAGCCATCTTGAGTTAATTGGTGAACTACCAAGTCCCACCCTCTAATAACATAACCACTATATTTGGGTCAACTACCCCGACTTTTTACTACCTAATTACATTTAATGGGCAATAGATTGGAATTAACTAACTAGAACTACTCCTAGTAACTAATTAGATGGAGGGAAAATGGTCTAATTTTCAACCCGACGAAGTTCACATGACTTTTAACCTGTCGAACTTGATTGTGTTTTACGAACCTGGTTTAACAGAACGTCTCGATCGAAAGGCCGTAAGTAGTTTTTGTGGTTGTGAAACATAGAAACAAGCCTGAGTTTAACCCCATAGTGTTCACAGCCACTCAAATTACAACAACCAAGGGATTGCTACTAAACGATAGAGGTAGGACAAGATCATATGTGAACAAGTGATTGACTAATAATTTAATTAAGATTATGAGAGATGTGGACTAGCTTCATTGAAAGCCACAAGAGAGAACATACCATGTGATACAAACAACAAAATTTTGGCCTATGTTCTTCTTGTTTGTGGTGCATCATGCATTGGACAACAATTTGAGTAATTATATATATATTTTGTTGTAAGTAGATAACCATTTGGATAGTAAGTTATCAACAATATATTTGGAAAGTTATGACTAGTTCTATTTTTTAATTTTACCATTTGGCTTATAATTTAATTTCTTTGCAATTGTTTAAGAGCAAAAGGTAGTGTTTAGATTGTAGAAGACAAAAGGTTGGTTTTTTTATGTGTTAACTAATGACAATGTAATTGTCGATGTCTTCCATCCGAAGGTGATAAACATATTGTTATATGTCGATGACTCGCTTGCATCTAGAGTTAAAAGCGTCATACTTATTACGGGTTATTTGTAACTAATCAAACACATAAAATTAAGATATGGATACTTACTTGATCAATAATGAAGTAATTGGTGTTTGATATGCATTTTAATATTATCGATCAAACTCATCACTGACGAACGAGTCCAGTATTTTTGAACAAGTAATACATGTTAGGAGGGAGTCATTGATAGCCGATTATATACAATGTAAATTCTTCCATATGCCTCCTTCCAATATAATATACAATGCACCTCTCGATCAATATATCAACCGCTCTTATCTATTATATGATCGTGCTGTCGTTATTAGGCCAGAGCTCATCACGATCTCAGAATCGAATCGTGATAGGCCGCAAAGTAATGTGACAAATAATTCTGTTCACACTGTAAAAACGGATAAACTCTACGCAATCCATACTTGTACACACGTTCATTAGGATCTATTGAGCACTATTTGTTTTCTTTTGTCTTCTTTTTTAAGTAATGAAATTATGTGTTGAAAGTTTACAGAAAACGGTTGAAAGTTTCAATTCATTAAAAATTTCAGGTGGGCAACATCATAATATAATAAACAAACTGTAGAATACTAGAATAGACGGCCGATTAGGTGGGGCAATTAAATAAAACTCTTTTCAATAATTAAAACAAAATCAAAGGGTAATTAATTAATAAATTTAAGAAAGCTAGCTAGCATTTTTGTCAAGTGGGAAAGTGTAGGCAATTTCTTGTTGCAGTTGCCCATTTCTTTCTCCGTCCATGAAGAAGTATTCGTCGTCGTGGACACCTTTCCATAAACTAGGGTTGTTAATCGGTGGCCGGTTATCCGGTTAATTTCGTAATCGTCGGTTTTTTGGTCGATCGAAAACCGCAATGTCGGTGTCGGTTGGCGCTGTCGGTTGGCAGTTACCGGCAAATTAGAGAGGGTTGCGGTTATCGGTGAAAACCGAAACCGTGGCGGTAAACCACGACAACCGCATGCCCTACCATCCAAGACTATATGGAGTCCCTACTGCAGTCGTCGACCCATCGTCACTCGCCACCGCCCTTCTCGGCTTCCCCACTGCCGCCTTCATCCTCCTTCTTGCAGTCCCAGACTCCCAGTAATCGTCAACATCGCTAGGGGTGAACAAACACACCCGCAAACCGACCCACCCGTCCAACCCGACCCAACCCACCCGTATTTATCGCTAAAACTAAGGTTTTGGGTTGGGTGAGGGTTTTCTTTTCTACAACCCGCCTCTTTTGGGTTGGGTTTGGGTTTTGGATCACACAACCCGTAGAACCCAACCCAACCCGTGTTCCAACTATGGATATGAGTTCGTATCCAAAAAATATTTATGTCGTATATAACCATACTTATTAGAAAATTAAGATATTTCGCCATATTTTTCTCTCATGGTCTCCCTAATCTAATGCATTTTTCGGGTTAAAGTTTAGACATAGATTTAATATAGCTATGATTCACGTAATCATTTTTCTTGTGTATGATTTTAATAGAATTATATATTATGGATGCGTTCGTTTATAACATTTTTATCCTATTTCAACAAATGTCGTGAAAAAAAACTAGATATATGTTGAAGTAAATCACATTTTAATAAAATTTAAACAACATTTGTGAACTTTGATACCTTTCGCTTTCACCTCGGTTTATTCGTTTGAAATTTTAATTAGTTATAAAATATTTTTATGGTGTAGAATAATTACATATTTTGTGTTGGGTTGGATTTTTACTTAAAAATATCGTCAACCCGACCCAACCCAATCAGAAACAAACCGTAGGGTTTTAATTTTTTTGGGTGGGTTTGGGTTTAATATTTCCCAAACCGTAGTGCATGGATCGGGTGATTAAAATGGATAAACCCGGACCACCCGACCCATGTACATCCCTAAACATCACCATTCCCCCATCGCTAGTCATCTCGCCATCGTCGCCCCGCAGTCCCGCCATCGCCCGACATTCCGACGTCGCCCGACTGTTCCGTCATCGCCCAAAAATGCCTACGTCGCCCAACAGTTCCAACTTCGCCCAGCAAGGCCGATGTCATCCAGCCATCCCAACACCGCCCAGCAAGGCCGATGTCGCCAACAGATCCAGAAATCCAGCCAGATTCGCCCTCTGCGTCGGTCTTCTGCTAACCGCGACACCGACCCGAAACCGTCGACGGTGGTTTTCGGCTAACCGACAAGGCCGACAGTGTTGGTTGCGGTTGGCATTTTTGGACGTTAGTCGGCTGCGGTTAACCGCGTTTGCGGTTCGGTTAAAACTGAAACCGCACCGCTAACAACCCTACCACAAACTATACAATTCAGTGATTCACAACCAAAACCCTGGAAGGCAGCTGGCTGAGAGTTCACATTTCCCACCAACAAACAAAGAAAGCACTACATTAGTCGATTAAGTCACGTCTTTCATTTCTCGACTACGAGTTGTCTTCTACCTAAAGGTAATACGAAAGTTTACAATCAGTCCCTCGTCACGCAATTATTGTCGAGATTGCCGTTAAAGCGAGTTTGTTTTGTCATGCTCGAAGACACGAGAGATGTTGAGAATGCTCTGAAGTCTGAATCGTGGGCATTCTCTTGGGTACGAGAGCTCGAATCGAAGCTGGGTTAAGATCCCATCGATTTGGGATCTCGCGTGATTGGATCGACCCAAAATGAAACCCATTAATATATAAAAAATAATAATGGGCCAAATAGGTCAATTTTTTTCTTCTTCTGTATGGGACGGATACACTTTCTTTTATCTACAGAGTGGTCCATGTTTTCAGGGTTGTCGCACGTGGTGGGGCCCGGCCCATCACAGCTCTCGCCGTTTGTCGTCGTGCGTGTCCTCTCTTCCGTCCACTCACGGCTCCCGTCTCCGTCCAAAATAGGCTGACGGAAACTGTCAATTGAGAGGCGGCTTTTTCTTTTCTTTTTTAATATTTTCATTTAGCTGATTAATAATTGTGACTCATCGGCATACACGTGTCGCTTTCCGTTTCACAATCATGGACAGCCACCGCCAGCTGTCTTTCCGGCAGCCCGCCGCAACCGACACCATCCGTCCATCGCCATTGCTCAATCGCGCATGATGGCCTTTGCCGGATAATAATTCCCCGATGTATATCCATACGGCTAGATTCAGAAAGGGAAATATACATGCACCAATCCATCGATAATTGTCCACTCACCCACTACTTTTGTTGAGAGTGGTAAATGGGATAGGTTTGGAATTTAGGAATTAGGTTAGGATAGATCGAGTTGTTGGAGTACTGGTAAATATGTCGAGTTTAGATAGCCCATGTTAAACTCGAAAAAAGACATGTGAATTTTTGGCAAAATGTGACGTGTCACAGTCATGTTTGCCGATCACAATAATGAGTTGGCTTAACATATACAGAAGGTTCTTTTTCATACAAGCTGAGCCGCTGAGCCACTATCTGAATGTCATGAGTACTATATCCATTGTGCAACACATGCGATTCGAGCATCGGGTGTTAAGTTTGAAGCCAAGCTCTCGCGCTTTCGGAGCATGAGATGCATCATTACGAACAAGACTACAAAATTTAACATGCTAGTGGACTTGGTTCATTTTTTTTTTGGTTGGCTACATCGTGCGTACATGTATTATGTGTTAAATAAATGAGCATGACATCCAATAACATAGGGCTACAACATCGTGCTCGCCTTTCCTCGCCCCACAACACGACACTCACGTCAAGTGACTTTGGGAACTGAAACCTTATTTCTCGATGCACAAGTGTCACTATGAGTAATGCTCATGTGATGAAATGTATGTCACTCATGATAATCGTTAAGGATCACATGTGATTTGACATTGTAGGTATAATATTCCCACATTATACAAGTCGCCGGAGGAGAGGGCAAGGGTAGTTGTTAGGTATCTTCGAATCAAATTTTTTTTTTATCATAAGTGATTGAGGCAGATTAATAACTTAACATATTAAAACATAAATTAAATTTGAATTCTAGAAAGGTCGTACATAATTTAATGTGGATGTTGAGGCGTTTTGTTTGTTCGAAAACTGAGTTGATGAGAGTATAAACCTGATCGAGTCTAGCTAAACAACCAACCAAAGTTGGATGAGAAGGGTTTGAAAGAAAGTTCTACAATTACAAGGCTCAATATGTAATTGACATGAACATAAACCCTAGCAAACAAACCCACCTCACTACCAATAATTTTATAACTAACCTCCACCAAATGTATTATATTCATTTGAAAAATAGACCCATTAATAATTATTAAAAAAAACACCAATAATTACCTTTACCATCATTTGGTATATTTTTATATTTTAAATATTATTATTTAAATTTCCCCTCTCAAAAAAATTTGGTTGGGGGATCTCATGATTGGGTGCCAGCTTTATAAGCACCATCTCTTCTCTTCCCCACAGCACAACTCCACAAACATAAAGCCCGCACCTTTTTCCGGGAAAGAACCAAACCCAGTTGAGGAAACGGAGAGAAATCAGCAGAAAGCCCAAAAAAATGGGAAGAATCCCTCGCCAGATCAACAATGGAGGACAATCAAACTCTCCCTCCTTTAGGGTTTCCAGCGAAGCCCAGAAGATCAATCGGAGCTTTGCGGATGACGATTGTTCCGACTCTTTCTACCCTGAGACTCAGCAGATATGGGAGAAGCTCCAGAGATCAGGCGGCGACGGAAGGAGCAACATCGACCGGCGTTTGTCGAGGAGCAGGACGAAGAAGAAGAACCAGGTCCTGCTCGAAGGGTATGTCGATTTGAGCAGAACCAGCTGCAGTGGCGCCGCCGATGATGATTTGAAGAGGGCGAAGAGCTTGACGGACGACGATCTGGATGAGCTGAAAGGGTGTTTGGATCTTGGGTTCGGTGGATTTAGCTACGACGAGATCCCGGAGCTTTGCAATACGTTGCCGGCTCTCGAGCTTTGTTACTCCATGAGCCAGAAGTTTCTTGATGATACCAATCAGAAATCTTCTTTTCCTGCCGAGGGAATGGATTCGTCCTCTGATGGTTCTCCTGCTGATGGAGTTGCTGCTTCAGACCAGGCTGCGTCCAGCCCTATTGCTAATTGGAAGATCTCCAGTCCTGGTGAGTCTAATTTTTTATTTTGATTTTTGCTAGATTGCATTAGTTAGGGGTTGTATAGATCAAATTCTGGTTCTTTTATGCTTTTGAGTTATTGGGATGAGTTGGTTTTGGGCGATTGGTTAGAAAATTCTTTATCTTGTTGATGTCATGATGAGTTCTGTTGGTGGTATGGCCATGGCAGTACAGTTAGGATCATGATGCTTATGCGGGTTAACTGGGATTGCAGAATTTAAGTTCTTCTGATTTTGGTTCCGTAAATCTCACTGTTTTGCTCTCTTGACTTGTTCATCCGCAGGTGATCATCCGGAAGATGTGAAAGCAAGGTTAAAATATTGGGCTCAGGCTGTTGCTTGTACAGTCAAATTATGCAGCTGATGGGTTTCGCTCAAGGAAGTTGCTTGTATGCAATATGGGGAATGGAATCAGGGAATTAGGCTGTGGAAGGTGATCGATGACCTGTAAAGTCAGGAGCTTTTGCTCGTTTGATTCATTCCAGCTCAAGTTCTTGCAGGAAACTGGAGATCCTGCATTTTCTTCAGCTAATGTGGAGCAGCCAGGATGATATCTAATGATCTTGGGGTTCAGGAAGAAGAAGGCGGGAGAGGGAAGGGTATGTTTCAGGTTTTGGATTAACTCAACAACAGTGAAATGATTCTTGACTTGAACTCGGTGGAAGCTAAGATAGATTTCTATATATATTCTTACTATGACTATTGTACTCAGTACATTACTGGAGAATAATGAATAAATCTTTTTGATGGTTAATATGGTTTGATCGATTGATTCTCTACCAGTATCCAGTCTGAGCTGCTGCTTATTTATATGCAGTGGTAGACTTGCTACATTAGAGCCTCCCCCAACTACTTGCTCACTGACTCTCTATAACTCTGCCGAGGTAACTAGTCTAACTGGCACCATTCTATGATTTGGTTTCGATGATCCTAGATGGGCGATTGATGCAAATGTTTGCTCATCAATTCTAACATTACTTTAACTTTGTCGAGCGGCCATTGTGGCCAGAGTTTCTTGAGGAACAATGCTCACTCACTACTCCCTGATGGCTTGATCACAAGGATCAAAGATGGGAGAGTGGTTAACTTGGAAGTTAAACTCCTCTTTGTCTCATCAATTGTGAGATTGATTCTGCTGTTTCTAACATGATGACTGACATGCGTATCTGTCATATTGGATAGACCAACCATACAATTCAGATGGATGGATGACAGGGAAGAAGTCCTGCAACTGATATTCTCTTCACTATTTGTTTTGGGTTCAGTTATCGCAGATGGGTGAACCCTTCTAGTTTTTTTCTTGGCTCTCTTTGATTTCTAACATCTCTCTAAAGTTTCTAGCAGCATTAACGGACTAATTTTTACTCGGATAGATGTCTCTGTATCCATTTGGCTGGTAGAGCAGATGGATGGGTGGATGATGTGAAGGAAGTGCTGCAAGTCTGCAACTACATCCATCTTACCTCCCTGAGCTTTTCTTCCTCCACCACTCCTTGCAAGTTGTGGAATGTTTCCAAATCACATTGTGAATTACAATGTGGACAATTAGGATTCCAGAGTTCAAGTCTGTAGTGGTTCATCCAGTGCTTTGGAATCTACTAACTTACCGCCGTGGTTTCTTCTATCAGTCGAGGATACTTTGATAGCAATTTGAGCTGGTTGATGAAACTGGTAGATTCGTCAATGATTGAGTTCAGTTTTGTACAGAGAAGTAAGTCTGGTAGAAGTTAGGTGTTTGATATTGTCATATTGAATGATTGCAGACACCTGTTGTTTTCTTGGCGTTTGCTTGCTCGAGGAACATTAATGTTTCTTGGAACTCTTCTTCTTTGTTGCAAATGTCATGAGGAGCTCTTGTATGGATATTTATGATCTGTATACAAGTTTCAGACGAGCTCTGCAAATGGGGAAATCCAATTTGACTACTTCCAATGAAACGTGGTCCATGATTTGATATGGCTGAGTTGGAGTAGGGTTATCCTTATCTAGAAAGATAGATGCTCTGAAAATGACACTGGAAGTGTTCCTGACGTTAAGCAAATCTTTCTCACCACCACTTGCTATTTTTTCTTGTCCCTTATTGCAAGTTGGAAAATCGAATCAACTTATATAAGTAACATGATTGATTAGTTGATTTGGTGGTTGACTCGTACTTACTCAATATCTGCACATGAAAAATCGAGTTCCTTTTGTGTTTATTTATGGTTTTCATAAGAATTGTACTAATGTAATAAGATTTTTGTCGATGATGTCCAAACCAATCTCGAGGAATTGAGCTCTTTGAGCGGTCTTTTTTGAGATACACCACATTTTCAATCATTATCGTTCTATGTTAATATCAGCACTCATTCCACCAAACAAATTCATTGTGACATTCATCTCATCTATATGAATTATTAATTTATCAAATGATTTTAAAAGTTTTAAGTGTCGCATTCGAGTCTCCTCTTCGGCTGATTCTCCTAAATCTCTCATGTTCATATTTTAATGAATTTGAGTGGCTAGCTAGTCATATGCATTGGAGTTTTCCAGGTCAAATTCAATCTCCAGCACTAGTTGGGAAAGATTTTGGCAACAATCAGAATATACTTTCTGGCACGTAAAAGCAATAGATGCTTGTCTTAACATGACAACACATAACAGAATTAAACATATAAATTCAGATACAAAGGAATATCTTTGAAGCATCTATCTGTGTCATGACAGTTCAGTAATGAGCTGCCATTAGAAAGGCAGATTAAAAACCAGTGCCACCAGAACATTTTCCCCAAAGAAGGAAAAAGACAGCAAAAAGGAGAACATTGTTTGATTTATTAGGGCAATTCATGTTTAGGGGCATCATATTACACAACCACTGCCTTGCTGCTGGCTCTTAACTGGAGTAAGCAATGATTCGATCCACATCAGACTCGCGCGAATCGCAGCGAACAGAAACAGCAGTGACGAACGCGATTGGATCTATACCTAAACCAAATTGCATCTTGTTTAAGAAGATTCCAACAAGTTGGTTATATCTTTCTCAATCTTGAGAGGTGATGTGGTGGGAGAATAGCGCTCCACAACTTTGCCTTGTTTGTTCACCAAGAACTTGGTGAAGTTCCATTTGATGCCATCTCCCAGAAACCCTCCTTTCTCTGCTTTCAGGAACTTGTACAATGGTGCTGTGTTCTTCCCGTTCACATCAACCTGCACATAGACACACACAGTTCATTAACATTCAAGTCATGTTAAGTTCGAATGTTTGCGAACTAGCTTAGCTAGCATATTGATATACCTTATCAAAGACGGGGAACTCGGCTTTGAAAATGGTGCAGACAGTTTCCTGAATCTGCTCATTGCTCCCTGGTTCTTGTCCAGCAAACTGGTTGCATGGGAAGGCCAAGATCTCGAGCCCTGCCACATAAGAATTTCAGAGAGGTGACAGAATGTTTGATCTGCAACACTTAGTGACCAGCTGCTGGCACGAGCACTGAACCAGCCCAACCCACCATAATCTGGGCTGACACACAGTCTTGACCTGACTCGAATCGACTCATTTGCCACCTTTATAACTGGAGTGAGTGAGAGCTGGACAGACTTAACTTTTAAGCAGTAACTAACCTTGGTCTTTGTACTTCTGGTACAACACATTCAATTCCTTGTAGTTAGCTTGCGTCAAGCCACTGCAATCAAGTAAATGCACAGTCAAGACATGAACTACTGCTACTATAATCTACCATTGCAGAGTTCTGATGGTGGTAAGGAATACCATTTGGAAGCAACATTGACAATGAGAAGAACCTTCCCCTTATATTCACTAAGACTCACATCACTCCCTTTGATGTCCTGCAACAAAACCAATGCCCAAACACAGTAATTACAGAACAATCAGCACCTGCAATTCCCAGATCACAATCTTTCATCCTGACTTTGAGAGGAAGTTCAATAAAGGGTAATCTGATGAGCCTAATCAAGGATTGGAATTTTGATCCAATTTGAAGTTAAGACTAAACCAGTATTTACAAAATGGAAAACCCAGAAGGAAAAAGGGGAAAAGAGAGTACCTTGACTGTGAAGTCATAGATGGAGCTGGATGATGAAGAAGAAGAGTCTTCTTGTTGAGCAGCCATGTTTATCACAGTGGAGAAGGAAGGCAGATCAGATTGGTAGGTGTAGAAGAGGAAGACGGCAATAACAAGAAAACCCAGAGATACCCAGTTGCTCAAATTCATGATCCTCTTAAATAATCTAACATATGTAGTTTATATAAGAACATGGGAAAGCAAGAAAAAGGAAATCATTAATGCTGAACCTAACACAGAGAAAAATATGAAGCCGCCATTATTGGACTTCTCCTTTCTTTTTCGCTTTCGTTTTCACGAATTTAAAGAAAGAAAGGAACGGGAAAGGGCAGTTGGCAGGCGGATGAACCAAAGCTTCTTAGTTCTTACTTTCATACTTATCCTCTGTTTCACATGCCCAGGGGCGCTGACCTAAAATGGAAAAACTAGGAACGAAACAAAATAGTAAATATGAAGACAGATGTTATCAAATGACTCTGATAACTCTGGTTAGTAAGGTTAATCGATTATTTGAAGTGTCGAAGAATCAGTTCATCGAGAAATGTTGTGTTCGAATGTGTATAATTCTCTAAATCGATAATTGATACGAGTAGGAGGTGTATGTTATCATGGTTCATTGTACAATCAATTCGAAATTGGCATACAAATGAACTGAAATGAAAGACACATAAGGAGGCCAGAACTGGAGTAAAAACGTGTTCGATTCGATTTGATTCGATTCGGTTTCAGAGGAATTCAATGAAACCGAAACAAAAAATTCTAAATATTGAATAGAATTATGACGCAGTTCGATCAGATCCAATTCAAACGTTGGTTTGGTGTGAATCAAATTGTTGCCAATGCCTAAATTTAACTTACAACAACATATCTTCTTCTCTTGCTGCCTAACATCCAAACAAAACAAGAATCTAGGTCTACTACAGCAGGGCCTCACATTTTAAAGTTTTCTCAACCTGAACCTGAAACAGCAGCAGCTTCTTGCTGGCAATCCTCAGTTTCTTCACCAAAACTTGGTGGTTTGGGGGTCAAGCCAAGGAGCTTGAACATTTGTTGATCAGCATCGTAATCATTGTTAGGAGTCGTCAGCAGCTTCTCCCCAGTGAAGATCGAGTTTGCACCGGCCATAAAACAAAGCGTCTGCTCGGCCATCGAGAAACGCACTCTCCCAGCTGACAGCCTCACCATTGCTTTCGGCATCACTATACGTGCTGTCGCAATCATCCGCACCATTTCCCATATTTCCACAGGCTGCAGAAGGAACAAGAAAACAGATAAAAAGAAACCATTACAACACATTCGTCTGAGAGTACATGAATTGATGGTAGTTATCAGTCGGTTCACATTAAAGAACTGACCTTTTGGTCTTCCAGAGGTGTGCCTTTCACTGCAACAAGAGCATTAACAGGAACACTCTCTGGGTGCTTAGGAAGTGTTGCTAACGTATGCAACAGACCGACCCTGTCTTCCTCTGCTTCCCCCAGCCCGATTATGCCTCCTGTTAAAAATGGAAACAAAATAGTCACTCCACTTATCTATCTTTATTAGTCCTTAGATTTTAGAAAGAGAACAGGCACGACTTAAAAAAGGGTCACACTGCTTCGTGAAAGCACCAGTTGTGGACCGATTTCTTTTGGAAGTCTCAGTTCGGGAGCTGTAACAGTTACAGAGTATAACCTCTTCAGCATTGATAACATATATAGCAACTTGAGAAAATCAGCAGGTAGATGTCTATTGAACATCAGATAACATTAAAAAATGAAGCAAGTGAATGGACAATGAACTCAATTTGACATTTCTAGCTGCATACTCTAACAGCTTCATTTCACAAGGCAAGACACCTAGGATAAAAGATAATATACAAATTCAGCTTGCTATATCTAGTTCAATTGTCCTCAGAAATAACATATTCTAACTCAAAATAAAGAAAGAGCAACACAAAATCTCAGTCATACAAAATCATGAAGTGTTCATATTATTGTAACAAGTTCTTGAGTAGACAACACTGGCTACTCGCATTTTTATTACATATTTTTCTTTGAGGATTCGATAGATCACCTGAGCACACATGAATACCGGCTTCCTGGACATGTTCCAGGGTTTTAAGACGTTCATCATATGATCTTGTAGTGATAACATTGGAGTAATACTCTCTTGAGGTATCAAGATTGTGATTATAAGCTGTAAGGCCAGCCTTCTTGAGTTCTGCAGCCTGCTCCTTCTCTAGCATTCCCAAGGTGCAGCAAACCTCCATTCCCATTCCCCTTTCAATTGCAGACAGTTTTATACCACCTTAGATCACGTGATCCTATGCTATAACTAGCAGTGTTACTTTGCAGCTACATTGTTGACGAAATTATAATGTGATTGTGTACCTTATTTCTTTTACATAATCAAGTATCTGGTTGAAGTTGGTCTTCCTTCCTACTGTATCTCGCCAGGCTGCACCCATGCAAAAACGTGTGCTGCCAGCCTCTTTAGCCTGTCATAGCACAGCAGCAGTAATGAACTCAAATATTAAATAACCAAAGATGACTATTGAGTCACTTTTCTTGATGGAGAATATACCAAAGCACTATCCATAACACTCAAATTCTTCCAACATGTGCTGCTGTCAGTGCTGTGACTGGTGTATCACTACAGTATGAGTCACAAGATAGAGATATGCAAGAGCAGTTTGGCCATGGAACAAATACTACGATCAAGGGCCATGCAAACTTACTGACTAAACTAAAGCTCAAATATGACTCCTTTATCCTACCCGTTTTTTGAGATCGAAGGAACACTCTTTCAGTAAGATTAGGTCACACCTAAAAACTTCTCCACTAGTTCACATCAATTTCCCTCAGTTCTAACCAGACTCATCATCTCAGATATCGATTTCACCGTCGCAATGTCGATGCAAACATATGGTCGTTTACTCATTTTCACTCATGAAACTAGTACTGAGAAGCCACATTCATTGCCTAAGTATGGTCCCTTCAGGGATAGCCGATAAAATTGCCTAAGTATCACTAAACCACGAAAACCCACTTTAAAGAACTGACCAAAGCACCAAACTTGACAGGCAAAAAACAACCGAGTCCAGAGAAAAGTGAGAAAGATGTACCCTTTTTGCAGCCTCCACAACAGCATCTTTGTTCATGAGCTTCTGGGCTTTCAAACCAGTCTGGTAACGAGACGACTGAGGACAGTAAGAACAGTCCTCGCTACACCCACCGGTCTTAATCGAAAGCAGAGTACATTGCTGAACTTCCCTGAAGTTATGAGCATGTCTATGAACCTCAGCCTGTGCAAAAAAAGGAGAGATGAATCAGCTACGAAAACGAAACTGGGTTACTGAGCTAATTAGGTAAAAGTGAGCGGAACCCAGTTGAAGAGGAACTGACGCCATGGAAGAGGAGATCGAGTAGAGGGGATTGGTACACGTCAGTGATCTCCGGTCGGGTCCAATCGTTGCGTGGACCTTCTCTGACTGCTCGGCCAGCCTCAATTGCAGCGGCTGAAGAAGAAGAAGGGGAAGCAGCAGCGGAATGTAGGAAGCAGATTGAATGCCTGGAATGGCGGAGAGGCCGGAAGATGGATCGAACGGAAAGCATTGTCTAGCTTTTGGGCGATTGAATTCGTAGTGTTGGTTTGAGAAGTTCCTTCCCGTTTTACCTTCTTCGTTAGTATCGAAGAAATCGCTGTCAATGGCGCAAAGCCAAACTGTTAGAAGTTCCCACCTAATTCAGTTTGATCTTTCATTGTGATACCCGGCCGGTTCCGTCGGTTGAACCAGATAATAAACCGATACATTTCTCCGGAACGGGCCACTGCAACGAGAAGGCTGCCCAGGGCCCAGCCCACGTGCTGGCCTGTTATCCTGCTAATTGGATCAACACAAAATCGTCCGGGCCCATCGCCGCCGTTTAGGCCCATAATTAAATGAATACAATCTGGAGACGGCGGTTAACTGTAAAAGAAACACCGATTCTCCTCTTCACCTTCTCTCTTTCTCGCCCTTTCGCGTCTCCGATCGACGATGACGGCGGCCGCCCAGCACCACCACAACAACCAAGCGCCGTCCTCCTCCAAACCACCTCGCAGCTCAATTAACTCCACATCCACCGCCGGAGCTCCTTCACAGAGCCTCAATTCGAACAACCCTAGCTCCTCCGCCGCCGCCGCGGCGGAGACGGCGCCGATCGCTCTCCACGACAGGAACCACCCGTTCTCGCGCGCGACGCACCTCACCCGCCACGAATTGCTGAAGCGGAGGTCGCACCTACTGAAGCAGCTGTCGCGATGCTACCGCGACCACTACTGGGCGCTAATGGAGGAGCTCAAGGGGCAGTACCGGGAGTACTACTGGAAGTACGGGGTCAGCCCTTTTAAAGAGGAGCAGCAGCAGGTAGGGTTAGAGGATGGAGGGGAGGGAGATAGGGAGAGGGAAGGAGGTAATTTCAGCTCTGTGGAGGCGATGGATGAGAGCAATCATGGAGGCAATTTGCCGATTGTGGCGGCGGCGGCGGCTTGTGGTGGTAATAATAGCAATGGGAATTTGAGTAGCAAGGGGGAAATTGAGATGAAGAATTGTCTGAGCAGTAGGTGTAAGTCTCCCGGGTGTAGATTGAAGGCGATGGCTTTGACGGCCTATTGCCACCTTCATATACTTTGTGATACCAAGCAGAAGCTCTACAAGGCCTGCACGTTCGTCATCAAGAGGTTTGATTTTGCCTGAACTCGATGCTTCCTTTTCATTTTCAACTGCCTTCGTTGTTGCTTGTGTCTAAAGTAAGATTCTTGGTAGTTAGGAGTTTGATTGATCGATTTTCCCCTCCTGCATTTTCAACTTGCATTTGCTTGTACCATGGGGTTTGGTTTATCAGTTTTTTTTCCCCGTGAATGATTCGGCTCTGATTGTCTTTACTATTGCATTGAACTTGTATATTGGAAAGCATTGGAAGGAAAGATTGCTCTGTAGCCTTGGATGAACGTTTTGATAATGGAAGCTTACTGCTGGCTATTTTAAGTCAGGGCTATTTAATAATTGTAGCTTGGGACCGTTAGTGGTTCGGGAAGTTGTATTTTTATAGGTTTGCAGATCGAATTGCAGAAATCAAATTCGAAACTTTGTAGATAATGAGTTGCAGTGATGGGTTGTACTTAGCTGTGCGAGTATTTTGTTACTGAACTAAAATGTGATCCATGGCTGAAATGCAACTATTTTGTACTTTGCTGTGTAGAGAAGGATGAAACTTGTGTATAACTGAAATGCAAGTGTTTAAGATACTGAAACAGATGAAGATGGTTAAATCATTAATCTCTTCTTGTAGATTGTTTGCCAACCAGACATAGTTATCCAACCTTCTTTGAAATGTAGATAAGTAGGCATTTGTTTACTCGATCGGTTTTGCTTCTATAAGTGCTAAGAGTGAGAAATAGTGAGTGCATTGAATTTTCTAAAAGGGTAGATAGATGATAGCTTTAAGTAGACATTTCAGAGAAGGTTGGATAAATATGGCGGGGTTGCATCCCAGTAATTGTTTGCATTTGGCGTTGGGACGTGGTTGCTTTACTAAATGTAGACAGTAAATCTGAAATCTAGACTGAAAAGCTGTATGGTTCTCTATTACTGTGTCTGCATTCAGAGAAGGTTGCACTAACTGAAATGTGGACAGAAAAGTTGTAGAGTTCTCTGTTACAGTGTTTGCATATGACATTGATACTTGCTGCTTTACTAATGTTCTTCTTCCTGCAGCACGCTCCTATGGAAGATATTCTTTTCCCATTGTTATTAATTCTGTAGTTGGCATCTTGTGACAATTTGTGTACTGTTAATGTGAAACCATATCAAATTTAGAGACCACATAGATGATTGTGCACTAATAGGTATGTAATTGGTTACATCCTCAGTGCTCAAGCTGGACCAATTACCTGTGGGAAGCCTATACTGAGATCAACAGTTCCTGCGCTGTGTACCGTCCACTTCCAGAAGGCTCAGCAGCACATGACTCGTGCGTTGAAGAAAGCCGGCCTCAACGTTTCTTCATCAAGTAAACTCGCTCCCAAGTTCCACGTCATAGTCGCTGAATACGTACGCCAAATTCAAGCCAAAAGAAGGGCTGCAAAAAAGGCGAACCTCATCAAAGATGCTGTCCCCAGTAAGGAAGTTAAGACCGAAGTTGGCAGTTGCTCGGTGGTGAAATCCTAAAAGGAACATAAAACTCAGAACCCGCATGATCATGCATACACTAACAGGCCAGACAGTACTTGATCATCTCATTCCCGACATCTGCAAAATGGAGTGCGAGCAGAGTATGTCCTCAAATCCTTCCCAGTCTGTTGCAGGCCATCTTCATGGAAACCCTTGTTCTGTATCAGGAGACTTTGGTAGTCTATTGATCTTGGTTGTATCTTGCACTCGTAGAATAGAAGACTCTTTTTGTACAGAAACCTGAAACTTGAAAAGATCTCTTGAATATGGATATGGTGATAGTTGCCTCATTTACTGACATGCATTTATCTCAGTAAAACTATGAAACCCTTTGGCAAGGATAATCTGATTTCAGTTGTCAAGGAACTGTAAATTTCACCACATTGGATCCTCTCTGTCCCATTTCTCACTTGGAATGGCTCTCCCACCATATATTCTTCACAGCTAGCTAATCTTCACTTGAAAGTTGAGGCAAATGAAGATAAAGCATAGATTTAGGGCACTTGAAAGGGGGATATGATACGATCTATTATTTTATTATAAATTCAAAGCACAAAAGAGCCAATATTCTCAGACACAGTACACTGAAATTTCTCTTACTTGAACATTCTAGCTCCAGTTTCTATTCTCTGGGGTCTTCATATCCTCGATCATGTTAATTAACCAAAATAACTGATAATTAGTAACGAGAAAGATGCATTTAGTACCTAGCAAATTTGCTCTGATCGATTTTCATTCGGTGCGATTGTCAAGCTCTTTGAGTCAAGTATCTCGAGTTAGGATGGTTAATCCAAACATACCATTGTCATGGATGAGAATGTGTCGTGAACAATCGAGTATGTCGAGAGAGAAAACTAAGTATAAATCTTGAGACCAGAGTGTATGCTCGATCGATGAAGTAAATATCTCTCACGAGGAGAATTCACCATTTGATCGAGCAATTATTACGCATAAATGCACAAGCCTCCATCTCGTAGAAAGAAAGAAAATTGTTGGAAGCTCAAGTGAGATTTAACTAATCGAGAGAGACATCAATCTTACACATGTTTGATGTATATGAAGGTTTTGTCTTTCATTCACTCACTTTTTTAGGTGCATGTTATACTTCTGTCTCATAATGGCAATATGAGCAGGGAATTCAAATCAAAACGATATCGATAGTCACTTACGACATAATGGACAAAAAAACACATGAATTTGCACAAAATATATCAAAGATAATTACTTTGATTGACAGGATTTAGAGTTTAGGGATTTGGGGTTAGGGTTTACAATTTGAGATTTACTGTTAGAATTTCAAATTTTAAGGTTTAAGGCTTAGGATAATGCATTAATTAGTTGCGATCCTACGTTATATCATCATAGTAAACTAGTATTACCAATCAAAATCCAATATTCGATACCTTAAGGAAAATGTTAGAGTTCATTGCACAGTACACACTCATTTTTGTGAGTACACCGTAGCACCCAATTCAAATCCGTTATCATGTCAAGTTAAACCAATCATTATGCTGTAACCCTAATAGTAACTAGTAAAAATAGCTACTACAAGAAAAGATTGAACCCATCTACACACAACAGAGAATCTGATTCTCCCTCCAGAAGCTAAACCCTACATTATCTCTTTTAATTATTCTCAAAACACGTTATTTCACACATGCACTAACCTAATCAATTAATTAATTACTGATTAAATCTCTACCTAACGTCAGGCGCAACCCTACGTGTGCATGCAAAATCCAGCTCTATATAAAGCTGGCTGCCCATTCCCTGAGTTCATATCACCACACACAAAACCGCATACCATAATCAAAGTAATTATCATTGCTAATCCCATGGCAATGGTGATTAATCCTAAAAACCCTCGACTTAATCACGCTGTTCCTCTTCTGCTAGTTGTAGTTCTGCCGCAGCTGCTTCTTCTCGCCAGCTCACTGCTGGCTTATGATCTTAATCATGACGATCATCAGCTGGCCGGGAAACTGATGATGGCGTCGGCGCCGGCTCCTTCTGCCGTCCCCGACGACTACGACCCGTGCGCCGGCGACCCGCCCATCCCTTCCGGTCTCACCCCGAAACTGACTCGTAAAATGTTCCCTTCCCACTTCGTGTTCGGGACCGCCACGTCGTCGTATCAGGTGAAGTTTTTATCAATCTCATGCATGCATGGTTAATTACTTAATTATTATATCACGAATTCACAATCTCTTTTTTCTTGTTGGTCTGATTGATAATTAATTAGTTAATTAACTGTGATTTAACAGATCGAAGGTGCAGCGAATAAGAGCTGCCGTGGTCCGAGTATATGGGACAGGTTCACCCATAAGTTTCCAGGTCATCATCGTACATATTTATTTATTTTTCAGTACGAAAATCATGTTAATTCGAATATTTTACAACTTTTAATATATATAGTCAATATTGCTTATGTGTTCAAATACAATAATACAGATAGGATTGCGGACGGGACGACGGGAGATCAGGCGATTAATTCCTTTGAATTCTTCGAGGTATATATATATATATATATATATACGTATTTAACATTGGATGAAATTATATATGATGATCCAAGGATTTAATTAAATTTTGGCAGCAGGATGATATCAATAGAATGAAAGCCATGAACATGGAAGCTTACCGATTCTCCATCTCATGGTCAAGAGTCATCCCTCGTAAGTATAATATATACTACGATTCATCGATTGGTGCATTTTGCAAAATCGTACCAAAACACAAACCGATAGATAGTTTTAGCGATATCATGAAATGCGCGCTTTTTGATATTATAATATTTTGTTATTGGTTTTTGATGATTAATTTATAATAATTAAGATGGTAAGAGACGTCGAGGGCTGAGCACGGAAGGGCTCGAGTTCTACGACAAGGTCATCGACCGGACCATCGCCGCCGGCATGAAGCCCTACGTTACCATCTTCCACTGGGACACTCCCCAGGCGCTCGCCGACGAGTACGGCGGCTTCTTGAGCCGCAACATTGTGTGAGTAAACCGTAAACGTTAATTACTATAATCCACCTTTCTTAAACACCACAACTGATATTCTACCACTAATTTATATCTTTAGCGACGACTTTCGAGACTACGCCGACTTGTTGTTCGAGAGATACGGCGACAAGGTGGAGAAGTGGATCACTCTGAACGAGCCGTGGACCTACGTCGTAAAAGGGTTCGAGGAAGGCGTGTTCGCGCCGGGGCGATGCTCCGACTGGGTGAACCGAGCTTGCCAGGCCGGTGACTCGGCCGTCGAGCCGTACCGAGTCGCTCATCACCTCCTTCTGGCTCATGCCGAGGCCGTGAAGTTGTACCGTGAAAAGTATCAGGTAATTAATTAAGAAAAAGACATGCGCCGAAGTTTGGTTTCGATAATTTGAGTTGTCATAATTTAAACGTGTGATCATCACGAGCGAGCGAGTAGGAGGAGACAAAATCACGAGCGCGCAAGGTATCGCGTGTTTTTTTTTCATGCACGCCAATCGATTCGGTGACTCGAATTGTTGGGAGCTTGCTAGCTATATAACACGCACGACACTCAAAACGGAAGCCAACTCATCGACTTATATATTGTTTTACATATATGTCTAAATAGTACCATATGCTTAGTACTAGGAATCGTTTGAAATTTGAGCACAAGACATCTCAGTCGTCATCGAAAGTTCTTATACTGTATCAAAAACCGATTTTCCCTAATAACTAGGTGGTATAAATAGGTGGTATGATTTACTTAAGATTGAGAGTCGTCATGACCGAATATGGCTCTTAATACATGACCTAATACTATGTGCTCAATCTTGAGCATCGCCGTGATTCGAATACAAGATCACTCGATCATCATCGAATACTTTGATACTATATAAAAAAACGAACCGATCACAATAATTTGAATTATTGGAAGAACATTAGATTATGAATTTGATATGATGATTTGCTAAAACGGTTATCTCTGCTAAATTTTTTCCCAGTTTAAGGCAGGACGCAAACTCGGAGAGATCGGAATAACACTTGTAACGTTCTGGTTCAAGCCTTACTCTGATTCCCAAGCAGACAATGATGCAGCTGAAAGAGCCATGGACTTCATGTTTGGTTGGTGAGTAGTATACTAATTATAGCTTGATTAATATACACACTAATCACATTGTTCATATGATGATTAACTAGTCTCATTCTCTCTAACCATGCATTTTTTGCTCATGATTAACTCATTAATGATGGTTTTAATTACTATATAGGTTTATGAACCCTGTCACGTATGGTCACTATCCAAGGACGATGAAGGACTTGCTAGGGCAAAGACTGCCCGAGATCCTGGTCCACGAGGCCGATATGCTCAGAAACTCGTATGATTTCCTCGGCCTCAATTACTACACCACTTACTACGCCAAGGATAACCCTAATCTCAACCTTCTTAAGCTCAGATACGCGACCGATTCTCGTGTCATCCAGACTCGTACGTATCGATCTATGCATGCATGCGATTTCGATTGATTAATCTCTTCCCTTCTTGCATTAGGGTACGTATTACTACATATTTGGTATTACGACGGTGACTTAATGTTGATTAATCTCTTCTAACTTTTGTTTATTAGCTATCAAAGATGGGAAACCGATTGGCGAAAAGGTATTTAATCCTCGAATTTTGATTCTTAATTAAGATTAGTTATCAAGACATTAATTAACCACGATTAATGATCAAATAATGCTTGCAAGGCTTCATCTTGGTTGTACATCTATCCTGAGGGGATCAGGAAACTCCTGAATTACACCAAGCGCACGTACGGGAGTCCAGTTATCTACATCACTGAGAATGGTATGTATGTACTTATATACGTAGATTCCTTCGTATAAAATACGGTATGACATACGTACATATATGATGTTGTGTACACCATCAACGTATGTAGGGGTTTCTGAAGAAGACGACCCAACGACATCGATAGTAGAGGCGACCAACGACAAGCGAAGGATAAAATACTACCACAAGCATCTCCACAATGTCCTGGAGGCCAACAAGTAAGTTATAGTTTGGAGATTATAAAGGATTTCGAAAGTGGTACGAGATTTCATACAGTGATATCGAAATTTGATTTGATCGATCGTGTTCAAGTTCTCATCACAAGTTATGTTGCAGGACGGATAAGGTGGACGTGAGAGGATACTTCGCGTGGTCGTATGCTGACAACTTCGAGTGGGCCGACGGGTACACTAGTCGGTTCGGTCTCTACTACATCGACTTTCAGGATCCCAAGTTTTCCCGGATCCCGAAGAGCTCGGCTTGCTGGTTCAAGCGATTCCTCCAGACCCCTTCGCCACATGCCTCACAGGATAACGATGATCAAGAGCTCATCCTTCTGCCGGTCTCTGGAATCGTGAATCGCGCTCTTCCTCGTGCTCTCCGTTTTTCGTACTAATGACCCAAGACTTGAATGTGGATCATCGTGTGCGAGGAGGACGATGATGACCTCCTGCTGAAATAAAAGTAAACCCCGAACATTATAATCGGGAGCATGGATAAAATGTAATAACGTATGGATATGTCTATGGTTTCTCGACTATGGTCTATGGCATGCTAAATCTACACCGGCGGGGACAAGGTGCAACATTCCAGCCGGTAGATATATGTACTAAATAATGTGATGTTACGGTGTAATGGATTAATGGTTGTGATTTCGGTTGAAATGTTAAGTATTCTAAGTTCAGGACCTAATTTGATATTGAATAAAAGTTAGATGCTTTGAGTGAAGTTTTGGTAATTATTACGGATTAAGTCATCCAAGACGGCCAATATTAACGGCGCGAATGCCACAGAATTGAACGGAACTGATTCGATGAGCAGAATCGTCGGCGGCGGCGGTGGCGGCAATGTCAACTCGGTTTTCTACGCCGAATCCTACCACCCGATTCAAGCGGGAAGCATCGACGGCACCGATGTCGTCCCTCACGATAACGCAGTTTATCGCGCCCAACTCTGCTCTTCCGCCGGCCTCTGTAACTATTTCTCGCTTTTACCTCCTTTTCATTTCTCGCCCTCTCTAAAATTTCCACTGGTTCATGGTTTGCCGGCTTGCAGATGAGCCTTCCGGCGACCCCAAGGTAATCGGCGACCCTTACTGCACAATCTTCGTTGGTCGCCTCTCTCATTTCACAGACGATCAGTCGCTTCGCAAGGTAAAGTTGAAAGTGACGAATTGGGAAAATTTCTTCCTGTGCATTCATTCAGTCCAAAACCCTATTTTTCGCTTTTACTGCAGAGCTCGCTGATATTACTGAATAAATGCAATTAGTTTTCTGACTGTAACGTTGGTGTTGTTATGACTAGGCAATGAGCAAGTATGGCCATGTGAAGAATTTGCGGATAGTGAGGGACATAGGTAAGGTTTGATACAATATAGGTGTAATTTGAACTGTAGAAACTCAGGAAATTTTGGGTTTATTATCGTTCCATGCCCGGTCTAGTGGTGATATGATGCTGAATTAGTTGATCAATTGAGCTATCTGAAGTAGGTTTGATTGGGTATAAAGCTTTGTTGCAGTAGGAAGAGCTGTAATTGCTCATGACAAGTTAATGTACAACTCATTAGTGCTAGCTGTAGGTGGTCATTTAGATGAATATTTCTCTTTTGGTTATTGTCTACTTGTCTCTTGTTTGATAGCATGAGAGGTTGAACAAGTTATAACTTGTGGTTTCTTCTTGCTTGTATACCTTATACCCATTGTCTCTGCAAAATTTGTTTGACTGTTCGATTTTCTGCAGTAACTGGTGCCTCACGTGGCTATGCTTTTGTCGAATTCGAAACTGAAAGGGAGATGTATCGTGCATACAAGGTGGAGACTCTCGTGCCGGATTTATCTCACCTATCTAAATGTTGTTCACTTATGATTCATGAGTTAGGTCTCTTGGTAAAGTAACAATCTTTTATATTGCATATGTTTAATGCGTCATGGTGCCTCAATGTGGCTTTAGGCAAAGGGGAAGAGATTGTTTAATTAATGCTTTCAAACACTTGAAACAACTGTGATGAGTGACTGAGCATTATGGATTAAGGTCATTGTCTTTTGACATAGAACCCTTAGAATTCTTTCAGCATTTGATTGTTGTATTTTCTGCTTTGTAGGATGCTCACCGCTCCTATGTTGATGACTCGGAAATTTTAGTTGATTACAACAGGCAGCAGCTGATGCCAGGGTGGATTCCAAGAAGGTTAGGTTAGTCATCTCTTCTAATTCTGGAACTCTTTTGCAAACTGAACAGCCATTCTAACTTTTATTTATGAATATCATAGAAATTTTGTTTACATTTTGTTGTTGTGTTTCTTAAACAGGAGGAGGCCTTGGTGGCAAGAAAGAGTCTGGACAGCTTCGTTTTGGTGGACGAGACAGACCATTTCGTGCTCCTCTGTATGCTCATTTGTTAAATAGCTTTTCAATTTTAGTGGCTTCTGCCTGATACTGTAACTGAAGTTGCTGCCGTTGACTTCTTTGGTTGTGAGCAGGCGACCAATTCCATACGACGAGTTGAAGAGGCTTGGTATTCCTCCACCACCTGAAGGGAAATACATGTCACAGTTCGAGGTACTTTTCTTTTCTTTCTCTTCTTTAAAAAAATTGCTAGTCTTTTAGTCTATCCTTCAAATGTCATTGCGACATATTTTCCCTTCTCCTTAGTGTAATAGTTCAAATGCTAGAAAAGGAATCCACAGTAGCTGCTGCCATTGATGATCTTCTGAGGATTGATTCGAGCGAAATCATTAACCCTGATATTTTAATGACTCCTGAATATTACTGAATGAGTAGTGGGGATTAAATACCCACAACAGAAAGTAGTGTTACATATTAACATTCTAGAGATGATATACTCATGTGATGATATCAACACATACTAACAAAATAATATACACAAGATAACTGACTAGCAATTATCCTTACACCTGATTCGCCACAAGTTTGCTGTTAGATTTCTCATTCGATCGATCTCCATTTGTCTTTGTCGTCAAACAAATTGGTTAGCTTTTGCAATGTCTGATGGTGAATGCCAATGCAGGTTCCATCGCCCCCAAGAAGGAGCCGGAGTTCTAGAGACAGGGAAGAAAGACAGCATCATAAGAAGAGCTCCATTGATGAAAAAGAACGTAGCCATAGAAGTCGCAGCAAGTCAGAGAGTGAAGAAGGCTACAAGAGGAGCTCTGTGGCTTCTTCCAAACATCACTCTGGGCGCAAGGAAGAGCACTACCATGACAGAAGTAGACATAGAGATAGGGATGAGGAGTACCATGGAAGGTCTATAGACATCGAGGAGAGATGGAGGCCGAGTGATACAGGAGAAGAAGAGGGGTCATATCGGCGAAGGAAGCATGAGAGGAGGTCTGAAAGGCACAAGAGGAAGAGGTCTAGTAGTCAGGATTATGGTTCTGATCGGTGAGGTTTTTGTGTGGTTGGTGAAGTGCCAACTTCTGTGTATAGACTCATTGTAGGTGGTAGCTGTGAAGTTACATTTTGGGTAACAGGGGCACTCACGAGAAAAACACTTAACTTTTTTTTATTAGATGTTTGTGTCAAGATTTGAACACATAAACTGTCAAAATATGTAATAACCCTTCTTTCAAAAAACGGAAGATGTAGAAAAGGAAACTACCTGCGCTCAGGTAGGTAACCGTTAAAAGAAACCGCTCGAAATACAAACTTTTGTTTCATAGCGAAATTGTTCACAGTCCCACTCAATCATGGCGTTCAGAATTCAGTTGCTCTCACCCATTTCCCTGCTCTTCGCCTTCATCTTCCAAGTTCCACATCCCGTCAACTCATCAGGTAAGTGGCCAATCTGCATTACCAAAGTGAAAAGAAGAAAAATGGCGCCTTTCAGTTTTTTGTTTACCTCTTCTTCTGTTCGGGTTTTGCAGATGAACTGCCCAAATTTGTCTTCAGTTGGATGGACAACGACAACAACAACCAATTCCTAGCCGGGGATTTAGCGACCATCAGGATAAAAGTGCTCGGAGAATTCTCCGGCGGTTTCAGCCCTGTTCTCACTGTCAATGATAAGGCCGGGAATAGCTGTTACATCTCAGGAATTCTGGTGGATACTGCAAGCAATGACACGAATTCTTGGAGGATTTCGTTCACTCCCATCTTGGCGGGATCGTTTAACATCGTTATTGTCGATGCCCCTTTGAAAGTCTTCGATTCGTCTCTCCATTATCAAGTTGCGCCAGGTGTTTGATTATATTCCTCTGAGATACTGAACCTGTTTCTTTTTTAGTTTTCTGTTTGTGGTAAAGTTGCTCTGAATTTTATTTGGTTGTTTCCTTGAAAGGGAAAATATATCCTTCTGTTTGCATTGCGACATGGATGGATTCAATAAGTGAATTCACTGCTGGGAGTAAAGCTGTGGTCTTTATAGTTCCTAGGGATGCATTTGGGAACAATGTTACTCAAACTGGTGAGGATTTGAATCCTTACAATTTCACAGTCTCTGTGCTTTATGTGAACGGTTCTGTTGCAACCGTGCCTAACATCACGAGCACTGGTTGGAATGAGTTCGGTTTCATCTTTGTTGAGTTTCTTGCTACAAAAGCTGGGACGTTTTTGTTGGATGTGCAAGGGGGGAATCAGACCTTGAATGGTTGCTCACTGTCATTGAAGGTGAATCCAGGTGATGCACATTTCCTTATGTGTAGTGCTTATTGGCTGTCTATTTCTGTGGTTAAATTTATACTGCTGATGTTGAGTAGTCATTCTTATTGTGGGGAACTTTGCGATGGTGTTCTCTAGGACCTCTAGATGTTTCGAATTGCCAGGCCAGGTGGAAGATTGAAACAAATGTGTGGCAGATATACTCTAAAATGGAGATTTTCATTCACCAGAGAGATCAATACGGAAACCTTGTCCCTGGATTGTATGAATTTGATGCTGATATTGTTGAGAAAGGGACCCGTATGTTAGTACCTGTTGCGGATTTGCGCTTTGAAGAAATGCTGCCTGGAATTCAGCTGTTGTCTTTTGGGTTATTTGAGCCAGGAAGTTTCTTGCTCACAGTATCTGATTTCAATCATAGCACAAATATCTCTGGAATGCCATTTGACTACATGGTCTTTATAGGTATTTCATAAAGTTACCAACTTATAATCATGGCCATTCTGCTTTCTGATTTAATAGTATCAGCCTATTCTAGTCATTGTTTTATGATTCCTTTCTCAAACATTTACCCTCATGTTTGGGATTTGAGTAGGTTACTGTGATGGATCAGCAAGCATTGTCAACGGAACTGGTTTGAATGATTCTGTTGCCGGTCAAGCTGCAAAATTTTCACTCTTTCTGATCGATGCCTTTCAATATCCAGCTTTTGTTGAAATAGAAAGCATAAGAGTGCAAATTGTGAGGGCAAATGATTCCTACTATGTCCAACCCAGCATCTTTCCAGTTTTTAATGGTTGGTCTGTGATGTTTGTGTTGAAGTGCCTTACTTTATATGCCATACTGGCCAAAGTTCTTACCGTGTATGCTCCTTTGGCATAGGAAACAGATCAACTGAAAGAACGAAATTTGGTTCCATCGGTCAAGTGGAAAGTTCCCCTGCCTATTCTGCTGATTTGAGCCACTTGGTAAGTCTGCTGCCCACCTAATATATACAAATTGAATGTGTATTAAACTTTTTGATGGTTAACTGTTTTAAGTACTTATGTATAATCCCCCCTTCCATGTTGATTCAGTATGCTGGACACAGTAATGTCCTTGCCAGTGGGTTCGATGTGGTTTATACCCCTGAAAGGAGCGGGACTTACGCAATCTTTGTATTCTGTGGTAATGTTCTACTGAATGGCGGCCACTCGTTCATAAAGGAAGTTAGACCAGGTAGTTTTATATAAATACATGTATAGTAGCGAATTCCCTTAAACTTCGCCTAAAATTTAATGCCATTTCCTAGGAGAATTGGTCGAAAATTATTGTCTGTGTTGATGTATTATACCTCACCGCTAAAAAGTCATCTTCATTGTATCACAGGAGGTGTTAATTTATCACTCTCTGGAGTAGTCAAATTTTACCCGAAGGTGGCGAAGCTCATTCAGAACGACATAGAGGTGCAATTGATGGACTCATTTTCTAATCCGGTGCCACTTCTACAGTCAAGGCTGAAGTTGGAGAGTGCTTCTGTTAACAGCTCTGGATTCTCAGCTGGGATGTTCAAGGATAAAGATAATGGCTCTTATACTTGTGGCTATCTGCTTAAAAATGTTGGAACTTATGAGTTCTGTGTTTCATTCGATGGACAACGTTTTTCAACCTGCCCCATCAAGGTCAATGCATATGGTGGTAAGTTAGTTAGGACATTATATCATAAGCTTGGAAGACATACGACTATCTTGAGTTTTACTCTGTGATTCTCAGTCTGTAACGTATACGTGCATTAGCCTTGTCAGTAATTGGTTCTGAGGCTGATACCTTTTCTATCACGTACTCCCCAATCTTTCTGTGGTATTGTTGATTTAGTAACTGAACCTATATATTTAAGGTATGCCTTTGTTGGTTGTCTTATATCCATTTCATTTCTTTTTACTTCAGGTGATTTTTTTCCAAAAGCTTATGACGACTATGTTGCAGTGTCCGAGGATGAGTCTATTGCCTTTGATGTATTAGGAAATGACTTCTTTGCTGGAAGTAATGCAAGCATAACTCAGTTCTCAAACGTAGGGCCCAAAGTTCAATACTTGATCTTTATCTCTTCCTAATTTCATGTAGACTGAATTTGTACTGATTTCCTTTATAATTCTTAGAAAAGTTCTGATCATACAAAGGGCTTCATCAAAGTACTCTACTTTGTTAGCCAGGTCGTGGTTCACTTCTGCTGAATGGACATGTCTTTCGATACACTCCCTACAAAGACTACTATGGAGATGATTCTTTTGTCTACACCATGTCCGATGTGAACGGAAACTTCGCTACTGCTGCTGTGAACATTTCAGTTCTTAGCATCCCTCCTCGGTTTACTTCATCTCCAAGCGAAGTCCATGCAACTGAAGACACGATAAGTCCCCAGTTTGGGTAAGGAAAATCTTGTTTGGTCATCAGTCCTTCATGTCATATTTAAAGTAGTTCATTGCAGCTAACTTTTTTTTCTGTCATTTTTCCTTTTGGGATCTTTCAGGGGTTTCCCTGGGTTTGAGGTAAGATATTCAGAATTGGCCGAGGATATCACAGTCACTCTTGGGGCACGGTCTGGCACTGTGCTTTTGTCTCCTGTGTTAATGCAATTTTTCCAGCCCATTTCTGGACAACTGGCTGTCGAGAAAGGGGAAGGAGGAAATATTTTGATCTTGAAGGGCCGTGTCGATGTAATCAATTTAGCGCTTCAATCTGTTCAGTATGTCGGGTACCAACTACTAGACCAAATATTTGCTCCTCAACTTTGTTCAGGATTCTGTGACTCACTTCTTTTCCTGCTGTTTTAAATCAGAAATGAGAACTTCAATGGGAATGACTCTCTTCGAGTTTCAGCTGGCAACACTAATGGGCAAACGAATTTGGATATCCCAGTCTTAGTAGAACCCATTAATGATCCTCCATTCATTAATGTCCCTAGGTATCTCATCTTAAAGGGTAATGGAGACAGGTCCCTGATCTTTGATAAGAATAGAGACGACTTTGAGTTCTCCATTGGAGATCCTGATCTTGCCTACTATCCTGGTATGTCTTGGTATATGGATATCCAGGCTGCACAAATCAGCTCCTTAAACTTTATTTTTTTTTGCCTTTGAATTATGTTGCAGGTAGTGAGTCGCAGTTTATATTTGCATTTTCTGTGGAAGTTGACGTTGGATATCTAGAAACTAGTCTGCCAGCTCAGCTCAGCCTTACTACTGAATTGAAGCTACATAGTAGTCATATGTGGCAGCCTCTTCAGACATATGTAACTATCTCAAGACACTTTCTTGTCAGAGCCAGTGGAGTAAGATTCCGAGGAACAGTGAATGATTGCAACAACGTCCTACAACAACTGTCTTATAATGTCTGTAAGCCCAATTGTCTAAAGAGAACAGTATTTCTTCTTTTTAGTGTTGACTCTAATCAAAACAGACCATCTTCCGATTCGCAGGGTGGAGAGCAAGTTGCTCTCTTGACGGTGAAAGTAAACGATATGGGACACTATGGCTGTTCTTCTGCAGACTGTGTTGAAAGGATTTCAGTGCCCATGTTTGCTGAGGCTACTGTTAGTCTTGTCCAGGGAAGACCAATGGGCTTATTGGCAACACACAGTATGTGAATCTTGTTATATTCATACACACTTCTTAAACTTCAAGCAATTTGAATATATATATTTTTTTTCCGTTGGCTGTATCATTCTTGTGAAGTCTTGAATATTCTGATTACAGGCATAGGAATAGCCGTTATTGTCGAATTTATCATCATGTGTACCCTTGGGGCAATCCTATTGTTCTTCACATGCAAATGTGCATTCCTTCTTGTGCATGACAGAAGAAATCCTAAAGCCTGGAACTTTAAGGCATCAACAGCTCAAAACTTCGAGGCTAAAACTGTAAGTATTCCTTTAGTACCTTCCCTGTCTCCTCACAGGCCTAGGATGAGACAAATTGCAACTGAATCTTTTTCTTCTATTCCATAATTAAACCTATTCTGTCCAGTTTCACAACATCCTACCACAAGAAGTGACGAGATTTGTTGTATACAATACTAAGAACTTCTGATGGGCTGTGTTCAAATTTCCAAATTGCAGCAAAATGCCGATCCTTCTGGGGACAGAACAAACAGCAATTTATGTTGTTCCACCCCCTTCTTGCATTGTGGCCAACCTTCTAACTTCAGGAAACGGTATTATATCCTGTGAGAAGTTGAGAAATGAATATATTAAGCTTGTTTGATCTTCACTTGTCACCTTATCACTAATATTCTTGTCAAATGAATTCACAGGGCTCGTCTTAACTATGAACTTGAAGAACCTGGGAAACATGAAGTCTGTAACCATCAACCTTCTAGCGTGCTCATTCAACAATATTCTGTTCCTAGCTTTGCGCCACTTTCTATTGAGAAGGGAAAATGTTAAAAGGAATATTTAGGTGTATTTGTGAGAAATGTTAGAATTTGTGGAAAAGATACACATTGAAATCATTGATCTCATAACTCTCACTCATGCTGTGTCATTCACGCCATTTCAAGGAACTAATAAAGCAAAAATATAGAATTGATACCATACCATCTTCTTCCTTTTGTTTAGAAGTTATTTTATGTTTCTCTGGTATCAGGGTGATCCTATGTACATCAGCCCAGGTGAATTGCATTATTAGTATTCATCACTTTGACTCATTGATGACTGTGTATAATACTCTGACGATGCAAATGATGACGACGATGCTTCGTCTTTCTTTGTTACAGTGTCTCCAGCATACAGAACCGGCCTTGGAGGAAGTTCCAAGCTTTCCAACTCCCCTTCGAGCATCTCCACCACTTTGTTCATTGGAGGACGGTTTACTGGGTTCGTTTGAATGCACCACAACCCCACTATCACCATCTTCCTCGCAACCACATTCTCCTCCTCCGTAGAATGTTCATCCACAACATGATCCTCAGTAGGCGAGTTTGACAACAACACCTCGTCGTGAACCCAAAAGGGGAAGTAAACCTGGGTAGAATGATCCGTCACTGCAGTGTTATCCCTCTTTCCTGCCATTTCCAACAGCAGCATCCCAAAGCTATAGACATCTGCTTTGTAAGAGACACCCCCAATGTTCTTGTAGAACAGCTCTGGTGCCATGTACCCTATGGTCCCACGTATGGCAGTCAGAGTTGCCACCCTGTCACCAGCTGGATAAAGCTTCGCCAGCCCAAAATCTGATACCTTGGGGCTGAAGTTGTCATCCAGAAGGATGTTGTGTGGCTTGATGTCGAAATGCAAAATCTGCATATCACATCCAGAGTGTAAATACTCGATGCCACGTGCCACCCCGAGAGAGATCCGGTACATTTGCTCCAAGCTCAGAGTTTCGTAACCTTGCTTATGGAACACGTACTTGTCGAGGGAGCCATTGGGCATGAACTCATAGACCAGAGCACGCTTCGATCCTTCGGAGCAGAAACCAATCAGTCGAACGACGTTGGCATGGTGAATCCTGCCAATGGTGGCAACTTCACTCATGAAGTCTTGACCTCCTCCTCCAGCTGCTGACTTGCCAAGCATCTTCACAGCTGCAAACCCGCCACTGCGAAGCTTTCCTTTGTACACGGCACCAAAACCACCTTCGCCTAGCTTGTCCTTGAAGCCACGAGTGATCTTCTTGATGTCAGAGTAAGAGTAACGAACTGGGGTCATCAGGTTGTTCTGGTTCTGGAGGAACTCTTCGATCTTGTCGTATGCCGAGATATGTCTCCTTCGCCATCTGTAGACGAGGAATGCTATCACGAGCGGGGTTCCCAGTGGCACCATTGCCACGTGAGCTAGAGCCACTGTGTAGAGGTAATGAAGTTTCTGTTACTACTTTTGGAGCTGAAGTGTAACTGAAAAAGAAAGTTCTGAGATGAATGTGGAGTTTACCAAGGCTATATAGGAGTCTTCCAAGTATTGCTGCAATGCAAAAGAAAGAGGCATGAATGTTGAGAACCCACAAAATTAGAGGATTCTTGACTAGAGAGATAGATTGTGGAGCAGAATCCATCGTCCAATCCACAAGTGTAGTTCAATGGCCACCTATGTTACTAGCTGCTATTACTATTCATCCAGAAACAAATACTCAACAGGGTTAGGAAGAGAGATCTCTCACTTGTAATCAATATGATTTGGTCCCATAGCCCTACGCCAAACAGAGAAACCATAAACATCATCAGTTGTTGAAAGCAAAACATGATAATTTGCAGAAACAAGATCAGAAAGCAGCATATGGTGATGTAGATGATGTATACAGGCACAGCCATTACCAGAGCAGAGAACTTTATTGTCCTTATCAAGGTAGCAACTATTGACCCCTAAGCAGCCAGCGCACTTGTACAGATGCCACGAGAGTTCGAACCCATATTCGAGCTGTCGGTGAACTTCTTGAAACCCGACCTGGTCGTAAGAACCGTCCTTCTTCTTCGCCAACATCGCCATCATATCAACCCTGCACATCTTCCCCAAGCTGAGAGCATCCATTGTACCACCAAAAACTGCATAACCCGAAGAATTGTTCACTCCACTGATGCATGGAGCTGTTTCCACCAATCCTGCAGAACTGCTGAGAGTACCCTGGCAGCTGAACAGAGTCATCACTTCATTCAAGTGCTCTTCCCTCTTGGACAAGAACCTCTGTCTGTCCCTTGTTGCTATGTATGGATCGAGGAAGTAGAAGCTGTTTTCCGACAGAGGGCTGGTGGGCAAGGAAGAGCATTGGCCATCGACTATACCGTCGTTGACCAACCTGATTGTTAAGTTCTTGTAGTTTATTGCTTTAACGTAGTATCTTGCTGACTCGATGTAAAGCACCGCTGTGTTGCTCTCACATGAGAGGTTGTATTTTTGGTTTCCGCAGCTTTGTGGATCAGTTGTCAGGCGAAAAGGGTCCTTGATTTCAGGGATTTCGCCGCAGGAGGAAGGACTGCAGGTTCCTCCATCTGCAGTAGCTGCCTGGCAAGTTTGGGCAAGTAGCAGCAGCAAGAGAAATGCTGAGTAGGGGATCAACCCATCTGGGAAATGGAAGGGAAGCCTTGCACTGACCATGGCTGAGGTTCAAGCAAGCATATCTGCTCTCTGCATATTGAGGATCCCCTTGCAGATTTGATTGTCAACTATTCAACGGAGTATGAAGAGAGAAAACTAGTGGAGTCTACAATTACCACGTTTCTGAATAGTCAAACTCAAACCTCGGCCAACCATGATTGGGTAAAGAGTGGAAAGTGGGAATTAATAATTGATAGTCAGAAGAATCGACATTCGACAGGAAGGAAGGAAGCAACTTGCCAATTGAAAAGTCAAAAGAATGGATGTAAAGGTTTCCCCCATGCTACTTATCCAGCTGAAAGCAACTTGCCAATGATGGAGGGCTTTACATTTTTTAAACATTACCAGCTCAACCCTTTTCAGAAACAGTGCAGCAGCTTCCAACCGTAGATTCAACTCATTCAAAAGCAGAGATCTTTTGAAATCCCCAAGCGTCTCAGAACCCAGCCATCAGTCCAAAAATGAAGAGCTGGTTATGGTGCTTCATTTTACTATTGGCTAATCATGGAGCACAAAGTGTCAACTTTTCCTGCAGAACGACAACAAGCTGCGGTGGAAACAGTAGTGACATCAGGTTCCCATTCACTATCAGAGGTAGGTCATCTGGGTACCAGGGATTCCCAGGGTTCGATCTGTCTTGCGCTGGAAGAAACCAAACCTTGCTTCACCTTCCGAATTCGGTGAACCTCACACTTCTCAGCATCGACTATGAATCTCAGCTTGTTCATGTTAAGAGCCCAGATGAATGCATGCCCAGACAACTCCGTGACCTCGATTTCGCTTCCTCGCCATTAAAATTGGAAGGGAGTTTACCCACTTACACTTTGTTCAATTGCCCCAAGCTCAGTCACATCACTTCGTCTCTGTCATGGGTGACTTGCTTGGGCAGCACGGTGTTTGCCCTCGCTTCTGGGTCTCCTCTGAATGATGTGAACTTGGTGTCGTGTACGAAGATGTACGATCTCCAATTACCAGCCCTGTCTAACGAAGATCAGAGTCTTAGGTTGAGCTGGTCGAACCCACGCTGCAGCAGATGTTATAAGTCAAAGGAGGAATGTTGTGTACTGAAGCAGGGGCCGAACCCTGACCCTGAAGTTGAGTGCTCTGGTGATGCTACTCGCAAGAGAGGTATGTCATTTGACTATTGAGCATGTGGTTCTCAGTCCTCTCTAGTTTCAATTTGGGTCAGTACGCCTGGAATAATCTCGATGTCATCAAGATGACTCATTCCATTAATTTCCCTCTTCCGTTTTTTACAGTGTCGCCTTTGAGGAAGGGATTGATTGCTGGAGCGGTTCTCGGTTCAGTTTTCATTGTGGTAGTGCTCTTTGTGCTCTACCGTGCATACAGGTACGATAGGAGGGAAAAGGAGTACCGACATAAGATCGAGAAGTTCTTGGATGATTACAATGCTCTCAAGCCAACACGATTCTCTTATGCTGATATCAAGAGGATCACAAGCAAGTTCGGAGTTGAACTGGGTCGAGGAGCTTATGGAACAGTGTTCAAAGGCAAGCTGTCAAGTGAAATCCAAGTTGCTGTCAAAGTCCTGACCAGTAGCTCCATAGAAAATGGGGAAGACTTTGTTAATGAAGTGGGAACAATGGCAAGAATCCACCATGTTAATGTGGTTAGACTGATTGGCTTCTGTGCAGATGGGTTTAGAAGAGCACTAGTCTATGAGTACTTACCAAATGATTCACTGCAGAAATACATCTCAGATGGAAAAAACCAAAACTCCAGTTTGGGTTGGAAGACGCTCCAAGATATCTCTCTGGGAATAGCCAAAGGAATCGAGTACCTTCACCAGGGATGCGAGCAAAGAATCTTGCACTTCGACATAAAGCCTCACAATGTTCTCCTCGACCAGAACTTCAACCCGAAGATCTCGGATTTTGGCCTGGCCAAGCTTTGTGCGAAGGATCAGAGTGCCGTATCCATGTCCACAGCCAGAGGGACCATAGGATACATTGCTCCAGAAGTGTTCTCGAGGAACTTCGGGAACGTGTCATACAAGGCCGACGTGTACAGTTTCGGGATGTTGTTGCTGGAAATGGTTGGAGGAAGGAAGAACATCGATGTGGCAACAGCAGCAGCAGATGGTGGTGGTGAACAGATATACTTCCCAGAGTGGATTTATAGCCTTTTCGGCGAGTCTAGAGAAGATGTTAGGTTTGACTTGGAGGAAGCAGAGGAGGAAGATGGTAAGATTGCCAGGAAGCTGGCAATAGTGGGGCTATGGTGCATTCAGTGGAACCCAGTCGACCGACCTCCGATGAAACTTGTGGTTCAAATGCTGGAAGGCCAAGGTGATGATTTAAAACCACCTCCTAATCCTGTTAGCTCTAATCCTGGTGGTGGTGTGTTCAGAATGGCTAGCATGGTAAAGTCAAAGCCAGTGCAGGAGTTGGAAATCATACCAGAAATAGAATGATAAAACCTTTATTCCCCCCCTCCATTTCCAATGATGCCAACTCTGAATCTGAGTTCGAGCAAATGAGATTACTAGAGCAGTATATTATAGTACATAAACGCATGTTGAAATCAACAAGTAATCCACAGCCATGATTCCACTGATTGATGTGACAATTTTTTAGTGAACATTCATTCTATGATATCATATCTGATATACTCATATTCATATACATACAAATGGATCAAAGGTTGATAAATTACTACTCAAAAGTGCATGCAATGAAACGGTCTGGAGAAACAGTTGCTAAAAATCGTTGCCTTAGTGTTTGATTTCTGTTCCAGTCTCATTGGTCATTCTTAAACCCAAAATTTTCGCCCATTTAGAGCTACAGAGAGAGATCAAGAGATTACTGCCCTCCCTCATAATTTAGCCTACCTCTGCTTCCTTCTTGGTTTCTTTGAATGAGATTCCTTCTTTGAAAATTTCTGCCTTTTCTTCTGTGGCCTTGATTTCACATTCTCGCCTTCCTCACTACGAGTGCCACTCGGGGGTTCTTCTTCGTCAGAACTCAGTATGAAATCCTCGACGATATCATCTTCTTCTTCCTGCCCTTTCTTTCTTTTCTTATTCTTCTTCTTCTTCCCCTCATCCCTGGATGTATCAACCCTGCATCAGTAAGTAATAAGCACAGTTAGCTGTATGTAATCTTTGCTCACCAACAGTCCAAACTTACAGATGAGCGAGAAATTCAGACAACATACTTTGGTAGACCACTCGGTAACCAAGACGAGTTGAACACAGCTGCGGCTTCCTCGTTTCCGGGACCATCTTCATCATCATCATCATCAACATCATCATCGTCGTTGTCGTCGTCACCACCTTCAGATCTCCTTTTGCCAAACATGGAGGAACGCTCTCCAACAGTAACACTGAAAATGGTCAAGAGAGTTAGAGAATGGCAGACTGTACGCACAAGGATTACAATCTCAAAAGGTGGCAAGTCAGAGGCTTTTAAACTAAACCTGGATTCCACCAGTGAGTTACTTCTTTGTTTTGCTCTTTCACGCAATGTCGCAACGTACTTGGACAAAGGACTGGGACCCAACTGTTTCTCATTCTGATTCAAGATCACAACAATATAATTCCTCAAAATTTAGATTTCAACTTTGCTGCTCTGTTGGAAGAATCAGAAGCACAAAAATTGCACACCTCAATTTCAGATGCAGCTGCAGGGTCATTGGGTAAAGTGATTGACGTACGCTTTTCATTTGTGAACTTGGAGTTAGCCTCAATCTACAACAGGGTAATTAGCTGCAGTTACTAATAATTCGAGGAAGCTGTTCACACTTGATAAATAGTATCCTGCATCCGCATAAGTTAATACCTGTCGTATGAGCTGCCTCATTTCTTTTCTGAATCTATCAACTTTGGTAGCTTTGCAGAAGCTTCTTAGTCTCACAGCTGGAATAAAAGACAGCTCAAAGAAAGCCATTGAATAGCTCCATTGAGCTAAATGTTCGGCGAGTTCTTCAACCACAGAATATACACAGGCCTCTTGAAATGCACGTGTTTTCAGCGTAGGCTTGTTTACCTTGTATCAAAAAAATTTAAAAGTCAACAAAAAGTAAATGTCAAAAAGAATTATCTTTGGGCCGCAAGATATATACCTTTAGTATTGTGCGCAAATCAACAGCTTTGCCAACACCCCCAGTGGGAGGCCTATTCAGTTCTTTCATTTCTAACATGTCCAAGAGGAGAGTGGAAACCGGTATGAATGTTCCAGTAGATGCAGCAATGCGGTTGAGCATTCTTACACACCTCAATCTAAGAGGAAAGTATCTAGCAGTTGGAACCAGAGAAGCCACTCCCGAAATTATTTGAGTTAATGGATAGGCTAGAGGCCTAAAATCAGCTTCGGAGCTGTAAGTACAGACAGCACCAGTCCAAAGTTCAAGGCAATTCATGAATTTCCATTCATAAACTCGGCGAAATGATTCCTTGTGAAACAAGTACAAGGCATAGGTCAGCATCTGAGTATTCTAAACCACTTAAAAGGAAAACAAAACAGCTAGCAAGAAAAGATCGTGGGATGAAAGTTAATTAAACCCAGTTCTCGGAAAAATGAGGTTATACTGTGCGAGGTAACTGATATACCAATATTCAATTTCTCTGATTTAATCGAGTGATAAGAAAGTTAAAATGGAAAAAGAAGAACCTTAGTTTTCATAGTGATAGCATCTCTCAGAATCATTGCCAACTGCCGGATGTAAACAAAAGCTTGTTGATAGGCAGTGGGGAGGTCGACCCGGAATACTTCAATCACACAATTCCCAAGAAATTGGATATGCTGCAACTTTGCAGCATTTATGAACTGACAGTTCAGAACATATGCCTTGTACATACCCTTGAAGCAGTCATCTGCACATTCCTGTCCAAGCCGTACGCATAAATCCCTCAAGAACAGAGTAGATACAACTGGGAGAGCACCTCCTCCAGAACCCCAAAAGTGAAGCGCAACCTGACATGAAAAAGGCAAAACCAGTTCTGCAATGAGATGTTAAGGAGAAATGCAGATCACACTCCACACTTACTAGTATGACACATTCCTTTCAAACAACTATACTGAATATTCCAGTATAGTGCTACACTTTTAACAAGAGTTCTAGTGTGAAAAAGAAGCATATACAGGACATGTATCTCACCATGTACACGAGGAACATATCAGCTATAGATCAACGGATCAACTTATAATGGTAATATTTCATAAGATAAGACATCAAGAATAGTTACAAGCTACACGAAGAAAAGCAGTGAAAAAAATCATAAACTTGAACGAATCCGAGTTTCTTATACCTTGACATACTTCCGCAATAGACTTGGGAAAGCGGCCAGTAGCAAAGACGAATACTTAAGACGACGCAAAGTAAAAGCTACCATCTGTGCATCTGTCATTTGGTTCAAAACATGCAGGGCATTTCCCAGATATGACTTCACCAGGTGACTGTATTTCTTCCATTTGCGGGTGCCCATTACTTTAAGCATCACCTCTTTCTTCCCGCCATAAGAAGGCAGGTCCAACATCTTGCGAAGAATTCCATCCATTCGACTCAGGACAAATACCATTATTTTATTGAACACAGCGCTAGACATGATACTCAAGTTTGATGAAGAGTCATCCCCACTATCATCACCATAGTGGCATGCGATTCTGAAACCTTTCAGAAGAGATCGAAGGGCACCTATTTTACCACCATCTAGCACTGCCTTAGTCCAGGACTCAACCATTGCGATGGTTACAACGGTTTTAGATTGTTTCTTCTCTTCCTTCTCCAGTTGGTCATCATCATCGACAGCCTCATCCTTTTCTATGGTTGTTTCCTCCAAATCATTATCAGCATCCTCCTGCAGAAATGCCCCGATTGTGAAATTCCACCATACTCTCACTCAAGCAGAATCTTGACACGTTATGCTTTAGAAATTTACCTCAGCATCCTCGTCATCGAATTCAAGAAGCTCCTTATCATGCTCTTGCAAGAACTGATAAAACTCTGGGTCCTGTCCAGTAATAAAAAGAATAATGATAAGTTAACCACAAAGACTAGTACCATAGAGAGCACCATCAAGTCTGATACCAAAACTAGCTACAGAAGAAGATGATGAAGAATGATGCTTAGGCCAAATGCCTAAATGAGTAGGTGACCCTCCAAGACACCTAAAGGCCAACAATTTCCTCAACTCCTAACTAGCTGATCAACGCTTAGAATATAGCATGTAGCTCTTGTACAGTTGTACTAAACACTTCAAGTAGCCCTTCTACTGTATCTGTATGGTTTCAAACACTTACTACTCGCCAGCCAGTTCTAATCTAGCCCTTCTACTTCCTAAAATCTATAACATTCCAACCCTCCAATATCCAAACCGGCAACAGTTTGAGGGGTCCATATATACAGCGTAAGTTCAATCACGAATTCATCATTTACTGAAATCCCTTCTCCATATTTGGTCTCTTGCATTTTATTATTGATCGATTCTAACCATTATAAAAATAGTATCAAGAACTCACCCGCTTGAAAACATAGAACAAAGACTCAAACTTGACTTCACAAGCGTGAGGAAAAAGATAAGGGGAAACACTAACCTTTTGCTTGAGCCTTTCCAACGCATCTTTGTGCCCTTTAGCAACCATTTTCTTCCCCATCTCTTGCTGCTCCTCTTCCTCATTAGTCTCATCTTCCAAATCCTCGACTGCCAGATGTACAAAAGCTTGTCTTTTCAACAAATGGAGAATTCAACTGAAGAAACAAAGTAAACCATCACCTGAACAAACCTTCGTATTCCACGTCCATGTTGAGATAAGTTTATCAGAGAGCTGAAGTGCTGAACTGAGCCTACACAAGCAAACGCACTAGTGGAGAAGAGAGGAAGGCTTTTTTCAGTTTCCCTGTGGAGGAAGGAGCTCAACTCGACGAATCCACGATTGGTTTCCGGCGTTTGACGAGCAGAAGAAAGGATTCGGAGCTCCTCCTCCGCCGCCGCTGCTTGTTTCGCTTTCTGGTAATGGACAGGGCGCTGGGGCGCGGTTCTTTTGGCCGATGGAAGGCTTAAACCCTTTCTCTGTTGGGCTAATAACACCTTTAATCCTTCAACTATGATTTCTAACAAATTTCTCCATCTACAATGTATTTAACAAACCAGTACATAGTATATTCAGTTATTCTATTTTCAGTCCCTGAATTTAAATTTTGTACATATATGTTAGTAATTGGATCTTACCCATGCTTAATATTTAATAATGGCCTTGAATGGCTCATATGCTACATATACTCAAGATCTGTCTTGTGCTCTATTGATCCGATCTTACTATTAATCTCGACGATAATAAACTCCAATTGACCAATAGATGTGAAAAATGAGAACATTGAGAGATCCATGAGTTGAATTAAGTGAAAAAAATAAAAATTTCCGACATACATAACATTAAATACGCTATTAGACTTACTACGCATGAATGGATTTTGCTCGATAAAAAATGGGCACCATGAACAGATACAAGGGCTACAAGAACATAGATTCTTTTAGGTGGAAAATGAAGCCCTTGATAAGAGTCCTATATTATGTACATATGGATCATATAAAAAATATAGTGACAACATCAAGCGTTATTTCCAGTAACAAAACTATACATCAAACGTTTTTTTCCAGTAACAATCAAAGCACTAGACTAAAGGAGATAAATTGGAAGTACAAATTAGGAAGATTGACTCGAAGGAACATTTTAGGAGCATCATATAAATTGTGTCAAAACTTGGGAAAGAGTACAAACTAACAAGAGTAATAGAGTTGAAATAACAAGAGACATACTTAAGAGCTGCATTACTACTAGTAGTTAGTAATAGTATTACAATTATCACTCATCATCATATTGATTACTCAAAGCAGATTGTGTATACTCAGAGGATGACACGAATGATGAAGAGGATCCTTCTTCATTCTTCCTTATAGCTTCTGCAGCAAACAGAACAGGTTTGGGAGGCAATTGCAGGCTCTCCAAGTCGCCTTCAAGCATCTCCACCACTTTATTCATCGGGGGACGATCGTCAGGTTTCGTCTGTATGCACCACAATCCAACCATCACCATCTTCTTGGCAATGTTGTCTTCCTCTTCCTTGACTTCTCCAACTACAATTGGAGTCCCCGGCGAAGACACCTCGTTGTGAACCCATGAAGGGAAGTAAGCCGTTGATTGATCCGTCTCCGTGGCATTCAAGTTCCCCCTCTTCCCTGTCATTTCCAGCAGCAGCATCCCGAAGCTGTAGACATCGGCTTTGTAAGAGACACCTCCAATGTTCTTGTAGAACAGTTCTGGTGCCATGTACCCTATGGTCCCTCTTGCTGCAGTCAGAGTCGCGATGTTGTTGTCCCGACCAGCTTGGTTCAGCCTCGCCAGCCCGAAATCGGATACCTTGGGGGTGAAGTTTTCGTCCAGGAGGATGTTGTGTGGCTTGATGTCGAAATGGAGTATCTGCATATCACATCCTGAATGGAGATACTCGATCCCGTGTGCCACTCCCAGAGAGATGCGGTACAGTTGTTCCAAGCTCAAACAAGAGGTGTTGCTGCTGCTGTTTTGGTCACTACCACCATCATCGTTGTCGTGAGAGATGTGCTTGTCGAGAGAGCCATTCGGCATGAACTCATAAACCAGGACTTGCTTTGATCCTTCGGAGCAGTAGCCCATAAGGCGGACTACATTGGCGTGGTGGATCCTGCCAATGGTGGCAACCTCATTCATAAAGTCTTGCCCTTTCCTTGCTGCAGCTGTGGGGTTTAGCACCTTGTTGTTGGTCCTGAGCATTTTGACGGCGGCAAAGCCGCCTCCGCGTAGCTTTGCTTTGTAGACGGAGCCAAACCCTCCCTGGCCAAGCTTGTCCTTGAACCCTCCAGTGATTTTCTTGATGTGATAGTAAGAGTACCTTATTGGCATGAGGTGGGCTTGGTTCTGGAGGAACTCCTCGATGCTGTGATACGCTGATTCATGCCGCCTCCGCCATTTATACACCAGAAGGGCAATGATAGCAGGGGTGCCAAGTACAAGCAGGATCATGCGATGTACAACAGCTGTGGTAAAGGGAATATATACACATCAGTTCGTCATGTAATAGCTTGGTTCTGATGATGGAGTGCAAAAGATAAGGTGGAACCAATTGCTGAGGATACGAAGAAAGCTGGAAAATAGTTTACCTAAAATAATGATCCACTTTTCAAAATACCCTGAAAAGAAAAGAGAGAGAAACGGAGAGTATGAATTGTTAAGGAAAGAAGATTGTAATGCGGTAAAATGATTGTGGAAGAAAGCAGAGATCTCTGCAACTCACTTCCAATCCAGAGGATAACGTCCGATGGCCCTTCAAAAGAAAAAGAAGCAAACACTCAGCTAATCTCTTGACAGTAACAATTGGCTAACTGAGTGTAGAATGAAATGGGATAAGTCATAGCAGCAAATTGTTAGAGAAATATATATATGTTTTTGGATTGTTAATCGAGTTCTTGAGACGAGCTGGTTGTTAATACCTATACCGAAGGCAACAAAAATGACCATCAACATCGAATTAGTATGACAAATACGTATAGGGAATATGCGAGAAGATAATACTGTACCATAGCAGTAACAAAACCCGTAAAAGCACATATCATATCTGCATGGATCAGGTCGAGGCAACCATGTAAGCTCGAATCCATATTCAAGCTGTCGGTGAATTTCTTGAAACGTGACATTAGTGTAGCTGGAATAGTAATTATAGGGAATTGCAGTAGTCATCTCCACGCTGCACATCTTTGGCAGATCATATAGCGTGTAACCCCCAATAAGAGCATAGCTAGAAGAAGAACTTGGCCCCAAATCGATGCAAGGACTAGTTTCCACGTACACTAGTTGGGTTCTTGTAGTAGTAGTAGTAGTAGTAGATTGGACAACAGGGTTGTCACAGTTGATCAGAGCCAAGCCTTGAGCTAGAGGTTCGGCTCGCGGGCCGTAGTCATTTAGATCCCCAAAAAATGAAGACACCCATGAATGATTTGGTAAGGAAGAGCAATTTCCATTGACCACACCATCGTCTACCAGCCGGACTGTGGAGTTGTTGTAGTTGATCGCCTTTACGTAGTACCTCATCCATCCCCTGTACTGTTGCAGCAGCAGCACGGTCGTATTACTCTCACATGACAGGTTAAACTTGCGGTCATCGCAGCTCCCGGGATCGGTTGTGAGCCGGAAGGGAGCCCTAATGGGGATTTCACCGCAGGAAGAAGATTCACAGTGCTCCGTGGCCTGGCTATCTGCTGCAGCAGCAGCAGCAGCAGCAGCAGCAGCAGCTTGGCCAGTTTCTTGGAGAAGGAGATGCAGGAATAGAAGTAATGGCAGGGGAATCTTTACTTTGAACATGGTTGCAAGGTTGTTTGGCAGAAGGTGTTTGGAGTAGAAATGGGTCGACTCAGGTTGCAACATTTCATACCCCAGAGTAAAAATCGTGTCTGATGTGCTCTGTTTGAACTGTCAAACCACAGCTTTCTACACCAATGGGTGAGATTTTCTTGTTTTCCAAAATCTGGTACTGGAACTTGGCCCTCATATGGAACCACCTCGATCAAGACTTGTGTGATAATATCATAATAATAATAATAATAATAATAATAATAATAATAATAATAATAATAATAATAATAATAATAATAATAATAATACTCCTTAGTTTTCAAGTATTCGGCAGAGTTTGTAAAGTCTTCAATTTGACCAATTCCTCTGCTTGGGCTAGGAAGCTTCCACAGAGACGTTTACATGTCTTTAAGTGGAGTGTTGACTCGGCTTTCTTTAAGTTCACAGTGCATTCATTTATGTGACTAGGACTGGTTTGAATTGTCAAAGGAGAAGAAAGAAAGAAGTTGCTAAGAAAAAGAGTAAATACAAATCCAAACAAATGGGAACAAAGAAAGGCAGAGACCTGGTGAAGTTTGCTCACTGCCTAATCCTACTCAAGAAACAGAAAAGGGAAGAAAAGAAGGAGAAAAGAAATGGAGTTCCTATTGGAAACAAGTTCATGCTACTTGTTCTGGCTCGTTTCAGTTTTACTGCTGCAGGCAGAGGCAAACCATGGAGGAGGAGGAGCAGCAGCAGCAAATGTGACGCACGATTCCTGCAGGACCACAGCAAGCTGTGGAAGTGGCTCATCCGCCATTGACGTCAGGTTCCCATTCACCATCAGGGGCATGCCATCACCTTCTGGGTACCAAGGATTTCCTGGGTTCGAGCTTTCTTGCAGTACTGAAACCAACCAGACTCTGATACATCTCCCCCACTCCGCCAACTTCACCGTTCAGAGGATCGATTACGAATCTCAGCAGATTTATTTGGGAAGCCCAGATGGGTGCTTCCCAAGACAACTGCGACACCTGGATCTCTCTACGACCCGGTTCGTGATACCGAGGTTGGGACCTATTCCTCACAGCATTCTCAACTGTTCCAAGGTCATCACAGGTTCTTCATCAAAGCCGGTATCTTGCCTAGGCCCCACGGTCTATGCCTACGCTTCGATTTGCGATTTGTATATGGTCGATTTTCTGTCTTGTAAGAAGATGTATGAAATTCCATGGTCCAATGATGATGATGGTGAGTACGGTGGTAACAGCTTTTCGTTGAGCTGGTCTAATCCAGAATGCAGCAGATGTTACAAGGCCAAGGGGGAATGTTGCTTGCTGAAGAAGAAACAGAGCAGCGACATACATGAAGTGGAATGTTCGGGAGATGCCCATCGTGATAAAGGTATGCACCATCATAATCAAACTTATCTTAGCTGTATGCGTTGAACCTCAGGTAAAACTAGTTGGGTTAGAAATTATTTTGTTATGTTCAGCAACGTTCAGTGACACGACTTTAACCTACCTTATCTCGACAATTGTCACCATTCAGATTCCTTGCAAGGGGCAGACTCTTGATATTAAATCAAAGTCATTGCTGAATTTGAAAACCTTGATTTGAGTGGACCAAGAGTTCATTGAAGGGAAGATTTGTAAGGCAATGAGATAAAACTGACTTGTTCTAACAAATCAGAGTTACTACGGATATGAACCAATTTCTATCACCAATAACATGATTACCATCCCATTAATGTTCACCGCCTTTCTTTCTGCAGTTTCGTCCTTCAAGAAGGCAGTCATAACAGGAGTGACTCTAGGTGCAACCTCCATTGCGGCATTGCTCATTGCGCTCTACCGTGCTTACAAGTTTGATCGCCAAGAAAAAGAGCATAGGCTAAAGATGGAGGTGTTCTTGGATGATTACAAGGCTCTCAAGCCTACTCGTTTCTCTTATGCTGACATCAAAAGAATAACAGACCAGTTCAACGATGAATTGGGTCGAGGCGCTCATGGAACAGTGTTCAAAGGCAAACTGTCAAGTGAAATCGAAGTAGCTGTCAAGGTCCTGGACAACAACTTCACCACAACCAAAGGAAATGAAGAGGATTTTGTGAACGAAGTGGGAGCATTGGCCGGAATCCACCATGTTAATGTGCTTAGATTGGTTGGATTCTGCGCAGATGGGTTCAGAAGAGCTCTGGTTTATGAGTACTTACCAAACGATTCACTCCAGAAGTACATCTCTTACAACGGAACCCAACAAGATTCCAGCCTTGGGTGGAAGAAGCTCCAAGAAATCGCTATTGGAATAGCCAAAGGGATCGAGTATCTTCACCAGGGTTGTCAGCAGAGGATCCTCCATTTCGACATCAAGCCTCACAACATCCTCCTCGACCAAGACTTCAACCCAAAGATCTCTGATTTCGGCCTGGCCAAGCTGTGTGCAAAGGACCAAAGTGCCATATCCATGACTGCAGCCAGAGGAACCATTGGCTACATTGCTCCAGAAGTGTTCTCAAGGAACTTCGGGACTGTGTCATACAAGGCTGATGTATACAGTTTCGGAATGTTGTTGCTGGAAATGGTCGGAGGAAGGAAAAATGTTGATGTCACTGCAGCAGATGGCGCCGATCATATATACTTTCCGGAGTGGATATATAGCCTTTTCCGAGAATCGGGAGATGATGTAAGGTTTGATGTTGAAGAGGATGAAGAAGAGGAAGAAGATGGCAAGATCAAGAAGAAGTTGGCTATAGTGGGTCTGTGTTGCATTCAATGGAACCCAGTTGATCGACCTCCAATGAAGCTTGTGGTACAAATGCTGGAAGGGAAAGATGACAATTTAGCACCACCACCTAATCCTGTTAGCTCTAATACTGGTGGTGTGGCAAGAATGTCAGTCATGGGAAAGCCGCGGCTGCTCCAGGATTTGGAGATCATACCAGAGACGGAATATAAGTATGTTTGAGTCGGGTAATAGTTAGAAGAAGTGTATTGTGTTTGGCATTTGGTGTACTAGGATTTCATGAAGTAGTTGATTGTGGAGATATACTAGAATCAATACCCACGGCTACACCGCGCGCGGACTAAATCCTTCTATAGACTATACAATATCGAGTAGGTGAAAGGGGAAACACTAACCTTTTACTTGAATCTTTCCAATGCATCTTTTTTGCGCCCTTTAGCAACCATTTTCTTCCCCATCTCTTGCTGCTCCTCTTCCTCATTAGTCTCATCTTCCGAATCCTTGACTGCCAGAAGCAGAAAAAGCTTGTCTTTTTCAACAAATGGAGAATTCAACTGAAGAAAACAAAGTAAACCGTCACCTGAACAAACCTTCGTGTTCCGCGTCCATGTTGAGAGAAAGTTTATCAGAGAGCTGAACTGAGCCTACACAAGCAAACGCTCTAGCGGAGAAGATAGGAAGGCTTTTTTAGTTTCTCTATGGAGGAAGGAGCTCAATTGGATGAATCCACGATTGCTTTCCGGCGTTTGACGAGCAGATGAAAGAAATCGGAGCTCCGCCGCCGCTGCTTGTTTCGCTTTCTGGTAAATGGTAATGGACAGGGCGCGGGGGCGCGGTTCTTTTGGCTGATGGATTCCATCTTAAATTCTCTCTGTTGGGCTAATACCATCTTTAGCCCCTAAACTATAATTTCTAACAAATTTGTTCATGTACAATGTATTTTAAACAAACCAGTACATAGTATTAGTATATGCCATTTATTTATTTTCAGTCCCTGAATTTAAATTTTGTACATAAAGTTAGTAATTGGATCTGAAAAACGAAAAATAATGAGAGATCCACGAGTTAAATTAAGAAGAAAAATAAGAATTTTCGACATACATGACATCGAATACGCTATAGACTTAGTAAGGAATGAACGGATTATGCTCATCTAGTTTGATAAGAAAACGGGCATCATAAACGGATGCAAGGGCTACAAGAAGAGAGATCAGACCTGTGGAAAAAGAAGCCATTAATAAGAGTCTTATATTATGTGCATAGGAATCATGTAAAACATTTAGTGACAGTATCACACGTTTTTCACCAATTACAAAACTCTACATCAAACGTTTTTTTTCCAGTAACAATCAAAGCGTTAGACTAAAATGGATAAATACAAAGTGCCAATTAGGAAGAATTAACTCGACGGAACATTATAAGAGCATCATATAAATCGCGCCAAAACTATGGGAAAGAGTACAGTATAACAAGAGTAATAGAGTTGAATTAAGAAAAAAAACATAGTTAAAAGAGTTGCATTACTACTATTAGTTAGTATTACTATGACAATTATCACTAATCATCACATTAATTACTGATAACAACAGATTGTGTATAGTCAGATGACAAAACGAATGACGAAGACGACCCTTCTTTATTCTCCCTTATAGCTTCTGCAGCAAACATAAAAGGTTTGGGAGGCAATTGCAGGCTCTCCAAGTCGCCTTCAAGCATCTCCACCACTTTGTTCATCGGAGGACGGTCGTCAGGTTTCGTCTGAATGCACCACAATCCAACCATCACCATCTTCTTGGCAATATTGTCTTCCTCTTCCTTGACTTCTCCAACTGCAATTGGAGTCTCGGGCATAGACACCTCATTGTGAACCCATGAAGGGAAGTAAGCCGTTGATTGATCCGTCTCCGCAGCATTCAAGTTCCCCCTCTTCCCTGTCATTTCCAGCAGCAGCACCCCGAAGCTGTAGACATCGGCCTTGTAAGAGACACCTCCAATGTTCTTGTAGAACAGTTCTGGTGCCATGTACCCTATGGTCCCTCTTGCTGCAGTCAGAGTCGCGATGTTGTTGTCCCGACCGGCTTGGTTCAGCCTCGCCAGCCCGAAATCGGATATCTTGGGGGTGAAGTTTTCGTCCAGGAGGATGTTGTGTGGCTTAATGTCGAAATGGAGTATCTGCATATCACATCCTGAATGGAGATACTCGATCCCGCGTGCCACTCCCAGAGAGATGCGGTACAGTTGTTCCAAGCTCAAACTAGAAGCGGTGTTGCACTGATCACCACCACCCTCGTGGTGAGAGATGTGCTTGTCGAGAGAGCCATTCGGCATGAACTCGTACACCAAGGCTTGCCTTGATCCTTCGGAGCAGTAGCCGATTAGGTGAGCTACATTAGCATGATGGATCCTACCAATGGTGGCAACCTCATTCATAAAGTCTTGACCTTTTCTTCCTGCTCGGGTTGTGGATGGCGCCTTATTGTTCACATCGAGTAATTTGACGGCTGCAAAGCTGCCACTGCGTAGCTTTGCTTTGTAGACGGAGCCATAACCGCCTTGGCCAATCTTGTCCTTGAACCCGCCGGTCATTTTCTTGATGTGATAGTACGAGTACCTGACTGGCATGAGGTGGGTTTGGTTCTGCAGGAATTCTTCGATACTGTGATATGCTGATCGATGTCTCCTTCGCCATTTATATACCAGAAGGGCAATAACAACAGGGGTTCCAAGCACAAACACGAGCAGGCGAATTGCTACAACTGCGAAGGTTTATGTATAGTTTGTGGTAAGTAACCAAGCTTTCGAAGGTGAGGAGGGGGGGGTTTTTGAGATGAAGAGAGTCAGAGAAAAATTTACCTATGAGAATCAGGGCTACTGCCATGGTCGCAGAGAGCAATTCTGAAAAAAAGGAGAATCAATCCAAAATCAATTTTGTAATGCGATAAAGAACACGGGGAAGACAGAGATGTCTGTAACTCACGTGCAACAAAGATGAGAATGATCCTTGGCCCTTCATTGAATAAGAAAAAAATCAAATACTCAGCTAGGTGAAGATATATAGGTAAATATGTAATGTAGGTGAAGATGGAACTTTACTTTACCGATGCAGCAAACATTGTCATAATCGTCAAGGTAGCAAAATGGGATCAAGGGACAGAAGGAGGAGCAATTAAGCCATGAAAGCTGGAACTGATAGAAACCCGACCAGCGGGTTGGGCGGCCGGGTTGGGTGACCAGTGGCATTATTGTTATTTCATGTTTTCTAGAATTTCTATTTAAAAGGTTCAGCGTACTGTGAGAGGCAGGCAATAATAATCAAAGAATTCCCAATCCCTAATCCCTCTTTCTCTCTAGTTCTTCCCTACTCTCTTAAATCCCTAATTTCTTCTCTCCCAATCCCTAATTCTCAAGTCCAGTTTCTATCATCTGGTATCAGAGCCAGCATGAGCTTGTCACAGCTCTATGATTCTGAGTGGACTCAACTGCAAGAGTTGCTGCGCCAAACGTTGAACCGCCGAGAGCAAGAAGCTCGGCTGCGGGCAGCGAAGAAGGAAGGAAAGGGCGCACCAGCGCCGCCCTTAGCAGCGGAGCCGCGCGCGCGCGGGACCTGGCCGGGCCGAGTGCGGCGGGGCTGAGGCGGAGCGCGACGGAGCGGGGGAAGGTCGCGGCGAGTTGCAGGAGGAGCCGGCCGTCGTTTCGCTGCACTCCGTGGCGGGGCAAGCTTCGCCGGGGACGCTGCGTTTCCGGGCAGCGGTGGAGGGCAGAACGGCTATGACCCTGGTCGACAGTGGGGCATCCCTCAACTTCATCAGCCTGGAGTTCGCCAAGACACTGAAGCAAGAGCCTACGGCGGTCAACGCGATCACCGTCAAAGTCGCCAATGGAGTACCTATGGGGTGCAAACAGGTTTACCGAGGTATGACTCTCACTGTGCAAGGGTTAGACATCACAGCCGACTTGTATGTGCTGCCAATAAGGGGATTCGATGTGATCCTCGGCATACCATGGTTGAGAAGCTTGGGCCCGGCAATCAGTGATTGGAGAAGTTTGACCATGTGCTTCAAGTGGAGGGACAAGGAGTGGACCTTGCAGGGGCTCACGACGGCGATGGGACCCATCTCCATTCGGGAATGTGCGCCTGGAGGGGAGGCCGAGTTGGCCGTGCTCTGCTGGCCGCTGGCTGAGACGCAGAAGACAGAGATCAACGCCGAGCTGCAGGGGTTATTGGATCAGTACCCCGAGTTGTTCCAAAGTCCGACTACACTTCCTCCACACCGGGAGGTGGATCATCGGATTCAGCTAAAAGAGGGGGTGGAAGCAGTGAATGTCCGGCCGTACCGCTATGGGCACTCACAGAAGGAAGAAATCGAGAGGTAGGTGTCGGAGATGTTAGAGACCGGGTTGATCCGGCCGAGTACCAGTCCCTTTTCTTCACCAGTCTTGTTGGTCAAGAAGAAGGATGGAACTTGGAGGTTCTGTACCGACTATCGAGCTCTCAATGAAGCAACGGTGAAGGACAGGTTTCCCATTCCGACCGTAGATGACATGTTGGATGAGCTCCATGGGGCGGCTTACTTCACCAAGTTGGATTTGAGGGCCGGTTATCATCAGATCCGAATGCAGGAGGAGGACGCGCACAAGACGGCCTTCAGGACGCATAACGGGCACTATGAGTACCTAGTGATGCCGTTCGGGTTATGCAACGCCCCGTCCACATTTCAGGCAGCCATGAACGACATATTCCGTCCTCTGTTGCGCCGGTATGTCTTGGTGTTTTTTGATGATATCCTGGTATATAGTCGAAGTTGGGAGGACCATATGCGTCATTTGCAGGCTGTGTTTGAGATATTGAAGAAACACCAGTACTACATTAAGGCTTCTAAATGCGCGTTTGGGGTTCAGGAGGTGGAGTATTTGGGTCACATAGTGACGCCACAGGGAGTGCAGGTGGATCAGTCCAAGGTTCGAGCTATGGTGGAGTGGCCAGTACCGACCACAGTCACAGAGTTACGCGGGTTCTTGGGTTTGACAGGGTACTACAGAAAATTCGTGCAGGGATACAGTATGATTGCAAGGCCACTGACGAACCTGCTTAAAAAGGGAGGGTTTGAGTGGACCTCTGCGGCGGATGCGGCCTTTCAGGATCTGAAGCGGGCCATGACCACAACCCCGACGTTGGCAATGCCAGACTTCTCCAAACCGTTCGTGATCAAAGCTGATGCATCAGGGAGGGGGATCGGAGCAGTGCTATCTCAGGACCGACACCCGATCGCCTTTCTGAGTAGGACCCTAGCCCCGACCAAAGAGGCTTGGTCGACTTATAAGAAGGAGATGCAGGCCATCATCTCGGCAGTACAGGCCTGGAGGCCTTATCTTATGGGGCACAAATTCCACATATACACGGACCACCAGAGCCTGAAGCATCTCTTGAGCCAGAAGGTATCGACGCCAGATCAGCACAAGTGGGTCTCGAAGTTGCTGGGATACGATTATGAGATTCACTACCGGCCAGGCTCTACCAACGTCGTGGCCGACGGCCTGTCTCGGTGTCAGGGTGTGGAGATATTGGCAGCAGTGACCGGACCCGTACCGCAGTTTTGGGATGAGCTGAGGGCTCTCACAGAGACGGATTCGTACCTGCAGGAGTGTAGAGACATTGCAGTGAGTGAGGAGCCGGGGAACTACACATTCCGCGGGGGCTTGGTGTCCTTCAAAGGACGACTAGTCCTTCCACCCAGATCCTCATTGGTTACTACTATCCTACAGGAGTTCCACGATGCGCCCTTCGGCGGGCACTCTGGGGTCGAGCGGACCCTACGTCGGGTCAGGGCACACTTTTACTGGCCTAAGATGGGCCAGACAGTTAAGGATTACGTGGCTTCCTGTGATACCTGTCAGAGGGTGAAGGTGTCGCAACTGCGACCGGCCGGGCTGCTGCAGCCGTTACCAGTTCCGGAGCGGGTCTGGGAAGACATTAGCATGGATTTTATCGTGGGCTTGCCGCCCTCAGGAGGGAAGACAGTGCTGTTCGTGGTAGTGGACCGGCTCACGAAGTATGCTCACTTCATGCCTCTAGCGCATCCATACACTGCAAAAGGAGTAGCCGAGCAGTTCGTGAGCGGAGTGGTGCGACACCATGGGTTTCCCCGGACGATTGTCAGTGACCGGGACCCTATCTTCCTCAGCCATTTCTGGCAGGAGGTGTTCACCATGGCTCGTACGACGCTGCAGATGAGCTCGGCGTACCATCCCCAGACGGACGGTCAGACAGAGGTAATTAACCGGCACCTGGAGCAGTATCTTCGCTGTTTCACACACCAGCAGCCTAGGAGTTGGTTGGCCATGGTTCCGTGGGCAGAGCTGTGGTACAACACCATGTACCATCGAGCTATCAGGACAACACCATTCGAGGCGCTGTATGGCAGGCCACCTCCATCTCTGGTGCGTTACCGGGAAGGGAATAGCTCGGTCGATGCGGTTGACAGGTGGCTCGGTAGCAGGGATGAAGCCATAGCACAGCTGAAGGCTAACTTGGCTGCAGCCAACAACCGGATGAAACAGTTAGCGGATGCGGGAAGGCGCGAGGAAGAGTTCGAGGTGGGGGACCTGGTGCTGCTGCGGCTACATCCCTACAGGCAGGCGTCAGTGTTCAGGCGGGCTTATCAGAAGCTTGCCGCGAGATACTTTGGGCCATATGAGATTTTGCAGAAGGTCAATCCAGTGGCTTACCGACTGCAGCTTCCAGTAGATGCTTGCATCCATCCGACATTCCACATTTCCTTGTTGAAGCGCTACAAAGGTCCGGCAGATCGGGTGGAGACTACTGCACCGCCGGTTAGTGCAGATGGGGACCTGGAGCTGACACCCTTGCGCGTGATAGAAACGCGCTGGACCAAGAGGAAGGGCCGCCTCATTGAAGAAAGCCTGGTCCAGTGGAGGCATGTCGAGCTCGAGGACGCGACCTGGGAGGAGACATCGACACTGCGGGAGAAGTACCCCACGTTCGACCTTGAGGGCAAGGTCGGTTCTGAAGAGGAAGGGGATGATAGAAACCCGACCAGCGGGTTGGGCGGCCGGGTTGGGTGACCAGTGGCATTATTGTTATTTCATGTTTTCTAGAATTTCTATTTAAAAGGTTCAGCAACGTACTGTGAGAGGCAGGCAATAATAATCAAAGAATTCCCAATCCCTAATCCCTCTTTCTCTCTAGTACTCTCTTAAATCCCTAATTTCTTCTCTCCCAATCCCTAATTCTCAAGTCTAGTTTCTATCAGGAACCCATATTCAAGTCGCCGGTGAATTTCACGAAACGGGACCTTGATGTTGTGATAGCTATTAATCTTCTCCTCATTGGTAATGGGACACAGAGAAAGCATCTCCACTCTGCAAGTGTCTGCAAGATCGGATAACAGTACTGCTGCACCATCGCTGCTCCCAACCATGGCATAACTAGATGGCGAATGCGGGTTGGAACCACCGATTCGAGGAGCTGTTTCCACATACAGTGTAGAATTGGCCACTGGGTTGTCACAGCTTACCAGAGCCAAGACACCATTTAATTGTTCTTCTAGAGGTACTATCCCCAGAGATAGCTGTCCTCTTCTCATGGAAGAATAGAAGGCTCCAAATGAAGAAGAATTAACGCTGTCTACGGACAAAGGATGAGCGGGGAAGGAAGAGAAATTGCCCTTAACCACGCCATGGTCCACCAACCGGATTGTGAAGTTGTTGTAATTGATCGCCTTGACATAGTATCTCCCTGATTTGAGGTACAACACAGTTGTATTGCTCTCACATGACAGGCTGTAGTTGTGGTTCCCGCAGCTCCAAGGATCGGTTGTGAGCCGGAAAGGAGACTGGATGATGATTTCGCCACAGGAAGAAGGTCGACAGTAGTGCTCCACCATGACCGGGCTATCTGCTGGTGCAGGAACAACAGCTGCAGCAGCAGCAACTTGACAAGTTCGCTGCAGGAGCTGCAGCAGCAGTAAGAATAGAAATAGTGATGATGACATGAATACTATGTCAGGGGAAGGCTAAAGGCTTGCTTTGAAGAAAATGGGTTGCCACATATTCTGGTTCTCCGCATATGCCAACTGCAAAGATTGAAAATCCTGGTTCTTTGCTGTCCTCTTCTGTTGTGCTTCAACCACACAAGGATTTCTTTGGAGAAGATAATGTGCTAACCCCCATGCTTACTATCATCTAAACCATCCATTCTTATTTTCAATCTATGGCTATAATTAGAGAAAGGATATAGTTGAAAAGTAAGAGGAAAAAATTTAAAAGATGAAATTACTACTGGCTAGTTTTAGTATTTGGATTGTTATTAACCATCACACTGAGTGCTGATAACAGATTTTGTGTACTCGGATGATGACACAAATGACGATGATGACCCTTCTTCACTCTTCCTTGCAGCATCTCCTCTAGGATACAGAAGAGGTTTGGGAGACACTGGCAGGCTGTCCAAGTCGCCTTCAAGCATCTCCAACACTTTGTTCATCGGGGGGCGCTCGTCAGGTTTCATCTGTATACACCACAATCCAACCATCACCATCTTCTTGGCAATGTTGTCTTCCTCTTCTGTGACTTCTCCAACTGCAATACGGGTCCCAGCCGTAGACACCTGGTTATGAACCCAGGAGGGGAAGTAAGCAGACGATTGATTCGTAGTGACATTCAAGTGCCCCCTCTTCCCAACCATTTCCAGCAGCAGCATGCCGAAGCTGTAGACGTCGGCTTTGTAAGAGACACCTCCAATGTTCTTGTAGAAAAGTTCGGGTGCCATGTACCCTATAGTCCCTCTTGCTGCAGTCAGAGTCGCAATGGCATTGTCCCGACCGGCTTGGTTCAGTCTCGCCAGCCCGAAATCGGATACCTTGGGGGTGAAGTCTTCGTCCAGGAGGATGTTGTGTGGCTTGATGTCGAAATGGAGTATCTGCATCGCACAACCACGGTGCAGATACTCGATCCCGCGTGCTACCCCCAAAGAGATGCGGTACAGTTGTTCCAAGCTCAAACTAGGGGTGGTGCTGCTGCTTTGATCACCACCACCACCATTTTGGTGAGAGATGTGCTTGTCGAGAGAGCCATTCGGCATGAACTCGTAGACCAGAGCTTGCTTTGATCCTTCGGAGCAGTAGCCGATCATGCGGACAACATTGGCATGGTGAATCCTGCCAATGGTGGCCACTTCATTCATGAAGTCTTGTCCTCTTTGTCCTGCTGCGGTTGTGGATGGCTTCTTGTTGTTGGTAACTAGTAATTTGACGGCTGCAATGCTGCCACCGCGTAGCTTTGCTTTGTAGACGGAGCCAAACCCTCCTTGGCCTAGCTTGTCCTTGAACCCACCGGTCATTTTCTTGATGTGATAGTAAGAGTACCTGATTGGCATGATGTCGGGTTGGTTCTGCAGGAATTCTTCGATACTGTGATATATTGATCGATGCCTCCTCCGCCATTTACATACCAGAAGTGCAACTACGACAGGGGTGCCAAGTACTAGCAATAATAGGCGACTTAGAATCACTGCAAAGGATATATGATTATCAGTTCACTACCAGATCGCTTCAGGACCTGATGGTGATGGAGTGCAGCGGATAAGATGGAACCGTTATAGTTAAGATGATGAAAGTTAGAAAAGGTTTACCAATCCTAATGATCCAGCTTGCACTCATCACTGAAAAGAATGAAACATAAAATAAAAGAAGAAATTAGAGAAAGATGATAGTGTAGAAGAAGGCAGGGATGTCTGTAACTAACCTGCATTCGAGATGATAGTGTTCGGTTTCCCTGCATTAAACAAAGACCAAAACTCAGTTACTTGGATAAGTATTTGCAGAAGAAGCTATAGATTTCTGTGACTCACCTGGATCATGGATCCAACTCGGCCCCCCTTCAGTAAACAAAAAGAAAAGCCACAGACTCAGCTAATTGAGTGTAAAATGAAATAGGAAACCAGCAAAATGTGTAGAGAAATATATCATTAACAGTAAGATCGTGAAGTTTTGTTGTACGTTTGCAGTAATAAAACCCAAAAATGGGCAGACGATAGGGGCATCTGTAAGTGTACGACTCAGTGGGAGGAGGCAACCATGAAACCTCGAATCCATATTCAAGCTGTCGATGAATTCCTTCAAATGTGACATTATTGTTGTTGTAATAGTAATCACTGGCAATGGGCAACAGAGCAGTCATCTCCACCCGGCACGAGTCTGGCAAATCTGATAACTCCGCACCCCACCCAATAACTGCATAGCTGGTCGAAGAAGCAGAGTTTGGTCCGAAATGGATGCAAGGACTTGTTTCCACTGGCACTAGTGGTGGTGGTGGTGTAGTAGTAGAAGAATGGACAACAGGGTTGTCACAGCTGATCAGAGTCAAGCCTTGAGTTAAAAGCTTGTGTTCTGGTCCATGGTAAGATAGACCACCTACTGAGACAGAGAAGTCCCATGGGGACATAGGTTGAGCGGGTAAGGAAGAGCAGTTTCCTTTAACCACGCCATCGGCCACCAACCGGATTGTGAAGTTGTTGTAGTTGATCGCCTTCACGTAGTACCTTCTCGATCCCCTGTACAACACAGTGGCATTGCTCTCACATGACAGGCTAAGGTTGAGGTTACTGCAACTCTCGGGATCGGTTGTGAGCCGGAAAGGGGGCTTGATGATGGGGATTTCCCCGCAGGAAGAAGGGTCACAGTAGTGCTCTGGGACCTGGCCATCTGCTGCTGCAGCAGCAGCAGCAGCTTGGCAAGTTTTTTGGAGGAGTAGCAGCAAGAAGAGAGATGCTGCTGACATGATTGATATGACTTAGGAAGGAGACCTGTTACTTATTGAGAAAAAGTTGTTGGGGAAATTGAATTGGGTACTAGGTAACCAACCACTGACTTTGCTCTGCTTGTTTCTGGCCAGGTATTTTCTTTTGTTCAAACTGTCCACGAGTATTATATTGACAACCCATGTCAGACTTCATGAGTCGTTCTAGAAAGCTTTTGTCCCCAAGAAATGGTCAAGATACATTTTCTATGACTTCCCCAGAAGCCCAATCAATACAAAGACCAAATCAACCGGCTCACAAACTCACAAGAGACTTAACTCCAACAGGAACACAGTAAAAACAGCCTTGCAAGAGATGAAAGCATTTGCAGGCAAGCACTAGTGGAATATAGGAGCCCCAAAGAATCTAACCTCGCATGTGTATTGGCAACACACACTCTTACTACACACGTATTCGGTAAATCACCAGTTTGGGAAGTATTTTTATTCCGTTTCTGGTATGATCTCTAACTCTCGCAGTGGTCGCGGCTTTCCCATTCTTGCCACACCACCAATATTGGAGCTAACGGGATTAGGAGGTGGTGTTAAATTGTCACCTTCCCCTTCCAGCATTTGCACCACAAACTTCATTGGAGGTCGATCTACTGGGTTCCACTGAATGCACCAGAGACCCACTATAGCCAACTTCTTCCTAATCTTGCCGTATTCTTTTTCCTCCTCCTCCACCTCCTCAACATCAAACCTTACATCTTCCCCGGATTCGCTGAAAAGGCTATATATCCACTCCGGGAAGTATATCTGATTGACGCCATCTGCTGAAGTGACATCGACATTTTTCCTTCCTCCGACGATTTCCAACAGCAACATCCTGAAGCTGTACACATCAGCCTTGTATGACACACTCCCAAAATTCCTCGAGAACACTTCTGGAGCAATGTAGCCAATGGTCCCTCTGGCTGCCGTCATGGATATGGCACTTTGGTCCTTTGCACACAGCTTGGCTAGACCGAAATCAGAGATCTTTGGGTTGAAGTCTTGGTCGAGGAGAATGTTGTGAGGCTTGATGTCGAAATGCAGGATTCTCTGGTGACATCCTTGGTGAAGATACTCTATCCCTTTGGCTATTCCAATGGCGATCTCTTGGAGTTTCTTCCACCCAAGGCTGGAATGTTGTTCGTTTCCCTGGTAAGAGATGTACTTCTGGAGTGAATCATTTGGTAAGTACTCATATACCAGAGCTCTTCTGAACCCATCTGCGCAGAATCCAACCAATCTAAGCACATTAACATGGTGGATTCCAGCCATTGCTCCCACTTCATTTACAAAGTCCTGTTCATTTCCTTTGGTGGTGATGACGTTGTTGTCCAGGACCTTGACAGCTACTTGGATTTCACTAGACAGTTTGCCTTTGAATACTGTCCCATGAGCTCCTCGACCCAATTCGTCATTGAACTGGTTGGTTATTCTTTTGATGTCAGCATAAGAGAATCGCGTAGGCTTGAGAGCCTTGTAATCATCCAAAAACTCCTCCATGTTTAACCTATACTCCTTCTCTTGACGATCAAACCTATAAGCACGGTAGAGCGCAATGAGCAATGCCACAATGGAGATTGCACCCAGAGTCACTCCAGGAATGAGTACCTTCTTCAAAGACGAAACTGTAAAAAAGAGGCAAAGAACATTAATGGAACAGCGATCATGTTGTTGGAGAGGTGCTAAAAATTAGTTCATGTCAGTGATAACTCGGAATTGTTAGAACAAGCCAGTTTTATCTCAATGCCTTACAAATCTTCATTCAATGAAATCCTGTTCCACTCAAATTAAGTTTTCACAAGTTGGTTGCACATATTATGGTCAACTCTTAACTGTTAGTACTCAATATGAGGGTATTGCCATTAGGCATCAGATTCAGTAAAGAAGTTAATGTAAAGTCAGGAGTCTACTGCTCCTCAAATGAACTCTGAAGGATATTATATCGAGATGAAGGTAGGTTAAACATCTAACTGCTCATCATACGTTGCTGAATATAACAAAAAGATGTCCAACCTAACCAGTTTAAGCCGGGATTCAATGCATACAACTGAGATAAGAATGGTGATGGTGCATACCTTTATTGCGATGGGCATCTCCTGAACACTCAACTTCAGGTTTGTGGCTGGCCTGCTTCTTCAGCAAGCAACATTCCCCCTTAGCCTTGTAACATCTGCTGCATCTTGGATTAGACCAGCTCAACAAAAAGATATTAACGTACTCATCATCGTTTGACCACGGAAGTGCATACATCTTCTTACAAGACACCAAATCAACATCATACAAGGAGGCGCCCGAACTGTAGGCGTAGACTGTTGGGCCTAGGCAAGATATCGGCGGAGAACCTGTGATGACCTCGGAACAGTTGAGAAAGCTGAAATTAGTATAGCTCGAGCTCGGTATTTTGAACGGAGTTGTAGAGAGATCCAGGTGTCGGAGTTGTCTTGGGAGGCACCCATCTGGGCTTCCCAAATAAATCAGCTGAGATTTGTAATCGATTCTCTGAACGGTGAAGTTGGCGGAATTGGGGAGATAGAGCAGTGTCTGGTTGGTTTCAGTACTGCAAGAAAGCTCGAACCCAGGAAATCCTTCGTACCCAGAAGATAGCATGCCCCTGATGGTGAATGGGAACCTGACGTCAACGGCGGCTGAGCCACTTCCACAGCTTGCCGTGGTCCTGCAGGAATCATGCGTTACATTTGCAGCTACTGCTGCTGCTCCATGGTTTGCCTCTGCCTGCAGTAGTAAAATGAAAATGAGCCAAAACAAGTAGCATAGACACGTTTCCAATTGGAACTTCATTTCTTTTCTTCTTCTTTTACTCTACAGTACGTTTCTGTTCCTTCTGTAAAATTAGGCAGTGCACAAACTTCACCAGCACCTTGCCTTTCTAAGTATAACGTTTTTGCATTTGTATGGGGTCTATCTTTCATGTATTTTTCTCTGAAACTTCTTTCTTTCTTCTCCTCCTTTTGAAAATTCAAACGAGTTCTAGCCACATAAAAGACTGTATTATGAACTATGCTAACACTTCCATTAAAATTCTCTATCAATCATTTCTGTACGCCTGTTCCAATAGAAAAACAAAACTTACGGACTTGGCAACAAAGAGTTGTAAACATCACAAGTCTGGAGGTGGGTCAATTTGAGGCCAAGTCTACGTACCTATTGGGCAGGTTGGAAAACTATGGTTCCACATAACAGAACAGGACAGAAGAGAAGAGAATTTCTGGGATCAAACCCCAAATTTTCAAGCCTCTGCAGCTGCCTCCCAAACCATTTCTGTACGCTGGAGAAGCTGTAACGAAGAACGAAGAAGGTGGTTCTTCCCCGTCATTTCTGTCATCCGAATTTACACAAATCAATGAAATACCGAACTAGATTTAGATTTACCGGAGATGACGCCGGACTGGATGGAATCAGAAGGAATTTCCGGTCGCCTCGACGTAGCCTTGACCGCTTCATCTTGTACGGCGAACCGGGAGTGGAGAGTCATTGAGATGGAATCAACGGCGAACGATTCACCGTCGCCGGAGGGATAAAGACGGAGGGCAGAAACTGAACTCGACCTTCCCTTTCACGTTTCTCTGTTATTTTGAAGGGTTTCGCGGTTCTGAAGCGAGTACATCTGGGCCCAACATTTGAATGGGCCGAAGCCCGATTCAGGCCAATCGGGACTGGAAGGGAAATTATCCACCAAAACCCATACTGTTCTTCGCAGCTCTGCTCCAGCTCTGGAAATGGCGATGGCGGTTCAGCAAGGGGAAACCACTACAATCCACAAACCTTGTGGCACACCTCCACTCCCAGAAACCCAATTCCCATTTTCACCTCCCTCAATCCTCGCCGCCGGCGATTTGTTTCCTCCCGCAGAAAAGCGCGCGTCTTTTCTTGTACATCCGGCGGCAAAGATGCAATCCCCTGTTTTTTCGTTCGATTCCTGTAAAAAGCTTTTCCATGCAACTTCCCTTCAACACACGGATGCTCTCGTTGAAAGGTAGACCACCGGTGCCCGTCGCTATTCGTGTAATCGGTCAATAATCCAACTCAAGAATGAAGTTTGAACAGAGACATCATCAAAGAATTGGAGGACAGTTCTGTACTAATTTTCTTCCTCAATCATCCTCCATACAATCCCCTGTTCTTTCTTTTGTCCTGATTCCCATCAAAATGGTGAAAACTTACAGACTGGGGCGACGACTTGAGAGCTTAAAAACTGTAATTATCAGACAAGTCTTGATTGAGATGGCTCAGTCAATATGAGGGCCCAGCCGGCTTACCAGTTGGGCAATTTTGGAACACAAGAAATCCCCATCCATTGTGGTTTGGAAGTCGAAACAGAGTATTTACAGGATAGAAACAGAGCATCTGACTGCAAACACCATTTGCGTAAGAACCTTACAACCATGTTGAGAGCAGGGCTTCAACTCCCAATATCTCTGTTCTTGCTGCTGCTTGCTACAGCAGATAGCCGGGCCAAAGAGCACTGCAAACCTTCTTCCTGCGGTGAAATCCCCATCATAAAGCCCCCTTTCCGGCTCACAACCGATCCTGAGAGCTGCGGGATCCCCGAGTTTAGCCTGTCATGCGAGAGCAATACAACTGTGCTGAACCTGCGCTCGTATGGCGGCAGCAGCTTCGGCAGGTACTACGTGAAGGCGATCGACTACGACAACTTGACAATCCGGTTGGTGGATGATGGGGTGATTGAGGGAAATTGCTCTTCCTTACCCACTCATCCTATGCTCCCTATGCTCCCACCGAGGCGCTTCTACTATTTTAATCGGTTTCTAAGGGGCCGTGGACCAGATGGCCAACAATTAATTAAAGGCTTGGCGCTGATCAACTGCGACAACCCTGTTGACAATTCAACTACGACTACACCACTAGTGAATGTGGAAACAAGTCCTTGCATCGATTTCGGACCAAATTCTTCTTCTTCGACGAGCTATGCAGTTGTTGGTAGTGATCTAGTGTTGTCAGATTTGCCAGAGATGTGCAGAGTGGAGATGACAGCTATGTTGCCAATTACCAGTAACTACGATTACAGCAGCAAGGTCACGTTTCAAGAAATTCACCGCCAGCTTGAATATGGGTTCCAGCTTGAATGGTACCATGGTAGCGTACTTCACCTGCAATTATGTACATTAACATTGTTAAACACATGCTTTTCATACTTACAACACGTCACCTGCAAGTATATCGTCAACTGCAAGTATATACTTACAGGTGAGTTAAAGAGACCTCTGCTGCCTTCTTAAATTGATTATCACATTATAATCTTTTAGCTTTTTATTTTTATTTTTATTTTCATTTTCATCCCCTCCTTTTCTTTTTTATTTCCTTTCAGCGTTTATTGAAAGCGGTATCATTGACATAGGTAAACTTTTCCCAACTTTCTTCATCTAAACAATAATGGTTCCATCGTATCTGTTGCACTCCACGATAATTAGCTCCAAGCTATATCCATCAAATGACAAACTGATAATTATACATTCCTTCTCCACAGTTGCCTTATATCACCTGCTCCTGCGGGTACTTGGCACCCCTGTAGTTGTTGCACTTCTGGTGTATAGATGGCGGAGGAGGCATCGATCAGCATATCGCAGCATCGAAGAGTTCCTCCGAAACCAAACCAACCTTGTGCCAATAAGGTACTCTTACTATCACATCAAGAAAATCACAGGTGGGTTCAAGGACAAGCTAGGCCAAGGCGGGTTTGGATCCGTCTACAAAGCAAAGCTACGTGGTGGCGGTTTTGCCGCCGTCAAAATGCTTGGGACCACCACCAACAACAACAACAAGCCATCTGCAGCTGCTGCAAGGGGAGGGAAAGGGCAGGACTTTATGAATGAGGTTGCCACCATCGGCAGGATTCACCACGCCAATGTGGTCCGCCTGATCGGTTACTGCTCCGAAGGATCAAAGCAAGCTCTGGTCTATGAGTTCATGGCGAATGGCTCTCTTGACAAGCACATCTCTCAATCTCACCACAAGGATGGTGGTGGTGGTGGTGGTGGTGATGATCAAAGGAGTACCGTCACCTCTTGTTTGAGCTTCGAGCAACTGTACCACATCTCTCTGGGAGTGGCACGCGGGATCGAGTATCTGCACCGTGGGTGCGAGATGCAGATACTCCATTTCGACATCAAGCCACACAACATCCTCCTGGACGAGAACTTCACCCCCAAGATATCCGATTTCGGGCTGGCGAGGCTGAACCAAGCCGGTCGGGACAACGACATCGCGACTCTGACTGCAGCAAGAGGGACCATTGGGTACATGGCACCAGAATTGTTCTACAAGAACATTGGAGGCGTCTCTAACAAAGCAGATGTCTACAGCTTCGGGATGCTGCTGTTGGAAATGGCCGGGAAAAGAAGGAACTCGAATAGCGCAGCGACGGATCAATCAACTGCTTACTTCCCCTCCTGGGTTCATAACCAGGTCTCTATGCCAGGGACTCCTATTGTAGTGGGAGAAGTCACGGAGGAGGAAGAGGACATTGCCAAGAAAATGGTGATAGTAGGATTGTGGTGCATTCAGACCAGTCCTTCCAATCGCCCTCCAATGAACAAAGTGGTGGAGATGCTTGAAGGCAACTTGGATAGCCTGGAATTGCCTCCGAAACCTGTTTTGTATGCAAGAGAAGCTGTTATAACGAACGAAGAAGGATCTTCTTCTTCATTCGTGTCATCCGAGTATACACAATCACTTATCATTAATCAATAAGTACTAATGCTACCAAAATAATGGTACTGCAATTCTTAAATATGTTTCCTCTTGAGTTTTCACTAGTACTGGTCATTATGTGCTATTTTCCATCACGTTATGTACTAATTCCCTTTCCGGATTTGTGTGTGTCTGTCCTTCCTGTTTATCTCAAGATCTTCTTTCTTTCTGTTCGCTTTAGCAGTTCAAAGGAGTTTCTAGGCTCTAGCTACTTAAAAGTCTGGATTATCAAAATAAAAGCGACAATCAAAACTAAATGGAAAAGGAGGAAGAGGTAATATACAATCAGCGCAAGCTTGTAGTTTAGAAGTTCGTCACTTTCACCCACACCAACTCAGAAAACGAGATATGCTGCCTAACCTTTTTATCCATTAAGAATGTTTTTCTTTTTCCTGGTCAGATTCCATTAAGAATTTCGAAATCACAGACAAGTTCTGTGATTATTATTAAATAAAAAAGTTATCTGAAGCACCTGACTTCCACTTCTAAAAAGTGGGAAGGACCCCAGATTCCAGGGTGTCCACTCTCCTCCTCAGCTGTTTCACATTCACATGGTGGCCATAATTTGACTGTTCAAAGACTGTATTTAGAGTAAAATATCCACAAAAAAATGATTGGGAAGGCTTACAGTGAACCTTGCTGGTGTGGTTACTGGACAAACGCAAGATGGATCCCAGAGACGAACATGGCTGATATTGCCATTAGAATTATAGCTTGTGACTCCATCAGAAGATGGGCGGACTTGTCTGCACCTGTGATCATCTCTTTCCCAGCTCAGCTAACGTAGCCTCTGAAATTCCAGTACCAGGTTCTTCAACCTCAGCATCACGAGACAATATCAAGTCCAACAATGACAATCCGCATGATGGTACAATGCATTATGTGACTGACAGGTTCCTTGACAATAGCGAGTCCAAAACCCCATTGATCAAATCAACCCAAAGGAAACTCTCGTTTGAGAAATGTGACACATTACATGACAATACTTTATTCCTCCTTTGGTTTTCTCGTCCCACTAACAGAGGGAGTGGGAAACACCAACATCCTTGAATTGGTTTATGCAGGCAATCATGTCGAGAGTAAGGCTTCCCCACCTGTCATACTGATGTAGTTCGATTTATCATCTCACCATTATTCATTTTGCTGCTACTCCTACAAGCTTGCAACGCTACTGATGGCCGGGTGGACTGTGTACCTTCCTCCTGTGGAAACATACCCATCATTAAATCCCCCTTCCGACTCAAAACCGATCCCGAGAGCTGTGGAGACCACATAATACCCTCTCATGTGAGAGCAATACAACGGTTCTGTATCTGGGATCTGCAAGATACTATGTGCAGGCAATAAACTATAAGAACTTGACGATTCGGGTGGTGGATGATGGTGTAGTTAAAGGCAACTGCTCCTCCTTGCCCAGTCACCCTCTGTCTGAGATCAGCATACCTTCTCACCCCTACTCCGCCACCCAATACGTAAAGTTTCTGTTATTCATGGTGGGAGAAGAAAGCTTGAATGAAGCTTTGGTTCTGGTGAGCTGTGAAAACCCTGTCAATTCTCAACTGTATCTGCAAACAGCTCCTTGCATCAACATTGGATCAAAGAGGGACCATAGGGTACATGGCACCGGAACTGTTCTACAAGAACATTGTGGGTGTCTCTTACAAAGCCGATGTCTACAGCTTCGGGATGCTGCTGCTGGAAATGGTAGGGAAGAGGAGGAACTTGAATACAGCAGCAACGGATCAATCAAGCGCTTACTTCCCCTCCTGGGTTCATAACGAGGTGTCAACACCCGGGGCTCCTGTTGCAGTTGGAGATGTCACTGAAGAGGAAGACAATATTGCCAAGAAGATGGTGATGGTAGGTTTGTGGTGCATTCAGACCAATCCTGCCCATCGTCCTCCAATGAACAGAGTGGTGGAGATGCTTGAAGACGACGTGGAAACCCTGCAGCTGCCTCCCAAACCGGTTCTGTATGCTGGAGAAACTGTAAGGACGAATGATGAGGGATCTTCTTCGTCATATGTGTCATCCGAGTATACACAATCAAATATCAGTTCTCAATGTGATGATGAATGTTAATGTAATACCAACAATAATAAAATTGCAACTCAGGTTTGGTTGGTTTCTGTTTGTACAACAAGATGGCCTCTTTTAAAAATGACAATGGTAAAGTTCGATTTGATCGAGCAGGCAGGGGCGGACCTAGGGCAAGGGGAGGGGTGTCGTCCGACACCCCTCCGTTCGAAAATTTTGTGAAGGACCTCCATTTTTTTGGTACAAAATTTTTTAATTTGGAACTTTCGACACCGCTTTAATAATTATATGCGACACACTTTCATTATATGACAATAGTTTTTAGGGCTGCTAAACGGTACGGTAACCGGTTTACCGTTTACCGTTTCATCGGTTTCGGTAATACCGGAAATGGCAAACCACCCGCCGGATGCTGCTACCGTTTTCCACCCGGTATACCGCCTACCGTTTCGGTACGGTATCGGTAAGGGAACGGGAGTCCCGAATTACCGACAGAAAGTGACCTGCCTCTTCCCTTTCGCTGCTGAGTGCTGTCAATCCCTTATCCCTCTGTCCCTGTCTCCCTGTCGGCTGTTACATACCCCATTTGCTTCACCTTCACGACTTCACCCAACCCCAACCACGTCCATTCCTCAATTTCATCAATCTTCACCATTCACACCAACGTAACGCCACGTGCCATCATTTCCAGTCCACAATTTCATGACTTGTGCTGATGGTTAGTTGGCTGCATTCACTCTCTCCCCAGATTCCCCGCCGGCATCCAGACCCACCCACACTACCACTATCACCATTGCCCATAGGTAAACACTAAAACAGCAACTACAAATAAACTCATGAGAATGAATAGTAAACAGGAAATGCCGGCGGCGGTGTACGAGCGGTGGACGTGGCCTTGGAAGGGGGACGTGGTCGTGGGGGAGTGTGACGTCAAGGAGGTGGCGTTCCGGCCGCGTGTGACGAAATTGGAGCTGGGTCCGGCGAGCTGCCGCTCCGACGGGCGGTGGCGGCGGTTGGAGGTGAAGTGCCGCACCATATTCTGGAATTATGTCTACGTTGCGGGAATGTGTCTTGCGATTTTGGTGTTCTCTCTTTAGGCGGTTGAGTTTTAATTATCTCTCTTTTGGGGTTGCCTTGCATGGCAGCTGGGCCGCGGCGCGTGATGTTTTTTTATTTCTACTCGATGTCGGATTACCGAGCCGCCGACGGTAAACTACTCATTCGATCCCGGCATACCGCCATCACAATTTCCCCAGCCGACAACCGTTAAGTTCGGTTACCGGTTTAACCGGTAACCGTCGGTTACCGGTACGGTTACCGGTTAAACCGGCAACCGGAAAACCGTTTAGCAGCCCTAATAGTTTTAATGTTATAAAGTTATTCGTCATAATTAGTAATTAACAATAATAAGTAAAATCAAATAAGCATGCTTGTTTTAAGTAACCCACAACCCAATTTAACTTATTGATTTGTAGTTAATAGGTGAATTGCCTATATTTATGGGAGATTGTGGTTTGATTTTGGTTAATTTGATAGAACTAGAGAAAAAATGCTAATGATATTACTTAGGTATACTTTGTTTTTTTCTAAAATAGCCGATTGGTAGCAAACTCATTTATTTTAATTTAATTTGATTTTAGACGTAGGTCGATTCTCTTTAGTTGAGTGACTAATTTATGAATGATTATGTAGTTGTGTATATCGAAAAAGGTTTGATTTGCAACATAAACGATGAATGTATTTTAAAAAATCTCAAATATGAAAAATCGTCATAATTCGTAGTAAACATGAGGTTGTGAACTTATAAATAAATTTTCAGTAATTTCTATTAAATTTTTATTTCATTATCTTAATTATTATAATTTTTATCGGCGACACCCCTCTTCAATAATCCTGGGTCCGCCACTGCGAGCAGGTCCGGCGAAGGAATGACGACGGCAGAATTGATGCAGTCGGAAGCAAAGTCCGGCCGCCTTGGCCGCGCTTCATCATGTGCGACGGGGAGAGCAGAGTCATTGAAATGGAATCAACGGCGATTAATTGACTTGCCCGCAGAAATGCTCAGAGTCTTTCCTTCTACATCCGGGCGGCAAAGATGCAATCCCCTGTTCTTTCTTTTGTCCTGATTCCCATCAAAATGGTGAAAACTTACAGACTGGGGCGACGACTTGAGAGCTTAAAAACTGTAATTATCAGACAAGTCTTGATTGAGTTTGGCTCAGTCAATATGAGGGCCCAGCCGGCGTACCAGTTGGGCAATTTTGGAACACAAGAAATCCCCATCCCATTGTGGTTTGGAAGTCGAAACAGAGCATTTACAGGATAGAAACAGAGCATCTGACTGCAAAACACCATTTGCGTAAGAACCTTGCAACCATGTTGAGAGCAGGGCTTCAACTCACACTATCTCTGTTCTTGCTGCTGCTTGCTACAGCAGATAGCCGGGCCAAAGAGCACTGCAAACCTTCTTCCTGCGGTGAAATCCCCATCATAAAGCACCCTTTCCGGCTCACAACCGATCCCGAGAGCTGCGGGATCCCCGAGTTAAGCCTGTCATGCGAGAGCAATATAACTGTGCTGAATCTGCGCAGCTTCGGCAGGTACTACGTGAAGGCGATCGACTACGACAACTTGACAATCCGGTTGGTGGATGATGGGGTGGTTGAGGGCAACTGCTCTTCCTTACCCACTCATCCTATGCTCCCATTGAGGCTTTTCGACTCTTTTTATTTTTATCGGTTTTCTCGAGGCTTGGCTCTGATCAACTGCGACAAGCCTGTTGTCCATTCTACTACGACACCACCATTAGTGAATGTGGAAACAAGTCCTTGCATCGATTTCGGACCAAATTCTTCTTCTTCGACGAGCTATGCAGTTGTTGGTAGTGATCTAGTGTTGTCAGATTTGCCAGAGACGTGCAGAGTGGAGATGACAGCTATGTTGCCCATTACCAGTAACTACGGTTATTACAGCAGCAAGGTCACGTTTCAAGAAATTCACCGCCAGCTTGAATATGGGTTCCAGCTTACATGGTACCATGGTGCGCAATTTGAACCGAAAATTCTGTTTGTTGAGCTTGAATTTTGCATAAAGTATGTCATAATGTGATTGATATTAGCCGTATTAACATGAATTCTAGGTTGATGGGTATTATTGTTTGCTGCATTGGTATATAGTTTAATCTTAACCTGGAATTATTTTACATTGTTAAAAACTCGATTTGCCAGAGGTGATGAACAGAAAACAAATTCTTATATATTTCTCTCCATGTATTGGCTTTTTTCCCCACTTCATTTTGCACTCAATTGACTGAACATTTGATCGTTTTTTCTTTAATGAAGAGCAATATTTCGGCGTCTTCTTGGGTGCAGTCAATATCCTTACGGGCGGTACACTTTTTCCAACTTTCTTCGTCTAAAAATTAATGGTTCCACCTTATTTGTTGTACTCCACGATCATCAGCTCCAAGCTATATCCATCAAATGACAAACTGATAATTATACATTCCTTCTCCACAGTTGTCTTATATCACCTGCTCCTGCTGGTACTTGGCACCCCTGTAGTTGTTGCACTTCTGGTGTATAGATGGCGGAGGAGGCATCGGTCAGCATATCGCAGCATCGAAGAGTTCCTCCGAAACCAAACCAACCTTGTGCCAATAAGGTACTCTTACTATCACATCAAGAAAATCACAGGTGGGTTCAAGGACAAGCTAGGCCAAGGCGGGTTTGGATCCGTCTACAAAGCAAAGCTACGTGGTGGCGGTTTTGCCGCCGTCAAAATGCTTGGGACCACCACCAACAACAACAACAACAACAACAACAAGCCATCTGCAGCTGCTGCAAGGGGAGGGAAAGGGCAGGACTTTATGAATGAGGTTGCCACCATCGGCAGGATTCACCACGCCAATGTGGTCCGCCTGATCGGTTACTGCTCCGAAGGATCAAAGCAAGCTCTGGTCTACGAGTTCATGGCGAATGGCTCTCTTGACAAGCACATCTCTCAATCTCACCACAAGGATGGTGGTGGTGGTGGTGGTGGTGATGATGATGATCAAAGGAGTACCGTCACCTCTTGTTTGAGCTTCGAGCAACTGTACCGCATCTCTCTGGGAGTGGCACGCGGGATCGAGTATCTGCACCGTGGGTGCGAGATGCAGATACTCCATTTCGACATCAAGCCACACAACATCCTCCTGGACGAGAACTTCACCCCCAAGATATCCAATTTCGGGCTGGCGAGGCTGAACCAAGCCGGTCGGGACAACGACATCGCGACTCTGACTGCAGCAAGAGGGACCATTGGGTACATGGCACCAGAATTGTTCTACAAGAACATTGGAGGCGTCTCTAACAAAGCAGATGTCTACAGCTTCGGGATGCTGCTGTTGGAAATGGCCGGGAAAAGAAGGAACTCGAATAGCGCAGCGACGGATCAATCAACTGCTTACTTCCCCTCCTGGGTTCATAACCAAGTCTCTACGCCAGGGACTCCTATTGTAGTGGGAGAAGTCACGGAGGAGGAAGAGGACATTGCCAAGAAAATGGTGATAGTAGGATTGTGGTGCATTCAGACCAGTCCTTCCAATCGCCCTCCAATGAACAAAGTGGTGGAGATGCTTGAAGGCAACTTGGATAGCCTGGAATTGCCTCCGAAACCTGTTTTGTATGCAAGAGAAGCTGTTATAACGAACGAAGAAGGATCTTCTTCTTCATTCGTGTCATCCGAGTATACACAATCAGTTATCATTAATCAATAAGTACTAATGCTACCAAAATAATGGTACTGCAATTCTTAAACATGTTTCCTCATGAGTTTTCACTAGTACTGGTCATTATGTGTTAGCTATTTTCCATCACGTTATGTACTAATTCCCTTTCCGGATTTGTGTGTGTCTGTCCTTCCTGTTAATCTCAAGATCTTCTTTCTTTCTGTTCGCTTTAGCAGTTCAAAGGAGTTTCTAGGCTCTAGCTACTTAAAAGTCTGGATTATCAAAATAAAAGCGACAATCAAAACTAAATGGAAAAGGAGGAAGAGGTAATATACAATCAGTGCAAGCTTGTAGTTTAGAAGTTCGTCACTTTCACCCACACCAACTCAGAAAACGAGATATGCTGCCTAACCTTTTTATCCATTAATAATGTTTTTCTTTTTCCTGGTCAGATTCCATTAAGAATTTCGAAATCACAGACAAGTTCTGTGATTATTATTAAATAAAAAAGTTAGCTAAAGCACCTGACTTCCACTTCTAAAAAGTGGGAAGGACCCCAGATTCCAGGGTGTCCACTCTCCTCCTCAGCTGTTTCACATTCACATGGTGGCCATAATTTGACTGTTCAAAGACTGTATTTAGAGTAAAATATCCACAAAAAAATGATTGGGAAGGCTTACAGTGAACCTTGCTGGTGTGGTTACTGGACAAACGCAAGATGGATCCCAGAGACGAACATGGCTGATATTGCCATTAGAATTATAGCTTGTGACTCCATCAGAAGATGGGCAGACTTGTCTGCACCTGTGATCATCTCTTTCCCAGCTCAGCTAACGTAGCCTCTGAAATTCCAGTACCAGGTTCTTCAACCTCAGCATCACGAGACAATATCAAGTCCAACAATGACAATCCGCATGATGGTACAATGCATTATGTGACTGACAGGTTCCTTGACAATAGCGAGTCCAAAACCCTATTGATCAAATCAACCCAAAGGAAACTCTCGTTTGAGAAATGTGACACATTACATGACAATACTTTATTCCTCCTTTGGTTTTCTCGTCCCACTAACAGAGGGAGTGGGAAACACCAACATTATTATCTTATATGTAAAAGCTAGCTACGCTTTATTGGGGCAAACTTCCAACTACTGTTTCATTATTTGTCACCTACTGAAAAACGGCATTTGGCTCTCTCTTCCATCTCCCCACTATGGCCTTCCTCAATTGCTTGCCCAAAGCCGCCGTCTCGCCTACCCGAATTCGGTCTCCATCACCGCCATGTACCTGCTGCCCAGCTCCGGTCCAATCAAACTCTCCTTCCGTATGCGAAACCCACACCACCTTGCCGCACAATCCGCGATTGCGGCCCCCCTGCTGTCCTCTCCTTCCTCCACACGTGAATTGACTTTGCCTCTTTCACCGGGACCATGCTTTTCTGGTCAGCACGCCATTCCGTTTCTGCTAGACACGCTACCTCCTATCAATTGTAGGACTATGACCTTGCCCCTCTCGATTAGTGAAGCAGCGACCTCCTCCGAATTGCTCCTCTCCAATTCGTCTCCACCCCCTGGCTTCATTTTTCTCTATCCCACTTTACACGACCGCCGATTAAGCTCGCTATCACTTTCACTGTCCAATAGTGTTGCCTTCTCTGATTTCAGCCTTGGATAGAAGGAAATACCGTCGGGACGGATTCATAAAGTTCTCAGCTTTGACAGATGAATTGGTAAGTTCCCTCTGCTATTGCTTCCTTCTAACTAACGATTTTGCCTCCCGCTAATTCTCTGCATGGTTTTCGATTTCTTTTCTTTGAAATCCCCCATTCTCTTTTGAATCTCTGTAGTGGAAACCCTACTATGGCAGACGGTGGTGGGCCGCAGCTGATCAATCCAAAGAAAATTGGCTCCGCGTCAATCTTTGTTGTAAGAAAATTGCCTTTGTTTTTGTCCGCCCCGGCGCTCAATCTTTGACTACGGAAATCGAGACGGGAGCCGCGGAGAGCCATTTCTGCAACCGGTTCTTTGTCGTCGCCGCCACCGTCGATTTCATCATCCCCACACCTTTTCTTTCGCGATCGATTGAATGGCTACGAATCGAGAGAGAGACCTAAAGAAACCGTGACACTGTTGAAGCTCCCGAAAGCAGCTGAATCTTCCACCACGTCTGTTTCCTCTCTAATCTAGGTATATTTTGTGCTTCTTTTCCCCTGAAAATTGCTGCTTAGAACATGCTTATCTTGAATCTTATGCCTTTTCTTTTTTCTGGATGGGAAAAAAGAAAAGTGTTGATTCCGTTTTGAGCGGATGCCTGTGATACGTTGGACAGAGGCACCAAACGCAACCAATGTCTTAACAGTTACACTAGGCTGTGTGTTCGAATGCGAACGAGTTGCTGTTTATTATTGGCCTGATTGGTGTAACTATGAAAGAGCTGTTGTTTTTATCATTATGATGGACTATTATGCTTACACTAGAGCTAATTTTGGGAACATAGTGTAGACTGTACATCTGAGAGTGGGGTAACATTTGCAGTTTTCTCACTCGGTTCTCTAGCTTCCAACCCAAACCTATAAGTAAAAGATTATATTTTTTGTTGTTCCTATGGCAGTGCAAAAGTTGCGGGTAAGAGGATAGACAACGATGTCACGACTCCTGTTGGAATCAAAGATACAAGCAGTGGTGAGTGATTTCCTCTGCCTTTCAGATTGTGGATGGATAGAAGCAATGCTGGTTATTTTTTTTCCTGATTTCCTATTCCTTTCAGCACTAGGTTTGTCGCAGCAAATTTCCTTTGGTTGCTTGGTTGTGGGGAAATAGCATCTGTTTCCAAAATCTCATATTGTCCCAAAGTCGATCCAACTTTATCACCTTGCTCTGTTCTAAAAGATGAGTCCATTCCTTTGATTCATCTGTCATTCATACCTTCAATTAAACCTAGCCTCTTTGGCGATTTTTGCTAAAGCTATTAGTGGATAGAAGCAACTTTACTCTTTGTTTACGGGTTGGGTTTGTAATTGCTTCTTTCTGGGTTTTGTTTCAAACAAACTGGGTAGCATTTTTTCTTGAATGCTATTTATTGCTTCATTGGTTTAAATTTGGTTTGCTCTTCGTCAACCTCACTGCTCTCTGATCCAACTCTAATTCAAGATAATACATTATGAAAGAATTTTATGGTTGACTCCTGATAAGTGGTAACTAATCATTCCAAATATAAAAGTTTACTGCCTACTGGCTTTTGGTCCAACTTACAGTCGGCTAGAGAATTTACACAATAGTCTCACTAAAGTTAAATATGGCTGCCATCTGTGTTTATACCATACTTAATTTTTGTTATCAAATTTCTCAATTGAATTTGGGGTATGTTGGATAATTTACTTAATAGTCTCATTGGATGCATAGTTGAGGGTCTTTAGTTTCTCATACACGGTAATGAGAGCATGTGGTCTTATTGTACAAAAATCTCTATTGAGGGCTTTATGTTCATTTGTCCCCACCTGGTAATTTTGCATCCAACTGTGTTGCATTGTAAACCTAGGTGCTTATGATTCTCTGATGTTCAGGTTTTGATGTGCCAACTCTGTCCGGTTAGTATTGTTTTGAACTGTATATGTATCTCTTTGTATTCCCAGCATGGGCATAACATTATATCATGGAAACACGGTTTACCTATAATTATATATGGTTGTTAGTTGCCTTCAATATTGCTCAACGCATTAGTTAAGTCCAATGAACCACTGATCATAATTTGAGAGTGCAGTCTATCTGGCTTACTTCAATGCTTGAGTTATCTTTTTCACTTCGATGCTTCTTGCTTGATTCTAACTCAGATTGAGCTTTCAAGATCCCCTTTTTGGTGCTTGCCCACCTACTTTTCAATGGATTTTTAAAAAGATTCTTTCATAGTCCAGGAGTGCTTCATTATTTCACATTTCAGTGTTCCAGTAATGCTTCATTAGTCCAAATTTCGGTGTTCTGTGAGCAATGCAGACCCTAGACAAGAGGTTGGTTCACCTTCTCATGCTATTTTATCCTGGTACTTGCCATTTAGATTTGCATTTGCTGCTTATACGGTCCAGAGGTTGTAGCAGGGACATCAAACCCAACTATGCAGTGCAGTTTTTCCAAATTTTCATGCATGCTCGACACTTAGAAATTAGTAACCCTGTAGGAAGTTATCAGAGACAAAGAACCAGCTGAAAGAACCTTCCTTGCTTTTCTGCATTTGCAGTTTTGTTATGCTGTCTCTTGCATGGTCTATCTCGGTGTCTAGATGTCGTTGATATTTTGCCCGATAACGGAATTGCATCTCAATGGACGTACAAATGATAGTTGTGTGTACCACAAATCAAAGTCTTTTATGCAACTGATTCAGATTATTAGATCCTCAAGATATATTTGACTTCCATATCGCAAAAATTATGGTTTTATTTTCGTAATTACTAAAACAAACCTGACCATACCCTTCAATGTCGTGTTCTCAGCTGCAACTACACCGTCGACACCTATTAAGCTTTCAGAGAGTTATACCACAGCCGCGGTACGTGCCAGGCTCCAGTCACCTGTCTCAGCTGGGTATGTATTATTTATTCTACAGCGTACGTGTGTGCATCACCTCGACTTCATTATCCTTTACTTTAAACTCCTTCGTATAGGTGCCTTGGCATTGGTAGTTATGATTTTAGCTTTGCTTTCTGACGTTTAAGGAATGGTACAGTTGACAACTTTACTGTTCAAGGAGGCTTGAAGAAGACTTTGCCCTACTGATATAGTTTATGCCCTTTTTCCTAATTCATGGAGTCGATCGGCTTTTTATTATTTAACTTACTCATGTTTTTTTTTTGTCTGCATATTCCTGAAACACGTATGTTTGTTTCCCATTTGTTCCCCATTTTTTATTTGAACTTAGACTTGCTCATCAGTCATCACCATTTAAAAAGGCTATCGGATCTTAATTTTGGATTGGTTGTGTCCAAGTCATAGACAGTCACGGGTGGTTTTCATGAATTACAAAAGATTCATTTGGTGCTCAAAAAAGATTCATTTGGTTTCCTAATTAGTAGGATTTTCATTAAAATTAGACTAACCTAAGATTATGCTTGCCTATACTAATTATAGAATGTACTAAGTAGTTCTGTAATTGTATCTTTCGTAGGGAAAAACTACATTTAAGTTAATTCCTTAATTGTATCTTTACTGTCATTGACTACGTTCATTATGTGCTTCTAGGTTTATAGATTTCCCAGCCCCAAGCCAGCAGTATGATCCAACCCCTCTTGATTCAATCATTTCACGTGCCGGCTGCTTTCCTGTCTGCCTTTCGTTGCTGGCTTAGTAAGGAGTGAGGAGTCAAGCCACTCAGGCTGAAGAGTTAAGATCTTTGTTTGCACCAGTTCAGTATGCCATTGTGCTTATGTCGCGTGGATGGCATGACACTCATATGTCTTTCCTCAAGCATGGAAAATTATTAGCCGACTGATGTGTCAGCAACATGTCTACTTTCAGTTTAGTATTAACAATCTCAATCTCAGCCTCATATTGATTAGTAGAAGGAATGCCCACAAACATGACTCTCCACCTCCTTACATCAGAGAAAACTATGACAGTCTGCATTGACCATAAACTAAACTTCCCATCAATTCATCCCGACTCTGCAACTAAAGTCCCCGCGGCGTAGCAGCGGGCATTTTTCTAGTCCTTTTTTAACAATTAAAAAGAGTTAAAGCTCCTTGGTGGCGAACTTTGGTTAATCTGACCTCCGAAGTTCACTCTTGAATTGGTTTATGCAGGCAATCATGACGAGAGTAAGGCTTCCCCTCCTCTGTCATACTGTTGTAGTTCGATTTATCATCTCACCATTATTCATTTTGCTGCTACTCCTACAAGCTTGCCACGCTACTGATGGCCGGGTGGACAGTGTACCTTCCTCCTGTGGAAACATACCCATCATTAAATCCCCCTTCCGACTCAAAACCGATCCCGAGAGCTGCGGAGACCACAATTATACCCTCTCATGTGAGAGCAATACAACGGTTCTGTATCTGGGATCTGCAAGATACTATGTGCAGGCAATAAACTATAAGAACTTGACGATTCGGTTGGTGGATGATGGTGTAGCTGAAGGCAACTGCTCCTCCTTGCCCACTCACCCTCTGTCTGAGATCAGCATACCTTCTCACCCCTACTCCGCCACCCAATACGTAAACTTTCTGTTATTCATGGTGGGAGAAGAAAGCTTGAATGAAGCTTTGGTTCTGGTGAGCTGTGAAAACCCTGTCAATTCTCAACTGTATCTGCAAACAGCTCCTTGCATCAACATTGGATCGAAGAGCTCTTTAAGTTATGCGCTTGATGGGAGTCAAATGGTTGCATCAGATTTGGCAGAGACGTGCAAAGTGGAGATGGTGGCTATGCTACCAAAGACCAAGAAGAAGAAAAAGGAGGTTACATTTCATGAGATTCACCAGCAGCTTGAATACGGGTTTGAGCTTTCATGGCAGCAGTACTCGTGCCCCCACTGCCCTCGTCCGTCCCATTGCTACCTTCTCAAGTTTGGCTTTTATCGCTGTAATAATGGTAAACATCATGACACCATATTCGAGTATCCAAAAATCATCCTTGATCTTTCATTGTCATTTTCTTCTTTTCTTCCCTGCACAATTATGATACTCTCTTCATCTACTACTCATGTTTCAAGTGCCTCTATTTTTTCTTTATGAAGGACTGCAGGACTATATTGTCATGTATACATGTGAGACATCTCTAAGGCCTTCCTTTACTTGAGTATTACTTTCTGGTAAAAGCACTTTGTAATTCTCCTCCTTCGCCTCTCTTTGTCTTTTGTAGCACTCTATGGAAGTTGGCTGATTGCGCTTGGTAACACTTCTCCCAACTTTCTTATTCTTTGATTGCTTCATTTCAGTACATCTCCTTCCCATCTGTTGCTTCCTACATCAGCTCCAAGATTCTGATAAAAACTCATTTATATGCATAACTCTACAGTGGTACTGGTTCTAGCATTCACCCGTGCCATTGGAATCCCTCTTGTGATTGCATTTCTGATATACAAATGGAGAATGAGGCATCAATCAGCATATGCCAACATTGAAGAGTTCCTCCAGAAACAAACCCTCATGCCAATCAGGTACTCTTACTCGGACATCAAGAAAGTCACCGAAGGATTCAAGGACAAGCTAGGCGAAGGTGGGTTTGGCTCCGTCTACAAAGCAAAGCTACGTGGCGGCAGCTTTGCAGCTGTCAAAGTGCTTGGGACCAACAAGTCGTCCACGGCAGGAGGAGGAAATGATGGTCAAGATTTCATGAGCGAGGTTGCTACCATTGGTAGGATCCACCACGCCAATGTGGTCAGGCTAATCGGCTATTGTTCCGAAGGATCAAAGCGAGCTCTCGTCTATGAGTTCATGCCGAATGGTTCACTCGACAAGCACATCCTTCACCACAACCAAGGTTCTTTGAGTTTGGAACAATTGTACCACATCTCACTTGGAGTAGCCCGTGGGATTGAATATCTTCATTCAGGATGCGCAATGCAGATTCTGCATTTTGATATCAAGCCCCACAACATCCTCCTCGACCAGACCTTTAACCCAAAGATATCCGATTTCGGGCTGGCTAAGTTGAACCATCCCGGTGGTGATCACAGCATCGCCGCTCTGACAGCAGCAAGAGGGACCATAGGGTACATGGCACCAGAGATGTTCTACAAGAACATTGGAACTGTGTCTTACAAAGCCGATGTCTACAGCTTTGGGATGTTGGTCCTGGAGATGACAGGTAAACGGAAGAATCTGAACGCAGCAACGGAGCATTCCAGCGTTTACTTCCCTTCATGGGTTCACAACGAGGTATCCATGCCCGGGACTCCAATTGCAGTTGGAGAAGTCACGGAAGAGGAAGACAACATTGCCAAGAAGATGGTGATTGTAGGATTGTGGTGCATCCAGACCAATCCTGCCAACCGTCCTCCAATGAACAAAGTGGTGGAGATGCTTGAAGGCGACTTGGAAAGCCTGGAGCTTCCTCCAAAGCCTGTTCTGTATGCTGCAGAAACTGTAACGAAGAATGAAGAAGGATCATCTTCTTCGTCACATATGTCATCCGAATTTACACAATCAATAATCAGTACTGTAAACAATTACGAATCTCCACAATGGTAGTTAATAATAATGCACCTCAAGTTCGTTTCTTCTGGTGAAAACCACAATGGTAATGTTCAATTCGCTCTCACCGTACGGCAAAAGGTTCGAAACAACTAGATTTACCTGAGAGGACTAAACAGAGACGGGGTCCGGCGACTTCGAAGAATTGACGGCAGAACGGATCGAGTCCGAATGAAACCCCGGCCGCCTCGCTCCAGTCTTGACCCTTTCATCTTGGAGACTGCAGAGTGCTCGAGATGGAATCAACGGCGGTCAGTCCACCGTCACCGGAGGAAAAAAAACACGGAATGCCGGATTGAAGAAGGATTCGCGAGCTTAACTGTCGCGGTGATCGGTTCTCCTCCCGCCGGTCAACCCTTTTTTTCATGGATTAATTAAAACGGGCCCGGCCCACCAAGGTTCATCAGCCCAGTAGATTTAACAGGCTTCCGTTTTTGCCCCAACAATCAATAGGGTTGCTTGTCAGGCAAGGTTCCTACTCCTGCTCCACAATCCACCCAATACTGTAAATTTAAACCCTTTCCGCAAAAGCTGTCGCAGTTTCTCTTCTCTGTTGCTGAGCTGCGCGCGGTTTTCTGCTGCAAAAAGGGAGGGAAAATGGCAGCTTTCAAGCTCTTGAGCGGTATGGACGACGTGGCGCTGAAGCCTCGTCTACTCCTCACGCTGATGAATGAAGATCTTCCCGACGAGAACAGGCCGCTGGAGCCGTCGAAGCTGTCGAGGGTCGTGCCGATGATTAGAACCCACAAGCTCCTGTCGGAACGCTCCTTGGGGACAATGTCGCCGGAGGGAATTGAACAGTGGGAGTCCGCCGTCGATGACTGGGTAGATCGGCTGCGGTCACTCGTGGCTTCAGTACACATGGTAGGTACTCTATTCTTTGATTCCCAGCTTCTTCTCGTTGCAGAGAGGGACTTTTCTCTTTTAGTTGGGGTTTCTTCTTTTTGAGCGTTTCAAATCGTTAAAGTTGGTTCCTTGGTAGAGTAGAGTTACTGCGAATTGCTTCTCTTGCAGACTTGTGTCTGTTGTAAATTTTATCAATTCTGTGTTTCTGTTTATAGCCAGAAAAATGTTGGGCTGGTATATGTTTGGTAGGAGTAACCATTGAAGAGTGCAGCTCTGAGCGTCTCGCGATATCATGGGAGGCCTGGTTTGACCAACTTGTATCAATCATGCAGGTATATAACATTGTCCCTTTACCTGGAAAATTTTGCAAGTTTGACAGTTCTTAATTACTTATTAGTCCACTGTTCTGAAACACTCGGTGAGTTATATGTCTCGTGTTCTCCATACAGCGTTCTGGCAATTCGCCATCTCTGAAGGTGGCTTCTTGTGCATCGATCTCGCATCTGCTTACAAGGTGCTTGTTTTCTTCAGAACCATGTTTCTTCTCTCCCAGCAGCTCTCTTAATCTTGAGGCTATGACCTATCTGAATTAGGTTGTCTGGATCCCCGGAGTGGAAGAGAGATTGCAGCGCTCGTGCTAGGAAACTCGCTGAACTACTTCTGAAGATGTTGAATGAAGATAATCCTCACACTTTACAGGTTTGGGCTTTCTAGCTGATATCTTTATGAACAACAATGAAATCCCCCATCATAAACACCCGTTAGACAGCCTTTAAGCTCATACTACTGACATAATAGTAGCACTAAAAGGTTACTCTTTTTTACTGTGCACATTTCAATTGGTAACTCTGTGCATGTGTTGGCTGTGGCATACAGGAAAGTGCAGTGCATCTGTTATGCACTATCATAACTACATTTCCAGCCTCTCTTTGTGGATATAGTGACATAGTAAGTCTTTTCTCTGTTGTAACAGCTTAAACATGAGTTTTTTTTTTTTTGGGTGAAAAAGTGGGACACTAAAAGGTCGTCCCTGCCTGGCACTTTGATTAATCGAGTTCGGGCAATGCCCATGATATCATACAGAATTCAGAAGTTTAAACATGGATCCGAAACATCAAGAATACGAGGACCAATACTAATGGAATGACCTTTGTTGACAATATAGTCTGCCGCCTTATTACATTCTCTATAAATATGAGAGATTTTCACCTCCCAATTTTGCTGAATCACTCTGTGGAACCATCGAGATAGGATGAAGTACGTATCGTTCCTTTCTTCATCGGAAGTCTGGATATGATATGCCGTAGTCGAGTGAATGTGAATGAATATTTTCTGTTACCTTGTTCCCAAGCTAGCTGCAGCCCCTGTCTAGCGCCTTTGATCTCTGCTCGTGTAGTAGTGCATATGCCAAGATTAGAGATAAAAGCATTCAGACATTTCCCTGTGTGGGCCCGTAGTAAACCTTCTGCTGCAGATTTGGAGCTTGGTTGCTGCACTGAGCCATTTGTATTGATCATAACCCAGTCCATAGGTGGTGGGATCCATGAGAGATCATTAAGAGTTTTCCTGCGCTGAACTTGTTGTAGTTTACCATTCTTTTTCTTGTGATTGGACAATGGTTCTTGTACAGCTCTGTATTCTTTGAGCCAGAATGGAAGCCTCCTGCCTTTTGTTCTGGAAAAGCCATTCATTTCTCCTCTTCCACAGGTACCATGCTGCGACTCCAAAAATCAGCCCGAAAACAGGATCCTTGAGGTGGGTATTTAGCCAACCTGTCAAATCAAGGTCGATAGTGAGATGTGTATCCACAATTCCGAGCATATTCCATACCTGTGTTGTTTTTGGACAGTAACGAAGGATGTGTTCCGTTGATGTGTTCCGTTGTGACAATAAAGGGTCTGTCCTCTGCAGGTGGAAAAAGCAATTACGTCAAAACTGATCTCAGGCAATGACAGTCCTGATTTGCAGAAGGTTCCCCATCTTAACTTCTGGCTTTCTTCTTCTCGATCTTGGCTGACTTCGTACCACCGAAATTTCGTATCATCATGAATTTTTTAGCATCTTTCATGACACATCTTCTGTTCAATCTTTTGACGTGCAGAAGCTTGCCCATGCCCTGGCATTACTTCCCAATATTAACCGAGGCAAAGATAGGTGGCTTTCAATACTCAAGAATATTCTGTGGCTGCTGAATGGTTCATTAACTGATGCCTTCCGTGGAATGGAGGAAAGTATGTGTTAGTAAGAACTCAGACATTCCAATCCTAGTGCAAATGATATCGCCCTAACTATCTCTCTGTCTTGTAGAAAGTAAAGGGGACGCAGCAACTAAATTTTTGGGGGGAAAGCCAGGAATGATTTGGAATCAAAAGTTGGAAGAAAATGTTTTGGGCGCGGAAAAAAGGATGGCTAAATTACACACTGCCATGTTACTGATGTCCAGTTGTTTAACAATGCTTGCAAATTCATACCATGTCCAGGTAATGGTTCGATGATTAGTTTGTGTTTTGAAAGCATCTTTCACTTGAAGAGGATTTCTGAAGTAGCCATGGATGCATCATTCATGACGGTTTGAATAAAAAGAAGCATCTTTATCTGATACTTATTTGGCTTATTTGCAATCTACACACAGGTAAAGCTTCCTGTTCGGTCACTGTTAGCCCTTGCGGAAAGGGTCGTCATGGTTCATGGTTCTTTGCCAGATGCCAAGTTGCTTGCAGCCGAACAAGAGTGTGTGTGTTCAGAGCTCCCTGCTCTGCATTCATATGCTCTAGAGCTCCTCTCTTCTGTAATAGAGTGCTTGCGCAGGTAAATTCCTGTGTCGTTCTTTGTCCATATCGTCTTATGCTTGAATCTTGATTTGGCTGACCAGCTAGGTTTTTCATGTGTTTGTTTCCTTGGTAGTCAACTACTGCCGCATGCTGCAGATATTATCCAACTTGTTACAAAGTATTCGAGCAGGTGTCAAATGCCAGAGTTGAGAGTAAAGCTGTATTCAATTTTTCAGATGCTGCTCATATATGGAGGTGCCGGTAAGTCGATCTGTCAAACTAATTTTCCCAGTTTTTAGCTGTGAAAGTTTTCCTTGTAACAACTGTTCTTTGCTTAAGCGATACTGCTTATGTAATGCATTTCGATACACTGTACATTAGTAAGTTCTACTCTCGACAGGTATGACAATCTATATCGGGCAAATGGTCGTCGACAATGCCCTCGTTGATCTGAATGTTATTGCTGCTCATGCAAATGAGAACAAGTCAGCTGTAAATTCAGTAAAAAAAGCTGCACTCGAGGCGATAAAAGCTTTACTAACCGTGGTATTTATCTTGTACAGTGTCGTATCATTTCAGTAATCTGTAGATCTTTATTGACCAAGTAAAGAAATGTTTAGTTCTGGTCTTCACAGCATATAGTGGTGGCCTCGAGAAAGGTAGTCTGGTTTCAGTCAGCAACCTCTATGAATGAGACAGTTTTGGTTTCCTTTTGGTTGCCAGGGTGGTGCTCTTGGATCTCAACCTTGGCGATCTAGTATTGATAATCTTGTAATGAACATGGCGAGCAAGAGTTGTACAGATAGATGGAGGAATGAAAGGAGTGTCTCGTCCAAAGACCACCTTTCGATGGATTCAGATATTCAATTTGCAGTACTGGAGGCACTTTTGGCATCTCTCCTTTCCTCAACTCACACTCGCCCCCTTCATTTAGGGCAAAGCCTTGAGCTTTTCAATAGAGGTAAACCATTCACTTTGCCCCATCATGTCATTGTAAAATGGCTGTATTTCTGATCCAAAACTATTCCTCGTAAGTTCGATTTGGGATATTGTGCAGGCAGGCGAGAGGCAGGATTGAAGATCTCCGAATTCTGTACCCACGCACTCTTAGCCTTGGAAGTGCTCATCCATCCCCGCGCATTGCCATTGATAGACCCTCTCTCCATGAACCCAAGCACGCCATTTTCCAGATGCAATGATCATGAACCAGCGCTTGATGGCAGCCACCCTGATCCAACAACCAGTGACATACTAATCCAGAGATGGAGACTCGACACCATGGAAACCGAAGAAACTGTTTGTGAAACAACCAGAGTCGATCATCCATCAGGACAGAACACTTCCACGGGTAATACAGAGGTCGAGATGACCGATGAAACTCCGATGATGATGCACCATGCACAGCCTAATAATGAAACAACACAACCACAACCACAGCCTCAGGAACCTGGTTTCTTAGAAGAAATCGACATGGAAGAAGAAGAAGAAGAAGAAGAAGAAGAAACTGCATCCGAAACAGGCAGAATCGTTCATCAATCAGGACATAACCCTTCTGAAGCTAATGCAGGGGCGGATATGAATGATGAAGCTGCAATGATGGTGGATTACGACGTGGATGAAGGATCGGAGAGAACGGAAGATTTTGCTGAATCAGATAATGAGTCAACAGATTCAGCTCCATGTATCAAGAGAGTTCCCCCGGATTCAAAGCTGTTGGGGAACCTTACACGGCGCCACCTTCTGGTTGGTGCTGTGGGTTCAAAGCAAAAGCTGAAGTGACGTTACAGAGTGGGAGAAAGCGGCCTTTGGCCTAATGGCCTTGCATTTCATGTTTCTGTTTTCCATTTTGTTAATTGTTAATTAGCAACCAATAATGATATTATTAGTATTATCAACAAATTGCAGGTGTGTCTGGTTTGCTTGGATAGCAAGAAAGAGTTTTATTAATTCATATTATATGTTCCTTTTTGTTCTTTTTTTTATAGTGCTAAGTGTGATCTAATTATGAGACTATGGACACATGTTGGATCTCTACTATTTTCTTAAGTGCATGTGTTAAACATATTTAGTGTATTTTTCTATTGTATTTTCTTGTTTATTAGACTTAAGTACTTAACGCATCCGATAATAAATCCATACAAAAAATGTAATAATATATGTTGTTTGGTACTAAATTGATACTTATTCCGACAAACGTAAAAAAAAACATACCAACGAGTTACAAGAAGAGGAAATTAAATAGAAAAGCATACCCTAAGTCGTAGTTTGATAACTACTATTGATGACAAACTGTAACATTTAAGTTGTACTTATTGAAAATTTATTCGTTCATAACACATTTTCAAAAGTTTACTGGTTGATCTCCAATCCGACTTCATAATAACGTTCAAACTTTACGTTACGTTGATAACGATCATGATTGCTCAACCTGCACATGATGATTGCTCAATTTATTACATCAATTTTAACAAGAAATCAAATTTTTACGGCTCTTCGTTTCATCCATTCGAACCAACACGTTTTTTATTAATCTTATTGATATTTTGTACTAATTTCAATTTGTAACAAACCATTTTGCAAAGAAAATACAACTCCAATCAAACACTTCATTAGACTAAAATAATTTCTATTATCAGTTTAATATTCTCTAATCTTTCTGCATATTCTTCGCATAATAAAATCTTTTTAGTTTTCTCCTTTACCTCCCCTTTCCGTCAGGGGAAAAAAGGTTGAATTTTTAAGTTAGGAGCTCTCCTCAATTCGCAGCTAATAGCACGCAAGCGAATTCAAGCTTACAGAGAGAGAGAGAGAGAGAGAGAGAGATTTTCAGAGCGAACGAGAGACAGAGAGAGAGAGAGAGAGAGAGAGAGAGAGAGAGAGAGAGAGAGAGGGTAACGCAGGTCGGGGAAGGGTAGAATTGAGGAGCGCCGTGGTGGGAGCTGCGGATCTTGTGTCCTGAGATTTCCACCCCGCCGGCAAGCTTGTTTGATCCCTCCGGAGAATGCGTTGTTGACGGAAGCTATCACATCTGAGGTCGTCCTAGCTCCTCCTTTTTTCCCGCGTTTCTTCACCCCTTCCGTTCCTTTCGGTTTGTCGGCGGAATGTTTGGGTTGTGAATTTCGTTGGCGGTGGCGAGAGATCTGATTCGTTCGCCGCCGCCGGCATTCCTGGTTCCAGATCCTCTATGCCGCCGTAACCGATCTCTGAATTTCCTGTTTCATGTTGCCTGCCTGTGAATTGGGGATCTGATTTCCCCTTTTCCCCAGCTAGATTCAGCTCATATTATGGGGAAGGAGGTTTGTCTGCGGGAGCTTAAATGTTTGCTATGAATTGTTGCAGATTCGGCTTGTTAAAGCATCTGTAACGGACATTTTGGTGAAGATATGAAAAAGGGCATGATAGAATGCAGCGTATGCCATTCCAAACTGCTGGCATCTCCGTCTTCCAAAACAGTTTCGAGGGCTTATGACAGGCACAAGAGCAGGGTGTCGTCCAAGCAGAAAGCCCTCAATGTGTTGTTGGTTGTGGGCGATTGTATGCTAGTTGGCTTACAGGTAATTGATCTGGGGCTTTTCTTTTCTTGCTCTTTTTAACTGTGAAATTGAGCTGGCAGTACTTTGGACGGTAAAGAGTGTAGGCAGGTACTGGGATGCTTTAGCTGAACTGGTTACACAGATCTCTTTTGATGCTCCCAGCTTATGCTGCGTGCAGACTTGTAATGTAGAGTTATACAGATAGGTCTTGTACATTGTTAATTCTAGTTGACTGATGCATCCTAGACAGGATACGTGATTTTGCGGATGATTGACGGGGAGCTTCCTTTTGAACAAGGGTATACCAGAAATTGTAGCATCACCATTGTTCTCACTGTTCATTGGTTGGAAAGATAGGATAGTATTTTACTCTTATTTCTGATAAGTTGAGATGTGGGTTACTGAAATCCTTCCTGCTTGACCGCTAAACTGCTATGTTGGTTAAGCTTAGGTCTAGTGGGTGAAACATTGATGTTTTTCTGCTTTATGTTCATGCCTTCATGATTGTGTTGTATTTTTGTTGCAGGCTTCTGGGTTTCTTACAAATAACTGTCATTTGTTTAGGAATATGCTTAAGTTCCTAATTTTCTTGCATAGGAATACGCTTAAGTTCCTAATTTTCTTTCATATCTGGCCTCTTCTTGCAGCCTATATTGGTGTATATGTCCAAGGTGGATGGAAAATTTGAGTTTAGCCCGATAAGTGTCAACTTCTTGACAGAAGTGACAAAAGTCGTATTTGCAATCGTTATGCTTATTTTACAGGTATGTAAAAGTATATCCCTCTACTAACCTTGATTGATGCTATTGGTATATATTTGCTTCTTTATTAAGTCATGTAATGGTTGTGTAGGATTGTTTGAGACGTTTCCTCTGTATGGTGTAGTTCTAGTTTGCTTTGGTTGGCCACCTTTTGGATGTATCTTATCATGTCATTGTCTGCTTCATGCAGATGTTTTGATGCATGAGACCTAGTGGACCCATATTATGTAGTGCTTAACAAACCACGAGTGTATTTGAACCCCTGAACTTCAGTATTAACACGATGAACCACGGATCCCAGATATTGCTTGTTGTGATTTAATGTATCTGTGTTCCTCTGAAGAGGTTGATCTTGCTATATAAACATGATAATATTGCTTTACCTCGGTGTGTAAGAAGTTAGGGACTGAGTTGGGGAATCTCTATTAGTGTGAGAGAGGATGGGTAGGGTGGTATTGTGGCGGAAAATGCATAAATATAATGGTTAGATTCCAGAGGCCTGGTCCCCCTGAGTATCTTGCTGTGTATTTCATTAATTTTATGTTGAGTCATGGTTTTTCTTTTTACCTGATGAGGAAGATTTCCCCTGATTCTGCAGGCTAGAAGTCAGAAAGTCGGGGAGAAGCCACTTCTATCGATGTCTACTTTTGTACAGGTACGTGTGTGATATTAGTAATCTATCATAGATGAAACTACCATTTCAGAACACAGGCTTGATTTTCGAGCCTCCTCTGTGCCCTTGGCTTTACAAGAGGAGTGTGTATTTTGTCTTCATTTTGTGGTGACAGTGAACTCGAATCTTTACCTTCAAATACTTTTGAGGCTTTTAACCAATCATAGTGTAACCTGCACAGGATGTATATTTGTGTTTGTTGTGGACTCTTCGTTTTGTCTGGTCACTAAGTTAGATATGATAAATTATGCTAATCAATATTTTTGACAGGCAGCTCGTAACAATGTCCTCCTTGCGGTTCCTGCGCTTCTCTATGCTATCAATAACTATCTGAAGTTCATAATGCAGGTAAGGGTTCTGTGTTATCTATCATATGGATCTGCTTAATGATTTAAGTTTGCATAAAAAACGAAGATGAATCTGCTATGAAGTTTATACAGCAAGTGTTTATAATTTGGTTGGTTATCAATGCTGTCTTTAGCTGTGAAGTGGGTCATACAGAAAATGTTTACGAAACCGTGGAATATAAAAGTAAAACAAGGAGCTACAGCTGAAGTAGCAGCAAGAGATTATTTTCCAAATAATTTTGGCAAACAGGTACGGTGCTCTTTAAGGAGGAAGGAGAAGGTGTGGGGACGTTGAAAGGCCATATTTTCGAATTAGCTAGGTTTATACATTTTTCCATCCGCAAATTTAGCTAGGTAGTATTCTTTTTCAAAGGATGGCTATGAGGGTCTGGTGTATGGAGTTTGATGTTTCGAATTTGCTTTTTTGCTCCTCTTTTCCGAACAAGATGTTGTGAATCACTTGGTTGAGAACTTTTGTTTATTTTGCAGCTTTATTTTAATCCTGCAACGGTGAAGATGCTTAGCAATTTAAAGGTATTTATTTTCCATTGCTTACCTGTGTTATGGGCTCTAAGTTGTTATATTCGTAGAATTTATTGGCATCTGTGGAATGGGTCTGTTTGAAAAAGATTTGTGTTTTTTTTATTTAGCTGTAATTGTTTAGTCGAAATCATGTGCTGAGTACTTAATTTTGGAAATATGATCGAAGAAAACCATAGGAATTCTAGGCTCTTGTTGGTTTGGACAGTTGTAGCTTTTGTTGGTTTTAAACCATAGGACTTCTTGGCTCTTATGATTGTTTGTAAAGTTTACTATAAATTTATCTTTTACAATTTCTTCCGAAATTAACTTATGTACAAACTTGCAGGTTCTGGTTATTGCTGTTTTGCTCAAGTTGGTAATGAAGCGTCGCTTCTCTATAATTCAGGTCAGTTCTATAAGCCACAAGCACAGTAATTGTACTTCTCTGTGAGCCCTCAGATTCTATTTCTTTGCTTGAAAAATTTAACAACTGGATCATGATTTGTCACAGTGGGAAGCCCTTGCTTTGCTGCTCATTGGTATTAGTGTAAATCAGTTACGCTCATTACCTGAAGGTACTACCGCCTTGGGCCTTCCAGTTGCTACTGGTGCTTATATGTACACATTTATCTTTGTAAGTTCAAATAAACTCCCATTGAAAGTAGTTATTTCTGCTTTGTTGCTGTGGTTAACAACTGGCCCCTTCAACAGTTTCGATTCAAGATTGTATTCACTAAAGATTTTCGCTTATCTTTTTCCTCATTGGTAAATTTCTGAAATTTTATTAGGTAACAGTCCCATCTCTGGCCTCTGTATTTAACGAGTACGCTCTGAAGAGTCAATATGATACCAGCATATATCTTCAGGTAATGTACTACCGCGAAGGACCTTTGGTTCCTATATTGATTAAGTACAGATTTAAGTTTTATGTATTGATGATGCTACTTCATTTAGGCTCCTAGAATACGCTTTTCAGGCTTTCTATTGTGGCCTGTGGCAAGTAGCTGGACTTTTGTGGAGCATTTCCATTAGATTGTCAATCTTGTTGAAATTAAATAACTAAATGAACATGTGATAGCCATGACCTCTGTATTCCTAATTTGTTATCCTCATTGCTAATATGTCTGAAGTTGGAACTAAATAATTGTACATTATATGTATATTTTCAGTTGACGCTTAATATTTTTTGGTTGCAGAATCTGTTTTTGTATGGCTATGGTGCTATATTCAATTTTCTGGCTATACTGGGAATTACACTCGTTAAAGGTATAATCAGGGATCACTTGCTTTTGTATGGGGATTTGGGTGCAGCTGACTAAGTTCTTTTTCTGTTTTTGCATCTTATGGCACAGTTACTGACATCTTGCTGTTTTTGTTGTACTTGATTTCTCAGGTCCCAGTAGCATGGATATCCTCCATGGTCATTCAAGAGCTACCATGCTTCTAATATGTAACAATGCAGCCCAAGGAATTTTGTCCTCTTTCTTCTTCAAATATGCAGGTTTGTTCGGTCTTTTGCCATTGTCTTTCTGGTACGTATCCAAATTCCATCACTGACATGGGTTGGGATTTCTATATCTCCAGACACTATTCTGAAGAAGTACTCGTCGACGGTGGCCACAATCTTCACAGGCATAGCATCTGCAGCAATGTTTGGTCACAAGTTGACAATGAACTTTGTGTTGGGAATTTCAATCGTGTTCATCTCAATGCATCAGGTGTGTGATTTATAAGACTGGGCTATGAACTCTTGGATACATTTGAATCAAGTTGTTAACTAAGCTCCATCATGTATCTTCTGGTTTCTTTTCCTTTTCAGTTTTTCTCGCCCCTTGCAAAAGTCAAAGATGAACCCCATAATGGGGTTATGGAACTGAAGGAAGAGGACCCCCAAAGGTACAGTCTTTTCTCTCCATCTCATTAGTTTCTGGTAAAAGTTGGATTAAGTTCTCTTGTGTTTATCGTGCCAAATACAAACTGTAGTGACTTGTCGCACCTGAATTCATCTATTCTTTCTTCTGCTGAGCCTGAATGCACGTCACCTTAGTAATGGTGGTTCTCGCAAATAACTCAAACATCTTGCACCTGTTGTATTCAGGTCAAAGGAATCGTTCATAAACATGGCAGCCGCTGCAAATGAAGAGGTGGGTTTTTATGTTATTGCTTTTATCAATCAACCTGGTACGAACTTCCATCTTGACTAGTTCCAATGTAACATTCTTATGCTCGCCTTGCCAGATGACTCACCGCGTAGGCCATGACGAAAGACAGCCTCTACTTCCTACCTAAAGTTTTGTAGGGTACATATCACATACATGAAGGTACACTTTCATCCATCTATCTCCATTCCTGCCCAAAAAGCCAACCAAAACCAACTCTCGACTTCATCGAACATGTATTTTGGTTTCAGGCATCCCTTCCTGTGATGGGAATTCTTTTGGCAGATGGACTTAACACAGAGTGATAAGTTTGTTGTCCAGAGTCTGCAAAATAATAGAGTAAAGAAAAAGAAAAAGAAGAAATGTTTACAGCTTGGGAATGGGGGATACTATTTGACACCATTAGAGAGAACCCATTAGAAGAAGAATGAGTGAAGTAAAAATGCAGATGGCTGTATTTTTGACGGGCTAGGAGGGTTCACCTGTGTTCATGTTGGACAGTAGATTTATATATATCTTTGTTCTTTTTCACCTTTCTTGATCTATATGTTCTATTATTGTACTCCTCAGAATTAGAATCTTGTGACCTTGTCCACTGTTACAATGTCCATGTGATTAAAGATGAGAGATTTGTTCTTCTGTATTCTGTTCTCTTTGTGATTCAATCATACCTGCGCGACGAGAAAACTATTTCGTTGTAATGGACGTTCTGTTTATGACAGTTGATACAACGGCAGTTTGAAAGTCTAGTTTTTGGTGAGTGAATGGATTGAAGCGTGTCTTTTGCCGGAACCCTTCGGATCGCTTGCTGCAATGTTATGTACTTATGTTTGCTTAGGGCTCTGACTGGTTGTTTGTTTTAGACGCTAAACTCGATTCCAAAAGGATACATTCAATGCTCGTCGTGATCCAAATACTCCCCGAGATTGTGTTTGTCCGGTTACAGGTCGATTGTTATCGATTTGTTACTTGCAATGACAAGATGCATAACAACCTCATGGTTCTTGATCTGCAAGTTGATGTCAATTGATTAGTTTCAACCTCAAGGCAGGATTTGCCATACATACTTGACCTGCAAGTTGGCGTGAATTTATTAGTCTCGAGGCTCGAGTCGCAACACTTACTTGAATGAGTTGGTCTTTTATCGACATATTAGGATTTCTACTGAAGAGCCCCCATAACCCGCAATGAGTCAGTTGTCATCGTAGTCGAACTAAATTGATTTGCTCGAAGAGAGGCCCTTAAGTTACGCGAGGCCAAGGGCTATTCATTTTACATCGTATACTCATCCAAATTGAAATTGTTAAGAACCAAAGATTTGGAGACCCAATTTGTTGGTAATTCTGAAGTTGAGTGACCAGTTTGCCATTGATTCTAAATTTGTTGGTAATTCTGAAATATAATGCATCACAAAGTCAATTATCCACCTCGTCCTCATCACCTCCTCAACCATTTCCCGCCGCGGCCGCCGACGGATTCCAACAAGGAAACAAAGAGCCAGTTCCCTCCGATGAACTCCACGGCCAACACCCTCCGCTTCTCTTCTCATCTCTGTCCCCGCTTCCACTCTCCCGCCAAATCCCCCGCCCTCACCGCCGCTTCCAGATTCTCATCCGTCCGATGCTCCTTCCCCTCCCCGAGCCGCCGCCGTTCTCGCCGCTCCGGCAAGAGGAAACTACTCCAGACCTCGACTTCCACCGCCCGCCCCTCCCTCCACCTAGATGATGACCTCGATCGCGCCGCTTCAGCTCAGAACCTTGAATTGGTCCTCGACCTCGACCAGCTCTCCTACCTCGCTCGTTCCAACCTCCGCCGGTTCATCTCTTCCGGAAGGGACGCGTACGCCGACCTCAGCACCCTCGTGTCCTTCGACGAGAGCAGAAGGATCGTCTTCTCCTGCCGGAAATCGACCGTGCGGTTCACCGGCATGGTTTTGCTCTGCGGATTTGTGATTGTTTCGGCGGTTAGGGTTTTGGTTAGCCTGGGGATGGCGTTTAGGCGGAGTGTAGGGTTTAGGCGGGAGAAGGTTGTGGTGAGGAGAGACCGGAGCCTCGGAGGTAGAGAGGTGGTGGTTGCGACGGCAGCGGTGCCGACGGAGAGAGATGGCGTGAGGTCGAAGAAGAAGAGGTTTGGGATTTTGGATAATCCATTGTCGTCCCTGAGTCTTGCTGTAGGGGGAAATGATTGGAAGAAGTACTTGGCTCGGAGGCAGGACATGTTGCCGAAATGGTGGCCGGCGACGGCGGTTGTGGGGCACGTATTATTGGAGAATCAGGAAGAGTATCAAAAGGAAGCCAAGAGATTGATTCGAGGTTTGCTTTTCTTTTTCTTCCAGTAGATTTTTTTTCCAGCTTTCGATCTTGAACATTCAAGGCATTGAGGTTTAGGAATGCAGGTAGGTTGGTAGGAAGAACTTTTCATCTCTGTAGTGTCATCTAGCTCGAACTGCAATGATTGTGCTGTATAAACAAAACCAGCAGTGCACTCAAAGATGGTTGTCTGCCTTCTGTGCATTTGATGGTTGGTTTACTGGTTTCCATTTTTGAGCTGAACTGAGCGTGGTGGAGTCTGCATTGGAGATAGTGCGGTTGCAAGATACTCAAATATGCTGCAACCATAGAAAGTTCTTAGCTTTATCATTTAAGATCTGAAGCAGAGCGAGGGTGTGGTTACATAGGATTTGAAGACTAGATAATATGCATGATTGATGTGCTACTAGGAACTGTGAGGATTTAACAGTTTTGTACGATCACTTAATCCCTGCACAATGTTACTTCAGTCTTACATTATAGGTAATCTTTTGCATTAACGATGTGCTGATAATATATCCTTGGTCCGATCTTTACTTATTTGTAGGTAAACGTTGCATTTCTGGAAATTGATTTTGTATTTAAATTCATGTCTTTTTTGGGAGTCACTACTCATGAAATTTATTTCCAGCAATCACGGACTATAGAACAAGCGGAAAGGATTTTGCAATGGACGACATAATTCAAGTCAGTGCCTTTCGTATTCTCTTCTCCCTTTATTAGAAAAATGCTGTGAAGAAGTAATAATACTTCATCTCATGGGATCTGGTTTCCTGCCATGATCCAAGAAAAAGTGAATCTGAAATTACGGTCCTTTTGTTTGGTTATCTGATTCAATATGCGGTGGTCTCTCTCTTTCATGCATGTGTGAGCAGTTGCGTCGAATATGCAGGACATCTGGAGTGAAGGTTAGCTTTGACACAACAAACACTCGCGACGCACTCTTCCGTGCATCAGTTGACTTCATTTTAAATTTGTGTAGCAGGTATATGTATTTCATGCCTTCCATCTGGTATGCCAATTTGTGACATTTAGATCTTGCTATTCTTATACATTGAGATCTTTTGCAAGCTTGCAGGAATCCAAGTTACGGAAGCATACCTGAGATTGATGGTGAAGATGTCCGGCAGTTCATTGCTGGTCTTGCTGACAACATTGGGCTTGAGAGCATTCGTGCTGCTCGAATTGTGTCTGCTGGTGTTGCTGCACGCACTCATTCGTGTTTCTTACAGGCTTGGGTAATGTTTGCTCCTTTCTGTAAATTGCATCATTTTTATAAATCTTTAACATGGATTATGAATGAGAACGACCTTTCATTTGCTGCCAAGTGCCAATGGCAAGGAGAGCTAGTTTGTGTATGTACAGGAGGTCGAATCAGACAGTATATGTCTTCGGCCATACTACTTTTGTCTATCTGGTGATGCCTGTAACATATAGCAAAGATCTACTTTAGTCAATTGAAGTGATCAATTTCTTCTGGTATAGACATACCTATATTTTGCTGCCTTATCCCAGAAATGATACAAATGCTATCTAACGATGAAATCGAACTGAAGGATTAGAATATAGCCAATTTCATGTAGTCTCTTGAGTATTAAACAGCTGCTTTAATCCCAAGAGTTATATTATGGAGAGTCTTAATCACTGAACCATGAATGCAATCATAAGGTTCTTATCCAGCGAATGCAACTTCTTTTCTTTTGTTGGGTTGCAGGCTTTGGACGTGCAAGGGAAACACTCTGAAGCAGTAATGGAATTGTTGAGCATCTGTTCTGTTCTCCACACATTTCCTCCCGATGAGTCTTCGGTTTGTTTTCTCCCTATCTTCTTCCTTTTCTTAATTTCTCCTGGTACTACCACTGTTCTGCTAATCGACAGTGATTGGAAACACTTGTTTGTTTGGGGTTTCTTGATGCTCTCGTTTACTTACCTACCATCCAATTGAAGTTTACACTTTTCTCCACTGTTGCTTGTACTGTGTATGGCCTACACATTCTTGTTGTCGGTTTTAGGGGCTGTTATATTCCCAAATTATCGAATCATTGCTATTTGGGATGTTTATTGCTTAACCAAGCTTTGGACTCTCACCTCCTAGAATGCCATTTTAATAATGGTGCTTGAGGGTGGAGTAGTTAGATCATTGTATGCCAATGGTAGAGTTCATGCAAAAAAGCTGGTCACCCCTCCCCTGTTGAATATTGATAGGTTTTTTTTTTTTTTGCCTGTTCGGTGTTCTGCAGCCGGAAATGGAGATGGTAGCGGAGGGACTAGGAAAGCACTTAAAGGTCGAGCAGAGGGAACTTCTGATGGACATGTTCTGCGTGGCTTGCAGCAGTAAAGAGAGCCATAAAAGTGCAGCAGATGCTCTCGGCTTGGTTCGTACCACTTCCTCCTCTCCTTAAGATACTCCCTTCCATACACTCTATCCTTAAATGTTTTTTCCCCCGTGTGTTTTGTGTTCGACTTGGGTTGTTCATTGTTCATGCATTGCTGTAGACGCTCTCATCTGAAGTATCTGAAACTGGGCGGCTTCAGGAAGACAGCAGCAGAAGTCCGGTAGAAAGCTGATCGCGGGCAGGCAGATTCATTAACCCATTAGATCAAGAAGGCAAAAATAGAAGACAAAGACCTTTTAGGCTGTTGTATATGTATAAGCTATTGCCTTCCCTGCCAAATGACAGCTTAGAATTTGTACAAATTTCTTTAAACTTACGAATAATCCTCGTTAAGTTAATCATTCATGATAATAATGTAATAACAATAGTGCTAGTTGTATACACACTGCAAGTCCAGTGGCTGCAGCCTTCTCGTAGCAGGATACGAGGTTCGTCTTCCAAGCAACAGAAGGGGCCTCTGTTTACTTAGCCTTGCTCTATATTCTTGGTCAGAGGCACAGCAGAATGTTCCAAAACTCTGGTACAAGCCGAGTCATTCCTAGCCCGAGCCTCTGGCCTTTCTAACAGCAGTGTTTCAGGCCTCTGCATCGCGCACTTCAGACACGCTATGGTCTCGTTTCTGGCAAGTAACCCGACATCTGCATCTCTAAACCTCAGCTCCCTCCCAACTTCTCCATGATCTTGAACATCAGAGCATGCGATTTATCACCAGCTGCGTACTAGCATGTTCACTTGGTTCTTCAGCTCAATCAAACTACATCCCAGATTCCTCTTGAAAGTTCAAAACCTTGCTCTCTATCATTCCCTCGCTGAATTTACCTCAACACACGTCGATTTTCGCCCGCGAGAGAACGTAGTTATCGCGGGATTCATTGGTTCTAACTCGAAGATTGTTTTGCTCAGCAACTTCTCCTACAGGCTATAGCTACATAGCGATGAACTCTGCATGAACTGACCAAAGGTCTACTCAACTAGTCAAAGTCAACACCATCTGCTTCACAATCGTGTATATGGGTTTACAGAGTTGGCATATTTGGGCTTCACATGAACCAAAGCCCAAAACTAGCGCAGGCCCAACTTCAACTGGGCTCCTCTAATTGCCGGCCTAACTTCATATCACCATTTTGTTTCCCCTCGCCGTCGCCGGTCTCCACTGTCCATTCCAAAACGAAAGCTTCCCAGGTTTTCAACTGCTCTCTCGCCGCCGTCTAACCCTTCTCTCGTCTCCTCCTTCTACTTTCTGTAACCTCTAAAAAATTGTATTAGTGGTTTGGGGCCGCCGGGTAAACAAAAAATTCGACGCAACCCAAATTCGGCATAGCCGCGGGAAGAACATTCCCGCGCAGAATCGAAGTTGCCGGTGCTCCCCTCGATTGCTTCGGAATGGAAGGATTAAGCGTGGTTGCGGCCAACTTGAAAGTCTTCCTCCAGCCTTCGCAGAGCAATAATCTCTCTCTAGCTATCTTCCGCGAGCTCAGCGCGTTGCTCTTCAAGTTCGTTTCTTTTACACGTATTCTGCTCTGTTTTCTTCTCTCAACTTTTGTAGACTTTTGGAAACTAGGGAACTTGTGGGGGGTTCTTGAATCATTATTGTGTTCAGCTGGTTTCTGCTTCAATTGGGTTACCTTGCTTTGGATTTTGATGATAGAACTGCACAACTTCCATACTCCATGATTTTTTGTCGCTGTTGATAAGTTAGCGGTCAGTTTGTAGAGCTTTTCTGCGTGAAATTCCAGTGTTTATTGAGAATATCCATTTTCTGAGGTGGCGATGGCATTGGCAGGTACCATGATGAATTCGACGGTGTTTTATTAGCTTATAATGTTCATGCTCCGGAGAATAAGGGGCGAATCCTTCCTGGTGTTCACCCGTTCATTGCTGTGAGGCTTGAAGCTAAATTGCTTGTCTTTTCGCCTAAGCCAGGCATGCTTTTAGGTACCCTTTTCGCCATTGATACACGCATTGTTTCCTCTTCCCGGGTCATACGAGGACTGGTTTTAAGTAATTTTGAGCCAATGTGTTGTTCTGAATACTGCAGAAGGGAAGGTGGTGAAAGTGACTGAAGAGTCTACTATTCATGTCATTGTTCTCGGTTTCTCGTCGGCTGTAATAACAGATGAGGATATCCGCAATGAGTTCAAATACAAGACGGTATGTTAACCAGTTGTCATTATTGAGCTCGAGTATCGTGGCATTATATATTTTTTTTGGTGCGATAGACATGTTGATGCTGTTGATGTCAACTTACTTGGGATGGTGGTTTCTCTTGATGCAGAAACACGGCCAGGGTTTGTATGTCAACAGATCTAACAGGAAGCATGTGATTAAGGCTGGAACTTTGATTCGTTTTATTGTCAAGAGGTGACATTTTCTTCTCTTAATCTTGTGCAGGATTTTTTTTATAGTGATTAAGTAGTTCTTACTATCCAAAAAGTCTGCTGATATTAAGTATTCGCGTTATATCAGTACCTAGTAATCCCTCCTGAGATTAGGAAATTTGTAGAATGATCATCACTCTATTCCTCCATTGTTTTTACTTTCTTACTACGTAGTTATATAAGTATGCTTAGATAATTAGATGAATATGAAAGATCTTCTGGTGTTTATTATTTTACTCAGTATGAACGAAGAGACACTCCACATCTATGGATCATTGAAACCTGCCAACACTGGAAGCATCAAGATATTGGAGAACTCATCAGAGTACACCAACACAGAAAGTGTCACAATCAACAGGTTTCTCTCCAAAATCTGCTGCCAACACTAGAAGGCAGAATCTCTTCTCACCACAACTTAATCAGCCTCTCTAATCCCATTTCCTTAAAACTTGATTTGTGTAGCACTCCCAACAAAAGGAGAAGAAGAGAAGAAGTGGCGCAGATGACCGAGCATGGCGGCTTTGTCAAGGATGCTCCTTCGCATAACAATTATGATCGTGAAATTAAGAAGTCCCGAAGAAGCTGACCACCCATCGAAATTCGGATTAGTGAAATGTTTGTAGTTTATCTTGTTATTGGTGATTGACTGCGTATAAATGACTGCTTATGCGCTTTCAAGATACGAAATATTGGTTTTGCTAACAAATTGAGGTTTCAATTCCTATACTCATTTGATTGATGGAATGGAGCTTGATTAATGCCCTGTTCAAGTTGTTTGTATCCTGATCTAGATATACTCAGCTTAGTTGTCAAACCAATAATTCCCTATCGAGTGCATATTTGGTGTAAAACCTCTTTATTATCTCCATGGTGCATATTCATCTGCTGAAATTCAGGTGTTCTGACATTGCTGTAGAGGCTCTCATCTGATGTTGGCTTCTTCAAGAAGACAGCAGATCGCAGGCAAGTTTTTAACCCATTAGATCAAAACAGACCTTTTAACCTGTAGTGTTCTATAATATGTTATTGCCTTCTCTGGCAAATTACAGTTTATAATGTTTACAAGTTCCTTTAAGCTTACAAATAATTATCGTTAAGTTAATGCATTCATGATAACAATTGAATAACAACAGTGCTAGTTTTGGTTTCTACAACACACTGCAGCTCCAGTGGCCACATCTTTTGCTATAGAGCTCAATTGTTCCTCTAAGATCAGCAGTAGCCACTAGCCAGTAGTAATGGAGCAGGTTCTGTGTTTCATCGTACAAGCAATAAGGGGCCTCTGCTTACTTCGACTTGTTGGCACACCACGGTAAATCGGCATGAGCCTGCCATTCTTGTATTCCGGTCCGAACCTTTGGGCACCGTCTAACAGCAGCATTTCGGGCCTCCCATTGTTCTTGGGACATGCTAGCTTCTCCGTGTTCGATAATCTCATTCCATCCTCGAGCCAATCTTCTGGTCTTCAGCTCTAGAGATTTAGGTATGCCCGTTCATCCTGATGGAAGAACTTGATTAACTTGGTCGAGTAGCAACTCAATGCACATCACCACAAGTCTCCGCAAGAGCAGACTCCATCCTTGAAATGATGAAACCGGTTTGTATCTCTGACAAAAATCTCCCTGCCCTCGAACTCAGAGATGAACTTTATGACAGCATGGCAGTCTCCACATATCCTGAGGTTCTTAATCACTTGAAGTGGAAACCCAGGACTAGTATTCAGAAGTCCCAAAGTAACAGCCAATTTTTCGCTATGGTCGCTCAACATCTCCTCCTTATCCTGCTCCTCCACATCCTGCAACACAAAGTCTGTATGCGGCAAGTAACCAGACTTCTGCATCTCTAATCTCAGTTCACCCAACTTCTTCGTGATTTCGGGCATCTGAGGATGCGATTTATCACCAGCCAGTAGCATGTGCACTTTGTTCTTGATCTCAATCCAACTACATCCGGGATTCTTCCTCAAACCTTTGCTCTTCATCATCTCCCTCACCGAATTTACCTCAACCCACATAGATTTAGACGCGTAGATGTTAGATAAGAGGACGTAGTTACCAGGATTATTCGGTTCTAGCTTGAAGAGTTTTCGAGCAGCAACTTCTCCTATGACTACATTGTGATGAACTCTGCATGAGCTGAGCAAAGGTCCCCATATCAAACCATCAGGTTCCATAGGCATCTGCTTCACCATCGTATATGCTTCGGCTAGCCTTCCAGCACGGCCAAGAATGCTGACCATGCAGGAATAGTGCTCTAATCTTGGTTCAATCCCATAATCTCTAGACATGCTATCGAAGTAGAACTTACCTTCCTCAGTCAACCCACCTTGGCTGCAGGCAGACAAAACAGAAGTAAAGCTGATGAAGTCGGGTTTCAGACCACTCTTCTGCATCAAGTCAAAAACTTCCAATGCTTCTTTGGACTTTCCATGCATGGCGTATCCACCCAGCAATGCGTTCCAGGAAACCAGGTTTCTCCTAGGCATCATATCGAAACAACGTCGAGACAAGTGTATTCTGCCGCAGTTAGCATACATGTCGATCAATGCAGTACCGACATAGACATCGTTTGAGATCCAGTTTTTAAGAGAGAAGCAATGGGCTGCCTTACCGTGCATTAATGCCGCAATGTTCCCGCAAGCTGGAAGCAAGCATGGGATTGTTACAGAGTTTGGCATGATTCCTTCCATCTGCATCTCTCTAAAGAGTTCCAAAGCTTCCATGTCTTTTCCGTTCTGTGAGCAGCTAGCTATCATTGAAGTCCATGATACTACATTCAGGTTGAGTCCTTGTCTCTTGAATTGTTTAAATTTTTTCAGTGCACCTTCAACACAGCCAGTCCTGGATAGCCCTGTGATCAATGCGTTGCAAGCTCCAACATCCATCTCAGGCAACTCCTCGCAGACTTTCGACATCTCATTCGGACGTGCGCATTTCCCATACATATCGACAAGCGAGCTAACGACCCAGTTATCTTGGGATAAACCTTGCTTGATCACACAGCCATGAATCTGAACCCCGCAGGGTAACATCTCCAAGTCACCAACTGCTGGAAGCACGCTGGAAACGCTGGTCCCATCAGGCTTAAACCCTTCCGAATGCATATCTCGAAACATCAAGACCGAATCTTTAAACTGTCTGCTGTGATTAAACCCGGCAATCATCCCATTCCAAGATACCGAATTCAGCTCAAGTCCCATCTCCACCGCTTCTCTAAGCAGCTCTTTCGTCTCCACTACGCAGCCCTTCCGCGCATAAGTCGAGAGCAGAGCGCTACAAGCCACCACATTCGGGCGAGGAATTCTATCAAACACCTTACGGGCATCCATCACTCTGTCGCACTTGAGGTAGAAATGAACCAAAGACGAGAGAAGAAGTGAATCCGAATGGTGCCCATTGACAAACGCCAAGCAATGAACTTGAGCCCCTGTCTTCAAAGAAGACAATCCAGCAGCCGCCTTGACGACGCTGGGCAGTACATAACAGTCCGCCGAAATCCCCTGCGAAAGCAATTCGGCGAACAAGCGAATCGCCTCGCCGTGCTGATTACTCCTCGTCAAGCTGTAGATATTGTTCGAGAACGAAATGAACGCGGAAGTGGGGGACATTGAGGATGGGACTCGCATTGATGAACGCGCGATGACCAGGATCGCCGGAGAAAATCTCAGCATTCGAAGAATCAGCGGACACTGTGACGGTGGTTAAGGTGGAAGCAAGAGAATCCAGGCAATCAGTGAAGTCTTCCTTCAATGTGGAAGTTGAAAATACTAGCTTCGACCGCAGTAACACCTCAAAGCTCGAATTCAACCCGCCATTGGAGCAACATGGTGCTCGTCTTCCACTCGACAGGAACCGGACGGTAAAAGTGTTGGGCAATCCCATCTCCGGTTTCCCGTTTGTTTCTCGAGAAACCGGGAGGGAAAAAGAAAGCACTCTTAGAGATGTGGGCTTTTGTGGTATGAGCCCAAGCTCTATTAGGTATCAAAACTTATGGGCTGATAGAGTTGGCAACTTGGGCTTCAAATGACAAAAGCCCAATACCTAGCCCAGGACTCCTATAACTAACCTAGATTTTCATTCCTCTCTGTTCCTCTCGCCGATCGCCTCTGTCCACTCCAGCAAAACCTTCCTCGGTTTTCAGTTGCTCTCTCGCCGCCATCTACCATGGTAATCCTTCTTTCCTCTCTTCATTCTAGCTTCTGTACGATAGCTACAGATATGGGTTCGATTCATTATGTACTGTATCTTTGTTAGAGTAATGTTCTTCTGTGCCCGCTGCTTTGTGTCAAAGCAATCGTTTGGTTGTTGAGTGGAGAGATCCCTTTATGTCCCAAGGCTAGATGAAATTTGGGTGCGCTTCTGTTGATTGTGATTCCGTTGTTGTAGTCTGTTTCGTCAGATGGCGAGCTGAAAGTATGGTTTCATCCGTCATTTTAGTTTGCTCTTAGCTGAATCGTTCCTTTGCTTTTCTCTTGTATTGCAGGCCAAGAGAACCAAGAAGGTTGGGATTGTCGGCAAATACGGTATGTTCGTGCTTCTTTTTGCGTCTTTCATTTCACCTACTTGTTATACCGCATCAGTTTAACCGAATGGAGGTTTTCGAATGTTGGGTCATTGTTGGCTGCGATATGTTAATCATGGGTTTGATGCATTTTTCAGTCTCATTGGTGTCTAGAATGATGGTTTATGAGTTGTTTATTCTTTCTTTTTGATGGGTTTCCGTAGTTGATTGAACTTTCTGTGCTTGTATTTATGCAGGCACCCGATATGGTGCTAGTTTGAGGAAGCAGATCAAGAAGATGGAGGTGAGCCAGCACAGGAAGTACTTCTGTGAGTTCTGCGGCAAGGTAGTAATCTTTCAATGTCTACTTAATTTTCATCATTGATATTGCGGGTTTACCTTTGCTTGGTTGCTTGAACATTGGATTGATGGATTGCTTCTGCCTGCTTGTTTGCCAGGATGCTGTCAAGAGAAAGGCTGTCGGTATCTGGGGATGCAAGGACTGTGGCAAGGTGAAAGCTGGAGGCGCTTACACCATGAAGTAAGAAAGACTACACTCCCTCTTCTTTGAATTGTGTCTAATAAGATAATCCATTACTGAGTTATTTCTAATCTGTCATGTGTTTGTTCTGTGACAGTACCGCGAGTGCTGTGACCGTGAGGAGCACCATTCGTCGTTTGAGGGAGGCAACCGAGAGTTAGATGTTGTGTTTGATTCGTCTCGCTCTGTTACTGTTATAGTGTTATGGGATTTTGATATTGTTGCATTTCCGGTTTGTTTACTTTTGAACCTCGTAGAATCAAATGAAAGCTCGGGTTTTTACTTCTTAGTACTGTTCTAGAGATGTGGATTCATTGTATTCACCACTGAGTTCGTTCCTCCAGATAGTTCGTTAGTCGTTACTGCAAATGTGGCTACACAAGACATTTTCGTTATGTATGCTACATTGATTTTCAGCCATACTTCTCATCTATGGTTTCTCTTCCCTCTGTTGCCATAATAATGTATGTGTTGAAACTGAAATCGGCTACCGTGCTTCTATTGAGCACGTAAATGGCTACACCCTGCTCCAACTTGCAGATTGATTGTAAAAAATTGATGCATTCATGAATGCGAGAAAGATGTTACGATCGATCATAATCGTGCTTCCATGCTTCGAGTGAAAATTTTACGCTTTACATGTAAAATCGATGTTTGTGAGACCATATCGAAGATCGAAGCGTAAAAGATCGTCTAGTAAGTCTATTTAACCTCTAAAATCTGGTGATTGAACTTCTAAGAAACAACCAAGAAGCTAGAAAAACGCGTTAAGCATTTCTCTGCAATTTGTTTAACTGACAATTTCCCTTTTCCTCTTCCATCCTCGCTCCCTTCATTCCATTTCTCCTCCGCTTCCCTCTCCACGGCCAGCGCAGTCCCGCCGGCGTCTCTCGAATTCTCTCAGGTACTCTCTGCTTCTCTCTCTCTCTCTCTCTCTCTCTCTCTCTCTCTCGCAGCATTCTGTTTGTTCGCTCCGCCGTCGTCTACTAGCTGCAAATTTAGGGCTGAGTCGTCGAGGCTCTCTGATTCGCCGCTTCCTTCATCCTCCTGATTCTATTCCTTGCTGTTTTTTCAGTTCTCGGTTCAGCTCCTATCCGGATCGCCGTTCTAAGCTTTCCGGACTCCAATTCGTCCTGCTGCGAGATCTTCTTCCATCGTGCGCGCCATTACTGCCTGGTCCGCCGTCCGGATTTCTCGAGGTAGTTTCACAGTTTTCCGATTGCTTGCGAGATCTTCTGTGCGGCGATGGTAAAATAGCGTCGAATCGTTTCCTGATCCGTATTGCGATAACTGAAATTCGCTTCTTGCGTTTGTTTGGTGCAGTGACAACGTGACGAGTTTCTGAGTCGTCCTGCTGTTGCCACGATGGTTTCCTTTGAGATGAACGATCGCAAAAGTGAGTGACACCTTCTGTTCATCTGCATAGCGGTTGGTGTTTCATTTAGCGAGTTAGAAAGCACAGCTAGCAAGTTGAATAACTATTGAGTGTTGATTATTGTGAATTGAGGAGGATTACATAGTTGTGTGGCTACTGAGTTGTTAGGTTTCTTGCAGAGAGAAATATCACGTCTATTGAGTAGTTGATCATGCACCTCTGACTTCAAATATGTTGTACGATTGATAACGGGAGAGCAGTTTGTTGTACGATTTTCTTCTTTATTTGAACTCCTGTTTGTTTCCGACTTAGATTTCTCTGGCTTGATATGTAAATAAATGGTGATCCTTCGAAGTCATGATAGGCTTAAAGGAACAGAGGTAGTGTATGTTGTAGAATGGTGAAGGAAGGAAAACCACCTATTTTCAGCTTGAACTTGCTATCTATAGCGTTAACCATTCATCTTTCTAGTGAATCGGTTAAGTAACTCTAATCATTTGACAGTATCTGCTGTAGAAATTAGGGGAAAGTGAACCCTTTCAATTGTGGACTAATTGTGTGTATCTAATTCCGAAGTTTACTGGGTGGTACAGAAATTGGGCTAGGATTGACAGGATTTGGCATATTTTTCTCCATTCTGGGAATCATCTTCTTCTTTGACAAGGGACTACTTGCCATGGGGAATGTATGTCATTCTATCTTACAAATATCTTCCTTTGTTCTGCTTTCTCACGGTGTGATTTATATTTAGTATTGACTTGGTTTGCTGGGCTTTTTGATTCAGATCCTCTTCATCTCAGGAGTGAGTCTCACTATTGGACCGAAGTCGACCATGCAGTTTTTCATGAAACGACAAAACTATAAGGTGAAATTTTCTTTCTCTTGTTTCACTTGTTTCCGCAATGTCTGATTACAGTTAAGCCTCATTTTGGTGCTGTTTATGACTACTTATACTATGTTAATTCCCATGCAATCACTATATGAGCTAGCAAAGTGAACAGTTTGTCTTTTTTTTTTTTACACTAATGCTTTCTGGGTTGCTGGTCATGCAGGGGACTATCTCATTCGGTGCTGGTTTCTTCTTTGTCGTGATAGGATGGCCCATCATTGGTATGATTTTGGAGACATATGGGTTTGTTGTGCTCTTCAGGTAACTTCACTGTTTATATTGATGATTTAGTTGAAAATTGTACACTGTTGAAGATGCTGATGGAAATCTTTGTGCAGTGGCTTCTGGCCAACACTTGCAGTTTTCTTGCAGAGGATACCCATTCTTGGTTGGGTAATCCAACAACCAGCAATCAGATCGGTATGTGGTTTTGTTCTCAATGCAGACATTTCAGCTCACTTTTCTATTAGCTTCTGTGATACAATAGAATCCCATTCTCATTACTTGGATCTTCTAAATCAGGACAAGACGTTTCATTGCATTCATTTTGGCCATCTATATTGTGCAATGCCAAACTGGTTTATCATTGATAGTGATAACTGATAAGATAATAAATCATACATTTAGATTCATCTTGTATAACTTGGTCTAAATTCTGCTTCTTTGATGTCAGAACTTATTTTAGTGGTTGCAACTTATAAGGGCCAATATAGAACAATAAAGAAAGTAGAATCACATAAAAGTGTAATCCTTCTCTTTAATAAAGAGTTTGAGGTAGATGTGCTTGGACTTCCGTAAATCACGTGTCCCCTTGACTTTGATGACCAGAGCTTCCATCTAATTATGTGTCTACTGAAATACCAACGACGCCAAAGTAGTAATATCTGTCTATGCTTTAGTATTGGAACTTGTATCTAGTATCTACCTCTGATTCTAGCTGGCTAGTTATTTCTGCTGTGCATCTTGCGCTTAGAGCCTTCGTCTAATAAACTCCCACATGTTATCTAATTTGAACAAGTTTACCTACATTTGAGTATATGTCAGGCATTCAGAATGCTATAGAATTTTGTCTCGCCTGCTGCACTCACTGTAATCGTAACAAAGACTACGCTTATTGATGTATTGCCATTAGCATTCTCTATGTTTGTCTCATTTGTAACAAAGTAATCTAACTCGTTCCTTACTACGATCGCGTGTGCAGTTCTTTGACCGATACAGGGGCAGAAGAGTACCAGTCTAAATCCGGAATCCTTCATCTGAGTGCAAGACTCGCCTTGGGGTTCTCAGGTAAATGAAATGTAATCGTGGTGACTCCTGATTCGTAGTGTTTTTCCATATGGTGCCTGTAGTGATAACTCACGAACGGATTTTGATGGGGGAATTCAGTCAGTTAGGCTTCAGAATAGAGATTCATATGTGTACGTCCTTGTAAAAATATAGTCAATTACTAAGAACGCTTGTGGTTCCTTTATTCTTATATTTCGTTGTCGTTTCTGCGTAGTAGCCCTCTTTGCACCGAAGTATTGAGATACATACAGTATTGGTTTTTTACACTTAACGAGCTTTGTCTTGGCAAGGAAAAGGGAAAGAATGGCAAGGGAAAAAAAGGCCTATATGTTCTGTTATTCTGTTTAAGTTCTACAGCAGAACAGAGCATATTGTCCATTGACTAATTCCTTTGTTCCCCATCCTGCATCTTACGGTATATATGGCAATGGAATCACGAGCAGAGGGTGCTTTCTCCTAATCGTCGCCCCAAACGTCTCCGTCATGTCGAGGCTCTCCGGACCTGTATCTCCGGGTAGTCTCCAGCCGAAATGGAACAGCAGATTTGCCTGGGTAAGCTTCACGACCTCAGTCGCGAAACCGTGTCCGGGACACATCCTCCTTCCAGCACTGAACGGGATGAACTGGAAATCGTTCCCCTTGTAGTCGGTGGAGCTATCGACAAAATTCTAGGGGAAAAACTTCTCCGGTTCGGACCAGTAGAGAGGATCTCGACAGATTGCCCACGCGTTCACGATGACTATGGTCTTTGTGGGGATCTCGTACCCACAGAGCTGTGCCCTCTCCCTGCTCTCTTGTGGAACAAGGAAAGGAGCCGGAGGGTGCAGTCTCAAACTCTCTTTTATAACGCAGTCCAGGTACTTCAACTGGTGGAGGCTCGCTTCGTCGATGTTGCCCTTCCTGTGGAAGACTCGCCTGGCCTCTTTTTGTGCCTTGTGCATCACCCTTGGTTGTTTTTATCATTTCCGACATCGTCCATTCGATTAGTTTGGACGAAGTGTCGATCCCAGCAACGAATAGTTGCTGACAAGCCATATTGTTGAGATGAAATGAGATCTGTGGTTAAGGGATATAGGTTGATCAATTACCTTGACATACGTACCAAAGTGACTGCTTTTATCATTTCCGTGGTTATAGAGAACCCAAGCTCATTGGGGGTGCTCTTGAAGCCTCAAAAGAACGTCAACAAGGTACTCTTCTTCTTCTTCTTCTTCTTCTTCTTCTTCTTGGCTATTCGACGATCTTCGCCCAATTGTATAATGTCCATATGATTTCAGACTTCCATTGATGTATTGCGGAGAGTACATGCAGAGAAATAAGAAGGTTCATATATGCACGAATTTACGTGACTAGTTGATCGTTATATTTTACGAATCAAATAAAATAAATAAAAAATACACTGATTTACGATGGTCACTAACATAATATGTATTAACTAGTCTATGTTGAGAAATAGTGACCAGTTTCACTGTACTGAGGTGACATAAAGCAACCACATTCTCCAAACAATAAGCCAACAAAGCGAACACAAACACCTCTAATTTAACTTCGAACGGAAAAGGAGACAAACCGGAACATAACAGAAAACAGAGCAAACTTAATAGGCTTGGCAAAAAAAGAGAACAACACTAACATATTTTTGGCAACCAAATCATCGCAGTTGCTAAAGAATCATACTGGTTACAAATACCCCTCCCAAATGATAGTTTTTGTAACACGTGTATTGGTCGCAATATGTCGTCACGGAATTGTGGTACTGTATGGTGTTCCAATCACGACCTTGGTGACCATTGAGAAATAGAAACATGCATAAATAGAAAGTCGTTAAAAGAAAGAAATAACAATTAATTAAAGTCGTTAAAAGAAAGAAATAACAATTAATTTGGGTTTCATTCTTCAACTATACCTTAAACTAGAAATGAGTCCATATTTCTTTGCTAGGAAAAATCCCAATTTCTTCCCCTTTTCCTCTTGGGTCCGTTACCCATTTTTCTTTTTCCTACCCAAAATATAAAAATTATCTCATAATGATACATTAATTATAGGGCATTGCTATTCGTCGCCCTAAAATTCCTTATTCGTCGCCCTAATATAATTACATTTACATTAATACCCCTAGCTAGAACCCAAAAAATAAGCTATCGTTTGGACTAAGAGCTGAACACTTTTCTCCTTCCTCGAGTTTGAGCAAAATTGCAGACATGGCATTCTGGTTTGAAGTTCATAACAGAGGATTTGTTTACCAATCTCAGTTTTTGACTGTATCTTCGCCAAGGGGAAATAGATTTGATCGAAGCACTTTGTTAAATCCCCTGGCACATAGTAGCCGCCCTTTACCCAATCATAACTGAACCTCTCCTCGCCCGGGAAACAAGTTACCATCGCCAGGATCGCCTTGTATTGGCCGGCGTTTGAAGAAGAAGTCCAAGCTCTTATTCTCCGGTGGTATCGTCTTGTCTTTTCCCCTTCATCTTTGCGTGGATCAGGAAAAAGTTGAAGTAGTCCAAGTTTTTTGCTCCTCAACCCTTAATCGGGCTACCATAAAATCAATTTCGTCACCAACAGAATACTGATTTTTGCTTCAAGCCTAGCAAAACCAATCCCCCCACCCATTAGACTCATTCACACCCAAAGCCAATCTTAATCCATATAGAGACAAATTGAATCCTTAATCATCTGCAGTGTATCCATGAGTTTCCGGAAGGTAATAAGAGATTGATCGTTTGTTTCTAAGATTTAGTTTTGAATTGGGGCTATGGGTGTATGTGTCATTTTGGTACAATTTAGGGCGATGAAATTCAAATTTTAGGGCGACGAATAGCAATTCAGTAATTATAATCCCACTAGAATGATTAGAAGAAATAATTGATGCAAATATTCTAGATAATGACAAAATACGATATGAATATATAGGAAAATACTAAAAGATAAACAAGACCATAATTTTCCAAATTATAACGATGGCTCGATTCCCGTAACACAGCATCTCACGGATATGGAAGTGGAATCAACATCAAAGGATTCTTTCTTCCCGCAACTACCGTGATGCATTCCGTCATGTCGAGATCTTCTGGTTTCATGTTACCCGGGAGTTCCCAACGAAAATGGAGGAGCAAATTCGCCAGGGTCAGCTTCACAATCTTGAGTCCGAACTCATAACCTGGACACATCCTTCTTCCGGCACCAAACGGGATGAACTGAAAATCCTTTCCTCTGTAGTTGGTGGAGCAATCGATGAACCTTTCGGGATCGAATTTCTCCGCATCGGGCCAATAACGAGGGTCTCGATTGATCGCCCAGGCGTTCACCAAGACTTTGGTTTTCTCTTCGATCGTGTATCCACAGAGTTCGACCTCCTCCCCATTTTTTTCGCGCGGGAGGAGCAGTGGCACCGGAGGGTGCAGCCTCAGACCTTCTTTGATAACACAATCCAAGTACTTCAGCTGGTGAAGCCCCGCTTCGTCGACATTTCCCTTCTCGCGAAACGCCTCCCTGACTTCTTGTTGAGCCGTCTGCATCACTCCTGGGTGTTTCATCAGTTCCGACATTGTCCATTCCGTGACTTTGGAGGATGTGTCGATGCCACCAAACATTAGTTCCTATCAAGTATGGGACATGTGTTTGTAACAACAACAACAAAATGTTTTACGAATTTCAGACAAACCAAAACATTAATATTATGGCGCACTTACCAAAGTGACTGCTTTGATGACTTCCTTGGTTAAGGTGAATCCCATCTGGTCAGGATTTTCCTGAAGATTCAAAAGAACATCAATAAGACTGTCTTCTTCAGCTTCATGATCTCCGCCACTCGAACTCGAGGATTTTCGAGATGATCTCCTCTCGTCGATGATGGGAGTGAGTACAGAATTCGCCTTCTCGTGAACCTTTTTCAACATGGCTTCGAATCCGGTGAGAGCCGGAAGGAATGTTAGAGAGGGATATAAGTCCGAGATTCTGAATCCTCCATTAGCATCCGTAAAATCGTCGACGAGCTCCAACAACGCCTCGTTCACGCCTCGACTCTGGCCGAAGACCACCCTTGAAGTGATGGATCCCGATAGCTTGTTCAACTCCTTGCCCAGATCCACGTCAACAACAACGTTATCATCATTTGGCAAAGCTGTTGATCATGCAAAGAAACTAGGTCAAATGGATAGTTCTATCTCCTAGGAAAAACTTTAGGTTAAATTAAGTTAGTTCTATCTCCTAGCTAGTATGTCAATAGATATAAAATATAAGTTAATCATTTTAAATCTAAATTAATGGGTCGGATTTGTGTACTCCCTCATCGTATACTATACTCCGGGTACTCAAAGTGAGATGTATCTATCTATACCACGAATTAAATCAAGTTTGGGGTATGATACTACGTACACCCCTAACTTGTAATGGATGAACCCCTGCTGGCCCCGATTCTCTAAACTCAAACCCGGAGTTTAATTTAGTAGAAAATAGTAATCGACTGTTGAGATTGGTTGGAGCTCCGAAAAAGAAATCTAATGGTCAGATCACCTACTCCCGGAGTATACCAATCATTAGCCTAGATTAATATATAAATTATAGTTAAGTTCACAATTTAATTCGTATTATACGTGTCTGGGAGGCATAATTAAATTGAATGGCAGAAAATGAAACGATTTTGACAACAATACCGATACGAAAGTTTTAAACGGATAAACCGAATAATACGAATCTAAGTCGCAATCGTCATCCTTTAAAAAAGGAGAGGTATACCGTAAAATAAACGTACATGTAACTTGACGACGGAGAGTTGCGACGAGATTGGCCACCTCTTCCTCCCTGACCCACCGATACGACCCGACCCGCTTGGCGCTGAAGAACTCCAGCGTGCAGATCTTGCGCATCTGGCGCCAGTGCTCGCCGTAGGGGGCGCAGGCGATGTCGTTGTAGCCGCCGCCGAAGATGACGTAAGGCCCGAGGAGCGGCGGCCGGGACGCGAACGTCAGGTCGTGGGTCTTCATCACCAGCCTGGCGGCCTCGGGGGTGGAGATGATGACGTGGGACAGCTCCCCGAGCTGGAGGTGCATGACGTCGGGGCCGTACCGCCTCGCCAGCTGGGCGAGGCGGCGGTGGGGCTGGCTCCGGCCGCCGTTCGTCGCCAGCTGGTGGAGGTTCCCGATGATCGGGAGCCTCCATGGCCCCGGCGGCGGAACGGTAGTGGTCTTAGTTGGTTTCGACGAGGTTCTGAGTTTTAGGGTTTGGATGATGATGATGATGGTGATGACGAGGATGGTGATTGAGAGTAGTGCAAGAAAGGAATTGGAGGAGAGTTTCACGTCATGGCTAATGGCTTCCATTGTTTGCAAAATGGAGAGGTACAAAAATGGATTTGGTGGATCGAGTTGGGAGGTGCTCTCTCTCTCTCTCTTTGTTATGATATATAGGGGAGATTAGATTATAGTGTCATGTTGGTCTTGTAAACAAACTGACAAAACTAGCCCAGATCATATTATATATGAGACCAAACTTAATGCAAGTTAATTAACTTTTTTTTTTTACATATAGAAAAAGTAAAGTCGTTATAATAACCAAACCGGATCAATAGTCGAACTGATGGGATAATTTTTTCGAATTTCTCCCCAATCGCACTAGATTCTCGAATGCGGCCGATGAAGATGGCCGACGGTTGCTCGATGTGGCGGTGCGGCGAGTAGAGACGGAATAGACTGATGGAGGGGGAAGCCGGTGTTGTTGCCATTTTGTTGAAGGTTCGACGGAGATGAGCGGCGGCAGGGACCGACGTTTGATTAGGTCGATTTTGAGGAGGACGTACGGATCGGAGGAGAGAACAACCCACGGCAACAACCAGGGGCGGACCTAGGGCAAGGGGAGGGGTGTCGTCCGACACCCCTCCGCTCGAAAATTTTGTGAAGGACCTCCATTTTTTCGGTACAAAATTTTTTAATTTGGAACTTCCGACACCGCTCTAATAATTATAAGCGACACACTTTCATTATATGACAATAGTTTTAATGTTATAAAGTTATTCGTCATAATTAGTAATTAACAATAATAAGTAAAATCAAATAAGCATGCTTGTTTTAAGTAACCCACAACCCAATTTAACTTATTGATTTGTAGTTAATAGGTGAATTGCCTATATTTATGGGAGATTGTGGTTTGATTTTGATTAATTTGATAGAACTAGAGAAAAAATGCTAATGATATTACTTAGGCATACTTTGTTTTTTTCTAAAATAACCGATTGGTAGCAAACTAATTTATTTTAATTTAATTTGATTTTAGACGTAGGTCGATTCTCTTTAGTTGAGTGACTAATTTATGAATGATTATGTAGTTGTGTATATCGAAAAAGGTTTGATTTGTAACATAAACGATGAATGTATTTTAAAAAAATCTCAAATATGAAAAATCGTCATAATTCGTAGTAAACATGAGGTTGTGAACTTATAAATAAATTTCCAGTAATTTCTATTAAATTTTTATTTCATTATCTTAATTATTATAATTTTTATCTGCGACACCCCTCTTCAATAATCCTGGGTCCGCCACTGGCAACAACGGGTTAGAGAGTAGTAGTAGTAGAAGAAGAGGGTTTCCCGAGGGAATTAGAGAGGCGATGACGCTGACGAGGTCAGACGACGTGGATAGATACCGTAAGAAATTGAGGCAGAATGAGTTAAAAACGGGACGGAGCGCGGCAGGATAGTCGGAAGTAGATATCCATAACCCCACGCTACTATGGATCAGGTCCCACCCCATCACATGTCAGGACGGGTTCAAATTGCAATCACTCCCCGGAACGATGACAAAAATTCATCAACCTGCATTATTTGTTGGGCCAGCAGCCGTCCCTTGTCAAAAAGATCGAATCTGGATCCTCCTTTCGTCATCACCTCCAATTTAACGTGGGTTTAGTAGTGGTGAATGGGTTCCAATATTTTGTCGGGTCAAAAATAGTAAGGATATAGGAGATATCAAGATCTCTATTATATAGAGAATTAATGCAAAATAGAAATTTTCAGGTTATTTATTTGGCTATAGATAGATGATGTGAGGTTTTGATATGGTATCGAAACTGTATGTGAATGTTAATTAATATGATAGTGATTATTAGTGTATGTAGATTAATTGATTTATTAAGAGAATGTGACAAGGGAAGAGTTAAAGTTATTAGGATAACTTATAATTCAATCAAATACACAACTTGGTTGAGATATAAGTATAACCGTATAATATATAATACGTTTCATTTTTATACATTTGAAAAATATGGTGTGTAAGATGATCTCAAATAACGATGAAAAGAGTTTATTGTTTGTGGTATCCATCCAGTCGACCCTTTTATTGGTGGGGGATCAAACTTGATGGGAATGTAATCAATATGATACTCATAATTATTGGTTAATGGGAAGTGACCTCCAAAATAGCATATGTGTTGGAGTTGGCCGGTATGTAAATGTTGATTAATTAATTAAAGGGTTATAAGTATAATATGTTTCTCTACTATGTTGTATTATCAAACATGTCTCTCTACTATTTTTTACATAAAATATGCCCCTGTACTTTGAAAAAATTATCAAACATGTTCAATTTTTTTTTTTAAAATAGTTGGACACGAAACTAGATAAAGAACTCCCTTTGACTAATTTATGGGTTCACTATTTTACATGGATTGATGAAACCCCATAGCGTACCGATGGTTTGACGAGAAAAACCTCCTACTGGAGGCTAAATCAGTATACGGTATAAAGCGGTTGAACCATGATTAAACCACGACTTTGTGTGAATCCACTACCTATTGTCAACCTAATTACTAACTTAAATTTAATAAAATATTATTATATATTTTGTGAGACAGATTAAACTCAAATATTATTTTTATAACAATAAACCAATGAACCATAAATCAATAACTTTTTCGGTTCAACCTCCGATAAAAAACCGAGGGAAAAGTTTATAAATTTAAAGGCATCATAGTAGGTAACTTTCCAGCAAGCAGAGAGCCAACTAGGAAAACAGGGTGGTGGATGAAATAGTAGAGGTCCCCCCCAGAGAGCCAAAAGACTCCTGCGTTTGAAAGAGGGTTGGGTTTTAGCATTCAGCCTGGCCAAAAAATCTCCCACAGATGGTCGCCAGGATATTCAACATCACAACCTCATCGTCCAGCTCGGACTTGGCAGCTCGAAGGCAGGCACATTTTCTCAGCAGCCCACGAATGGCGGCGCTGGTATCAGCCAGCAACGGGGTATCGACCACTGCACAAAGAGCAAATAGCCACAGGCAGTCGTTCTTCGATAAACTGGTCGTCGTTGCGCTTTCTGCAGAGCTTATCCGTTTCTTCAGAGTGGAGACTCGAACCACAGAGTCCATCGCTAGGATTGCAGATAAGGCTGGGTGGCTAGTTGAACTGTCCTCGACTCTGGTTGTGGTAGTTTTTGGAGTGAGGGAAGGTGCAGGCAGCTTATTACCCTCGTCGGTGATCGAGTGCGATGATGATGATGAGGCATGATCAACCATGTTCTCGAGATCAGAACCATCGGGGGGACCATTAGGATCATCGTTTTCTGGGCAGAGGTGATTAACATTTTCGAGAATGATATTCTCGGTGAGCAGATGGAACTGAGTTTCGTCGTCCTTCTCGTGGGCTATGGTGACTGGTTGAGGTTTATGAGAAATCAGATCATCAGATTCTTCATCTCTTGCCAACAGCTGATAGAGAGAGATCATGAGAATGTCAGAATTCAATGCTAGTGTGCCAACTTCTCAACAATGCAGGATTTTGTTAGCCTCTAAATGTTCGGCAAGTCTCATTACACTAAACCATGTGCTGCTAATTTGTGAAGCAGGTATTAGTTTCAAAGCAATTGAAATTTAGAGGAAAATTTCTCAGTAACATACCAGTCGCAGCTGTGAAAAGTCGGCCAGAAATGCGTCTTCCCAAGTTTTTGAAGGCAGTAGATGGTCTGGACACTTGGGGATATCAGGTATCTGAGGCATATAAACACTTTGCTCTTTCTTAATCTTATGCTGATCAAGCTTAGCAACTTTGACTTTGGGAATACGAGCAGCTTCCCACCTGTAACAGGAACAGAAATGGGTAATTACAAACTGAAATCAAAACCATTTTGAAAGTAACGAATGAGAAGTTCACTTCATGCTTTAAGTCAGGGAAGTAAAACTGTTACCTGACACGCCTTAGATATTCCCATCCGTCTTCTGGAGGTCCAGAATCAAAATTCGGTTCTCCTTCTATACGAAAAGCCGGCTTCTGGATGCTGGCATAATCATCATCACTATTATCTTCTTCATCATACTGCTCTTCTGCAACTGTATCGGGAGTTTCACCACCCACAATCTCCTGACTGCAGGAAGGACCCAAACTCAGATTCTCTCTATCAACGTCCTCAATGTTTTCTAACTCATCATCCACATTTTCGGAAGACAATTCTTCCCCTGGAACAATAAAAAATTTAGAACTCTCCACACATTTATCAAACACAAACATGTTTGGTCCACAAGATAATGCAAAAATCAGAAATGGCCTTCATGGTATGAACTGTAATTGTATTGTGTACAAGCATTTCTTACATTCATCCACATATTTCTAGCAAGTTGTATGATCTACTACACCAGCACCTATCACAAGAAAAGCGTTCACCAAAGCTAAAGAAGTAGGGCAGCCAATGGCTAGAACACCTTTGTACAGCGTTTCTATGCACACGGAAGCTAAAGAAGTAGGTTATTAGCCAATGGCTTGAACACCTATGAACAGTGTTTCTATACAGACAGAAACCATTTAGTTGCCTATGAATACTGCTCCAAAACATTGAGTTACTATTTTCCCAAATCTACAGTTCAGTTGCTCTTTAGCCCATTCTTCAATGTACATATACATTCACATGATTCCATCTTCCCCTTGCAGCACCACAACCTGTCCAGAACACAAAACTTAACCATCAAATTGACAACAAGAGGGCCCAAATCCAGCTGGGAAGTAGGGAAGCAGCAAAGAAGAAAGACAGGGAAAATGGAAGAAAATGGCTCAGCAAAGAAGGTAACGAGGGGGAATCCCAAACATCAAACTATTTGGTGAGAAATATGGAGAAGAATGAGATATGGACGGGATGGGTATAAGCAGTATGGAATCGGATATGGAGCTCCGGGTGTGGAATGTCACCATAGTGAAGTATAAGCCCTTCTGCTTTAATCTTTTGACAGGGTGACAATGAGATTTTAACAAAATGGAAAGACCTATTCACTGTGAAAGTGTTGATAACTAACTATTTCAGTCCCTAGACATTCGTCCCTCCTCTACTCAACTCTAATACCTTCCCTGTTCATCTAGTTCAAAATATCGAGTTCATACACAGATTAGGTTGGTGGCCTGTGATAGGCCTATTCCCAACCCATTTTGCAGCAATGAGTCATCCTTAGCATAAATTTCCATCTACAAATTCTTTGACTTTGGACATGTGCTACCAGTTGTTTAACATGCAGCAATAAGAGATACCCAAAGCTGCAAAAACTAAGGAAAGAGGGGAAATCACAAAGAGCTACGACACCGCCAGAGCAAACAAATGGATGCACTTCATAAGCCCACCAGAAGCATTTACTAAACCAATGCTGTAGAACTGCATGTAATTTGGCACATCAAACACTTCCTTCATCATACAACCCAATCAAGCAACCCAAGAGTATCAAAATCCAAAAGATAATTCTCATCCGACTCCCCCATTTCCTGTTTTGAGCATTTAACAAACAAAGAAATGAATCTCGTTCCCATTGACCTATTTCTCATTGATTTCCATCGTTCGATAAACCATGCAAAACTGATTCAAGCTTGAATCATGGACCAAGAAGCCATCAAAGACAAATCAATAACTAGAACACACAGTGGGAAACAAGTAGACATTTTCTTGACAATGCATAATGAACTGAGAAAAAGCAGTTTATCAAAGTAAAGATTCATTCTTGTTTATCAAATTAGCATGAAAAACTCACCAAGTACACTTGAAGCGCCAGCAGTAGCAGCAGCTTGACTTCCAAAGCGTGGATGCCTGGAGGAATCACAGTTCCGCTGGTGCAAGTTCTTCTGGTTCCTTGAGCAAGCCAACTCCTCATACTCCTTCACAACAGCAGCCCCTAATCCATTGTATATACTACTCCAGATTCTCCTTTGCTCCACAATGTTCAGAAACCTCATCTCCTCCAACTCCTTCCTCGAATACTTTCCATTCACTGGATATAAACCTCCAACGCCACGATTTTCAGGCTCCAAAGCTCGATTCAGTTTCTCATTAACCGAATCTTTCCTCTTCCTTCTTGGCCTCTTCTTCTTTCCATCACCAGCACCTTGAAACCCATTCCTCTTCACGTTTCCCCCATTCACCTGCTGCCTCTCGTTCTGAACGTTTCGAAAGACAGAAACCGGTTCGATCAGCACGGTGTCATCGATTAACTGAACCTTGAGAGAAGGTCCATCAGATTCCTCAAATCCATTGGAACCATCGACCACATTACCCAGGAAGCTTTTCCCTTTAAAGATTGCTCCACCTTCAAGATCAGCCAGCAATTTTTTCTTCTTCACCTCCAACAAACTCTCCCCGCCCGAAACCTCCACTCTACCGTCGACATCTTCCGCAGCGGCGGAGTACCCAGAAACCGGATTAGCGCAAGTTACCATCTTGCCACCACAGCGACCAAGAACCAGCGTTTCTTGAGCATGGTCATCAACCAGTACTTCAGAAACTACGCATCCAGCCTTCTCGAGAGGATGAGAACTGGGATTGTTGCCCGCAAGAAGCGAACGATCATCTTCTACGGCTGCAGGAGATGGAGCAGCGTCGATGGTCGGTGATGGCTGAGGCGAATCTTTCAGCGCGGGAAGCAGAGAGCAAGATTCGGAAATTTCCTCAGAGTGGACGGCGGGAACGGCGCATCCGCCGGTATCAGCAACCATAGCTTCAGTCATTCTTTTGATGGTCAATTCCACAGCGAGTAATTTGAGAGATTGGGGGGAAAGAGATGAAGGACGAAACTGAGAGAGAATCTTTGCGAGTAAGAGAGGGAGATGAACAGAGATTCAAGATTTTTATGAGAGACTGAAGAAGAAGAAAGGGTTTAAGAAGGGGATGCCGACTGAATTTAGTTATTTATAATATTCTCAGGGGAAAATTGAAACTGCTAGATGGGCTCAGCTTTCATGTGTTGGGCCAATAGGTCGGAAAGAGGATTTGGGCTTCCATGGGCCTGTCCGGGCCAAATCAAACAAAACGAAACCAGATCAATAATAAACGTTTCATAGTTGCGGGGAGAAAACGTTTCGTCCACTACAAGCAAGAGCAAACTTAAGCACTGAAGCAACACGAGCAAATTAAACAGGCTCCATATTCCCAGAATCTACAAACCCAATTCGATCTCTCTACATGATCATCAATCAAGGAAGATGAAAAATATCAAATACAACCCCTCTCATTGTAAGATCCTTAGAGCACATTCCTCAAACACCAAACACATGCTGCAACCGACGATTTCCCGAGTAATATTACACCATTCCAAACCAAACATCAAAGGTATTCAATCAACTCATCTCGTGCTCCTCCCTTACGTTTTTTTGCCAACTCTCCTTCAGGACTCTGGGGCGGCAGTGGGGGCAGCAGCAGGAGGCACTTGAGACTTCAGCAGTGGCTGGAGAGCCTTCACGACGATGCTCATGTTTGGCCGAAACTCTGCTTCATACTGCACGCACAATGCTGCAACAGCTGCCAGCTGCAATAAAAAGAAAGACGTTCCCCCATGTATCACATGTAATGTCATCATCATCTCCAAATAGAACTAGCTTAAGACGGATGGATGAGCACGTACCTTGGCTACTCCCTTTGGTGGATACTCTCCCTTCAGCTTTGGATCCACACACTGCTTAACTTTATCTTCACTCAACCTTGGAGTAGCCTGAACAAAGGGAATTATAATATGATATCAACTATCTGCATAGTAGATACAATGAAGCAAAGAAAATACGACAAGGGCAATGTCAGATGACGAACCCAGGTGACTAGACTCTGCTGCCCACGGGGCATGGTATGATCGACCGGTTTCCTTCCGGTGAGAAGTTCAAGGAGAACCACACCAAAACTGTAGACATCACTCTTCTGTGTCAATTGTCCCGTCATTGCATACCTACAAAATAAGCCAAAGTGCCATTCATATTAGATGCACAATAGTCAAATGGTTGCTCGGGAAGAAAATAGAGAGAAGTAAACACAAAAAAGAAATGAAAAGGTTCAAGAAGGTATGGGTAACTATATCAAGCTAACATAAGATCGATAAAAAGCCTAAAACTAGAGGTAGGCAACAATTCAGATTGAATCATGCAAATCTCCAATATAAGACTTCAATTTGCTTTGATTCCATGCAGATTAAGTTTCCTGTATTCTCTATCTCCTAGGCAGATTAGGTCAGATTCTGAACCAACCTGGCAATGCCCACCCTTCATAAAACACAGGCTACTTGAGCATGGTCTAATATGTCTCAAGCAACTAGTGGGTGCAAGTGCAAATCCGACAATAATCCATGCATACAAGCCCCTCATATGTAGGAATAACAACTACCGCCAGAAAGAAGAAAATAAAGGGAAAAGATTAAGCATTACTCTGGAGCATGATAACCAAAAGTTCCCAGAACACGAGTGGAATGAAGGCGTGCAGCCATGTCCGGAGCCTGATTTGATAGGTTAAAATCTGCAATCTTTGCTTTAAAATCCTCAAAGAGAAGCACATTGCTGGATCTGATATCTCGGTGTATTATGGAAGGCTGAATCTTCTCATGCAAGTATTCCAAACCCCTTGCTGCATCAACTGCAATTCTGACTCGCTGCATCCAGTCCAGCACTGGACCAGGTTGTGCCCCTTGAACTCCCTTTCGACCTGTTACGACACATAAGAAATGGCAATATAAAAAATATGCTTAAAACTTATACTCCATCCATTTCATCACAGATGTGAAGATACATTGTAATTGTACCATGCAATATGTCATGAAGAGATCCCATTGTTGCAAATTCATAAACAAGCACTCTGAGATTTCCTGCTACACAATAACCTTGCAATTCCACAAAATTCTCATGCTTCAATCTCGATACCATGGAAACCTGAAACCGGGGAGAAGAGAAAAGAAAAGAAAACCAATATTAATGATGTAACGGAAATTTCTCTGCAAACAAAACCAAATTGAACAGAACGTGGAGCTGAATTACGAAAATTAAATAAAACTGAATAATTCATTAACTAAAGTATACCTGAGTTAAGAATTCGTTATTCGTTTCGGGCTCACTGGATACATCAAGTTTCTTCACAGCCACGGCTTTTCCGTCATCTAGGTTTGCGTAATACACTCTGCCATAGGATCCTTCACCAATAAGAGCCTTTGACCCAAAATTATCAGTTTTTTCTTTCATTTCATCCAATGACAAAGCAGGCACTTGAATAGGTGGTGCTTCCTTTTGTACTTCCGGTTTGACGAGAGCTGATGCATTTGCACCTTTTGGATGTCCTATCCAATGAGATAGCAAAAAATAAGCCGGTTATCATATTATACTGGCTGCAATCCACGTTATCACAATATCAATAAAACACTTGAAATGATTTGTCTACACATAAAAAGTAGCTTCGGTTTCACACAGATTGCTTGGATTGCCCCAGATCGGACAGTGGCATAGCAGCAATGAAGAACACAAGAGATTCATCTACATTATGAGGAGCAAACATGCAGCTTCAACCAAAAAATAAAATAAAATACAAGCTACAATGATTACGTCCCAAACAGCATCAGTAAGATGATGCCGCACTAGGTTATAGAATGATTTAACTCATAACTATCTAAGAATGAAAAATGCACTTTAGACGGACCAAAGAATGAGATATTATCTAGACAATCAACAATGCATAAAACTCAGAAAGAAACAGTAAACTCTAAAACCAAAAGTCAAGCCCCAAATAATCTACTGCATTCACAAAAGTATAACAGAAAATCAGAGACAATAGTCATGTTATGCATTGTCAGCAACATAAATTGATGCTACCTAAAGGTGTCCAATAGTATCAAACAAAGACAAGTATAAACAGATTTCCTTCTATCCACAGTGCAGGAGACGATCACATTAATTAAGTAAAAATGACAAGAAATGTACCATCATTATGGTGTTTTGGGCTTCTTAGCAGCTCATTCTCATGTGCTGGGTAAGCCTCCTCCACTTGACAGGTGCAGCACAGCCACCGACGCATCTTGTCTCGCTTCCTCAAAGTTAAATCGTCTTCAGACCTTGTCTTATCCACGTGATTAAAGAAGGCAGGACAAGGTGCATGTGCCTGTTCAACATCACCCAATTCACACATCATATTCAACAACAATTAACTTGGTTAAATCATACCCGCATAATCAAGCTTATCAGAAAGTTCAACAATCAAACAATTCAACCAGCTAAGAGATAGAAATAGTTCGCCTTAAAATCAAAAGGGATTCAAACAAAACTAACTACATTCCGATTGAGGATTGGATAACACATCCAGCAGCCACGAGTTTAATCATGGGCAATCACCATTTGGCACTAATAATTTCAACACCCTGACAGAGCCATACCCAGTTCAAACAACAAAGCAATACAATATGAATACACTACACCACAACTAACTTGGGTAAATCATTACCCGCATCACTACGCTCATCATATAATGAGGGATGGAAATGAAATGGTCTGCTATTGGGGCAAAAGGGGGTTCAAAGTTCAAACATAACGAACAAAATCCCGAATGAGGTACTCTAAAACTGGAAAAAGGTTGTAGCTGAATGAAGACACATCCTGCAGCCACGAGACTAATCATGGGCCATCACAATTCGGAAGCTGCAATTCAATCAAACCCCATCAATACCCTGGTCAAGTTTTCTCCCGCGCCATTTCAGACAACAAAGAAAGCGACTTGAAACGAATACATTGCGACCAACGAATTCAACCTCTCAAACAATTCAATTACAACAAATCAGACAACGTCCTAATCAAGAAATTCACAACTGCCCAATTCAGATTTCCAACAAAACTGAATCGAATTCAACAGCGTGAAGAACCACCTCTCAGAACACGGAGCCAATCAAATTGGAAAGGGCAATCCTCACCGCAACAAGGTGACGTGAATTGCAACCCTTCCCCTCCATCAAACACTGATCGAGAGAGAGAAAAGGAGGAGGGAAGGGGAAGGAAAGACAAGGGAGAAAGAGGGGAGACGCGTCGGTCGCTGGGCAGATTGCAACAAAAGCCGGGGGAGGGGAAGAAGGAGAAACGAGGTTACAAAACGGGGAAAACGCCCAAAATTAAGAGGTGTCGTAACAAAACCGAGGAATAGCCATTGGATCGCAACGGAAATTAGGGGGGAGAAGAAGGAACCAACCAATTCATTGGAAACCAGAGAGAAAAGGGTTTGATTACCTGTAAGCTGCAGCTGGTTTTACTTTCTCTATTCTACTGCGCTGGGGTTATCCCTCTCTCTCTCTCTATCTCTGCCTCTTTCTCTAATGGGGGGAATTCCGTTGCTCTGTTTCTTCTTCTCCCTCTTCTTCTGCTGTGCTTCTTCTTCCTCCGTCTTCTTCTCTCTCTCCCAAAAGGGGAGGGGATGAGAGGGGCTGGAATGGATTCGTTGGAATTGTCTGTAAAGAGGAAGATGAGAGAGAGAGAGAGAGTACAATAGAGAATTGGAGAGAGAAGCTGCTGATGGGAAAAGGAGAGAGAGAGAGTGGAACAGATTGCGGGAATATTTTAGTTATAGATAAGTAGAGAGAGAATTAAGCACTGTTTGGTTTCAAGTTTTTCTCATTGGGAATATTAAAAATGAAAAGTTTTTGTTTTCAGAAATATGGGAGGGGTTGTTTGGTTAGGTCGAATTGATGTTATGCAACAATATCTCATGAACGAAAAGATACGAATTTGGCTGAGAGATCATCTTGGAAAGTGCACTGCAGCCTATGCTTGTAACCTGGGGTCCTGCACCATCACTAGGGCCGAGCTCAAAGGGGCTGTTGAAGGATTAAAGATTGCCTGGGAAAAGGGATACAGGAAAGTGGAAGTCAATCTGGACTCGAATACAGCTGTGAGTATTTTGAAAGAAAAGGGAGACACCAGCAGCAACCATGGACTTCTTGCGCTTCAAGCTAAAGAACTCCTTAGTCGTAGCTGGACTGTTAATATTAATCATGTTTATAGGGAGTGTAACTCTGCTGCTGATTTCTTAGCTAGCATGGGGCATGATCTCCATTTTGGCACGCATCAACTTGATACGTGTGACCCCAAACTCCTGTATTGGCTGAACTATGACGCTAGAGAAACTTCCCAAGAGCGCGATATTTTAATCTGATTCTGGATGCTCTGCATCCATCTCCTTACCAAAAAAAAAAAAAGTTTATATAACCTGTTCCATTCTCGTTGTCCAAACACGGCCTTAACTGCCAAGAGGCTTAGCTTGGCTTAGCTGTTTCGTTTCCAGGAGATTAAAGAAAAGAAAAAAGAGTGGGAAAGGAAAAAGCATGGAAATCGTCGACGCTGCTTTAGATAAAGTATTGGGCTGGAAATCTGCGGGCTTTAAAGACCAATAGGCCCATGGAAATCCATCTTGAGCTGGGGCTGAACATTTTGCATAGCCTGATATTGTAAGAGGGAAAAAGACGGGCCCGCTTCATAATCGGTCGAAGGCCCGCCTCATTAGCGTCCATTAATAAACAACTGGGCCTACTTAATGATAATACTAGATTACAGGTTGGGCTTTCTAGAGGATTCAAAAAAATTTGATGGCCATAGAGGGCGTCAGGGATTTCTTTGGTCTCTAAAAGTCTGTTTACCGTCACTAAACATTGACATGGACATAAACCTCGTGCTCCAAACGGTTTGTAATGTTGATGGACATAAGATTCATTGATTTATTTAGTCATATAAACGTAGATAAACTCTAAAACAAAAAATAGTAGACGATTAACGGACCTTAATTGCCCGAAACAGAGAATTCGAGTCGGGAGTGGTGAGATCATCATCATCATCCCATATGTAGTCCGCTGCATCAGCGTTTCGCCTCCAGTAAGCCACGAGGGATGCGAACGGTTCCATCCGACATAGCCACAACCTCGTTGGTGACGGACTCATCTCCTCAATCTTCAATCACGAATCGGAGTGCAACAGTTTTATCATCATTCTCAGTCTCCTGCCAATGAGAAGACCGAGATAGAGCCCATTTGTAAGTGAACTAACCACTTGGTCCCAATAACTCGAGTTGTTGGGAAATGGATAGTTAAACTTTTTAACCTCTTATACGCCCCCTCAAACGAAAGTCGATGCCAAAATGTGGATTTTAACGGTTTGCACAGGTTGAACCCTTGTGCTGCCAAACCACGAGGCTTTAGTTTGCACAGGTTGGACATACCATTCCTTGTGCTAAACGAATTGGCATGAAATGGGGGTCGTTATGAGGATTCGAAACCATGACCTTTCGGTTCTAGACTCTGATACCATATTCGCGAACTAACCACTTGGTCCCAATAACTCGAGGCGTTTGGCACAAGTGACTCAAACAGCGGCGGGACGAGTCATAAAATAAATTTGATTCGCATAACTAGTGGTGGTTGCAAGATATGGAGATAAGGAAATTTTGGGTAATTATAATATATTGAGATTGGGGGTTAAAATATCATTCACAATATACAAAGACTACGATTTTTTATGTGTTTATTCCGAGCTAAGTCAAGGGTTGCAACTTGCAATGGATCACCTGCCATATGTGGGGCGAATCAGAAAGTTTATTATGCACAATGATTTATTAAATACCAGTTTTGTAGATTAATTATATAATAATGAATGACTTGTGATTTTGGATTACATATGAACTAGTGGCTTCATAGCGCAACATCTTAAATGTCTTTTTTTTTTTTACTTCTTCAATGTCTCTTTTTGAGAATCAAGTCAGATTTGAATTTAACTTCTTCACTGTCTTTTTTTTTTTTTTTTACTTCTCTTGGATTGTTCTGTTTTCCACAAAACATAGCTTTTCAAAACTTTCATTTGACGGGAAAAAAGTCAACGTGAACAAATAAATTGGTGTCCCTTTAGTTATAATAATTCGAGTTGTTAGAAAGAGATTGTATAAGTTCTTACATGTCATTTGTTTTCTCTTACACGCCCTTCAAGGAAAGACTATTTAATCGTGAGATTTCAGTTTGTAGAAGCTCAATGTATCAAGGAAAGAAGAAGAAGGGAAAAAAACACCAAATATCTGGAATTCGGAATGTTACATTACCGCAACCATGAACAGAGGAAGTGAAACACTGAGCTACAGCGAGGTACATGTAGCTCGTTATTGAAAAGTAAAGTAAAACAAGAAACAACCAAGAAATAACTCGATCATCTACCGGTTCAATCGCCACTGGTCTTCAACACAGTAATCGCACATTCTAATTCGTCAAGTAGCACTTAACAATAAATATAAAATCAATCCATATATGTCACTCTCAGAAACTCGATCTATTCGTCCTCCTTGGGGATCGGTTGCGGGAGCGACTCTTCGAACGTGAAGTCGAAGTAGTTCGTTCCCGTGTAGAGACCATCCTCCATGATATGAACCTCCTCCCTCCCCTTCACCTTATCATAACGCGTGTAAGTCAACGGAACATCGCAAGTCGCCTTCGTCGCCAATAGCTTGACCGTCACCATCGTCCACGGAGGCAGCGTGACCTCGTGGACTTTCACCTGTTAAAAACCGAACAGAAAAAAAGGATTACCAATCTGATTGAGTCGCAGATAATTATCCTATTTATTAATTATATTTTATTATAACTTTCAAGTTGTTCACACCAACATCACCCATACCTGGTCAGGGTTCTCGGCCGTGGTCTCTCCCCAGACGTAAGACGGCGCGAACGGACTTGTCATCTCGACGACGGACGAGTCCGTCACGTACGGGATCTGGGGAGGCTGGACCCTGACCGCGGGCCCCACTTTAAACGACGAGCTCGTCGACATCCACGTGCTGCTCGTCTTGTCGAGGTACGAGATTTCCACCTCGATATCCTGGGTCTCGTCGGTCTCGTTCCTCACCTCTTCTCCTTCGTTGAGCACCACGTTCGGCGTCTCGTCGTGGACCCAGCTCTCGCCGAGGTGGAACTTGATGTTCTTGATCCTCCTGGAGGCGACGAGCTCAACGAGCTCCAGGTGGTTGACCGCCGTGATTTGGGAGTCGATGGTGGTCAGACCATCTGTTATTTGGTAACTGTATCGCCGGGTGAAGAGGTTGTTCCCCAGGTTGCGGAGAGCAACGGTCCTGTCGTTCACCTTGATTGACAAAGTAATTGTTGACTGTCAGTAGAGCAGAAGTACTACTGGGTTCGCATTTTATTAAAAAATTAGATATTGTAAAAAAAATTATTACGACTATAGTTTTTAGTATAGTATAAAATTATAAATTGTGCTTGACGGGTGTTTTAATTATTAGCGAATTCATCGACGATGGGAGTCTACCTACATATATACCAATAGTATATTGTCTTTCAAATAAAATAGTTAAGCAACCGGCGGCAAACTACACATCGCTCATTTTGTTGCGTAAATAAGTTTTCACATGTTTCATTGTTGAAAAAGGTTCTCTCGCCTTAATAGCCATTGAGACGGGATAACGTCAAGACCAGACAAATCGATCGACTGATCAATTTGTATTGGTGTCCATCCCTATTTATACAGACTGCTCTGGTAATTTTTTCAAGGGAACAAACCTCATATTTCCTTTAGACTTTTAGGTATCATTGTTTATTATTATTTTTTAGACAAAAATAATTGTGGCTAGAATCGAGAAAGTCATAAGGACTATACTATTTCTAGACCCAAAGGAGGGTTGGGCCGTGGCTCGGAGTGGCCACCCCCTGTAGCATCCACCACTGACCTCTACTAACAATCCGAGTTATTTAGGGATGAACATGTGACAAGTACTCACCTTAACCGCCGCAAAAGAAGAATGCAAGGTGTGATTGTCAGCAGTGGTGACGTCATCGGCCCAAATGTATGTGTGTTGATATCCGCTCGGAGTATTCGCCCTCCAGAACGCTTTGCGGGAGACGTTCTTGATGCGGAAAGTTCCATCGGGTTGCGGGACAATCTGGTTGGCGACGGTTTCATCTTTCTCGTCGCTAAACGCGAACTGCAACACCTGTACTCCAGCCCGGAGGCCGAGGAGTAACCTGTTGTCGCCTCTGAAAGCGAGGTGTTTAGGCAGCGTGACCAGAGTTCCCCAGTCGATGACCTGGAACGGGGTCTTGGGGTCCGCGGGGTTCCACTCCTCCGCGGTCACGTACTTGTTGGCGTTGTCGTGCCAGTGCGCGTAGCGGCCCAGCTGGACGTGAAGCAGCCGGACCATCCCCATGGGGTCGTTGGGCGCGAACTCGGGTTGGAACAACGTGGACGACCAGAGGGTCTGGTTGTCCTCCGGCTCGAGGGCCAGAGCCGCGATCCACCTCTTTGCCTCCGACAGTCGCTGGAGGAACCTGTTGTTGTAGCTGCACCGGATGTGGACCATGGTCGGGTGAACAGTTGATGGCACCACCTCGAACTTGCAGCGCGGGCTCCAGGCCTCGTTGGGCCGGACCGCCACGCATTTCTCCGATGCGTCGTCGGCCACGTAGGTCATGTATTTATTCGCCCCGCTCTTGAACACCGCGAACTTTGGCAATGTCGTCGCAGGCGCCATTCTTCTCTCTTATTGGATATGAAGGTCGGATTGAGATGTGATGTGTTGATTTCATTTCTCTCTATTTATAGATAGATGTGTGTATCATCGGTTAATTGACTAATTAATTGCTATTGACCTAGTGAAACACATGGTGAGCAACAATCTGGTCCGCACATCATGTGATTAAATACAAGATCTCTCGGCCAAACCAGTTTTGATATCATGTCAAAAATTCATTGATCCCAATAATTCGAATTGTTGCAAGAGATTCAATTTTGAATCATATACCATTTAATTACTAACACAAAGGTCTTGAACGTTATTCCTACCTACATTGTTTCTACCTTTAGCAAAAAAAAAAAACATATAAATAAGGACGAGAATGAAGCAAGCTCCTTGAAATCAACCGCATTCTCATACTCGTGTGAAAAATGTTTTGCAACCCCATCCACATATTTGCGGTCTTTGTATACCTGTGCACAATTTCGTATTTACATCATAGTTGAACCAGTTCTTCAATGATTTGTCTATTTTCTTTCAGTTGTTATGAATAATAATTTGTTGGGTTGTTGATGGGTTAGTCCTTTTAGTTTATTGATTATCATTGGTGACTTCGACATCCCCAAGTCAACATTATTATTGTATTGCAGCGAAATGAACTGTTACTAATTCATAAGTCATTGTATATTGTTAAATAGAAAGGAGTATGCAGTTAATTCATAAGTCGTTGTGTATATTAAATCGAAAGAAACATATTGCATATACAAAGACTACCAACTAGTATTAGACTATTATTATGTCTGAAAGTATATCAATATTCTAAGACCGAGCCGTTCCTTGAAAAATACATTAAGATCGGTCAACTCATCAACATGTAATATTATTGATATTTATTTAGAATAAAGTGAATATTATTTTTAATTAAATTGTTTTTAAAAGACCAAGCAATCCCAAATATTTCTTTTATAAGACCGAGCAACTCTTCAACATGTAATACTATTGACTTTTTTTTTAATAATAAGCAATTTTATTTCACCAGAAAGAAAGGAGAAGGTAGTAGTAGCCGTAGGGCTGCAAATGAGCCGAGCTGAGCCGAGTTTTACCCCAGTTTGAGCTTGACTCGTTAACAAATGAGCTGAGCTCGAGCCCGAGCCATTTATTAACGAGCCGAGTCGAGTTCGAGCTAGGCTTGTTTACTAAATTCTTAGATCGTATTTAACACATTCATTTTGTATGTCGTGTATGGTACATGTGATTGATGTAGCGATAAAAAAATAATCAACATTAATTAATCTTATATTATAATTTTTAGGTGTCATATTGTTTAGTTAATAAATTTTAACTAGTTCAAATCATGTTATTTCATAGTATCGAAACAATTTTGTACATAATTTCTTTATAGAATTAAAAATAAGGCATATTTTCTTACATGTTCAACATGTTAAACTTCACATGATGTGAGATATATAATTTAACAATCCTATGAATTATGAAAGTCCAAATTAGATCGATTAGTCCATAAGTCAGTGATCAAGTTGGCGCTCAAACCACAATGTTGAGACATCTCATGAGCTCTAAATGAGCCAATTCACGAGTTAAGCTCAACAAGCCACCGATTCGGGCTAGCTCGCGAGCTTCACGAGCTGAACATAGCTAGGCTCAATCTTGGCTCGTCAATAAACGAATCGAGTTTCGAACGAGTTTTTCCCGATTCGATCCTCGAGTTGCTCGCGAGTAGCTTAGCCCATTTGCAGGCCTAGGTAGTAGTACTCCTTTTGTTCGAAAGTACTAACAATCTCATGGCCCAAAATTAGGTCCTCCCTGACGCTTAGACGCGTACCTTTGTTCCAAACTCATGGCCCGAGCCTTTTTCCCACTTTCCACTGATGGTCCAATATACCAAGTTCCCAACTCACTTCCCACATCCTCCTCAACAACTGAATCATCCTCTAAATCCAAACTCTTTGGGCCTCCAATAGGGGATAGGCCTGAATTGAGAAAGATGACTTTGGTTTGATCAATTGCATAGCTTAGTTTGACTCTGCTGTAGTTTTTGCAGAAGCAGTTTCTGACTAGAGCTTTTAGATAAGTACTTTTCAGAAAAAACAGTTCAGTGTTTGGCTATAAAATTATTAGAAGTGCTTTTTAATATGAGCGGTTGTGTAAAATGACTATAAAGGACTTATAATATAAAATAAAAATAAAAATTCTAAACAATAAAAATTAGTCAAAATGGATCTTGTTAGATTTCTTTTATATTAAATAATATGATTTTATAATTCATTTTATTTTTAAAATGATATAAACGAAGGAAAATTGTATTTTCTGAAATAAAATTAAAATATGGTAAGGATAATCTTGTATTTTCAAAACAGCTTTTTCGCAGAAGCTCCAAATCGGAGCTTCTGCTTTTATGTTATACAAAAGCGCTTTTCGGTTTTTCGAAAGCCGAGCTTTTAGAGGTGTTTGGCCCTGCTTCAGCTTTTGAAGCCGAAAAGCACTTCTGAAAGCCGGGCCAAACGTAGGGCATATCTGTGATGGGTTATTCGATTGACAACCTTTTCCCCAAAATCGACTGTTAGGCTTGTGTGTGACATAATTTCCCCCATCTACTCCATGAATAGGGTGAGCATACCAAATCGTATCGACCTGCGTATGCACTCGAGCTAAATCGCATCGACAAACTAGCGGTGTAACATGTACATGGGTTCACAATTTGTGGTCGTTTCAAACCGAAATCACGATTGCACCGGCTCAAAACCAGTGGAAACCACCGTAAACTCCAACTCTTTCATTTTGCAGGAACTTTGGTGTCTGCCAGCGGTAATACTTGATATGATTATCGTACTTCCGCCGCCTAACCGGACACAAGATGTCCAACTCCAACGTTGTATATATTCATCAACAACATTAATTACTCGACTACTTTATCAAAGGCCAACACGACGTCGTTTGGCTTGGTACTTGTATCAGCCGTACGTGCAACATATAATGACAAACCATGCATGCATCACGTGGCTACATGATTGAGTGGGAAAGGCCATTATTCTCAAAAGAATGGCTATGGTCAAAAGACAAGCTAGTGATCGGAACTGGCCGCCGGCCGATGATATCATAAAATAACACCACCGTGTCAAGAACCAGTTGGTCCCAATAACTCGAGTTATTGGGAGAAGATTATACTGGATCATATACCACAGGGGCGGAGCCAGGATTGAAAGTTCGGGGGGCCGGATTTATTTAGTAAATTATTGTAAAAATCCAAAGATAAAAATAAATAATAACGACACATATTAATTAAAATAGAAAAAACTCAAAATATAATAATTTAAAGTTTGCTAGTATGTTATACTCAAAATAAATGTTTATACTGTGAGCAAAAATTATCATGCATTTTAACATGTAATTGTTTTATACCTTGAATATGAATTTATGATTATATTATTGTTTTTAAAATTTAATTAATTACATATCCAAAAACAATCTTTGAAAATATGAATGTAGAAGTTTAAGAACTTGACTGAATTTATTTGCAATTACAGGATTTATAAAACAAAATAGAAAAATTAGAGGATTAGACAAAATAGAAAAATTAGAGGATTAAACTGGAAAAAAACTGTTAAAATTATAAATAGAAAAATTAGAGGATTAAACTGGAAAAAAACTGTTAAAATTATAAAAAGCAATGCTGTCTATCAGAATCGAACCCTGAACCTTCTAACTAAAACTGCATGACTTCTCCGCTACACTACAAATCTGGGCTGTTAATAAGATTTCACTCGAATTTTATATACTTGTTAGATTGAGTTTATACGTAATTCTCGGAATTTCCTAGGACTTTATACGTAAGTTTCAAAATTCTCGGGGGGGCCGGGGCCCCCCCGAGAGCCTACATAGCTCCGCCCCTGATATACCACTCTCTAACACGCCCCCTCAAACGAAAACCAACTCATGGGCTTGAAGTTTGCACAGGCCCACCATGCTACGTGCTTGAAAGACAACGGTTAATATTGGGGGCCGTGGAGATTCGAACACATGACCTTTCAGTTCTAGGCTCTGATACCATGTCATAAACCAGTTGATCAAATACCACAACACTAACACGCCCCCTCAAACGAAAGCCACTCACAAGGGCTTGAAGTTTGCACAGGTATGAAGACAAGAATACCATGTGCTTAACAAATGGGGGTCACCGGTAATCGAACACAAGACCTTTCGGTCACGGAAGGCTCTGATACCATGTCAAGAACCAGTTGGTCCTAATAACTCGAGTTATTGGGAAAAGGTTATACTGGATCATATACCACTCTCTAACACACCGCACTCACTAACTCGTCGCTAATAATGGAACTAGTTAATTACTTAATTGCTTAATTAATACTCAAATGCAAGTAGCTCGGCTAGCTAGGGCCTCCCCCACAAAAGATCCCCCGATTTCCACCGAAAGATCTTCCCAAAAAATCTCTATTTGAATGAATACGTTCTCAAAATTATGGCTATCGACAATAATTGCAGAGTCTAATTCATTTTCTGTGGCTGAAATAATAATCTAATATCACATGTTGACATCATTGTACGATTAATCATTTGTTAATATTTTAAGATAAAAGGACGCATCCGATTTACACGGAATAAAACATTATTTATTTCATTTCAATCTCAATTATTATGTGACATCTTGCCGTATTGTATGTTGTAAACCCGCCGAACCCACGCGCCTATAGGACGCATATAAATAGGAAACGTTGGAGAGATCGACCATACACTCATATCATATTATCATTCATCAATTTATCTCATCCAGAAAGAAGTTAAGAGAGAGAGAGAATGGCGGCATTGCCAAGGTTCATGGTGCTGTATTCCGAGAGCGTGGGGAAATACTTGAGGCACCCAAGCATAGGGCTGGCCATCGGAGTCGCCGCCGACAAGGCCTGGGAACCGCAGGCCAAGTTCGAGGTCGAGCCGTCGGCGGTCCACCCATCCATGGTCCACATCAAGTGCAGTTACAACAACAAGTACCTCCAGCCCATCGGGCCGGACCTCGCCGTCGCCGGCTGGATCTGTCCGATGGCCGACAGGCCCAACGAAAACCTCGTCGACTGGCGCTGCACCTTGTTCCAGCCCGAGTTCCGTGACCACGATTTAACCGTGGTGCAACTGCTTCATATCCAGCGGGGGCGCTACGTGACGTATCGCGCCCCCGGCATATCCGCGGATGCTACGGACTCCGCGGACCCGTTGGTCCAGTTCCAGGTAACAAAAAAAAGTATTATTGTGGTAGTACTACAAGACAACATTTGCAGGCTTGCAATTGGAGAATACAAAGATTAAAAAAAAAAAACATCAATTCAAACTAAAGTCTAAAACTAACATTGTAACAATAAACTAGACTTAGATGATGATGACGACGACGACGAACAACTTAGTAATCTTGCAGGTCACCAACTGGAGCACCATGCTCGTGCTCCCCAAGCACCTGGCTTTTAAAGCCAACTACTATGGCTACCTTGGCCTCGTCGAGGAAGATGAGCTGCCGTTTCTCCGATTCGAGATCGACGATCGAGGAGAACGATCCATCGCCAGCGAGGTTGTCCCTCTGCCCGACGGGACTTCCATCCGCATCAAGAACGTCTCCCGCGGGGCTTACTGGCGGCGAAACGGTGAGGCAAGTGACTTCGTCTTGGCTGAAGACGACCTCGCCACTCCCGGGCCCGATTCTTTGTTTCAGCCAATTAAGGTGATCATCAGTTACTTACCCGTTTCTTCCAATAATTCGCGCGTTATTTGAATCAACTGGTTAACTATTCGTCAATCAATTTATAAGGTGGACGACCAAACCATCGTTCTACGCAACTTGGGGAACAACAGGTTCGCTTCTCGGTCGGGCTACTACCTGCAAGCCAACGAGATCGAGCCGTTCTTCAGCGACCTGGCCCTGTACGAGCTCGTCTCCTCGAGGAGGATCGAAGACATCGAGTTCCTGCTCGAATACGGTTGGGTTTACGACGAGACCCTCGTCGTCGTCGCGAACCCTGGAGAACCCGTCACCAACGAGAGCGGCGTCGCTCGAACCCTGGCGGTTGAGGTCCGGTACAAGGACGTCAGGAGTTGCACTCTGAAAGCGAATGGCCCGATGCTGATGAGTCTGGGCCCGGTAGTCCGTATCCAGCCGGACGAAATCGGGTCCGTCAACGATTCGTCCACGATCGAGCTGGTAGCTCCGTTCGAGCCGTCTTACCTGTGGGGTCCCCACAGCACTGAGCTGGGGGACCCCGACCGGGTGAAAGTCCACGAGGTCACGGTGCCACCCTGGTCAACGGTGACGGTCAAGCTGACTGCGAGTCTGGCCACGTGCAATATTCCCTTTATTTATACTCGTTACGACGTTCTCGACGAGAGTACGTGGAAAGAGGAGATCTATTTCATGGAGGATGGCCTGTACACGGGGACCAACTACTTCAACTTCAAGTTTGAAGAAAGTGCACCACAGCCAGTCGTTAAGGAGAATTAGTAATTATTTGCAAAAGATCATGTAGTCGATGCATATCGATGAGTTCCAACAATAAGTTTTGCGTACTATAAATGAAGATTAATTGCAAGTAGGTTTAAAAAAATTGATAACTTGGTTTGGTGTTTGCCCGCGGAAATGATATACATGATTATTGTACGTCGACCTAGTCGAAACAAAATGTCTAATGTTGTATCCTCTGTCATTGGTAGGTGATACATAGATTATATTATATATTCATAATAAAAAACATGCGATTATTAATGGACTAGTTGATACACATAATTGGCCACCGAGGATCAGTATTTGTTTAATGACACTAGGTACCATTAATTAGTTTATTATTCTTGATATTAATTGTGTCTTTTTGGGTATGAAAAAACTCATCAAAGTACATTAATAATCACATGTTGATGAATATATAATGTCTAACCAACTAATAACAAAGGATACGAACGTCTTGTTCCAACAATCGTATATCTGATAAGCTATATTGAGAGAAATATGTTAAGCAATGTGGACACCGAATGCATTTTAAAAAAAAATTCAAAATACGAAACACGTTGTGGGTTTTTGTTGAAACTTGTACTAGTCGAATATTTTTGTATTTAATACTAATTTAGCCTTGGTTAATTGTCATGCATCCATGTTTTACTTTCCAATATAATAAGCTATCCGTACTGATTAAGAATAAGTTGCTCCATACATACTTGACTCTACGCTAAGGACTACGTTCGTGTTTCATTTCCTTCGAACAAGGTTGGTCATGTGTTGTACTACTACTCCAAAGTTCAATGTCAACACTCGTCTTTCATGGTTTTTTTTTTAATACTTGTGTTCTTGTCGCTTGAATGCGCTTGCATCTTGTTCAAGCGGAAACATGGGTTCTGTCTGGCGAAGGTGCAGCAGCCTTAGCTGGCGCCCGTCGCTTGAATGCTAACATCTTGTTCAGTGCACTGATGTAGGCCTTCACACTGCAAACCACTATGTCCATCCCTGCCCCAGAACCACTGTTCATAAAGCGCGAGAGAATCTGAGTTCCAGTTGAAGCAATGTGTTCAATGCATGTGTATACGTCCGCCAGAGTTGAATTGAAAAGGTTGCCAATACCTGAATGTACGCTCGAAAGGTTCATCGGTCAATGCATGGGTAGGGGTGTGCTTGTTCTCCCCACGAATTAAGACACGGGTGGTTGCAATTGCATCGATCCCTTCTGTGACGGCGTTCATGGAGTACTCCATCAGTGTCGCCTCTTCCTGCAACCATCCAGTAACACAATAATTCAAATACTACAGTAGTTAATCAGTCTAGTGAAAGCTCAACAACCCAAAATTTTAGCAGAGCACTGAGTGCCATTCGATTGCTCTGACGACTATTCGGTGAATGCTTCTCTGCTAGCCATACCAGTCCTCTAGTGAAAAGTTCTGACAGGCAAAAAAATTCCAGAGTAAGATTGGAATCCAGACCTTTACTATGAGATCAACAGCTTTGTATGCAGAATCGACTGGACCAGTTCCTACAGCGCAGCCGATATGCTCCTCCCCATCAGCATCAGTGAGTTTGACAGTGGCAGTGGATAGGCCAAGTGTTCCACAAGTGACCTGTGTAGTAACAAAGCTCATTTCAGTTTCTTACAAACTGTACCAAGTTCACATACATATCAAGAGAGAAGAGAAAGAGAGAATAAAGTTTACCTGCAAGTCATGGAGTTTCCAAACAGTTTCTGGTTGGAAAACTTCATCTGAGACTAAAGCGATTAGGTCTGCATCAGTGACTCGCTGCAGAAACCATAAAATTAGTTAACTTAAGTTCCAGTTATGGGAAACAAGTGTACTTGACAGAGAAAGAGTGAGTATATAGTTTTGCAATAAGGTGGATGGTGAACAGATATGGAGCATTTATCACCTTTTTTTGTTCAGCCACTGCCTTAAAACGCCAAAAGATGTTGCCAAGCTGTTGATCATCCAGCTCATATCCAAGCTACACAAAGTAGGATTAAGGCAGTCTAAATGCTCTGTTAAACAAAAAAGATGAGCATTACAGGACCCAAGTATAACATGTATTAGCAATACCTCCTTCAGTCGATCTCTCAGTGCGTGGCGCCCACTGTTTCCACAAAAAGAAAAAAGAAATTACACATAGGATTTTACTGATTGCTGGAATTGGTCTCTAAACAACAAACAAATCAAGATGAAGACATGACATGATAAGACGTGATACAGCTAAACGGTGGAATCAATTACAAAAGTAACACAGGAGCATCATTTGCGTTCCCCCCCCCCCCCCCCCCCCCCCCCCCCCCCCCCGGGTAATTCAGTGTCCAAACGGAGATAAATTAACAGTCAGCTGTGTGATGGTCTTTGTTACAAAATGCAATTACAGAATTTCTAATAAGTCAGCACTTCAATATATCTAAACTGCGCCCAAACGAAAAGTTCTATCGAACAGCTCAAACCCATAAGATACTGAGTAGGGCAGTAAATGAATTCAGATAACAAAGTGCAATAAGTTGAATGATACCTAAGTTTCCCAAGAACAATACCGGCTTCATTGGCTCTCTCAAGACCAATATCTTCAGGAGATATAATCTCATATGTTCCTTTATGCTTTAACATTCCATCCTGAACCATATACAACAAACTCAGACCAAGGGGAGAAATAAATCCTCAACACAGCTATTCTCCATTCTTGGACTCGCCTCCAACAGGTCCACCCCACTGTACAGTGTGAGCTGCCCGCACTTCATTGTTATCACACTAAACCAACATTAGTTAATATACTCCCTTCCAAAAACTATGCTCATATTACTAGCATCTTGTCGTTATATTATTAGATGTTCTCTATATCAAATCTCAGAAACTACTCGAAATGGCAAACATTAGCACAACATAATTAGGATCCTAAAGACCAAACCAAGCAGGAAAACGAGTTGTAATTGCACACTAACCTGATGTATCCCACTTTCATGAGCAAAAGCATTAGCTCCAACAATAGCCTTGTGAGGCTGCACTTGTAATCCACTGTAGTCCTCCACCTAAAGGACCATTGCAATCAAGAACCATATTTACCAAACAGAATGAAACAAATGGTGAATACAGAGAGCTATAGAGAAAATTTACCATCTTGCTTGCCATAGTAATGTGTTTAGTGTTTATCCCAGTGTACAAACCTCCTAACACGTGCTCTCCGCGGCATTTTATGGCCATTACAACCTGCATAAATTGTCATGAACAAGATTTTAAAACCAAAATAATAATTGGATAAACAAATGAAGCTAAAAGAACCCAAAAAAAGCATAGGGACTTCGGACACAGGGCAGGAACTTGCCCAGAAGAGAGGACTCGTATACTAACTGGGGGAGTTGCAGAAACCACAGGCATTATCTATGTTAGGTGCCATCACATTCTGAGCAAAAATAAAAACCATACCTCCTCCAGTGAAGCATTTCCAGCTCTCTCGCCAATGCCATTGATAGTCACTTCGACTTGTCGTGCACCCGAATATGCCCCCTGAAGTATCAGTTAAGGTTTGAATATAGTTTGGTTGTACCCATAAAATACTTCAAAAATAAAAAGAGAAAGGAGTGACATACCGCCAACGTGTTAGCAGTAGAAAGTCCAAGATCATTTTGGCAGTGTGTTGAAATGATGACATTTTCAATTCCTGGCGTATTGGCTTTTATGTCAGCAATTAGTTGTCCAAATTCACTAGGCAAGTTGATCCCAACAGTATCTGGTATGTTCAGAGTCGTTGCCCCAGCTTTGATCACTTCTTCCAAAATTTGGTACAAAAACTCCCTATCAGACCTGAGGAAGAATGAAAAGCTCAAAGCACCATACTAAAACCTAAAAAGCATGAATAGCCAAAGCAGGGGAAGCTTTGGCACTTAGACAAGACAGCTGACCATTGATGAGGAGACATGCAGGTATATAGTACCATTGACAGAATAACATTTGAGTGCAGATTATTTCATCCACAGCCTTTGCTTCAGGTAGCTTCATATTAGGGATCACCAAATTAATACGCCTTCTAAAGGAGGAATCACAAATTCCCTACCTATGTTCTCCTTTTCAACCTCAATCAAGCTCAATAATACTACGGAGCAGCAGATTAATTAACGTGCCCATCGAATAGAAAACACGGGTTTCTGTTTTGAGATTGTGAGATCCAGGAAGAGAATGGAAACATATAAGCTTAAAGGGTTGCGTCTCCACAAAGCAGGAGCAGGGCTCCGATTGAGAATCAACTAAAGAAAGCTACCAATATCACAGCAAGTTCAGTGTGCGTCATTACTAAAACTAATTAGCTGATGTGCTACAGAAAGTAGCAAACTTTTCAATCTCAATTTCTCCCTGGTCATTCTTGGCCTATAGCAAACAACAATGCTCAGTAACTGTAATCTCTATGCACTCTACTTCCAATCAAGAACTCTCTAACCCAATTGAGCCACCAATTTAGGACAGAGCTCTATCTTTCAATATTTACGAGGTCCCCTAGTATCCTAATCAGCTTATGGGACTACGGACCAACGAATTTTGTCTTCGCCAGCCAAATTCAATTCATCTATAGTTAACCCAGGACAAATCCACGTAACAAGTTCAAACATTTCTCACCAAAATTCCCAATTTCCATCACCACCTAGTGCTGCCAGTTCAGCAGCAAAATCAGGGGAACTACAAAATCAATAACAGAGAAAATCCAAATTAGATCAAGAGAGAAATAGGAAAGACTCTAACCTGCCAGCATCCTCGGGACTAAACTCAACATCTTCACAGCCCAAGCTCCTCGCGAAGCTCACCATACTCCTGGCAATCTCCACCACCTCCTCTTTACTCTTCCTCAACTTATACTTCATATGAATCGGACTAGTCGCAATAAACGTATGAATCCTCGGCCGCTTCGCGTACTTCACCGCATCCCACGCTGTCCGAATATCCTTCTCGTTACACCTCGACAGCCCACAGATAACCGGCACGTAACCATCCTCATCCACCGCATTTCCAATCTCCTCGGCAATAGCCTTGACCGCCTCGAAATCGTCCTTGGAAGCCGCCGGGAACCCAGCTTCGATCACATCCACCCCGAGCTTGATCAGCTGGCGGGCAATGTCCAGCTTCTCCTTCGACGTCATGGTCGCCCCCGGCGACTGCTCGCCGTCGCGGAGCGTGGTGTCGAACACGCGGACATAGTGAGGGTCCGAAATGCGGTTGGGGATGTATTCAGGACGAACGGAGCACGAAATCGAAGTACTGAATGACTTGCGGGGTAAAGAGGGAACCGCGGCGGAGGAGGAGGAAGGAAAATGGCGGGAAGGGGATAAGCGGAATTGGATGAAGGATGAGGGAAAAGGTTTGGCCTTTGGATTGGCGGCGGAGAACTGGGAGGCGGAGAATCTGGGTGCCGGAGACACGGCGGCCATCGAGCAGGCGGCGGATGGACGGAGATTAAAATTTAAAACCCTAGATTCGGAAGAGAAAAAGAGAAGCAATAATACTACAGTGGTGTTTCTGGTAAGAATGGAAGGAAAGGGTTTAAGAGGCGGGTAACACAGTTGCAGAAGTGGGTCCCACTGCCAGTTGGCATTCTGATCTGGAGTAAATGCTTGTACACGTGGCTAGCCATCGGTGCAAATGAGGGTGACCCGGTTTGTGTAATACGACCCGAGGTCGTGGCAACATCACAGCCCTTGATCTGATCTCTGCCTCCGCCCAGAATAATCCTTTGGCTTCTGTCTCCTCACAAGCTCCGTAAGCTGGAGAAGTTCTTTTTCCCTTCCGATCGCTCCACAGACCACAGTACGACTGTATAAGCACTCAAAGATTCAATCTTTACACTGTAATAGTGCTTTTCGATTTCCGCTTTTTGTCGAATTCTGCGTTATCTGAATATGGCGACGATGAGCATTTCCATCATTGTGTTCCTCTCAAGTTTTTCAGGATTGGGATGAATTGTGATTGCGATTTCATTGTGTTGTTGAATTATGAACCCTTAAAGCTCATGTAGAGTCATCGTTTCGCTTGCTGAACAGATGGGGGAGAGTTGCATAGCTGAGCTAGCCTACAAAGGCTCCATCTCTCAAGCAATTCTCGAAGCCAAAGCCCAGAAGAAGCTTTTCATTGTTTATATTTCAGGTAAAAGATTGGTTCTGCAGTGCTTTGAGTTGGATTGTTCCTAGGACTGTGTACTGGTTTTGCTTTAGAGGGTTCATTACTTCAATTTGAGGTTTGATGAACTGAGAAGAGGGTAGGTGGCAAGTGGCTAACTTTCGATTTTCATCAACGATGACACAAGGACTTCATCATTGCCCGTTATTCAGAATCGTTAGAGATCAAAAGGACTGCCTTTAGTTATGAGATGTCTTGTCTTGGTTTAGTAGAGATAACTGTGATAAAAAAAAAGATACAATTTTGCAAGCTGTTACTAGTTAGTTGCAGCTTAGTAAGTGCGGGCTAAATGCTGGTGTCTTGTTAGCTCCAATAGGTTAGGATCGCCAAATGGGTTATGCCATTATCTAGTTTTTTTGTTCACTGTTGCTTCTCCACTTCGCTTGCTCAACAGGCAAGGATCCAGTGTCAGTGGACTTGGAGAAATCGACTTGGACTGACTCAAAGGTGATGCTGTTTCTCATTATAATGTTACTTTGTCTGGAAGTACTTCGTTTTTGTAATTATGTCGAGTTCTTTTCTTTCGCTGGCCCTAAGTAGTTGAACTGCATTTTACTTTCGTTTGTCTTGCAGGTGGCAGATACACTATCAAAGTACTGCGTTTTGTTGCATGTTCTTGAGGGGAGTAATGATGCAGTAAACTTCTCTGCAATTTGTATCCTTTTTGAAGAATTTGTACATCTTATCGCAGAGCGTCCTCTATTTTTCAAGAATTTGTACATCTCGTCGCAAAAGCGCCCTTCTTTATTGTTCCCCTGGATTTGTTTTTATTTGTAAAGCCAGAAACTATCCTTGCATCAACTTTTTATAGATCCACAAAAATCTGTTCCTGCTGTGGCTGTTATAGGATTCAATGGCGTCCAACTCTGGCAAAGTGGTAACACTCGATCGCTAACGTTAAGTTGAACTAGCATATCACAATTGCATTTTATTAAATCCCTTGAAGTGACTTTACCTTGAAATCATGGCAGAAGGAAACGTTAGTGCTGAAGTTTTAGTTTCCAGTTTAGAGAAAGCGTATTTGAGTCTTCATATCCAGGTTAGCTAGCATGTCTGTCTACTGAAATAGTCTCTTTTGTTTGTGAATGCCTTTGTTTCTTCTTTATAACAGAGTTTTTTATGATGAACTGCAGGAAACAACTGCAAGTGTCTTTACTGCTGCACTTGCTAATACGAAGTCTGCACCAACTACTCCTGGGTCATCTAACATTATATCAGGTGACCATGAAAGTTCTTCATCTACTGTTTCATCATCTCCAGATGGCAAAAAAGTGCAATCCTCTGAGTTTGAACAACCTAGTGCTTCTGGGACAAAAGACGACAACCATCGTGACCGTAAAACTAAGGTTTCTATCACACCCATGCCTCCTTTCCATTTATATTTCAAACTTGGAATTTATAAATGTCCTTAATTGTTTTTTAATCAACAGGATGATGAAAATGCATCTTCGGATCCATGCAATGTCAATAAGTCGATGAAAGCTGAGGATGAACAGTCCCATTCCCAACCACTCAGCAAAAGTACTGGCCCCTCGTCTAATCCCTCTACGGAAAACTTGGAAACCGTTGATAATGTTGGTGCAGAAAACATTCCTGTTATCCGAGAAGTCAGCACTGATTACAATTCTGACAAACCACCTTTGATGAATCCCCTTCCAAAGGATGCACAAGATAAAAAGCTTGCAACTTCAAATGAAAAGGAGATCGATGCCATTGAAAAAGGCTCCAAAATTAATGCATCAACTGATGTTCATCTAAACATCAAGTTGCTTAATGGAACTAGCATACAAGAGAAGTTCTTGGTGTCGTGTACACTGAGAATGGTCAAAGACTACGTGGATAGGAACCAAGAGAATGGATATGCTGCATACGATCTTGCCATCCCATATCCTCGGAAGATATTTGGTGAACAAGGTGTGGATTTCAAATTTCTAATTAAGCAACAGGCATATGCATGGTGTGTTTGGTTTGACGTATTTGTAAATTGAGTCATTTGTCTCAATTGTAAGTCCACTTAACTCTACTTTTTTGCACACCTTTGGCAGATCTATGCAGATCTTTATCAGATTTGGGTTTATTTAACAGACAAGCACTGATAGTGGTTCCTCATCAGAAAGAAGTGAGTTACTTTCAAGGAGACTCTTCTTCTTCCCCTTCACAGAGTACAGCTGACACCAGTTCATCAGTTGCGAGTCCCGGAGGATATTTCGGGTACATTAGGAAGGTCTTCTCTTTCATCAATCCTCTATCCTATGTTGGAGGATCCAGTTCACCAGCTTCTGGGCAAGCTGGAAGCAGCATGTGGCAATACAGTAAGTTTCCTTCTTTATATAAATCTTGAACTATCGCCAGTAGAGGTCTGAGGCATTGCTATTGTGATAAGAATTCGTCTCATGTTTCAACTGGTACAAATGCGTGTACTTGATCTAAATATGGATTACTTGAGCAACTGAAATTATTTCACTTTTTACATGGGCCCGGAAAGGACTTACCATGCTCTAACATCAGCTAACTTACGCGTTTTTAGGTCCAAACCAGTCCCTCCCGAATAGCTCAGGAAGACCAGGGCCACCTGGCACCAACTCTCCGGATCAGCGCGATTCGGCAGCTACTGCAAACGATATCAGGAGCAGGCGATTAGCAGCGTTCGGGTCTGGAAGCAACATTCACACACTCAGACGGGACGAAGATGATAACCGTTCAAATGGCAGGAATACCTTCTGGAATGGAAACTCCACACAATTCGGTAGTGGTGATGGTAATAATGATGGGAGGCCATAACGTGATGTAGGAACTTCATCGCCCTTATCTTTGCCATCTATTTCTCTGAAATGGATCGTGGATTGGTTAGGTTTACATATAGCAAGGATTGAATATACAGATTCTCGGCCTGAAGCTAGATTGCACTTCAGGAGTTTAAGTTAATGATGATGCATATCTATTTACTTCTACTTCATTTCTGGATATTGAATTGTTGATGTTTAGTTTATATGAAGTCTTTTTGGAGTCAGGTGAGGAATAGTGGAACCAGATTTCTGTAGTGCCAATCTGTCCAAAAGAATCTGCAGCCAACATAGGTCTCCCATATATAGGAAACCAACTGTGGATCGTCTCAAATGGCTGTATTTTATTCAGACGAGGATGAATAATGATCCTTGTAACAATATATATGAATGTAAATTACATGATCTATGCTGATGATTGAAATATCAACATCTGCTCAGCAGCATTAGCCTCAATATTATAGCAACTACAACAGCCGCAGCCACAAAAAGAAACTAGGCCGAGTTGATCATTGTGGCATTGCCTTGGTGTGTCCTGACCTAAACAAACCTGCTAACCAAAGTCAATCCATTGCAAACTCAGATCGTTTTCATCCCGAAATGCATCATCAGGCTGCTAATGACGCCCAGCTACCATATCAACAAAGACGAATCATGCATCATCAGGCTGCTAATAAGTTCCTTGGCCAGCTACCATTTCAACAAAGTAAAATCATGTCGAAAGCAGTGTCACCTGAAACTCGATCGTCCAGTCTATACCACCATGTAGGCTGGGCTCAAATGGGTGTACCTTCTTTACATACAACTTTGTTTAGTCGTGGCCTTGAAAGACTCGGCATAGATGCTTGGCAGGATCATCAAATGTAATAGTGGTTACCACGAGTCTCAACCTGGTAGAGACAGCTGATCACGTCAGAACGGGGAGAAGAACAAGCACTAAGCAATACATTTGAAAGGTTGCCTGATGTTGCAATAAGAAGTTTCAGTAGAAGGGGAACAGAGACTTACAGGAACCATGAAATCAAGTTTCTAAAATCCATCTCCGCCAGTTCTCTCTCAAATCTCCGATGGCATATTGGAGAAAAAATGGTCTCTAAAACCATCTGCACGATAGGGTATTGTATACACCAGGAATGATCCACGTCCACAACAGATTCTTTCAGGCTCTCACTTGCTTGCTCTTCTATCATTTTGAACCCTCTGGTTGATAGCCATTACGGCCTGCCAATAGCACATACATTAATAAGAGTGAGAACTGGAAAGCTACACTATCTTTAAGTACCCTTCACGTACCGCCTAAGTGAGCCCAGCCGGCAGCAAGCTTAACAACCCAGATCATGAAACCATTCTGTGTTACTGCACAGAAGTCGTCTATCAACCAGTGGTCTGCCTGCATTGAACTTCTGGTGCTAGCAGACCAGTTTGCTTCTTCACATAGTAAACATTGAATCTTACGCTTCCTTCAATCTTCAAAAGATGGCTCACTTCGAAGAGGAGGAATCCAACCTCCTTCAATGGCAGTAATTCCACCCTGCATATCAGTTTGGGAAAATTATTTAAACTCTAGAGGGAAGTTTCTTTTGAAAGGAGCATACCATTCTATAGAAGAACAATGCAAACAGAAGCACATTAAAAAAAAAGGCCCCACAACAACTCTGAAGACCAATTTCCGAGGAAACCCTCAATCTACTCATCAAATTAAGGAACATTTAGAGTCAGGAAGGCCCAGAAGCATACCATCTGGCAAATGCCATCTAAAAAGTGCAATGCTTCATCCCATTTGTTTAATCTCAGCAGACCCTTGATAAGGTGAGCAAATGTGCCTAGCTGCGGAACAATACCTTTCCCAATCATGTCTGCATACAACTCATAAGCCATATCAACCTTATTTGCAAGTGCAAGGCTCTCGATCAAAGAAACATACATAATCCGGTTAGCATCTGATGATGACAAAATAGGCGAGACTTCTTTGTACAGTTCTAGAGCTATGTCTAGCTTTCCAGCCTTAGTAAAATTTTCTATCAGAACCCTGTAAACAGGGGCAACTGGCACGGATTCCTTCTCACTCAGCTCATCCAACAGCCCCAGAGAAGCAATAAAGTCTCTACTGAAACCTTCGATAACTTTACGATACCCTGCTACATGCCTTGGCCAGTGAGTCTCTTTCATCTCTTGCAAAAGCTTAAGAGCTTCATCCAAATAACCAGCTGCACAACAATGATTTATCAAAACCTTGTAAGTGACAAAATTCGGAGCACAGCCCTTGGAAGTCATCTTTTGCAATAACCAAAGGCATTTATCAACTCTTCCCAATTTCCCAAAGCCATCAATCATTGCTGTATAGGTCACAACATTTGGAAAACACTCCTTTTCTTCCATCATGACCATAAGTTTATATGCTTCGTCGGTCTTTCCAACTTTGCACAGACCATCGATCATCTCAGTATAGATAACAACATTTGGTGCACAAGAATTCTCGAGCATTTTGGACAAGACTTTCAAGGCGAGATCTAATCTTTTATTTTTAAACAACCTATCTATCAATGAGCTGTATGTATATACATTTGCATTGTAACCATGTTCGATCATCATGGTAAACACTTCTTGTGCTTCATCTAGATTACCAACCTTACAACATCCATCTATAAGGGCGTCATATATTATATGATTGGGCTGAAAACCTTTTGCCAACATTGCCTCTAGCAAATCACGCGCTTCTTTGACCTTATGAGCTTTGCACAAACCATCGACCAATGCCCCATATGTGAAAAGATTGGGTTCCTCGGAATCTGGGTCAGCAACCCTAAAATATAAGTCTATTTCTGAATTCTCAGCCTTATCCTTCTTCATTCTTGCATATATCAGACAAGCCTTTTCAATGTCACCCGCTTTACAATGCCCATCGATTAAGGCTGTATATGTAATAACATTAGGAACTGAGCCCTTAGAAAACATTACCTCGAAAACTTCATTGGCAGTAGAGACCTTCCTTGCTTTAAGGTAAGCATGAATAAGAGTTGTGTAAGTTACTACATTAGGGGCACAACCATCTTTCTCCATTTCATTGAGCCACCGGTGAGCTTGCTCCAGTAGACCAGCCTTACAGAAACTATCGATCAATGTCGTATAAGTATAAACATCCGGTGGAACGCCATCTCTCTTCATTTGTTGAAACAATAGAAAAGCCTTCTCTACTTTGGTTGCATTACAAAGATAAGTAATGACATTTGAATATGTACTGGTATCAGGAATAAACCCCTTGCTCATCATTTGGCTAATGACACTATACGCCTCTTCGAATTTCCCAGCATTGCAAAGACACAATGCAAGATTGCTAACATTAACCTTATTCAGTACAACCCCTGTATCAAGCATTTCCTTATACGCGTTCTCAGCCAACTCCAGCACACTCATATCAGGCATCTCCTGAATACCACAAATACTGCCGATGAAGATGTTGTAAACTACATACCCCGGTTGGCACCCACATTTTGGCATCTTCTTAAGAAGCTTATAGGCATAAGCATAATCTCCAGACTTGCAATAAGCATGAACCAAAGAGTTAAAAATGGTTGGACTCGGATAACAACCCTCTGTGATCATCATGCTGATAATTCTCTTACACCTACCGAGCTGCTTCTTCTTCAAGCACCCACATAACAGAATCCTGAAAGTCAATACATTTGGAATACAAGAATACACACGCATCCTGGTTAAGAAATCCATGGCTACTTCAAACTGAGATGCTTCGCACAATCCAGATATCATGTTGGTGAAAAGCACAGTATCAGGTTTGAACTCCTCGTCCTCGATCAACTTCAAGGCCTCTCTCCACTTCCCAGCTTTACAAAGAGAATTTGCAAAACAGCCCAAGGTATAACCATCCATGGTGTACCCTGAACCCAACATTTCGCGATGAACCAGCGAAGCAGTGTCTAACCGTTCTGCTTTCAGAAACACTTGAACCAAAGCATTGTAAGTCGATCTCGAGGGCTTGTAGCCATGATCCTTAAGTCTACCCAGCTCCCCCAAAGCAGCATTCCATAAACCGTTTCGACAACACTTGCGAATCAACACATTAAGCAATTTCCCAAGTACTTCCCTATCATCATTTCTAATCTCCTGCAAGAACTGCTCCGGTATTCTATCGTCAGCACTACCATGGTTGTTCCTCTGCAGCAACTCTAGCAACGCATTGTACACAGCTAAACTATGCGAATACCCAATTTGACGACCTGCCCATATGAAGAATCTAACGCCCAGTTCAGGGCTTCTGACCAAATTCAAAACCTCAATAACCAGAGTTTCGCTTAACTTGTCCCTATGCTGCCTAAGCAACTTCTGGGTTTCTTTCCCGAACTGGTCATTACAAGTCGAGATTACATCAACAATTAGAAATGCCTCGTCTGAATGCTTACCAGCTGGTCGCGACTGCTGCTGTCCAGCAGAATCAGGGTTCAACAAAGAATCCCGCAGAAGAGCGAATTCTTCGCTCGAAATCGACTCCGCCGGCCGCGAACTCTCCAGCAAAAAAGGGTCCTCTGGGTCGACCAAACCTTCTAGAGTGTCGGGGGGAGAAGTGGAGAGCAATCTGGGGGCGAGAATCGGAGAAAAATGGGAGAAGGGAGTAGTAATCGAGGAATGAGGGATTTGAAAGGGAACGGCACGAGACAGAAGGGTCTTAGCGACCCATCTTCTCATTGCTCTCTCTGAAGAACTGGTTGTAGAAAAAGGTTGAGACTTGGGAGTGTTCCAATGGCGGCAGGGTGGAATTAGAAAAGGGTTTAAGGGACGCTCTTCAAAATTCTGCCTTTGCGTCTTTTACTATGGATTAAGCATCATTCGAGTGAGGCCTGGAATGATGGGACCTGGGTCATTGGATTAATGAATAAAGGCAGCAACTTTCAGTTCTCATTAATTTCATTCTTTCGCAGCAACAATGACCGGAAAAAGAAGAGCTCGGACACCTCCGCTTCAGACGCCGGCGAATACAAGACGATCCCGGCGGTGGTTACTTTTTTCCCGGGCGAGGAGAGGTTCAGTTTTGATTGGGTAAAGGGCGGCTACTATGTGCGAGGGGTTTTATAGGAGGCTTCTTCTACACCTGAAAGTTAAAACTCGTACGCCCTTTTTCCTATTTAGATTCTTAGTACCTGTAATATCTTGTTTTAACAATTGCATCCATATATTATCATTTTTAAGTTTATGTGTCGTTTATTCCTTTTAGTCCCTCAGCTGAAAATTCCTATTATACCTAGGGAACAAATTAATTAAAACAACACAATTTCATAAAAAATTTATATTTATATGCTAAATATAAAATAAGTTAGAGAAAAATATTGATTATTTCTAGACAAAATACATATGCATGTGTATAATCGGGTGGGTTCGGGTTGGATAGTGAGAAAACCATGCCCATCCATTACCCGCGATATTCGGGTTCGGGTTTTACCCGTAACCACTAAAAGTCCTTCGAATTCGGGTTTTATCCTAACCGATTAGGTCGAATTTGGGCTGATATCCACGGTTACGGATATTTTTGCCATCCCTAATCATACCTAGGATTGAGCCATACATAGCAAGGCACATCTTCAACACCCTACACTACATATGTTGAAAATTGATACTTTACACTCTCTATAAACTCTTAAATTTCATATCTCATCTCATTCTTTTATCTCTTAGAAACTCTTATTTCTAACTTAATTGGACCAGATTGAGGGACATAATATAAACTTCATTGAATATGACATCCAAGTTATCAATATAGTGCTAATTTAACATAAATTGACTATAACATATAATAAATATGAACGGAATTGTTTACTTGTCGATTAGAAGAACAAGCGAAAGCCATAATAAACGGACCTGCCATTTAAAATTAACAATACAAAGACGTATTTGTTAAAAGAAAAATATAGTACATGAACTGAAATCTCACTAAAAACATAGTACAATAACAAGTCTAACATAGTACATTAACAAACCATTCATATCAAGTCTAATATTTGTCTGATGAGGTAATTAACAGGAAATTTTATATCCCTCTAAAATTATAATATATATGCTTACAAGTTAATGGATTTCATATATGCTTCAATGGGTACATCTTTTTAGCCTAATCTCAACAAAGGCTACTACTTTAAAGAGAGAACTAAGAATAGATACCTAACTTAGAGAACCATGAATCAACAAAACCTTTTGAGAATGAAAGGGGCCATTCTCAGAGTGATACATGGTGCCAGCCCATGATCTAATCCTATCAGTAATTGCTTTCAACTTAGCTATAACATCAACATGATCCCTCACTATTACAGCTCCTTCCGGCCTCAGAATCCTGTACATCTCCAGCACAATATCGACCATATCGCACCTGCAATCATCATAAGATTATATAGGCTCATAACTTTCATCATAAGACCTTCATGTGGAGTCAAAAAACGGAGTACTAAGGGGTGATGCATTTACTTGTTCATGTATATGCTGAAGACACCATTGGCATGTATCAAGTCGTATGTCCTAGGGTACGTCGAGAAAGCCTCACACCTGCATAGATAACACACCAGCATTTGACTACATGTAAGTAAAAAGAGTTCAAACCTTTACGTGAATGGAGGAACGAGATTGGTTCCGGAGGTCTACTTACCAGTTCATGTAGGTGCCTATAAGGCCGCGCTGATACACAATGCTGAGGTTGCTGTTAGTATCCGGAGGCACCACATTCATAACCCACACTGGGAGCTTAATCAGTGCAGCAGCAAAGCCACCAATTCCAGCATTCATATCCATTATGTTCCTATACTTGCCTTGAGTGAAGGGCTTAAGTATGACACCATAATGTGCAACTCTTTTTCTCCACACCAAGTTGTCTTCATTGAATTCCTTGACTGAGATTCCTTCACTTTTAAGCCTAGGAGGAGCAACATTCAGTCTTTTGGGCCAGTTCTGAAGAGTGCCTCCAGAGACATGGTGGACGTCAGAAACAGGTGGAAGAGGAGTTATGCAAGCTTCCATCTTTCTGTACCTGTTGAGAAAAAAGAATGACCAAGTGCTAATCTATCAAGAACGTGTTCAGATAATTACTATTCGGGTTTTCATTCCCTTACAAATGCTTCAGATACAGAGTGAGCACTCACCAACCAGCATCAAGATCACTCCCTGTGCACATATGAGGGGACTTCCAAGCCCTTGACTTTATCATGCAGTGTGCATGATTGGTGGGTTTTCTCCACACAGCAATGTTTCCTCTCTCTGCAACTTTCTTCCAGCACAGTCGCCTGGCAAGATCCTCCAATGCCTTCTGCTCCTGTTCCAAGTCCATAGCAGGTCTCTCCCAACCTTTATAATTAAGCTTCCAGTTAATGGGTGGGCCAGATAACACCCAGTAGCCACCAGGCCTCAGCACTCGATCAATCTCCAACAGATAAAGTCCATCTACATGACACCAGAGAACGAGCTTTAACCAAGTCCAGTGATGAACTGCATTGCAGCAGTAGTGCAATAACAGAACACTCCCAACAAAACTATTATATATCACTAGCATTGAACCCGCACGTTGTGCGGGCGAGTTACATCTTTTTATCAACATTAATCAATTTTATTTCAGTATTTTGAATATTTTAATGTGTCATTCTATAATTTTTGTAATTTCAGTATTCAAAATTTTGTAAAGGTATTAGTGTTTTCCAACATTGTTAAACTTTATAAGTTTAGCTTGTGCTTATAATCTAATCATTTTATGAGTGGACATCAAAATAATCTTAATTTTTAAAATTTCAATTCTATTGGATATATGTTGTATTTGAAAGATTATATTACAATATTTTGCATAGTCATATCACTATATACATATTTTCTCACATTAAGATAGTTGGCATAGCTTTCAAAATTATAATAAAGAGCTTTTGTTTAGAGTAAAACGGAATGTATGAAAGGTTATATTGAAAAAGTTTAGCGTAAAGTATTTTGTACTGAAAACGTGTTGAGTTATAGCTCAGCTGTTTCCTACCGTTAAAATTACCTACCAATTTGGATCCAATATCCAGTATTTTCGATCCAACCGACATTCTAGAATTTCTTAAACATTGTTAAAAAAAGTTATAGGTATAATATGCCCATTTATTATGATGCTTTATCAAACATGCCTCTCTACTATTTTTTACATCAAATATGCCCCTGTACTTTGTAAAAATGATCAAACATGCCCTTTTGTTAAAATTTTCATCTAAAAACCGTTAACAAAGGCTGAACTTTAGTTTGGGAGACACAAATGACTAAAATATCCCTAATAAATTCACTTTAGAATTTTTTTGGTTCTTTTTTATAATCAAATCATTCAATTAATTTCACTTTGAAAAGACCCAGGGAAATAAATCAGGGGACAAAACTGACATTTTTCCTCTCATTTGCCAATGTCGGGTCGTCTAAATCTCTGTTCAACCATGATTGACGATTTTTTCAATGGAAATTTTAACAAAAGGGCATGTTTGATATTTTTTTTCAAAATACAGGAGCATATGTGATGTAAAAAATAATAGAGGGCCATGTTTGATAAAGCTTCGTAGTAGATGGGCATATTATACCTATAACCCTTAAAAATGTAGAAGAGTTTTCTAGGTGAAAGAGGAAAAATTTCTTAATTCTACCCAAACCTGAATTACCGCAGGAGTATAAAATAATTAACTATCAAACTATGGAAGAAAACTAAATAACCAAAAAAAACTACACAGAAAGAAAAAATTCCACAAAACATGGTAACTACCGCCATAAAAAAAGAATAAAAAAATAAGAAAAACGGAAAAAACCGAAAGTTGCGGAGGAAGCTCCATGGCTGATGTGGAGGGGGTCATTTTATAAAACCCCTTTAATATATTTAAAGATTGTTTACCATTATTAGTCCATGGAACCAGGCATCTCGAGCAATGAGCCATGTCGAATGATCTTGATGGGAATGGAAGCCTGTGAACACTGAGTATACCGAGCATGGCTGGAAGCCCTCTTTCCAACGCGAACTGCACTTGTGCCTCATGTATGTCTCTCGGTGCTACTGACATTGTCAGGACATTGTAGTCCATCAGAAATGCTGCAAAACTTGCAACCTGGGGATCATCCGCAAGAAAATGTTACAATGTGAACTTCTCTTACAAAGTTATGATCTACAACAGTATCATTTGGTATTAGAGTCGTTATTTCTTTACTGAAGCGTAGAATATAATAGGATTGGTAGTAGTTCTAGTTACTGCACTACACTGTCTTAACAAACAAGTACCTAGACTATGAATGCTAACAAAGACAAAAAGGAGAATCTCCATTCATTTTGTAATCGGAAACTTAGCAATCAACTTCACAGACTCTGCAGAAGCGAATAACTAAACCATAAAGTCCATTACTTTACTTGAAAAACAAGCTTACCCCACATCCAATATCAAGAGCAGTTCTTATAGCACCATTCTTCAACTCCGGCAGAAGCCGCCTAATCTCCTCCACATAACCCTTCACGCCTTTGGGGAAAGAAGTCCCGCCGCCGGGGAAAACCAGCAATTCGCCTTCCAACCTAACCCAATTCTGGCTCTTCTTCGTAACAGTAAGCTTCTTGGAAGGCACATTTCGAAACCACGCAAAACCCTTGCTCTTCGGCCAGGGGAACGGAGACTTGTAACCACGAGGCCTCGGAACCAAGCACCTGGGTTTCTCTCCTTCGGAAGCAGGGCAATGCCTTTCCCTGTGGAAGAAGGCCAATTGGGTTGTTCCCAAAGGGGAAAAGAATAGCTTCTCTCTTGATGGGTCGTGGCAGGGGACGAAGTCGGTGAAATTGGCAGAGCAGAGTGGGATTGGAAGCGAATTGATTGAGCTGGAGGTGGAATTGGAAATGAGGGAGCTGGTTAGGAAGTGGTGAGGTTGGAAGTCGAGAGATTCCGGCGGCGGCGGCGGTGGTGGCGGCGGCGGGAAGATGGGAGGACAGAGGAGAAGTTGGTTCTGCTGGCGGGGAGGAGATGAAGAAGGAGAGTGGAGGGTGCTGCCTAGGAAGTAGGAGAGGGAGAAGAGAAGAATGGAGAAGAAAGAGAGTTTCAGTTTGGAAGAGGTTTTCAGGGGATTGGTAATGGCGGGCGGTAGAGCTGCAGCTGGATTTTCTACTGTTGCCATTTGGTGAGATTTCACTAGAGTAGAGTAGATCAGTGACTGCCTGAGTGGGGAAGAGGAAAGGTAATAAAAAAGGCAACGGAATTTTTGTTACTTTTTCGATTTATAATAATTGATTTATTTGGCGGTATTCAAAGTCTGTTACTTTATATCATTTTTCGTCACTGAACTTTGAGGTGTTTACCATTGAAGTCCCTCAATAAGTTCTTTTTCTACTTTGTTATACAACTCTTGCGCAGCTGGACTCTCCAGTCTCCATTCTCCAACTACAAATTCGGCGGCATCAATTATGATTCCCTTTCCCTTTAAAAGTGTTCGCAATTATTGATAAGTTCACCTCACTTTGTTCCTTTCTGTAATCGTGTTGGAGACTTGGAACAAAAGGAGCGAACAACCAAAAATTCTGAAAGGAAACACTCGTTCCGCCATTGGAATTGCCTTCGTCAAAAAAGCATTCCTCCGCCTTTTCCACATTCTCCGCAAAATTCAACGGCTGGCGACAAATCCCAGCACTGTTCTATTGATGGGCTTTGGAGACTTCCAAAGCAGCTCTCTTTTTCACTCTCACTATCACCAGTCAATCGCCACCAAACTTCATTTCTCAGGAAGAAACAGATAGACGGTGGTGGTTGGTTTGCCCTGTTCCCGCAATTCTCTGGCCTCCCTTTGGAAGGGAAGATAAAAGTTGGAATTTTGGGACTTTGGGGTTGCTTGATTCCTCAACTGGGTTACTGTACTTCTTTCTGTTTCTTCTGGGTTTAGAGTAGGAAGGAAGGAGGGGGATAGAATGTCGAGATTGAAGGAGTTCTGTACCACGAAAACGTTGTTGGGTCTTGGACTGGGGCAATTTCTCTCGCTGTTGATTACTTCTACTGGTTTTGCTTCATCTGAACTCGCCAGAAAAGGTTCATTCGAATATCCCTTCTTTAGCTTAAGTTTTTGTTTCCATTGTGCATCTTTTCTTGTTGACTGAACTATTTTGGTGTTTGAAGCTGTTTGTACTTTTGTTTGATCCATATTGGTTTGTCTCTTCTTATCAGTTCTTTATTCCACTTGTTCCTCTTGTTTGTTTTTACCTTTTACAATATGATCAAAGCAAAGTGTTTCAGGTTTCTGTCTTTTTGTATATTTGCAGTTGATGCAGTGTTCATGTCACCATTTCTTACCATTTTCTGCCCTTTGCTTATTTTGCAGGGATCAATGCTCCAACTTCTCAATCATTTCTAAATTATGTATTATTAGCTATTGTTTATGGCGGTATTATGCTATACCGGAGAGAAAAACTTAAGGTGATTTGGTTTCCTGGCCTTAACCTTGTCTTTCTCCGGTTTCTTCGATGGATTTGGTAGAGCTTGAGTAGAGGGAACTAGATCAATTAGTTGATGTTGAATGATAGAAATGAAGGGAGTGATGGTTAGTTCAGGATCGATATCCAGGTTGTTAGGATAAGAATGTGGTGAAGTAGTGAGGAGGTGTTTTAAAAGAATTGTACGAGTCCTCATTGATAAAACTGCTTCTTCAATAAGGTGGGAACTAAGTGCTGAATGTAGCTCAAAGTCCTAAACTTGGCAGCTAATATACCTTATTTGGGAATTTTTGCAGGCCAAATGGTATTACTATCTAGTTCTCGGATTGATAGATGTGGAGGCCAATTTTCTTGGTAATTATCTCACGTTGCTAGACTTTATTGCTAGTTTTCTCAAGCTTTGAAAGCTTATCCTGTAAATATTCATACCTTTTGGGCCATTAAGCTATTTAGAACCCTAAGGTATATGGTAGTTGACTAGAAGTTATTTGAAACTCTTGGTGTTTTAAAATAATGGGTTTCCTTCCCTGCAATCTAGAAGCTGTGAAGCTTAGATTTTGGTTTATCCCAACTCAACAACTCTTCACTGTTTGTGCAGTGGTGAAGGCCTATCAGTACACCTCACTTACAAGTGTCATGTTGCTGGATTGTTGGTCAATCCCATCGGTTATGATTCTCACCTGGATTTTTCTGAAGACTAAGTACAGATTCAAGAAGATAACTGGAGTAGTCGTCTGTGTTGCTGGCCTTGTGGCGGTTGTGTTTTCAGATGTTCATTCTGGTGATTGGTCAGGTAAGCTCAGCCACTCTTTTACCGTCTCTCTTTTTAACTGGCTTTGATTTTGATCTATGTGGTTATATTTTCTTGGGCTTCAACACACATTCTTGTCAGATAAAAGTACTAACCATGAGTTTCGATAATTTCTCCTCTCTTTTGTCACTCAAAGTGTAACGATTTTATTAGTTGAGAAAACTCTTAATATATCCTTTTTCTTGCAGGAGGAAGCAAACCTCTTTTAGGAGATGGTTTGGTCGTTGCAGGGGCAACGCTCTATGCTGTCAGTAATGTCAGTGAGGTAAGCTCATTTTTCTGTCATCCTGTGTACTAAACAGCTAAGCAACTATTGAGACTATTGATTACTACGCTGGTGAAGCATGCTTCTTTTTCCTCATTTCCCAAGCTTATTACCGTGATTCAATATTTTTTAGTTCTCATGTTCTATTCTTGTGTCTTGCCTTATTCTGACTGGCGATACTTAATTGTGAATCATAAGAAGCTTCTTCTTTTATTCATGTCTGCTATTTATCTGTATCCATATTTTATTTCCTTATGCAGGAGTTCCTTGTCAAAAATGCTGACAGAGTTGAACTCATGGCACTGCTTGGCTTTTTTGGTGCCATTATCAGTGCTATACAAATGTATCCTAACTAAATCTTGGGTTCATTCCTAAATGAACAACACTCTTCTAGTGCAGCTGTTGTGTCCACTTTTTATTGTTAGTCCTTGATGATTTCTACAGAGCCATTCTGGAGCGTACTGAGTTGAAATCTATTCATTGGTCAGCTGGAGCAGTAAGTGTTCTATACATTCCTTAACTTTTAGTTATACATCTAGTCGTCATAATCTGCCAAAATTTAAAGTTACCAAATGCGCAAAAGTGCCCTTTATATCAACTTCATCAACTAGAGTCATCCTGAGGTCTTTATAATTACAAATGTAGATAAATAATCTCATTCAGTAAAAGTAAATGTAAACTCGGAGTCTCCAAGTGATTGGAAGTAAGTCTATCCAGGTTGCCTTAGTCTCGGACAATTTACTTGTAGAGCATGAGACTTCCAGTGCTCTTCCTTACCGAAATTGAATTTTACCTAATATGCTACTGAACCTTGGTCCTTGGTTTCAGGCTTTTCCATTCTTTGGGTTTGCGTCAGTGATGTTCCTGTTCTACTCATCCGTTCCTGTTTTGCTCAAGGTATTGTTTTGAAGTTCCATATCCATTCTTCTTATATAGTAAAACCACAGGTCTTTCCTAAGAATGAAGTACTAGATAGACACTAAAGAAAAAACAAAAAAGGTACTAGTAGGTACACATTCAATGGTTGTTATGCTGGCTTTCCATTAAACTGAAGAACAACTGCTCAACTTATGTCATTCACTTCTGTTTATGCTCTGTAAAACAGACCAACTCTTGTTGCTTGATGCAACATCTTTAAGATAGTGGGAAGATTAGTTCTTGAGGTACTCTATGGACAAAAAGCACTATTAGGCGAAGCTCCTTTGTTGAAATGCTTCCATGTTTATAACTTTATATATTATGAAATGCTATATGATATGCAGATGACAGGTTCTACCATGCTCAACCTGTCTTTGCTTTCGTCAGACATGTGGGCAGTCTTGATTCGCATCTTTGCCTACCATCAGAAGGTTCCACACCAGCAAATATGCCCAAACTGATGTTTAATCCAATTAAGAAATTATAAGTTGAAACCCTTGATTTGCCATTTGTGTTCAGGTTGATTGGATCTACTTCATCGCATTTGGTGCCGTGGTAATTGGGTTGGTCATTTACTCTGGGTACGTAACTTTACAAATTAGACATCTGTGAGTGACAGGTTAATATCAGTTTCATAACTGAAAACTTGTCTATGTGTCACATTAGGCACTGAACTCGTGATTGTTTTGTGTCGAGTTTGGTGTTATAGTTGTTCAGTACTGAGTTCAATGCCCCAACGTGATGCATACAAGCGAGTTTAGTTGGTATTTTAACCCCATTTGTACTGCAGACTTGTTCGTTACGAATTTGGCTCATCTGCTTGAGCTTCTTTGCAGAGGTGCAGCAGACGAGGATCGATCTACAGATGTAGCAAACGAAGACGCTGAAAGAAGCAAACAGGATGAGGAAGCTGGAGCTACTGCAAGTCGCAGTAGAGGATTGCTTGCTGGGAGCAGCTCAAAATCAGGGTAGGATATTGCCTTTGTAGACAGGGAAGGAAAGAATCCAGGCCAAGATGTCCTTGGAAAGAAATTGGGAAAATTTTGAGGGCATGGCCTTGGAAACTTAATGGAAGCCAATTTTAGTACACTCCTAATTAAGGGCATGGTCTTATTGAATTAAGTATTGAATATCATTTGGAAAATTAGTATATACTAGATTACCTTTTCATAAACATGTATTGAGATCATATACGAGAATATATGCAATCGCAATGTTCATGAAGAATGCATTACAGAAATGTAAGAATGCAAGGGGAAAAGCACATCCAGATATGGAAACAACAGAATCTATCTGGAAGGAAAGGACACATGTGGGGGAGGTTCTGAAGGTGTAGAAGTTGGATGCTTTCCGATCCTGCTGTTAGTCGGATAGTTAGAAAGCTAAGGTTCATGCAGAATTGCAGATTGCAGATATGGTGGCTGTTGCACGAATCATGAATGTCACCCTTAGTAATAATAAGATCCGTTGGAAGAATGGGTTGGCAATAGAAACTTTGCAGTCTTACTTCCTGGTTATTATTGTTAATTGTTATCATTATTGTTAATTTTATACGTTGTGATGTCAAGAACTGACATGCTTTGCTTTCTGTGCTGCTTCCTATTTTACTGGGCATCTGCCATTTGGAGCTTAACATGGAAACTTGAAGTAGCAGTTTTGTTATGTGTTGCAGACTGCAGTAGATTATTGGAATGCTCAAAACAAGTCTTACAAACACACTTCATTATTCAGTGCAATAGACACTAGACGGCCTGGTGCTTTCTCTTGAACTCAAGTTTCTTGATCAGATTAAACACATAAGGATTACTAGATCAAACTGGAAGCAACCCATGATAAGAGATTATCCTCATCAATAAAAGCAGGCCACAATAAAAAGAACTAGGAGTTAGGGGTAAGTCAGCCGCCAACAAGATCATTTTCCGGGTTCTCTCCTGGTAAAGCCGCAGAAGCACCAATGTAGCCGTCATTTCTTATTGGTCATGGAGGTTCTCAGCACAGCAGGGACATATCAGCGTGACCTCGAGTCCCTTAGCCTGTCACCTTGATTTCGTTTCTTCCTACGAGATCGTGGGAATAATAGTTGGTGAATCTGTTTTTCTGCAGCAACTTCAGACCTAGCCTGCTCATTAAAAGCACAACTAGAACCATCAGCAGAGTGGCAGCAGCAATATTCATGCGGCGTTATGATACTAATTTGCAAGTCCAAATTCATATGATCTATCGCTTATTGCGCATTTTGTTGCCATATATTTCCTTTCAGCACAGTATCTGTATTCAGTAAACTAGCGTAGCAGCATACATAAACTTACGCGGATTTTAAAGGGAAAACGATGAGTTCGTACTTCCACTCCAGAGCAAATTCTAACATCCAAGCCAAGGCTATCAACTCCAATCAAATGAGCCTCCTACACAAATTTGGAAAAAATCACATTTCATGAAAGTAGAAGCAAGAAATAAAAATAAGAATATATGTATTAGGTGCAAGAAACCAAGGATCTAACTTAGGAGAAAAATTCCCCAGGATGTTGCAATCAAAAAATAAAAATAGGGCTATCTGATGCAAGTCTACTCGCCCCAACGTGTAAAGTGTCGATGGTAGTTCTCACACTTAGATACAAGGGACGATGTATCCATTCAGGCACTTCCACAGATTCCAAATCATAACATACTGTGTTGTACTCCAGCGAGCAAACATTAATTACCTGGCTATCAATGCCCTTCTTCTTGCACAGAGCTTTAAGAGCAGAATCAACGTCAATTCCTCTATCATTGAAACGTTCTAGGATTGTTGATACACAGTTTAGAAGGACATCAGCCTCAGCCTTTTGATATTCTGAATACCCAATTGGTCTCTGCAATGTTTATAAGAAACCAGAACTAACATATTATTCCATCATTAAAAGAAGTCCATTTCCAAGCTTCACTAATTAACAAGCTATTAAGACAGTTCTGGCATTCTAGATAAATGTCCTAAATATATGGCTTTGGTTTACAATGACGTGCATACCTGAGTACCATATACTGAAAAAAGCTCTATACTGATGATCTCGAACCGATAAATAGATGAGGCTCTAGACACGTTCTTTTTGGAGCTTAAATTCGGGATCTCCCCATCTAAGAAAGCAGAAAGGACAAACATTCTGAAAAAGCTTGTACAACCATCATCTGGCAATTCAAACAAACACCTCAATGCAAACACTGGGTTCTGCTTTCAGATACAAACCGAGTCAATTTGAAGAATCAGCACTTTCAAGGTAAAGCCAATTGTACTATTATGCTGTAAATATACATTACTTGAATTTAATACCTGTGGAGTCTGAACTATAGCCATCGCTATCTTCAGAATAACATACTGATCTGAAGTATGCTTCCTCATCATCAAAAGCAGGTTTGAGGCACCCAATAATAGAAACACCATTTGATGGATGACCCATTTTTATATCATGCTCGATATCGGTAGCCTAATAGAAAAGAACACCTACATCAATTCTACGAGCCAAAAGCTATAAAAAAATAATGCAGTTCTCCAATGCAAGGTTGAATTGTAACAGCCAGTGCAGACACCATATTTTGGTACATTCCGCATACATTAAACCATGTTTTTAATCACCTTTGATAAGCACTTGGCAAAATGAATTGGATGAACCCAAGTACATGTGTCTGGCATCCCCCAGTCAACTGGAACATCGTGGTCTTTATAATCCATGATCTGTTTCCAGTTCATTTGACCTCTCAGAAGTCAGAACCAAAAATAAACTAAAATGGAAAACACAAATCACTCTGCAAGTAAGAGAAGCAAGCTTTCACCGGAAAATAGTCGTTTTCAATGGGGATGTCGTCGGCATCTCTGACATTGAATACGGCAATATCGCTCGCAACTCTTCTATTCTCATATACCGGGACGTCCATCCCAATAAAAGCATTCTACAAAGTTCCCACGGAGAACACACTACTGTTAGTTGATAGTGAGAAGTACCAATTTAGCAGCATATTACTAACTAGTGAAAATAAAATTATTTAATCACTCTAGATGTTTTTTCATGTCTGGTATCTTCTCCTGCAAGTAAGGGGGTAAAGGTTTTTATTTTAAAGACATGTACTTGTATAGGTCTGTTTGCGATTTACATCTTTTCATTTATACAAGAAATGAAAAAATTAGAAACTCTAAGGGTATGTTCAAGTACATAAGCTCACCACAGCATTACCAGCTTGAGGATCTCGCAAGACGTTCCTATCATCAAACATCTCAAAATATATTTCTGAAGGAAACAGAAGTTGGAGTAATTAAGACGACCATGTCAAACCTAGATGCAAGTAGAACTAAAAGGGTGCAAATTCTGACAAGTGACATACCTCCATAATCATCAACAACATACTGTAACTCAGCCCATGTGATTTCTTCATGTGGTTCACGGTGTACTATTCCAGGAAAGACCACCAGAGCGCTGCTGTTAGCCTAGCAAAATAAACTAGTAAGTTTCTGGGCCATTCGATTTTCATGTTCACGAAAAATTATGCACAAACCTCAACAGTTGTTCTTGCAATCTCAGCTGGTGTCAACTGAGGCTCCGGTCTCCTTCTACTGACTATCACTTCTTCCAGAGGATGATAGCCTCTTGCACTTGTATAACTAGACGAGTCGGGAAATGATGAATCGGAGTAATCAGCAGCAACCGACACTTTCAAATGGCTCAGATCACGTCCTCTGCTCGACCAAGGGAATAATGATCCTGATCCCAAGATCGGACTTCCAGACCTGAAACTTGAAATTGCAAGGAACTCTTTTATTAAGTGATGCATGATATCTTTTATCATCGAGGTGGCGAATAAATCATGTCATTGCCTGATCACATGAACAATAGGACTTAAGGTAGATTGGGCAATGCTTTCTCCCAACCAGAAGATTTCATACCTTGAGCTGAGAACATCGGTACTAGTGTCAATAGTGGTTTTCATCCAACCACTCGTGATCCCATTTGATGTTGAGCAGGAGGACCCATCAGCTTGACATGACTGACACTGGGAAGGACCTGAAAGAAAAAAAAAATTATGTCAAAGGAGCATACAAGAAGATAATCTTCTCCTGCATTCTGAACTATTCACAGATCATACTCTTAAGGATTCATTCAATTTCACTAAGTAGAGTGTCTCCTCATGAGCAATGGAGACCAAAAGTGAATCTTCCAACTCAAAAGCCAGTCCCAGTTTCTTCACTTCCACATCAATGAAGCAATTAGGACTAAATAACCCTCGTTCCACCACTTCACTAACATTTGAAATGCCAAGCACAGACCTTTTACTTTCACCGGAGCATGCATACAAACTCCACATTAAAGTCAAATTCTTGAACTGTATTCATACACATACAACAACGAATCACTCCATTACCATGTCCAATTAACTTTCCTTCAAGCAATCAAGCCCCAGACACAAAATGGGCACTCCCAAAAACAAGCAGAATCAATCAAAACCCTGACTCACCCAATCAAGATCACAACATTGCATCGCAGAAACACCTTATAGATTGTAACAAAGAACTGAAAAGACGGGAGCTTTCGTCTCCCCGAGGAATGGTGATTACCGAAGGAGAAGGCAGCAAAAGCAGCAGCAGTACCCATAGCTGACGGAAAGTCCGAGGATGGAGACAAAGCTCGAGACTTTTTCGAAGCTCTTATTACTCAAAAGGAGATTAAGAAGGTGGGGAAGTTGTGGAGGTGAGTTGCTATAGCTAAGATGCGGAGAATATGACGAATTTGATGCTCTGTACGTTGTTGTCTGATTCCGAGTTCGATCGAGCCATCAAATTTTGCTTGTCAGAGAAAAGTGAGTTTGTTTCATTTGGGTAGAGGTGGAGCTTTTGGGGTTTTCTGGTCTGTGGTCGTGGTGGCGCAGTGGTAACTGGTAAACGCTGGTGGTGGGCTAGAAAACAAAGAAATGTTTTACCAACCTTGCTGCTCTCTCACGTGGTGGAAGGAAGCGAGTTGGAAGTTGGAACTGACTCCCTGGTCTCCTGGGCTACCTGCTCTGCCCCTGCAGAAAGAGGGAAAGTGAGCCCAATTTCTACTTTACCCTCGACGTCGACGACTATTTTTTACCTTTTAGCGACTGTGTTGTTGATCAATTACATCAATGGTCACTAAACTTTAAGGTCACCCAACCTAAGCTATACGACGAGCCAGTTAGTTGTCGTTTTTATCTATACTTGTCGTATTTTTACTTGAAATTGTTGAAATAAGCATGTTATTTGTCAAAATTAAGCTTCATTTTGATGAAAACACTATCTAAATATTATACAATTTTAGCCAATAAGTTGATCAAGAAGTGATAAACAATAACACGCAAAACCACATTAGAAATCATGAAACACAAAAGATAGAAGATACTCAACCCAACCAAACTTATAATATACTCCATCGAATGAAAAACACTAGATCGAATGAAGTGAAATACGACATAAGTGTTGAACCTATTGGTAATGGTTTTCCTAGCCCTAATGCCAATTCACAAGCATAAAGAGAAAGAAGGTTGAACCGCAAAGGAACTCGAAAATAATAGCTAATATATGATCATAAGTTGTTCTCCCCGTATGCAACACCATATGCATAAGAAATAGAAGTTCATGACGGTATGAGTCATGATAACAGGCAGTTTAGGCCACCATTTTCCGAATCCATTATTTGGGTGGACTAGGATCTTTTAGAATTCCAATTAGTTGCACAAATTGGCTTCTCTAATGAATATCGCTAAAGGTAGCAAAACATCCCCTCATATATAAGTTTGGACTTGAGTTTGGAACTTATTAGCTTGACTCCGTATGATCGAACCATGGGTTTGAGTTGTACTTATCACCATTTGAGTCACCTCTAATCCATGGTGTAGAAACATTCTTCATTCTTGACTTGTTGATGCTCTTATCAAAACTATTAGCCATAAATAGATCATCTTATATGATCTTCTTTGTACCTCAAGAGAAATGAATGATGGTTAATTCTCAGGAAATGTGGACTTGAAGTTGGACTACAACGAATTGAATATGAGTGAAGTAGATTATATCAATGGATGTAGTGGCTTTTGTTATTATCAATTTGAGTGAAATATCATTTTATGACATGCAGTTTTGATTGAAAATTTGGCAATGGACTAGTATACATATCCGAACGTGAAACTATTTTCGACAAATATCTAGTAGAAAACTACTCTTGAATTTATTTTTCAAATTCCTAAAACCAAAAACATGTAATTAACGAATTATTTGTTCACAAATATGCCTCATCTCAAATTAACAACAAATATCCAAATAGTGGTTAGTGTTTACCCACTTCATAACATAACTACTTCCCTTCCCCACCTACACTCCTCACACTTTAGCTAATCACACTCAACAAGATTACAAGAATGAACGCCGCAGCATTTCCTTCCCTCCAATCTTCATTCTTCTCCCAAACTCCAAGCGGCCGATCATCACCATCATCGCAGTCCACCTTCGCCTTATCAGTTCCTTCTTCTTCTTCTTCTTCGCCTTCCACCTTCAGAACCCAAACCTCGCTTTCCCTCCTTCCCGACAACAACAACAACAATGTCTTCCTGCAAAAACCCCGCCGCGCCTACAACGTCCGCACCAGACGGAACCTATCACGCGCCGCCACCGCAATCAGCTGCTCTGCCGTCGACCCGGCGAAGAAACTCCGCTTGATCCTCGACTCTCCTGGGACCCACCAAGGTCCCGCCTGTTTCGATGCCCTGAGTGCTAAGCTCGTGGAGAAAGCCGGGTTCCCCTTCTGCTTTACAAGTGGTGGGTGTTCTTTTGACTTCTGTTGATGAAAATTGATAATCGTGAATTGGGTTTTGATTATCGTGGTTTGGATTTGGTTTTGGTTGGCAGGGTTTTCAATATCAGCTGCTAGATTGGGGCTGCCGGATACTGGGTTCATATCGTATGGAGAAATGGTGGATCAAGGGCAGCAAATCACTCAAGCTGTGTCGATTCCTGTGATTGGAGATGGTGATAATGGATATGGGAATGCCATGAATGTTAAGAGGACGGTGAAAGGATACATTAGAGCTGGTTTTGCTGGAATCATTCTTGAAGACCAGGTCTTTCTTTCTTATCAGCTTCATCTTTTAGCTAGTTACCTAAAAGCTTTAGACTTGATATTATTTGGATGTCACTTGATACGTTTTTTTCTCCTTCTGAAACTGGAAGGTGTCTCCAAAAGCTTGTGGGCATACCCGTGGTAGGAAAGTGGTGTCAAGGGAAGAGGCAGTAACGAGGATAAAAGCAGCCGTTGATGCTCGTCAAGAGTCAGGATCGGACATTGTGATTGTTGCGCGGACCGATTCTCGCCAAGCGGTGTCCTTTGATGAATCACTCTGGAGGTGTAGAGCGTTTGCTGAAGCTGGAGCGGATGTCCTTTTCATTGATGCATTGGCTTCAAGAGAAGAAATGAGAGCCTTCTGTGAAATATCTCCCCTAGTTCCGAAAATGGTAACGGCGATCAAGTCTTGTGCCTGACGATGCTTTATACCATGTTGGGCGACATGGTGATGGTGATGAATTCGTTTCTCTTGCTTGCAGGCCAATATGCTTGAAGGAGGTGGTAAAACACCAATACTCAATCCCTTGGAGCTGGAGGAAATTGGCTACAAGATTGTGGCGTATCCACTTTCCTTGATTGGAGTTTCTATTCAAGCAATGCAGGTCATATTCTCACTTGATTAGAGCTTTCATGTCCCTGTCTCGAAATTCACCTGAGATAATTGTTATGAACTGCATAAAGTAAATTGTATTGACATTTTGTTATCATCCATGGAGTTAGCTGACATTGTTTCCCTAAACTCATCTGCAGGATGCTCTTTCTGCCATCAAAGGAGGCAGGATTCCTCCTCCTGGAAGTATGCCATCATTCGAAGAAATAAAGGAAACCTTAGGTTTCAATGATTACTATGAAGAAGAGAAGCGGTATGCTATCAGTTCAATTTCCAGGCAGACAGGTGGGTGACCTGAATACTCTTTGATTCAGAGCAACTGATATACATTATGTTGCGAAAATTGTCTGCAAGATGCAAAATCACATGGATACATGCAAGCTTAGCTACCTAGCTGTTCAGCCGAAATAACAAACTATCTTAAAATGGCCGACCCTGCTGCATGCTGGATGATTTTATTTGCTTAGATAGTACTAGGTGTGTTTGCTTCAGCTTTTGCTAAAATAAGTAATTTATTTTGGTGTTTTAGGTTGTTTATTTCCCTTGCACTATGAAGATAATGTAGGTTGCTATGTTTTTCAGTTCCTCACTCCTATAAACTGTAGGTTCATCAGCGAGCAGTAATGTGTATTCTATACAACGGAGTGCTCAAGATGATAGAGAACAAAGAAGTGAAAGTCCCCAAGAGCCTGTTGTGGAAGTGATTACTCCTGATGTGTACAATAACTATGGTGCAGATGGTTCTAGACCCTTTTCTGGAATCTGGTCTCGGACATTGAGAGTCAAGATAACAGGCAGAGATGGGTTTGAGAAACTTGACGTCAGAATCCCCGTGAGTCTCACTATCTTCCTCTTCTTGTGATTTGTGAAGCAGCAACATTGTCAGTAGCATCATGTCTCCCAAGTTCTAACAATAACTTGTCAATCATGCTGTGCAGGCTGGGTTCTTAGATGGGATAACAAACATAGTGCCTGGTAAATATTCCGCTGTCCATTGTATTAAGTGAACATATAGTATCGTTGAATGAACAGATAAGTCATTTTGTTGTCTCTTGTGGAACAGCTTTGGGAGGTGTCAACATCAAAGAACTGTTGGATCAAGCCTCCGGGGAAGCAGGTGGCAAGCTGCTGTTGGATTTCAATGACACAGTAGGAGACAGAATTCAAGTCTTCCTAGAATGAACTCTTTAATCTGCATGCCTTCACCAAAGCAAGATGGAAGACTCCTTGCTACCAGGTTAGTGCAAAAATACTCATCTAAGATCTTTCAGTATAAACTGATATGAATTGCCATGACTGAGATACATATGATTATGCTCTCGACATAATTCATCCTGTTGAACGACGCGAAAGAGTTCTGTCTGTTCTTGCTATGCGTTGGGTGGAATAATTGATTCAATTGGTAAGCTAAGAGATCTATCGCTAGTTCCTAATCTTATAGCAATGTCGAAATGGCCGAGAGATGAAGCCTCCTAAATGTTGGCAGCCCACTAGTTGTTGACAGTATTAAGAGGGTTCATGACCACCATCGTAGTATTTAGAGACTGCAGCTATTACAGCAATGAGGTCTATTCCGGGCTAAGAATTGTCAGGACAGGGAGAAAATATTGCTAATAGTGCTATATGGCTGTGTTTGCATCAGGAAGTGCAAGAACAAAGATTCGACGGCAAAGTAGAGATTGCAGAGGCATGAAGGAGATGAAAGTCGTGGGCCAGGATGATCGAATTTACTCAGCCGAGTAATCGACCGAGTCAATTGTACCTTGTACTTGGCTTGGAAGCTGATCTTGATCAGATTGTGATTTTGAGTCATTGCTCATTCCTTTCTCAGTGAAAATTGTACTTTTTGGCACTAATAAATCTTGAGAAGGTATACGACCAAAGTTTCTAGCATCACTTGAACGATTGTCCATTGCTATGATGCAGCCTCAATAGAATTAGCTATCGATAACTACAACGTTACCAAATTTTGAAAACGTGTATACAGGATCAAGTTGTAGGATCGATCAAATCATCATGAACGAAACAAACCAAAAGCTGTAATATTTTCGAATCCAGAAACCAGAATATATATTTAGCTACAAGATTGGGTATATATTGCACCTTGAATATTCTCTCCAAAGGGATACAATCAGCAGAAAATCGACATTACAGCGGACAACGAATGCGGAGCGAATAAGAGGTGGAACGAATTGAAGCAGGGCAACAAACTATCACAGATTTATTGTTCTCATTCAGTAAACCCAGGAGCCAATAAAGTATAGATGAAACCTCAGTTACATAGAAATGAAAAATGAAGACCTGGAAAATAAAGCAAAGGTGAATATGGCTACCAAACCTTCAGGACCTTGTTCGTTTAGCAGGAAAGCATATTACAAGCTGCAGAGACTCATCTTCAAAAAAACCAATTCAACAGTACTTCTTCCTCAACTCTATTCTCAACCCCAAATAACAATGAATGACAAAATGGTAAGCAAATAGAAGGGGGAATAAATGAATACACAAACCATATAGGAAACAACCACATCGCATGAATCTCTAGCGAGATCACCAATTGTCAGTCAAAAAACATGCGAACTGCATACAGGGGATGAGGATGCACTTCTTCGGACTTATCAATCCCCGCATTGGTTTAAGATTCTGGACTATGAATGAGCATTCATTACCTCGAGTCTTGTACAAACAACGGCTACGGGATCTCATCTGACAAAGGAGGGGAGCCAACTAGAATGTCTCGTCACTGGTAGCCTCTTCCGCCGTAGGGCTGTTGAGGGTAGCCACCTGCACCCATCATATTGTTATATCCACCGGGCATCATCGGTGGTCCACGTTGAGGCTGCTGCATAGCTGGACCCTGCCCCAATCCCATTCCCATTCCCATTCCCATATTCATCCCCATGTTCATTCCCATCCCCATGGGCTGCTGAGGCATCCCTCCGTAGCCTCCCATGACAATACCCGAACCTGGACCGCCAACCATACCCATACGCGGACCAGGGCCACCAGCCATACCCATGCCCATGCCTGGACCCCCTCCCATACTCATGCCCGGAGCGCCACCCATGCCCATACCCATGCCGGGGGCCATCATCTGGTTTGAGGCTGGCCTCAGACCAGTAGCCGCAGCTCGGCCGACTCCAGAACCAGACCCCATGGCTTTCCCCATAGTGATAGTAGACGTGACTGCAGTAGTGGCTGGCTGTTTCTCCATTCTCTTCTCCTTGCGATTAATTGCGTCGAAATCTATTCCAATGTTTGACAACGGATTGGTCTTGGCTGCACCAAGTAAAACACACCATTGAATCATCTTCAATTACTTTTTGGTAATAAAAGTGTTCTGTATACCATCACTTCTTTTCTAAACCTTCCCAAACACATTTTCATTCTCTCTTAAATAAACCTTAAAACATAATTTAGGAGCAATTGAATTAAGGCAAATACTAAAACTAACACACTGAATATAACTTTTCAAATAAAATACTAGTACTTACACCCTGATATGTTCAAGTTGACTAGCCCTCTGCTGAGTGTATCTGCCCAAACTGTGGATTTGGTTTCGAATTTGTCCTTGGATGGTTGCTGAACAGGAACAAGGGCCCCAGTGGAAGAAGAGAGACTGGGCTGAGAAGCCAAAATCTGACTAACTGGCTGGGGAGGCATGGGAGCACTCGATCCCTGTCCAAACAAACCCCCTAAGCCATCCGTGTTTTGATGAGCAGAGGGAGTAAAAGAAGGGACTTGTGAAGGCATTGAGCTGGTAGTGTTCGGGTTATGGAACATGTTTCCATTGTTTAGTTGTCCAGAGGGTCCAGCGGCCATCTGTTGAGGTGGTCCCCCGTACCCCGGCTGTGGAAGTAAGTTCCCATTGTTGAACTGTGTAGGCTGTCCCATGTTCTGTGTAGTGGGACCCATGGAACCTCCCTGCGGCAGAAAATGACCGCCACCAAACTGTGAACTTGGAGGGGCCATGTTTGGAGCAGCTGGGACTGTTTGTCCTGTTTGCGAATTGAAGTTTCCATAACCATTCCCAGCGAATGAGGTTTGCACGGTTTGAGCTGGAAATCCAGCCTGTGGTGGGGCTATGGATGGACCAGAAGGTGGGAGGATATCAGCCAGTATATCGGTTTCTAGACTTGAGGAGGACAGTTCTTGAGGCAAAAACTGAGAGTTAGTTGATGCAGGCTGAAAATTGGGTGCTGAATAAGTCAAGCTAGAGGCTGCATCACCAAAGGGCGAGTTCTTCTCCATTTCTGCGTTGGAAACAGATGGATGTGGCAGTTCAGCATATGGGTTCACAGAATTCTGGAATGGCGCAGCAGAAACAGAAGGTTGATTTTGTTGTTCTGGGATGAGATCTGCAGAAGGAACAGCCTTGAAGGGAGTCTCCCCAAATGGATCTTCAAACCCCTGCAAGAGAAAATTGTGTTTGCATTTCAATATTTAAACCAGTAACATGGAAAACAAAGTTCAGCATAGATTCATTAAAGACCATGATAATCGTTTCGATCTATGTATTTCATCACTTGATACTAGAAATATATGACATCCTTATGGATGCTTCAAGATGATAACCTTACTTGATTAGCAAAAGAAGCTGTTGGCTGTGCTGAAGTAAATGAGGGTCCTGAGAAACTTGGCTGAATATCAGCTTCAGACGCAGTAGTAGTAGGAGAAGAAGCTGGAACAATTGCTAATGGACCAAATGATTCTGAGAGAGAACCAAGCAAATCCATTTCAGCATTATTTACGGTTGTAGGAGCAGTTGAGGCAGCTGGAGCTGCTCCAGCAGTTGGAAATGCTGTAGATCGAGAACATCAAACCATAAGCTCTCAACTAGAATTGAAATAAACACCAATGGCTATATTCCATAATAGATTCCCATAGCAATTAATGCATTCATAAGTATAAATGACATCATGTACCTGCAAAAGAACCACGTGGATCAAACTCGTCTACCACCACTTCCTGATTGGCTGGAGACACAGACGAGCCGACACCAGTGGGTTCTTGGATGGCACTACTGCTTGCAGATTGAGAAGCTTGAGGAGCAGGTGGAGAAGAAGATTGAGGGGCCGAAGGCGAGGAAGCTGCGGGGCCAGATGGTGCTGAAGTTTCTCCATTCCTTTTGATGAAAATCAAATCAAGGTAAATCAAGTCAGAAACATTCAGAGAAGCAGAAGCTGAGAGCTTGCTATCGGCAAAGCAAATTACTTTTCACTGTGTGTAGGGCTACGGGCATCATTCACAGCTTCTTCATAACTAGGGGGTGCACCAATATTTTGCTCGGAGAACTTTCTCTCGAGGGGCCTGTGAAATTTCCAAGAAATCGAAAATCATATACAGGTCACCTATGAGCAAATAATTTAAAGAACATATCTGATGCAAGTTACCTCCCGTCCTGAGATTGATCATCACCTCTGGCACCACCACTGCAGGGGAAAAAGAGAGCAATCAACCATCTCATGTCAATGATCCACAGTGAATAACGCTTTGATTTCAGAGAAAACATCAAAGTTGTGGACAAAACAGCCATAAATATAAATACAGCATGTTCAGCAGCTCACTTATAGTACCTAAGCTTCCTTCAGAAGCCTTGTTTTATGGGTTGCATTTGAAGTGTGCACATATCACAACTCAAAAACAAAAATGTCGCTCCTAATCATCTTGAGAAACACAGTAGAAAACACCTATAGTAATGACTCAATTGTAACACGACATTTAGAAATACTAACATTACAGGAAAAACTTCAGCAAAAATCCGAAACCCGAAATGATGAGGTGTGAACAAGTAAAAAGTCTTGAATTTGCACTCTTTTTTGACTAGTTAAAGATATTGAAATTTTTTTGGGTGTCATCCAAACACATAAACACACATAGCGACAAGTAGCTTGATAAAGGAACTTGCACAAATACCGAGATGAGTATTGGCCATCGTCATCATAACCATGACTTCTATCTCTATCAGAACTCCTGCCTCTCGAACCATAGCCGTCATTGCTACGACTTCTTCCTCTGTAATCGTCATCCCTGTATCCATCGCGACCATAGCGTTCTTCATCTCTGTTTCCATCTCGGCCATATCTACCATATCGGTCATCATCCCTATAATTGTTTTCTCTACCATATCCATTCCGCTCTTCATCCCTGCTTCCATAGCGTCCCTCGTAGCGATCATCATCGTACCGTTCGGCATATCCTCCACTGGATTGAGAACCAGGCCTGTACATACCACCAGCCGATGGGCTGCGGAACCTGTCATATAAGCAGAATTGCAGACATCAACAATTAGTAATATATTACGAGGTCATAACCTAACTGCTAAATTCCCACTCTCTGCTTTTGTTTATGTTATTGTGTAAGAATTAAGATAACAAATTCAAGTAATTTCTCGGATGTCATAAAGAAAATGCCTTATTAAATAGAAAACAAGCTTTTATCCAAAAACTAACCAACCTTTCTCGGTTCGCAGCAGCTTTCTCCCTGACTTCAACAATCCTTTCTTTATCATTCACGAGAACCACAAGATTTTGAGATTTCTTTCTGACATTGCTGCCCTGATCCCTCCCACTGGAGTCAATATACTGAAATTCGGACAATGTCTAACAGAGATGGAAAAAGCAGCTGGTTAGGCACCATAAGGTAATGTGCCGCAACCATAAAGAGTTGCAACAGAAGCATCAAGGAACTCGAACATTGGAGCAATAAAATAAAGAAGATAGAAGCTTCACCGATATTTGATAACCATGTTCCTTTATGTCATCAATGACTCGTTCTGACCCATGAGCCACAAGATACTCCAAAACAGTCAACCCCTGAAACCCATCACAGGAGTTATCAGCAATTTGTTGCAATGCAGTATCAAATAGAAATTCTATAACAGTACTGATGACATCTACCAACAAAATCAAGCAGCAAAAGTTACCAACTTCTTGTAGCATTTAAGTATAAACAGACTAAACAAAAATACTTGAGCAGTAATATCTTGAATAAAAACAAGCATGGACCAGGATCAACAACCGACTAGTAAATGGATGTGCACAACAATTTTATTTTGGAAAGATAGATAGCATCGTGCACATGATGGCACAAAAAATTCAATACAGCATAGTGCGAACCTTGTAGACATGTCGCCAGTTCTTGCCTGTGTCATTGATTCGCTTCCAGATCACTGACATAATCATCTGGTACTCATGACTGCACAGATAGATGAAACATCAGTCCCTGATATTCAGTATCTAATCTACAGCAACAACAGAAAGAAATTAGGAATTCTTACTAGTTTCTGCTTGCTTGTGCGATATCTGCAAGTAGTGATCCATGAGGACCCCAGGGCTCATTGCTGGTAGCATCAAGAACCTACAAATTGGATAATGAGAACTCCATTAAGTGGGAGTTATCAGCAATTTGTTGAAAAGCAGTATCAAAAACGAAAAGAGTCAAGTTTTCCAAGTTTTGATATTCAATTTGAAAAGAACACATATGCTACTGTCACAAAAGTTTTCTGAGATCAACTTTGGGACCTACCTTCTGTTCTATACCAGGAACTTTAAGCACTTTCTTGTTAACCTCTCTCTTTCTACAGGCACAAGGAAAAAAAACAATGGAAACCCAATAAATAACATACCATATATGATGATTAGATAAATTGTAATGCCGAATTCTCTAGAACTAGAAAGAATAATCAAAACTCGGAAGATCTAAACAAGCTTAAACTGATAGCAAGTGCATCAGCCATATCCCGCAAGCTTTCATCACAATACAGTGACAGGTTAATACAAAAACAATTACCACTGGAAATTGAGAATGAAAAAGTCACTTACAGGTCTCTAACAGTCTGGTCGAAGACCTTCTTCATTGATAGACTCCAATTAATGCTGCAATACAGATCAACAATTGTATATTAGCAACTGAAACGTTAAAGACTTAGCTACCAACTCCAAAGAAACAAGCCAATGAACTACCCAAAAGTAAAAAAAAAAGAAACTTATATAAAGGTCAGCTCAAGTTTTCATTAAACTTCAGAACAGAAGCAGAAGACTGAACCGAACTACCAGGGATCACCAAACCATTCATTTGCAAACAATGCATCGTGCATGATCGACCCAATTTTACACCACGGGGATCCAATCACTATTAAATTTTAACCAGCAGCATAAAGAAGTACGATAAGATCCAATTCCACATTCGCACACCAACAGAAACGCAAAGAATCTCAACGAGCATCTCCCAGACTAACAACCGCAGGCATCTCGCCAGATGATCCCCCTCCAAGCATCACTCCTCGAAACCAAAAAAAACGAGCTAGGCGATCATCGCATCCGAATCACAGAAACCAAACATAGACGCAACGCAGACATCAATCTCCGATCAACAAGTGAGACCAAAAAAAGCATACTCCCGTACAATTCAGGAGACAGCTGAGCTGAAACCAGAGATAAGGCCACTAGGAGATCGGATCACGCGGAATCGGAATTCGAACGTCGATAAATCTTTCGAAATGGAGAAAGAGAGAGAGAGAGGCAGAGAGCCGAACCTCAATTGGAAGTTATAGAAGGAATGAACGGCTTGTGGAAATCGGAATCAGGCCGGAGATCTGACGGACGGTGGAGGAGATTACCACGACGAGTTGCCGACGACTACGACGATCGATTCCCGCAGCGGAAAGGCGGAAGAAGGAGCCGCGACCTGGCTGCTAGAGAGACAACGAGAGAGAGAGAGGTTGTAGCGCGTAATTTCTCCTGGCAAAATGAGGGATCTTTGCTTTTCTTTCGTTTTTCCAATTTTCCAATTTTATTTTTTCTTCTGGGTTCGTCGAATTTGGCAGGAGAGAGAGAGAGAGAGAGAGGCGTCGGTGTCGTTGTTGGGTCAAGGAAGTTGGGTTTGGTGCGTGGTTAATTTCCGTGATTTTCTCTTTCTCTCTCCACTTTTGCATGAAAAGCTGGGCTTTTAGGCCCAGTTTTTGGGCCGAGTCCAAATTTCCCGCGGTGCAAGTTTCTTTCAAGGCCCGGTTCCCAGAAGCCCAGCGAAAACTAGCGAACACTAAACCCTGTCCCCCCTGATCTCGATTCGATTTCCTCAGCAGTTAACCATCGCAAAGAAACTGTTCTCCCGCCATTTGCACGAACGATCGAGCTCAGTTCAGTTCGCCGAGAAACGAAATGGAGACTCCGTCGTTTGAAAACCCCATCCGGACGAGCGTAGCGCAGCAGAGGCGGCCTTTGCCTGCCCTTCCACCGGATCTCATCGCCGAGATTCTGACCTGGCTACCCGTGGTTTCGCTCCTCCGATTCAGGTGCGTCTCCAAATGGTTCAAAACCCTAATTTCCAGTCCCGATTTCGTGAAAGCACATCTGAGAAGTATGAAAGCTTTGTCCACTATCAAACCGAATCGCGTGGATCGGGCCTTCAGGCGGTCATTGAACTTCGTCCAGCGCCTAATCAAACCGGAACGGCGATTCAGCGGGGACTATATCCACCGCCAAAACAAACCGAGCCCTCCAGTTGTTGATTGGGGTTCGCATTCGTGGTCGCTCGAATCTTTATTCAATGGCCCCCGAATTGAAGTTTCCCAGCGTGTAAACGTCTGTGAAGGAGTCGACAACGGTGGCGATTGGGTTGCTGGGTCGTGTGACGGGTTGATATGCTCTGTTCTCGGGTTATACCATGGGGTAGTGGTATGGAACCCATCTACTAGAGTTATGAGGGAATTGCCTGATTTCGACTATGAGATCTCAGAGTCACAGATGCGAAGGTGTGACAAGGTTTTTGGATTTGGTTATGATCGTCAGCTTGATGATTACAAGGTGGTAGTAGTGATTTCCTATCCGTCTGAAGATCCTAATAGAGCTGAAGAGTTTGAAACTCAAGTTCAGGTCTTTGCTCTGAGAACTACATCCTGGAGGAGAATTGAGGATTTTAAGTATGGGGTTCCGTCGGATGCGGAAGTAAAGTTTGCTGCCGGCTGTCTTTACTACAAAGTGCCGAGTTTTCAGGGTGAAGGGAAAGAGTGGAGGGACACTCTAGTCTCGCTTGATCTTGCAACAGAAAAGTATAACAAGGTGAAGCTACCTGCATTTGATGATGCTGGTACTCATTGGGAATTAGCATCGTTTGTTGATCGTCTCTGTGTCGCGTGTTTTGATGACGACGATTCATGTGAGGTGTGGGTGATGAAGGAGCCTGGAGTGACGGATGCTTGGACCAAGTTGTTCAGGGTTGATCAGGTTGTGGTAGATGCAGGGTTACATGCTCCACTGTATATTTCGGATAATGGTGAGGTTCTTTGGGATAATGATGAAGATTTGTTCATTTACAATTCCAAGGATAACACTATCAGGTTTCCTACATCGAGAGGCTTGTCCAATCGCGATGGTCCTCCTGTGATCTACATGGAGACCTTAGCTTCGCCGAACATCGATCATTAGCAAAGTGGGGTAAGTAGGTGTAGGTTCACCTCGAATAGATCATTCGTTAATGAATTTGATCCATACTCTATTATGCTAATTTTGCATGCAAGCTTGATTATCATCCATGCTCTGCATTGTTTGTAGCTATTAACTTTGCTTTCAAGCTTCATTATGTTACTATAACTTCCTTTGACTCAAAACTTGTTGCCAGTTGTAGGTTCCGTTAGCAATTAGGCTTCACTGGTTGGAATTTCGACCACCCTGCGAGATCACGTTGGCGGGAAATGCTATGCTATCGTAGATCGAACGGAGCAAGGTGGTTCGTGGTTCATATGTTTCATTTAGATTTGTTCGTGTGATTGCAGCATGTACTCTTGCTAGTAGTTGTTAAATTAAGACATTATGTATGATAGTCATGCACTCTTGTTAATTAAGAACGGTTTCATGGAGAAGTTATTAGTCGATTTGGATGCAGCTTACAAAGAAATTATCTGAAAGAAGGCATTTCTCTATGGATGAAAATTAAACCACTTATATCTTGTTTTCATGGAGACGTTTAGTCAAAAAAAAACTTCATCCTGTTTGTTGACAAAGTTTCAACTAACCGAACTCAGTTGGCGTAAGTGCTAAAAACTTTCTGACTATCCTTCCTCCGAATCTCATCGTCGAGATTTTCACTGGCCTTCTCATCTAGATATCGCCTATCGTCTTCTTGAACATTGCACACAGGCCTACACAGCTCCATGAAACCATCTTTCATGGCAATTTGGACAACGATGTGGAGAAGTGAAGGAACATCTCTCTCTACAATTAGGGAACCGGGCTGGGCTTTTGGGTCCCGAACTTGGGCTGGTCCAATTTTCGGTCGTGACAATTTATTCTAGGGCCCGGTTTCCGTTTTAAGTCGAATTTAACGAAGCCCAGCGACGGTAAAGTAAACCCCTCAAATCAACTCCCTTACCAGTTCTCCCGCCATCTTCACGATCGAGCTCAGTTCATGGAGACTCCGTCGCTTGAAAATCCGATCCGGGCAAGGGTAGTGCAGCAGCAGCGGCGGCGGCGTTTGCCTGTCCTTCCTCCGGATCTCATCGTCGAGATTCTCACCTGGCTACCCGTCGATTCGCTGCTCCGATTCAGGTCCGTATCAAAATGGTTCAAAACCCTAATCTCCAGTCCTGATTTCGTTAAATCACATCTAAGAAATACGAAAGCGCTGTCCGCTGTCAAACCGAATCGCGTTGATCGGCTGTTCAGGCGGTCGTTGCACTCGTGGTCGCTAGACACATTGTACAATGCCCCCGGAATCGAAGGTGTTGAGCTCGTCGATACGGTGAAGCGACACCTTATCAGCTATGATTGGGCCGTTGGGTCATGCGATGGGATGCTATGCTCTGTTGGGTGGTACTCCAGGATGGTCGTATGGAACCCATCTACCGGAATCGTCATGGAATTGTCCTTGAAAGACTTGCCGGATGTTGCTTCAACTGAAGAGATGTTTGAGATTAGCAGGGTTTTTGGATTTGGTTATGATTGTCAGCTTGATGATTACAAGGTGGTAGCGATGATCTCCTATCCAGCTGAGAATCGTACTCGACATGACGAGTTCGAAACTCTAGTCAAAGTCTTTGCTCTCAAAACTACATCCTGGAGGAGGGTTGACAATTTCAAGCATGGGCTTCCGATTGGGAATGGGACGTTTGCTGCTGGCCGACTTTACTACAAAGTGCGCAGTTTTGATGCAGGGAATCTTGAGCGGAAGGACACCCTATTCTCACTCGACCTTGCAACAGAGAAATTTAACAAGGTGAAGCTACCTGATTTCGACGAGGCTGCTACTACTCTTTGGGAGCTGGGATCATTTGCTGATGACCGTCTATATCTCACTTGTTCTTATGGTAATTCATGTGAGGTATGGGTGATGAAAGAGCCTAGAGTCATGGAATCTTGGACTAAGCTGTTCAGGGTCGATCAGCACGAGGTCAATGCACAATCACTCGCTCCTCTGTATATTTCGGATAATGGTGAGGCTCTATGGAAGAATGGTGCCGATTTGTTCATTTACAATTCCAAGGACAACACTTTCAGGTTTCCTAGATCGAGAGGTTTGTCGGATCCTAACAATCGCGAGGTGATCTACATGGAGACCTTAGTTTCGCCCAGAATGGATAATTAGCCACGGGTGAGGTAAGTAGTTTTAACCCGACTAGATCATCTATTTTGCATGGACATGATGAACACTGCTGCAAAAGTATACTACAGGATCACTCACACAGAGCTTTTGCAACATTGAAACCTCTATGGTTGTGGAATGTGAAATTGCTTGATCTACTGTTTCCTCTGGAGATTCTGCAACCTGCTTTTTCTTTCCTTTTCCCTGTTCTATGTTAGTATAACCACTATTTTAGTTACAGCACAGCGACATGAGTTGAATTTACTTGTGGCAATGGTGCATACTTTTGAAGTTTGGACAAAATGTTGATGAGGTCATTTATTCATATGAGTTACTTGCATATACATAATTAGCTGCTGATTAGGGATTGATAATGACATTCCACCTGTGGTTTCTTCACCTGCTCTCTTCGTCCCGTATCTAAATGTAGAACCGCAGATGATGAGAGGTAATTAATATAGCAGCTTGTGAAGTGCTTCTAATTAGCTATAACTAATTAGTCTCTGATGATAATGGTAAGTATTGAATGCAATTCTCATTAAGAATGTCAACTCATTAATTTAACGAATCATTGGTCTAGCGATACCAGCAGCAGGTGATTAGTTCTATTTCTATGATTGTGAACCCTTTTTCCCCTTTCCCTTTGGTGCATCTATTGACGAAAACAACTTCAACTCTGTGTAAAATCCAGTTCTCATCTCCTTTCAAATCTCATCGATTGAGTGCATTCTGTGAAGGCCAGTATTAATATGCAAACTCGTCGCGAGTACATTCTTTCGAGATGAAAACTATCACTAACTCGATTGTCCGAGTGTAGTCTCGAGCGTCAATGCCTGTAAATCTAGGGGTTATTGCACTGCATGGATTGCTCATCCCCAATGTAGGATCGAATAATTAGGTTGGATTATCACGACCCATAAATCTGAACAAAGTGAAGTTTGGCAAGCAAGAACAATTTCCCTCTTGTTATGGCTTTTTCCTCTGGCTAGCTGTAGTTTCCCAATATGAGCTCCATTGACAAAGTTCCCAAGTATGCAAGAAAAGGGTGGTTGAAAAAGATGATCACATGGTAATTAAATGTGAGTTCAACAACTATGGTATAATGTAAATATGTCTCTTTGCAGAAATTGGGTAGCTTTTTATCTATTGAGTTATCAAATTGCCTTTTACCTCAGCAATTTTACCGTTACAGGAAAGTTTTGCTTTATAAGGGATTGTTTGATGTTATCTATGTTTTAAGGGTTAAAAACAAACATACACGTCAAACTAGTTAAGCCAGCTGACTAATGGTTACATATGATAAATTCAGGTCGAAAACGAATAGCTACCAACAACAACCATATGTGATATGATATGTATCAATATTTTGAGTATGTCAAATTGGGTCATTCCAATTATTTCACTTTCTAATGAATCAAAATGCTTTGGTGTTAGCATGAAGTCAATGGGTACAAAATGTTTTTAAGAATGAAGTTTAGGGTTAGAAAATTCCCTAATTCAAACGACTTGAACATACGCAATATACATCCTCGAGATATGATCCGCGGTCAAATTACTGAAGATTGAGTTGAATCTTTCTGGTTTCAATCATCTCATCGCAAAATGTTTGCAAAATCCTAACAAATGATCTTTGTATCCAAGATTTTGCTCACATGTTGTAAAAAAAGGTCCTAAACTATATGTACTTTCACCAACTATCCCACCTATATAGAATCTTATTTGCATGTGGTCCAACGAATCACCAACACAAATATTTTCTCAGGCAAAATTCCCATGGATTCAGTAGGCAACTTGCAATTCGAACCCCTAATTTTTTTTTGTAGATATAAAACGTTTTGAGGGAGTGGGAAGACAACCCATAATGCACTATGCAAGAGAAAAGGCCTCCATTCATTTTCAATTATTATTACTCTGTTACATAGCTGTGAAAAGGGTGACATTTATAATTTGTTGTGTTGCCATAGTGGGGGGAAACTAAAGCACTTGCAAATATGACAACCATATGTGGTCCATCAGTTGCTTCCATGACGTAGTTTCGTCGTAAAATATATAAATATCACGTTATCATTTATCAGTATAAACATATTGTAATCGTTAATTATTCCCGATATTAATATCGAATTTCCCAAGAAGAGGAGAGAAAACATGGAGCAATATATAAAATAGATTCAATCTTATTACAAAACAATTACATTCTTACCTCTTCCCCCACAACATTATATAACTTATAGGGATAATAATAATAATACACATAGCAAATTTAAATAGAGGGTAGAAGCCCACATTACAAATTAATTACCCCGGAAACTAAAAATCATTAAAAATTACATACACCAATTGAAAACAACCTTCCCTCCAAAGGACTCTCATCCAAAACCCAAAATGATCGAATTCAGAATTTAATTAATTTAAAATCGCGTTGCTCCTCAATTACTCCCCACCCAAATTCACCCGTCTCTTGAACCAAACTCCACTTGATGATGATGAACACAGCAAGATTGCAATGTGAAGCATGGCGGCCATGGAAACTGAAGCATGTTGGTGAACATTATTGGAACTATAGGGCAGTGGACTAATTGGGTTGCAAGCCTTTAGATGATGACCGTTGGAGCCTTCTTTTATTCCGTCCTCAAATCTAAAATCTGCATGAAGATGATTTACATTAGAGAAAGGGATGATCATCAATATAATTGTATATTTTCACTAATGGGAAGGAATGATTGGAGAAGATCGATTTATGGAGTTTGACTTACGTGATTGCTTGTGGTACCCGATCGGGCCTTTCGGACCTAGTAGTGAGTTGGCGGCGGGGGAGAAGCGTAGATGTAGGCCGGCGGCGGAGGAGATTTCACCGGCGGGGGAGGAGAGTGGTAGTAGTAGGGAGGAGGGGGAGAGGGCGACGGTGGAGGTGGAGACTTGTAGTAGTATGGTGGAGGAGGCGACGGTGAGGGAGGAGGAGGAGATTTGTAGTGGTAAGGAGGCGGCGGTGAGGGTGATGGTGGTGGAGGAGATTTGTAGTAGTACGGTGGTGGAGGTGACGGCGAGGGAGGCGGTGGCGATTTGTAGTGGTAGGGAGGAGGTGGGGAAGGTGACGGCGGTGGTGGAGATTTGTAGTAGTAAGGGGGAGGAGGTGACGGCGAGGGTGGTGGTGGGGATTTGTAGTGGTAAGGAGGAGGTGGGGAAGGTGACGGCGGCGGTGGGGACTTGTAGTAGTACGGTGGTGGTGGTGATGGTGAGGGAGGTGGTGGAGATTTGTAGTGGTAAGGAGGCGGCGGCGAGGGAGACGGTGGTGGAGGGGATTTGTAGTAGTAAGGTGGTGGTGGAGATGGTGACGGTGGTGGAGGTGATTTGTAGACATAAGGCGGAGGTGGTGATGGTGAGGGAGGTGGTGGAGACTTGTAGTAGTATGGAGGAGGCGGCGAAGGCGACGGTGGTGGGGGAGATTTGTAGTAGTAAGGAGGCGGTGGCGACGGTGAGGGAGGTGGAGGAGATTTGTAGTAGTATGGTGGAGGAGGCGACGGCGAGGGAGGTGGTGGGGATTTGTAGTAGTATGGAGGCGGAGGTGAAGGTGACGGTGGTGGTGGGGACTTGTAGTAGTATGGTGGCGGCGGCGAGGGAGATGGAGGCGGTGGTGACTTGTAGTAGTATGGAGGTGGCGGCGACGGTGAAGGAGGTGGTGGAGATTTGTAGTAGTATGGAGGCGGAGGTGAAGGTGATGGTGGTGGTGGGGACTTGTAGTAGTATGGTGGCGGCGGCGAGGGAGACGGAGGCGGTGGTGACTTGTAGTAGTATGGAGGTGGCGGCGACGGTGAAGGAGGTGGTGGAGATTTGTAGTAGTATGGAGGCGGCGGCGAAGGTGATGGTGGTGGTGGGGACTTGTAGTAATAAGGAGGTGGCGGCGAGGGAGACGGTGGTGGTGGGGATTTGTAGTAGTATGGTGGCGGTGGCGAGGGAGACGGTGGTGGCGGCGACTTATAGTAGTATGGTGGCGGAGGAGACGGTGATGGAGGCGGTGGTGACTTGTAGTAGTACGTTGGTGCTGGTGCCTTCTTAGGCGGTGGTGGTGATTTGTAGTAGTAAGGTGGAGGAGGAGACGACGATGGTGGCGGTGGTGACTTGTAGTAATATGTTGGTGCGGGTGCCTTCTTTGGTGGTGGTGGCGGTGACTTGTAGACGTAAGGAGGAGGTGGTGACGGCGATGGTGGCGGTGGGGACTTGTAGTAGTAGACCGGTGCCGGTGCCTTCTTAGGTGGCGGCGGAGACTTGTAGTAGTATGGAGGTGGTGGTGATGGCGACGGTGGCGGTGGAGACTTGTAGTAGTAAGGTTTGGGAGGAGATGGCGACGGTGGTGGTGGTGACTTGTAGTAGTACGTCGGTGCAGGTGCTTTCTTAGGCGGCGGCGGTGGTGACTTGTAGTAGTAAGGAGGAGGCGGTGACGGCGACGGTGGAGGAGGTGACTTGTAGTAGTAAGGCTTGGGTGGTGACGGCGACGGTGGTGGCGGGGACTTGTAGTAGTAAGGCTTGGGAGACGGCGGCGGTGGCGACTTGTAGTAGTAAGGAGACGGAGTGGGCTTGGGCTCGGGCTTGGGCTTGGGCTTTTCGCAGTCCGAATAAGCATTCTTGGGCGCGTAAGCAAAAGACTTGGCCTGGAGGACAACCTCGTCGTAGGTCTTGGACTTCACTTTGACCATGGCGCCCTTGTTGCCGCCGTGGAGCTTGGTCGGGACGCTGCACTTGGTCCCCTTCTTCGGCGCGTGGAGCTTCGCCGTGCACGCGCCGGCTCCGTATTTGCCGTACTCGAACCCTTCGACGGCGATGCTGTACTTGCCGTTGATCTTCGTCTTGCCGTATGCCTTGATCTCTTCTTTCCCGGCCTTGCACGTCACTTCCACCGTGGCACCTGACGTGGACCAAAATTTTCGGTCGTAAATGATAAAACATAAAAAATTAGCGTCACCATCGGAGTCGTTAAATTTGGTATTTAAGTCAACACAACAAAAATTCACGCCCTCTACCTAATCCCGCATAACGAATTTGATTAATTAATTGCTAATTAGTAATATGAAATGATGAATTAGTTAAATTAATCCACTTGGGCGAAAAACATGCCGTGATGTGGTGGAGATTTTTATGTTGATTCGAAATATATATAATAAATAAATTTGAACAAGAATTATAATTTAATATGAAGGAAGAAAAGGGAAATGAATTATTGATTATATTACCTTTGTAATGTTTCTTATCGTGGGACTTGGATGGGTACTTCCAATCGTAGCATCGGTAGCAGTATACTTTTCCGACGACCTTCACGACCACGTGGTGGGGGTGGACGGCCGGCGGTGGCGGTGAGGAGTAGTGGTACGGTGGAGGGTAGTATGCCTTGGGCGGCGGAGGGGACTTGTAGTAGTATGGAGATGGCGGGGATTTGACCGGAGGTGGTGGCGATTTGTAGTAGTATGGCGGGGGCGGCGATGGTGATGGCGGCGGTGGGGACTTGTAGTAGTATGGTGGCGGCGGTGATTTCTTTGGTGGTGGTGGAGAGGAGTAGTGGTACGGTGGTGGCGGGTATGGTGATGGTGGAGGAGGAGATTTGTAGTAGTATGGTGGCGGCGGTGATTTCTTGGGTGGTGGTGGGGAGGAGTAGTGGTATGGTGGTGGAGGAGATGGCGACGGTGGTGGAGGAGATTTGTAGTAGTATGGTGGCGGCGGTGACTTTTTGGGTGGTGGTGGTGACTTGTAGTAGTACGGCGGAGGAGGAGATGGAGACGGTGGTGGGGGAGATTTGTAGTAGTATGGCGGCGGTGGTGATGGGGACGGCGGAGGAGGAGATTTGTAGTAGTATGGAGGAGGAGGAGAAGGTGACGGTGGTGGAGGAGATTTGTAGTAGTACGGTGGTGGAGGAGACGGAGAAGGTGGTGGAGGAGACTTGTAGTAGTATGGTGGCGGTGGTGACTTCTTGGGTGGTGGTGGAGAGGAGTAGTGGTACGGTGGAGGAGGAGATGGAGACGGCGGTGGAGGAGACTTATAGTAATATGGTGGCGGTGGTGACGGGGAAGGAGGAGGAGGAGACTTGTAGACATAAGGTGGCGGCGGTGACGGCGAAGGAGGAGGAGGAGATTTGTAGTAGTATGGTGGCGGTGGTGACGGGGAAGGAGGAGGAGGAGACTTGTAGACGTATGGTGGTGGTGGCGACGGTGAAGGAGGAGGAGGAGATTTGTACTCATACGGCGGAGGTGGCGACGGTGATGGTGGTGGCGGTGACTTGTAAACATAAGGTGGTGGTGGAGACGGTGAAGGAGGAGGAGGTGACTTGTAGTAGTATGGGGGCGGTGGTGACGGCGAGGGAGGAGGAGGAGACTTGTAGACGTAAGGCGGAGGAGGCGACGGGGAAGGTGGCGGCGGCGACTTGTAGACGTACGGCGGCGGAGGGGAAGGAGAAGGAGGTGGAGGGGACTTGTAGATGTATGGTGGCGGAGGAGAAGCATAAACATATGGGTCTCCGGCCACATTGCTAATACCAATTGCTACAAAAGCCAAGGCTAATGCCAAGGCAAGTTGCGGCCACCGGCGGCCGCCAGAAGAGGTCGCCATTTTTTGGTCGCCGGGAAAGTGAAGGAGAAGTGGGTTTTAGTTGGGGGAGGTGTGGATTAAGATTGCATGAAATAAAGAGTATATATAGAAGCCAAGTCGTTAAGAAGTTGCTGTCATATTGGCACCAATTATAATTTTGATTTAATGTGTTAATTATATTTTAATTTGAAAAAAAAAATGATGATTTTGATTGAGATTTGCTTGTGGCAAATTGGGTAGTTAATTAGCTGGCCTTTTGGATGATGAATTCTTGTTTGAATTTCAGAAAGCTCATCTTCAACTACTAATCATTTTAATTGAATCAAAATTTTGGAAGTCTCTTTTTTTAATGATTCCACTCCCCTAGAGTATTCTTAGTTCTTAATTACTACAATTGATCTTAATTTTCTTTTCCACCCTAAATTTCAGGGTGATCTTATCTTCCACGCACCTTCCCTACAAAATACTAAGATAATTATTTTGAAAATTTTAAAGAAAATTGGAGATGGGATCGATCAATACCGGTTTAATTAAGTTTCATTATATATTGATCATGTTATTAATTAATTATAATTAGACCATGTCTAATCCACATTGATCTGGGGTGATCAACTGATCAAGGCTCTAGATTTAAGGGAATCATTTTGATCATAATTAACAAAAAAAATACGTCTAATTAATTAAGAGCTTGTATTTCAGGCATCCAAGTGGCAAACTCCCACTGCCCAAAACCGTACCATGCTCTTCACAATTATATATTGTAGGCCACATCAGTAATCTGCAATTGCACATTGCAGAAGAAATCCTAGGGGTCGTTTGGATGAGGAATTCTAATGGATCAATCTGACACAATTGTCTCGTTTTGAGTCAATTGTGCTACATTGATCCGTTTGGCAGCAGAAAATTTGGATGAAGCAATTTGGGCTGGGGAATTCTGAATTGACTCATTTTGAGCCAATTACAATTGTCTGGGGTGGGGGCAGGTAATCTGAATTGACTCGTTTTATAAAATGAAACAATTGGTCAAATTGTCTCATTTTACAATTGATCCATCCAAACGACCCTTATGTTATGCTTAATGCCACACACGTTAATCCTAATTAAGGGTTTCTTTGCCCCTAATTACTTTGCATCTTGATAGCAAAATATACTGGAAGATCTGAATTTTTCTCGAGGGAGCACTAGATTATAGTTAATTAGCATATAATACTGGATGGAAGTATAGCATGTGATTTTCTCAATAATGGGAGATGACAGCATGTGGGAGTAACAATCAAGTGGGATATTGCAGCCTTTTCTTTTTTTCTGTTCTCTTCTTCTTCTCTTTTATGTTTTGGGTCCAATTTGGTGGGTGTCCTAATAATGGGGCAACACTTACAATGGGAGGAGGCAAAAAGAATTCGGATTGGCTTGTATATGTCTTCATTGAATCAAGAATCGAATCGACATGATCTGTATGAGTTTTCGTATTTGAATGTGTGCATCACAATCATTATCTTACAGATGAGACTACTAAAAAAAGTATATACATGATGACTACGTATATCATGTTTGGTGCGATATTCAAATTCGTTTAAAGAGGTGTGACAGAGTATGGTGTTATTTTAGGACCTTTTGTTGACTTGAGAGATAAAACATGATGGAGTTCTTCATCAATGGACCACATCATATGTGTCTTGAGACAAGGGGAAAGTAAAAGGTTATTGGCATGCTCATGAACTATTCCCCTCCCCCTTTTACTTTTTTTTACCCATGTACAAAATTGAATCATATGCATGCAAATGTTTGTTGAGAGGCAACTTCCTTTATCTTGTATCAACAACGATAGAATAAATTTTTAATAAGGTCGATCTGAAACACATGAATTTTTAGTCTGCACAATCAACTTTCAAGATAACATCATCTTAACGGTGACTTTGACATATATAAAAGCTCGACAAATTTCTTGCTTTCGTATATACAATAGAAACTCTAATATGGTTTGAGTCAGGCAAATTTTGAATATGTCCACGAAATATTCTGGCGAAGCGCATCGACACTGACCTCGAAATATAAAAAAAAACAATATATAGTCGGCTTGAATCAAACAAATTTTTAATTTGTCCACTCAGTTTTCGAGATATCAAAATCGAGACTAACTTCCACATATAGATATAAAACCTCCACAATTTCTCTTATTTTCATATATTGATGACAACACAAAAATCACTTCAATATATTCGGGTTGAATCACACACACAAATTTCTATCTGCTCGCTAGCTAAGATCATAGACATAAATCTCGACGTATAGAAACCCATATACAAATTGTTTTGAATATTATCAAACGTATGCATCATGGAAGATTGGAACATATATTTGTTATCTATATCCCATTTATTTTCACAGAAATTCTTAAAGTAATAAGTTAAGTGATCCAAATAAGGCAAACAAAACTTACAGAAGGCAGAGATGGGAAAGATATATAATAAATTCACTTGTTGGCCACATTTGTGCATGATTGGTGGATTGAACATGTAACCATCAATATATATCCCAAATTAAAACAATGGGCGGCTGAATGGTTGATGACAACATGGAAAGATTGAAAAAAAAAACCCTCTCAATAAATCAACATGCCCACAATTTCTGTATTTCCAATTATAAACATAGACTTTATGCTCTCTTTTGGCTTCCAAAAGTCTTCTAATTAACACTCTTTTCTGTAGAACACCAGCCAGGAAATTTTAATCTCACCATTACCAGGAATTGTTAGCTGTCACTGAACATGAACCAACAACTCCTCTTGCACTAACTAGAGTTACTTCCCATACTTTTCTTCTTTGGCCAATTGCATGAGAGGTCACTAGAATTTGGTTTTACTAACAATTCGGTTGTTGAATTTCAATATCTTTGCATACTTAACTTGTCGATGAAAATATGAAATAACTACACTTATTTTCACTCTTTGCATCATGTTCCATCTGAACTGTCCATCCTCACGCGATACTTTTGACTCGTCTGAAGTTAACAGAAAAGGTGACAAAGACCTTATATGCTATCGATCAGATCGACAAAGCATAGATTATATACATGGTTGGATATGCTCTACCGAGTGACTAACGTTCCTGATCCAAATCAAGTGGGCTATGAAATGAGTTGCTTATCGATCATTATACGCTAATCAAAACCTTACACGACAGTTCGGATCAAGAACCTAATTAACCCCTTTTGTTCTTGACATCTTTTGGCCCTCCTTTCCATTTTGGGTTTCACTTCCACAATAGGGTAAGAATTCAATAAGCAGGGCCCTCACTTTTGAAACCACTTCATGGTATAATAATTTTTTGGAATGTTTTAGTTTTTGGTACATTTTTGAAAAGTCCAAAGCCCTTATCTCCCTAAGCTTTTTCCCCATAAATCCCTCTCTGTAATGCTTTCAGTCAATGGCGTGTGATAGAGCACAACTGCTGCCATAGTCTCTCTATAAAACGCAAATTTTCTCAGCATGTGCTTTGGTGGTTAGTATTGGTACCTACTACACGATGGATTGATGGAGAAGGCAATGGAGTAGAAGGAAGCTACATTGGATTCAAAGCTAGCTAGGGGATATGTTTCAAAAAGAAACTTTCACATTATTGTCTTCATATTTTTTTTAGGGTTTCAAATTGACCAAAACCCACATGATCTAAGTCATTAACTAATTGTTATCGTATAAAGTTCTAGCAGAACGAATTCACTGTGATGACTCTCGCTTGTTTGTCGGTTTTTATTCTTACATCCGGCTGGCAGCTTCTATAGTTGTTGTAATCAAATAACTCTTAAACTGGAATATGGTTGCTAGCTATGACATGCACATGATTTCTAGCTAGTTAGGAGCTCATCTATCGTTCACTCTCTGATTGCCTAGTGTTGGTTAAAACTCTCTCCGATCAATAATTCCCCGTTATCGATCATAATATACAATAGGAATATTGAGAAAGAATTTTACTATGTTGAAGTCTTTTTCATTAATCCGCAAAACCTTCACCGAAAATCAGATCAGGGTAATCGTGAATCCCCAAATAGGAAAAATCCTACATGCTTACGAAAATCATGATCAACGATATCATTTCGTTGTATGCCCGATAAGTTTATGTGTGTGCAACGTTCTGCATATGAGAATATGCATGCTAGCTTCCAACTTTTCACTGATCAATTCCCATTGATGTCCAGCTCTAGCTAGTGGAAGACAGACTGAATTTATCTGCCTGGAATACATATGGAACAATCATGTCATATATAAGAGAGCAAAATGGCTAGAAAGAAGATGACAATTTAACTGTCCATTTCGATCTGCACTATATACATATATATCTTACATATTTAGACTCATATTTTCCACACACAAAAACAATAATAAAACCCAAATTTAACTAATTAGGTAGCAATTATTGATATTACTGAAGTCCTCCCAAAATTAGCACACTGATCACTGTCACTGACCCTCTCCACACCAAATCTCCACCTGGTCCCTTAAACTTTTACCTATTTGAGTTTGAATGCATGATGAATTTTGGGAAGTCGATTTTCACCTAACACATAAGTTGTCGTTCCAGGAATAATATAAATCCATGTGCTGTATTTATGTCAGTAATTAATTTCTACACATACATTTGTCTCTTTGCCTGACATGTTCCCTCTGTTGGTTGCTTGACAGAGTGATCTACTAAACCTGGGGAGCACCTGTGCAAGACACAATATCGGGAGACTTCGTCCCCAACACTCAGGCATGCCTCCGGGAACACACAAACGGCGTCACTGGGGATCGCACTCAAGACCTCTCACATCCTGAGCCAACCAGACCAACAGTTTCACCGCTAGGCTATATTACCTTTGGCACTATTACTCAGGACCTCTCATTGGAAGTTGGAAAACACCATACTTAGGAGATGGTCATCTCATGATCACCGACGTTTGATAATCGTCTGTCGTCTGGCTCAGACATCCAACTTAATGACTCTGAACATCCAAGTATCGACTCACACACGAGGACCGGTAAAGACTCACCGAAACACGAACTTGATCAATTGAACATCCAAGTTTTACATGACACCTTGGCATCAACCTAGATCCCTAGAACCCTTTATTTGTTGCATATATATATATAACCTCAATGTGGGCCGTACATATTATTACTCTAATTACCCATTTTGGAGGGCACTAAGTGTAAAACTCACTGATGATCCAAAACAAAGTAGATATTATCATTTGATTATCATGGAAGATGCCCATCATTACAGAAATCAAGAAAGCCTAGCTAGCTATGTGACCAAAGTGAAACATGAACATAATAAAAAGCCGTCTTCTTTGTCTTATATTACCTTTAATAAAATCTTTAATTTGATTCGGTCTCTGCCTAGCTATACATCTAATCTAATAACTTTCTTTCCTAGTCTTTCTTTTTTAGTTTTTTTTACCATTTCTTGGCTGCAGGCAGGTTCCGGCGAGCCGCCCTCCACAGAGTTTCCCGACATGTTCGCCGGCCGGATTATTCCCTGCCTCGAAGGCCGAATAATTGCTTTACTTTATAGGGTTTTGATTGCACTTTTTCGTTAATCCAAAAGGTGGTTTGTATTATATTTGGGCCACCAATCTGATATATGTTTGTACTTTGAACAACTTGGTGTTGTGCCTAGAGCTAGCCCTACAGTTAAAGCCGCCGGTCCCTTTAGGGACAAGCCGGCCGGTTCTTTATATCACACCCCAAAATTATTTATATGATAACTACAAGATATCGGGATCAATTGGACTTCATTTTGCAGGGGATGTAAGGTCGAGAGAAAAAAATTATTTGAATAATTCGAATTGCGAAGAGATTGTTTGATGGAAATTTGATATGTACAACACCTTTCTTTCTTCTTACTCAAAAGGAAAGCCCCCATAACCCGTTTAGAAGGGTCCCGCGTTTAGGAGAGAGAAGCCTGAAAATTTCGCTCCCACCTCTCTCCTACTTTCTGGGTTTTCTTCGACCTTTTGATGACCGTTGGGAGCAAGCCTCCCTCGGTAGAGGCGGACCACTGCCTCAAGCCACCGGACGGATTGCCGGCGACGACACCTAGCCAACCCAGCAAGCGTGCCAGAGCCAGCGGCGGGGATGGATTCCTTGAAGAAGATGGTATGGATTTTGCAATTGTAACAGCAAGAGGCACCGATGAGGAAAATCTGCAGGAGGAAGTGAATTTTAATGCAGGGAACAAGGAAAGTAAGCCAATGGAGACTGATTCGGGGGGAATAAAGCTCTCATACAAGGATTCTTTCCTTGGAAATGGACCGCCAGAAGAGATCCCCGAGGGAGAAGACCTGATGTCTGATGAATCTGAAGGAGAGGAGGCAGAGGACGATCCCGATTGCCCCACTATCCGGCTTAAGAAAAGCACTGATGCGCGAATCCGTAATCGATGGAAGCGTGCAATCACTTTTCGTGTTCTGGGTAAGGCCTTCCCCTTTGCTTTTATCCACCGCAGAATTCATAAAATGTGGGCTAAAACAGGAGGGGTCAAGATTGGAGACATAGGAAATGGCTATTTCCAGGCGATATTCGATTCACAGCTTGACCACGATCGTGCTTTGTATGGGGGTCCATGGACCATTGACGACCACTACATTGCCTCTGAACCGTGGCGCATTGACTTTGATCCTGACTTCGACTCCATTAACAGAGCTTCAGTCTGGGTCAGACTTCCAAGGTTACCTCTAGCATATTTTGATGAAGAAATTCTTTCCGATATTGGAGATAAGCTGGGTAGAGTGGAAAAGATTAATTTCAACACGGCCAATGGATCAAGGGGGAATTATGCTCGCATCTGTGTGGAAATAGATCTGAGGAAAAGATTAGTTTCTAAGTATCGGATCGAAAGAAGGGTTAGGAGGGTGGAGTATGAAGGACTCCATACTGTTTGTTTTGGGTGTGGGCATTATGGCCATGTCGAGGACTCCTGTCCACAGGGCTCTCAGCGTGAGACATCATCACCCGAGGACCGAATGAAGGCTAGTAGTAAACCAGCTGAGCCAGAAATCAGACCTGAAATCTTGGAGGATTTTGGGCCATGGATGTTGGCCACAAGGAATCGGAGGAAACCTAGGCCTAAAGTTCAACAACAAGCAGGGGGAAAGGTGCAAGGAGAAGAGGATCAGAAGAAAGAAACTTCAGGATCCAGGTTCAATGTATTGGAAGAAGAATCTGAAGAGGGAGAAAAGAATACTCAAGAAGCTCAGGAAGAGGAGGAAACTACTACCACAGGAGAGAACATGGAAGCAGATAATGGAGCGGGGAAGGAGAATAGTCAAGTGGAATCAAGTAGGGAAAAGGAAAAAGAGCAGCAAAAGGAAAATCAGAAACAGGAGAAAAAGAAGCATAAGGAAAATACGGATGGAGATCAGAATAGGAAACCACACCAGAAAACGACACCAGAACATCTTAAAACCAGCTCTAAACTGACCATGGAAAAGGGAGAGGAGGCTTCAAAATCTAGAGCCAAGCTGAGTTCGGGAGAGAAGAAACAAGAGGGCCAAGTCAGTAAGAAAGTCATGGCATCAGGGACCAAGGGGCACAATGTCAGCCTGCAGGCTGATGTCCAACATACATCTACGAGTATGGCTAATCAAGCCAAACAAAAAAATGGCATGGGGAAAGAAAGCTCCAAGGATGCCAAGCAGGGTCATCAACCAAAAATGAAGGAAATGAGTCTAAAGAATGGAAAGCAAGGTAGAAGCCCTGAGATGAAAAATAAACTGTCACCAGAAAATGTGAAGCATCCTCCCCGCAGAATCAGCTTTGAATCCAAGCAGGAAGAGGAAGCACAGAAACCTGAAAATGCTATCCATGATCCCAAAGCTAATTGCAGTGGAGAAATGGATGGGACGGCTATGGCCGTTGACCTCGTCTAAGTTTCAACCTTGTGTTGAGGGAAGGGAAGTACTCACTAATCTGTATAATGATTAAAGTCTTCTCTTGGAACTGCAGAGGTGCGAAGCATCTCAAATTTCGTCCTACCTTTGAGTTTTATAAGTCTACTCATAAACCAAACATTGTCTGCATTGTTGAACCGAGAGTTAGTGGGAAAGATGCCATGGACATCATCACTAAACTTGGTTTTGATTCCTGGGAAATCTCTGATGCCTCTGGATTTAGTGGAGGCATATGGTTGCTGTGGAATAAGAACGACTTGCAGATGTCTAATTTTGAGATACACAAGCAGTTCATTCACTTGAACTGCTCTGTGTCAAATGGAGAATGTTGTGCTCTCACTGCTATCTATGCCAACCCGAATGAGCATGCCAGAAGAGAATTATGGGATGCTCTTCGTGGGATCAGCAGCAGAATCAGTGGCCCTTGGATGCTGTTTGGAGACCTCAACTCCATCACAAGACCGGCTGACAAACAGGGAGGAGCCAGTTTCAGCTTTGCAAAAGTGAAACCCCTGGTCAGTTTCATTGAAGACTGTGGACTTATGGATCTTGGATTCATAGGTCCTAGGTTTACTTGGTTCAAAGGTGGATCTGGATTCAGGGAAAGGCTTGATAGAGGTCTCTGCAACCTGGCATGGACACAGAAGTACCCCCAAACCACTGTCTTTCACCCGATCAAAATGAAATCGGATCACAGACCGATCCTGCTTTGCAACAAAAGCATCTCAGCCTCTTCCAAATTGGTGAGACGTTTCCAATTCCTTGCTCCTTGGCTTGCTCATGATGAATTCCTCCCCTTTGTTACTTCTGAATGGAAAAATGGTCATCCCCTTCCCAGTGCTTTGCAGGACCTGTCCAGCAAACTCAAGGATTGGAACAAAGATACCTTTGGGAACATCTTCAGAAAGAAAAGAAGACTGGCAAATGATCTTAAGTCCCTCGAGTCCCTGAATGCTAGGAACCCTACATCATCATCCCTTGCTAAGGAGCAGAGCACTAGAGAAGAACTGGAAGATGTTCTCTGGCAGGAAGAGACTCTTTGGTTCCAAAAGTCTAGAGCTAACTGGAACATCTATGGGGACCAGAACACTAGGTTCTTCCATACCAGTACGCTCTGCAGGAGGAAGAGAAACAAAATTGTCAGCCTGAAGAACGAAGATGGGGATTGGATCACTGATCCTGACAAACTTCAAGCTTTGGCAAGAGAGCACTTCGTTCAGCTGTTCACCAAAGTCACCAGATGCTCCCAACACTCCATTCCTGCCCTCTTCCCGCCCCTGGATAACCGTATTTGGGAGCAACTGACTAAACCCCCCTCTCTTGATGATATTTACAATATTGTTAAGGATATGGATGGCCTTAAGGCCCCTGGGAAAGATGGTTTCCATGCTCTTTTCTTTAAAAGATGCTGGAAACTTGTGGGTCAAGATTTCAGTTGTTTCATTAGGAATTGCTTCTGGAATCCAGACAGTATAAGGCTCATTAATGAGACCCTACTGGCCTTGATCCCTAAAGTTGATTCCCCTTGTTCTATGAGCCAATTTAGGCCAATTAGCCTCTGTAACGTTGGTTACAAAGTGATGGCTAAATGCTTAGCCAACAAGCTTAAAAGCATCATGCCTATTCTTGTGAAACCTAACCAGTCTAGTTTTGTGCCTAATCGTCAAATTACTGATAATATCCTCATTTTACAGGAGACCGTCCATTCAATGGCAAAGAAGACGGGAAGAAAGGGGATGATGCTCCTTAAGCTGGACCTGGCAAAAGCGTATGACCGTTTGGACTGGGACTTCCTTGCTGAAACCCTGGATCTGGCAGGAATTCCCCAATGCCTGGTTAACATCATCATGAAGTGTGTCACAACTGTTGAGATGCAGGTGCTGTGGGAAGGAGGTGAAACTGAGAGCTTCAAACCAAGCAGAGGCCTTAGACAGGGATGCCCTCTTTCACCCTATCTCTTTACGCTTTGTGTAGAAAGATTAGGTCATTGTATTTCTGAGGCTGTTGATGGTAAAAGATGGATTCCGATTAGACTTTCCCCTGGAGGACCCCCTTTGTCTCACCTTTTCTTTGCGGACGATCTTGTCCTTTTTGCTGAAGCCTCTTTGAAGCAAGCAGAAATCATCAACCAATGTGTTGAATGTTTCTGTGATGCCTCAGGAGAGTTGGTGAGCAGGGAAAAGTCTAGAATTTTGTTTTCCAAGAACACTAGAGATAGAGATAGGAAAGACATTTGTGATAAACTTGGGATCCAATCCACCCTTGACTTAGGAAAGTACCTAGGGGTCCCTGTCATCCATGGAAGGATTAATAGGAACACTTATCGTTATATCATTGACAAAATTGATCAGAAATTGTCTTCATGGAAAGCCAGAACCCTTTCCCTTGCTGGTAGGGTTACCCTCGCTCTTTCTGTGTTGAATGCCATCCCTGTGTATGCTATGCAGACCTCTATGATTCCTATTTCTGTTTGTGAGTTGATTGACAAGAAAATCAGGGGGTTTGTCTGGGGATCGAGTGAGGAAAAAAAAGAAAGTTCACCTTGTCTCTTGGGATAATGTTTGTAAACCTAAGAACCAAGGGGGGCTGGGTTTAAGGTCTGCTAGAAGCCTTAATCTTGCCTTCATGATTAAGCTTGCTTGGCAGATTCTTAACAATAGCTCCGATTTGTGGGTGCAGGTTATACAGGGAAAATATTTCAAGCACAAGGAGGGCCAAATTGTGGGAATGAAAAAAAGCAACCACTCTAGCTTGTGGAAGGCAATCATGAAGGCCATGCCCCTTATGAAGAGTGCCACAAACTGGAGCATCAGGAATGGAAGAACCACTAGCTTCTGGCATCATCCATGGCTGGATCAAGGCATTTTCCTCAAGGATTTCATTACTCAGAATAGTCCTATCCCACATGAGGACTCATCAGTTGCTGACTGGACAGACTACAATGGAAACTGGGATTGGCAAAAGCTTCAGACCCTCCTCCCTCCTAATCTCCTGCCCCTGATTGCTGGAATGGAACCCCCAAAAAGTAATCTGGGAGAAGACAAATGTATTTGGGGCTTGGAGAGGGACGGGAGGTTTAGGCTCAAATCAGCTTATAAGCTTGCTGCTGATCAGCTGGAGACAACTGAGGATGGTTTTTGGAAGAAGCTCTGGAGTTGGAAGGGGCCAAGTCGCACAAAACACTTCCTTTGGTTGGTGATGCATGACAAACTTCTCACAAACAAGGAACGCGTGAAAAGGAAGCTCACCCTGAATGGCAACTGTAACCATTGTAAGGACACTGAAGAAACCACAGAACATATCATCAGACTCTGCAGGAAGACTGAAGGGGTCTGGGATAAGTTCAGAACCAGGGTTACTTGCAAGGATAGAAACCTACCTTTCAAGGAGTGGATGTCCAAGAACCTTGAGGATGCAAACCAAGGTACTGAATTTGGCCTGATTGTGTGGCACCTTTGGAAACAGAGGAACGAGGAATGTATGGAAGGCACTGTGTATGTGGAGAAATCACTTATTTGCAGGATTGAGGCTTGGTTCAATATTTATAAGAAGGCCCTGCAAAATGTGGACAGAAGCTTCATGCCCGAAAGAACGAGAAGTGAAGTCTAGGTTGGATGGATCCCTCCACCTGAGGGATGGGTACAGGTCCAGACTGATGGTTCTGTCCTCTCTCCCTCAGGTCTTGCTGCTGCAGGTGGCCTTATTCGTGACTGCTTGGGACGCTGCTGTGCAGCTTTTGCTTGCAACTTGGGAAACTGCTCAATCACTGCAGCAGAACTCAAAGGAGCAGCTGTTGGGCTTGAGATCGCATGGGAGAAGGGCTTCCGCCATGTTGAACTCAAGCTGGACTCTACTACTGCTATCACCATTATGAAAAACCGGTCGGATGATGATCACAGGCATGGACTGCTGGCCCAACACATCAGCAACCTCCTGAATCGTGAATGGACTGTGTCTGTTTCTCATGTGTATAGAGAAGGAAATCATGCTGCTGATTTTCTTGCTAGTTTTGGTCACAATCTTACTTTTGGAACACATCATGTTGATGTGGACAGCCATGAGCTCTGTAAATGGCTTGACTATGATGTTATGGGTGTTTCACAACCCAGGTTCATTAATATATGAGTTCTAGACGCTTTAGCGTCTGTCTTTTACCAAAAAAAAAAAAAAAAGGAAAGCCCCCTCGATCATTGGGTCCGAAACTTTAGTCACAACCAACCATACATGTTGTGATTTAAATCGCAAGTAGACAGCAGGAGGGTTACCAAAATTCGAACACAAAAAATTCGAAGAACGATCCTACGCTTCGTCAAAGAGTACGATAATCATGTCAAGAAGTAAAACAATTTGTCTAGTTAATATTATCGAAACATAAGCACGAAAAATTGGACAATGCACTATATATGCGTTCACATCCCTCTCCAAGTAAAATTTTGTTCGTTGAACTTGAAAAGATGTAAAATCCCCTTTACACACTAGTTTCTACTCTTAACTACACCCTAGTTCTCGTGTGCATTACATTTTTTTTCTGATAGTATTCTTTAGTACATGTAAATCGAATTAGATCATTAATTACCAGTATCTAATTCGTTTCGGTATCAATCCTCGAGTATGTTCACAACGGTTAGAAAAAAAAATTATGTACAATACAGAATCATTAATTAAATATGAAAAAGTCACTTATGTTGTCACGCCGGCCGGCGTGCCACTGGTTGAACCTGGTTCAACCTGTACCGGTCATAAAACCGGTATGATACCACCGGTATGACCGACATGATCGATATACGAATCTCTAAGTAAAATGATCTTATATTAGTGAATTTATTTGATAAAAAGTAATTTATTATATGTGTTAAAAAGTTAAATGTTGATGTTATTTGTTGGATTCAAGTACAAATATTTAGGTATTGACGTTAAATGTCGTGCTTAAATATGAGTATTTGTAAATTATTTGTAATATTAACCGGCATGAACCGGCACAAACCGGTATATACCACCGGTCGAACCATTCCACTTGCTAAACCGACACACTGGCACAAACCGGTTTGACAACCTTACTTCTGTTCTTAGTCCACCATCTTTTCGTTATATCTTATCTATGTCTTACAAATCAAAATTTTCAAAAGGGAGCGTAATAGAGAACTGAAGTGACGAATTTTTGAATGGGCCACGGGCCCACCGGAGAGCCATGCACGCCGGTAGATGGTAGTGGTTGTTCATTCTGACATGGGGGCACGTGTCCTTTTCTGTGGAGCCTTATTATAAAACATCACCGTCGATTGGGGTTTCTGTCGCCGCCGGCGGGCCATGGTGAAGGAAGAGTGACCACGCCCCCGATCAGCCGCCTCCCCACCCACGTGGCCACGTTGTCGTCTTATGCAACGAATAGTCAAAAGAGAGGAACTGAAAAACGTTTAAACAAAAGCCAACATGCAAAGCAAATTCACAATCGGCACTCTTCTGTTCTTTTGCATTTTGTTTTCCGGTTGGTAAAAAAAAATGACTCGACGTGGTTCATCATGCTTCACTGTTACTTTGATATCTAGAAGGATTTTTCTTCTTCTTATGAGTTAAAAGTATGTTTTTTATAGTAAAACGAGAGAGGCGGGCATTCAGTAATTACGATCGATTGTAAGAACTGAATTTTTTACTCAAAATTGGAAGGAGATCACATGCACTACTATCGTTAAATATATATGGTTGGAGAAAAGTTCGAGAATGATGATCCAATCATCTTGGAGAAAAACATGAGCTTGTAATCGAGCCACCCAATTCGTTCAAACAGTGTTGGATAAATCCGTGATTCACGTAAATTGTAAATATTGGACTTAATTAATTTGTAGTTGCGACGGTTTTTGGGCTTGTTTTGTAACCTTTTCTTTTCATATTGGATTAGAGACTCGGCATATTTGGAGAAGTTGCTTTATGTATGTCTTCTCAACTCATCATATGTATCTTTTCCAATTATAGTTAAACTGATCTCTCCTTCCCGTAAACAAGTTAACACACATCGTGTCAGTAAATCATGTAACTTTGTGTGTACTTTACTGTCATACATTGTCGATTTCCTGTTCCGTAACAAATGTAGAGATATATAAACGAGTCCAACCCATAATGATTGAAGAGAATAATGAATTCAAAATTATGTTGGCATGATTGATTTAACCGGCTTGTTAAATTCTCATACTACTTTTCAAAGGAGTGTAGTGTGATCAGTGGTGTGACTCGAATGTTCCTCTTGGATACCAATTTCCAGCTTCATTTTCCTCTAGTCGATGGCGACAACCAAACAGCCAAAATTAGGGAAGATTAAAGAAAAAAAATCCCATAATAATACTTTAAAATTTGATTTTATGGTTTCGTGGTTCTTCTTCTTCACATCCACGTGGCTCATGCTCAAATCATGCCAATTAACTAGAAAAATATGTATAATCGTGGGGGCAGGTAGCAGGCAGAGAAAATAATGCTACCAGTTGATGATCGATCGGAATGTGAGATTTGAGATCAGAATATGCTGTGGATCAAAGTTTAAGAAGTTGGGTTATTTGTAAGTGAGAGATTGTAAAATACATCATTTGGTTCGTATATGATTACTACGTATTTTGACAACCCATCTTAATTACGAATAAGAAAACACATAAATAAGGAATCAATGCATAAAATATGAGCAGACGAATCACAAAATTACAACAGAAGCACGATAATATACACTTTCGAAAATGATCATTATATGCTCGAATACATTAATTTGAAGAATACAAGTATTTCCAACGAATCATAACCTCATTTGCTTCCAACAATCAACTAATTTTACTTAAATGGGGCTATCATTAATTAATTCACACACCTAAGATGTTCAATTCAAAGGGATATCAAGTGTAAAGCTAACCGTTGGACATGAAAAGGTACACGTTGGATAGAAATAAAACTACACTATTTAATGATTCAACCATTGAGCTGTAAATCATTAGGGAACTAAACTAATTTTCCTTCACATGAGGCCATGACACCTCAATTGTCTCTTTGATATTGACTGAACTTACTCCTTTTTTAACTGAGATGTAACTTCATCCTTACCCCTTCATGTATAACTAAACGACTTCCACAGAATTTCAAACAATTACACGCATACAAATTTAACATTTAACCATAGATTTTGACACTTGATATGCCGTGCAAACATAAATAATAATAATAATAATCCACATACAAAATACGAAGTTTGTGCATGAGTTTATGCCGCACACAGTGGCGGAGCCGGCCAATATATTGGTGGATCTCGGATTAGTGATGACAATTTCAACCCGCCCCGCGGGTATTACCCGACCTGATCCGCGATGGGGCGAGTATTACCCTACCCGCAGTAGCGTGGGGCGGGGCATGGGTATCTACTTCCGACCCGTCCTGCCCCGCCCCGCCCCGTTCTAGACTCATTTTATCTCAATTTCTTACAATATCTATACATATTTCTTCTATTTTGACTTTTCTTCAACTAGTTAGAGTCGATCTTTCAACTTATTCGGCTCAATTATCCATTCTATTATCAATATTTTTCATTCTTAAAGTATTTTTCCCTACGTTTTATTGTAAAAAGTAAAATTTACTTGTATTTTTTTTGAACAACATGTAACAGTGGGTCGACCCGCCCCGCCCCGTAGTAGCGTGGGGCGGGCATGGGAAGTGAGTTTCCTGCCCCGCCCTATTGCCATCACATACACTGCTGCAGCCAAGTATCACACATTCGCACCCTGCACTCCTTTGTTAGAGGACAACGATTCCTCCGTTAAGCCGTGCAAGTTTCTTTGGTATCATATTAATTTGGATTCTATTAACCTAGTAAACGTGAGTTAGGATACACAACAAATTATTTATTTTTTAGTTTTCCAATTCCTAATTGAAATCATCGAAAAACATATATATCACATATCGAATTTTTATCTCCAATCAAAGGCCGCCAGAAACTCTCACTCACCACCCTTTCGTCCAAGTCTTTGTCGTACCAATTTAGGGAAACAGTTTTAAAAAAAATCTACGGTTTCCATTGGTGTATCGACTTCTAAAATTGACATCATTGCTACCTGTTGTTACTGCAAGTGTTGAAACGCCTTTTCTACAATGAACTTCGTGAAGAACACGCTTCGGAATTGGATGGATGATGAAATCATAATGATTCTTTGGTTGGTTGAGAGAGACGTGTTTAATAGTCTGGATGATTAATGTATTTAACATATTTTTTTCACAATATGAAAACATCGTTGTGTGTCATTACAAAACATTAATATAAGTTATGAATAATTTGCTTTGTAGCGTTGGACCCACCTTAGCAAAATTCCTGGCTACGCCGCTGGCCGCACATGCCGATTTGTGACTGCATTTCAAGATCTAACAACACATCGTAAACCGAGCTGTTCAATCTTATCCATTTTTCATATTTATCCTTCATTCATTACACAATTAGCATTAACCAAAATCCATATAATCAATCCCAAGTACCTATATTCTCTTTTTACTCTTCCCAAGAGTCAAGTCTCAACAAAACCCAAAAGAATAAGGAGTCAAGTCGATCGATTAAGGGTTAAATTTTATTTATTAGTTTTACCCATTAAATAAAATTATCGTTGACAAATATACATACATGGCATTGGCATGCAAAGGGAAGGCCACATGGGCAGATCAAGAAAAAAAAAGCTGGTGAACCACTCTGGCCAATATGATGCGTGATAGCAAGCACAAGATATTATTTAGCTCATATAAAAAAGGTGATTAATTAGTCAAATAGAGATTATTAATTGTACCCCATTTCAAATCTAATCTTGTCATCTTCAAAGTTGCCAATAATTTGCATCTAATCTCCCAATGAATACATCTATATGGTTCTGTTATCTCCACTCCACAACTAATCCTATATATAATTGGAACCAAAAGAACGGTTACGATAGAGATATGTAACATCAAACCGGTGAGATTAACGTTTCATTGCATGACATACCGATGTGTGGTTTAACCAGTATGATTAGGATTATAAACCATTTGCTTCGAATAATTCAACTTGTTGTTGGGGGAAAAACAGATTAGTTATAGATTTCATATTACTCTCTATCTCTAACATGCCTACTTAAGACGTTAGTCAAGTCACATACTTTAAACGAAAGTGAAATCATGCATGGGTCCACGTATTTTGTGCTTTAATCAACTGTTGATAACTTAATATCGAAGGACATGGAAAATTCAAACACACAACCACTTCCCCAAATTGAATTTTGATATCATGTTATAAACTGTATGATCTCAATAACTCGAACGTTGAGAGAAAGTTAATTATGAATATTAATCTTACACTAAATAGTATAGTATCACCAAGCAAAGAACACACTAGATGCACACATAAATGCTAGGTTACCGGCTTACCACTTAGCATTTGCTTAAATTTGACCATATACTTTTTTTGTTACATGGTCATTTGACCAAAAAATTTACTTGCTTCCCCTTCATATGAAGTGAGCTCACCACCAATATGAAAGTTTACATTAACTTCATCCATCATACGAGACATCGATCTCAATCAACAAACAAAAAATTCGAAGACAAACTCACTTTGCTCCCTCTTTCGTAGATGTTATCAAGATTCAAACATGAGACGTCTCAATCTAAATTTCGCAGCACCAGAACTAAATCAAAACATTGGCGAATACATCCAAATAGAAAACACTACTTACTTACCCACTAATACTTTATATCATCAGGTTGTTCAAACTCAATTAGACATCTCAACGGCTCACTTGCGTAAGACTAATACTATATATACGTTATGTAATGTACCACCTCATCATTCTCGTCCGTTATGCACTAATCAATTTCAATGGTAAACCGTTCTAGCTATTGTTCCAGCTCATGGTCGGCTTCTTGTTCATATTTTACTCTCTGCCGCCGAGAGTATGAGATCATTCCGACAGCCTACTAGCCGTTAAACAATCGGTAGATCATGCTAGAATGCTCTAAACAAATGGGTGTCATGATTTATATAATCACACGAAACAGTAGACGACTTGCCACGAGATAAAGAACGTAACAGACTAACAGGTACAAGAGCGACGAATAGCAATCTCGAACAACTTGGTATGAATGGTTGAGCATAGCACAAACAAAGATTTGGGCCAACCTTAAACCCTAGACCACCATTACAAAATTAGAAGAGGGAAGGAAGAATGAACTGCTGCAAAAATCGGGGACTCGGATCGACTAACCAATGGCGGACAGCTAATTTATAGCATTCTGCAGATGGCTCTCAAGGCATGGACCTGCAATGAGAAAATCAAAGCGTTCAGAGATCAAAATATAAGATTCCCAACTGAAAAATAATGTGTCTGTAATCACTGCAACATTGCATAAGCGATCTCCGAGAGCGTGACAGATGCTTCAGACAACGGAGTATCTGCCAGTTTGAGCGCCACCAGGGACAGAGAACCCCTTGCTGGTGATCTCTTCGAGGACGCATTTCAATTCCTCCTTGGCTCGCTTCACAGACACCTCGTTGGGCCCTTCGATGAACAAGTACAGCTTCCTCTCTCCCGGACCAGGTACCCGCCCCTGTCCAAAGTACTGCCCCCTGGTGGTGATTGCAGCTCCGGTCCACTCCGAAATCGGTCCCAGCGTCTCCTTGTGGGTCACCTTCCATCGAGCATTCTGCGGGAAATCGTTGATCTCCAGCTCAGCCTCGTAATGCTCGGGCAGTGCATCGGCTTGCAGCTCCAACAGGTTGTGCTGCAAGTTCCTGGCAGCAGCCAATGCTTGTGCTCTCGCCATCCCATCTGCTGCTGCAGCAGGAACACCGCCAGCGGATAGCAGCTGGGCAGGTGGTGGGACGGAAGCAACTGCAAGTGCAGCCATCTGCTGAGCACGAGCAGCTTGAAGCTGGCCGAGATCGTTATTCCCCGTCTTTCGTATCCCCTCATCCTCATCTTCGGAATCCGACTTGTCTTCCTCGAACCCGTACTCCTTCACCTGTGCTTTCTTAGCAGCCATCCTCTTCTCATCTTCCTCTTCATTGAACTTGAACCCACTCCCGCCATAACCAGTTCCATGCGCCTGCTCGAGCCCTTGATTCACCTTCGCCATGAAACCATCTGCAAGAGCTTTCAGATCGTCTAACAAATTGCAGACGTTGTTCTTGAAGTCGGAGATTGTTGATTCTCTGTCTGTCTGGTCTTTAGCTCCGTGAAGCGAAAGACAAGGGTATCGATACACGTTCATCATTTCCTTGTATAGCATGTCGCACTTATCCTGTGATTGGACGAACACTAGTATCTTCCCCTTGTCATACCATTCCCCAAGAAGTTCCAGCAGTCTGAAGATCCGTTCATTTTCTGGTCGAATCTCGGCAAGCTGGGTAATGTCCTTGTTCACCACGCTCCTCCCGCCAACTTGTATCTCGACCGGTTTGTTCAGAACCTTCCGAGCCAAGATCTCAACCTGCCTTGGAAAAGTGGCAGAGAAGAGAACAGTTTGCCGATCGGGGCGAATGTTCTGAACAATTCTCGTGATCTGAGGTTCGAATCCCATGTCGAACATTCGGTCAGCTTCATCCATGACTAAATACGTCACCCTTCGGAGATTTGTGATCTTCCCACCGCTAGTGCAGAGTATGTCGATCATCCGGCCTGGCGTGCAGACGACAATCTCTGTCCCACGCTTCAACTCGCTGATTTGCTGTGCAACACCTGAACCTCCGTACACTGGCACGCATCTTAACCCGAGAGGTTTTGTAAACTTTATGATATCACTGTGAATCTGCTGCACGAGCTCTCTTGTGGGTGCTATTATCATCCCGACAGGACCATCTCCAGCTTCCACGGGCGGCTGATCTTTAATATGTCTCAGCATAGGAAGGACGATAGCTAGGGTTTTGCCTGAACCAGTCTTGGCAATGCCTATGCAGTCCCGTCCACTCATGATCACCGGAAGTGCCTGAGCTTGAATCGACATTGGCTCCTCGAAGTTGAGTTTCCTGATAGTGTCCATGATTTTGGTGGTGAGACCAGTTTGGTGCCATGTTTTGATCGGTTTAGGCACGTCTTTGCCATGTATCTTGAGTTCCAACTCTTTCCTGTGAGCAGAAACCTCTTCTAGAGTCATTCTTGTGATCTCCTTCACCTCAATGTAGAAATTTTTCCTGAATGGCTTGTAATCAATTTTGGAGTGGTCGACAAGGGATAACTTTTCAGCTTTTGTCTTCTTTACCCTCTTCATGGACTCTTCATGGTCTTCATCTTCAGAAGCTTTCTCATCGTTATCAATGTCCCCATAATCAGAGTCGGAATCCTCACCTTGAATGATTCTTCCTAGTGATTTGTTTGACCCCTTCTTTGACTGCTGCTCTCTGTTTCTCTTTGCTTCCGTCTTAACGTCTTTCTTGCCGAGATCAACTCCATCGCTGTCACTAACAGCTGCACTATTGAGCTTCTCCACTTCAGGTAAAACCATGTTGTTCATGAAGGCATCCAGAGGGTCAATATCTTCATCCTCCTCAGCTTGAGGGGCTTCTGTTGCTGCTGAATCATCTTCTTCATGAGCATCTACAGCCATTGCAACTTTGGTTTCTCCATCAGGTTTCAAATTATCATCCACATCCATTTCGTTATCTGCTTTCCCCATGGCATCTTCATCATCAGATTCACCTTCAAGGGTCCAGGTTTTACCTGCTTTCAGCTCATCTGTCGGACCCGATTCCCCAAGCTTTTGAAGCTCGGATTCTTCCTTCTTCCTCTTCAGTTCTTGCCACTCTTGAACTCTTCTCCTCCGTTTTTCCACCTCATCATCCAAACTCTTTCGCTCATCCTCTAATTCCTCCTCTCGAGTTTTACCACTTTCCTTAACTTCCTGAACATCAACAGCCACAGCAGCAACCTTCCTCAGTGGTGAGCTCCCACCACCATCACCGTCATCCTTGTGCTTGCTCGACTTGCTAACTTCTCGTGTTCTCTCCTTGTGGTCTTCTGACTCTCTTTTACGCCTCTTCTTATCACGATGCACCATCTTAGAATCATCATCATCGCTATAGTCGCTACTACTATACCCTCTGTGCTTCTCCCTTCTCCTCCTTTCTTTCTCTCTATCCTTCTTATCCCTTTCTTTTTCTTCCCTGCCCCGCTCCCCCTTTCTGTCCCTTTCCTTCTTCTCACGTTCTTCCCTCTGATGTTCCTTCGCCTTTCTCCTCTTCTCCTTCTCCTTCTCCCGATCACGATCCCTATCTCGGTCTTTCTCTTCACCATCTCTATCCCTCTTCCTATCTCCGCCATGCCTTTCTTTAACATCATCCTTACTTCTGCGATACTTCTCCTTACTACGCTTCTTTCTATCCTTCTCCTTCTCCCTCTCATACTTGCTGTCCGAATCGACACTCTTCTCCCTGTCCGATCGCCTGCTGCTGCTGCGGTGCTTATCTCCATTCCTCTCCTTGTCACGGTGACTCCTTTTGGAATCCTCTTCCTTCCCGGACTTATGCTTCTCCTTCTCCCGATCACGATTCTTATCTCGGTCTTTCTCTTCTCCATCCCTATGCCTCTTCCTATCTCTGCCATGCCTTTCTTTACCATTATCCTTACTTCTGCTATCCTTCTCCTTACTACGCTGCTCCCTCTCATACTTGCTGTCCGAATCGATAGTCTTCTTCCTCTCTGATCGCCTGCTGCTGCGGTGCTTATCTCCATTCCTCTCCTTGTCACGGTGGCTCCTTTTGGAATCCTCTTCCTTCCCGGACTTATGCTTAACATCCTCCATCCCTTCCCCTGATCAAAACCACTAAAGAACAGCATTAAAGCATTCGCAAGAAAAAGCAAAGCACGAAACTTCAACAGTAAACGAGCAATAAAAACCCCTAATCAATGAGCTAGTTCAGACAAAAGAACAGAAATTCAGAGTCCATGAGCAAGAGCAAGAGGAATCGATTCACTCTGGGCTTCCATCCCCCAAAACCCACTTCTCCGTGCATAGTTGGGGGGAACAAAAATCAACACCTGATTCAAAGCGAGTGAAAAGACAAAATCAAAACTCGGGCAGATGCAGCTTTCTAATCGGCAACAGAAAAATAAAAATAAAAACAGAGCGATGCGAGAAAACGGAGATTACCTATTGCAGCAGGGTAGCTGAAGCAAATACGGAGACAATAAGATTGAGCTCGAATCAAAATGACTTCCTCGGCCTTCTAAAACTAAACCCTAACAGAAGCTGTCGTTGCTCGTTACAGATATCTTACTTCCCCTCCAGTTGATCGACTCAATTAGGTCAAGTCGGAAACCCAGAACACAGTTGAGGAGGCGACCAACGAGACCAATCAGCGCTATCGTCTCGATCAGGGGCGTAAAGGCGATGGTGGGCCGAAGGAAGGGATTGACAAAGGCTGCAACTTTCTGAAACCCTCTTCTGGTTCCTCTTCTCTCTCGAAAAAATAGTTCTTCTGGTTTCCTTTTCCGTGAGGAAGAGGGAAACAAAGTTCTTAATTACATGAACAATCACCAAACTTTGGATGAATGACAAATCAGTCAAATAACTTTCGGTTTTGAGAAATTGTAGCGTAATATCTATTTGTTGGGGATTCTACGGGCCGTTAGCGGGCTATAGACCCAATTCAAAGATAACTGGATAACATTGCTAAGCAATTGCTTGTGGGCCTTTATGTTAGACTAACATGAGCTGACGAAGCCGGGTCGACCCGACCACAAACTCTCACCGTCTCTCCGCCGCCGACGATTCGCATTAGATCTCTGTGCGTGTCTCTTCCGTTCTCCTTCATCTTTGTTCCTGAAGTTCAGCCCTAAACTCATCTCTCCTTGCAGCGATTGAAGACCATTCTTACAGCCGCACCATTGGTGCGATCTTTTGGATATTAGTTTGATCCGATCAATCAAATACAATTTTTGGGCATTTACGGATTGCGATAAGTTCGAGTCGCGTTGGAGAAGCTGCAGCAGAAGATGGCGTACGAACTGACTGAGCAGCAAAGTAAGCGACTTTATCTTCAATACCGCCTATATATATATATTTGCTATTCTCGAATTTCATTTCGTCTTTGTTCCCTTTCGTGAATGGTTGTGTGGCGATTTAGAACTGTTGGCAATTCTGAAGGGTTGATAGACTTAATTATGCTTGTAGCCTGTTCCTGGGAGTCTGTTGCGAAATGGGTTTTACGTAGTTTGTTCTTCTGATTGGGAAATGCTGCAGCTTTTCATGGGTTAGCCTCCTGCTTTAACCTCTTTATCCCACATTGTTGAGCTGAAACTAGATCGTGATTCTGTGCATTTTCCCCTTTACTTTGATTACTTCAAGCTGACTCCATAAGGTTGCCGCACCTCCTGCTTGAAAATTAGAGTACTTTTAGTGAACTTCATTGGCCAAACTAGAAAGCTGTGATCTTGGCATGTTCTGCAAAACGGTCCTTTATCAGTTGTATGTTCCAATGATCATAAATTCCTCCAGTGTTTTGCTGCTTATTTTACCCTTGGGGCTGTTATTGCAGGAATTGGATTGGGTCTAATCGGATTTGGGATCTTTTTTACCTTTCTCGGCGTGATCCTGTTCTTCGACAGAGGGTTACTCGCCCTTGGAAATGTATGGCTGCTCCATCTACTTCAAATCTGTTAAGACTTCATTTCCTGGGGGATATGCACCATGTCTGACCTTTTGAGTTCTGTACTTAGATACTGTGGTTGACAGGGGTAGCCATTTTGCTGGGCTGGTACACCACATGGAAGCTCTTTACCAGCAGAGAAAACTATAAGGTAATGCCAAATGAGGGTATTTATCTAGTCTATAATGAGTGATCTTGTGCGAAATTTACATGCTCGAAATTTGATAACTGTACTTCAGGAAGAACGTATTGGACTATATAGGAAGCCCACTTTGTAACTTCAATCGTGCTTATCGGCTATCAGACGTTGATGAACTTAGTTCACATTCTGAATGTATTTGCAGGGCTCTGTCTCGTTTCTTTTGGGACTGTTCTTCCTTTTTGTTCGTTGGCCGATTGTCGGTATAATCTTGGAAATTTATGGATGCTTTGCACTGTTCGGGTCAGTATCCGTCCTCTCCCTTGATCCAAATTGCAATGCATCATGTTTTGTTCAGCCAGTATTCAACGTCTTCCATCATTCTACCAAACATATGAATTAATAATCCTGATTTCGTTGTTAAAATTCGTTACTTTCTGCTGCAGAGGCTTTTGGCCGTCTGTCAAGGCTGTCCTTTATCAAATACCAGTCATTGGATGGATTATACAATATCCAGTTCTGGTAAGTACTTCCACTGCTACCTTTTCTTTCCTCTTTGCTCGCCCTGCTAAAGCTCATCAACAACGAGCATACAAGCATTGCCCCTTGTTGTAGTCTTTGTAAAGCGCTTGAATTTCGTGCTGCCGTGTGCTTACCAGAACATTAGACATTGGTGATTGGACATATTGAAAATCCGATACTGTTTGCTAATCAATGTTATCTATCCTTAAGCTAAAGCCTACATCTGCGGCTTAAAGCACTTCCAAACAGAGTAGTTATTGCTGTCAAGTACAGCATATGAACTTTCTGAATGATGTCTAATACACTGTCGGTGTGGCGATGGTTGCAACAGATCTTTAATCGCCTGACGAGTGGGTAGAGGGTGGAAGGTTCTGTTTGGTAACTGGCTTTATTGCTTACCAAATTCGGACTGGGATGAAATGCATGCACAGGTTTCTTCTTCACGATGGACGAAACGGAGTTGCAACAGAACAGTGTTTTTCAGTACAACAGGGACTGGACTGGCGACTTCTTAGGGTTCCCTCTCATTCGTGTAATGTAATGTCATCTCTGGTACGTTGTACTCTGTAAGTTTAACAAACACGTCTTTCTACTGTGAGTTCTAATAAATACTTGCTGACCAATTTTCTTAATTTTCAGTCCCTTTCCTCATACTTGATATGTATGCTGGAAATTCCTGCTTCGTCTCGACGAACATGTTAACTAGAGTCGGGCTAATCCATAGTTCAAGAACATAGTTGTTACACAACGTCATAATACAGGAAATCGAAATCGTCACTAGTCCATACTCAGAATCTCAGGAACATGTGATGATCAGATCCAAAAATCGTACAGCAACGTGTTAATTAGCAAAAAGGGATGTGAGATCTTGTGGGGGGGGGGGGGGGGGGGGGGGGGGGGGGGGGGGGTAAAGACCTGACCTTTCTTCCTAGACCATATTGTCAGTACCAAAGATTCAGCTTTCTTACGTTGTTAGAAAGCCTGTGAGTGACTATAGAGTCAAAGCTCAAAGGTCCCTACTTTACTATTATGTCAATCCAAGTAGTGTTTTTTTCCAAACACAGTCATCAAAATCTGAACTTTGGAGCCAACATGACCCCATCAACCAAACAACCCCTTAACTATGTTTCTACACTTTTGGAGGAGTGGACTCCTGGAGTGTTCGTGGTAAATTGATCATTCGTTGCGCTCGAGTGAGCTCCTAGAGTGTTCGTGGTAAACTGGACGTTAAGTGTACTTCTAGATCTTTCAACGTTATTCGAACTGATTGTTCGAAACATTTGGATTGCTTCTTCATCTTCGACACCTTGCCCAGAAGGAGTTTCTTGTTCTTGTTCAGAGAAATTCCAAGGGCTAAGGTTAGATTGAGTGTAGGAAGGAGCCAGGGAGGTATGGTGATATCATCATCTTTTAATTATGAAGAAAATTGTTGTGCATGTGTATAGAGAGTCCAGGGGTGGACAACGAATCTGGTTTATACTGAATCGGATCGAATCAAATATATTTAGATTCCATTTTTGTTCTATAAATTATTTTAATTATGAAGAAAATTGATCAAAATTGAATTTGGACTGGAAGGATTCGTTTATCTATCTATCTATATCTATCTATCTATATCTATATCTATCTATATCTATCTATCTATCTATACTATATATTATGACAATTCAAAAGCAATCTCTTGCCACATAAACACTTGGATGAGCCACAATTTGCCAAGTTGGACAACTTTTTTACAAACAAAAAAATTAATTATTAATGCATTTATGGAGCTACATCTCTCTTCTTTAATATTTCCATTTCTTTTATCCAATTATTCCTTTTCATTTATCCATTTATTCTTTTTTAATAATAAGTTACATGTTGATAAACTCAACCAAACACACATAAATAATATTTTTTTATCGAGTAAACAAAATATAAATAATAAAATAGAGAGTGACATATATCACATTTGTTTAAATAAAAAATATCTGATTCAACCTTATGAAGTAAATTTTCAACTGACCCCATGGCCCTGAAGCCAACCTTTCTTCTTGCTTTCAAAAGTAAATGCACTCTTTTCGATCTTGTACGAAGACATACCAAACTGGTATCGATGAAAAAGAATGGGCCGGAGACGGTACTGCACGCGCTACGGGATTCTACTGGTATTATAGGTCTACTTGTGGGCAATAAGAGGAAGGGATAAAACATGCTCCCTGGCGTAGCATGAAAGCCAACGCAATTTTACTAAAATTGAAAGATAAGTTACATTTTGATGAAGCATAAACAATAATGTTCTTATCGATTAAACAAAATATATATATGAAAAGATAGAAAATAAACATTTGACATTCAATTACCTTTAAAAAATAAACTATATTACTTTATATTTTGTTTCAATGAAACAACTCTTATTCGTAAAGTATATGTCTATAAAATAAAACAAGTATTATTTAGCAAAATGTCAGAGCATAATCTTGATTGAGTAGTTATATTTATTTAAAAAAGAATTCTTATTTATTCAGATCATGTTCTACCTTAAACTCCTCAAATGAAGAGGAATCACATTAATAATATTTTATAATGTGTCATATGTTCACATTAATAATATTTGCTCTATATCATGTTGATTGAATAAGCTCTATTGAGGCCCTAAGTCATATGCTAAAAATATTCATTTCAGATTGGAGTTATCATCGACGGTTATAAATCAAAAAATTTAAAATGACTTAAGTATGATTATTGACGAACTTTGACTTTATACCATAGGATGAGACACATGATTCCTTATCAATTATTGAAATATGTGTGTATTGGAGACACTCTTTATCAATTAGTAATATATAAGTGATAAAACCTTTGAAAATTAAACATTCAACGATCATATTAAGACCAAAATCTTCGATAGTGTGTGTGGGTGTCTTAGATTGAGATTCTAAGCCAACATATAAATAATGACCACAGGTTGAGGTTTAGTCTAAACTTGAAGAATTAACAATTGATACATATTGTATAATATACTAAATTAAGTGTCTTGACAAAAAAAAACTGGAAATGAGTCGAGATTAGAGAATTTAATCATCGTGAGGGCTACGGTGCGTGTCAAGTTTCAATATGGATGAATAAATTGATCCAATACTGAAGTATCTTTAACAAGAATTTCTCACTAAAAAGTCCTAATCTTTACAACATTGGTTGAGAGTTCGTCCAAACTTGAGGATCATGAATATGTATTGGATTTCCAAAGGATCTAAAATTTCAATCCCTTTCGGGGGCAAAATATCTCTGATCACAACCATAGGTGCCAAAGAAGAATGAAAAGAAGCCCAAAAATAGCAAAATAGAACATAACCTCCAATGGTTGTCTGGCGTTATGGGGATAAAAGCGGGATCTCTATCACAAGGGTGGGGCATAGGCAAACAACACTCTTAATATGAGTATTTGGCGAGATAAGATAGGTCTAACGAAGTATCTGGTTAATTTTGATTCTACTATATATACACACACAAATATATATATAATATCAAGGTATACTATACTTTTGATTTTACTCAAGATACGATAGAAGATAGGTATGACGAAGTATGTGCATCAATTAGAGGTTAGTGAATTAGGGACTGAAGTTCACCAAGTTAGGCTATATTATCATGCCCCAAAAAACTCCGGTTAATTCGAGGTGTAAATAGTAAATCTCAATGGTCGTATGGTAGTGTAAACGCAAGAGTATAGCGTACTCCTGGCGCACGCTAGCTTGAACTATATAGATGTGTGTGTGGTTCAGGTTGGCGTACGCTAAATATTAGTGTTTTGGTTGACAAATTTTGACATAAGTTCTAAATGGGATGTGACAGCGGCATAATTTATGATTAGAAAACCGAAGCATCACAAATGAGCGTGCTAAATATTGGAAATTTTCAATATAGACATACTACAAACTTTTTTATGAATCAAGAACACAAAATAATTAGAAGATCCAAAATGATTTAAACATATAAATAAGTTAATTAAAATAAATTATAAAATAAATCTCTCCGGCCAACTGACCGGGTAAAAAGCTAGTACATATTAATGGTTTTTGGAGTTCCACCGCTCCACTTCTTCTTCTTCTTTCTTCCTCTGCCTCATTAATAGACCACCAAGAAGATACAATTATGTGCCTTTCTTTTATGGCAAATTATAAATGCTTGCGTACGTTCTTTTTAATTTCTTTGGTTTATGGGTGTGGACGTGTGGTCACTTCTGCTGAAAATTCCCCTCTTTCATTCACTTGTACACTTCCCCAAACAAATTTTGTAAATACCAGTAGTAGCCGCTTATATCTTTGTATTATTAATACCAAGGATTGAAAAATCGTATCGGAGTATACGCCGCAAAGATTAGCGACATGGTATTTTATGCTGAAGTAGTCATGGTTTAATTGTGGTTCAACAATTTCATACTGTCGTTAAACCGCTTACCGATTTCGGTTCTGATAGAAGATTTTTCTCAACGAATCATCGGTAAAGTACGGTTTTTCAAAATCTTTGATTAATACTCCTTTGTTAAATAATTGTTGATTCCCGACTTGGGGATCTGTTTGGAGCTATAGCGAAGCTCGATAATTGCGTCTGTCATGACGAACAAGGGGTTGTGGAAAGAGACTGTGGACGAGTCGCAGGAGCCAGGGGCGAACCAACATGTTCCGAGTAACTGTACGATATGATTTGAATCAGATTGTTTATCACTACCGGGACGTTATATGAGATCTTCCTGGCTTTACTAAATATACTTCTCGTATTTTTCTGCAACCTGCAATCTTCTCAAGTGTAGTTAAGCTGATTCTCTTCTGCCCGTGAACCAATTAACACACATTGTGTTAGTGAACCCCGTAAATCTACATTTTTCTTCATCTTTTTCTTGATATTATTGTTTCTTTCTTAGATTGTCGATTATCCCAATTCGTTTTTTACTGTACCTATCATTTCAAGTTAGACTTTATCATGCATCATGTATTTCTGTCTTTCCCCATTACGTTAAATTCCAGCTCTCCATGGATCAGTTGGAGTTGTGCATACTTCCCATTGCTTTTCGATCTCTTGTTTTCCGTCGTTGAATATTTATTTTATTTTTGTTTTACGTGCATGGTTCGATCGGTTGGAATAGATGCCGCTGATTTACGTCTATATTTTAATTCCTAGGCCAGTATATGCATTTTGTTTCGTTTGTTTTGGCAAAATAGTTTTACTTATACGAAATTTGAATCTTTTGCCAACTATGTCTCTGTCTAGACAATCGTGTGAATGTCAACTATGTTAAAAGTAATGTTTTCAGAACCGGATTGGATGATCAACCGGAAAAAGTTTGTGGTAGATGGTTTCACAATTAACCATTATGGAGCCGTTGGTTACCAAGTTGACAGAACCGTTCATGCGTCGTAATATAAAAATGATATATAATGCACTTATTGAGAAGTGAATTATCATTAAAAAAAATTCAAATCCATATCATATATACAAAACAGAATTCTAACAAAGTATTCAAACTTCTCATAAAAGCAATCAATTATTTGTTATTAAATTCAAGATGGTAATCAGTTTGACATTCCGTAGTGAACTACATATAACTGACAACAAGGAAATTGGGAAACGAAGAAAATTACGCATAAATGTGACTGAGATTGGATGGTCTTAGTTTACGTTAAAGTACATTTTTTTAACCTTTTAATCTGTTGTGATTAAATTGTGAACCAGTCAAACCGGGGTGGTTCATCTGGTCTCGTGTCAAACCTGTCAAGAACCAGTTGATCCCAATAACTCGAGTTGTTGGAAGAGGTTCAATCGTGAATCATATACCACACATTAACAAAACCTTGGGTCCACTATAACCGTCCAAATAAATAAATAAAATCGCTATTACAATTGGTTAGAGATTCTACTGATAACCCACCGTTAATCTGGTTCGATTCTTGTTTAAAAAGAAAATTTTCCGTATCACATCCTTTTGCCGTATATTATATACATGCACGAGTACTCCGACGATGTCTTCACGAGAGAGATGCCCAAGTCTTTCGTAACCTAAATCCCCAAATTCTAAATCCTTCAAATTAAAGTAAATTTTGAATGATTTTTTTTCAAATTCATGTGCTTCTGGTTCATAAAATCATAAGCAACAATTGATATTGTTTTGACATGAATCGCATGCTCATAATGACAATTATGAGGCGGGTGCACTGAGTGCACCCAAAAAAGTGGGTGCACCGAATACACTACCATATATATTGTGTTCCACTTTGGAAGAATCTCTTATTGGCAACTTGGAGCGCCACATTGGTCGAGTATAGTGGCAATAGATTGGTCTCTAATATTTTTGGGAAGATGGATGATCTACAGCGCTCGTTAAGTTGCGTTATTACTATAAGTAACAGTGAACCAAAAATTTTGCACTAGCGATTACTGATAGTTTCTGTCGTTGCATGTTGGGTCGTCTAAATCTCGATTTAACCATGATTGAGGTCTCTCTTCTATTCGAATTGGATATTGATCGCGAGAAAACCATGTCCTAATCATTAGTTCATTATCCGCAATAATATTCGGATTCAGATTTCGCTCGTACCCCATTGAAAGGATGCTAAGTATTATAATCAAGGTAAACAAACCAAGTAATGTACGACAAGTAGCTAGTCTCAATTCCCATACGTCGATTTTTTGGTACTCTCCACCAAACACTAGAGAGAGAGAGAGAGAGAGAGAGAGAGAGAGAGAGAGAGGTTGAATCCGTGCAAGAGTTTAAATTAGCGGTTCTCAACTTCCAACTTCAAAAAATTTCACTGTGTATAGAGTTCTTGAACCAGCTAGCAATCCTAATAATAATTTATTTCTATCTTCTTCTTTTGTGACCTCAATTGAGTATTGTAACTAGCTAGAAGTGTCAAGCAACCAATAAATTGAATCGTTGGAACTATACGTGTTTTATAATATATATTATACTACATAATATTTCGCCTCCTCAAACTTAAGTCAGTCATATGAACTTCAAGTTTGGAAAATAGAATCGCTGAGATTCGAGCAAAATACTTCTCGATCACTTAAATCTATGACACGTGCTTAGTGCGAAACAGACATGAGTATTGATCTACCCGTCCCACCCTCATTATCATCACTAAATTAATCTCTGTCTTCAATTTTAGTACATCCTATACCCCATAAAACCACAACTAATCATCGATGGATCTCGAAAGCAGTTATATCTCTGTCTTGAATAGGTGAATCCCATCTCCCAGAAAAACCAGAGGAAGGCCCAGAACTTCCCAAAACTGGAGTTTTAATTATAATTTCATTTTCCAACAACCATATTTATTGTTCTCAATGTTTTTTTTATCTGTTTTTTTTTTTTTAGTTTACGGTGGCGGTGGCACATTTATTAGTAGCCATGCAGCGTTACTGAGAAACAAAAGAAATTGAATGACTTGACTTCCCACCAGTAAAACGAACTAACGAAGGGCTTAGTTCCCTCCATTCACGATGTACGGTAGAGTGTCCATCCACTCTACCGTACCTCTTGAATTAGAACTCATGTCCATCCACAAAACAAAATAATAACAACTCTAAACTAGACAGAAAATGATTCTTTTTTCTTTCTTCCTTGTGACATGATCAACAATGTAATTAAAACCACACAAAAACTCCAAACTTTGCTTAGAGCAGTTGGTTGTCTTTTGAAGACAATCTGCCAGGGGATAGCTGACTCGCGATAGCTCGTTCTCCTACTCATATTTCGCTCATCTTGAACTTCTCGCTCAATATAAGACTAAAGCGAGGCCATCAACCACATCCGAATCCAATCTCTGGGTGATCGATAATACCGACATATATATATATATATATACGTTAGCCCTAGATGGGCAATTTCGAACTCGGAATATGACATGATCGGTTGGAGTTGCTGACCGCCACACAAAAGAATTAATGATGAGCAAATATCGCCCGTCATTAATTCTTCTTTAATTTGTTAAGAACTCCATCTCTCACACGTAGACATCTTAAAAAACGGGGTTAATTTTAGCCTACCGACTCATGTATAACTCTTTACTAGCAAGTCGTTACTCGATTATATTACTTACTAACAAAACCCTTTAAGAACATTGGACTCAGCACAGGCAAAAATCATGTACCTATCGATCATTGTAGCCTGGGTGGATAGATATCTTCATCACCATAACTTCCTGATTATTTTTTATTATTATATATAATTCCAAACAATATACACAAAATAATCAAACAAATAACACATCAGTCATCACAGAAACCAAATTGTACAATAAATAATGAAAGCAAATGGGGGTTGAATTGAATTCATGTGTAGGTCTGGGTTTTTAATGAGCAACGTTATAGCTAGCAGCTGCTCCCTTCTCTCTTTTCATGGAAGGAAAACTAAACCTGCCTTCAAAAAAAAAAAAAAAAAAAAAAAAAGAGCATTAAATTGGTATCTACTTGCCACCTTTAATGTTTTGGGCTGCCCCCTCCCCCTTCTTCCTTTAATGCATGCAGTTCCCATCCATGAATTTGCCCTCTCAATTTAAGGGCCTCCCCTCCCCACCTCAAAAACCCTTCTCCATCTTCCTCCTCTTGTTTAAGGGTTGGTATTCATTTCTGGGTTTGGTTGAGTTTCCATGGAGTTCACGACAGAGCTGTGTTTGGCTCCCAGCAGGAAGCAGCACCATCATCAGCATGTGAAGACATCGTCGGAATCAGAAAGCAGCAGCAACAACAACAAAGGGAGCATTGGTATGAATCATCATCACTCGAGGAAGAGGAAGGTGACGATGATCGAGATGATGCGTTTTGATAACGATTGTGATCATGTCGTCGATCTTCAGCAGCATCTTGATCAGGAAGCGAAGAACAACAGGGCTCTGCCTTTGGATTGGGAGCAATGCCTCGACCTTCATGTAAGTTGTGTGTGTGTTTTGTTTTATCTCCTTCCCTAGCTTGTGTCTGAGTTTACGCGATTCGAATCCAACACTTTTGAAGTAACGAGGATGTTTTTTTTTTGTTGTTGTTGTTTTTTCTTATGGTTGTGACTTTGTTACTTGACCAAAATGTTGGTTAGTTTTGCTCGAATTAATGTTGGTTGCATGCGGTGGTTATCTTTGCACATCCACGATCATTAATTTTGGTCATGTTAATGTGTTCCTCCCCATCTGTTTTTTCGTAGTCTCATTTATTCTCATATTTATTGTACGTTACATCATTCTAAAGTGAGAGCACACACGTGCCAACTGCTATAATAAAGACATAAGCTTTTTTTCTTTCGAATAATAAGAAAGTTTGTTTACTATGCTTAAGTTTGTAGACTTACCCCACTCTTAGCTCATCGACCTATCAACGATTGACTGATATAGAGAGAGAGACTGTACAAATTCACAACTCGAGTCGTGTCGTGGTCTCGTCATAGTTAAGTTGCTGTCACGTCCAACTTGTCTAATCGATTTGCGATTCTTGATATGTGGTACAGTCGGGAACGATGTACTACTTCAACAGGAAGACGTCAAGAAAGAGCTGGAACCGACCAAAGGACGCGTACCATGACAACGAAAACGATCGAAACAACAGGAGCCTGGACCTGGAGCTCAACATCTCATCGCCGAGCAAGTACTACAACAATGTGAGTGATCACCATCAACACAACATGATGAAGCTTCACCATCACCAAATTCCAGCCTCACCATCACAAGAAGGGAATTTCAGTCCTAGTGATGGTGGAAGTAGTAGTACTAATGATGATGACAAGGACAATAACATGGTGGCATTGGCATGTTTGAATTGTCACCTCCTTGTGATACTCTCCAAGTCATCTCCTTGTTGCCCCAATTGCAAATATGTACACTCCCTCCCACCCACAATATTTCACCACAACTACCCACCACAGCCCAATAAGGCCCAATTCCCTCCCAGGCCCATTAGCACCTTGAGCCTGCTCAACTAGGCCTTTGATCAAAAGATAATGTGTATAAGTACAACTAAGTGTATTTTAATAGGACTATATGAGTATATGTGTTATGTTAATTAGTATTTAGATATGGTTTGCCATTTTTGTTCTTTCACTTTATGTGATGAAGGTACCCTCACCCTAAGCTATGATGTGTAAAGAGTTCCAAGGAATTAAGCAGCTAGTAATTATATATGTAAGCAATGAAAAGTCTTGCTTTCTTTGTCCTAACTATGCAAAACTTGCAATTTAGGGTTTTGAGGTAGCAACTTGCCCTCCACAATCTCAAAAGTAAAACATGAGGACCAAAATGAAGTCAACTAAGCTCGAGGACAAAGGCTAGTAGTGTTAGTGTAGGAGATGAGACAAACACACTAGCCACGTCGAGGTTCATTGAAAAAATTTGAGGTGACAATTGGAATCAAATCCATGTTCGAAATTGGATCCCAGGTTAGAGTCGAGATCGAACAGTCGAATCCGGAATAAACCGCGGCCTGGGATCCAAACAAGCAAAGGAGAGGAGTTTCTCGTCATTCTCCAACATACCCATTTCATTTCCCTCCAAAAACACCCACGCTTCCAATCCACTCCCGTCCTTGGTGTCCAAAATCATCACCAAATCCATCACCCCGCCGCCGCCGTCGTCCGCTTGATCGCTCGGCAGCAAGCCCAGCCACGCCGGCTCCCCCCACCCGAAATCCGCGTCGTACAACCCCAGCCGGCTCCAGCTCGTGAAACCGATCCGCCGCCGTCCTGCCCTGTACTCGTCTGCCGCCGCCTCCGCCAACAGAGCCGCCCCTGCCCTCCCCTGAATCTTGCTCACGAACCCGCCGCCGCTCCTCTTCGCCACCGAATCCATCAGCAGCTTCACCAGGCAGCAGCTCGGGTCTTCAATCTCTCGTGGGTCGATCGTAGCGACGGCGTTGATTACGTAGTTTCCGAATGAATTCGTTGGAAACGGCGGGTACCCCTTCCGCCGCAGGTTCACAGCTTGGGTCACGACTACCGCCGACGGCGGCGCTCTGCTGGCGGTGATTGCGCGCAGAATGGACTCGCAAAGAATTGCAGTCACTGCTAGGACTCTGCTGATCATTGGCTCCTTCAATTTCTCTTTGAGACTGGCCAATCCCGCAGCATTGAAGACGAACCTTCTGGTAACAGCCGGCGAATTCCTCTGCTCCGCCGCCGTCACCGCCGCCGGAGACGGCGATCGCATCTCATTCCGCGGGAAAATCGAATCCCCGCCGAATTTCGGATCCCAAATCCCAGAACCACCATCACCACCACCGGCCAACGGCGGCTGATTCCGGATCAGAGCCGCGGCGGCGCCGCCCCAGGCACGGAGGAAGCACCCGATCGACGAAGCATCGAGCACGTTGTGCGCCACCAGCAGAGCGATCGAAGCGCCGCCGCAGGGGAACCACGTTACCTGCAAGAGGATTACAGGGGATCCCGGCGGCGGCGGGGATAAGATGTTATTATTCTCCACCGCGGAAAGGGGGAAGAGGTGTTTGATTGCGGCGAGGTTTAATTCGGCGAGGAATTGGAAGAGGGAGGTGTTTTTATTGACGATTCTGGCCTCGGCGTAGTAAGCCCCGGCGGCGGCGGCGCTGCAGTCGATGGAGAGGCCGTCGTGTCTGAATTTTCCGGCTAATGGGAAGTAGCGAGAAAGGGTGTCGGATAAGGACTGCTTGAGGAGGGATGATCGGCGGTGGTCGGGTTGCGGCGGAGGAGGGTAGAAGAGGATGACGGGGCCGTAGATTTGCGGGTTGATTTGATCCATTCCGCTGATGTTGTAGATTTGGAGGTGGGGTGGGGTTGGGGAAGAAGGTTTGATGTAGGTGGTGGAAGTTGTTTCTACTACTACTTGGAGCTCCATTGAAATGGATTTTGCTTTGTATTGATTGACAAGTAACAAAAGTAGCTCTATCCTATATATAGTGGCGTTTTCGGTGCACTCATTTTTTTTTTGTGTATTCAGTGCACTCGCTTCATAACAATCATTTTAAACATGTGATTCATGTCAAAATGATGTCAATCATCACTTATGATGTGATGATCAATAAAGCACATGAATTCGCACAAAAACCATTCAAGATTTACTTTAATTTGAAGGATTTAGAATTTAGAGATTTAGGGTTAGGGTTATGGTTTAAAATTTGGGATTTAGGGATATAATCAAAATTGGAGGTCTAGAGCTTAGGGTAATCCATTAATTAGTTGTGATCATATGTTATATCATCATATTACACTAATTCTACAAATTAAAAATTTAAAATTTGACACCTTAAGACTAGTTTTTAGTTGAGTGCGTTGAACGCACTCATTTTTTTAGTGCACCGAAGTAGTCACTATATATATATATATATGGTGGCGTCTTCGGTGCACTCACTTTTTTGGGTGCATTCAGTGCACTCGCTTCATAATCGTCATTTAAAACATGAGATTTATGTCAAAATGATGTCAATCATCACTTATGATGTGATGAATAATAACGCACATGAATTTGCACAAAAACCATGAAAGATTTGCTTTAATTTGAAGGATTTAGAGTTTAAAGATCTAGGGTTAGGGTTAGGGTTTACAGTTTGGGGTTTAGTGATAGAACTCAAAATTGGAGGTCTAGGGCTTAGGGTAATCCGCTAATTAGTTGTTATTATATGTTATATCATCATATTATACTAATTCTACAAATTAAAATTCAAAATCCGACTCCTTAAGACTAGTTTTTGAGTTGGGTGCACTGAACGCACTCATTTTTGTGAGTGCGCCGAAGTAGTCACCATATATATATATATATATATATATATATATATATATATATATATATATAGGGTTAATTGCATGGTTGGTCACTGAGATTACAAACAACGTTCAAATTTGCTCACTCGAAATATTTAAATCCATGGGTTGTACTTCAGTTTACTGAAACGGTTCACGTTTGGTCACTCTCCGTCCAACTCCATTAACTTTTGCTTACATGGCGATCAACTCTAAAAGTTGACCGTTAAATGTGTGACGTGGTAATTTAAAAATAAAATAATTTAAAATTTCCATCTCATTTCTAAGCAATCTCTCCACCACCACAATGCTCCTGCAGGTTCTGTGCCTGCGATATCCAAAAACAGTCAAGGGAGTCCAAGAATAGAGAGATGTTGTATGACTTCATTATGGGTTTAAATGAGAGCTTTAATGCCGTAAGAGAAATTCTACATGGATAAAGTATGTGAGAGATCCATGATTTATAAATAAGAAATTTGATGTAAGTGTGTAATTATCGAGACGTGTTTTGGAGTGAATGAAAATTATGACGGTGCCACAAAAATTTTATTTATGTAGTTTAGTAGCAATTGTAATTGTAATTCGACTTATATGCAACATAAGTGCATTTTAACCCTTAAATTTGTCCCACCAACTCTTGGAAAGTCTTCATAGCAGAAACAGGTAGTCCAATAAATGCATTTAAGCTCTTCACCTCCCTATCGTGAGCTAGAAATGTGATCGATTCATACTGTGGTGACTCGACCGGTTCAACCCGTGATGGTCTGCCCCACCCAAAATCCGTAGAATCCATAGGCATTCTGTACCATGCGGTTGCAATCATGGTAAACCCTAAAGGTCGTGTAGCTCCGGTGGCTTCAATATAGTCTATAGTAGACCTTATGATCCTGTCGTTACAGTTAGTGATTCCGTCTTGAATCTTCTTGACCGCGTGAGAAACCGGTTTGTCCATAATGTCACGTGCCAACCACGTGCCCGTGGTCATCATCTTGATTGCGTTCCCAAAATACCCTCTGGGCAGTGGCGGCTCGAGCCGGTCCCTCGCGCTGATGACCAGCATGAGCCGGGTCTCCTGGTCGGGCGCCATCTTCAGGGCCCTGACTCGAGCCCTCCACACGAAGGCCACCACCGCCTCGAAAGTGCTACATCTGGTGACGAGTCCTCCGCCTCTGGCGCCATGGTGGAGGACTCGTTCCTTGATCTTGCGAATCTTCTCTCCGGTGAAGTGGGCGTACTCGAAGACGACTGGCTCTTTGTCAGACTCGTTGAGACTACTCGACGACTTGTCTTCCAAGTCGTCGTATTCGGAGTGTCGGCAGTCGATTTTTAACGGGACTCGCGATTTGAGCAAGGTTCTGTCGAGGAAAGGAGGGACGGAAAGCGGCAACCCTCGTGCCGTTTCCCCCCACGAGTTGAGGAACTCGATTGCTGCTATGCCGTCTCCGAGGAAATGGTTCCAAGAAACCCCAACCACGAATCCACCGCATTTGAACCTGGTCAACTGCAATGACAAGCAAGGATTAATAATGTTACCGTCAACGAATACTTCATTTAAAGTGATCAAATGAAAAGTTGACATGAGTGATAATAAAAAAATTACATGTCACAAGTATTAGACGGACCCATCACAGAGAAATAGCAAGAAGTATCTAAATTGCTAGTATATTCCTAATTTGCAAGAATTTATTAGTCAACTTGTTTAATAGATAGTCGACGAAGAATTTCTTTTTTGGGTTAACCCACCCACCGAATAGCATCCAACCACCACTCGCCCATGTCAACTCGAAGGAGAATTTAGGTAATTCAATAGCATGTCACAATTATATAAACTCGTTAATAAGTGGTCTAGTGAATTTGAAACAGAAATCCAAGCAACCCACTCATTGCCCAATCTCATGCATAGTTAAAAGGCAAAATAGTAAGAAAAAAAAAAAAGACTAAAGAAATTGGAAAATTATTACCTGAGCCATCAAAGGAGGAATGTCAATGGAGCTCTTGGCATCATGAACCTTATACACCAACTTGGAACGTGTCACGTGGTCGGGCTTCGACAGGTCAACGCTCCCCAGGTCGCAATCCGCCTCCGCCTCGACGAAAACGGCGCCGTCCCCGGTGCAATCGACGGCGAACCTCCCGTCCGACCCATCGACGGTCAGGCGGCCGGCGACGGGGTAGTAGTGAACGAGAACCTTGCTCAACGCATCCTTCATGACTTCTCCGGCCATTTCGTTGCCCTTCTCCGTCGACTTAGTGTAAGTGTAGAAGGTGTAAATGATCATGTCGCAGTAGTCGAGGTTGGACAGGAAGTACATGCCCGTCGGCGTCTTCTGCGCCGGCGGGACCAGGATTGGGACGCCGGTGAGCTTCACGGTGAGTGGCTTGTTTCCGTTACTTGCTAAGGCCAGCATTTGTGTTGATTGAAGGTGGTATGGATTCTTTTTGTGGGGATTTGCTTGTGAAACAAGAAAGCGAGATCTCTATGGCAGTTGGGTTTTGATTGAGTGATTGATGTCTACGGTTGGGGCAAATACATTACATTTATAGATCTTATTAGTCCAATCCCAAATCACCATTGTTAACTCAACTGTGGTAGCTCCTTCGGCAATTGATTTATGACATTATAAGCTAAATCGCCATACAATTGCAACAAATCTTTTAATTGACCTTTCTTCTTCCCACTTAATTACTCGTACTAGCTTTGATTCCGGCCAAGGTGAGTTTCATTTTAATATTAAGGGAATTTAGAAACATTTTGTTCATATTCTTGAAACTCTCATTAATTTCTTGCATAAGCTACATTTGTTTTAAATAATTTATTGTCATACTTGAATTATTTTCATATATTATTCAATTTTTTTTGTTATTCTTTGTTTATGACCCGAATGTATAGTTTGACTCGTATATACAAAGCTAATTTAGTCCCTCCGGGAGGGACACCCAAGATATCGATCAATACGATATGAGTTAATTTATAAGTGAAAACATTCAACTCTTAGTTGAGAGGTATTAACTTTTGGCTAAATGTATAACATGATAATGTTATAAAATTTCAAAATTTTTTTTTATCTTAGCACTCATAATGGTTTATTTATCTAATTTTGAATCACGTGGAGATAAAGGTTTACATTTTTTTTTCAAATGGTGGTTCATAAAATCTTGGTGCATGAAATACTCAAAATAAATATCTAAATAATATATGTCGTGTCACAATTTCTGAAATTTATACCAACGTGCTTACAATATTTGGAACATCACCCAACATTCTCAAATTATTTATATTATGCAATATACACTGTAACTTGTTTTTTTTTTTTTTATACGGGAATCTATTCAACTTTCATTAATCAGAAGTTGCGGATGACTACAACATGCTAGTGCAATGAAATATAACTCTATTTATTTTTTATTAGTGACAAATTTATATATAGTTTAAGGTGGCTTTTATTGTAATGTGGGTAAAATATAGGGTAGGACATATTCTGAGGAAGAAAACGTTATTTAGACTTCAAATTAACCGAATTTTTTGGCATGATACTATACTCTAACCCTTGATAAGTGAACTATAGGTCTTAATTTTCAAAATTATAGAGCCTAACCCCTAAGATTGTGCATGTAATTTGTTGCATAAATTTCGATAAATCATGACCGTAGATTTTTGTTTCCACTTAAATTGATCTTAGTGGATGAGATTTATAAAATTAAAACCTAGATTTTAATCTTTAAAGGTGTAGAAATAGTACTAGATGCCAAACTCTGGTCAATTCGAAGTCTAGATAGCTTTTTTAACTCAAGGTACGTCGTATCTTTGATTTTACCCAAACTCCAACGTACGGATACAACCTTACATAGTTTAATTATATATAAGATATGGTAGTGATATTTTTAGATGGTAACAAATATATAGGTTATATAATATATCTAATAAAAGATAAAAATAGTTTCCTTACGAAAAAAAACTATGATCATATACTGATATACTGAATCAAAATATCAATAGGAACTAATGATCCCAAATATAAGGATGGAGGGAAAAAAAACTTGTTGAAGCAATCAAAGAGTATGGTGTGCATTAGTCAATTCCGTCCATAATTCGATTTTTTTGAGATAGGATCGGACAAGAAAACAAAGGGAAAATATGGATTAGACCGGATCAAAAGAATATTAGGTTTATCTTGTTTGATTCGATCTAGTACAAATTTAATTTTGGTACATTTTTCTTCATATTTCAAATAATTCATAGGATCATATACTGATATACCGAATCAAAATATATTTGATCCCATATAATTCGTTCGAATCGGTCTGATTTGAACTAGATCTCATTGCTCACCCCTAATCAAAAGCCAACTCTTGCCGTATGTTTCGGCTTTTGCTATAAATACCTCTTTTTTTTTTATAGTGAAAATATATGTTTGTAAGATTATTTTATGAAGTTTTGTCAAGAACCCAATTCATGTGAGATAGTATCAGATTCTTCAATAATGGAGAGGTTGTGCAAAATTCCAACCTACGAATTGGCTTATATTTGAGGGTGTAAAATGTAAATAGTATAATTTTCCAACAACTTAAAATATTTGAACCAACTGAGTCTCCCCTGTTTCATTCCGATTCGATTGCTTGTGTGCTCTTGTCTGTCTAATATAAGTCGTAATTGACTATAATTTTCAAGCAAGTTGCTTTATCCAAATAAGTCGTGATTGACTATAGTTTCCATGCAAGTTGATATATCCAAATAAGTCGTAATTGACTATAATTTCCATGCAAGTTGATACTCGTCAGCGTTATAATTCAACTGTTTCGAATATATATATATAAATTCCATTGTGGACACCTAGGGCTTTGACTTAACTGATGAAACCGCCGCCAACTGTTTTGGCAAGTTGCTAGATTCAGACGTGGGCATATATAGGAAGTCAACCCTATAGTGCCTGAAGATGTGCTGTGCAAAATGGCAGCTTAGATTCATTGGCTGCAGCTTCGATCTATTTCAACGCTATTATTTTTCAGGGAGCATGCATGCATGCCACCAACTTCACATGGCCTGAGCTAGAATCTCGTTGACTTTCTATTTTCACTACGGTGTGCTTTCGTTCGTATACCGTTTACTAACACCCCCTTCAAACTCAAGCCATTCAGATAGGCTTGGAGTTTGGACAGACACAGGTCCGGACACCGTGTGCTTAACAGAAACAGATGGGGTCATCGGGAATCGAACAGAAGACCTCACGGTCACAGAAGCCTCTGATACCATATTAAGTACCAGTTGATCCCAATAACTCGAGTTGTTTAGAGAGGTTCAATTGTGGATCGTATACCGTTTACTAACACAACACAGTAGAATTTCCAAAACAATGCTATATATTGATACACACCACCTCCAGGCGTTATTCCGAGTCTGGTCTGCCGCCGCTGGTGATCTGGTGGCTAGAGATGATTCTCTGTTCTGTGCCAAATCGGTGTTCCCTCAGAACGAGGCGTTCGTCGTAAGGCTGCCGGTTCGAAGCCGGCAATGCTCGCTCGCCGCTCGAGCGCTGTCGATGCCGGCTACTACCAGAAGGTTAATACGGATTTTGTACGTGTTTAGTGCAGGAGCAATAAATGGACGGAAGAATAAAACCATTCGACAATAATACATACTGAAATACAAGTTTTAAACGAATAATATACGCACATTCGCGTATTAATTAATAATAAATATGTAGTATTTACACAATATGCAACATCATTTAATCTTATTATGTTGATCGATGTTCTTGGTGCAGGTTTGTGTTCAATGCATCTGCAATCGCGAGGCTGAAAAGGAGAAATGCAAACCAATAGGAGGTGTCATTGTTACGTGGATTTCCCGTATTAGAACTTCCACGCAACGTGTCTCTCACGAATCGAACTAACGAACTCAAGAATGGCTTTAGAACGAAGAGAAATAGACTTAGAACGAAGAGAAATATAGAGGATCGAGGACTACTACTAAGCTAATTCTGTTCCGATATTCTCATATTATTAAACGAAAGACACAATACATATTATTAATAGGCATAAGAAGTCTCTACCTTTTTCTATCTAGAACATGAAACCTTTCCCACAAGAAAAAGATAACCAAATCCTAAACATACTAGAAAACAATCCCAAATCCTACTAAGGCAAGTAAACAATAATAATATCCCAAATAATATGAAATGAAAATTTTGTGTTTGGTATTAAAATGAACTCATTTTTAATATAATTCTAAATTTTGAATTCTATGAAATTAGAACTAGTTATAGCAATTCCGAAAAAGATGAAATTTTCAAATTAATTCCACAAGCATTTTAGTAATTATTCTAGAAAGATATAATTATTAACTAAATTACTTCTAGCAGCACCAGTATACAGATTATGCATGCCTAACCTCCTATTTCCACCGGTATGTTAACCTAATATATATAGTTTCTCCAAAACCCAACATTTTGAGCAACTCCAAATTCCAATACGATGGCTAAGCGGCAACCTACTATTTGACTATTGAACCAACTCTCCTTTTATTTCCAAATGGTTGGATAGTAACTTTGTCACATGGTTTTTTTAGAAGATTCATTTTTTATGAAGATTGGTTTTGCCAGAAATTAATAAGAGTGTAGTTGAAAACTTTAATTTAATACAATTCTGAATGTATGCCAAACATGGTTTTGGAATTTATTTTATTTTATTTCTAAAGTTTTAGATATGACATTCCAAACACAAGATGTAGATATGTGGTGTTCACTGTTCACCATGATTAGGGGTGGGTAATGGTCTGGTTTGTACCGGACTGCACTAGATCAATGTTTGGACCGAACATACCGAACTGAGTATAGCACGGTCTGGTCCTTGATCCCATGAAATTTATAATTACTGTTCGTCGCCACTTTGTGGAAAATCATTAGGTATGAATATGTTAAATACCTGTGACTCGATTGGTGAACCAAATTGACATTTGGACTGGACCAAACCATGCCAAATGAGACCGAATGCAATAATGGTCCAGTCGTTGGTCCTAAGACATCTTTTACTAATGGACCGCGTTTTCATGAGTTTGGTCCGATCTAGACTAAACTGAATGTTGCACACCCCTCCATGATACACTTCCATACAAAGTGGTATAATCTTATGTACATACCAAGTAGTACCGCATGGTATGGGTGGGTAATAAAAGTCTCATTTTTTTTTCAAAATATATCAAAGTGGATATCATTTTTAAAAACACAACTACTCTAATTTTTCTGTGCAATTTTCTTTTAATTTTGACTTAAAACAAAAGAGATGCAGTCCGTTAAAATTTATTGGGGAAAATTAATAGTCTTTTTCATATATGATTAATATAGAATTATACATGGTTATTATGCGGAACCCACTCTCCAATTTTGGCAACAAAATAGATTCTCCTAACCCGCCCATAAGAAAATCCACCCTCAATAATATATTAAAAAAAAATTAACACCCCAATTAAATATTTCCACCGGACTATTTATGGGGACAACTAAAACCAACTAATTAAATACAAAAACCACATAATGTATTCTATGGGAACGGCTACGGTGCTTAATTGTACAATAGTTAGCACCGTACTAATCAAGGGAAAAACTACTACTAGTTTGAATTAGTAGTGATTTAGCTTAGATGTTGTATTGATTTTATAATAATCCGTAGTGATTTTTGCTAGTTATCACGGTGCTAACCCCTATAAGGGTTAGCACCTAATCCCATCCCGTATTCTATGGAGACAATTTAGTGTGTACTTGTCCCTAATACGACTAAGAAAACTATCTCTCAGGACAACATAAAAAGGTCTTTCCCTATATTGGTCCCCAAACCTCTTTATTTTTCTAGTGACCCAGCCCACTTTCTGATTCTTGTTAGCAATTGTTTACACCTAAAAATAATTTTGCCTTCAATATCGTCCGCGTCGCGAGATTAACGACGCCGGTGATAAACAATTTCAGCGGTGTTGACACCTAAAATATTTTTGGCCTAAATTCAATGCCGTAATAATGAGTTTCGGCATTTAATTTGATATCGCATGGCCAAAACGATATCGTTTGGAGTCGAGCAATACCGCGGAGAATTTAAGCGAGACCGCGAAGAGGCTCGGCGGTACCGCGGTACTTGAAACGACATTGGTTGCAGACCAGGTGTGAGTCATGCGGAGGACATGTATTGCTGTTGGACAAGGAATGTTTTTTATTCTATTTTTCCTTGTCGGAGGAGGAGAGTAACAACACCGTTTGGAGTCAAGCAATGCTGCGAAGAGATAAAACGGTGCCGCAAACCTCAAAGCTCAACGGCATCGCGAGACAGGGAAACGGTGTCTTTTGGCTAAAAACGGCACTGCGACAAGCGGCATCGCGGATGAGTTAAAACGATACCGCGAGTAAGCCCAACGGTACCGTTGTGCTAGAGAAAACGACAGTGTTTAATATAAAACAATGTCGCGGAGGAAAAGCAAACGGAGCTAATTGGGGAAGAAAACGACACCGCAAGGCTGGAAGCGGAGTCGTTTAATATTAAAACGATGTCGCGGGTATAATCAAGCGGTGTTGTTTAGCTAAAAACGACACCGTTTAAGGCATCAACTACGCCGCGGTATTACTAAGCGATGTCGTTTAGTTAGAAACCATACCACAATGGTTTGGATTTTGGCGAGTGGCCCGGCAAGCTCAACGACATCGCAAGACAAAAAAAACGGTACCATTTGGTAGAGAGTAATGTCGCGGAATGAAAAACGACATTGTTTGATGGGACCGGGACGGAGCAGTTCAAGGTCGGCATGATTAGTGAAAAGCGATGCCGCGGAAAGATTAAACGACGCCGCGGGAGGTATCAACGACATCGCGGTATCATAAACGATATCGTTTGATTAAAAACGATATCGCAGTGGTTAAGAGCTCGGCCAAGGGTGGCCCGCTAGGTCCAACGCCACTGTTATCCCAAAACAACATCGTCATTGTAGCTTTGTTCCACGTGAGATTCACGCAGAATCAAAATCGAGGCGGTTGAGACACGTGGGAGTTCACGGCGGAACAGTTGAGGAAGCGGTTTCATGGAGCGTGAAGGCTACGAAGATGTTTTTCAAATAAAAGCAGTGGAGCAAGGAGAGAGAAAGGACAACCAAAAATCAACACAGAACAACTCTGTCAAAACTTTACCTTTTCTCTTTAACTCCTTCGCGGAGCTCTCCTTCCAGGAAGGATCTCCATAGTTGTAGTCTTAGTCGTAGTCGCGGAGCTCTCCACGGGAATCTCCATAGGAGTAGCGGTAGCGTAGATTCCTCAAAACTCAAACACCCTCGTTCGAACGTAGTTTGGAGAGGTGCGAACCGTAGTAACGGTCGTTCTTGGTTAGAAGTCAGAGGTGCATCGATCAAATCAACACCGTCCGGCGGTGGATATTTGACGGTCACGTTGATTTCACCATTTAGAGGTGCATCGATCAAATCAACGTCGCCGACATTCGGCGGCGGATATTTGACGGTCGTCTCGATTTCAGCAATCAGCGGTGCATTCGATCAAACGGCACCGCAAGAGTTTCCACCGCGAAACATCAAATCAACATCGCCGGAAACGAATTCGGCACCGGCGGTGGCATTTGGTTTTTCCGAGGAAACAACAACTCATTGATCGCTCTCTCGAATCTTCAAAGAGATCCAAGTATCAATCTAATTTCGTGAATCACGTCTCCTCCCTCATTCATAAATGACACTTTGTCACAAAGTAGAGAAATCAGGTCTCCCTTATGATATTATGTTAATGTTTATAACGCTATAATGCAAGTTGGGTTGCTCTAACTTTGTGTCTTTATTATTATACTTGGATTGATGATATCAAAATTATGCTTGTGCGTTGAAATTTATGTTTGAAGAGAAAATTTAATACGGATACTATAATTTGCATAAGAGTGCAGCTGTTGCGAATTATGATATTGTTTTTTCCGAGGTGTTTGCAATTTCACCGTTGGTTTTCAATGCCAAAAGGGATCTCAAAGGCTAAAAACATAACGCGACAATGGATATCAGAGCCTAGATATCGGAAGCACCAGCTCGAGAGGGCTCGGATCGATCGAAGAAACGAACGAGAGAAGCTCCCCGTCGCTCTCCAGAACCGCCATGTCGTCGACTCCCAACAGAACCCAGGCTTCCAGACCTTCTCCGCTCCTCGTATCGTTCAACAATACCAGATTCACGGCCGCGGTGCCCGACTCCTCGCCGCAGAGGCAGGCCATCCACACGGGCCTCCCCCAGCCGAAATCGATCTCGTAGTAACCCAACCTGCTGAAACTGTTGACCATCACGTGTCTCTCCGCGTCCTCTCCTTCCTTTTCCACCTCTTCCGCCACCTTTGTGAACTCGTCCTTCCCTTCCTCGCCACGAATCCTCCTTATCAGCTCCGCGTCGATCCGCGACACTGATTCCTTCATCGACCTCGCCAGCGAACTCAAGTTTGTGTCTTCGTCTCCTCCTCCTCCGTGAAGACGAACGGTGACTGACATCGTCAGATTGCCAAATGAGTTGGCGGGCAAGGGCGGGTCCGCCCTTGCCCGAAGATTAACCGGCTGCACGAATAGTGTCGTGCCGGAATTGTCCGACCTTGCCCTGAAAGCCCGAAGTATGGACCCGCAGAGTAAGGCCGTGACAGCTTGGACTCGACTGATTGTGTAATCATCAGCGGCTCCGATTGGTTTGCACTTCTCCTTCAGCCTCGCGATTGCAGATGCATTGAACACAAACCTGACACCAAGAACATCGATCAACCATAAAATCAATCGACGTTGCAATATTGTGTAAATGCTACTTATTTTCTCAGTACGTACTAAACACGTATAAAATTCGTATTAACCTTCTGATAGCAGCGGGCACCGACTGGGCCCGGGTAAGCATCGCCGGCTTGGGAACCGACGCTCTTCCTACGAACGCCTCGTTGTGAGGGAACACCGACTGGGCACAGAACAGCGAATCATCTCTCGCCACCTGCAGAGAGCCACCGGCGGTCGACGACGACCAGAGCCGGTAGAACGAGCTCATCGTGGGCGCGTCCACGATCTTATGCGAGCACAGGGAACTTAGGCAAAGGCCGCCGCAGGGGAAAAAAGTGACCTGAATGTGAACAATGTGGGAACCCGGAGGCGGAGGGCGGAACACCTGAACGGCGTCGTTGAGAGGGAGCAGCTTCCTCATGATCCCGCCGTCGTTGACTACGCGGTGGTTGAGGAAGTGGGAGAGGGTCTCGTTTACTCTAGCCTCGACGTAGCGGACGCCGTCGTCGGTGCAGTCGATGGAGAGGTTTTTTGCCCCCTCCGGGTTGGTCCGACCGGCTAGTGGGTAGAACCGGGTCAGGGTTTCGGAGAGGGACCTTTTTAGCGACGAGGAGATGGTTTGGTTAGTAAAACAAGGGGTAGTAGTATTAGCGACGGGCGGCGGAGGAGGGTTGAAGAAAAGGATGGTGGGCATGTAGGAGGAAGGTGCGCGCTGGTCGATGCTGCTGAAGCGGTAGATTTGGAGGTGGGGAGGCGTTGGGGAAGAAGGTTTGATGCATGTCTCTGATATTATTTCCACCTCCGCCATTGATAATTAAGAATTTCTTGGTTGGGTATTTAGTATATATGGTTAATTAACATGGGAAGAGCCAGCTTTATATAGGAGATTGAACTCTAATTTATGAGGGAGCATTTTGCCACTGTGTTATTCTATAGACTTTCAGGTTCAAAAGCTAGTGATCGGTATTATCAACAGACTAAGCCCTTGTTCGTATAGTTGAACCAAACTGTCACAATAATCAAAGTTTAACCTTTGGATCACATTATCCACGTACAATACGTAATCCAATTTCTCTCCTTGTATTATTTATGCCAAATCCAATTCAAGTTGATGTTTGATTCCATTTGTCATTGGAAGTTGACTAAATAAATGGTAATTATGCCCATCAACCCCTTAATGCGGAAAGAGTTTGATTCCATTTGTCATTGGAAGTTGACTAAATAAATGGGTTATGCCCATCCACCCTTAATGCGGAAAGAAAGCACTACATCGTGAAAATACGAAAGTCAACGAGATTCTAGCTAGCCCATGTGACGTTGGTGGGAATGAATCTAAGCTGCCACTTTGCTTAGCATATCTTCAGGCGCTATAGGGTTGACTTCCTATACATAGGCAATCAAGAACGATGCTGCATTAATGAAGGTAATTAGAGAGTTTAATCTTGAGGAACATGATGATTAGGCCTGGCTATTTGGTTTTATCCGAAACTGGACCATATAACTCGGACTGGGACCGGATCGGACCCAGATAGCAAACAATCCAATCCAATTTTCGGGCTTAGATTTGAGGTAAAAAAAAATCATTTGGGACCGGTTAAAAAACCGGATAAAGACTGGATAAGAGAGCCCAACATCCAAAACTTAACCAACTCCTCACTCTTTGAGTCCTCGGGCCACTCAAATCCCCACAAGTTCAATCTAAACTCAAGACGGAATTGAGATCGGACCGGGTCAAGACCGGACTGGATCAAGACCGGACTGTATCCAATCCAATCTTTGGTCCTTGTATTCTCGAAAAGACCGGACTGAAACCAGATCAATTTGGGACGATTCAACCGGACCGGACCGCGTATAGCCTGATCAGTTTACATGCATCGTTTCCTAATTCGATTTTCTCAGAAAATCAAAGTGTCATCACTTACCTTAATTAAATACTTATGATATTGGACATTCTGGTGTTGTTTGTTTTCTTTAGTTTCCCTGTACCTTGTTCTTGTTTTCCATTAATATAATACTATATCATGCATCGATAATTAGCTAATAAAAAAATTGTACTTATGAGATGATGATGATCACCGCAGTCGTCATCGTCATCGCAGATGATGATGATGATGAGTACGAATTATTTGATCATTAGACATTATTTGAAAGATCACAACAAAGCATTACATGGAAATTAAAACAAAACAAAGTGATGGACCGAGATACCAAATTCTGGCCGATCCCGATCGACGACGATGATGCATGCAACTCAGATCTCGATGGATCTTACCTTCAAATTCGATATTTATGAATAGCATAAGCAATAGCAAGCATATGGTTTCCTACAGTAGCAACCCACAAAGCAGTTATCAGGATCTTGCCCACTGCACAAATCCGGGTAAAAAAAGTGACATCTTCGGTCGTTGCAATCTTTGTCGCAATCGTCTCGTACCGAGATCGTGTCGTTGTTCGATGCTCGAGGTATCATGACTACGCCTGCCGTTCCCCTTTCAGGCTGCTGCTGCTGCTGATGGGGACGAGTCGAGTTTTGGTAGTTCTCCGACTGCAGACTACTGGCTGCTCTCGAATCGATACATGTAAGGATGAGAAGCAAGCTGATGATGACTGCCACCTTAGCAAAAGTAGCGACCGGAATCGGCATGGCTCTGGTTCTTTCTTTCTTCCTTACTTACTTTCTCTTGGAAGTAGGTTAGGTTAGGTGTATTTATTGCATGTTGAGGCTGCTTGCATGTATATATAGTAATCAAGAGTACGCAAGAATTGGCCATGGCTATATATGTTAACGCTTCCCTTTCAACATAGTTGTCATCCACAAGAATATATAGATCACAGGAGACATGAAGAAAACTCCGCCATTGGATCGGCTGGCAATGCTTTGCTAGCTAGCTAGCTGTAAATGGGACTTGAGAAATCAAAGTTGATCACTTCACCCTAAACGTAGGTTCGCAACCTTAATCGAGAGCCAGCTCTTTTCTTGATAAGGAAGTGGAATAAGACCGGATTTGGGTTATCTCCCAACAAGTTGAGTTTATTGGGATGGGACGATCGGTTGGTTTATGATTTGCCGATTTGGTATCAGAGTTGGATTGAAGTTGGATTGACCTTGAGGTTCAGCATTCAAGTCCTTGCAGCCGTTTGTTAGCTAGAATCAAATACGAAAACGAAGAAGGAAACAAGACACACTGTTTACGTGGTTTCCCCGAGATCTGGACTAGTCCACGGGAGAGCTAGAACTCTCCGAGCTGATGATCTTATTAGGTTTTCCTTGAGTGGTACATCGTTAATTTACATGTATATATATTTGTCTAACCCTAGCTCACGTAATCACATGCTAGGGCTCGGTTTCTACCGCCACAAACTCCTCCTACGTACATGTTACTATAACAATGGGCCAATCACAAATCAACCGAACAAAACCATACGAGCCCAATCCAGCCCAACACCGCTAACACCGTTAATACTAAATTTTGATTTAAGCATATTATTGGAGGGTCAGGCCGAAACTAGAAGAACGATCAACAATAGCAATGATCCAATGCAATCCGTGTCAAGCAAGGATTCGAGAAAGTCAAACAACATCAGCACGATGGGCTGAAATGGAAGAGAATAGAAGTTTGAAACTGATATGCTAGTTACTTTTTTTTTATGAGGAGAGTAATTAGTTACTAATAAGCCAATCCCAGCCAGCCACGTGTAGGACTTTCTTTAATGGGATTCAAATGACAGCAATAGTACTTGTCATTAGCTCTCTCGTATAAATACAAAAACCATAAAGAGATACAGTAGAATTTTTTGCTACTCTTCCACCCAATCTATGTCTCCTCTCTTGTCTCTTATATACAATAATAATTTGGAGCTATGCAAACTTCAATCCAGTAAATATACTTTGGTTGAAATCGAGATGTATAAACAAACAAATTGTATTAAATTCACATGAGTCTATCACAACAATTCGAATCACGCCATACCTACAAACCAAAAACAACTCGATTGAAGATCCTATCCGGAAAAGCAAAAACAAACAAAACAATATGCATGAGCTGACCTTAGAATTTAAATACTTAATCCAGCAGCATCTCTTCAATCGAACCATTGCTGTAAAAGTGAGTCCAAAAACAAAACATAAAATTAAAAGAAAATTTTCAATGACGGCAAACCCCATGCACGAAACAAGAGAAGCAATATGCGAAGCATATGCTGCTTAATTAATAAGAAGTGGAGATCCAATTACCAGTTTTATATATATATATATATATATATATATATATATATATATATATATATATATATATATATATATATATGGTGGCGTCTTCACTGCACTCACTTTTTTGGGTGCATTCAGTGCACTCGCTTCATAATTATTATTTTAAACATGCGATTTATGTCAAAATGATGTCAATCATCACTTATGATGTGATGAACAATAACGCACATGAATTTGCACAAAAACCATTAAAGATTTACTTTAATTTGAAGGATTTATAGTTTAGAGATTTGGGGTTAGGGTTAGGGTTTATAATTTGGGATTTAGGGATATAACTCAAAATTGGAGGTCTATAGCTTAGGGTAATCCGCTAATTAGTTGTTATCATATGTTATATCATCATATTACACTAATTCTACAAATTAAAATTCAAAATCCGACACCTTAAGACTAGTTTTTGAGTTGGGTGCATTGAACGCACTCATTTTTGTGGGTGCACCGAAGTAGTCACCATATATATATATATATATATATTTAGCATATATCACATTACCTAAAATATAATGCTATTTTACGAGTAAATATTCGTAACCTATTTTTATGTTGTGTAATAGTTATGAAGTATTATTATTTATATATATATATATGGTGGCTACTTCGATGCACTCACTTTTCTCTAAAAGTGGTCATAATACATCAAATTTTGAAATTTAATGGGTAGCATTAGTCTCATATGATGATATAACACAGAATCACAACTAATCAACCCACTACCCTAACCTATTAACATTCAATTTTGAATCTAAACCCAAAATCCCAAATTGTAAACCCTAACCCTAACCCTAAATTCCTAAACCCCGAATCATTCAAATTAAAGTGAATCTTGAATGATTTTTGTACAAATTCATGTAGTTCTTGTTCATCATACTACAAAGGATGATTGACATTGTTTTGACATCAATGTCTCTCAGCCCATCTTTTGGACGTCTCATATAGAGAGAGAAAAAATTCTGATGTGTAATTTTCTTGATCGAAACCGTCAGCGTGGTATAATTTTACAAACACATAATTGAAAATCTGAAATAAAAGAACACCGGAAAATTAAAAAACCTCACATGAAAAAGAAAACAAAGTGATAGTAATAACAAAATAAAATATACTTATGCATTGCACAAGCAATAACAAGTATGGGGAAGCTCTTCACAGAATCAACCCACATGGCAGTTATTGGGATCTTGACCACTACACAGAGATGCAGCGTTGACGTCCTCATGACCTCCAATATTAGCCGTTGATTAAGCAAATGATGTGCATGTGCTAACTAATTAAGCTTGTATCATTTTCATTTTTTGTTTTGACAGGTGAAAATAGAAATTGAAAGCAATGTTTGGTTTTGTTTACATTTGTTGTTGTTGTCGTGGCATCAAGAGCTCGTAACACTATAGAAATTTGGATAAATCAGGCCGATACAACCAATCGGTACCTGCTATAAAATTGTCGGGAATTAATACTCCTGGCATGATCGACATGACCGATTTCCAACTCTTTAGATAAAATGACGTCATTTTAGTAAATTTAATTTAAAAAAAATCTTTGATTTGTTTCCTTGAATTTGAAATATACATGTTGATGGTATTTTGTTGGATTCAAGTATTTAGATGTTCATGTTATTTGTTGGATTCAAGTATGCGTTTTTGGATGTTGACGTTAAATGTTATATTTAAATATGAATATGGATGTATTGTATTGTTATAGAGATATTTGAATATGGATGTATGTATTATTATGGAGATATTTTCTGCAAATATGTTTTATACATGTCTAAACTCATTTAGTGTTAATGATTTTCCACTTCCTTACATGTTTTGGAAAAATTGAGATGAGCTGGCATAAACTTATTGTACCACCGCTCTGACCATACGGCTTGCCAAACCAACATAATGGTATAAATCGGATTGATAATCTCACTCTGTTCTCAACAAATTTGGCACTACGGGTAGACAATCTTGATATCCGATCATTAGTGAGGACCAAGTTCGAGTCCAACTAAAGATCTTCAAAATTGAACACTATATATTATATATTATTGTATTATTGAACGAAGATGATATATAAGAGTCATCTTTATTTCATTCATAAAAAAAAAAAACTAAAACCCCATACAAAGCAGTCCCAACTCAGAAGGAAAACTATCGGGAGAAATCCAAGACAAGAAAAAACCAACAAGAATATTCACCACAATACATGCAATGAGTGTCATGAACCAGTTGATCCCAATAACTCGATTTGTTGGGAAAAGGTTACGCTGGATCTTATACCACTCTCTAACACGCCCCCTCAAACGAAAGCCAACCCATGAGCTTGAAGTTTGCACAGACCCACCATACCATGTGCTTGAAAGACAACGGTTAATATTGAGGGTCGTGGAGATTCAAACACATGACCTTTCGGTTCTAGCTAGGCTCTGATACCATGTCATAAACCATTTGGTCCCAATAACTCGAGTTGTTGAGAGAAGGTTATGCTGGATCTTATACCACTCTCTAACAATGAGAACATGGAGAACACACCGAATTATCTGAAAGAGTACAACAAAGGAGAAAAATCGTACAATAGGAAAGTAAACAAAGTGGTAGGTCGATCGAGACACCAAGTCTCCAACCACGCACGACGATGCATGCACTTCGATTGAAACTTTCTTCAAATGAAGAGAACAAAATTATCTATGCTGTGCACAAGCAATGACAACTCTGGGGATCCTCGTCACAGTAGCAACCCACATGACAGTTAATAGGATCTTGACCATCACACAGATCTGGGTAATGAAAATAACAATTTTGGTCGTTGCAAATATCGCTGCACCATTCTTGTACTGAATGCGTATTGTTGTTGTTGGATGCTTGAGGTATCATGATGACTCCAATTGTTCCTCTTTTAGGCTGCAGTAGTTGTGACTCCAAAATCACGATGTTGCTGCAACGATTGGTGGAATTTGCGTGATTGATTGATTGATTGATAATTATAAATACCAAAAAAACATATCATCCTGATATGAACAAACTATACCATCATCACAATACCTGACGTTAGTCGAAACATCGTGTACATTCTCCGATTGCGGATTAACTGCCCTCGAATCAAAACGTGGAAGGATGAGAAGCAAGACGACGGCCAACTTAGCAATAGTAACGACCGGGATCGCCATGGCTATATGTTGCTAGCTTCTTTCTTTCTTTTGAGATGTATTTCTGGAAGTAATTGGTTAGGTGTATATATGCATGTTGAGCTGCGCTGCTGCTTGCATGCATATTTATATATAGTAATCAAGAGTACAGCAACACTTAGGGCATCTCTCTCATATGCAATATACGGCAAATTATATATAGAGACAGAGATCGACATGAAGAAAACTCCGCCATCTCGGCTGGCATTGCTAGCTAGCTAGCATCATATATGAGACTTGAGAAACCAAAGTTTCACCCTAAATGTACCTACACAACCTAGGTATTGAGAAGAATGATTTATACAAGAGTTCTTAATTCTTGATCTATATGATATGTGTTGATTTGTGTCATGGTATCAAAATTAGTTTGAGTGCGAGTAAGAGCGGACCCACTTAAAAGAATGGGTTGTTAATTGACAAACCTTGAATTCCAAATTTGAAAGGAAAAAAAAAGAGTTGCATTAAATTTTATTTTAGTGATGCGATAGTATTTGGATTCGAAAGTATTTGAAAACTCCAAGACATTTTGGTCTGTTATTGAATACTATTTGATGAAATTGTTGGGTCTATCATTGAAAGTACGATGACACGTTGATCAAGTTTCTCGACCGCAATAATATTAACAGTTGATTTAAAGTTTTAAACGCATGACATTCAGAACACACTTTAACCTCACGAGTTGACTTTATTTTGTCTTGTGATTTAGTACCTAAACTTTTTTTTTTACAATTAGATCCCTAAATTTTGTTAGAAAATTACGTTTTAGCACCTTTATATTTTTTATCTTGCGTTATAGTACCTAAATTAAGACCTTATAAATAGATCCAATGTGTTCAAATGAGGAATTTTATGTCACTAGTTGTTGCTATGGGTCATAAGGTCAAAAAATGACCCAACCCTACCCAATCGTTACAGTGTCAAAAACTTATCCGATCCCAAACTCTCACTATGTTGACAAACTGGCCTAACCCAAACTCACTAAATATATATGTATTGACTATTGACGTATATTATATATTACAAAACTCTATATGGTTTAAGTTTTTTATAAGGAGAAAGAAAAGTAACTTTTTAATGGAAATTTCACATAGTGCAATTTTTCGCAATGCAAAATATACTTTTAATGGATAAAATTGGAAGATCCAATTACGAATAAAAATATTGTGTGTGAACTAAAAAACATTTATATTAATGTTGTAACGATCCCATTATTCTCCAACAAATTGAGTTATTAATATAACCGGTTTTTTAATCACATTCCACTGTTTTTTTTTTATAATGGTGAAAATTAAAATTACCAGACAAGAGCAAAAAGGTACGAGCACTTCTACTATGTAGTGAAAGGTAGGCGACCAGTAAGAAATAGTGACGACCAAGTTAATTTGAGACCAACAAGAGATCTTCAAACTGAAACATGATATATATATATTACTGAATTATTCAATGAAGTTGACATGATGTACTTCCTTATTTCATTCACAAAGAAAAGAAAAGAAAGAAAGAAACTAAAACTCATTGAAAGCAAGCAGCCCCGACGACGACAATTGGATGCACTACTTCTACTGATCTCAATTTAATTGAATAGAAAATGTTTTATGTTTATGCAACATCACCGCAAATGCAAGCACAACCCTTGTACGGACAATAGCAACCCACATAGCATGTATTAGGTTTGCATCATCGCAGTAATTTGGGTGGTCAATCTGACACTGAGAGTCGTTGCAATAATCTTTGCACGTTTCCTGTACTGAATCTGAAGCCGTATTGTTGTTGGAGGCTTGAGGTATCATGATTACATTTGATCCTCCTTTAGGAAACAGCTGATGATCAGAGGCCAAGTTCTCGTGGTTGCTGCAATGATCGATGATGGAATTTCGTTTGTTTGAATGATGAGATTAAATGAGGGAAAAAAATCGATTAATTCTTCGTTGGGATTCGTATGAGAAAATATGATATTTGGAAAGATTGTGATCTTCTGGACCAGATCTATAGAACGAACATCATCGTTATATAAATATTTTGGGAAAATCACATGGATAGGAAGAAAAAAAAAATGTCCTATACCATAAATGCTAAATATATACCTGACGTTAATCGGATCATCGTCGACATTCTTCGACTGCGGATTAACCGTTCTCGAATTAACACATGGAAGGATGAGAAGCAAGACGACTGCCAACTTAGCGATAGTACTGATGATGGGGATCGCCATGGCTATATGCTCTGCCTTCTTTTGAGATATTTTTTTGGAAGTTGGTTATGGGTAATTAGGATTGAGGTTTTATGTCTGCAATGTTATGCTGCTTGCAGTGTATATATAGTAATAAAGATTAGGGCGCCGCACCTCTCTCATATATAATATACGGCAAAACATGTGATACATCTCTTTTAACATTGTTATCATCCACAAAAAATATATAGACAAAGAGTCGAGAAAACTCTTGTATTATATTCGGCTGGAATCAAGATCACGGGTTCAAGTTCTTACAACTTGTAATACATATTAACCGTTGATTTAAATATGTAGTAGATCAGATTTGTACAAATTGCAAATCTATCAATTAATTTCATTTTACGAGAATATTTCAAAATTATATATGATTTTTTTTCCAAACAACTTCAATTATTAGAACCTGTCTTTCTATCACACCCTACGGTTCTTCCCGTTATGTATGTCTAGCTGCTTGCCTAGCAATCAAAACAACCCAATTTGGATAAAATCCGAAAAATGCAAAAGCAAACAATCCAGCAGAAGCTCTCCAACTAGGAGTGGACAATGGGCAGGTTGGGTGGTTTTTCGTTTTAAATTGATCCACTCGCTTACTAGCGAGTTGGAATAATTGTGACCCACAATCCACCCACATTCTTCTGCGGATCGGGTTGGGTGGGTGGCGGATGAGTGCGGTTGGGTCGTGGGTTAACCCGCAAAAGCAATTCCCCAACTAGCAATTAAGAAAGTTTACTAAAATTTTTAATAAGTTCATAGTAAATTAGTAAGAATGTACCGATTTAAACACTTCTCACTTTTTCTTAAGTGAATCCATGTAGTATTTACATACAATTTTTTACTACTCTATCAACCAATTGTGTAGAGAAAACTTACGCATTTTGTGATTTGGATAAAATTAATAATTTAAAGTTTTCATCCAATATTTAATGGATATTAACAATAATTTGCATTCTCATATCCAAAATCTAATGGATATTACACAACATAATAACCAACAATAGTAGTCAAAACGATAAATTTTTCATGTGAAAATTGGAGGCGGGTCATTCGGATGACCCGCAATCCACCCCCCACCCACCCACATAAGTGTGGGTGCGAGATTTATCAATCCACCCGCATCAATCACCCAATACTTGCGGGTTGGGTTATTTACGGGTGGATCGATATCAATCCGCGGATTAACCACCCACGTGCCCACCCCTATCTCCAACTGATCGATCCATGCCAGCAAACATAGTAAAAACAAAAATGAAAGAAAATATTTAATCAATTTTTTTATGGTGGTGATATAGTATTAATTTAAATAGAAAATTAGAGTTTACAATAACTAAACATTTTGATCGAAATCACATCAAAGAATATGCATACAATAGTGACAAATAAACTAGCAGTAGAAAAGTTACAAACTGTAGCCTAATTATCATAAATGGCTAAAATAGAATGTGGGTTTAGAATTAGGGTATCTATATAATTCAGGTTTTCGGTTGGGTTATCAGTTCAATTGGGTATGTTCATTAATTTTTTATTAATATCTTAAATGACGTGACATGCTGACTGGTAGGGGTGGCTATTTGGACCGGGACCGGATTAAAAACCGTAAACCGGACCGTATAACCCGGACCGTGACCGGACCAGGACCGGATAGTAAACAATCCAATCCAATCTTTGGGCTTAGATTTGAGGTAAAAAACCGGATAAAGACCGGATAAGAGAGCTCAACACCCAAAACTTAAGGGTAATTTGCATAAACGGTCACAAACCTTTGCACTTAGTACAAAACTTAACCAACTCCTCGCCCTTTAAGGCCTTAGGCCACTCAAATCGCACAATATCAATGTAAACTCAAGACCGAATTGGGACCGGACCGGATCAAAACCGGACCGGATCAAGACCGGACTGTATCCAATCCAATCTTCGGTCCTTATATTTTCAAAAAGACCGGACTGGACCGGATCAATTTGTGCCAATTTAATCGAACCGGACCGTATAGCCACCCCTAGTTGGAAGTAACGATTAATAGTCTCACTTCGTCGGCACAACTCTCAGCGATTAGCAAGTTTCCAAACATCTTTTCTTCCGGTTGTCGCGAAAGTGAGAACTTTCTTGTGGAAGAGCAAAGCCAGAGAAAGCCACTGATTTTGTTAGGGGAGGCTTGGGTATGGATTTTATATTACTTTTTTTATATGTCCATTTAAATTATATTTACCTCATATATGCTTGATTCGAGTTGTTGAGAGATGGCGTTGTATGGATCATATATTAGTATCAATTACGGAACGTCACTTGTTGAGTAGCTGTGACCGTTCATGGATCCCACTTAGAAATATTGGCACTTTGATATAGGCTTGTCGAAACTAAGATGTCGAAGCTCAACTTTCTTTATTAGAAAACATACATTGAAAAATGAAACACACAAAGTGGTAGATCGAGATATCAGGCTGCAGCCTCGACGAGGCCCAACAAGGCCCAATACTAACACGGTTTAAGTAACCGCAACAATATATATAGATCCTTATTTCATTCACGAAGAAAAGAAAGAAAGAAACTATATATAAAACTCATACAAAGCCGTCCCAACTCATCACTATGAAGGAAAACCGTCGGAGGAAAACATACATTGAAAATGAAACACACAAGATCGAGATATCAGGCTGCAGCCTCGACGACGACGATGATGGATGCACTTCTATGGATCTCAAGTTGATTGAATAGAACGTGTTTATGCACCAGGGCAAATGCAATAACAACCCTTGTACGGACAATAGCAACCCACATAGCATGCATTAGGG